CATTTGGGCCCACGAAGCATTGCGACTGTTCCAAGATCGACTTGTTGAACAAGAGGAACGGGCCTGGACATCTGATATGATTCGACAGACTGCTATAGAACACTTCCCCACTGCCGACATCGATCAAGCTTTACAGGGTCCGATCCTCTTCTCGAACTGGCTCTCGAAGAATTATGTCTCTGTTGAGCAAGAACAATTACGTGAGTTTGTCAAGGCACGTCTGAAGACGTTCTGCGAGGAAGAGGTCGATGTTCCTCTCGTGTTGTTCAATGATGTCCTCGAGCATGCTCTCCGCATTGACCGAGTCTTCCGCCAACCACAAGGCCACCTCATCCTAATCGGCACCAGCGGAAGCGGCAAGACCACGTTGTCTAGGTTTGTAGCCTGGATGAATGGCTTGACCATATTCCAGATCAAAGTCCACGGGAGATACTCTGCAGAAGACTTCGATGATGATTTGAGAGGTGTTCTCAGAGCCTGTGGTTGCCGAGGCCAAAAGATTTGCTTCATCATGGATGAATCCAACGTCTTGGATTCCGGTTTCTTGGAACGGATGAATACCTTACTCGCCAATGGAGAAGTCCCCGGTCTTTTCGAAGGGGACGAATACTCAGCTCTCATGACTGCTTGCAAGGAAGGGGCTCAACGACAAGGTCTGCTTCTAGATTCGCAAGAAGAGCTTTACAAGTGGTTCACCCAGCAGATTGTTCGCAATTTGCATGTCGTATTCACAATGAATCCGCCCCAGGATGGTCTCTCGTCAAAGGCAGCTACTAGCCCGGCGTTGTTCAACAGATGCGTTCTCAATTGGATGGGTGATTGGTCGGATCAAGCTCTCTTTCAGGTCGGCTACGAGCTCACACACTCTGTCGATCTTGACAAGCCGAATTTCTCCGCCCCTGACAGCATCCCCGTCGCGTATCGTGGTTTATCGCTGCCTGCGTCACACCGCGACACGATCATTAATGCAATGGTGCACATACATTACTCCGTCCAGAAGACCAACGAGCGCTTGGAGCGTCAACAGGGGATTGTCACTTATCTCACTCCTCGACATTACCTCGATTTCGTCACGCAGTTCCGCAAACTCTTCAGCGAGAAGCGGGAAGATCTCGAAGAACAACAACGCCATCTTAATGTTGGTCTAGATAAGCTTCGAGATACCGTCGACAAAGTACGTGACTTGAGGGCAAGCTTGGCTCAGAAGAAGCATCAGCTAGAGTTGAAGGATGCCGAGGCGAATGAAAAGCTTCAACGCATGGTTGCAGATCAACGAACTGCCGAGTCGCAAAAGACCACATCCATGGAGATACAAACAGAATTAGAGAAGCAAGAGAAAGAGATCGCCAGCCGGAGAGAGATTGTGTTGGACGACTTGGCCAAGGCAGAACCGGCAGTCATCGAAGCGCAACGAAGCGTCAGCAACATCAAGAGACAACATCTCACTGAGGTGAGGTCCATGGCTAATCCTCCATTTGGTGTCAAGCTTGCTTTGGAATCAGTATGCACCTTACTTGGTCAGAAGGTTGATAATTGGAAATCCATTCAACCTGTTGTTCGGCGGGACGATTTCATCGCAAGTATAGTCAACTACGACAATGAGAAAGACATGACACCAGGTCTGCGACAGAAGATGCGCCACGACTACCTGTCCAACGATGACTTCACATTTGAGAAGGTCAATCGTGCCAGCAAAGCGTGTGGACCTCTGGTGCAATGGGTCGAAGCTCAAGTCAATTACTCCGAGATTCTTGACCGAGTGGGGCCTTTGCGTGCTGAAGTAGAGCAACTTGAAGACAAGGCTCTCCAAACCAAAGCGGAAGCCAAAGCGATTGAAAATAGAATCGCTAAGCTAGAGGAGAGCATTGCAACCTACAAAACCGAATACGCTGCCCTTATTAGCGAAACGCAAGCAATCAAGAGCGAAATGGCACGAGTTCAGACAAAGGTAGACCGCAGTCTGCGTCTGCTCGACAGTCTGTCTTCCGAGCGTGTCAGATGGGAGGCCGCAAGCAAATCATTTGAGACGCAAATACAGACCCTGGTCGGAGATGTGGTCATATCATCGGCATTCCTGGCATATGGAGGTCTCTACGATCAACAGTTCAGAAAGACAATGGTTGATGATTGGATGCATCATATGTCACAGTCCGGCATTTCTTGCAAGAGCGACGGCTCAGTGCTCGGATATCTATCATCTGCCGACGAACGCCTCCAATGGCAGCGTCACTCTCTTCCAGCTGATGACTTGTGCATGGAGAATGCCATCATGCTCAAGCGCTTCAACCGATATCCATTGATCATTGACCCACCTGGCAGGGTGACCGAATTTCTGAAACAGGAACACCAAGGACGGAAGCTAACAGTAACAAGCTTCCTAGACGACGCCTTCACAAAGCAGCTTGAGAGTGCCTTGCGCTTTGGCAATCCTATCTTGATTCAAGACGCCGAATATCTGGATCCTATATTGACGCATGTCTTGAACAAGGAATACCAGAAGACGGGTGGGCGAGTACTTATCCAGCTTGGCAAGCAAGAGATCGACTTTTCAGAGCACTTCCAATTATATCTGTCTACGCGGGATCCTTCGGCAGCCTTTGCTCCAGACGTTTGCAGCAGGACTACGTTCATCAACTTCACCGTCACCCGCAGCAGTTTGCAAACACAGTCCTTAAACGAAGTTCTCAAAGCCGAGCGACCAGATGTCGATAAACGAAGAACGAACTTGGTCAAAATGCAGGGAGAGTTTGACACAAACCTTAGGCAACTGGAAAAGAGGCTTCTGCAAGCTCTCAATGAATCCCGGGGCAATATTCTGGATGATGACAACGTCATCCAGACTCTCGAAACGCTCAAAAAGGAGGCGGCGGTCATCACAAAGAAGGTCGCGGAAACGGAAGGAGTCATGGCAGAAGTCGAGCGTATCACACAAGGCTACAGCCACATCGCCAACGCCTGCAGTGCCATTTTTGCCTTGCTTGAGCAGCTACACCACCTCAACCATGGGTATCGATTCTCGCTGCCATATTTCATCGATATTTTCAACTCAGTACTCCATAACAACCCGCATCTCACCAACAAAACAAATCATCAAGAACGTGGCGAGATCATCCTGAAGGACATATTTGTTGAGACTTATCGACGGACGTCCCTATCTCTGTTACAAAAGGACCGCATCACTCTGGCAATGCTTCTGGTCCGGGCCTCCCCGTACAGCTTTGATCGATCCGCAATGGAACTCATCCTAGAAGATCGACCGCACTCCCGGGGCACTGTGCCCACTGATACTCGTGCCGAGGACGTATTGGCAGCTGTGAAACGAATTCCTGTGTTCAACAGTGACCGGATTGACCCCACGAGCAAGAGTTGGATGCAGTTTCTCTCAGCGGAACGTGCAGAGCACTGTGTTCCTACGCTCTGGAATGATACTGACAATGTGATTGATCAGAATCTCTACAGATTACTCCTTGTCAAGCTGGCCCGACCGGATAGGTTTTTGCCTGCAGCTCAAGCACTCGTCGCAAGTGTCTTCGGACCCGAAATCTTTCAGGGTACTGACGACCTGGCAACAATTGTCAATCAAGTCAACTCCTCGATCCCCATTGCACTCTGCTCCAATCCTGGCTTTGATGCAAGTTACAAGGTCGATGCCCTCGTGGAGAAGCAGAACGCGAACTGTGCCAATGTTGCGATGGGCTCTGATGAAAGTGTTGCAAGTGCCGATAAAGCCATCACCGGTGCAGCTGCGAATGGTACCTGGGTTTTGATCAAGAACGTCCATCTCGCCCCTCAATGGCTGCAGACCCTAGAGAAGCGCCTTTCGGCTCTCAAACCACATAATGATTTCAGATTGTTCCTCTCCATGGAATCAAGCCCAAAGATCCCCGTCAACCTACTTCAAGCCTCCAGGACACTTGTCTATGAACAACCAGCTGGTATGAGAGCAAACATGAAAGACACCTTGACTGTGGTATCAGACCGAGGCACCCGAACACCTGTCGAGAAGGGCAGGCTTTACCTACTTCTCTGTTTCCTTCATGCTGTACTCCAGGAGCGACTTAGATATGCCCCAACACTAGGCTGGAAAGGGCTCTGGGAGTTCAACGACAGCGACTACGAGTGTTGCTCTTACATTATCGATGTCTGGATTGATGCGATTGCGCAAGGAAGATCAAATATCGCACCTGTCAAATTACCTTGGGATTTACTTCGGACCTTGATCACCGAGATGTACGGTGGCAAGATCGATGATGAAGGCGATTTCTCATTGCTCAGTCAAATTGTGAGCAAGGTGTTCGATCCTGCAGCATACGAAAATGACCACGAACTGGTGTCAGCTCCGGATGAAGGCCAGGCGCTCAAAGTTCCTTCTGGGACAACCATTCGCGATTTCATGGGCTGGGTGGACCAATTACCTGAGCGAGAACCCCCAGCGTATCTAGGGCTCCCTGCAAATGCGGAGAAGTTATTATTAATGGGGCAGGGAAGGGAAATGATAGGCAACCTTGCCAGGATAACGGATTTACTCGAGGAAGGAGAACAGACGTTGTCGGAGGAGCATGGGAGCTCCTGAGTCGGAACCACGGAAAGGATTGGGTTGGGCTTGCATTCCATGAAGCAGAGAGCTGTCTCAATTATGACCATAGAGTGTCAGTGTCCGCATGGACCATTTTCTTTTTTGTTCGAAACGGAACGGATGTTCAATTCGTTGTCGCCGCAGTTATTGAGCGCATGGCGAAGGGCGTTTGAAGGTGATTGCGTTCCGGGTATACCCTGCGTCGTTCCACTTCGACTATGGTTTTTCATAGATAGATTCCATGGACATACTTAGACTCATCTTCCTTCGGTTGTACTGAGACTCTCATATAGCTGAGATCGAAGCAGAGACGTGAACAAGGCGCATTACCAGCGAGGCTGAAGTCACGTGCGAATATCCGGAAAACCTTCCAATATTGAACTGCGGACACTTCACTCAATGTTCAACGCGGCGCGAAGGTCAAGAGCGAATATAACAGGTGGCCATTTACGGTCAGGTATATATTATTCTATGGGAGACCGTTGCAGCAACTTGAGCTGAACATCTTCCATCTGCCCGGCAACAAGAACCAAGTGAAACGCTGGGAAAGCAGACGTCGGACAGAACCAGGATGAACTCCTCCCGCCCATAACTCCGATACCTGGGACACCTCCACCGGCCCGCCATGGCCGCGATCAATGATGTTGGGCGCAGCGATGATGTACACCGGCCCAGTGTTGCGATACCTCAGCCTTCTCCCGCACAACTACAGACCATGACACCAGCTGCGCTTGAGATGGCCTTTGATCGAACGCCAGCAATTGCAATCGACCCAATTGCCCTCATCACTCAGGAATGCATCACGATCACGTCCGCCATGCGGAAACATGCCCGCTGGGCCCAGTCTTCGGTTTCTGCAATTCTCGGAGGAGGGGCTACAAGATTGCAAGAGAAGGACTTTCTACGCTCATCCTCGCAAAGTCGCCGGAGCAGTAAACGGCCCGTGATACTAGATCCGGGGATGGCCAGGCTGAACGTCCCCAACACCTCGGACGATGAAAACTCCAGCCTGGCCAGTCGATGGGGCCTGCGAGGCCGAAAGGGAAAGAGCATGCAGGATAACCCCCTGCTGACTGCCTTTGCGCGTCTAAGAAGAGATCTGGCGGGCTGCCGAGATGTGGCTGCTGTGGATGCTCCCGAGTTATTGCACCCTTTCTTGCAGGTCATACGCAGTTCTTCGACGAGCGCCGCGATTACGAGTCTAGCGGTGATATCGATCACGAAGTTCTTCGCGTACAACATTATCACCGTCAGATCACCACGAATCTCTCAAGGCATGCACCTTCTCAGTGCCGCAATTACCCACTGCCGGTTCGAGGCTAGTGACACAGCGGCGGATGAGGTGGTCCTGCTGCGCATACTGAGGCTCATGGAGCTGATCATATCCAGGCCGGAGGGTCAGCTGCTGGGGGACGAGAGTATCTGCGAGATGATGAGTACCGGGTTAAGCATGTGCTGTCAGTCAAGGCTTTCCGAGGTTCTCAGGAGGTCTGCCGAGATGGCCATGGTTACCATGTGTCAGGTGGTGTTTAGCAGACTGAAGTCATTAAAGGTGGAAGAGATTCCGAAGTCTAGGAGTCGGTCGAATACGAGGACAACTCTGCTTAGCGCTACCGAAGAACTGAAGATTGAACCGCCTATGACGGGCAGCGTCATGGGAAATGGTGAACCGGAGAGACCGAGTGTTGACGTGGACGGACGCACCAGTGTCGAAGACGGTATCAGATCCAAGGTTTCCACAGAACCGCAAAATACCGCCGCACCGGCCAAGGAAGATGAGTTCGATAACGTGGAGCCATACGCCCTTCCGTCAATTAAAGAGCTCTTCCGGGTCCTAATCGATCTTCTCGATCCACACGACAGAACACATACGGACGCGATGCGGATCATGGCCCTCAGAATTATCGACGTTGCCCTGGAAGTTTCTGGGCCTTCGATAGCGAAACAGCCAGTTCTGGCAGCCCTAGTCCAGGATGACCTTTGCCGCCATTTATTCCAGCTTGTCCGATCGGACAACATGGTCCTTCTGAACAGCTCTCTACGTGTCGCTGGGACATTGCTGGCTACATGTCGACAGCTGCTTAAGCTGCAGCAAGAGCTGTTCCTTTCGTACTTGGTGGCTTGTCTGCATCCACGCGTGGATATTCCTCAAGAACCAGGAATCGATCCGTCGCTCTATGAGGGTGTGCCTCAGTCTCCTAAATTGGTGAAACCCGCACCATCTCAGCCAAGCAGCGGTCGGTCAACCCCGGTCCCGATCAAGGACAGGCAGAAACTGGGACTAGAAGGCGGTACCAGGAGGCCGGAAGCCAGGGAAGCCATGGTTGAAAGTATTGGCACCTTGGTCCGCATCCCCGGCTTTATGGTGGAACTCTTCCTCAACTATGATTGCGAAGTCGACCGTCAGGACCTTTGCGAAGACATGGTTGGACTTCTGTCACGCAATGCCTTCCCAGATTCTGCTACTTGGAGCACTACGAATGTGCCGCCGCTGTGTCTGGACTCGTTGCTAAGCTTCGTCCAATTTATTGCCGAACGTCTTGATCACGAAATCCCAACATGGTCACAAAATCGGATAGAGAAAATTCGTTTGCAGCGAGCGAGGAAGAAGATCATCAAAAGTGGTGCATCCAAGTTCAACGATGATCCCAAAGCAGGAGTGGCATATCTGGTCAGGAATGGCATCATCGCAAATCCGGATGATCCTGTACAGGTGGCTCAGTTTTTGAAAGGCACCTCTCACGTCTCAAAGAGAGTCCTAGGAGAGTTCTTGACCAAGAAGTCGAATGAACCACTGTTGGTAGCATTCATCGGGCTATTTGATTTTGAAGACAAACGCATTGACGAGGCTCTTCGGGAAGTTTTGGGATCTTTCCGCCTTCCTGGAGAAGCGGCACTTATCGAACGAATCGTCAACAATTTTACGGAAAAGTACTGCAGGACCGTTGCGCCAGAGGAGATTGCAGACAAAGACGCTGCCTTCGTCCTAGCCTATGCGATCATCATGCTGAACACCGATCTCTACAATCCTAACGTTGCGAAGACACAGAAGCGAATGTCTTATGAGGACTTTGCAAGAAACCTTCGGGGCGTCAACGCGGGCAAAGACTTTTCCCCGGAATTGCTTCAAGATATATACGATGCCATTAAAGAGAATGAGATCATTCTCCCGGACGAGCACGAAAATAAACATGCCTTTGAATACGCCTGGAAGGAGCTCCTGCTGAAGACGCACAATGCGGGATCTCTGGAGTTGTGTGACACCAATGCCTTTGACGCAGAGATGTTCAAGGCTACTTGGAAACCGATCGTGGCGACCCTGTGCTATGTCTTCATGTCAGCTTCCGATGATGCTGTTTTCTCTCGAGTCGTGGTTGGGTTCGATCAATGCGCGCAGATCGCGGCGAAATATGGAATTACTGAAGCCTATGACCGTATTGTCTACAGCGTCAGTCACATCAGCGGTTTGGCTGCAGAAATTCCGCCAAGCACATCCTTGAATACTGAAGTCCAGGTTGGGAAGAAGAGAATCATGGTCAGCGAGATGGCCGTGAGGCTTGGACGCGACTTTCGCGCCCAATTATCGACGGTATTACTGTTCAGGATATTGCAGGGTCATGAAGATGCCGTTGGTGAGACTTGGATTTATGTCGTGCGCATTCTACGGAACCTGTTTGTCAACTCCCTCATCACATTGCCAAAATTCGAGCAAAGTAGATTCGAAAGCCTCGGCCCGATACCTTTACAACCACCATCACAAGTCATCGACCGAGATGGCCGACTTAGCGAAAGCGGCATCTTCTCAACGTTCACCTCCTACCTCTCAAGCTATGCTGCCGACGACCCACCAGAGCCTTCGGAAGAAGAGCTCGAAAACACACTTTCCTGTGTTGACTGTGTGAAGGCATGTCGACCTGACACTGTCCTGCAGCATATGGCTTCACTTCCTGCCTCGCAGATCAAAAATATCGTGTCCGCTCTGCTATCTCAGATGGAAGAATTGTCACCAGTCGTGACCGTCAAGCCTGAACGTCCTATCCCCGTCACTGTCAGGGTCAATGGCCACCGCATGCCAAAAGTTGGACCCGAGTATGATCCTGGCTCCGTGTTTCTCCTAGAGCTTGCCACGCTTCTCACATTAAGAGACGACGAAACAATCGCTGCAGCCGGAGAGCAACTCACCAGCTCCTTGCAGAATGCAGTTAGAGATGCCTCCAATCTCCATCCTCTCGCAGCATCTAGAGTCGTGCATTTCCTGCTTGAATTATTGCGGTATAGCTACGTGAGTCTGCTAAAGAAGCTGTTCCACCTCCACCCCTAGTTCATGGAAAAAGCATTCCGCTAACGAAATGTTCTCCCAGACCTACGACTTCATGCGTGCTCCTGTCGTTCTTCACGCAATCTCAAGCTTTGATGATGCCGTGCTCGACCGAACAGCCTCGACCATAATCCAGGGCCTCTCCAATGCCATTGACCCTCCTTCGGCCTTGCGCAACGAGATCACGAAATCTCCGGACTTCTGGTCGACGTTACAACGTCTGCATCAGCACAAAACAGAAGCAGAACGTGTATTTGACATTCTAACGCTCCTTTCTACGTCGTCACCGACCAAGGCACCAGACCAACAAGCTTTGACCGCAGATAACTTCGAATCAGCCATTTCCCTTGCAAACGACTTTGCGTCTGCCGGCACCATTGGCTCCATCCAAGAAAAGCGCCGTGATTTTGCTGCAAAACAGGGCCGGCAAGCCAAGCCTGCAAGACCGGAAGACATTGTGGTTGTCCAGCGGGCGAATAAAGCTGTCGGGCTGATCTATCAGCTGACGGGTCGCGTCCCAAGTCTGATCGACCAGAGTCATCTGGAGAGGAATGAGGCTTGGGCTGCGTATTGGAGTCCGATCTTTCGGGCCTTGTGCGCGCAGTGTGTTAACCCATGTCGTGAAGTGAGACATCGTGCGTTGTCAGCTCTGCAGCGCACCTTGCTATCCGAGACCGTGGCAGATGAGAAAGGCACGAAGAAAGACCAACACACAGAATGGACAGCAATCTTCGACGAGGTATTATTCCCGCTTACGCTTAGGTTGCTGAAGCCCGAGATATACCAGTTGGACCCGCCCGGTATGAATGAGACGCGAGCACAGATGGGTGGTTTATTGTGCAAGGTCTTCTTGCGGTATCTCGACCGTCTCAACGACATCCCTCTTCTTTCTCAGACCGAAGATGAGGAGGAAGGGAATGGAGATGAAAAGGAAAGCGAGCAAGATGACGAAGAGCAGCAGAAGACAACCGCCGAAGCGAAGGGGCAAGGCAGTGGCAATGGCAACAAAATGACCGATGTCTGGATCAAGACTCTTGAGCTTCTCGACCGCCTGATGAACGCGGGCACCGTGGTTGAACATCAAGGCGACGCGCTCGCCGAGGCGGTCCGGGAGGGTGTGAAGAACACGCTGCTCGTCATGGACGGGGCGGGCTATCTTGGTCGCCAGGACCAGGCTGCTTGGGCCGCCAAAACTCCTCGCAGCCCACATGCTCTGGACGAACAGGGCGAGGTTCAAATCTGGCCCGAGACAGTGAGGCGCTTAGATAGATTCCTGCCGGGCTTGGTGCAGGAGCTGTTCCCTCCCGAGCCCGAACCGGACCATCCTCCCGTCGCTGGTGATGGTGCTCACGCCGCTGATGGCGGCCAAGACGAGAATCGTAAACCCGGGCAGACGCAGCGGGCCAGTACCGGGTCCCGACCGCAGACGCGAGATGGCGACAAGAGATGACCAGGCAAGCAAACAACATATGACGGAGTACTTACTAGCTTGCGGCTCGAATGGGGGACAGACACGGAGGAGCTTTGGGCTTCTTTTCTCGTTGGTTCGGAGCAGTCCTGTAGGAATAATAGGATACGAAAAGGACTATCATAAACAGACGTGATTCGAAGCCTCCTCCTCGTCGTGCCGTGCCTACCGACCTATCCCATCTATCCTACCTATCCATCTACGCACCATGTCGTCTCGCACCAAGCTGTGCCTGCACTGCAACTGGCTGTTTCTGTGGCTGTATCTTGTGCTGTGGCTGCAATTACCGCTTTCAAAGACTTTTGTTGCATTGGATCATGGAATGTGGAATATGGAATATGCTGGAAACGGATATTCAGCTCGCGCGCTATGGAACTCTTACATACGTACGATGCAACTTTTGTGCCTTACCACCTTCGTGTGTGGTACTACCGTGTCAGAGACAGCGGGTTGTGCGCAGTTCGCCTCGACCTCCATGGGTCCAGCTCTGTGAGAGTCATGTGCTGCTTGCCTCTGTCTCCCCTTTCCGTCAGCAACTTTTTTAACACTGGTCATGCTGAGACCGTGTCGGCTGTTTAGCCGGTCATGCCCTTTCCCCAGCTCCCCGATTCTTAAGCGAGATATCATCCTCCAGTGCTCCTCTCACGCCTCGTTCCAGAGTAATTTCACCGTAATGTCGCGGGACCTCGTGGTGGATGTAGGTATTTGCCTTGCTTTCCCCGGCCAGGTTCATACAACACCCTTCTTATCGTTCGCCTCCAATCCCATCCACAGCTCCATTCACTTTCTCTTTCTTGCCCTTAGCGACATCGGCCTCTTTACTCGCACAGTCGCAACCCCACTGACTTCGAAATTCGTCTATGCTCAATGTCCCGAGCTTCTTCAGCGCAGTCCGGCTCGTTCGGACTTTGGCGTACTTCACGGACCGTCCCTTGCTGTGCGCCACAAGGTTCCCATGCACGAACCAGGCTACATACATCGTCGTCCCAGAAGCGTCTTCGTCGCCTTTGGGTTCTCTCGCTTCAGCATCTTCGTCATCATCTTGGTCGTTGTCCCTCGAGATACTTGTGGTCGGCTGCTCACTGTGTTCTTGGACAATGAATGAACCCTTCCGACACCGGAATTCTCGTTCAAGCAAACGATAAAGATACGTGGTCGGGTGACGGTTTGCGAATGTATCGTATGCCTCAATGTCCTCGAAGAACCACTTCACATGCTTCTCGAAGAAGTGCTCAATCTCCCGATAGTCGAAGCCGGAGTCGACAAACACAGCGCCCAGATAACTCTCGACGACGTCAGCCAAGACTTTTGGTACATGGCCTTCGGATACCACTCGAGTCCAGAAATCGGGTTTCACGTCCTTCTCGCCCCAGGCTTCTTGGACTTTGGATGCGTATCGGGCAATGTCATCGCTGACCGACATACTATAAGCATGGATAAACTTGTGGAAACCCAGGTATACCGCCAAGGCAGCGAGGAATTTGTTCGACACCATGGCCATTTTGTGCTCGGTTAACCATTGAGGACCACGAGTCGGGTTGGTGGAAAATAACCACCATATACAAACCCAATCTAGGCAAGCATCGCCCAAGAATTCAAGTCGTTGAAGATTTTGAACTGGTGAGTGCTGATCAGAGGAATGAGTAAATGCTGAACGCGCGAGACGTGGATGTTTGAATCGATAGCCGGTGGCCTCGAAGACCTTATTGGCAAGATCGTTAGCAATCGGGTCGTTCATCTCGGCTACCCAATGCGCCGGCTTGTACATTGGCGGAATCTCTTTCCAAGAGTTGATGGCGTGGTCTGGGTGTTTCACGAACTTGGTGATCGCCTTGATTCCCAGATTGAATTTCTCCTCGGTGGGCAAGTGACGAGTGCTCATGATGCATGCACCGATGGTGGCCTCACAGACATCAGCTATGGTCTTTTGTCCGAGAGTGTGCTTGCGGTGTTTGTCCGTCAGTTTGATGACTCGACCTTTCTCGAGCTCCAAGAATTCAGGGTACCATGTGTCACGCCAAGGTTCGCCTGCCACGCGGATGTAGCGAAAAAGCTCGTATTGTTGAGCAGACGCAGTTGTACACAGCCGGCGGTTGGAGATCAATTCCATCCGCCTGCAATGCATTCCTTCTTCGTCGCAGGTTGTGTGGTTGTATACTGTGATCGTTGTCATCATCTTAAGGAGGGAGTCACCAATGAATTCCAATCGCTCGTAATTCATAGACGTCCTCGGTTTCTTCTGGCCGAGCTGTGTTTCGACATCATCTCCATCCAAATCGAGAGAGTCGATTTCAAGGCCGTGGGCTCCGGTATTGCCTTCTTGTGTATAAGCTTCCAAAGCGAGGTCGAGAGGCACTTCGCTGAGATCAAGCTTCTCGAAAGCTTCACGCACAATCAGGTAGCCCTCCAATCGACGGAGGATAGAGGGCCACAGGAGACAAGTCTGAGCCACCGAGAACGAGATTCGACCGAGTTCCAGCGGTTGGGGGGCAATGTGACAAATGGCATATCGTTTTGGATCTGTCGGGCATTCTTCCAAGAAATTGCGACCTGCTATGACAACCTTGGCGGACAACACGGGCTGATTTGAATCGTACATCTGGGCGGCAGATTGGGCATCTTTTCTCTTTGCTCCCCATGTGCTGTCAGAGAATTCAATGATGGTGTTCTTCAGTCTCTTCTGAACTGCTTTTGCACTTTCTGGAATGGGGTCCCATATAGATCTTCCTGGCAAGATGTTCCCCGTGAAATAGCGGAATCTGCCACTTCTCGGGTCGACGAGAAATGCATTGCACCATTTCTTTGCGTTTCCCTCTGCCTCTGCCGCGCTTCCGGATGCTTTCCATCCCTGGCGTTCTGGGAGTTGCGCGGCTAAAAGCTCACCCACATCAACAATAGACTCAAAAGTCCCCTTCAATTCTCCTTTGGCTGGAGGTGCTAGCCAGTAGCTCATAGAGGTCGATTTGTGAGTATAGACTTTATTGAAAAAGTCCTGGAAAACGCCACGAAGAGTGAATGTCGTTAGTGCTTCAATCTGATCCGGCGTCACTGCCACTGGCTCTATGAAATGATTGAATTGGACCTGTTTCTCGACATTGTCGTCAACAAAGACAGGGAATCCGGGTATATCTGGAAGCGGTTCGCGTGTCAGCATCAGCAAGCCATCGGTGCACCAGGACGGTGATTTTGGCCCAACAGAGACATGGGTGATGAAAAGCTTCGTAGGCAGTGTCGACGATGTCGCACCACTTTCAATCCAGAAATCTGGCTTCACCTTCCTGTCATAGTCATCCTTGTCTTCGCAAACGGCGATTCTGGCATTGAGATTAGCTGGTTTTGCCTTGAAAAAGATGCTGTTGAGATTTTCATCCAACAGCTGGGCTTTGCGTAACTTGGCAAGGCAATGCCAGGCAGCGGACCGCTTCGCGAGTGTCTTGTTTGTCCGCGCCTCGCCTTTGGCGCCTTTGACTACAGCAGTCCGCTCGTCGTCCGTGACAGGAAGTATGACTTTGTACTGAAACATGTTTTCTTCGACACCGATCATCTCCTCGTAAACTTCTGACGAGGACGCCCCGATCTTCCTCAAGGACTCAGCATACCGGCTCAGGAGCAATAGCGAATTGGAGTAGTTGGCTAGGACGCCAGCAGAGGTCTGGAAACTTCGGCAACTTGCATCTTTGGCCATGAGCTGCTTCAATTTCGAGCCTTGACCCAATAGGCGATCGGGAGGAAGCTGTTGACAAAACCTCCTGATATAATCATCTTGATCCATGGCAAAATTGACATCTGCTACTTGGGACTGATTGTTTTCTTCGATCATGTGGACAAAAATAGAGTCCTTCATCCGCGCCCGGCCACGACTCTGCATGTACTGAATTGGCGTTCTGTACAGATCGAATCTGATCACCAAATTGCACTGAGGTATATCAATACCTTCTTCAGCAACACTGGTGGCGAATATGATGTTGAAGATTCCAGTGCGGAACTTCTCCATGACGGCCTCTTGATCTTTCCACGAATCTCTCACATCCGAAGCCGGTGCAGTACCCATGAGGACGCCGGCTCGTAGATTCGGGAGATCGAGTGCCTTGAATAAGTCGCAAAGAATAAGAGCTGTCAATCTTTCTTCCACAAACACGATCGACCGAGTCGCAACTTTGGCCGAAAAGCGGTTCTTGAGTTCGCTATACAGCTTCCTCACTTTGGGAGATAAATCAAGATCCGAATCAACCTGTGGTGCCTCAAATGGATGTTGTTGGACAATCGAGATAGCCTCACGGATGGAATCCAAAGCCGCTACTCGGTTCTCGCTCTCGGTAAGCCCAGTGTAAGTCCTGCTTCGTTCAAATTTTGCAAGGACGACTCTTGATTCGTGCTCAGAAGTCGGAAGGGCGAATTGCCAGATTCGGTCTGCTGCCCACGCGCCGAGATGCCGGGAAGCCGTGCGAGCGAAACGGAAGTATGATTTGAAGTCCTCGAAGAAGCCGCATAAGGGCATAAGTTGCGAATAGAGAGGGGTTTCGAACTCAGCATTCAAGGGAGGATAAATCCATCTGACATCCTTGGCTCGAGGTGCAAAGTCGAAGACAGACATATCACTGGTGGTGACGATTTTGCTCTGCAACAACGATTGCAAGTCCTCAGCAACTGTGTTAATATCGCGTCTCGAGTCGACAGGGGACGCCGTCATGCCGAAGATACGAGGTTTGTCTCCATCCCACTTGAGATAGTAATCTCGAATGATTGTGGAGTATGGGTGATTCTTCTTGCAGTGGTGTGCTTCGTCGAAGACAAGAAGCGAGATCTGACCTATTTTCAGATATGAGCGCATGAGGCACAAGTCCAGCACCGCCGCCGTGCACACAACAACACTGTTTTCGGCAAAAATTTTGTCCCATTCTGCCTTTTCCCACAGGGCGTACGAGGCGTCGCCGAATAGTGGGATGACCTTCTGCGCCAGGTTGTTGGAGAGGAACCGGGCCTGTTGTCGGGCGAGGTGGACGCTGTTGACAAGGAAGAAGATGATCTTTGCGGATTTGCCACGGCTCCGATCGATGAGTTCCTGTTGCAAGTAATGTCTGATCAGCAACGCGGCGATGAGGGTTTTACCGCTCCCAGTGTCTAGGACAGCGATTACGTTCTCGTCCTTGGCCTTTTCGAAGAGTTCTTGCTGATATTCACGGGCACGGTCGATAATCGCCTTGGACTGTTCGATCTTCTCACGGTTCGAGATCCGGATCTCGTCGTTATTATTCGCGTAAGTAAGAAGATAGTTATTCAGAGTAGCCTTATTCGCCTCCTGCTCAGCGTAACTGACTAGATCGGCGTGTGGTAGTTCAGATTCGTCCTCGGAGTCTGTGAAATCTATGAGGTCGTCTGGATAAGATAGATCTGGATAGCGCGTGAAGTTGTGGCCCTCCTGAACGGCGGCTCCGTCGGTGTCCTCCATCCTGCCGACGGTGTAAAGAGGTTTAGAGGTGCAAGAAATAAGGAGGAAGTGAAATTAGGATCGATCTCATAGTCGCTAAGAGATTGAAATTCTTTCCGCAGACGGTGAAGGGAGAAAACGCGTAACAGAGGGTTAGTGACGGCGGGCAACGCGCAGGCAAGCAAACAAACAGAATTCACTCCATAGTTGACATACCGACATTGATATGTCTGACTGGTGCCATCCTACCTCAATACATCAAGTTCATCATTCTTGCAACAGTCACCGTCCCACGCCATCTGAAGGTTATGGAAGGAAATCAAGGTGTGCACCGTTCCCCCAAAATTCCCAGGTGCAGGCTGTTGAGTTGTTGCTTAGCTCATTGGCCCCCGCGACGGCCAGGCACACCAGGGACCAATCTAGCCAGGGGCCTTCACACTGGCAAGGGGGATTCCTCCCGCTGCAACATTATGTCATTCCTCGTCGCGACAGCCATTGAACAAACATGCGACGACGGGTTAATCCTCAACTCCAACCACGTCAAGGATCGAGGCAGCAACACACGAGATACAGACACAGACGATGTTTGCCGCTGCAATGGGGGTATTCTTAGCCGTGTTCATTGCGCTTCTGGGTTTGTCCAGTGCCCATGGCTCACACTCGCAAGAAGAACTTGCCAATCCCGCGGACGACTGGGCATTGTACCATATGCAAGAAGAGCACCGTATGTGGTACAGGTCTCTGGTTGATTGGACTCCTTTGACAGACACGTACAGATATCTCCAACTTCGATCCAGCCTCATTCTTCGCTCTCCATGATTTCAACAACGATGGCGCCTGGACACCTGACGAAGTCCGCCGAACATATGGCCTGGACGACGAATCTCTTAAATCCACTCCCGCCGATACCAAAGACAAGGCCGTCCTTAACGTATTCAAACTGTTTGACCCTCATAGCACCGGTCTCATCACCCGCGATCAGTGGCTGGACGGCATACGGGCCGGCAAGAAGCTCCCCGACTCTGGGTTAGGCCCAGGCCATCACGGTGACGACGAATACGAATATGAGATCCACCATTTCGAGAAATACCACGATGAGAATACGAAAGAGGAGGATCTGATTCATCCCGAAGACATCGAGCACTTCAGGAAACACGACATGATGGAAGACGAGGCTTATCGCATCCTGAGAGAACAACAACAGAGCATTGTGGAGAGGAATATCCCGCTCAAATTTAGGAGACAGCCGTGAGGTCTTGCGAGGCGTTCTGGCGGCTCATGACCATGGAAGAATCTGTAAGAGTACAAAATAGAAATGAGGTGGAAGGCGAAGGACATCAGCCATTGGGCTTGATCTCAATATCAAATACACAATGCATAACGCCGGGCGCATATGTCTTGACTTGCTCAACATGTGCGCCAGAAGCTGCGTACGGACATCGAACTCTTTGCCGTATCAGTCCGTCGACTTCGCCCACAATTTTCCCGGACATCACATCGATCTCCCGGACATCGACGTTCTCATGAACATGCAACCATCCACCTGTTCCGCCTTCGCTGAAGGTTGTTACCGCCTTGACAGCATTCTCCCAGCTAGCTATCGCAGAAGGCAGGAGCCCAAGGTTCGCATGTCTGATATTGAACCGCAGCCCTGTCCTTCCCTCCTCGTTGTCAACTCTTTCGTGTTCATATTGCATCTCCTTGAGGACCTTGCACGTCCACTTGTTATCCCCGAGGAAGGCTACGCATCGGACGATTGCTTCCTTGTCGCCCGTGTGATCGCCCCTTGCAATCTCCTCCGCCAGTTCCCTGGCGCCTCCCTGCCCATGCAGGCTGCCGTCTTCACCAACCCTGACTACCAGACACCTCCATCCGTTTCGCTCACATCCCCTCCTCAACCCTTCGATGCTCCACGGGTTGATATCCCAGCCATAAACCCGGCGCACGCCTCTGAAAAGATAGCAAAACGCAAAGTAGCCGATGCCGACGTAGAGATCGACCACATCGACCTCGCCAATCCGTTGGGGGTTCAACTCAGGCTCGTCAAGGCCGGGGAAATGGGACTGCAGCCCCAAGATCCGCGCCTTCTCGGAGATGTTGCCCCGACTGAACATCGTGTACAGCGGGGCCCAGCACTGCACGACCCCCTGGTGTTGCGACGTGGACGCCCAGAAAGCCTCGTCGAAGTCCTTGGCCGTGGGGTGAAGAATCCTGCCTCGACGCTGTCGGTCATCGGCCACGGGGGCCCAGTCGCCGTACATGGGGACCAGACCTGAGGGAGAGCGGAGGGCGTTTTGTTCCTTGGGCGTGGCTTCGCGGTTCGCGGATTCTACGGAGCCGGCGACATCTTCGACACCGTCGGCGCCGTCGCCTCCCGGGTCGACCTCGGCCGCAATAGGCGCATTGATAGCGACCCGCGAAATCCCCATGCCCTTGAACCCCGCTCCAGCGATGCATCGAAATAGCTCCGTCCTGTCGCTCTCCCCAAGCGCATGGTAGAACGCCGTCCACCGCGGGTTTTGCGTTGTGAAGTTGGGCGGGAGGAGGAGGAGCGGCGGGTACAGTGTATACCGCTTTGGCATGTCCGCGGTAGCCAGGGCTGTGGGAGCCGATGGCGGTTCCTCCTGTTCGCCATCCTGGGAGCCCAGAACGAAAGTCGAGCCGTCCTCTGTGGTAGTCGCAATTTCCGCGCGATGCTCCTGTAACCCTTTGCAGAACTCGTAGACCCCCCTAACCAGAGGATTGTTCGGGAGCCTCTCCCTCTTCGACTTGAATTTACCCTCGGGCTGTGAATGGGGCTGCTTGAATCTTGTCATCTCCCCCGATATATTGTCCCGAGGGACATAAGAACCTCAGGGTGCCCCTGCGATTTGGTTCCCTATCCACAATATCCTCACAGAGCCCGTGCTCAGACTCAATACAGGAGCTGGCCGCAAGCTGCGGAACAGTATGCAGATTTCAGTTATTTGGGACGGGTAGTTTTCTGCAAGAAAAAAAAAACCGAAGTCGGATCAGACGCTGACGAAAGAGTTTTAGCCATCTATGCCTTGAGGCTCAGTCTTGCGGCGGTCTGACGAAGCTGGGTTGCTGATTGGTCAATCGAATGTTCCTCTACACTGGCGAGGCTCTCGTACTCTAGACACTGCTGGGCGAGCGAGATACGAAGTGTCGCGTGTCCAACTTTTAGCTGGATCTTCCATGTGGACTTTCGACGCTATCTTCTCCAAGTCGCTCGCGGAGTAATCTCCTCTCCAACTCGACTCAAGTCGATTCTCAATCCACCGTCGGAGGGGTATATCGCTCTATCTAAATAGAGTGCATGCAACTTTTTAAAATGGTTGATTCGACGTTTTTGACCCTAACTTATCCTGTCCCCTCAGCTTCTGGGTCGAACATAGTATGCTGGCAACCGTGTCCCTAGGTTGTAAAGGTATGACACTTGCTAAATCAAGTCGGTATCTGCGATGTAAAATCCAACCACATCCAGAAATATCATGACGCCTTCATTAATGCTTCAGAACTCCTTTCAAATGTTTCCCTCTCCAACAGATGATGCGATTCCAAATCACCCTGCAACACCGACCTCCTTAGCTTGGCCGATCATCATGTTCAGTATTGCCTTCTCGTCCGGTGAAAAGTCTCGTTTTAGTTCTGCGTCGGTCGTCAGACAGCACATGTTGCTTTCCTCCAACTGCCAGGCACCAGGTTCTCTAATATCTCTTGGCTCGATTAGGTAGTGTTCAAATTTGCCAAATTTCTTCTGTTTCTTGTCGGCGAACTTGTTGTCCAGGAGCCATCCGTTGAACCAAAGTGGCTTGCCATGCAAATCCAAATGGAGAAGTTGTGGTGAGCAGATTGTGTAATTCGACGGCTCAGGTTTTTCCTCGGGTTCTTGTTCTTCGGGTTCTTCTGCGACCTCGTACTCTTCCATAATCTCTTGCCCGTTCTCGTCCATTCTAGGCTGACCATTTTCATCCATTACCGGCCTCTTCTTTTTCACCATTCTGGGCTTCCGTTCTTCTTCCTTGGGTTCTTGAACGACACCCATTGTGCCAGCGTCGCCTTGATGGAAAGCGTAGTCTTGGTCTCCAACAAGCTCCCAACCGAGCCAGAAGGTCTCTTTGTCACCTGCAGAGCTTGTCAGAAAAGGTAGCCAGCGAAGCGCAGCGACCAAACTTACCGTAAACCATGTCATAGATACCGACCCTGCCTTCGTCTTTATTTCCGTCCCGGTCGGGGCCATTCATTCTCGTGACCAGGAGAAGAGCAATGAAGTGACGCCATTTGTCTACCACAATGACACCCGATTCTTGCATGTGACCACTATCGCCCGTCCAAAACCGGCTCTGCTTGACTTGTCTTGAAATGGGCTTGGGCAAAATCTGTTGGAGCCAGCGCTTCTTGGACTCTGGCATGATCAGTCGATCCCTGAAGAAAAGAGCTCCCGCTTTCTGATACGCAGGATCCTCGAACAAGACTTCCGGGTTGACAAAGAACAGACTGTCAGCGTCAATGAAGATGACTTCGCGGAAACTGGAATATAGGATGGCAAATGGCTTTGCGGCCCAGCCCGCCAGCTTCCAGCCCTCGTCGTTCACCATTTGGGCAATGTCCCGAGTGAGCACGCCATCGAGGCTTTCCAGATCAGAACGGTAGTCCTCAGAGAGATCTGAATCACCCAGGTACATGATCTCAATCGGCAGTGTGCATCCGAGCTTCCGAAACGTGGGGATAATTGTGAGCAGGAAGGGAGCCTGGTCATCACCTGCTGTCAGGACGATACCCCTACCACCCTTTTTGAAATGTGAATGGAGAGTCATGTGATCAGGGAAGTAGGGCGCCGTCCACGGGAAAAGCAGTTGCCCAAATTTGACCAAGAAGTATCGGTATGCCTCGTAGGAATGGATGGTTTGAGCCAGAGAGGATTCGCCGATGTCCTCGTCAGAAGGCTGGTGCTGATGGTGTCGCAGATATTGGATAACGTCGTCCCGCACGTAGCTACCGCCTTCGTCATCGAAAGTGAGATGAAGCTCTTCCCAGGCTTCAAAGAACTTCTTGTATTCGCGGACCCGCAAACCCATCTCGCGGAGTTTCTCCTTTCCAGTTCCTTCGACAGCGCGGAGCAAGTCTCTGCCTTCCATCTCACCTGGGAGGAGACTGATTACTCGTGCGAGAGCCTTCTCAAATTTGGGGCGTTCGGAAAATGAGCTCGGGTTGGAAGGTGGCTTGGATGATCCTGAAAGGCCGGATCCCTTTGGAGAATATGACTTTGGTTGTGCAGCCACATCGCCCTGTTTGGAGAGAATAGGCTCCTCATCCACCGAGTCGGGCTGTAGAGGGGCCTTCGGCTTTTGCGTGGGGGGCTCAACCGGGGGAGCCTCGAACCGCATCTCAGGATTTGATTTGGGCTCCGTCAGGTCGTGCACAATCGCATTGCCCGAAAGCTGATCTTGACCAGCAGCGTCATTTGGATTTGCTCGAAATATTGGCTCAGGGTCTGAGGGCAAGTCCTTTGATCTGTCGACAGGCGACACAATCTGCGGCTGGATTGTCGAACTCGACCCTCCGGAGGTGAGCAGGTATATTAGAGGAATGCATAGCAGCAATATAATGATAAGAAGTCCCTGTCGCGATCGTAGACTTCGTCGGGTTGGTCCCGCATATGGGAGGCCGGGAAAAGAGCGACCCTCCTTCAGGGGCGCATGCCTTGGAGTAAACATGCCTCCAGGGGAGCGCATTGGGAGGTTTGGACGTTGTTGATTGCTGAGAATTGCTCAACCCCGATGATAGTCGTTGAAGCCAGATGTCGTATAAGCCGATATTCCCACAAAGTCAAAAAAACAGTATCGTTGGTGGCGAAACACGCGTTCCAGACGCGACAAGGGGCAAGCCTTCTTCCCCTTTTCCGCCTTCGCAGCAGATAAACCAACAATACCCAATCAGTCTAGTCTATGATACGAGATTAAACGATTGCTCAGAGATGACCATGATTGTGACAAATGGAAGGAGATGCAGAGATGCAAGATGGATGTCGTTGAAAAAGGGATCTGAATACGAACCAAGGGGCGTTGAAATGGAGGGTAAGAAAAGTTGGTTCGAGCAGCTGAATATCCCTTGCCCCCCATATTTCCCCATGCAGACTAGCGCTGCTCGGCTGTCGCTTCCACTTTGGCCTCCACTTGTTTCACTTTTGATGCGACGCCCAGACGCCCTTTTGCCCCCTTTTTATTCCTGCTCATCAGGACAAAATGCCACAATTCCTAGAGGAGGTAGCGGGTGGGTGTTCATGCCACACGGAATACACTGCGACGGATGAAACGACTGTCTCATGATGATAGTGCCCCAGGCGCCCGTTCCTTCCGTCGATTACTTGCATGAGATCCCGGCCGTTGGGAGATCTGCAGCTAACCCTATACGCAGCTGCAAGGAGCCTCAGGCACAATGCTATAAATAGCTGCCACATATATTCCCCCTTTTGATGAGAAGGCCAATACAACAGAGCTTCCATCGACGTCCAAAAATCACCCTCAGTCGATGTGGTAGTCGCCGAGGCCGCCGTGGCGGGAGGTGTGTGTTGTATCACCCAGCATCGTGTCATCGCGGACTGACTAGGCCATCCTCTGTTTGGGGAGCTTGGGAACCAACAACCACACTGCTAGGCATAGCACCAAGGCTGCCAGAATGATCGGTTGCAACACCTTGACCCCCTTGGCATTGGCAATCGCCCCCACAGCAAACGGCAGCACACATGCGCCACTCGCTCCGAAAGCAGCGGCAAACCCAACCGCGGGTACGTGCAGCCTCTTCGGGAGTAACTTGGTGAGGGCCACAATGGCTGCGGGGAACAAGGGTCCCAGGAAGAAGCCCAGCATGCCAACCATGACCGCGCTGACGACGAAGTTCGGAATGAGCCAGAACATCAACTGCAAGGCCACGCTGCACAACAAGTACACAGCTATCGCGTGCTTTTCTGACTTGAATACCCGAGCCGTCACGAAACCAAGTATCAATCGACCGGTGGTAATGCCAAGCCAAAACCCCATGGAGGTGAGTCCGGAGGCAAACGGCGAGCCTTTCCTGACGTGCCACATGAAGGTCACGATCCATCCGCCAACACTGACCTCGACACCCACATAGATAAGCAGGAAAACTGAGGCGAGCAACGTCACTTTTTGCTTGACCGCTTCCAGGGTCTTGCTCTTGCCCTTGGCTCTTTTGCCGAGCGGGCTGAGTCTGGAGAAAAAATTTCGGTGCTTATCGGCTTGAGCACGGGTGCCCGTGTCCTCTGAGGTGGTAGGAGTGCTTGATTCTGAAGTATCCAGGTCAGCAGTCTGAGGGTGCTCAGCATTGTAGGCTCGGCCATCGGCTTTCCAGAAAGTGCCAACGAGAAATACAACCTCCAAAAGTGCTGCGCCCACCATGAGGTAGTAAAATTCGTACCATCGCCAGCCCGCTTGAGTAACCAGTGTTGTCGCGATCAACGGCGAAAGTGCTGCACCAAGACCGTAAAAGCCGTGCAAGAAGCCAAGCACTTCATTGGGATTAGCCATGTCGCCAATCCAGGCATTCCTGAGGCCGCGTTTAGCATTCCTGGCACTGGAAGGCCAAGCACATTAACCCACCATCCGCTGTCGCCCAAACCATTGCCAAAGCCGGCAAGAATAAATACTACTACCAAAACAGGATAAGGCGGATGAACGCATATGACGGCTATGACACCGGGTTAGTCACGGATCCTGCTTCAACATCAATATACTCACTATAAGCGCACAGATGGGACATGCTCATGATCCACGCAACACCTCTTTGTCCGTACACGGTATGGATGTAGTTGTTCAACAGAGCAGACATAGTATAGCCAACTATTGGTGACAGAAATATTAGACTTATGACTGTATAGTTGACTCCATAGAATCTTTCGAGGTAGGGTATAAGCGCTCCGTATGCACCATCATTGGCACCCAAGATAATAAAGGAATAGAAGGTCCCTAGACAGCGCCACATGTTGATTCTTGGGGCGTTCCATTTTTGCAATTGAGGTGTCGCAGTCGAGGGAGCAGGCAAGGCTCCAGCTGATATATCTTCATATACAGGAAGGCTCTTGCCTGTATCTTCCTGCCGGTGGGCCCTCGAGGGCATCTCGAGGACGACCGTAGAGCCTCCGTAAGAAGAGGAATTATTGATCTGCATTCTGCTGGGGTCTTCTATATGGCTGTCGAGGTTCTCGAAGGAAGACGAAAGGCTTCACTCGTAGCTAGATGGGCCTGAAGTGGTTTTCGGGATCTCTAAGGGAGACATAGATGGTCATTTAATATACTGGAGACATCAACTCCCCAGAAGATGCGGTAAAGAAAGCGTCCTCATGTTACCAAAGAGAAAACGAGTCAAAGCAGACGAATGATCTCACTCTTCCGAAGATCAGCCGTGCATAGACGGTTCGCAGACCGTGAAGAGATGGCGGGCCGATATTAGCGATGGGCATCGTGGGCTGAATCAGGAAGACGAGCCCGGATGCCGCCTTCGGCTCCATGGAATGTCGCTGAATTGTTCGGTTGAATTATTCAATCTCATCCACTTGGCACAGTCGTGGCAGTGGCTGGTGGTGCGAGGAGTGGAGGATCTTTGATTCACCACTGTGTCATTCTTGGCACGCGATACGGTGGTCCAAGGCGCATGAAGTGCTCCTGCAAGTATGCGTTTATGATCCACCGTAGCAAGCGCCAAGCCTAGCTGCGGGCCCTCAAAAGACGCGGCCCTTCCGACACGCGACGCGATTTGTTGTTATCCTCGCCAACCCATCCCGCTCAACTACTCCTTCTCCTTCCTGCCGCTAATTGCTGCTCATCGAGAAGGTGATTCCTTTGCAGGAACTCTGAGTAGACATCCTTCCCTCCTCATGCTGGCAGAGGCCAATCTCACTTCACCACACTCTGCCAGGATCTCATCAAGAAGGTGAGGCTCAGTTGAGGCAGCTGACGAAATCCTCTACCACCACAGAAGTGTGCCTTGGGCACGAATGACCTGACACTCGATGCACTCAAATTTGTAAGCAGGAACAGCTCTGCCTCCTCATCGAGGGCGCAAAGAGGTCGAGGAAGTCATTTCAAACGTAACTTTCGGCTCAGAACCACTCGAACTCTCCTTACCTGTACCTCACCACCCCGGTGAACTATTCTCTCCCCTCAGATCTCAAGGCACCAGAAATCCTGGTAAGACAAAAGCGATGGACACCCTTGTGCGCCCTGCATTCAGCGAAGCCGCCACTCGCGCCAATCAACAAGGGAGCGAAAGCCGTGGTTTACTGTTGGAGGGAGGCAACGAACCTCCAGCGAAAGATAAGCAGCCCTGCTCTACTCAGACCGTACTAGGAAGCGGTTCATTTGGTACCCCCGGCTCTCGTGCCTTGTCTCCCCATGTCTCCCGTGCCTTTTCGCAGCCTACCCAGTCATCGATTCTTCCAACAGCAGAACAACCCGGATATTTGTGGCAGGCAGTGAACACCAATTCAGGAAAACAAGGAACAGAAGAAATCTCACAATATGTTGTTGCTACAAGAGCAAGTTGTGTTGTCGGTCACGCTCGGCTCTCGGTTGTTCAAGCTCATCCCCCCCTAAGCATGGACCCCAATACCCTCTGCGTGAGTAAGAAGCGGGCGTTGTCTTCAAGCTGTCGAGTCAGAAAAATTCCTCAATACGACGGACCCGCCGACGAAATAGACTCTCACAACGACGCTCGAGACGAGGCTCGTTCACAAGATACCGCAACCACTCTAACTATCTCCGATCTCTTCGATGGTCGTACCCCTGAGCAGCTTGAGAAGAGCGTTGAAAATGGACTCGAGTTACTAAAAGCGATAAAGGGAATTCTGGGGGAACATAAGGGTCAAGAAGTAAGTCGATGGATCGAAGCAATTGATAATGTCGAATCTCAAGCCGTCCGATCCCGAACCGTCATCGGTGTTGTTGGTGCGACGGGCGCGGGCAAAAGCTCCGTCATCAATGCCGTTCTCGATGAAGAGCGTTTGGTCCCGACCAGCTGTATGAGAGCCTGCACCGCTGTTGTGACGGAAATCAGCTACAACCACCAAGATGGCGCTCCATACCGGGCCGAGGTTGAATTTATCTCAAAGGATGACTGGCGCAAGATGTTGAATGTTCTCCTCCAAGATCTCCGCGACCGTTCGGGCCAGCAGACAAACGAAGACTCCGAAACTGCCGTTGCCTACGCTCAGGTCAAGGCGGTTTACCCTGGGCTGACCAGAGAGGATATGGATAAGACTCACATTGAAACACTGATGGCGCATAAGAATGTCGCCCGTCTAGGCACCAAGCACAACATTGAATCAAGCAATGCTATCACATTCTACAAGGAATTGCAACCCTTTGTGGACAGCAAGAAGAAGACCAGCGGACCCAAAGAACGGACTGAGAAGGAGAAGAAACAAACTGAGGCGGAGTATTGGCCCCTGATTCGCGTTGTCAAACTTTATGTAAAGGCTCCTGCTCTCGCCACTGGTGCAGTGATTGTTGATCTCCCAGGGGTGCATGACAGCAACCACGCTCGCGCAGCGGTCTCTCAGGTAAGTACTGTGTATCGGTTTGATCAGACTACTTTTGTCATTCGACAGCTTTCTAATGAAACGCAACGCAGGACTACATGAAACAATGTACGGGACTATTAATTGTTGCTCCTATCACTAGAGCGGTTGACGACAAATCAGCAAAGACCCTGCTCGGCGACTCTTTCAAACGTCAATTGAAGATGGATGGAGGCCTCAGTTCGGTGACTTTCATTTGCAGCAGGACGGACGAAATCTCGATGACTGAGGCTCAGGATTCTCTTGGCCTCGAAGAAGAGCTTGCTCCCATGTTGGCGGAACTGGGAGACTTATCAACGAAGAAAGATTCGATCAACAACGAGATCGCAGATCTCGAGCACTCAAAGTCGAGCATCGATGCAGACATAGACATCGCAGACGAAGGAATTGAAGTCTGGGACAAGTTGCAAGCCCAGTTGGAGGAAGGTAAAATTGTCACCCGACCTGAAGCTGGATCTCTGAAGCGCAACCTCTCAGACACGAACAGTCACGCTAGCAAAAGACCCAAGCTTTCTGACCCTGGTACCGACCATGACCGCTCCTTTCGTGACAATGGGTGTGCCAGACAAAACGGATTCGACTACGGATCATCCAATACCAGTCACGGTCAAGGTCAGCCACTTACAGAAGAGGATATCTCAAACAAGCTCGCCGAACTCGAAAGTACCAGCAGAGGACTGCGCGGCAAGATGCGCAAGATTCATCGGCAGATCCAAGAACTACGGGCTCGAGATCGAGAAATCGACAAAGAGCACGAGAGCATATCCGCGAAACTTTCTGCCCGGTGCATTGAAGGTCGTAATGAGTATTCACGAACGGCCATTCGTCAGGACTATGCAGCGGGCATCCGTGAACTAGACCAAGAGCTGGCTGAAGAAGAAGACGCAGCAAATTTCGACCCTGGAGTGGATGCGCGCGACTATGATGAAGTGGCTCGCAACTTACCCGTCTTCTGCGTATCTTCTCGTGCCTATCAGAAGTTGAAAGGGAGACTGAAGAAAGACAAAACTCCTGCAGGCTTTCAACACGAAGACGAGACGGAAATCCCAGCCCTGCAAGCTCACTGCGTGCAGCTCACCGCCACTGCTCGACAAGCATCTTCCCGCAAGTTTCTTACCAGCATGTTTCAGCTGCTGAATTCTCTCCGTCTGTGGATTTCCAATGACACCGCAACGAAGAGCGTTGCAGAGACACAGTTAGAGCAAGAAGCCCAAATTCTTGAAGAGAGGCTCCACAGCCTTGATTCGGTGAGTCTCGTCGCCAGCAATCCGCATCATCATCCGCGTTGGCCTCCAGATTATTCTTACTGACTGTTATTAGGCTCTTGAAAAGGCATGCGATGAAGTCGTTGACGAATTCTCCAAGGAGCTTCGAGACAAAGTCTATGACGTGTACCCCCATGCTACAAGGGCAGCGAGAGATCGAGCAGACAACACTGTGCACAAATGGGGTTCACCTGTTAATTGGGATGATCCAGCCGCGGGGGGCCTTCATTGGTCAACTTACAAAGCTGTGGTTCGCCGCGATGGCTGTTTTACAAATGCTCGGGGCTGTCACAATTTCAACCAGCAGTTACTTGAACCTCTAATTCGTCAACTCTCCAGACCTTGGGAAACAGTCTTTACTCGCAGACTGGCGATCATCCTCAAAAAACTCCCGCCGAGCGTAACTCACACCATCACCGCTTTCCACAATGATGTTGAGCGCCGCGCTATCCGCAATGGCATCTCTGTGGCTTTTTTCAAGATTCTGAAGCAACAAATTCCCCTCTATCAGGAAACGCTGAACGTTGCAATCAACGATGCGAGAAGCTGGGTCACCACGGAACAGCGTTCAATCTCCCGCGAGTTTGAGCCTCTGATTGCTGGCTATATGCATGATGTCTATTCCGCTTGCGCCAATGAGTTTGGCTTAGGATCCTATCGACGGATGAGGGATCAAATGGAGCAGTTTGTCGAGGATGAGAAGATGTCCATGTTTGACAACGTCGTAGACGACGTCAACGAACTTATCGAACAAATGCTGAAGGGCCTGAAAGTGGCTTTACTCGCCAGTCTTGGTGGTGTTTTCAAGGACGTTGAGAGAGAATATACTAGCGTGGTGATTCACCGAGATTTCGGTAACGAAGACCGGCAAACCATGCGAGATAAGGTCCTGAAGATTGTGGACAGTGCTGAGCTCGTTTTCAAGCGAGCTGTTGGCATCGAAAGTGAATATGGAACTGCACCTGAGTCCGAGATGCAACGCCAACCAGACAACGCCGAGACATCGGTCGCGATCAAGATGGAGCCTCGAGAGGACATCTCCGTGAGGGACTATGAAAAGGAGACTTAGCGGAAATTCTACTGAAGGTCCAACACCGAACTGACTGAAGCGTGAAGAGCGGGATGATATGTCGACCTGGGAATCTCGCGACCAGAGACCGTGGCATCCGGCAAGTCGACACTTTCAAGTCCAGGAGAGGCGGTGATGAAATGCTGCTGATCGACGACATCATCTTCCTGGAAACCGAGAGTTGGGGAATGAGCACTACACTGTGCTGGTTGCAGGACTCCATCGAGGGGGAACTTGGCTTCTCCAAGGACTTCTTTGGCGTCCATTGGATCGAGGGACAAGACCGTAGGATACAGCGTCGAAAGGAGAGGCTGGATGTTAGAGTATGCAGTGCTACTGATGTAGGATACATCGCGGCGATGGGGCTCGAAGTTATGCAACAATTACGTCCATGTCACTCACTCTCTGGCTTCTGTCCAGCTGATGGGGGAGGCATGAACGTGGCTGGGGCTCATCTTTCCGAGCGAGCTGCTGAATAGGTCCTTTCTCTTCAGCAAAAAGACATAGATTTGGCCGAGAAATGGTCCAGGGGAATTGCTTCATCAGGCATGTTCACCATGAGACATGACTCTCTTGGCCTCTACGTATCTTGTGATTCCTCTTCCAGTAGTGAGTGAACGACGATCCCGTCTCCCAACGGCATGGTCCTGAGCGTGTCTCATTGCCAAGTGAACACAATGTCTCGTCTCGGGTATCCCCTTTCTAATGATCCAGAATGGTCCCATCAGCTCTGCGCGATGGATATGCAATCCAGAATCTACTTTTGTCCCTCCGCTGGTAGCGGTGCTGTGCTAATCACCAACTACACAGTTCGAAGCAGTACGTTTACTTACCTACACAGCCACCTGACAAGCAAGATGAGATGGTTCATCCTCATCCTCAGCCTCGTGCTTGACGGGGCCTGTTTGGTCGATAGTCTCCTACCCACGAGGGCGTCGTTCGCAGGCGCCACCGACGACGTTGTTCCTCGTCTCCAGCACTTCACACCAGGACCGACCACGCCTCCTAAAGTGCCAGCGGCATTGGGACATGGCATGCTTCGACGACAAGATGCACCACCTCCAGACATGGACAGTGCCGTCTGCGGCTACGTGGACGGGAACTCGTGTATGTTGTTCCAACCCCCATTCTCCGTCTTCTTTCGCTGGTTCCCGCATGCTCCTGAACTCCTATCCTTCCTTGCCGTGAGATAGAAAGTAAAGCTAACCCAGGCACCCATGCATGCACAGCGATCCCCCTGGGATGTCCCAATGGGTATTGCGCCCTGGACACCAACCTCCTCGTCATGGGCTGCTGCGCGGACTTCGACGTCGACGCCGACAACAGCGCAACGCCCGACGGCTGCACGTTCCAGAGCGCCTGTGTCGACTTGTCCGGGTATCAAGAGTATTGTTCGGACTCGGATGCGTCGTCCGAGTGCCAGAGTGACACGATGCTGGAACTGTGGTGAGTATAGACGGAGTACGGAGCACAACATATTCCACACACCTGCTTCCCGCCTACCTGGCCGTGTAAGATCGAAACCCCCTGTTACTTGTCACCCCCTAATTATAGTTTGATCTCGACTGATGCCACCGATGATCATGGAGGAGGAAGTCTGGCACTTCACTCCGTCTGTTCACAGGTCTTCGATTCTCATTTTCTCCCCTGCTAACCCCATCCGTGGCGTCCTTGTCCCAGCACCGACCCCGACGCACCATACTGCCGCACCTACGAGATGGGCGAATACGTCGCCTACGACTGCTTCACCGAGCCGGGCCAGTCGCACGCGGTGGACGCCACAGCCACGGACGACAGCACGGGCGATTATTCCGACGGCAGCGGTGCGAGCACGTCCGGGTCAGAGATGGGACTTCCTCCACCGTGGACCACGGACGTAGCACAGCCGCCGCCGGGGTCGTCCGGCGTGCTCGTGTCCATCGTCGCGATCGCGCCGTCGTCCTTCCTCGAACCGCACTCTGACCCGTCCCTTTCTTCTGCGACTGCGACGGGGGCGGAGGGTGAGGCTGGTCAGGAGCAATCGGCCGTGACGCCTGCGACGGCCAGCGCATCCCCTGGCAGCGCGGCGTCAAAGAGTTCGGCGGCCGGGAGGACCGGATTGTGCCGTGCTTCCGGACTGGGGTTGTTGTGGGAGGGTTGCGCAGGGTTGGTCCTGGCGTGGTGGATGGGCCTGGGCCTGGGTTTGATCTACATCTTGCATGGAGGGATGAGCTAGTTTATCATCGGGACATGTGGTGTAAAGGAAGAGAACAAGGGAAAAAAAAGGGAAAACCTAATGGGGGCATATTACACAGAAATATTGCAGGGCGTGAATGGACCAACGGTCATGACAGATTGAAATCTTTAAATGAGTGCTAACTGGCAGCAAACACAGTCGACTTCTCAATTCGCATGTAACATCTCGTCTGCAGTTTCGAATCCATCACTTCCACTGCGAATTCATACCCGAGTCGGAGTGACATGCGTCTCCAGCTCGTTCGTTTTGAATACAACATTATCGCCCTCTCGCATCCCGCTCGTCACCGCAAAGGGAGCAAAGCGTCCCTTATATTATATCACAACGCCACAACGCCAGCGCTAAATGTCAGAAGTCGGTGCACGTCAAGATCTGGTCCTCGGCCGACTGTCAAGCCTAGTTGTCATTGCGCTTTTTGAAATCAAAAGTCCATTCCTGATGCCCCCATCTTGTCGTTGATGTCAAGGACCCTATTTTCTGTTAGCACCCCTGAACACACGGTGAAGAGGGGGCGACTCACGAGTATTGCTTCGTCAAAGTCCCCTCTCCTCCCTTTGCCAAGTCAATGTTAAAGACGTAGAAGTTCCCTTCGTTCGTCACAACCATAACCTGGGGCGAATTTGTACTCATGGCCACCACGCTGCGTAACTGACTTGGTGCAGCACCCGAGCTGGATCGGGGCAATCGAATCCATGCAAAGTCTCTCGACGGCTCCCACATCTCAGCAACTCCTTTTGGAAGATATCCTCCTACCGTGGAGGCCAGGTTTATTCCTACATGCTGCGACGTCCTTCGAAGAAGGCCCATGAGGGTCCCATTAGGTTTGCGGTTTGCCATTGCGGTCGGGGATTCCGCGCCATCTTCATCGTCGACAGGTTGGTCTACAAGGGTGTCGCTACCTTGGCTCAGCCTCCGGCTGAAAGTGGTACTCGTCTTGCTGGGCGAGGCAGGCTCGTCGCCCTCTTCCGTAGACCGGCTGTGTTGGGGACCCAGTTTAAAAATGTGGACAGTCTCTGTGGCCGAGGACACGCAGAGCAAGGTCGAAGTTATATTGAAGGCCATACTGTAGATCCGGGAAGGCATGGAGCCCCTTCTGAATTGGTAGAGTTTGTGCGCATCTGGAACCGAGAAAACCCGTATGATGGTGCCTTTATCCGACGCCGTCGCCAGCAGAGTTCCTTCATTGTTAAAAATCACACAGGATAGTGGGGACCGGTGAGCTTCCACAACATTCACGGCCTCTAGCTTAACGGCATCGAACAGTAGAACTTCTCCAGTCGTAGGAGGAACATGCGTACTGTTTGGCGGAGCGTGGGACGGTGGAGCAAAGGATGAGGCGGCAGCTTTTTGAGGCAAAGGATATGCCAGGTAGCAATTCTCTTGAGAGGGGGATAGAGCACAGATTGCTGCCGGGTTTGGGGATGTCTCGATCGTGTACAACAGTTTCATAGTCTGAATATCATAAAGGTAAATCTGATCTTCCAATACAATCACCAGCCTCTTTCTGTTCAAGCGGACTGCGAGGACGGCGTTGGGGAAGGTGAGCTCGCATATTATCAGGTCTCGTTTCGTGTTTTTGATCTGAAGTCTCCTCGGAGACAGGATGAGGGCCACAAGAGAGGTCGAGAAAAGCATCTCGAGGATAGCAACGTTGCCGGCATCTCGGGATTCAAACGACTTTGCAAATGGTTCGGTGGTGAAGATGCGGAAACCTCTCGAGGTGCCTAGCTGAGTCAGGTCATGCACACTGTAGCAGAAGAGTCATGACAGCCACGTACCTACGGCCAGATGGCTATAGTCCTGGTTGAAGGTCACAAAGTTCATGGCCATGGTGGGCGGTCAACTACTGCGGCACCTGCTGCTGCTGCTGCTGCTGCTCGTGCTACCGGTGTTCGTCCATGGGCCAGATTCTCTCTTTGGCGAGTTTGGCGAGGGAGGCTAATCGTACCGATCTCTTGCCCTCGACGCTGCAGGGCAACACAAATGTCACAATGCAGGATTCTGTTTCGACAACAAACAAAAAGATCGAGGGCTGTGGCTTAGTTTTACTTTGAGTGCGGTGGAAGAAGCCTCGCTAATGGCCCATCAGGCTCTGGGGACTGCGCCTGTCAGTCGAAAGCATGTGACGTTGCGCCTCCCCCACATTATGCGGCTTGCCTGTATTTACATACTCCAGGCAAACACCATGACCTTCAAGGTATCTCTTCTCGACTGAAAATGGACTCTTGAACAGAGCACAACAACATCTCCTGCCTCTGACTGCCACACAACATGGCTGACCACATGGATCTCGACACCCGACCGCCGCGGGGCGTCAAGCGCACGGCGGAGGAAGCAGGCTTGCCCCTGGAGGCTCCGCGTCGGATCAAGGCATGTCGAGGACTCCGGAGCAGTACCTTCAGACTTTTGCTAACTCGTGTCGTCAAAGGCTCTTGACCAAGATGTCGTCAACAAGATTGCCGCCGGGGAGATCATTGTCGCCCCTGTGAATGCGCTCAAGGAATTGCTCGAAAACTCCATCGACGCCGGATCAACTTCCATCGAGGTTCTGGTCAAAGATGGCGGCCTGAAGCTCTTGCAGATAACTGACAATGGCCATGGAATTGAGGTATAGTCCTGGACTGGACGGGTTTCTGATCTAACGTGCAACAGAAAGACGACTTGCCCATTCTCTGCGAAAGATTTACGACGTCCAAATTAAAACATTTCGAGGATCTCATGTCTATTGGTACCTATGGTTTCCGAGGAGAAGCCCTCGCCAGCATCAGCCACATTGCCCACCTCAAAGTAACTACCAGGACTGCCAACTCTAGCTGTGCGTGGCAAGCACATTATCAAGATGGGAAGCTTACTGCTCCCAAACCTGGTCAATCTCCCGACCCGAAACCCTGTGCTGGTCGCCCTGGCACTCAGATTACGGTCGAAGACCTCTTCTACAATATCCCGAACCGTCGTCGGGCCTTTCGATCTCCGTCAGAAGAGTATGCCAAGGTGCTCGACATCATTACTCGATATGCCGTGCACCGCGAAGGTGTTGCGTTTTCCGTCAAAAAGCACGGTGAAACTGGTATAGGCTTCTCAGTAGCCGGTGCTGCAACCAAAATCGATAGGCTTAGGCAGGCATATGGCGGCAGTGTAGCAAAAGAGATCATGGAGTTCGGCACCGAAGATTCGCGCTGGGGCTTCAAAGCTTCAGGCTATGCTACTAATGCTAACTACAGTTCTAAACGAACGATGTTACTCCTCTTCATCAACAACAGGTCAGTCGAATCATCAGCCGTCAAGAAAGCTATTGAGCAGACATATCAAATATTTCTGCCCAAAGGGGGACATCCATTTGTCTACCTCAGCCTGGATATCGACCCAGCCCGAGTTGATGTCAATGTACATCCCACCAAGCGAGAAGTCCATTTCTTGAACGAGGACGAGATCATCGAATTGGTTTGTGCAAACATCCGAGAAAGTCTGGCAAAAGTCGACACGAGCAGGACCTTCATGACACAGACACTCCTTCCGGGAGTCACGCCCATGACACCCATTAAACCAAACACTTCGACGGGCGACCAAACTCCTGCTGCAGAAGATAGTGCTCCAAGAAGGACCTCAACCACCAAAAAGCCTTACGAAAACAACTTAGTCCGCACTGACTCGAAAATGCGAAAAATCACTTCCATGCTTCCACCAGCCTTGACAACTTCAACCTCGCAGGACGAAGCATTGACAAATGCCGGTATACGGTACGCTACTACTGATCGAGAACAGATCCAAATACGGCTCACATCCGTGAAGAATCTCCGAGCTGAAGTCCGTGATGCGATGCACAATGGTCTGACCGAAGTGTTCGCCTCTCTGACCTATGTCGGTGTTGTGGACAGCAGCAGAAGACTTGCAGCCATCCAGTCTGGCGTCAAACTGTACCTCGTCGATTATGGTATGACCTGTCACGAATTCTTCTATCAAGTCGGCCTGACCGACTTTGGCAACTTCGGGCTCATCCGGTTTGAGCCTGCACCCGAACTGGGGGAGCTTCTAAATGTAGCGGCAGAATACCAAATTTCAACTGATCCGACCTGCGCAGGCCTAGACAAAGGCCGAGTCGTAGACAAGGTGTATGAACAACTCATGAAGAGCAAAGCCATGTTAGCGGAATATTTCTCCCTCGAGATCTCGGACGACGGTCATTTGCACACGATCCCACTGCTACTGAAGGGGTATATGCCGTGCATAGCCAAATTACCCACCTTCTTGCTGAGGTTGGGCCCTTTTGTGAATTGGACGGAAGAGGAGGACTGTTTTCGGACATTCTTGAGGGAGTTGGCGAGCTTTTACGTGCCAGAGGTGTTGCCAGCGCCGAGATCGAACCAGCACACCACCGAGGGGGAGGATAAGGAGGTTCAGGAGGCACAGGCCGATGGTGGCGACGGGGCAGATATCCAAGAGATGGGAGGGGCACGAGATTCGAGAAACGAGGCAGAAGCTGGCAGTCGACATGCATCTGCGCCTCGCGATCTGCGAGACGACAACACCAACGGTGAGAACAACAGAGACGAGGTTGACGAAGCCACGGAGAAAAGAAGGACAGAACTCGACTACGCACTGGAACACGTGCTGTTCCCTGCATTCCGGTCAAGGATCGTCGCGACGCAAGGGATGTTGAAGGGCGTCGTCGAGGTGGCCAATCTGAAGGGCCTGTACCGTGTATTTGAGCGATGCTAGGGACGTATTGCGAGTACTGCGCGGTCGACGACTGTAAGATTAATATACCCCATCCACATGAACGAAAGTCCCAAACTCCAAGAGGAGGCCAATAAAGGGGCAAATAGAAGGAATATAAAAGCTTCAAGTCCCCAGTTCGTTCGTTCGCTTTGGATGGTACAATGCCTTGCGTGCATGGTCCCGGTTGTTCCACAGTAAATAAGTCCCAGGCAACCACCCAACGAGGGCAACCTGCTTCAGCAGTCCTCACGAGCTTGTTTCCAGAATGTGCCCACCCGGTGTAACGCGCAGTAGACAGGCCCTAGTTACCAATTGGCCACCTGGATAGAAGGAATCTCGTTGTAGCGACAAGAAACAAAAAATTGCAATCCGTCGTAGCGGCGTGGGAATACATAAAGTAGGTAGGTAATACGCGACTCCCCTTACCTTCCATCCCATCTCATCTCCATCCTCCGGCAGTTCTAGAGACGACAGCGCCCGTCCTTCCGCTCCCCTTATACCGCAGCACTTCCTTTCTCACGCAAAAACAACCCCCAAGTCCTAATTCGTCCCGTTGTACGTGTACCACACGTCTCCCAGCACGCCGCGCGCGCTGCCGTCGACGTTGAGGAGCATGTTAGTTGCGGGGGCGCCGGCGGCGGTGTAGCCGGCGGCGAAGTTGCCGAACCAGGCGTAGCGGGCGAGCCAGAGCTGGTCGTCCATCCAGCGCGAGGCGTTCTTGAGGAACTGCACCGTGGTGGCCTGGTCGTAGCCGGCCTGGTCCATGCCGAACTCGGTGACCCAGACGGGCACGGGCGCCGCGGGGAAGTAGGTCAGCGACAGGTTGTAGGCCTGCAGCAGGTAGCTCTCGAAGTAGTCGATGTTGTACGGCGAGGCGTACCAGTGGATGTTGAGGAAGTCGACCGTCAGGTTCTGCTGCGTCGCGTTGCCCAGGAACTGCGCCAGGTACGCGAGCCCGCCGCCCGCGTTGGTCACCGCGGGGGCTCCGATCTTGACCCGCCCCGCGAACGGCTGCATGAAGTTGCGGTAGCCCTGGATCGACTGCGCCACCGGCATGTTGGCCGACTGGCCGTTGAAGTTGGCGTCGGGCTCGTTGAACCCGAAGATGGCGTCCGTGCCGTAGTTGGCGATCGAAAAGTTGACGTTGGCCGCCCAGATGGACGTGAGCGAGTCGGCGTCGTTGTACAGGAGCGGGATGAAGCGGTATTGGCTGGATGGGTAGGCGCCGACGTCGTCGCTGGCGTTGGGCAGGGAGTAGTAGTTGTACGACCAGGAAATGTAAGGGGATGGCGGCGGGTAGAATTGAAGGGTGGTGACATTGCGGTACGCGAGTCCTCGTTTGGCTGGGTACGGGCTGGCAACGGGATTGGAAGACGATGTGCTTGAGGATACGGAAGAGGAAGTCGTAGTTGAGACGCTGCTGGTACTGGTTCTTGATCCTGTTAATGAGCTTGTCGGGCTCGTCCTGCTTGTGGTGATGGTGATGGTGGCAGAAGATGAGATCATCAACGTGGAGGTGACACTGCCCTGTCCGGATGAACTGTTGGATACGGGCTGGGATGTCGGACTTGCTACTGCGCTTGTTGATTTCGTCGTACTAGACGATAAGCTTGAAGATCGACTTGTAGATGCACTAGTTGAAAATGTGGGCGTAGCACTCGATGCGATGGTCGATGCTAGGGACGAATGAGTTGAAGTTGGACTGAATGCAGAGGGACCTCCCGTGGTGATCACGCTCGTCGTCCTCGACAAGGACGTGGTAAGGCTAGTTTCGGCATTGGTAGTCTGGCTGGGAGGCGACGAGGTGAAGGGGTTGGAAACCGTTGTGCTGCTTGTCACGGCTGAAAAAGACGATAGGTAAGAGGATGAGGTTGTCGACTGCAATGCCGAAGACAGGATGGAGCTTGAACTCTGAGCCGAATACTGCGACACCAGAGACGTCGAGGTCGACTGCGGTAATGATGATAAGGTACTTGTGCTGGCGTAAGTTATTGGCGTGGATTGGACAGAAGCAGCCGTTGTTTCTGTTGGCGTTGTCAGTGTAGTAGAGGTAGTGCCTGAAGAAGGACTTGACCCGGTGCTGGAGACAAAAGAGCTGTCGAGATTGGTAGTCGAGGTGCCTCCAGGAGTCTGTCGCGTAGTCTCACTTGTTTGCTGCTCAGTCGAGCTGGCAGTGCTCACCAGAGTACTCGTACCCTCTATAGAACTCGAGCCAATACTTGTCGAACTGGTCAGGCTCGAGCTCGATGTTGAGGCATCAACGAACTCGGCCGTCATGCCAACTTGCACAGCTCCTTCAGGCGGCTGGCTACCAGGAAAAACCGCGTACAGCTGTCCGTCAGGAATCGCCGAGAACGTCGTGTCTCCAAACTTCAGTGTCGTCCCGTTGAAAGACCATATATATCCACTCGGCTCGGTCGACCCAGAGAATTGCATGAGGGGCAATGTGCCTGTATTTCCGTTGGTGCCGACGCTGGCATTCCCAGTTTGCAACTGACCGTCCACAGCGAGGACAAAAACAGCAGCAAGGTCCTTGTCAGGAAAGAGATAAGCATTGTCCCCGCTGAATGTCACATAGTTCAGTGCGCGAGCTCGCAGCTTATTGCCGATACCGCTGACGGTGATCACGAATGGGCTTGAGGTAGGAGACGAGGCTGTGGTGGTTGTCAACGTGGAACTCGAAGAGCTGGAGGAACTGAGGGGCGCAGTCGTAGAGGAGAATGATGATGCGCCATTGCTAGGGCTTGATGATGGAGCTAGAGAGCTCGTGGATATGGTTGACTGGCCTGGTTCAGTCGTGGTGCCAGTGCTTGACTCAGTTGTGTTCCCATAGACGACGGACGAGGTAATGTAACAACCACTGGGTAACGTCGAGACTGCAAGGCAGTTAGCATTTGGGGATTTCCAGGCGATGACCGAAACACTGACCTGATTGTGCCGTTGACACTGCGGTGAAGCTGTACACGGCCAACAGAAGATGGTCCAATCTGACACCCTTCGTAAGTTGCATCTTTTCGCGTCCACTTGGGTATCCTGCTTCACTCACCTCTCTTTCCCGTATAGAAACAGCCTTGGGGCGCGCGTGGACTAGCCCTGCTGTTTGAGTCCCTTGCTTGGAATGTAAACACAGGAATCCTGCTGTTGGTCAGTGCGCCATTGAAATTCCTCCGTTCGCTTGGATCGAAGCAAATTGTCACCAACTGATCACAAAGAGCGAGTTTGAACAGAATGAGAATCTCGCGATGAGTTCGAAAGCCTTTTGGGGTGGTACATCTCTTCCTTGGGCGCCTGCAATTGCTAAAACTAATATACAAACTCAGCTTTTTTGTCTTCGCTTCGAGAATACCCTTTGTATATGGTACACAGACACATTGAGGTCGGTGAAAATGCACAAGAAACGCCGATGATACTGCTGTCATGCTCCGTGATGCTCTATTATGGGTATCGTTGTCGTGCTGAAAGAAACGGAAATTCAAAACAGAATTTTAATTCCCACATGTCTTCAAACTCCAGGGCTCCCGGTTGGGCTGATTCCGGTCGCATTGGGGGCATTGAGATACTCCGGAGGGACTCTTGGAACCCGGGGACTCTGCAGCGCCCCTGTCACTTGAACCTGCCCTCCAGATTGCCCCCGTAAGCGTGCCAGATCTTTGATCTTCTCCTTCTCCTTTTGGCTTTCACTTTTACCGCCGGTGAGACGCCGCATGCCCCTTCGCATCCCTTGCAGGCTGAACGCGCCTCCGGTCTCGGTCGCGGAGGTTGGGGTCGTCTGATATTCGGAGGGCCCTGGTCCTGACAAAACTTTGGCGGCCTGGTTTGACATGGTCATGCTCAGCGAGGGAAACGGACTGTTCTCTCCATCCGACAGAATGACCTCATCATACTGATCAGCGTAGTCATCCTGAGGCCTGAGAGGAACTCCTTCAGACATGGGAGCCATTCCACTTGAAGTGGGCTGTGACACCGGAAATTGGTTCGCTGGAGAAGTGATTGATCTGGCGTGGAGTCCAGGTCGCGTATAGTTGACCGGGTTGATTACGCTCTGAAGCATTGGTTTTTTGGTAGAACTGGGCAATGAAGGTCCCGGACCTCCCAGCTCATCGATCGAAGAGAAGGAGGATTGTGTGGCTGCCGTAGAGTTTGGAGAAGACAGACTAGGCTGCGTTCGATGGGTAATGCCAGGGAGGGGTCCGGCTTCGGTAAAACCATCCTGCACCGTCGTCGTTGATGCAGTCCGTGCTAAACTCTGACGAAGAATTGGAGCTGTCTGCTCGTCGTACAATGCCGTGCTCTGTTCAGTAAGAGTTGGAATGGTGATTGCAGAAACTCCAAGCTGACTGGCTCCGGTTGGAGTGAGCACGTCGTCACCCTCGACGTCGTCGAAGAAATCGTCAAGGCTGTCAAGAGTATTGACCAGGTCACTGACATTGGTATCCGCGGCCGCTTCCAGTGATCGGATGGTCTCTGCACGACTCTGTGGCGGGAAGTATGAATCCGTGTAGCCGTCGTCACCTTGAAACTCAACATCTGGGGTGGTGGTCTCCTGATCCTTCAAGAATTCCGAGTCGCCGCATGTATAGAACACCGCGTGAACATTGTGCCTCGTCATGCTAGAATAGATCGCCGGCGTCGGGATAGACCAGCCGGATGAGTGAGGGATCCCGTACAGGCTCTGTGTCCGCTCATACTCTTTTCTGATGGCTTTCGCTGAACCAGAAGCCATGCTCATCCGCATGTGATGCTTTTCCATGGGCGTAGCTGCAACCTCCATGATATAATCCATCACTTCCAGAGCTTGTGTGCAGTGTTCAGTTTGCAACAGCCTCAACAATGGAGAGATAAGATCCGGTCCATGTGTTGTGATGGCATGACTCTTCATGTTCACAATCGGGATCAGCTCACAGAGAATGTCCATCAGCTTAACCCGGAACCATGGTGTCTTATTGGTTAACAGTCCGATCATGAAGATCAAACTTGGGGCATCACATCCCGGGAAATACGCTACCTTCATGGCTTGAATGGCTGTGGTGAGCATCTCCTGACTTGATGTCATTTCGTTATTGGCGAAACGCCGAAGACAAGCCGAGAGAAGATCATGACCAGCAGCGCTTGCCACTTTTGCAAGTCTTTGCGCAGAAGCTATCGTCATGACCTCGGGCTCATCCAGCTCAAAGCTTCGGAGCCACCGTGGCAGGTTTGCCAGGACACAGTAGAGGAGACGATTGTCGTTGCCAACCAATTGGCAATCTGGCAGGTCTGCGAGCTTGTGAAGGATGAAAAGAGTCTTGTCCAAGCTGTCAGCAGATTTCAGCCCTTTGTAGAGTAGTGGCTGTAGCCCCTCAAAACCGCCATCCCATTTTCCGGGCAGCCCCTTCATCATAGCCTCTGTGACATCCGGAGCGGACAAATCCAACTTGTCGAGGAATTTCTCGAGCATTCCCAAGGTCTCATAGAACTCCCTTTCGTGAATGGTATTGAGACAAGCGCATGTCGTCCAGAAGAGCTGTGGATATCGCAGGAGGTTTTTGGGTTCCAGTGCTCCAATGATAACTTTCAGTGTCGTCAAAATCTCCATCGAAAAGGTCTGGTAGTCCGTGTGCTCGTCGGCAATCGTGTTAGAAAGTCGAGCAAGCATGTCCGCAAGCATCCTAGCATCCAGGCTGACAGAGATGCAGCGAAAGACTTGGAATGACCGACAGGCCAAATGCCGGACTGGACAGATAGAGGCCCAGTGCAGTGCTTCTTTAGCCCAACTGTCGCTGAAGTTGTCAAATGCGAGGTTGAAAATGTTAACAATTTCAGAGGTGAGGACCCCCATCGCATGCGGCACCCGGCTAGCGCCATCATCCTCGTCTTTTCTCGTGTTGCTCTCGTAAGTCCAGCTTATCCGAGAACTGTTGCTTCGAACTGCCGCAACAAGGCTTTCAATGTTTGACTTGGCAGAGCTAAGCATCTGCGAGTCAATCTTTGTCGTTACCAATTCGTGTACGAGGTGGACTAGCATCTCCCTTGCCTGTTCCTGAACTGACGTTGTGTAGTGGTCCCAAAGGATGAGGACAGTGTGAATGAGCTTAATCGCTTCATCTTTGGCCATGGTCACCGGAGTGACCATGAGGTCGACCAGGAAAATCAGGGAGACTTGTCCAAGAGAAAGACCAACCTATTGACTCGTCAGTATATGATTCTTCGAAGACTCTGAGCTATCGTACCTGTTTGTTGCCCATAGGTAAAAGAGAAGTCAAATCAGCGACATAGGGAAGGTTTCTCGTATCAGGCATCACTACATCAGCATGCTTTCTGTCGTTGACCATGTTCTTCGGAGTGAGTTGCAACATGAAAAATTCCAGCACTCGTGAACCGGCGGGAGTGGAAGACAGATAAACGACGATTTGCTTTGCGTATTCGACAAAGTTCTGATCACGGCGATCCAGCGAAAGGTAAATAATGAAGTCAAGAATCAGTTGCACGTTTCCTGCATGAGGGCCGGTTGACAGAGCTTGCCATAAGGCTTGTACTTCGTTATGCATCGCGCTGCTCGAGCAAATCGTTATCTCGAACATGTTAGCCAGAAGCATATACGACGCGGCAGTTGGAGATCCCGTCCCCGGGTCGACCTGGAGCTCGAGTGTTTGCAACCATGGTAAGATGGCGACGACCATATTACGCTGATGATCGTTCCGTGCAGATTTATAATGCAGCGAGAACTCGGAGAAGATCATGAATGCGATGTCTAGGTTGGCCTTGGCAAGTCGCTTGGAGTATTCGAATTGGGCCAGTTTGTATACAGCACGCGTCTTGTCGGAAATGCTAATGTCGAACTCCTGAAGATTGGTGCTCTTGTGTTGGCGTTCGTCCAGAGTGCGAATCAGATGCGCCGACTGCATTCTGATTTCACGGTTTTCATTTCCCAATGTGAACACAATGATGCTGAGAATTTTCCAAAAGGCTAGAGGATAGTCCGGTTGGTCAATGAGCACCTCGGAAACCACACTAAAATAGCTTTCCAACGCCATTGAAGACTCGGTCCGGTAACATTGCTCGATAGCATGTTCGGCAAGTACAAGATGTTCCGGGTTATGCATGAGAAGGAGTTTAAGTGCTCGTCGTCCGATAGTATGCATCTTATGGTTGTTGGTTGCGAAGATTGTATCAATCCATGAGAGCATGCGTTGAAGATTGAATGACAGGATTGCGTTACTGTCAGTTTTGATGCTGATCGGGCCAGCACACAAGGTCGCCATTGCGCTCAGAGCGGCTACTCTCAGGTTGTTCTTCTCTTTTTCAAGAGCAGCGCTTGCGTTCATCCGATCGTGCAAATCGCGAGAATGGCCGTGATTGGGATCCATCAAATTCCGCTCCGCAGAGTAACCACACCAGTCTTCCATCAAGGCAAATGCAGACTTTCTCGATTCGAAAGGCATCCAGCGGGATGGCGCCTTGGATCTGTTGACACCTTCGAAGACCTCCTCCACCAAACCGCAGAAATGATACCTCAATTTTTGGAACCGCCAGTCATTCTGCACATCAGTATCACTCAGAAAGATGCGTAGATCCCTGGTGTAATTGACAAGGTTATGCAGGATCCAGTCGTCTTCGTAGATGTCATCATATCGCAAAAAGGCTGCTGTGAGCTTGTAAACATGCGTAACCTCGGTCCGGAGTCGTTCAGTTTGCTGAGATCGCTGTGGGCTACTTGGAGTTCTCTGATGGTTGATTCTCGCCTTTGCCTCATCGTTGCACTTAATCACTGCATACTGGAGCGATTCGAGAAGTGTGCGGCAAAGTTTGCGGTTGATGGAACCAAGAGCAGAGACCACCGCGTCACGAATAGCGTCAGGCGCGGCACCAAGCATTGGAATAATAGCGGAGAACAACGCCCGGGCAGAACTCATCTTGTCCTGTGCTGTTGCGGCACTCTTGGATGTTTTCCTTGAATGAGCAGCAGCATCGGCAAGCTGGCTCTTAGATTGGCCACCTGGAGAGCTTAGAGTGACGCAAGCCATGATAAGATACAACTTCCACTGCTCAAAGAGCACTTCTGCGGATGTTGCCGAGCTTCGTCCCTGCAGGCGATATTCATATATGGCCGCATTTGCACCATTTGTCTCTGAAAAGGCCTCGATATCGTTCTGCATCATCATTAATCTGTCCGTGACTGTCCCACGGCACAAGGCGATGGCATTTGGGCATGCGTCAAACACAACGCGGATCAGATTAGGGAAAGCCTTGAACCAAAGGGTCGAATCGTAGGACACTTCAGAGCTGCAGATCTCGATCAGTGTGCTTTGCCCGGGGCCAGTGCGCTTGTCCTTCTGCAATCGGCTGCGTTCCGCGACATTGAGCGCATCCTCCTGCAAGTCCAGAATTGTCGAAGACTGATCCTCAAGAAGTTTTATGATCCTACATGGTACCTCTTGACCGAGTACCGAATCAAATTGAACAACCAGTCGTAACACCTTGATAGCAAACGCTCTCACGCGGCGAGACTGCGAGCAAAGGAAGAACAATCCATAGGCTTCGATTTCATCCACATGCGGGATGACATGTGTGAGTTCCATTTGCAAGGCTCGGTGGGAGCCCGGGATTGATCGGTCTCTTGTTTCTGAAGAGCTTGCCACTGCCTTCTGCTTGAGCTGCTCTGTCCAAATTTGTAACAATTCGAGATATAGCGTTAACGTCGACTCGATATGCGCCGGTCCAAGACGGCCCTCGTCCGACATTGTAGAATACTGGGAGTCATAGTGGAAAATGAAACGTGGAAAGGCAATCGCTACGGCTTGAGCGTGACCCTGCTTAGCAATTGCTTTCAAAGATTGTGTGGCAGAGGCTGCTATATTGGCTTGTACATGCGCAGAGCCTGTACATAAAAGGTTGATCAACGGACTCAAGGGAATGTGATCGGTGAAGCAGCGGGGAAGAGCTTGGATGGCGACATGTAGCAGTTCGTAGAATGATTGGCGCTGGTCTGTAGCCGTTCCCTCTTGGCCGCGGGTTAACGTGAATGCATCAGCGAGAGGGGTCTTCGGGGTCACGTTCGTCGAGGAGAGTTTCTCGTTCAACGTAGCTTGTCCACCGAAAGTGTTGTCGCAGAGGATCGTGATCTTGCCCAAGATCTGGCAGAACTGCAGATAATATTGCCTAGCATTTTCGTCCAAGACAGCGGTGTTCACTGGCAACGAAGAGGGATTCTCATCTTCAAATCGAGGTCGAAGCGGTGAATCGATCCCCAGACTCGTCCTCCTGCTCCCGGGCGACGAGGGTAGACCATCGACATTCTGCGATTGAACAGTGAAGGCAGGGAATGGCGGGCCGCTTGTGCTATTTTTCTCCAAGTCGGCCATGACGGCTAGAAATGCTCGTATGCCAATAACCATTCGTTCTGGCTCCATGTTTTCAATCTTGAGGCTTCGACTCATTTGGAACATGTCATAATGTAGAAGAGGAAAGATAATAGAACGAAAGCAGAGGTCTTGAGCCGCAAAGCCAATGATTCTGATGAATTGGACTAATGGGTGGGCGGTAGATGGCTCTGAGACGACATGGGTCTTTCTCCCTTGCGGAATCGTGATTTTGATGATGTCTTCCAGCCGACGCAATTTTACTTGGGTGGTCTCCGCAACGCGTGTGAGGTAGGTCCAGACCAGCTGACAGATTGCTCGCAAAGCCAGAGCTCGTGTTGACCGATCCTTGAGTTTCGGGGCCAGGTTCATGATCGTTGGTAGCCACTGCGTGGAGAACACATCGATGGGCGAAACGCAGATGAGCAGAATCGACACTGGAAAGCCAGTATTCCAATGACGAACCTTGACTAACATATTTCCGAGGCGCGAGTTGACGGTCTCTATAAAGTCTTTCCATTTCGGCAGGGTCTGAAAATACTCGGGATTACTTGCCACCGCCGTCAGCATGCGCTCGAAGAGCTGGCAATATGCTTGCTTCACGCGAGGTCCATGTGCGTCGGAGAACAGGGCGGCAAGGGTCCTCAGGAATTCGGCGACACTAAAGGCGGCTTCTCTCGTAACAGAAATATGGAGATGGCGCATACCCAGCAGGAGTAATTCGAGACGAGACTCGATATCTCTGGCCGTAGCAGTCCCTGGACTTTTTGAAAAGTCCAATTGCCATTGTTCAAGTTGCTGTGTAAATCGGAACGTGACATTGACAAAGTCCAGGCGACTCATGTGACCTAAGACTTCACCGTAAATCTTCCAGTTGGCAAGTCGAATGGTCGATGACAAGATCTGCGATGGTTCGACCTCCCTGATCTGGGTGAATAAGATGTCCTCAAGCTTGTTGGCCAGATCTTGAGTTATCGCAGCTAGACTGCTCTGTTCGAAAATTGCAATTAGGACTCGGCAGAGGATATAGACTGATATTGTGGCGCGGCGATCTGCCAGCAGATACTCCTGCGTAAGTGCATCTTCCGTGGAAGAGCTCTGTTCGGTGCCGACTTGTGGGAGACCATTCTCTCCTGAAACCTGGAGAGGTTCTGTATGACGTCTGGGCAGTGAAGGGGGCAGAGACGAATTGGTGAGACCCGCTTGTAGTCTCTGCTGATAGACCTGCTTCTTCAAATTGGCCGCCGCATCACCCTTTCCCTTCCGCCAGAGCATCAAAGAATCCACCAAAGGCTTTGGACCTTGACGAGATATATGTCCAAGCGAAGCTATCAATTGGTCAAACCCGACGTCCACTCCCGGACCACAGGCTTGCTCCACTGGCGCGACAGCACTGTCTAGTAGAGTAAGGCAGTGATTGATTCTCTGATCAGCCCGCAGTACAAATGCATGGAAAAGGTGGTACAGCGCGTACTCGCCAGGAGTACGTGGTTCTGGTTGCTGGTGGATACTGGACGAGTGATATGCATGACCCTGCTGGCCGCGTCTTGTTCGGGACTGCTCCTTGCGCCTCCTGTGCTGGGAGGAAGAAGACTCATGCATCGAGGAGCCGCCATCGATCAGGGAATCAATGGAATGCCCCTGCGCATGACCTTGATATGGAGAGACGGGGCTGGTGTAGGTCGAGGTATTCTCGGCACTAGAGTGCTGGCCGCGTCGATTCGCATTCGGGTATCTTCCATAGCTGGGGGCGCTCAGCAATGAGTCCGGGGTCAGAGGGCTTGAGGTCGAGGGAGAGTTGAAGCTGGGGCTTCTCGAGTGCTGCAGGCCATGAATGACGGATGTCTGGCGGTGATGGCCATAACTGTTTGACGTCCGCCGTTGCAGAGCGGTATCAATTGTGGATCCACCTCTTGAGCTCACGGATGACTCTGAACCATGTGGCTGGGGCTGCACCGAGCCTGAACGCGATGAGGCCGCGACACTGGAAGGGTATGGCTGTGTCGAGGTTTGTTGAGGCCTGCCTCTCGTCACCGATGTGTCTCTGGTATGGATCGAGGGAGCGAGTTGTGGACGGCCATTATTGGGCAAAGGTTGGGAAACCTGTTCGGGTCCGGGGCCATCGAGGGGGAAGATTGAGGGCTCGTTGGAAGCGGACGGAGCATCTGATAGCATTGGACGCGGTTAGAACGGGGTCATGTGCTCATGGCCTGGCTCATCTTGACGCAGAGCATCGATCGTGGGCAAATCTTGCAGGCGTGTGGAGAGGGAGACCTGAGGGTTGGACGTTTGGAATGGGTAGCGGAAGAATTCCGAATTGACACTCACGGTTATGCAACATTGTGCGCCCCTGTTGGCCGACGTTGAGGAGAGGGCAGAGACTGCGTCATTGCTTCTGGACCGAGAAACGCAGGTTGTGGGAGGCAGTGGGTGATGTGCTTAGACGGAGAAAGAAGAGAGAACCCGCAATGAGATGTGGTTGAAGTTGGAATTTTAATCGCCCGCTACAAAGGAGAGGTACAACGAGGGATGCCCACCAATCACATCCACATTCAAAGGCCCCTCAAACTTGGAGCAGATCTACGAGACGAGATGAGAGGAAACAACATTGCGTGAGAGTTGAATGGCTATTCTATAAGTGCCTGCTGTTGTCTAGCGTGGGTGTAGGACGATTTGTGCAAGACGGTCACTTGTCTACAAATTGGACGAGTTCATGTGCTACACTGTGCGATTCGCTGTCACGAGGCACATCTGGTCGAATCAGATGAGGCCAGACTGACGACTCTTAACGGTTGAGTCGGTGGTCAAAGCCAGGCACACCAATAGGTGTCCCGGACCATGAAAACATTTCCAGTCCAAAAGGGAGCGTCGTGATGTGCTTGGTGATGGACTGCAAGCGGAAATGCGATATTGGCGGTCTCATCCTCACGGTCCTGGCTGACACTCACCGGCGCCAAATGGTGGTTGTTCATTCCCCTCTCTTCTTTCAGGCACCGAATTTACACCTGGGAGGCGATCCCCGTATTATGTGCCATGTTCGCAATTTCTGGCCCATGTTTCGAAGTTATTTTTGGGGCCGACTCCTTGGAAGATACGACACGGAGTAGTCCGAAGGGGATTGCGATAGGCTCGTAAGACGTGAAGACGATATACGAGGCGACGATCGAGGGTTGCCTGGCTCGGTGCGGTCTGGCGATTCCCCTTGCCACAGCGGCGGCGGCTACAGGGTTTGATCAGCATCATCTGCAGGAGAGCCCGCTTCTGGGCCTGGAATGTGCACTCAGTGCATCTTCTCATATTGTGCTGACTGTGTTGAGTAGCTTAGGTAAACCCTGAAGGGGCGTTCAGAGGCTGTTCGGTAGTATGTATACTCGCAGTGAGTGGTGCGTGGGATGTGGGGAGAATAAGAGAAGGAGGCCAACGCAGGTAAGAAAGTTGTTGCCGCCACAATGAACCCACACGTACTCCGACCTGCCCAAGGGACCTGGCGAACTAAATACCGTAAACATACGAGTTGGTAGACACTTGGATTCCCACCTGGGGGTGCTGGACTCTTGTACATGGGGCACTCTTTGCCTTCACAGTCAGATGCCGATGGGGGCGCCGCAGGTTAGGCATCACTTGTAGTGAGCAGCAGCCACCTACCTACACATAGGGTCTAGATGGGGATAGAAATAAAAGGAACAACATGCCCCTCGAGTGTTGGCGCCTGGCATTCGCTGTTGTTCTTCATTCTTCGCTCCGCCCAAGAACGTCAACTGCCGTCCCTCACAACCCGTCAATCCCGCGGGGGACTCACAAGGCTCTCAGCTATCACTCCCCCCCAATTCCGAGGACTTGTCCCGCCTATTATTATTGTTTCCGGCAGTCGCCCAGTCACCACCACCACGGGTGCCGAATAGCCACCAGAGCCACTAAGCACCGCTCGCTGTTCGTCGCTGTCTCGCTCAAAGCCGCGATTCTTGACCCGAACCCACCAAGTAATTCCGCGAACGCCCCTTTGCCGCTGCACCCAAAAAGCCAAGTTTTCTCCAGACCCCAGATCCTCTATATTTCCTCGATTCTCCCAATTGCCGGTCTACAAGCCTTGCTGTGATCCTGGACGTCCTAGACTTCTTTTAAATCCTGCGCCTGCTCACTCTCAACCTCTCTCACATTACAGTTTTGTATTTGCCCAAGTCAAAAAACGACTCTCTCGCCCGACACTCCACGTGAGAAATTCTGTCCCAAGGTTTCCATTCCCAACGGCGACGAACCACCCCCCGATAAGGCCTCATCTAGCCCCATCTGCCATCCGCCATACCGACTGATTGGGCCTCCATCCGAATCGCCCCTGCCCTCGCGCTCTGCCCCCCTCATCTCCCAGCTGCAACGCGACGCCCAGCCCACACAAGGGCAAAAACAAAAAAAAAGAGGGAACACCACAGCCTGCGCAGTCTACCCCACCGAGCCACCCAACCCAGGTGCACACCCTGCACATCTGCACACCGTACCGAGTAATCTTGGCCACATCAGGCCACATACAGTTCGCGGCCGCCCAAAGTACCCGTCGAGCCCGTATCTCCACGCTGTCCAATTGCTCACCACTGAGCGGCTGCGGTCGTATATAAGCAGCGTCGCTCTGCTTCTTTCGGACACCTCTTTTTTACACTTTTCGAACCCATTCGCAGACCTAATGTCCACTGAGCCTCATCCCATACACATCCCCACCATGGCTCAGGTCGACACCCTGGACATTATTGTCCTCGTTTTGCTGCTTCTCGGCAGCATCGCCTACTTCACCAAAGGCACCTATTGGGGCGTCCCCAAGGACCCCTACGCCACATCTGCCCTCAATGGCAGCGCTTCCAAGAAGGGTTCCCGCAACATCCTCGAGAAGATGGAGGAGTCGGGCAAGAACTGCGTCATCTTCTATGGCTCCCAGACTGGTACCGCCGAAGATTATGCCTCCCGCCTGGCAAAAGAGGGCCACGCTCGGTTTGGATTGACCACAATGACTGCTGACCTGGAAGATTACGACTATGAAAACCTGGACAAATTCCCCGAGGACAAGGTTGCCTTTTTCGTCATGGCAACCTACGGCGAGGGCGAGCCGACCGACAACGCAGTAGAATTCTGGGAATTCATGAACCAAGATCCTCCTTCCTTCTCCGAAGCCTCTGAAGATAAGCCTCTGGGTAACCTCAAATATGTTGCGTTTGGTCTGGGTAACAACACGTACGAGCACTACAACTCCATGGTCCGCAACCTGGACAAGATCTTGACCAAATTGGGCGCGGAGAGAATCGGTGCTGCCGGCGAAGGGGATGATGGCGCTGGTACCATGGAAGAAGACTTTTTGGCCTGGAAAGAACCCATGTGGGCTGCTCTGGCCGAGAAAATGGGTCTGGAAGAACGTGAAGCCGTCTACGAGCCAGTCTTCAGCGTGGAAGAGAGAGACGATCTGTCCCCAGAAAGCGACACTGTCTATCTCGGAGAGCCCAACAAGAACCACCTCGAGGGTGCCCAGAAAGGCCCATACAATGCTCACAACCCGTTTATTGCCCCAATTGCCGAGTCCAGGGAGTTGTTTACCGTCAAAGATCGAAACTGCCTCCATTGCGAGATCGATGTGTCTGGTTCCGGCATCTCTTACACCACCGGCGACCATATCGCAGTTTGGCCCACGAACGCAGGCTTGGAAGTGGATCGACTGATCAAGACCTTCGGTCTGGAAGAGAAGAGACACAAGGTAATCAGCATGAAGGGCATGGACGCAACCGCCAAGGTACCCTTCCCAACCCCAACGACCTACGACGCCGCTGTTCGCTATCATATGGAAATCTGTGCCCCTGTTTCTCGTCAGTTCTTGGCCACGCTGGCTGCATTTGCTCCCAACGAGGAAGCAAAGAAGGAGATGGCGAAACTGGGATCCGATGCCGACTACTTCAAGGAAAAGGTTGCCTCGCAGATGATGAACATTGCCCAAGCTGTCTCGGCTGTCCACCCGGGGCCTTGGTCCGCGGTGCCGTTCTCTTGCCTTGTTGAGGGTCTCAACAAGCTGCAACCTCGTTATTACTCCATCTCTTCGTCTTCGCTGGTTCAGCCACAGAAGGTCGCCATTACCGCTGTGGTGGAATCCATCCGCGTCCCCGGTGCCGGTCACGTTGTCAAAGGTGTCACTACCAATTATCTTTTGGCCTTGAAACAGAAGCAAAATGGAGACCCCGACCCATCACCTCACGGCCTGACCTACGCCATTACTGGACCCCGCAACAAGTACGATGGTATTCATGTCCCAGTTCACGTTCGTCACTCCAACTTCAAACTGCCATCAAACCCGAGTAAACCCATCATCATGGTCGGTCCTGGTACTGGTGTTGCTCCTTTCCGAGGTTTCGTGCAAGAACGTGTAGAGCAAGCCAAGAAAGGTGAGGACGTCGGACACACGGTGCTCTTCTACGGTTGCCGTCGATCGACCGAAGACTGGCTTTACAAGGACGAGTGGGAGGTAAGTTTACACTTTGGTCATCTTACCCGTGAACCAGGATGCTAACAGAAAGTTTTAGGAATACAAGAAGATTTTGGGCGATAAGCTGACCATCTTCAACGCATTTTCTCGCGAGACTTCGAAGAAGGTCTACGTGCAACATATGCTCAAGGACAACGCGAAACTGGTCAACGAACTACTACAACAGAAGGCCAATTTCTACGTTTGTGGTGATGCTGCTCACATGGCTCGAGAAGTCAACGAGGTCCTCGGCCAGATCATCGCTGCTGAGCGCGGAGTGGATGAGAAGAAGGCCGAACAAGTGGTCAAGAGCATGCGCAGCAGCGGAGTGTACCAGGAAGACGTCTGGTCGTAAACAACCACACTGAGCCGAACACTTCGAGACACTCTGGTGGAAAGATCGGGTGCTGTGCAGCTGGTCGGGAAGGATCCAATGCAGCCGACGTCCGACATGCAGTCGAGCTTCGGCTTTGCATTATTCGTGCGCCGAAGAGTCATCGCACACCAAAAAATCGGGGGAGGCATCGGAACCGGCGGGATAAACGCGGCGGGGTGGATGATGCGCAGACGAAAAGAAAAAACCAACCACAATTGTGTCACCGAGGAGAGATCTGTCCCTCCGGAGACGTTCCCCCAGTCCTGGTTCGAAGATCGGAAGGGCAACCTGGAAAGAATCGGAAAGGTTCAGCTGTTCACATGGTCACAATCTCGCCAACTTGTTCGTGGGGTTTGGATTGGAGCCAATGTGGGGTTGCGATGGCTTTCCGCGCCTTCGGAGAGAACAGGGTCGCCACCAGAACAAGAAGCACCGTCTCGCCCGGCCAAGGTTCTCGACTCGTTCCGCGCGCTTCTCCTTGGTCCATTTCCTCGCCCCCCGGGGATCAGTCTTTACCTCCCTCGCTGGCTTTATCGAATCCCCCTCCTTCAAGGTGTTCTTGGTTGTGGGGCACGAGATCAACAGGACTGATTGTTCATGTTCACTTGTTAATGACCTTTTTTCTTTTTGAATGCAATGGGCGTCAAAACGGGAGTTTTAGACTGGTGGCGAAACTAGACAGTCTTTGGGGTTGGGCTTTGTTTGCCTCTTTTCTTCCATGCCGGGAACCGTTTGTTTTGTGATGGCCGAGACAGGAGAGAAGGATGTTGGCTCTGCGCTGGTTTTCTCACGAGCTTTGCTCGGGCAGGATCGATCGATGCTTTGCGTGCTCTCTGCTTTTGGGGAGGGTGCTTCTTTCTCGATGCGCGCCGAAGTTGGTTTGGAGGGCAGACTAGAGCAGAGCAGAGCAGAACAGAGCAGAACAGAACAGAACAGAGAAAGTTCGAACTCAGACCCTCACAAATCACCGAATAAATGTCAAAGAGATTCAAGAGAGAGAAAAAACCCATCCCTCTACATTTCCTTTCTGCGTGAGAATTCATGATGGAACCAAGCACGAAAACTAAACAACTCCAGCAAGTCTCTCACGCCATGCGCAGACACGACTCGGTCCTTTTCCTTAGTGTTGCTTCATTTCTTATCCTCGTACGTTGAGTTGGCTGATGATTTTTTGACTTGTCGCGTCCACGTCGTGAGCGCCATAGTTCGACGCCGCCCTGGTTCCTTCCTCCGTCCAAAAAAGTACCGAGACGGAAGTCCTGAATCGCGTCTTGTTTGTGTTATGTTTTCCGCCCACTTCTTCGCTGTCTTCCACCCTAGCTGCCTGGCTTTCCGGTCTTCCAAACGGGTCCGTGTTATGTACGTGCTGGACTTCGATGAGATGGCCTCGTAGTGGCCTTCTTCATCCCATCATCATCCGTTATGCACCTTCTCCCACACTCCAGTGGCCCTCACACAGGCATCCTGTAATGCGAAGATATCAGCACGCGATTCTTCCAGGAATCCTTCATGCTCATCACCGCCCCCTCCCCGCATTCCTACTTCTCCAGATGCAGTGGTTGAAGTCGACGCCTCTGCGTGCTGAAGCAGCTCGAGCAGCAGATTCAACGCGTTGTTCAGGTACGAGAGATGAGCCGAGATTCGAGATTTGAGAGATGAGGTTGGATGCTGGGAGAAGGATAGATGGGGGAGGACAATGCAGATGAGATTGAGGGTCGAGATGTGGAAGGGGATTGAGAGAAGAAATTCTGGTAATTTGTCTGAGGGTGATTCTTCTGAGGAAGTCAGCGAAGTCGATCTTGGTGCGGAGGTTGAGGAGAGAGCGAGTGTGTGCATTTCCGGCGGGAAGAGTAGATCGATCAGGGAGACTGCTGTATCGTTCTTATCCTCCCTCGTCTCCTCCTTTGCGCTCGCATATTCTGGTGCTAGCAGAACTACCGAAGGATCCAGAGCACCAACCACATTAGGACTCCCTTCAGCCTGGACTTGTGCTCTTGCACCGATCCATTCCGAAAATTCGTCCTTCAACCAGTCCACCCCTACAGCCTTTAACGGCCAGACTTGCTGCGGAGGTGCTAGCGGAATGGGATGTGGCTGCAACGCTGAGGTGCTCCTTGTGAGCCCCGTCTCTTCATCGATCCCTGGCGCTGGAGGCTCCGTATCCCCCAGCTCATCTTCAATTTCCGCCCAGTTGGTACTCAGCGTGTCTCCCCGGAGGGTTTGCGCAATGACCTGCAGGCGAATGAACGGATCGGGATACGCATGGAGCAGTTTTGTCGCGATATAATGTGCCGAGTCACGGAGAGAAGGGTAAGGTGTGATGGGAAAGAGTTGGGTCAATGTACTGATCAACAGGAGAAATTTAGCTGGAGACGGCTGTGGTGTGGTGGGGGCAGCAGAGACTGCCAGAGATTGTTTGTATAAGAGAGAAAGGAGCGAGTCCTGGAGTGGTGGCAGAGGTATTGAGGGGGTCGCGCTGAGAGGAAACGAGTGGGCGATGAGCTTTGTGAGCTCGGAGGTGGTGAGCAGCGGTTTTGAATCGGACGGATTTATGTAAGATTGATAAGCGTGGAGGAAGATTACCCCCGCTCGTGGGAATGGGATTTGAGATGGCGTGGTCGGGTATTCTGAAGGTGCATTATCCTTGTCATGGTAGGGATTCTCGAGGTCTTCATCCTCGTCCTCATGGACGAGCTTTGTTATCTCTCGGTCTGCGTCGAGTTGCATCGACTTGCTAATTGAGAAGAACCGGGCTAATAGAGCGTCGCGTTCCTTCAATTCAGGTGTTTTGTCCCAGATCTCGGTTTCTGTCGGCCTCCCGGGCACGACTCTTCGTGGCTCGTAATACTCCCGTAGTCGAGCGGTCCAGGACATTGAGGGATAGTCGTGCGTTGCAAGCGAGGACATGTATTCATCCAAAACCTCAAGTAGTACCGCGTCAAGTAGTCGATAAATGATGGCCTTTTCACCTTGCGAAGGTTCATTGACCCCGGTATCTTCCTCTTCAGCCTTGGCCTCCGGATCCGGCAAAGGAGCTGCCGTTGCAGGGACATCGTGAGGTGGTTTGCTTGAAGACGGTCCCTCACCTTGGGTGCTCGTGCGAGGAGGCAAGGGGGGCCGTTTTCTGCCAGCTATCTTTTCCAACATGGTCAAGAATGAGGAAGTAGTCACGGTCGAAATGGGTACCTGCCGATAAGCCCCTAGAGCGGCCGGCAGGGACGTTGCAAGGAAGCGACTAGGGAACTGTGTTTTGATCCTAGGATGGAGAATGCTCAGCATATTGAAGAGAGCCTGCAGCTTCAGTGCCTTGACTGATACTGTTTCCTGGACCATGCTCGATTCGCCGGCGGCTTTGTCAGTAGGAGCATCGGCGGGCATGCCTTGCAGAGTCATCTGTCCCAGGTGGACTCGAGGTGCTTCGCCAGGAAAGGTCGGCAGCTCGTCTTGATCATCTCTCTCGTCAAAGTCATCTTCATTGTCTGACACCTGGACTTCATCACTCAACTTCTCTAGCTCTTCGGCGACGCGAACAACGACTTCTCTGGGATTGCCCCGTCGGGCGACAATCTCCAAGCATCGATTAGCCTCTTCAGGGGTTTCCTTCAACATAGGGAGAAGGAGCTTCAACAAATCCCATCCGATTTCCTCGGCGAGTTTGCCGTCATCGTCGCTGAGGAGTCTGCTCAATGTGGGAAGGTTCCGAGGGGTCAGTTGATACTCCAATAGAGTCAGGTAAGTCATGTAATCGGTGGCCGGAGGCAAGGCCGAGACAAGAGGATCTTCGGCGCCAGCTTGAGCGGCCATCATCTTGGGGACGGTGTCGGTTTTTTTTGCAGATAAACTGGGATTCTACTAGCTTTCCACGATTGAGGGGGCGGTCGGAGAGGGCACACGAGATGGATTGGTACAGGCCGGATCAACCTTTGCAGAGGAGCTGAGGAGAGTCTAACGATGTCAGATGAGAGACGCAGCTCAGGCCATGAATGATGTGATGCCTGGGCCTCACACCGTCGTGGTTTGACAAGGTGATGGCTGATGGCTGATGGCACGAGGTGGTTGTTTGATGTGAAGTCCAAGTTGACATTCGCTGCGTCTTTGAACTGTCGTCATTTCACTTTCTTGGCAGCCACCGCATTCCGCATAATACCACATACTGCATACCACATATACCGACAACACCAGAGCACCCCTATCGAGCCTCTGTACTTGGGTACCTACTACTGCCAGCTATCCCACTGCCATTGACTCGCTCGTCCACTCCCTGCATGCCTCACTGTCACCCCGACTTCGATTCTTCCGTCCGAAAAGAAATGCAGGAATGTCATCGCAATCAAACGCGCATTGTTTACCCGGGATTGGCGCCCCCAAAGGACCTTCATCCTCTCTACCTACATAATCACCACAATTGCAACCATTTGATCGTTCCGGCTCTGGTTCTCAGCCTGGGCGCGCCTCGCGATAATAATACATGTGCTTCGTTTGATCTGGATACCCCACCCAGCTGAGGATTGTGGCTTCGGTACCGAAACCCGAGCGTCGCAGGCTGAAAGGGAGCTGTTGTTGCTTGCACACCTGAGCCCGTCCCCTTGTCTCAACGGTGCGTCACCTTCAGCGCGAAGTGGTCTTTCTCCGGATGGCAAGGTTCCTGAATAATGAACACGAGTACGAGGATCAGATTCTCGCAAAGACGGCGAACGCCTTTCATCCGATTGCCTCTCGCATCGGAGAAATTCTTCCTTCGCATAGAAATTTCCCGGCTCTCCGACTACCTCGAAATTAATCTCCTTCACAGCCTCATGAGAAGCGCGCGAGGTGGTCTTCCACAGCTGAGATGTCTCAAAAGAAGCACTGACAGCCCCAAGACCCCCCAGCACACTAGCCTCAGCCAGACATGGATTGTGATTGCCACGTGGGTTTCCCCAAGAAATCACGAATTGAGATTTGAGTGGCGCAAGACTAGGGAAAATAAATGGCTTCTAGTGCAGCCACCGCCGGTGCCACATCGGCCATTGCATTCGGTAGTCTGCTCAACCTTCGAAATGATACGGAGTACGACGCCAGCTCGAAGGGGCATGCTTTTAGTCCTGCTCTGGATGAAGCCCTAGTGACCCTAGGAAAGCCCACCCAGTCCGCGTGGGAAGATACAGGGTCAGGGGCATTAGACAAAGTTCCAGTTTTCGCCGTTGGAATTTGCTCCCACAGAACTAATCCAGGGTGCTCGAACACGTCTACACGGATTCGAAATTACATCTGGTAGGGATCTTGAACTGGCCTTCTTCTGGACCGCTTTTCCACAGACTCACTCGAGTGAAAGCAATGAGAAGGGCGCCTGTGTAGCCGGTGCAAACTCACCACCGATCGACGCAAGAACTGACACTTCTGTCGCAGGTCGGACGGAGCTTTTGCGGAGAATAATTGACGACCCGAAATGTACCCTGGCGGATCGAGCCTCTTTCTCGCTTGTCCGTCATCGATCCTAACTAGGCTCATGAGGCGCCGTCTTCGGAAACCTGGTGCGCCCGGCCTGAAGTTGAAGAAGCTTAACGACGATCTCTCCCCCAACTAGAAACCAATAGTGCCTTGATCGACGGCTGTTCTCCCGCACTTCAACTATTGAACACAAAATGAGATCACCGTCGAACTGACAAGAGCCGGGCTGGGTGTTTGCGGTGGTCCCTCCCACCTAGGCATGCATGCAAGTGCATAGGTATGGCGACGCCAGTTGGCTGACTGGCTTGAGAATGGTATGCCAGGGGGTCCTTATAGGCTACCGGATATGAGCTGCCAACCCCGGCACGACAGGGAAAACAACAAGGATGGCCTCCACTCCGGCTTAGTACCAGCATTCCTACCAGCACAAGCACGAGTACGAGCTACAACATTGAATAGTTACTCCATAGAGAGAGTGGGTTAGCTTATTGGTGAGGGCATCTTCCAATCCAGGGGCACGCGACGGTCACTCGCCTACTGCCGCAACAAAATTATTTATGGAACTCGTCCCAAGGAGAATATATCCCACATGGCCGAGCACAAACAAAATTCATTCCAGGGCCCAGGGGGGCCTATTCTCCAGGGAGTCCCAATTAGGGAGTTCAGGATCAGCCCAGCCGGAGGATTACCACCAAGCGAGAAACCAGCGCAGAGTGTCTCAACCAACAGGAGATTCCTCTCTGACTTCCGGATCCATTGGTATTGATCCGAAACCCCTGGTCTGGCTGAAGCAGCAGAAGCATCTTGGACATGGCATTCTGGCCACTGGCCACCAGCCACCAGCAATGGCACGGACATCCAATCACGCAGCCAACTCGTAGTAAACCCGACATCGATGGCAAATCCAAGCGACGAAAACCTCGAGTATCTGTGGCAGAAGCACGGCCGAGATCCGGGCATCATTAGCCACACCGATGCACAGGCATGCACGCCAACACCGACCTACTCGTATGCTTGCCTCCCAAGCGTCAGCTTGCCTAGGGATGGCTCTTGTGGCGGCATCTCCCGAGAGAAGAAAAGGAAAAAAAGGGGGCAATCAGTTCTAGGGTCCTGCCTACGCGGAAGAAATCGAAGGAAGATCCTCTTATCGATTGCGTCTATTCCATCGGTTAGGGTTCCCCTGGTCGGTCCTGGAAATGCAGTGGCTGATGGTGATGGTGATGGTGATGATGGTGATGATGGTGAGAAGAAGAATGAAAGACCCAGCACAGCACAGGGTGTCTGCTCATCATTATTGAATCCACGTCGGGCCCCCGCCGCGGATGCCTAAAAAGCCAAAGCCCGATTGACGCCAAAACAAGAAGAACAAAAAGAAAAAGGTCTCAGTGACTCTGCAACTTGTCAGTAGGATTTGTGGGACCTCGAGTCCACCGCGGAGGTTCGTAGCTCGTCATCGGGTGGTACAACTGTGACTATTTCTGGCCAAATGCAGCCCGGTAGTCAATACCTTGAGATTGGCAGAACGACATCAGATCCCCGACTCATGCGAGCATTGCTGTTCAGTGTTCACCCCTTTGGACACTGGGTCGAATGCCCCCTGGGCCCTGGTCGAACCATGGCCCCAGGTAGGCGAACTACTTCCTGCTTCCTCGCAACAAGGCAAAAAACCTGCCACCCGGGGTCTCTTGGGGGCCAATACTTTACCCTCTCTTGTTGCATGATGGGAATGCCCGTCATTGATTCGGTCGTTTCGGGCAGAAGCCGTCTGGTCTTGTCTCTCCCCTGTTTCTCCATGTCTGCGACGCTGTCGCCAATCGACGTTGCTATCAAGGCTCCGTTTTCAACGGCCGGCCTTGCCCAATTGCTCGACCAAGACCAGCCTCTGTCCGGCCAATGGTGAGAACCTTGAGCCCTGAGCTTTGGGGGAGAATTCGGGCAAACCAGACTCTTGATTGGCATGCCAGAAGTTGTTTCTTCCGTGGTTTCTGCAGAACACCACCCGGGTTGGGGAATTTCCCTGACAATCCTTTGATTGGGCCCCGGACTCGGGCGAAGCTTACCTGTACAAGTATGCTTTGGAGTGCTTGGTCAGGTTGGCCACCCTTTGCGCCTACCTGCGCCTGTCTGAAACTCTGAAGCCAACCAGGTAGGCTGTGCTCACCCAGGGCAAGCCATTTCGTATAGCTGGCCTCATATTCCCCGCCAGCCTGGGGGGCGGATTGTGGCTGGTGCCATCGCGTCGCTGGCTTGCCGAGACACCACTATCTGGTGCCACCGACCTAGAGATGCACACCATGGCACCGTGGCTCTCGCGACGGGCGGCGAAACATTGTCCACACAACCCTGCGGATTATAGGATGTCGCAATTGACAGCGGCAGACGGGGCCAAGTGTCCGCTCCGATGCAAAAGCTAATGCATACCTTTTCAGCTTCTCAGCTTCCTGGATCCCTGGATCTCATCGAGGGAGTGGGCTTCGCATCCATCCCAGTGTGGAGCTTTTAACCGGGACTATTGGGCCAGTACTCCGTTCTACTGCCTCTGAATAGAGCTGATCGCCGTCACGGTTCACGAACATGAGGAAATTTGTCTGCTGCTCAGGTTCCCGCTTTGTCTCTACATGGCCCAGAGGCTGCTGCCCTTGCATACAGATGAACAAGTCTACGACCGCATTGGCCCGCGTCTCTCACTGTGAGTTCGCTTCTCTGGTCCTGTCATGACTTCCGGATCATATCCGCCGAGTCTTGATCTTCCTACTTCAACTCTTCGTGGACCACGGACCACTGAGTCCAGACGTTCCTTTCTCGAATTGAAGCCCAGTGATTCGCTCTTGCCCGGCTGGCGTGCAGTGCCCTCTGGTTTGGCCCGACCCTGACGACCTCCGAACTTCTGTTCAATCCTTTAAACCCTCGACGACGGGCATCTGTACTTGTTATCATTCTGTTTGGTCAATATTGGTTGGATATCGAATTGGGGGCCAGAAGGGGAATCTGGCAGACCTGATCAGGTAGGCAACACAACTCTTGGTGGATATGTTGTGTCCAAGTTCTCGCTCAGTCCATTGGGTCTTGACGCAGTACACTGACTTGGGCCAAAAGCACTTGCAACGGACATCTAAATAAGCGTCGGAGGTACATTCGGTACATGGTCGAGGCAGAGTCTCTCTGAATTCGACACGGTGTCTGAGCACGGACATTCTGAAGGGAAAAGCCGCATTGCAGTCAGTGGACCATTGTTCCGTCGACGCAGATCTGGGGAAGGCGAAAGGGAAACGGGCGGTCTATGCGATCTTCGAACGAGCTCCGTGGGAAACGAACCTGATGCAGCATTCACGCCCACCTCAGTTCCCTCTCTGTCCGTCCTTCAAGAAACACCGATCCAGCCTCGACAACTCGAGATTCACCATAGACCACCTCACTCTGCCGAAGCCAGTCGCCGCGCCCGTTTGGGCATCTCTCCCCACCCCTCCCATGTCCGGTTCTCCTCCACCGGAACCCTCTGCTGAACCTGCCCAGATTGCCGGTCGAAGAAGAAAGCGATCTCGATCTTATACCCCTCCAACAACCGCAATCACGACGGCGGCAGTTGTTGCCTCGCCTGTTGCGCCTTTAGACGCCACGGTTCCTCGGCCAAGTGCGATATCAAGAGGTGGGGAGACCATTGCCGAACTTGCTGTCCAGCCGGGACCGTATGCGCTGAACTATCCGCTCCCTCCAGCGTCGTATCAGTCTGCGTCGAGCTTACCCTCAACGTCCATCAGCGGCCCATCGCCTCGTTTGGCACTGAGCCCTGTTTCCCCCCGCGCTACGCGAAAACCAAAGGCGCACGTCGCATCGGCTTGCGTGAATTGCAAGAAGAAGCATCTGAGATGTGACAGCAGTCGCCCATGTCGGAGATGTGTACAGAGCGGCAAAGAGGTGCGCCGATTGTGGAACTTCCGCCCAGTTAACCGAGCTGATGACTTTTATTCCAGGACTCGTGCATAGATGTCGAGCACAAGAAGAGGGGACGTCCCCCACTGAAACCAGAGGATGCTTCTGCAAGACGACCCTTTGAAGCAGCATTGACTCCCTTGACCGGCCGCTTGGGAGAACCGTCGAGGAGATTCGGCGATCCGCCAATATATCCCCCAACAGTAGGATACCCACCGCTCAGGCCATATGCTGCGACTACTCCTCGAGTGGGACAACCAAGATCGTCAGTCTTCGCTTTACACGCTGCGCCATCGATCTCGCCGAGCCTAGCAATGGCTGAAGGGACATTTGTACCTCCATCCTCTCGTCAATACCATGGCGGGATTGCTCCCATGCCGGGGCAAACATCCGCGTCCTACAGCCCTCCTCAACCAGAATCCACCTTCCGATCGATGAGCTACAGCGGTGGTTACAACTACCCGTCCCTTCAGGGGCAGGTGGGACCTCCTAGTTACTACAACCCCAACCCTATCTTTCCTCGCCCTCCGTCATCCTTGTCCTCTGAACAGCTGCCGCCAATGAGCACATCATCTAGCCTTCAGTTACCGCCAATCCTGCCAGCGCCTCCGGCCCCGATCGACCCGGCGATTGTGCAGCAGCTTCCCCAACAAACTCTGCCGTCTCCCCGAGGGCAGCAGGGAGGCAGAAACGAAGGGACACAAGAACCAGATCCGAAAAGACCGAAGATGGATATCCAGGGAATCCTCGGTCCCCGAAACGAATAAGCTGGACGTCTGCCTATGGGGACGCTGGGGGCCATGCCAGGAAGGACCACGATTTCAGTCGCACATATTCTACGAATTATTTTCCTTTGTTAAATGAAGCAACGAGCGCCTGGGGGGGATCTGGAGCATAACCTTCTGGTTCTCACAGTTCTAAATTCTGTACAATTATCTTCTTAATCAGGCACAACGCGGTCTGTGCGGGACACGGAACAGATTGTACCTTTCTAACGGATGCAAGAGCATGAGAAACGGCAGAAGAAATCTACGTACCTTTTCGAAATGAGGGACAAATTACACGGACACGAAGACAAAGTTCGGGCTAGTGATTGGAAGTGCGCAGATCAATTTCGACTCACGCGCAACGAATCTCATACCAAGGCCTTTCGATAGCCAGTCTATACACGTGGTCAACAGCACAGCATAGAATTTACATGAAGTCGGTGGACATTGTGGCCATTCAGCTGCGTATGCCATGAAGCCCGGTCGCTGGGCCTCATGACCATACCATTTCTTTGATGCAACGAGCAAAATCGTGACTTTTTCCTTTGTGGCAGGGTCGTCATCTGGGTCGATTGACGAATACATTATGGTGACGAGGACAGCGATCTTGGGGCAATTTGGCAACTCTGAAATACGGAGGACGGAGCATGGACAGAGTCGCTGTTAAAAACGATATGCGTTTATGCATTGGATAATCATTGTGACGGCCTCTCTCCTAGTTGGATAATGGTTGGAAACGACTTTGTGTCGGGGGAAACGACTCTCGAAGCAGGCAGGCAGACCCTCTGTCTGGTACGACATATTTATGGAGGGCCGGGAAAGGACAAGCAAAAATTCGAGAGGATCTACTACTACTATATTTCATTATGGAGGCACGGTGGAGGCGGTTTTCCTGTAGAAACAACGAATCACGACCACGGCCCCTGGTTGGGCCTGGTTTTCTCTACCCATTTCTCAATCCTAGCGATGCTGGTGCGGTTTCGTTGGATTGGGTCCGAAGTGCCTATACCTCATGGACCAGTATGTGAGACAGTAGGGGGGATATTGGCGGAGTTTCACTTGTCTTGCTCGGAACTGCATGTCCTCATACTAAAGCGGGAGGGAGAGAGCGAGGGAGGGAAGGGATTCCTCGACACCAAGTTGTGCCAAGTGATGTAGATGACATGTAATTGGATACTTAGAGAGCCATAGGTCAATGTCCGCGGGTGGCAACACAAGCACAAGTTCAAATGTGCTTGCTGCTAATGGTATACATGCCACTAGCTGATCCGCGAAGCTCCTGGGGTAACGCTGTGAGCAGGCTTGGGTTCTTCCGCGAACATATAGCATTCAGTATTAGCGGAGGACAAGACCAAGCTCCAGTAGCCTAGCCAGTCGCGAGAAGACCAGAGGCCAACGCCTCCAGATCCTCCAGGGTCTGCGGCTGCTGAGCTGCGGCGGCGAGGCGATGGTCCCCCTTCTTCGTCTTCTTGGTCTTTGTCGTCTTGTCCCTCTTCGTCGTCGCGGTCGCGTCTTGGTCGTCATGATCATCGTCAGACGCAGACGGCGAGTCTTGGAACCATTTCTTCTGGCGCTTCGGTTTGGGCCCGGGTGGAGGGGATTGAGATTGGAGAGGAGGCTCATCTCCAGCATCGGCTCCAGCTCCGGCTGGGGCGTCGACTTCGTCTTCGTACGGAACGAGTTGGACACCGTATCCTCGCTCGTCGTCTCCGTCGAGGTCTGCTTCCCTACCATGACCCGCCCGCTGCTGTCGTTCCCTCTCCTTCCGTTTCTCCTTCTTCTCCCTCCTCTTGCCCCGCGCGATCTCCTTGTCCACGAGATCGGCCTCCCTTGCTCTCTCGGCCTCTCTCTCCAAGAACGCCCGCCTCTCCTCGTCTGCCGCCGTGAACTCGGCTTCATCCTGGTATGCCTTCTTGTCCTTTGGCGTATCGCTGTCAGAGTCGAAAGTCAAGTGGGACCCGCGCCCGCGGTACTTGAGGAGCCTCTTCTTCGAGGCCAGAAGCTTCTCGCGCCGGTGCGAGTCTATTGTTAACGCTGGCGCGTCTGGGTTGGTGGAGAGCTGGACGCTTCTCGGTTCGAGGGAGGAGCTGGAGTTCGGTTTTCCTTTCGTTCGTTTCGTCGACGAGGGTGGCTGAGAGGTACTTCTCGACGAGGCCGAGTCGCCATCACTGTCCTGGTCGAGACCTGAGTCGCCGGCCTCGAAGCGGCGTTTTACTGAGAGGAAATCGTCCACATCGTCATTGGCGGCGGGGCGGTCATCGTCTGCTGCTTTCGTTTTGGATGCCCCATCATCTTCCTCGTCGTCTTCAATCAATTTCGTGTAATGCTCGGCCAGGACGTCCTGGTTGCGCCGTTCAAACATGCGGTCGTATTTCGTCCTGACTCCCCCATTCCGTTGTTTTTGTTTGGATCTCGGCGCGTCCTCAGCATCAGTCTCATCGCTGCTCGATTCCAGTGCAGCCAGTAGTTGTCTCGGGGCATTTTTCTTGGCTTTTGCATCCTCCCCTTTGACAAACTTCACACGAGGTGCACCAGGAAGGCCCAAACTCGCCGCGAAAGCTTCCAAATCGAGCTTTTTCAGATTGAACGTCTCTTTGTCCTTCTGGATGTGTACACTACGCACATAACTAATGAAGGCTTTCTGCCCCAAATACTTCAATTCGGGATCCTTGAAACACATATTCTGTAGTTGGTTGCGGATGGTCTGCTGCATTTTCTTCTGGCGCACATTGATCTTCTCGGGGCTGACTTTCTTTCTCGCTAGCGCGTTCAGCATGCCTTCTTCTTCGCTCGGATCCAGGAATAACACGGCCCGGCCATCGTGCTCGAACCGTGCTGTTCGTCCCACCCTGTGAATATAGGTGTCAGCGTCTTCAGGACAGTCGACCTGGACAACCCAGTCAACGGCAGGGAAGTCCAATCCTCGGGCAGCCACATCCGTTGAGAACAAGCATACGTATTTACTGTTAGAGTATTTCGTAGTGATCTCAACTCGTGCCGTCTGTTTTTGTCGTCCATGCAGGTGAAGCAAGGGAATACCAGGCTGGAGGTGACGGAAAGCTTCGTACACAAAGCGAACCTGCTTGCCGCTGCTTAAGAAGACAAGGATTTTCTTTTTGACGTTGGCACGAATAAACGACCACAAGGTATCGAGCTTTTCCGGCAGCGGAGTGACGACGTAGTTTTGTTGCAGAGAGGAAGGCGTAGCGCTGTCGGCCGCTTCGTGGACGGAGACGAATTCTGGTTCTTTCAAATTCAGCCTCGCAAGATCAGAGACCTTCTTGGTCTGAGTGGCGCTGAACATGAGAGTCTGCCTGTCTGGGGGAAGGTGCTCGAGCAGAGCGTCAATGGTCTGCTTGAACCCCATGTCCATAATCCTGTCCGCCTCGTCCAGTACCAGCATTTGTAAATTTCCAATGTCCAATTCCGCCGTCTGGTCCATGTGCTGTAACATCCTCCCCGGCGTCGCGACCAGAATGTTCATACGTCCGAGTCGTTCTCTCTCTTCTTGTAGACTCTTGCCTCCGATCACCAAGCCAGCGGAGAACGTGTGGTTGCGGCCAACTTTCCGCAGGACCTCGAAGATCTGGATGGCCAATTCTCGAGTGGGTGAGAGTATCAGTGCTCCCAAGCCATCGTAGTCCGTCCATCTCTTACGGTAGAGGTTCTCTAGAACAGGTACCAGAAATGCCAGTGTCTTGCCCGACCCCGTTTTGGCAGCGCCTAGGATATCCTCACCCTGCAATGCCAGCGGGATGGTTCTGCTTTGGATGGTAGTCAGGGTTTTGAAGTGTGAAGCTGCAAGCCCATCTTGAGTTGCTTGACTCAATGGGAGGTCGACGAAATTCTCGGGCGGAGGCGCAGATTTCGGATCGAAGTCGGTTACCCGCTGTGCGAGGGTCTCGAGATCTTCCTCTTCTCGTTTGCGTTTGAGCACTCTGGGCCTCTGGAAATCCTTCTTCGGGGCCTTTGCACCTCTCCGATGCCCCTGAGGCCCCATCGCAATGGTGTGAAGACTGCGTCTGGGTCAGTGTTGTATGGAGGGTTGTGCAGAGTGGTCGCGGCTCAAATAATTTTTGTGATCATGTGACAAGGTGCGTTATCGATAGCCGGGAAAACGTCGGCAAGCCTTGTCGGAACAGCTTCCTGATCGAGCGGGGCGACGAGCCTCTTCAACGTCTGTTACGCCTTTGTCGCCGCTCGGGTTTCAGCGAAGTACAGTTGCTATTCAGCCCGATAAATATCCCGTATTCTCAGTCAAAGTTGCTGCTCTCCTCTCATCAATTCGCTCGCTTCTGACACAAAATTTGTCCCCAGAAAGTGAAGATCTTGATAGTCATCGGTAAGCTACATACTATCAGCCCGCCATGGCTAATGATGAGTCCGATGCTCTCGATGTGCTTGAAAAGGAAGCGAAGGAATATGATAAAGTGCGCCTCTTTGACCGCGTGATGCACTTTGGCTAACGCCCTTCCTAGGACGCTGAGATCGACCGCATTCTCAATGCCTTTAGACTCGATGCGTAAGTTTGGCACGTTTTGATTCACCTTTACGTCGCTAACATGTTTGCAGCTACGCAGTATTAGACCTCCAGCCTGGAGTACCTGACTCAGACATCAAGATCGTTTATCGCAAGAAGTCTCTACTAATCCACCCGGACAAGACCAAAAACCCCTCGGCTCCCGAGGCCTTTGACCGGCTCAAGAAAGCACAGACTGCCCTTCTGGACGAGAAACAGCGCCAGCATCTTGATGAATGCATTGCAGATGCCAGACAATTGCTCATTCGACAGCATAAATATACGGTGGATTCCGAGGAACTGAAAACAGAGGAGTTTAAGCAGGAATGGCGAAAGAAGACGGTGGAAGTCCTTGTGGAGGCAGAGGCCCGGAGGCGGCGCCAGATGAAGGCCAAAATGCAAGAGGAGGGCCGTGAGAAGGCGAAAGAGGATGCGCAGATGGAGGAACGAAAACGAAAACGAGATCACGAGAAAGAATGGGAGGAGACCAGGGAGCAGCGAATAGGAAGTTGGCGTGACTTCCAGAAGGGCGTTAAGAAGGGCGAGGAGGGGAAGAAGAAAAAGAAAATGAAGGTACTGGGTTGACCTCACTGCATGATGATGGCATGTTTGGTTTTTCTTTGCACGCGCAACATGACGAGCCAGAGATGACGGCCTGGTTGGTCCTGGGTTGTAACGCGGTTAACTGGCGGATGACAGCCCAATGACTGGCTATTAGAAGGACTTACGTTCATGGACGGCGGGGTGATCACACTCAGAATATGATCATTTCTACCTGGGACACGAAGATGAAAGACCTTTGTGGAGTTCCACTACCAACCATGAGATTCCACCTGCTCCCAACTGTCTACCACAACACTGACCGAACAGTGGTTCAAATGTCACCCGCAAGAACTGTCGGTGAACTGAACTCGGACACTGCTGAGCTAATGGCTGAATAGGTGTATCACTGCAGCCAGCCTATTGGCATCTTTGACTTGGCTGGATCTTACAAGCGCCTACATGATGTGACCTCGTTGCCTCGATGCCTTCCTTCGGCCTGATCATACGTCGCCCTCAACTGCGGCAGTCTCTTCGCAAAACTCATCCATATCTCTCCCACCATTACACTACAAGTCGAGTCGAACAATATGTCAGCGATTTCGACTGTACCCCGCTACCTCTTTCGTGCGTATTCCCCAGGATCAGATGGCTACAACAGTGAAGAGAGATTTGGATCGATGGCGCAATTTAACCACCGGCTTGAAGTCACGTCCCTTACCCAGCTTCCGCCCGAGGAAGCGCGCAGTATGGTCAAAGATCATGTCGTGTGGGAGAGCTGGAAAAATCGAGACGATGATATCCTCATCTCATTTACATCCTCCTTTCTCTTTGCTCTCCAACACTGTATTCGCAAGATTTACAGGTGTCGGAGGACTTCTGAGGAAAACTGCTACATATGTATCATCGACACCTGGAAATATCCGCCCGGCACGTTTTCCTGGACGGTCGATCTTCTGAAAGATCATAATCTATGCGAAAAGGACGATGCTCGGCTGCGCCACGATTATCAGGAAGCAGAATATCTGGCTCAATTTGATCTGTCCACCTGTTTCCCGACGTCTTCAAAGTCAGACGGCGTCGTCTCCATGAGTGAACTGATCACTCGAGGAGGCCTCTTTCAGATCCTTCCTGAGCTCAACGAGGAGATCTACAAGGGGCAGCTCTGGATTCGGCTGCAGCAACTTCGGCAGCGTTGGTATCGGAGGACCGAGGCTGTGACTGCAGAGGATATGGATGGAGCCCGGAAATTGGCATTGTGCTTTGGTTGTCAGTAGATGATCCCCATGATGTTATAGGCTCTGGCAATGAAGGCGCAACCGCGAGACGATCAGAGGGTGAAGGACGAATTCATTGATGGCTTCTGGGGTCTGTTCTCCGCTGGGTCTGTCTCCTCTCATATTGACCAGATTGTAGGGACGGTCACAACGCGATTCCCGTTTGAGGATACACGAACCGATATCCCTCCGACGCTCCAAGAGCTTGCAGAATGGGAAAGACTCATGAGGACAATTTACAGAGCTCAAACATCTCTGAAGACAGACAATGCGGAGAGGGTGACTCGCCCAAGTGCCGAAAAGAGCATTGACGAAGTTGCCGACATTCTGAAAGACATTAAGATATCACTTGGACCGTCCTAAACAATGGGGTTGGCGCAGCCTTCCTGGGGAGACGGTGGGGGCTGGGATGATTCTGCGGATCAATGGAAACGAGTGACTTGCTGAATAGATGAGCCGCTTGTCTCTTTCTTTCTACCGGCTTCGGTCAACGACGGGGAACGGAGCCTCCGGCAGCGGTTTGTGTCAGCCTTGGAAACTCGTATCTCGGCAGGCGGGATGAATCTAGGTATCACCTAGAAGGCCACAGAGACTGGTCACTGTAGGTACCTACAAAGAAGCCTCGTAGCAGGGGTTTCCCCCACACTCCCACCCGATGTCATCTTTCTCCGATTTTCTGGATTTCTTTCGGGTCCCAAGGCAACTCGGTCTCTCGCTTTACACATACTACTCTTTCTCGTCTCCCTCACATTGTCACCTCCTATCTATGTCACCGCCATTATGAGCACTACATCGCTGCCGCCCAATGCCCCCATGGCCAATGGAACCTTCGCCGCGGTCAATGGAGAAGCTGATGTATCGTCTTCGTCGATCCCCGCCCACATTCCTGCCTCCCTCTCGCTGCAGGATGTCTGTGCTCTTCTCCATGCGCAGGTCTCTTCGTTCCTTTCGGCGGTTCCCGAAGACGATGTGACCCGGAGAACACAAGTGCAGGCGAGGATATCCATGCGAGTCATAGAAAAGGCGTTGGATGAATATGAGTGAGCCAGAGCCCCCCGCCGATCCCGCTTGACTCTTTTGTGCAAGCCAGAAGATCTGACAGGAGATTGTGCAACACAGATTCGAAACACTCTCCCTTTCCTATAACGGGGGAAAAGATTGCCTAGTCCTCCTCATCTTATACCTCGCCGTCATCCACACACATTTCACGCAGCCCAAGAACAGGCGGAAAGAGTTTCCCACCTCCATCCCCTCCATCTACGCAAAGCCACCCGATCCTTTCCCCGCCGTCTCGGACTTTGTCGACTATTCTGCACGCCTCTACCATCTCGATCTAACCCACATATCCACAAATCCTGGTCCGGGAAAGAGACAGAAGTCGCATTCCAATCCCCCCGTCTCACCTCCCTTAGAAGCATTGGGACTAGATGGTCTTGCGCCCAGCCCGAAGGCCAACCACACCTCCAACTCGTTTCAGAAGTCGTTCGACAAGCCGATCATCTCCTTCCGCGACGCCTTTGCCCTCTACCTCTCTTCTAACCCGCACATCAAAGCCATCTTCGTCGGCACCCGCCGCACAGACCCGCACGGTTCTCACTTGACTCACTTCGACCCGACCGACCACAATTGGCCGCCGTTTATGCGCATCCATCCGGTGATCGATTGGCATCTTTCGGAGATCTGGTGCTTCTTGCGCTCGCCCCACCTCAAAGACATCGGCGTCTGTGTGAATGGCAGCGCGAGCGACGGTCGAGGGTCCGAGACGGAGTGCACGACCCCATTGAGATACTGTGAGATGTATGACGCGGGTTACACCAGTCTAGGGGGCGTCAATGACACGGTGAGGAATCCCAAGTTGCGGTACGTGGACGCACACGGGCGGGAATGCTACAAGCCAGCGTACGAAATGACGGCGGATGACGGCGAGAGGCTGGGCAGGGAGTGAGTAAGAAAGGACGAAAGTTGCCCAAGCTTTTCAGCAGGAGTGGTTGACTTGGGAATGCACCCATATCTCTCAAGGGGCATTGACGCGGGAGAATGCACAGTCCGCACCGAGATGTTTAGAAGAGGATGCAAGAGGGCCTTCCCACCCCCTCTCTATCCCACGGGATGAAATGCCTATGATCTATAGAACTCTTGGAAGCAGCCATCTAGAAGGAAGAGAAAAAAGCAAAGAAAGCAATCGTCCATAGCATTAGTACGACTTGGTTATCATTTCGCACGTGTTCTTCCGTTCAAATCGATCAATCCTCGTTTTACCGGTTCTCAAAGTCTCCTATGAGCTTGCAGTAAGCGGGCCATTGACACCCCATGTTATTTAACGCTTTATATCTCCTTGTTGGTAGGCACGGTTGGTATATTCACGGATCCAATGCTCCCCCTCCTGTGTACGCCGTCCACTCTCTCGAGTCTGGATCGGCTGTAGCCCAGCCGGGCCAGATCGGGAGGATCTCGGGCCTTGGACGCCACAATAATCATACTCATAGGTGCTCGGTACATATTATTACTACGAGGGGGGCTAACCTTTCTCGCCATATCCTTGTACCTCGGCCATGCGTATCCAACGCCGAGAAGTCCTGGCACCGGCGCTGGTACTGGCACTGGCGCACTGGTCGGGCATAGATCTATCTCCTGGATTTCCCTGGCCTGGTCATTCATGGCTTGTTGTTACTCCCTAGTTGTAGAAGTCTAGGTATTTATCCACCATCAAGAGGCTGACTCGCCATGGATGTACCTATGCGCGGTACGCATTCCTGGGATTTCCTTCCGTAAAGACAACGAGGAGGATGGGGTTAGACACAGGACCAAAGCGATGGCCCTCAGCGGTCTTTGTGGGAGTCACCTCTTCTACAAATTCCACGCTCGCTTCATTTCGATAATATGCGTAGTTAAAGATATAGCGTCTGAAAATCCCAGGCGGGAGTTGAACCCCGTATCATGCTGGGCTGCTAATTTGTACATCCGAATGCGCCACAAGACTGTGCTTCTGAATCCAAAAAGGGGCATCACACGAGCTAGGTGCAACGCCAAAGACGCCGAGAGACTTTTCGACCACAAGCTCATCGACAAGATGTAATTTCCAGCCCACAGGTTCAGATGAGACCCGTGCAAATATCGCTGCGTCCATGTGCCCCAGCTTCATCGTGGTCGAGAACTGTGGACCTCTTCCTTTCATGATATTGATACCAAATCTGACCTGTAGAGGAACTCCTAGGACGTGCCTTTTTGGAGTCCAAAATAGTTGTAAAAGTATAGGCACCACTGGTGCAAGGGAAGCCGTAAATCCATCGCACAACCACGACCGTCCCAGGCACCACGGTGATATTGGATGACGGTAAACGGGCTGGCTCTCAAGCGCTCACCAGGGCTATGTCAGTTGCTGCCGTGCAGTTGTCGCCTTCCAGTCATTCTTGCCTGCTTCTCCTTTCAGCTCGAGACTGGGACTTTCACAAGCCATCATAGTCCGCCTTGGAAGAAGTCGCGCAGCTGCCCTGGTTCTGGGTAAGATATAGCGAGAAAAAAAGGAAACGGCGGGTAGATCAGTATTGGCCACCAAAGCCCCGAGGTTAGCCAAAACACGATCCGCAGACTTTTCTCAAACATCAACCAATTCCCAGTAACCATTTACTGCGTTCGTAGACATAGAAACTTGTGGCGACCATTGGTATAACCTTGACATAGCCAATGGTAAGACCGACGAAGAACCCTCTCCAACCTCTTTCTAACCAAATCCGACGCGCTGTTTCGGCGATAGTCAAGCGATGGCCATCACCTATAGCACCCCCGACTTGCATTCTTCGCCGGATCACTTCAAGCGGGTAAGAGGAGGTTTGGGAAACCAGGCCAGCTATCGCGCCTGAAGTCAGCTCTGCCGGGGCATTCAATTGAGCCCGTCGGTAGACCTTAGCATTAGACTGGTTTTCCTCTGGCGGAGGGGTTGCAGCGGTAGATGTTGAGCGTAGCACGGTGTATGGTGCCAGGACAGGATGCCTAAATATATCGCCAATCGTATCATGTGTCAAGAACGACATTCCAGCATACGGCAACATCCCCAGCAAAGTCGGGGAAAACCCGCGGTAGAAGTTGACAAGCCCGGACTTTGGCACAGCTCTGTGCGCCGCACTCGTGGCGGCCGCAACAGGGTTGTGACTAGCAAGATTCTCTGCTTGCGGAGGCTGTTCGTGGTAGATTTGTCGGCAGATTCTAGTCAAAGACGAACGAGAGTCGCGCTTGGTTTCGAAAGCTAATCGCACACGGATGACCTCGAGAGGGTAGGTGAAGAAGACCGACGTGATCCCGGCCAACGAGCCAGATATAAACCGACGGAATGGCGTTTCATGGATTTTGTCCGGAATGACCATCGCTCTTATCTGCTCATAGGCGAGGAATTTGATCCCGGCGTAGGGGAAGACCCTCAGGAGAGTTGCTGAATGTCCACGAAATAAACCCCGGACTCCCTCGTGCTTGTGTATGTCCCGCATCGCAGTCACCACGCCGAACCAGCTGCCCGTGTATTTTGCGAATTGAGGGTTCGAGGCCTGGAAGAGGATCTTTACCCGGTCAAGAGGGCCGACAACAGTTTTCGCCTACAACATTTAAGTCAGCACTGTCCTGGTAGAGCAGCTGCCCACCGGCCCACGTACCGCACATCCTGCCAATCCACCTGCCAACCCGGAGCGTAGGATATACTCCAGGCTGCGCTTATCCAGTGGCTTCTGCGCCTGGGACGCAGGTCTTTTCAGTGTTATCGACGCATCGTTGTCGGGGAACAATCTTCGGTCGGGGCCCGGGGGTGGCTCCTCGAGCAACCTCGAGGCGCCTCGGCTGTCCATCTCTGGTGATTGTGAGGATTGTAATGATATTGCTGCATGGCCCAGACCAGAGACAGGCATTCACAGGCCCTTTAGAACATATTCAGCCCGCGAACTCTGGGGGCGGCGACACAAAAGGACAACAATGCAACAGAGACGGCCGAGGAGGACCTCTGGGATTTTGTGACGTCGAGGATGGTGCGATGGCCAGTGATGGCACATGGAATAATAACGAGGGAGGAAAAGACTGGGGGGGAAGAGGGCGCGACTCCAGGGTCTCCAGGTCCCGTTTCCGATGCCGGGTCGCTGCAATCTCGGCGGTTTTCGCCTCTCGGATCTCGAACAATGGGGACCAACTCACACCCATGCAAGTCAGAGCAGTAATCGGCCACTGAGAATCGGTCATGCGACATGTAAATCTATATGCTATTCATTATGCTATCCAGGCATCCTCCGCAGAGCGACGCAATCCTGTCGGACGGTGCTCTGATGCAGGCCTTGACGGTACTCACGAAGCCTCTTCAACTCCAAGAGCGACGCAAATTCATCCAGACTAATATCTTGCCCCAAAGACCAGGGCCGCTTATTCACGGCATGTTACTTCGCAAAGGATTCCGCCCCCGAAAAACGCCATAGGCTGTTCTCGAGAGTCGTACCTGCGCTTTCTTCCAACAAGATCTGTGCCTGATACTTCCCATGCTACTGAGGCCCATCAGACTGAAGTGGGACTATCCTGCTCATTAAGACGCCGTTCTGCCTTGCAAGTCAACTCGAGCACCTCCAGTAACCCTTCCATTGCCACAGGGGACAATGTCCATCTTGTTGGAACGTGACGACTTCCCGGAAAGATGGTCTGAAGCCTGGGCACAAACCTGGTGCCCTGCTCAGAACTTTGCGCCCGCGAATGCCGATTTCTTCCAGATTTATCTGGGCTCCTTGACCGCGCTCGAGTGTTGTTGGGTGAAAAGAAGTCGGACAGTCTATTGGTCCCAAGCCAGATGCTGTCATTGCGTCGACGGCCTTCGGCTTCCCACCAATATGGGTTCTCTCTAGCCGAAGGCTGTGGCATCGCTCCTCCGTCTGCGGAAGGCGAAGCCTGGTTTCCCGGGCCACGACGTTGCAGCAATGTCTTGCTTCGCTGTCGCAGAAACGGTATGGAGAATTTTGAACTCGGGTCGACTCGCCTCCATGGCTTTTCTGTCCAGGAGAACAGGACGCTGTCAACACCGGCCTGGAGACTCAGCATAATGGTCTGCATCAAAGAGAGCCAGAAGATAGGATGTTTGACGTAGTAGTCACTGTAATTCGTGGCGTGAGACGCAAACGGGAAACTCCACATAATAATGTAGACGAGGGGATAGATGAACAAATACCGCAGCTGCTTGCGTATCGCCAATCTGGTCCTTTTGAGAGGGTCGTTGAGCCCACTGGAAGTTGTCGTCGGTGTTACTGGGCAGACAACGGACGTTCCCATGATCTGGTCCTTGATAGCGGATAGCGATCGCGGGCCTGTTGAGTTGTTTCGGACTTCAGGGATCGAGGCTGGGGGATCAACGGTGTTATCCGGAGGAACCTGGGTTTCACCAGACCACTCACTCCCTCGCGCCCGCAAATTCCTTCCTTCGCTATCTTGATGAGTTTCAGCGATGCTCTGGAGTGGCTTTGAGGTAATAAAGTTCACTTCGTCCCAGGGTTGACGTTCTTCAGGTGGCACAGCCGTTCCGGGAAACAGATTCTGGGTCTGAACGATCGAGGCTTGGGAGGGTAGCGGCGGTGACCTGTCACTTGCTCTCCTCTCATTCTCGTTATACCTGGTCGAATGACCAGATTGTTGTCTGAGCCCAGAGTCGTAGGAGGAATTCGTTGCACCGAGGTTATCAAACCCCCGGAATTTGATGTGGACATAGATGTAGATCCAAATATACATGACCAGAATTACACCTATGATTAGATATCTGGGCACCCATGACAGTGCGAGTCGATACCAGAATGGCCGTTTGGGAAGATAGCAGAATGTGCCGGCTGTAGTATAGGCATTCTTGTCGTTGAAGAAGGCCAATGACGCTGCCAAAAGTGCGGGACCAAGCCACATGATGTAAGTCCACCGTCGGTACCGATAGAGTCCTCCTTCTCCTAAGGTGCTACCCGGCCTGAGAATGTAGAGGATGGAGTGCAGAGCAATGATGAGAATGGCCATGTCGGAAGACTCGATGGCGAACACAAGCAGGAATCCGCTGGCCTGGCAGAAATTCGAATTGCTATTGACTGGTCCTTTGGCGAACACCACGATCGGGAAGACGAAGTACCAAGCTGCTTTGAACGTGTCGCTGATGATGAGGTATAAAACCAGGCGATGCCGGAAGCTCCTTCGCATGATGAGGAACCATCGCAAGGTAACCAGGACCACGACCAAGCTGACGGATGCGCATGCCAGCGCGGCAACCAGAATGGCTTGATTTTGCGCATCGCTCAACGAACCACTGACATTTCTACCAGTTTCTCCCGTGTTGGCATGGATGTCTCGCCATGTCAAGATGTGCGAAGAGTGGCTTCTTGAATTTGGATCGAGAATATCTGATGCTCGCCCCTGTAGAGAAAGTCGAACCATGAGAGGAGTTGTTGGAAGATCACCAGAAATCCAGCATCTCTCATAACATGTTTTACTCAGCAGTCACAGAATCGAGGGTATGCTCTCTGCGGAATATAGGACCAGTAGAAGAAGAGGACAAAAGAGATCCGACGATGGCAAGTTTCGTGAAAATAAGTTCTTGCACTGCGCGTCGTGAGGCAGACACCAGGGAGGGAGACAGGCGATGAACACCAACACCAGAACACAAAGGAGACGGTCTAAGAGGACGATCCTGCAAAAGTCCCTGCATCGTGCGAGTAAAGAGTTCAGACCCACCACCAGGAATGTTGTTGTGATGCAGCTGCCAAACTTCGGGTGATCAAGAACGGAATGGCAGGGCGGGTCGCAGACTGGAGAACTGGCCCATGGGCAAAGGTTCGTCATCAGGAAGCTCGGACTTGGCCATCGTGAGGGCAAAGGCTTGCCAGTGATCTGTGCGAGAGCTTGATGATGGTTTATGTTGGGTTTCCGTGGGGAGAACAAGTACGGAAGAGGGAGCATGTGAAGCTGCGCCCTGAAGCCCCCTTTCTATACGCATTCCAAAAAGAGGCTAGCGTCACCGGTGGCTGCGTCTCTCGATCTTCCCTTTCACCCCATGCCGTTCCCTCCTCCTCGTTCCTCAACCCCCAACCTTGTCTAAATACCCGAAGACACAAGCTCATGCATGGTGCATCAACTGCTCCACCTTGGCAAACAAAACACGATGCGGAGCTCCATCCCGTGCATGTTTCACATGAGCGCCCATTATGTCGGGGACGATCCTTCACCGTAACCAAGCCACCACTGTTGTCCTGATCGACATCCCCCAATCTATTAGCGATGGTCAACAAGTTCCCTACGCGCTTCGATCGTCTCCAGCCCTTGCAAGCCCCTACCCAAGCACGGAACCGAAGGGATGGAAGCGAGAGGCTATGCTCAACAAAACAGCCGCTGACGAGCGGCTCTATCACGAGTCCGTGCAAAGGGAGATTCGTGCCGCATTGAGCGAGAGCCGGACATATCTGCATCGTCTGGGCGGGGCTTGGTACCGTCCACGCCACGCTTTGACCTCACATCCTGACTCGGCTCAGTCACCAGCCCGAACAAGAAATTCGGAGTGGTCTGCGAGCCCTGCTTTGTCCCATGCGGCGGCGCCTGTGGTGTTGTCGACCACAGAAAAAAGCGACCAGTTTCACTCTCTTGAAGATCTGCAAGGCACCATTGTCTACAACATCCGACCAGGGGCCGCAATAATTCAGGTTGGTGATATTGGTGACTTTGTTGTCCCTTCAGGATCTGCCTTCCTTTGGGCAAGTCTCGAATCAGGATTTCCCGCTTTCCTCTCAGCCCGTCGAGAACTATCACCCGAGAACAGGACCTTCGACATCATCCTTATGGATCCCCCCTGGCCGAACCGCTCAGTCCGCAACTCTAATGCCTATAGAACGTCGGAAGCTCAAGTTCAGGATCCTTTTCTACGCACAGTGCGCATTGTGGGAGATTTCCTGGCTCCGCAAGGTCTTCTTGCCATTTGGGTCACTAACAAATCCTCTATACGCGCTAGAGTATTGCAGACATTTCAAGCACTAGATCTGCACCTCCATGAGGAATGGGTGTGGATCAAGATAACCGCCCAGGGTGTTCCCGTCAGCCAAATTGATGGTGTCTGGCGGAGGCCGTACGAGATCCTACTGTTACTTCGGAAAGGCCAACCTCCTCAAGGCCCTGCACGAAAGGTCATCGCTGCGGTTCCGGACTTGCATTCGCGAAAACCTTGTCTAAAGATATTGTTGGAAGAGCAGCTCCCTTCAAAATACAGTGCTCTTGAACTCTTTGCGAGAAATCTGATAGCCGGCTGGTGGTCATGGGGCGACGAGGTGTTGAAGTTTCAGCATGAAAGCCAATGGGATGGTTATGAGCGGTCTGGGGTAGAATTTTAGGACGTGATTCTCGTGCAGCTCGGGAAATTCGAGCAAGCAAGAGCGTTTCCGAGATGGGGACATCGGGGCCATGTACTCGATAGTGAGGACACGAGGCTGACTCCCGCAAGGCTGTGCACTTCCGCCAATGAGAAACCCCAGGTGCCTGGATCTCCCCGCCATTGACGCAATTGGCAATTGCCTGTCTCTCCATTTTTATTGTCGCCTGCGAGCCTCACTCTTGGTCTCCTCATCTTGTAATTTTCATGTAAGAAGAGACCCCTACAACCTCGAACAAAAATGGCGGAAGCGGCACAGAAGAAGATGTTTGTTCCTCTCGGTAAAGGCACCCTCAGTTCTCGAACCCCTCCAAGGCAAACCCCCCACTAACTGCCTTGTACCAGAGAACAATCCCGAGGTGATGACCAACCTAGTCCACGAACTCGGCCTGTCCCAGTCCCTGCAATTCCACGATGTGTACTCCCTCACCGAACCCTCCTTACTGGACTTTCTCCCCCGCCCGGCCATCGCCCTGCTCCTCGTCTTCCCGGTTACCAGCACGTACGAGAAATTCCGATCTGAAGAGGACTCGTCGCGCGAGGACTACACCGGGTCCGGCGACCAAGAGCCCGTGGTCTGGTTCAAACAGACGATCGGCAACGCGTGTGGCTTGATCGGCTTACTACATGCCATCACCAACGGCGAGGCACGGTCCAACATTGTCGAGGGCAGCGATCTGGAGAAACTGCTCAAAGAAGCCATTCCGCTGAAGCCAGCCGCACGTGCAGACCTCCTCTACAACAGCCCCACGCTCGAAGCCGCGCATGCAACCGCCGCAGCCAAGGGCGACACTGAAGCCCCGGAAGCCGAAGCGAACGTGGACCTCCACTTTGTCGCGTTCATCAAGGACAAAGATGGATACCTGTGGGAGATGGATGGGTCGAGAAAGGGACCTCTGAAGAGAGGCTTCTTGGGTCCCGAGGATGATGTGTTGAGCGAAAAGGGCCAGGAGCTGGGAGTCAGGGCGTTCTTGAAGAGGGAGGAACAGGCAGGCGGTGGGGAGCTGAGGTTCAGTGTCCTCATGCTAGGACCGAGTTTTGAATGACCTCGACGACTACCGGCGCATGCCGTCGTTGTCCGGGGAGGAATAATTCTTGAGTACGACCGTGGCTTGATTCTGCAGCATATGCAGGTGTTGCGCATTAGTTGGCTGGGACAACAGGAACTTACGGATTCAGAGGACAGGACAGGGATGACATAGGCTTGCCAACAGGCATCAAACGACTTTCATGACGGTGAGACGATGCAGTCAGCCTGATTTGGCTCGACCCAGTTGAGTGCATACATTTTGCTTGGACCACTGGATTCTGGGGCTGCGTCCAGCTTCAAGATGTCCTTGAACTTAACTTGGCTCGTTCTTCTGCTTTATACTCTCATTATAGCCCTGCCGTCCTTGTACATCCGCAGCGTGCTCATAAATCGGCTTCGGCGCCGCCTGCTATCCTCCCCTGCTCTTGCTGCAATCGTTCCAGGGCAGCCTCCGCCTCGACATTAGCCTTCTCCTCTCGCTGTGCCCGTCTCGTGTTCCGCACGTCCCACAGGCCCTCCAGATCCATCTCGACCCGCTTCTCTTCCGTAAACATCTGCACCACGATACGTGGCGAGTCCGATCGCGAGCCGAACCCGATGTAGTCCTCTGCAGGATTTTGATATTCATCCTCTTCATCTTCTGCAAGTGTCTCTTGCATCTTCCTTGTCATGGTAGCGTTCGTGGGAGCAGACGAGGAGACGCGCTGTCCCTCACGCTGTCCCTCACCAACCTCTACCTCTATGTCTTCTTCACCTTCACCCTCTTGGATTTCCGGCGTCACAGCCTCATCGACCGGGCCCATATTTACGCAGATCCACCCCGTGGTGATCCCGTCATCGGCATCCTTCATCGCAACCGTATTGCCCACGCTCTGCGCCAACTTCATCTTCCTCGCCTTCCTCCTCAGCTTCAGTTTCAACTCGTTCCTCCCGAGTAACCCGTCCGCGTACGGTCTCAATTTGTGCTCCTTCCTCACCCAGCGGCAGAAGCGGTCGGCGGAGACGTTCAAATGCTTGACAGACCGCGCAGTGCCAATGATCATCAGGAGGTTGGAGCCTAACGCGGGTGGTGGATCGAGCTGCCGCAGGTCTAGGAGGATGAGGTTATCCAGCCCGATCTGCGTGGACAGGTGCGCGAGGACAGGCGAGAGGATCGGTGGAGGATCGTGTGGCAAGGGCGGGATCTCCTGCAGAGCGAGCAGGGGGGATATAGGAGAGGGCGGAGTGGGATCTTCAATTTGGAGGTACCATGGAACCGCAGAAGAAGGCGGAGGCGGTTCTGATGAGGATTCTGACGAATATTGCACCTCGGATTGTTTCAAAGGCGCAAAGCGAGTAAATCTTCGAGTGGGTTGGCTTGTCAGCCGGGAAACTCGTGGAGGGCGAGAGACTTGAACTAGGACTGAAATCCCAGCGAGAGAAGTAAATGCCTCGAGAATTGAATATCGACAGGATGTGCACCGCACCATCGATCGATGCATCTTGTAACACTGATTTCGGACAAAATAATGGCACGGAGAAAGAAAAACTGCAAGCAAATAGTCAAGATGACAATGGCGGGATGGACGTGGACTGGAGCGAATGTTTTTCGATGAAGAGCCGCATCCAGAGTGGATGTTCAATCACCTGTCGGGACAATGTTGATCCTTGTCCGACACCCACAGTCTCCGCCCCCCTATTCGACCTTTCTCAGCCTTGCGACTGACCCCGTAACCACATCGTGGTTTGCAAGCCGCCGGAAGACTGAGAGGACGTATTCAGCAATAGTGGAACAGCATTAATATGGCGATATCTCATTCACCAATTATGGACCCATAAACAAGCACAATATATCCTTCCGGCCAGGAAGCAAAGTACGGAGCATGATGCGAGAAGGGCTGCGCAGGAAAGTTGACGGACCCTCTCGTCCGAAATTCTGCGACCAGTGTTTATTTCGGCGACTTGCTTTCTTCTGTCCCAGCATCCTGCTTTTTGGAGACATGGCCAAAGAGTTGACGCCTTCTTGGGTTTGTGGAGATTCACCTCTCTCAAGTTGCTTCTTTGACCTTGTCACTAATGCTCCCCCACCCTTCGTTCCAGAAATATAGTCTCAGCATGGCATTGCTGAGTCTAACCTGTTGAGCCAAGCAGAAGCCATCACCTTCAGCCTTTCCATCAATGCTGGACATCACTTGGAAATATGTTGCTTGGCGATTTGAGGACTCACCAACGAGATGTTTTGTGCACCCACTGCAGCCAAGGCAAGCCTGATCACCAAAAAAATTGTCCACAGTCTCCCCTGCTTGAACCCTCAATCCACACCCACACAAAGTCACAATTGCGAAGGTGCAAAACCTCTGTCTCGACGGCGTCCACAAAGTGCGGGCGCCGTCGAGGTAAGTGAAACCCTCCGTGTTGGAGGCGTTTTTCTCAGCTCAGTTCGACGAATCGCAATCATCCTCTAAAGCGCCCAATTAAGTGTGAAAACATGGTATGCCGACGCTCATGTAGTCAGGGACGGGTTGGCTTCATCCGAGTTGCTGACAGGAAATGCGGCAAATAAAGATATAAAGCAAGAATTTGTGGACAGGTGGAGGCTGGTGTGGCGGAAACCTCTGCCATGAGAAGTCTTGATGGAAGTCACATGCGAGGTTTCGACTTTGGCGTACACGTCCAGCTGCTCTTCACCAGAGTGTCAGTCGGCTATACCGCTCAATGGATTGTGCAAGGCGAGTCCTGCGTACGGTGCCATGGCTGTGAGCCAATAGGTCTTGTCACCATTCAGAAGGTTTATATCTGCTCCAGGCGAAAAGAGCTCCAGGCTCTCATGATGCTGCTCGGGACCTCATGACTTTACAGAACTCAGCTATAATTCTACGTCTTGCCAAAGCAGCAGTTCGATCTTCTGGCGTTCCTCGAAGTCACCTACACACGGAAGCTTCACAACTGGCTGTTGTTTCACGACATCGAACTCTCATCCCACTTTGAGCTTTCCGTCAGCTTTGCCTTTGACCTTTCAGCTTATGCAGAACATTGCCATCCTCCTTTCTGACTGCATCGCAACCTGATGGTCTTGTTGATGCTATCGCCCACTGACGAGAGAAGCAGCTACTGATTTTCTGAGGAGCCTGACTTTCTTGGTCCATGTTCACTTCCCATTTATTCAGCAAAAGTCTCTATGGCCGCATCAAACAGCGCGATGAACGGCACTTCATCTTCTTCCCCCACCACTATGGCTGCTTGCGCATCGACTCCACCCACTACTCCGGCGGAATCCACGTCGATAAGCGTCACGTCTGAACCAGCATTCTCCCCAGCGTCTGACCGATTGGCACAGTACATCCAGTCTCGAGTCGAAAAGAAACATCGAGAGAAAGAGATCATTCGCAGCAAAGTGGGGCAGGCGAAAAAAGAGCTCGATGATAACCGCGATCGCGAATCCAAACTGCGCAAGACTCTGGTGGGAGAGGAGCAGACTCTTGTAACAGAGAAGAAGAGTCTTGAGAAGATCGACAACAAAATCAAGCAAGCTCGAGAGCAGTACAAGTCCAAGCAAAAGGAAGTCGCTTGCGTGCAAAAGTCCGTCAATCAACTAAGAGGGGCAATCACTAAGGTCGAGGGTTCCATCCGCGATGGCGAGACCAATGTTAAGGAGTGGGAGCAGGAGCTGGAAGATGGGCTTGAAAGCGAAACCGCCGAAATCACTCGTCAAGCCAATATACTTGACATGAGTGCTTCAGAGATCGAAGCTATGGCGATACATGCGGCGACCAACCGTGCCTTCGGAGATAAAATCGCGAGGGCGGCCCAAGACACAGCGACTTCAGTCATGATCAGAGAGATCCAAAGCGATATGTATAGCAGAATGACAGGCGTTACTCCCGACGAGTTCAAAGACCTGATGCAGCGAATCCAATCCACCAAGGAAGCACTGTTTGGCGAAGCCACGTGCGAAGAGGGCGATGACGCAGACGATGCGTCCGAGGAATCTGAGAGCGATCGCGACAGAATTGGAGACTCCAAAGAAGTTTGCGCCGACAAGGCTGATCCGGAAGAAACGGACAGCGATGATAAGATCATCAGCCCAGGCCGGCGAAGAAGCAAGCCCTCAGACAAGAAACCGCCCCCGAAAAGAAGAAGACTCATCCGTACGTACCAGTCCTCGGGACGGCAGACGCGGAAGGAAAGACCGTCTCGTCAACGCCCCCGATCTCCGCCTTCGCGGCCCAAACCAGAACCGTCCCCCGTTCAACACCCTGCTGATTTCATGAGGGTAGTCGAAACAGCAACCGGGTCGACAGAGTTCGGAGTTATGCAGCGCGACAAGGAACCCGTCCGGAACTTGGTTCGCAAGGACCCAATCCAGCCTCAAAGTCCTGGCCCCGAAAAGTAGACATACCAGCACAGCGGCCGAGCAGGCGGACCAGGACACCGCCATTTCCGCGCCAACCACACTTCAAGCCGCTGGGACAAACCAAGAGAAAGTCTAGGGTCCTGGTCTCAAAGTCCACAGACAACAACATGGGGGGTGAGTCACGAGCTTTTATGCATGAGGAGAATCGGGACATTTTCCAACAGTCATGTGCTGAAGCACATCGACGTAGACTCGAAAGCCTAACGACATGGATTTCATCATATGGCTTCGAATGGACTGGGATAGGGAATTCCCTTTGCTTCACACTTGGGATAGGGCGGATAGAATGGATCAAACAGATGAATATACCAGCTATGGTATCTAGCCGAAGCAGAGCGCGCGAAAATATGACATGGAAAATACAGCAACGAAGAATCGCATTTGTGTCGTGCACGTCGTTTATGTAGGACCAGGGCGAGACCACGTACATTGACATCCTCCATACTCACGTCCTCCCCCCTGATCTCTTGACCGGGGGAGTCTGTCTCGTCAAGTCCTTCCCAACTATTGTAACCCCCCAGTCACACATACACTGATCCGCGCCCACATAGGTAACCTGGGGTACACAGCTCCCCCATCGCCTCCCTGGATGAAGGACGGACACCCAGAATGGGCTCCTGACTCGCCAAACATTCACGGCTCCATCTTCATATACACATCGCCGCCGGCACCAGCGGACGCTGAGCGTGGGTGTTTTGCCGCTGGTCGTGGAGGTGCCGGTGCCACTGTTATCGTGTCTGAAATCGTATCCAGGTCCTCCTCGACTTTGGAAAATCCACCAGCGGCGCTTGGGCCCTGGGTTCCAGGTTCGCCGGCCGGCGCGGCTTCCATCGCAGCGGGGTCTTCGACGGTGTCGGCATCACTCTCCCGGCCCCTTTGTTCTACATCTCCATCCTCGCCCACCACTGCCATCGCATTCTCGTCTCTGCGCCGGATGATCTTGTCCGACATCCACTGGAAGACCTGTTCCCTGTTCTGGATCATGATCTGGTTCAGAACGTCCCCCTCACTCTTCACAAGCCGGCCGTATCGCTTGCTCACTTTCCCACCTTCCTTTTCCTTCTTCCACAGGCTGTGCTTGGCGCTGACAAACACCAGCGAGTTTTCGTGGTACCACTGACTGACCCAGTGATGGCCCCCGGGATTGCTTATGGGGCGGATCGGCTGGGTGGATATGAAACACACGATCCCCACGAGGTTTGGATAGACGTTTTCGTTCTCCGACACCAGTTTCGCGATCGCATGGCACGCGTGGCCCGCGCCTATGAGTACAATTCCCCAAGGGAAGTCGTAAGGTTCAATGTAGTTTTCCCAGAGGTACGAGGCAAGTTTCTGGCCTTCCTTTCTCGCAAGATCGGTCGCTGTGGAAGCGTACTCGACATCTGTAGACAATCCGTATGGGTGTTCGGTATCGTCAACGGGAGAAACCGTGACAAACTCGGGAATATTGACATCGATGACACCCATGCCGTGGGAAACCGCCCACTCGACGTACGACTGTGTGCCGTCAACCTTTGTATGTGTGAGCAGGTTGGAATGGTCCATCATATGATCGGGAAGTCAAGGGGGGGGGGGGGGAAGAGAAGTGAAGACGGAGCAGCGAGAGAAGGAAACGTACGAGCCATGTGTCATGGGGTTTCTGTTGCGTGGAGGAGAGGCCATTGTTGGGGCTGAGAAGATCAGGTCTGCAGCAGAACTTGTCAGACGCCTGTTTGAGATGGTCTAATCGTACAGTGCAGCACTTACGAGTCATGGAATATGATCATCAAAGCTTCCTTGTTCTCGTAATTGGCTCTGTCTTCCATATCAGCCAGGGGTCCAGCATCGGCCTCGCAGATTGCGGCTTACGTGGCGAGGACCTGCTGGTCAAATGATTTTGATACTGTGTCGCGGTAGATATAGAGTTGGGTGAACTTGTATTGGTCATAGAGGTGCTTGGCCTGATACTGGCGGATGATGTCTAGTTGGGAGGAGACATGAGTAAGTTTTTTTTTTTGCAAGGATCCAACAAGGGGAATAGAGCGCGTCCTAAGCTCAGTTCTTACCATGCAATCTCTCTCCACCAAGCATGCCGCCGATCGGGCTCTTGGGATAGATGCTTCTCCAGTACTTCGATTGGATATTTCGAACTTTGGCCACGGTATCCACTGCACTCTGTGTGGCTGCCGTCGCTTGCAGGCGATCAGGTGGCTCACCCATCAAAGTACGTGTGACTGCGAGTGCGGACTTCGAGATAGCACTGAAGTTGTAACCACCTTCCAAACACACGGCAATCCTCCCTCCAGCAAGTGACATCAGCATGTGCGTCATGTGTGCATAGCAGGGCGGTGAGACGGAACAACCACCCAATTCATCACCGGCTGCGGCGTCGAAGCCCGCAGCAATGATAACAAAGTCCGGGTCAAATTCAGTGGCGATGGGCATGACGACGTTTTGGAACGCGTACATGTAATCACCGTCACCCATGCCTTTCGTCGGCCAGGGGATGTTGACGTTTCTTTCGCAGACGTAAGTGTTTGTCACAATGGAGTGAGTGAAAGTTCATGGACTTACTTTCCCTTGCCAGCGTCAATGCCACAGTGATCCATGTCGCCTTCGTTCCCTGAAGGATAGAATGTTCCGTTCATATGGACATGCAAAGATATGTAGAGAACATTGGGGTCATTGTAGAAGGCTTGTTGGCAGCCATTGCCTGAAACACGTCAGTCTGAGCGTTACATCTCAAAAGTGCAGCTTGGCTGACCATGATGGACGTCCCTGAAACCCTTTGGCATTAGCTTTATATTCAGATACCACTGCGCCGAAGACAACTGACCAATCCACAATCAGAATTTTCCGGCATTCGTTCCCAAAATCTTTCTGGCAGACTCTAGAGGCGATGGAGACATTGTTGAAGAGACAAAATCCCATAGGCTGCCCAATCTCGGCATGGTGACCCGGAGGCCGGATGACGGCGATCGCATTCTTTACCTTTCGCGACATTACCGCCCGACATGTCTCGATCGCTGCCCCCGCGGATAGTTTGCCTGAGAAGAATGACAGCCGGTTGAAGTAGATGGAATCCATGTCGCGATGCTCCGCAAGATCTATCAGGTCTTCGTCGCTCATTGCTGCAGTGCGTTCCCCAAGAATTAGCTCGGAAGTTCTGGAGGCGAAGCTCGTTTTCGTGAAAGGGACTTACTAGCGGTGCTCCTGACGAGCTCATATTGCTCTTTCTTATGGACCAATAGACACTCATCCTCCGTGGCTTCACGGGCATCGATTCGATATAGGGGCATCTCCACCACCGGCGGGTGCTTCTTGTCATCCACCAATCCGGCTTGGCAGAGCTCTTTGTAGATGTAATAAATCCGTCTGGGATCTTCAGGATGCACACTTGCGCCGCTCGTTGCTGCCACTTCGGCGTGATATCGCATGCGTTCATCGTAACATAGACCGGTGGGAAGCTTGGAGATCGGCAGACCGCGTTTGGATGGCAGGACAGGTTCGTGGATTTCGGAAGAGGTATCAGATAACAAGCTATCTTCATACTCGTCTTCCGTTGGGCTTTCGATTTTCAAGCGGGTGTCGATATCTGCAGAAACATCCGGGGTCCCTCTCATGGAAGTGTCACCTGACAGAAAGGCAGGCTCTTGGACCCGCAGAACAGGATTGGGAAACCGCGCGCCATCCGAGGAATGAAGTCTTTCCTGGCCTGGTGGCGGTATCTGAGCCATTCTGAATGATCCAAACGGTTGGTGGAATACCAAGGCTGCCTTGAGCTTAGAAGGCAAGCTAGAGATGGGTTAAAGAGGCTGCATAGTGTTTGAGAGAGCCGCGCCAGCAAATGAAGGTTTGTCGTGCCACTCTAGACCAAGAACAGGATCCTCCTCTGAGCGACCTATGAAGAAGATGTTAGTCGCCGAACTAACATCTTTATGTGTTCAGATTGTTGTAGTAGCATGAGAGGACAGATACTAGCGGTTTGGTACATATACCGAACCGCTCTTGGCTAGCAGTATCAAGTCAACAACCACATACCTATGCCGAAGTTTGGGCGCCTTTGTTCTCGGAAGGAGCTTTGCGGGCTTTGATCAAGCTTCTAACAAAGATGATAGAAATCACAAGGTACCAGGGAGTTATTCTAATGACCTAGGAGGCCGTCGGTTGATCTTGTTACGCCTGCTGGCAGCAATCAATCCAACTGGAGGTGGAACGTTTCAGAGGAAGCCCAGCCAGGGATTGCCAAGAGACGCTTCACGTGATGGTGAAGGAAGGCTGCGATCACGTGCCAAGGCTTCGAAACAACCGTTTAGAGCGCGCCAATCCGGAGCATGATAATTTTGTTCTTGCTGGCAATACAGGGAGACTCGCATTTTCCTATCTGAGCTAGGTCGTAGTAAGGATACGTATCGGTGCTTCCAAGCAAACCATATCACCAGGTGAGACTTGATCTATGTTGCGCTTCGTCCCGTCTTTCGCCCCGATCTTCTTTTTACCTCATGCGACACTAACCTCGATTTCCGAAGCCTCGGTTAAGAAAGAATTATTGGCGTTTGTTGAAGAATCGGTGGTACCAAGACCTGTCCTTTAGGCCTTGCCGGCATCAACTTTGGCAATGTACGCTAAATCTCCATGTCAGTTTACCATGTCCCGAATATTCCCGATCGGATAAGGCACTCACCCAAAAGATCGATGACACGTCGGGAATATCCCCACTCGTTGTCGTACCAGGAAACGAGCTTGACGAAGTGGTCATTGAGGGCGATTCCGGCCTTGGCGTCGAAAATGGAAGAGTGGGTGTCGCCGTTCAAGTCACTGGAGACGAGGTCATCCTCGGAGTATGCCATGACACCTGCTCTTGGTCAGACACTCTGATCGAAAGTAGCGGACCGGCGTTCGTTTTGTCTTACCTTTGAGGCTGCCGGCGCAGGCGTCCTTGATAGCTTGCTTGATTTCATCGTAGGACGCAGGCTTCTCCAAGACGCAGGTGAGATCCACCACGGACACATTGGCGGTGGGCACACGCATGGACATGCCGGTGAGCTTGCCATTGAGAGATGGAATAACCTTGCCCACAGCCTTGGCGGCACCAGTGCTGCTGGGGATAATGTTTTGAGCTGCGGCACGGCCACCTCGCCAATCCTTGGCGGATGGTCCGTCGACGGTCTTCTGGGTAGCGGTGTATGAGTGAATGGTGGTCATGAGGCCTTCCTTCATGCCAAACTTGTCGTTGATGACCTTGGCGAGAGGTGCCAGGCAGTTGGTTGTGCAGGAAGCGTTGGAGATGACGGGGATGTCGGACTTGTAGGACTCGTGGTTGACACCCATGACGAACATAGGGGCATCGGCTGAGGGAGCAGAGATGACGACCTTCTTCGCGCCACCTTTCAAGTGGGCAGAAGCCTTTTCTGTGGTTGTGAACACTCCAGTCGATTCAACAATGTACTGAGCACCAGTCTCCGACCACGGGATCTCGGCGGGGTCTCTCTTCATGTAGAAAGTGACTTTCTTGCCGTTGACGACCAAGGCATCTCCCTGGACCTCGATTGTGCCCTTGAAAATACCGTGAATGCTGTCATACTTGAGCATGTATGCCTGCGAGCGAGGTGTCAACAGGCAATTCGACATCTGGGAGGATAAGGAGGGGTACGTACAGCGTACTTGGGCTCAATGAAGGGGTCGTTGACAGCGACGACGTGGACATCGTCGTGCTCGACACTAGGAGTGCTGCAGTTAGAAGGACAGGCACTTTCGGAGTCGGACGAAGGGTGTTGGGTGAGAGACTCACGCATTTCGGAAGACCTAGCTTGCTGTTAGCTGTTTCGGTCAGGAACAATGCTGGCTGCGACTTACAATTCTGCCAATACGGCCAAAGCCGTTGATTCCGACAAGAGTAGCCATGTTGTCGTCGAGGTGTGTAGACTGCTGAGGTGCAAAATTTACCTGGTCAGTCTCGAAAGGCAGAATCTCAATGGCAGCTTGCGACGAAGGGAACACGAGGCGGAAGCAAAACACTGAAGGGAGAGGACTGCGAACAACTCACATGAAATTTAAATGAGGATTAGGATTCGGATATCCGGATTGCAGCGGTCGACGTAAAGAGTAGCTTGGTATAACTCGAGGAAAGAACAAAGTGGTGTGACGGGAGGATGAGGAAAGCTTTTTGTTGTCCCTGCGAAACCAAGTGGTGAGTAGAGTGACAGGTGAATAATGGTGGGGCAGTGTTGATGTTGAGGGGCAAAGCTGGTCCTGCAAAGCACGGGTGTCCTTGGCCGACGACAGCCAGTGGCCCTTGCGGTCTTCCGGTCTCCCATCGACGGCCTTCCGGGGGCACGACGAAAATGGCTGCGATAACTTACCTGATACTCTCACTGCTACTTCCGCCGAAGAGCGATAAATACACGGCGCTTTTCTGGGTTGGGGGGCTGTTTGGAACGAGATCTCTGGATGCTGGTTCCTTCTCAATCCCCCCCTCCAAATCTCTACGGGCTCCGATACTTATATTGCGGTCTGTTCTTGCCCCAGGGCCTGTTCACGCAGATCACAAGGTCTCCAGCGAGAAAGCTTTCACAGGCATATGCAGCATATGCACCGAGCATGACTCAACAGACCGCTGATTATCACATACCTGGTCTGATGGAGGAAAAGCAGCAACAATCGCAGACAGCCTGTTTTATCCAATCGCCTGTCTTGTCTGTTCTGGTTATGCGGCACTGGCCTCGGATAATCCCATTGATCCGCGAATCCCTCCGTCGCAGCCGCGCTCTTTTCATCGACAGGGTTGATCGAGCAGGATTATTACAAGAGCAGCTCCAAGTTTTGCTGGCGCCTAGCAAATCGTCTACAAGTAGCACAGGGCATATTCGTGAGATCAGAAAACAACGCATACGCAAGAGACGACGACCATACATCTTTGCAGACGGTGAGCAATGAATATTTTTGTTCTAATGTCTTTGCCAGGAACCAAAAGCGTATCTATTCCCTCAACCTGGTGGCGGATCATGGTCATTCCGACTCAACTGGCGCCGCTATTCCTCCTTTGCTCCGCCCCGACCTGCGCGCTCAGCAGCTTCGATGCTAGCCTTATCACTCTTTGTTTCGCCCTGTCCCATACCCATCATGCCCCCGGACGCTTTCCATGGCCTCTTAAGCTCGCCCACCGCAGGCTTGCCAAAGATGTGGACCTTGACCAAGTTTGACTCCAGCGCACCCTTCACGGGAATAATGGATTGAATGAGAAGTGGGTTGGTGTATTTGAGATACAAGTGCATGAATGCCATCATGCCGACGCCCATCAGCTGGCCCTTGTAGGCCGCCGACAGCTGATTTTGATCATATTCTTGAATCGTCGTGGTCACGAGCTTGGGATCCTCGCCAGAGCCCATGGGCGCAGGCTCGACATATTTCAGTGTCGTGAGATCTGCATATTATCATCAGCCCGCATCTTTCCAGAGGGACGGCCTTTCCTTCGGCGTACCTCGCTTCGCTTTAATCTTAATGCCGATATAGTAGTAGAGCCCGAAGATGAGCAAATTGGACACGACGTATAGGATCCGTACGCCCATCAAAACTTGAGGGTCGTCAAAGGGTATCCGCTTCGAGACCTGCATCATCCCAAGGATGATCACCAGGTTGGTGCTGCAAACCGTCAGTCACGAGCCCAGGCATCCGACCGGCTAGAAGATCGTACACTTGAGGATTCATGAAATTCATGGTGAACGGCGTGGGATTGAACGTGTGGAGAGAAGAGGGATGGGTGATCACAGTTACGGATCTTCTTGAATTGAGTTATGGGAGCAGACTCTCGGAACAACGGTCCCTCCAGAAGAGACAAAACGGACAGATTGCTATATCGCAATTTCGTCCGCCAAGCGATTTGGAGAATGGAGAAGAAAATGAAGTGGGTGGCGGGAAGCGCAAGACGCAATCTGGCCCGCCACGTCAATTTGAGCCTCGCCTCTAGGCACGTGAGCACAAGCTGAACTGGTCGAAGTCTTCAATACCCGTCGGTGCCATCCTAGAGGACCTCCCAAGCGTTGCCCTTCCAGGCAATATCCATTGGAAGATCTCTTCGTATCCCATTTCTTCCTGCGGACCACATGCTCTGCGCGTATTCTGCGCAAAATGACTGAATCCGATTGAATTCGCGCCCTCCACTGCAGCCCACGTCCGTCGATGAGGCAGGAAGGATGGCGTCTCGTCCCTGTCATGGCATTCCCGCTGGGCAGTATTGCGACGTGCTTTACTATGGCAGCACAGTTACGTTGCTTACCATAGCGTCGAGGCTGCCTATGCTGGCTGTCTAAGATGCCAGCTCTCGAGTGTGCTCTGACAGTGGCGCAGCGCTTTGAACTGGCAGTCGTTCGTCCGGTTTGGTCGAAGTATTTCATCTCCAATGTAGAGCTTGCCGCTCAGTGACCATTCTCCATCTCCTCCTCTTTTGCTTCTCCATCGCCCAAGACCTTGACTCCGATCTTCCCATCCGGCCCAGGTAGAGCGCCTCCACCAGGCATGACACTCGCGACATTCCCTTCCTCGTCGACAAACTCAAATCGATATCGTGACAGGTAGTGCGGAATGGCGCTCAACTGCGGCCCATAGCGTGCGGTGTTATCGTACAGCTCGAACAGGGGAACGGCCAGCAGTTTCATGTTTTTCGGCACACTGAGCACCTTGTTGGGCGGGAGATGAATCAGGTAGAGTTTCTTGAGCTCTTTGGGGCGAGAGACGTGGGCTGGGAGGAATGGATAGAGAAAGGTTTCGAGATTGGGACGCCACCTGGGATGATGTTAGAGACTATCATCACTGATGGAAGTTTCCGATAAGAAATACAAACCATTGCGCGAGACAGTCTCCCACTTCCCATTCCGTGTCGCCTTCCTTCGGATTCGTGGGTGCCAACCTCTCGTTCAGCCGCATTTTGAAGCCTTCGATCTCGTCCGCATCATGGGGAAGATAGTCCCCGGGTCTGTTCCAAGGCGTTGCTTGTCAGTCAAGACGACGAATCAAGGTGGCACCAGGGATTTGCGCAAGACTTACAATTTGAAAAAAGCATTCGCAATCTGCAGCATGAGCACGTGCGGATGGTTGTGTTCGTGACAGACCAGGATGCCCTCACAAGTCCGTCTCATGCCATATTTCTCATAGTGTTCTTCCAGTCTCTTTAACCTGGCCACGACTGAAGGGTCCTCCTCAGGTTGGGTTTCTTTGGTTCCAAATGTGTAGTTCGAAAGCGGATATAACCTGAGAGTCGGTGGTTGATTGGCTGTGAAAGGAGGTGGCAGAATGGGCCTTTTCGCAGGTTAGGTCTCAGTACTTCAATGGCTGTAGACAGACTCGTACGGGAAGGAAGATTTCAATGTGGTTGTGGTGAGTGTAGACATGGTGATTTCATCGGTGTGGTGACGCTAACCACGTGTTTGAGATGAGAAAGTTTACAAGTGCTTAGACAGTTGAAAAAAAAAATGACGGAAAGAGAAAAAGAGGGAGAAGAGGCGGTTAGATGAATACTTGTGAAACCATAAGTCTCTTTGCTCAATTGGAAATGAGGGTTTCCAGGTGTTGCATGTGCGTGCAAGCTGCGCCGAAGTCGCGACGCGCCCTCACCGAAACCCGAGATCTCTGGCATTGTATTCCAGCCTCGTCACATGTCTCCGGTCCGCTGCAAAGCGGCCACTTATGAAACAGGAGACGAACGATTTAATCTTGTGCGAGGTCTGCTGATCTTTTATTGAAGTGTATCGTGAGATCTATGTCTACTTTACAGATGTATGGCGACTTTGCCAACAACGCCTCGCTATGTTCTGCTGTCAGGGCGATGACAATAGCAGTGACAAGCTCTTGAATCCTCGTCTCCAAGGCAAGGCTGCGACCTCGTTCAACCTCACAACTTAGATTCAAGGTCCTCAAAACTCTGCAGATCTTCGACCGGAATAGGTCCTTTGGTCACTTCCAGGCCAGCTTTCCACATCGCGACATCTTTGATTATGACAGGGGTTGGGATTTGTGCAGCCACCTCAGCAACATCCTTCGGCGGCTCAACTGGCTTGATCTTGAGCGCAATTTGCATTTGCGGGATGGCTTCTGTCATCTGTTTGAGGATTTCATTGCTCTTCGTCGGTGGAGTCGACTTCCCAATGTATTCATTGACTGCATTCGAGACTTCGGGCAGGCTCGAAAGGTCAACTTTTGCGAAATGAAGCTTCAATTTTTCTTCGTCAACAGCAATGCTCAGAGATCCAAGGACCTGTCCAATGAGCCCCACAAACTGGTCCTTCTGTTCGGCTGGTGAAATTTCCGGCACTGAGCTTGAAGCTTGGGCCTCGAGATGAATCGACAGTTTTCTCCGCTTTGGCGACTCTGGGTCGATATACTGTGCATAAAAGCCCTTCATATCATCCTTGGTCAGCCGTCGGATTACGGCGACATCTCGGTCCACTTGGTGGAAGTTCAGATATTCCGCGCTGATGTAGGCCCACAGGCGACCGGTCTCGAAGTCGAGGTTTTTGAGCTTTTCCAATCGTTTGTTGATTAGGCTGCGTTTGTGGCCCTCGAATTCTTCGTCCGGCATCGACTCCAAATCCGATTTGAACTTGAGCAGAAAGGCATTGATCCGCGTTTCAAGGTAGTCTGGATCTCGTTCGCTCTGTATCAATACCCTGTAGCCCATCGTGGCGGCTGCAGGACGTATCCCGCTCCATACCACGTAGCCGAGCTGTTCCTTGGTCCTCAACTGATCAAAAGCTGGTTCATCCGTCATTTGACTGAGCAGCTGTACTTTCGCTCGCAGATCTAGATCCATAACGTTGCCGACATCCAGATAATATTCAATTGCATGGTTGATATTGGCGGGATCACCCAACACTTGTTTGTAGACGAAATTACTTCCTTCCGGCAGGATGACATTCCTTCGCAACAACCATTCCGAGGGAGGAAATGCGCGTGATTTCAGGGTGGACTCGATCAGATTACCAATTTTCTTGGCTTCTTCTTTGTACAAGTTTCCATGTGCCAGCACTTCAAAATGTGCCTGTTGGAGGAGTTCTGGAACAAATGTTCTGATGTCGTCTACTGTGATGTGCGGAAGTTCCTTGGCATAGGCGTCGTTCATCCACGAGCGTTCATTCAATAGCCATCTGGTGTAGTCTCCGATCTGATAGTACGGCTGCTGATATGCCCAGTTCTTATATTTCCTGGACATGCGCTCTTTGATGATCTCGAATCGATCCGTTCGGATCTCAATCGTTCGCATCGTTGTCAAAATCTTCTCCAAGAGGACGGCCATCTTGTCGTTGTAGCCGTGCACGCTAATGTCGAAACCAAGCATGTCGGGGCCGATAGCGTAAGAGAGGCCAGAAATCTCGGCGTCATAAGAGTAGCTTGACAGAGCATCCTTGACGAGGTTGATGAAAAGATTGGTCTTGACGAAGTTCGCTGTGTTTGCAGAGGTAACGGTATTTCGGATCTTGATTTGCAGATTGGCCTTTGGCACCCAGAAGGTATCATCCTTTTTCCACCATAGACGGACCTTGTCGTCATTTCGAAGCAACTTTGGCGCCTTTGCAGGTACCTTGACCTCCGCCTTCTCCACATCCAACTTGGTAGGAATGAATTCATTCTTGTGCGGTAGATGGAGTTCCGGTATACTGTTTGATTCCGAATCGGCCAATGCCTTTCGGATGTCCGAGAGCACATCGGTGGGTATTCTCTCGACTTTGTACTCTGTCCCGTACCACTTTTCTTTCTGGTCCCAGTCACCGGGGTATTCTTGGGACACTATCATAAGCCTGAAATTGTCTTCGCGGAGATATTGCATGGCTTGCACAATGGCTTGAGCATCGAACTTTCTGAACTTACTGGTACTGCTGAGCAGCAAGTTTCGGGGCAAATCGGGCTTCTGCAGCACACAGCTCACGGCGCTGGTAAACCGACTGGCAGGAGACTTCTGGCGGAATCTAAAATCCACATCCGCCATATTCTTCATCTCTTCGTGCATCCAAGCCACTGGGGGCGTTGCCCTCATCATTCCAATGTACCGGAAAACAATCTTGACGACCTCGTGATAGTTTTTCAGCCCATCAGGAGTCAATGAGATGTCTATCTCGAAAAAGGCAGATCCTGGGCAAACAGGATGGTAGCCAGCGGACAGGGTTTGAGCCAGACCTCTGTGTTTGAGATAAGCCAATATGCTGCCAGGACCTTCGTGCCCGATCAAGTGACTGACAAAACGGGCAGGTTGGGTCTCCCACATGTTTTCTTCATCTTGCCAGGGGAAACTTATCTCCAAAGAACGTGACTCCATGACTGGTTTTGCGTAGATCTCGACCGACAATTGGTCTTTGCTGAGCACTTCAACACCATCCCAGCGGTTCTCAGGCAAGTCTTTATTCTTCACTTCAGAAAAAAGCTCCACTACCCAGTTTTCTAGTTCATCGAGGGACTCACGGCCCAGAACGACGAGCTTCATTCTGTTTGCCGAGTAATGGCGTTCATAGAAACGGATGAACTCATCGCGGATCTTGACACCCTTTTTCTCGGGCTCGTCCCTCAGGGTCTGCAGGTTACCCGTGGAGAAATGGTGGAATGGATGTTTGGGATTTGAGAGCGATTTTGCCAACTGAGATAGGCGCCATCCGTCACTTTGTAGGTTCTTCTTGTTTTCTGAGTCCACCGCTCTCAACTCTCTGTCCAAAGTGTTCTCTAGAAAGAGCGGCTTTACGAAGAATTGTGCAAACCGGTCCAGGGCTCCATACAGAGGTCCTCTCGACATGCTATTCATCGCGCCTTCGGTAGTCCCATTCACTACACCATTGGAAAGTTTGTCGTTCGACTCGTGCTGCGCCGCACATTCAAAGAAATAGTTTGTCTGCGTAGCGGCAGTGTATGCATTTGAGTGCCCAGAGTTCGACGAGAGGAAGGAACTGTATTCGTTCTCTACGGGGTACTGTTTGATCGGTCAGCATCGCAGACAACAGAGACTCAAGTGGGTGATCTGAACGCACTTTCTCGGTACCCATGAAGAGCAAGTGCTCGACGGCATGAGCCATACCGGGCATGTCCTCTTCGTCTGAGAAGTTTCCAACATTGACGTTAAGACTTGCGCTGGCTTTGTCGGTCTCTGCATCGTGGACGAGTAGAGCCTCGAGCTTGTTAGAAAGCTCGATGACTCGGTAGGATCTGTCGTCAAGGTCCGGTTTCTCCAAGTCATCTGTTATGTGCCTGGCCGAGTTCATGACTGTAGCGAAGGACCGAGTCGAAGATGTCGGCGGCAATCGAGGAGTCGTGGCCAGAGGCTTGGATGACGGCCGAAGGCGGGACGGTGAAGAGACTCGAAGAGGGATGAGAGCCAAGGATGCCAGGCGAACGGAAAATCTCATGTAGAAGAAGTTGCCCGTTTGGAATGATCCAGGCAGGCACAAGAATGCGTCACGGTTGAACAGAGGCCAGGATCAAGTAATCATGGCGGGATGGCAAGGTCGGCGGTGGCATTCGAAGGAGCAAACATCTCAAACATTGGCACCTCCGTGCGTCTGCGCCTGCGCCTGACCAGCCTGCGCCTTGCCGCCTCTGACCAGCCACGCAGCCTCCATCCACGCTCCATCTGCAGCCTTATGCCAAGCCAAATTGAGGACCTTCACAAAGGATTTCTACTCTACCTACCTCGATACGATCGCTGGGTACAAGCACGGGACCTTTTCCTGCCATCACAAACTCCAAGGCAGGTCGAATGCACACTCACTCAGCTGGACATCATTGCGAAAATGTCGGGGCAAACAGCCTGGTCACGCGTGCGGCGAACAATGCATAAGAGGACACGGAATGCTGCAGGCCCCCTCCTCCGGCAGCGCAATGCGACACGCCAACGGCCTCGTATCTCACAACATCATGGTGATTGCAGGGCGGTCTGTGCCAGTCTGTGCTGCCTGAACAACCCTTTCAGACGTCATTGAAAGGTCGCACAGTGCCAGCGCAAAGACCACGCACATAATGTCAGTTTTGACTACGATGGAACTACATAATACTTGCAGGTGGAGCTCTCGCTGCAGGAGGCTAATTGGCCCCTGTGTGAGCAAGCTATAGCTGACGAATGCAGTACCCGCGTCGGGATACGACACCGTGACCATACCGTCGAACTGATGCGTGTCTGTTGAAGCGGAAGGGAGTGATGGGATATGTCGAGATGCTAACTCATTGCACGATCACTACACTTTTCGTCCTTCCGCTGGTATACGCAGAAAGACTGTCGCTCTCGATGGCCGGGTGGCCCCCTCCTACTAGAACATTCCCTCCAAACGCCTGTTCTCTACTTGTCCTACTCACGGCCACTCATACCAAAGAAGAAGCCAAAATGTCTATTGGCGCTTGAAGGCCAGCAAACAAGCTGCCCGTACTTGCACTAGTACCGCTCTTCCCGCTGTACCTTTCCTTGTCTCCAGCTCACTGGACCACATACCCACTTCCACTCGGAGTCCATATGCATCAACCGCCACATGGAATTGTCTGGAAGGAGTAGCATTTCGCGTTGGTCTACTCTGGCCTCCTTTTGACCAAGTGCCACGTCTATGGGGTTCATTAGCCACAGTCCAAGCAGTCGATCGGAAGGAGGTACGTACACTGCTCATATTGACGTATGTAGCACGCATCCTTCCATTTGAAACCAAAACTCCTCTCCCACAGCTCTTCAGGTGCCTCTCCCGTCAACCATGGGCATACCAGCAACTTGTCTAATTTGTCGGTCAGGGTCAGAATACGCACTGTCTCGTCTTGTGCATTGACCACCACGGAAAACCTCCTTGAACGGAGAAGGGTGGTGTAGCTGAAACTACGGATCTCTTCTCGGCAGGCTGCATCTCGTCGACCGATGAGTCTGCGTTGTGTTTGATAGGCGACTGAGGTGGTTGAGCAGTCGTCACACATTCGGCAAGTACTCCGTTCTGGACTTAATAGAAGCTTGTTCAACCGGCTGAGCGCGTGGGAGTCCTGGTCCTCTTCGTGACGCGGTCCATCGTATACCCCACGGCACGGTCTAGCATGACGTAGCTAGGGCGATGAACTGGCCTGCTTGGCCCGTTTTGAAGTCGGCAGTCTATTGCTGCGGTTTCTTCCAAGTCGAGGGCGCAGCCACCATAGAAGATGCTTCATACGAAGTCCCATATACTAGGAAAGCAGATAACAGAGCCAAGTGCCTCGAAAACCATGGCCAGTTAATTAGAGTGTTACTGCCGTTGCTGCTCCAGCCGATCTACCGGCTTTCGCCGTGGGCGCATCTCTCCGCCTGTGTCTTCATGGCGTCCAGCTGTTTGCCCAGTACTTTCCTGTCTCTCCTCCGTTCCCTCTTTGTCGTCTTTGAATTCTTCCAAGATTTTGCTCAACAAGGTCATCACGTTTTCGACGGACTGATACATGTGGTTCGTTATTGTGCCCGAGTCATTTGCTTTCTCATGCTGTGCTCGTACGAGGATGCAGAATCGAATTCAAGATTTAGTTACACAGTCTGAGGACCAAAAGAAAGTGGACCTCTCTCAGAATGAATCATTCGCGTATGTTCATGTTCCGACGCAACAGTGTTCCTGTCACTTATCTATAGATTGGGCCATATCCAAGTTGACAGCCGGTCGTCGTTGTTGAGCATTTCGCCGATATCAGAGATAGCGTATACCCTCGGACTCCATCGGAAACCGCGCCACTTTCTGAACTCGGCTCGGCTGGTGGTATTCGAGGCCGCCAGAGACCAGGACGCATGCGCGAGCTCCGGGGTTGAATGGACGATTACAAGGAGCGCAATTGCAAGAGTACGAGGGTTGGGTCACTATTTGGCCTTTTGAAAGAACCGGCCTCGAAGTTTATGGAAGGGTTCCGTGGATGAGTTTCATGATTGTGGACCATATGACGAAGCGCGGAGCCGAGGACATGGCTCATGATTGAAGGACATCACTAGCAACACTGGATAGTACTCGTAGTTAGGTGAGCAGCGAGGGCTGTGTTCGTAATTCCTATAGGTGGGGCGTTGAAGCTGAAACGCCCAGCCTTCGACTGTTGGATCGGCAGAATGCGCAGTTGCTAGCCACAGAAGAGGTTTGCAGACTTCAGAAGCTGAGCTGGGTGGCGAAAATCTAGGTCGAGATCACTGCTAATGGAGATGGGTTCAGCCGTGTCAGAGTTAGGTGTGAACACTTTCGCCTGTGATTGCGCGTGTGTAGAAATGAACATGTAAGGGAGATAGTAAACGCCTGTATCTTGTCAAGATCACACACGTGATAGAGGGTTGATGCATGAGGCCGCCGTTACCCCGTACGGAGTACTCGATACAGAGTACAGAGAATCTCATACAGCTGGGAGCTCGCAACATAAGGTTAAGCTTGAAAAGATGGCGACGAACGCACCCCATACCCAGCCGTCGGTGCAGGCATACCAAAATGAACCAACCATCCATATTTTGTTTACATCGTTCAATTTAGGTCTAGTGCGACGAGGCTGGTGTGTCCACCACTAAAGACTTGGCCAATGGGGATAGAGAAGACTGGTGGTAAAAGCTTGGCAGTGCGCAATGCCAACCCCTCGCACACCCCCTGCCTTCTGGATTGTTCTCTGCTGCCACCGATATCTTACGCAGTCCCTGCCCATTTGGCTTGCTAGCCACTGAATGTCCCAAAGTCACTTGCTGATCAAGGCTGAACAGGATCGTCTTCTCTCCTAATGGAGGCTGGTTTGCAGTTCCAGATCCCTGCATCACAAGTATATATGACAGGGTCGCTTAGAGGTTTGTGCACGTTCCCTTTTTCATTCATTCAAGACAGTCCGACGCAGGAGCTCTGACCTGATCCCTGGACAACCAAGCAAGTGTGGGTTCTTATATCTCTCCTCCTCCATCTGATATCAGGATACATACATCCTTGCAAAACAGCTGTATCTCATCCAATCATGCCTTCGCGCACAAGATCCGCTGCCGTCGTGGCAACCGCCCTCTCTTTGCTCTCATTTTCTTCAGCACTCCCAAAGCCACAAGCCACCGATCCTGCTCAAGGAGACTACCTGGCTGCCTGCATTGCGGCAACTTCATCTGACCAAACCGACATCTGCAACCCCGATTCCATTGCGGCTATTCAATACTGCGTCGTTTCAACAGCCCCGCCTGGATCTGTTGCAGCCGTGATCGGTGCGATGGTCACATACTGCGCGGAGCAGCGGGAGCCAGCAAAATACAACACTTCTAGCACTGCGGTAGCTTGGAGTAACTCGACAAGAACCACAACTTCCTACACAACCACTAGCTCTCCTGCACCTCAATGGATTCAATGGTCTAATTCGAGCACCACCACCACGAAGCCAAACCCCACGTCTACTCCTTCTCAGTGGGCCGACTGGTCGAGTACGACCTCGAGCACAACAATTTCTCCTTCTCCTCAATGGATTCAGTGGTCAAATGCAACCAGCACGAATTCGACTTCGGAATGGATTGACTGGAATACTGCGAGCCCCAGCGTGACGACTAGTACTCCGGCAGCGGAGACATGGTCTGACTGGACAGTTTCGACTTCAGACGAACCTGTCCCTCCTCAGGCCACGAGCTCCACGTGGGAAGACTGGAGTTCCACCACTCCGTCCGTGGCAGCCACCGAAGCTCCATCGTCAACTTGGGCAGACTGGACGAGTATGCCTACTCTTCCTTCAGCTTCATCGAGCTCTACACTTACCAAGACATGGACCTTTGGTGCGACTTCGTCTGTTTCCGTGGGCATCTCGAGCAGCACACCAGATACACCTATGGCATCTACTTTTGTTGGTGCTGCGAACAGACTTGGATCGCCCGCTAGTATGTTTCTTGCAGCCGCGGTTGCTCTTTTGCCTGTGCTCTAAAACAAGAGCGAATGAGACCGGCCAAAGGTGTCCAACCCAATGCATCATTTCATTATCAACGGGGGTGGGCAGATTGGGGAACACGGAAAGGGCGAAAGATTCTTCGGCACTTCATTATACGTCAGTGATTTCGGCAGTTCTTCCACGACGACATTTGGTTTATGACTTACGACTTACTAATGCTCGATTGGCATTTTCGATTGTTCGACACGCACATAATAAATACCCCATTGGATTTTCGGATGGTACAAGGATGAGAATACGACAGCAACAAGGCACTGCAACTGAAGATTTTGGACATAGCATGAAGCTGGATAAGTGTGCAAGGACTGAACGGTACAAATATATAGCACACAACTACTTGATAAGGCATGATATAGGCAACTGGCTTGGCAGTAAATAGATGAATAAAGAGGACCTATTACTTACACAATATTGGCTTTGTTTCGAATGCTGCCTTTCTCTATTTCTTCCCAAGGCGCTCATTACAAGGCGGAGATCATCCCATACCGTAGCTGGCAGTTGCTGAACCTATCTAGCCATGGAGTAGGAATACCCCGTACATCTCCTGATGATAGAGAGAGGGCGATACCCCAACCACGACATGGGATCCGCCAAATCCCCATTTCGGGGCAAGGTCGGCACACCTGCTGCATCGTGGCGGCTCCCCAAAGCCTCGTCGCCACCAGTCGGTCGGTTGGAATCGTTTCTTCTTGCTCCAACAGATGTTCAGCCCAATCCCATCAATCTCATCTGCATACAACCGAGGAAATGGCTCTCTCAACCGTTAGTCGCAATGAAACAGCTGCTTTCCACTTTTCTCAGAGAGCTCTGCTGAAGGTCAGGCACACAGCCGGGAGAGAAGAGATGTCGCCAATTGCAGCTCATGGATGTCTTTCCAGTTTGAGATTCCCGATTCTCTGGTCAAAAAAGCTCGGAAACAAGAGCTTGGCGATTTGACGTCGATCTCGAAAATCGACTTCTCCAAATTTGCTTGTAGCTGCCTTTCCATGGCCCTTGGTGGCGAGCTTAACCTTCGGCCAAATGGCTACAAAGGAGCTGATGGAGTCGGACAAATCCCGGGCTACGTCCCAGGAGTGTCCTCAATATCAACTCCCCACTCCCTCGATGATCACCTAGCTCGCTGGATGCCAGATGGGACCAGCTTGCGACCAGGTTCCCCGTCAGACTCGGGTCTGCTTTCGCGGGGACAATCATCAAGCAACCGGGCCAAGCAGAGGGCGCGAACCAGCCATCCGGGGTCCACAGTGACATAAATGGTTCCCCTCCTCCCAAGAACGGATACACTTCCTCCTGGTCGACCGATCGCAGGAGGACGCCGTCAGAGCGGAACCGCAAGTTGCGAAATGAGGGGAGACACCGAGAAAGATGGAGAAGCCATGACCCACGAAGGAAAAGGGCGAGTATAAAGACAATCACTTGTTTTCCAGGCCTCCGGCAGTTGGAACTCCAAAGGCGCAGCACCATCCGCCGCAGAATAGCCCGAGTCTCCATCAGAAACCTGCAATAAGAGCTCTGTCTCTTTCGTTGTATGCTGTCTTGACCAGTACCGACCATTCAATACCTGAGAATCACAAGATGCCCAACACCAAGACCGTTCACGTCCCCCATCTGGGCGGCATCGACGCCGCGTACCAGATGCCTCACCCCTATGACGCGTCCAAGCCGACATTGATCCTCGTCAACAGCTTCACCACCTCGTCTGAGCTCTACCGAAAACAGTACGCCAACAAGGCGCTCACGGACAAGATGAACCTTTTGGCTATCGAACTGCTCGGCCATGGCCAGACACGCACCAAGTCTGAGAACTTTACATACTGGGACACCGCGATCATGAACATCCAGGTCATGGACGCGCTTGGCATCAAGAAGGCCTTCGTCCTGGGCACAAGCCAGGGCGGGTGGATTACGGTGCGGATGGCGCTGTTGGCGCCCGACAAAGTATGGTTTCCATGACACCACCACCCTCACCCGACCGACCACCCGATGCTGACCTGTCTGTTGTAGATCCAGGGCATCATCCCCCTCGGCACCTCGCTGGACTACGAGTCCGAGCGCACGCGCAAGCTCGGCTGCTGGGACGGCGTCGCCGCCTGCACGGGCCCCATCGACAAGTGGACGAGCAAGACCCCGACGCCCGACTTCCAGCCCGACTTCGAGTACTGCGACTTCCTGATCGACATCGGCTTCGGCAAGAACTGCCCGCAAGAGACGCGAGACTTCTGGCGCAAGACCATCCAGGCGAACTACCAGGGCGACGACGGCCGCCGACGCGCGCGCATGGCCGCGATCAATCTGCGCGAACGAGACGGCCTGCACGGCCGGTTGTTCGACGTCAAGTGTCCGGTCATGTGGCTACATGTGAGAAATCCCCTGTCCTCGCCCCTTCGCCCCTTCATGAGAAACTGATTTCACGATGTGATGCGGGTCTGCGTAGACGTGTGTGTGTGTGAGAGAGATGCTAACGTGAGAGTCGTGTAGGGTTCAGACGACGTTGTCTACAGCGTGGCCAATGCCGAGCAGGAGATCAAGCTCTTCGTCAACTCGCCGAAGGCAGAATTGGTCGTGGTGCCCGGCGGCGCACACTTCTTGTCCGCCTCGCACCCGAAGGAGGTCGACAACGCGCTGATTGCGTTTGTGGGCAAGTATGCCTGAACTCGAATGCGAGAGTCATCGTGAAGACGGAACAGAGTACGCGGAAGCCATCTTTACTGGCGCCCCTCCTGTAGCTAGTCCGCTCACCGGTTTCTGTGATCGAGTTTGTCCCTCGTATGTACGATGTATTCCCGAACCATAAAAGCTCTTTGACCTGGAAATTGCCGATGGAGAGTCTGCTAGTAAATATCTGGAGATCACCATGTCGGTGACAGTTTATATGCCGTTGCGATTAAACAGCAACTTAAGGCGCTATGTACGTGATGGCGACTGTGGCTTCGCCCCGCTGCGATGCACCGTCTCCATCCTTTCCCCCCTTTACCGCGCCAGCCTTGCGGGCACGAGGCTCCATCCTGACCCTCGGACACTTCGACGGACACCCACTCCGCCTGAGCTGGTCTCAATATCGCTGATGCGGTTGGAATAAGGGAAATCTGAGTCTAAAGCATTGTATTTCGACGTGGTAATCTGCCTGGATATCTCTCTGCCTCTCCTTTCCGTGCTGGGGAAACGTCGCCTTGATCGCCAGGACCTGTCCCAGCCTGAACACTCTGATCGTTTACGGGAGGAAAAGGGGGGTTTTTCGTTCGGAGTTGATCGTGTAGAGGAACTTTGGACTTGAAAACGTAGATGTCCGTCTTTCTGGATCTGTGAACCGGTCAAAGCATGGTGAAAAGCGTGGACAGAAAGGAGATGGAAGGTGACCTAGGTAGGACAACCTGTTGTAGATGCCTCTAGGGCAGAGTCTAAATGGCGTACCAAAGATAGAATTGCATCCAGTGTATGAATTGAGCACAGTTGCTTCAGAGTCAAGCGTTTCCCATTGTCCATGGCCGCCGCTTACAGACAATACAAGCCGCGCAGCCCCAACCGCAGCAGTCAAGGCCCAAGACAGGGCGCGGCTGATGCTGTTATTGCGGCTGAAGACGACAACAGTCTCCGCTTTGGACGAATCTTTTTCGTGTTTTTGATTCAATTCCTGCCGGTCTCTGTCCATCCAGAGATTTTCTTGCTCTTTAAAACATCCTTGACGAACAAAGATTCAGGCGTTGTTTGTCCACACACTGACCGAATACCTCGACAGGCAAACAATCTCTTTCTGGGAGGAGAATGTGAGACGGGATCACATCCGTTGGTGAGAGACAGAGATGCATGTTTTAACAAGGAGATGGTGACTCTCTTTGTGGTCCTTGCAGGATTGATGGAACACAGCCGGAACTGACATTTTGGGAGCAGAGCCTACAAAGACCCTAACTCGATGCCACAATGCTCGACCATCGACGACGACGAGGCCATCTTGGCCAACGCCTTCCTGATGTCCTGCAACCCATCCTTCGGCATTGCAGACGTTGCTCCTGGTGAGAAGATCCAGTATGGCAGACGCCCACTATCCGATTTCCCAGCAATAAATGCGACACCGAGACATCAGAATATGACAACGAACTGAAGCCAGCGCCCAAAAAACATGGCAATGAGGATACTTACCAGCAAGAGCCAAGCCAAGGCGTACGTTTCCCAAGTGGACCGTCGAGTCGTTCAGCGAAAGGCCCTCCAAGAGACGGAATTGAAACACAGAACCATGCATTGTAAGTTTCCGATCCCTGACTCAACTTCCAAGCATCAACCGAAGCCAGCCCATGATGACCAGGTAACCCTCTTTCAATATGCACGAGCCCAAGGGCACCTGCGTAAATGCGAGCAGAAGCTTATACTTATCTGACCGGGTTGGGTCATTCTTTGCTGCCACTCTCTGCCTTTTGGTTTGCACGTATGCTGATTCGAGTCTCGGGTAACTGTGTTCAAGCCTGTACCTACCGCCTGCGAAAACAGAACACTCTGCGCACTTGTTGACCGTTCGTTGATGCTCGAATGGAATGCTTCGACGTCACTTGACAGAAAGTAAGTAGCCTACTCCGCCCGATCCATGCTTGGTCCCCTTCCCGTGATGATGTTATTGTTACCATTGAGTTGCGTCTCCTAGAGATGATGAAATCCTCTGTTCGATTTGCTCTGACAAGGATTATTGCGACCACTATTGCCTATCCCATATCCCATATCCGAGGGAAACAGACCACTGACTTGCTCTTCCACCCCAGGAGCATTGATTGGCAGCATCCTCGAAACCGTCGAGACTCTAGCCATTGTCGCCCACCTCCGCAGAGCAGGATCGGGGGAATGGATGCTTCAACGGAGAGGGACGCAGGCATGATGCTCGGCCACTTGAAGCTGGGGCAATGGGTTCTGGCAAGCATGAACTGCTCAAAAGTCTCAGCGAACCGCAGGCTGAACAAGACCACATTGGCGCAGACACTGGTACCCGAGATCTCGATGGCATTCGGAGAGTAAGGAACGCACCCTGAGAGGCTGTACGCTTTCTCGAATCGAATCGGTGTAGTCTGCATAAGACACCGAATATTCGCTGTGCTCATTCTCCGGTGATGAGGGATATGTTGTTCCTCGTACGAGGTGTACATTTCGTGGGAGACTGGAGTTATTCAGTGGAAGCAAAGTTTGACGGGAGGCTCAGCACCAGGTGGCGCGCCCAGCCTCCAGACGCACCGCCACTTCGCATCCACCCCCCTTTCACACTTCTCCTCCTCTCCCAAGACCTTCAATTCTAAATCGTCACACAGGATCATCTTTGGAAGTTTTCATTAGCACGCCAGGTGTAATTTGTCGCCTTGACACATCATGGTGCGTTGCAACCCACCCAGCCTCGCAGATCCGCTCGTTCCTGCATTGACGATCCATGCAGGCTGCACGCGAAAAGCCGGAGATAGGCTGGTGAGGCCTGCTCAAGCCGCCAAACAGCGGCATCGCCCCTCCAAAGGATGACACGAACAAGCGCTGCGCCTCGCTTGATTGGACAGCCTCAACTAGAAACAGCGCGGGCATTGGTCGAATCCAGGGCAGATGTCGCATGCTGACAGATGGCGTTACGGGATTAAAGAGTCTGTGTGTCTTTGCGTGCAGGAAGCAGCTCGAGGTCTCAAGTACTCGGTAATGAACAGGGAGACCGTGGTCAACCGGAGTCGGTGGTCGTGGGATATAAAGGGACACAGTCTTCTGCGAACTCGAACACATTGGCAGGACTGAGAACACCACTGACGGCGTCCCTGCAATTTCAGAGTCTCGCACCACACCTACAGAGCATTCTTTCGGTTGAACGCCATGGCATTCGGCTTCGAGACAACCGGCGATGAAATAGTCGACACTTTCAAGGACCAAGTCAAAGGCAAGACCTGTAAGTCCTAGTGTCCCCCAGACTTCGGGTGGAATACCTGCTCACGGATTCCATGGTTAGTCCTGATCACCGGTCCAACTCCAGGAGGAATCGGCGCCGAATCAGCGCTCTGTCTGGCGCGAGCGAGCCCCAAACACTTGATCCTCGCGGGCCGCTCAGGGCAGAAGATCCAACCCCTCATCGACCAAGTCCACGAGATCGATCCAAGCGTGAAAACCAGCTTCATCCAGCTCGACCTCGGGAGCCAGAAGTCCGTGCGGCAAGCGGCCGAGGATGTCAAGACACTCCTCGCCGCGGACAAGATAGACTGTGTGATGCTCAACGCCGCGATCATGGGGCCGCCATACGGCCTGACGGACGACGGCATCGAGACGCAGTTCGGGACCAACCACCTGGGCCACTTCCTCCTGGGCAATCTCCTCCTGAAGAACGACCTGATCCGGTCCCGCCTCGTCATCGTCAGCAGCTCGGCCTCGGAGCGCAGCGCAGAGTACGCCCTCCAGCCCCTGCGCGACGTGTCCTACGACCACGGCCGCGTCTACGACCCGATGCAAGCGTACACCTTCTCCAAGGCGTGCGGGATCCTCTACGGGAAGCGGCTTGCGAGACTCCTCCTCCCGAACCACAAGGACATGGCCGTCTTCAGCCTGAACCCGGGGAGCATCCGCACGAACCTCCAGGGCTACATGACCGGCGACGTGCGCGACAGAGCCATCGCAGTCGCCCGGCGGTATAACCCCGACTTCAAGGTCCCCGAGCCCAAAACCCTGCAGCAGGGCTGCGCAACTCAGCTGCGTGCTGCGCTGGACCCGGCACTGGCGGCCCACTCGGGCGCCTATCTTGACGACTGCCAGGTGACGAAAGTGGGCGTCCACGAGGGTCATGACAGATACATCGACGAGGTTTGGGAGCTCAGTGAACGGCTTGTAGGGGAGAAGTTCCAGTTCTAGGTCGGGCTCCCCCCCGGCTGGGCTGGAATGGGATTCCCACATCGTCTGCCTCTTCGTCCTCCTACAGGGTGTTACTCGGGTAAACATGCCCGGGCGACTTATAAGCTGGCGGCAGGCAACATCAGTCAACTTCGGTCGCTTGTATGCCAAGATGCCAGGCAAGTGTGAGGTGTGGAACAATAAGACCGATTCAATCAACTTGGGTCAAACCTGTGTGGCTTACGCAAGCTCAAAGTCGAGAAGTCACACACGTTGGAGGCAAGTTGATGGAGTGAGTCCTTGTTACAGACTGTCACAATGTGTATTTCCATCGGCATTTTGCTCATTCAGATTCATTCTGGGGTCATTGACCGGTTTTGACCACGCGAGTGGTCTCTGGACTAAACTAATACTCTTTGAACATCCTCATCGCTTAAAGAAATACGCGTTATTCCCTCGCTCAGGGTCCCTCATGCATCTCTCCCCTAAGTGAATTCTACCGACCAAGAATATAGCCCACATTCCACTCTGCTTATTCCTACACCGTAGAGAAAGGCAGAAAGGGGACTCCTGCAAGGAGCTCTGGTCGCAAGACATGAACATGATAGCTACTTCCATCAACGCCACTGCTGGAGCCAAGAAGAGATTTCGACAATATGCCCGACAATCGGGCGGGAACAGACAGAATACAGGTTGAGAGCCGGGCAGCCTCATCGAGTTGGTGTCCGATGAGGTGCTGACATTGGCCCAAGATGTTTCGAGGGTAGGTGTGGCGTGGAGTTGGCTTTTGTGGACGTGTTCAATTCTTCTCATGAATAGATCCCATTTCGCATTGCACAGTCGAGAATCATTCGTCCGTATCAAAGTCGTCTAGTACATCTCAAGAGAATAAAGCTCGGGTTGCTGCTACAGGGGCGCTTTGCGTCGCTCCGGGAGTGAAGTACAATGGAGGAACGCCCACATCAGTTGACCGACTGATACAGTAGCAGCGGTTCGCCCACGTTTTCAATCTCCGGAATTGTGCATTTCAGATCGAAAGCTTTGGAGAGCACTATTTTGAAGATCTTTTGGACATTGATGCTGTGGCTGGTGCTGCTGAAGATGAGACTGGCGCGCATAGCTTTTGCGAATCTTCGGGCCTATGGTGCACATGATGGTCAGTGCCTGGGAGGTGACTGGCACGGATCTTTTCAGCCTCACCTGATTGCTGATCTCCTCTTGATCCTCCCTTGGGAAATTAACAAAATGGTCGTACTTTGTACCGATCAAGAAAGGGATGGCAGTCTTGTTAAAGCCTCTACCCTGTCTGTACCACTCTTTTATGCTATTGAGCGTTGATTTCCGCGTCAAGTCGAACATGAAGAGGATGGCGACGGCGTCGTTGCAGACAAGGGGGAGCATGTTGACAAACTCTCGTTGGCCACCGAGGTCCCAAATCGAAAAGGTGATTTCTGTGTTGCGTATCGAGATGGTCTTTTCCATGAAATTCACGCCTGACGGGGCATTAGCTTACGGGCGGCTAAATCATCAGAGGGGGAGAGAGCGCACCCAATGTTTGTATGTAGTCTTCATCCCAACTACCCTCGACGTATTTGACCATCAGACTTGTCTTCCCTATCTGAGCATCTCCGACCATTCCAACTTTGATAACGACACTGGATTTGCTGGACGGCTGTGGCTGTCGGTTCTCTTGATACTGTGTTTGTTGATGTCCGCCCATTCCAGAACCAGGTCTTGACGTCGGCTGTTGGTAAAGGCTGGGAGAGTTATATCTCTGATTGGAGTCACTGTCCATCGGCGGGGTTGCGGTAACAGTGGAAGTCTGGGATTGATGGCCGCTCTGGATCGCGGTAGTGTCTTCTGGGGGCTGGTCTTGGTCATTGACGATGTGAGGGCTGTATGCCGAATCGGCGGGGTATTCGGTGGGAGTGGTGGCATCCATGGCTGGAGCGACAACGAGTGAAGGACGGGCGAGAGGAAACGATGGAAGTTAGCTTTGAAAGCCTGCGGATGAAGCCTTGGGTCGACTCATGCAGCGTGGATGAGCGTCGGTCTGAGGCTGCGGATGTGGTCAAAGGATGAAGTTTTGGTGTGTAGGTAAGGCAGGGTTGACAGGAGCCCTTACATAGCGAATCAACACTCGAGGCACGCTCGACCACGGACGACGCGTCTACGTACCCCAATCAGCGCCGAGAAAGTCACATTATCAAGCTTCGACAGTGAGCGCGTTACAGTTTGGAGGATCGGGTTCCTTTTCAGTCATATGAATACTCGTCATCATCAATAACGCCTTTCATGGGTTAGGTCCGATATAATACACTCGCAGCCGCGGCAGCCTGCCGCTGTCTCGACGCCTGCACTTCAGCCCCCAAGAACAATGCACAAGCGGCAATAATCGCAGTCGAGACTACTCCAAAGATGATTTGGGTCTTCATCCCTGTCTGGACCAAAGCCCGCCGTCTCGCGTACTTTGTGACTGTCCGCATGTAGATGCCCAATCCGCTCACCAGACACGCCAGGGAAAGAACCCAGAAGATGATTCCGAGTGGGTGGGATAGACGCTCTTCTAGGGATGTGGGCTGGCTCTTCAGATGGAAGTTGATGAAGATGGCAACGGCGACAACAGCCATGTAGATGGACAGCCGGAGCCAGGATAAAAATGTCCTTTCGTTGGCACAGTGATCGCGGGCATCAGATGAAACATTGGAAAACAGGAGAGGCGCATAGAGAGGTCGCAGGAGAAACATTTTGATGGGGTTTCCGGGATGATTTCTGTGTCACATATTGATTAGGCATCTGCCTCTCTGCGCACCGTCCCCGTGAAGAACTTACTCGTCAACGTTGATGGTGGCACTGAAGGGATTGTAGAGGATATGCCAGGCATCCTCCACCAGCGGAGGAGGACTGATGTCTGGGTCCGTGGGCGGTGGCATATTTATTGTGGATGGCGGCACGAAGACAACTGGTCAAGCTGGAAACGCACCTTTATGGATGGATGTTCTGATTTGACGGATGCTGTGTGAATACAAGGAGCTGGTGGTTGGAATGGCAAAGCTTTGGATGATTCGCGAGGCTCTAAAATGACGCAACCGATCCAAGGGCGAGCAGTGCAGCCCCAAGCAAGGCGTGACTAGCCCAAGCTCCAGGATTGCGGCACCCCGGTAGCCCCAAGGCTGCCTCTGGAGGATACCGAGTACTGAGCTGGTGAGCACATACCTACCCAGGTACGGAGTACATGGGCGTACTGTCACGACCAGAATAAAAACTTCATGGTCACGGATATGCGTTCGCGCCCGATGACCATGCACATTAGTACCTGATCAAGCATATTTTCTTCTTTTCGCCATCGGCGTTACACAGCAAGTACCTGGTGTCCTCGTGCTCGACCTGGCAGCCGGAGCCGGGCGAGGATATCTACAAGTAGTATGCATATCAGCAACCCCCGGCCCTTGCCCCCCGTCCAAACGATAGGCACCGAGAGGCACCAATGACGCCTGAGAGCACTGATAAAAGCAGCCCCCAGGTCCCTGGAAGCAGTTAAGCGCAGGCGACAGCTGGTGCTCGATTTGGTCACTGTAGCCGATGGCATTGGGGACTCGCCTTGCGCACATGTGCGGAGTAACTAGTTCGTCCTAGAGCTTTATCAGTTGAGCAACCAACCCTCGCTGCAATTTCGACCATATCTTCTCAACCTTGATCCAAAGCGGAAATGTGCATGATTCGTGGTGCCGTCGTTCTTCCGCAGCTTGTTTTTCGATATATAGTGATCTAAAGGTCCTCTTCCACCTGAGCATGCCACCCATTCCTGTCTCATGAGATAGTGGAGTAATCCGTGGTCCCGTTCGAGTCACCGCCAGAAAGTATTTGATTCTCGTCAACAGGCCTGCCCAGCATGGCGACGCCTCCCAAATATCCCAGCACTCTCGAGCGCGTCACCAGTGTCACCAACCGAGTCTTCTCCCACTCCCTCCCAGATCCTTCGCCCATCGCCCAGGCCTCACTTGCCCGGGATATCGAGGAAGACACCGACGAGGAAGCTGCAGACACAGAGTCCGAGTCGGAAAGCTCGACCCTGCGTCCATCCACCTCTGCCCCAGGAACAGGGGCATACTCGTTTGTCGGATCATACCGCAGACCGAGCTTTGCTGGAGCCGGCAACAGAGCTACTCTCCTTCCTCGTCTCGTACCAGACCATGAGCGCCTCTCCAAAGAAGAGAGACAACAGGCAATGGAGGAGGAGCGGTCTCTGCTGAGAGACAACAATCTAATCCCACCCAAGCACCCTCAGGCCGCGGCCGACCAGGGCGGTCGCAAGAGAAGCATTTTCCACATACCTGGCGGTGATCGCAAAGTCTCTCGAGATGAAGAGGCTGCCCCAGCGGTAGAGGTGAACGTGGGCCTCGCAACCGAAGTCTCGCCGTTGTTAGGTGATCCAAACCTCCCATATGGAGGTCAGGATGACGCCGAGACCATCAATCAGAAGTGGGAGGAAGCGGTGGCAGCAGGCATGATTCACACAACCTGGCAGCGTGAAGCCAAGGTCATTGCTCGCTACTCTGCGCCCCTAATGGTGACCTTTGTTCTCCAATATTCCCTGACAGTCGCGAGCATTTTCACGGTCGGACATATCGGCACAGTAGAGCTAGGGGCAGTGAGCCTGGCATCGATGTCTGCCAACATTACCGGCTACGCCATCTATCAAGGCTTAGCCACATCTCTCGACACCCTCTGTGCACAAGCCTACGGATCCGGCCGCAAGAAACTGGTCGGCCTGCAAATGCAGCGCATGGTTTACTTTTTATGGACCATCACCATCCCCATCGCCGTTATCTGGCTGCTTGCAGACAAAATCCTTCTCGCTCTGGTCCCCGAGCCGGAGGTGGCCAAGCTCGCGGGCCTGTATCTGAAGGTCGTTCTGCTTGGTGCCCCTGGCTATGCAGCCTTCGAGTCCGGGAAACGGTTCGTCCAGGCACAGGGGCTCTTCTCAGCCTCGCTCTATGTCCTCATTTTCTGCGCGCCTTTCAACGCGTTCATGAACTGGCTGTTCGTATGGAAGCTAAAGTGGGGATTTGTGGGCGCCCCCATTGCTGTTGCCATCACCGACAACTTGCTCCCGCTAGGTCTCTTCATCTACGTTCGGTTCTTTTCAAAGACCGGGATGTCATGCTGGAACGGGTTTACGAAAAAAGCATTCCAGAACTGGGGCCCCATGGTCAAACTGGCGTTGCCGGGGGTGGTGATGATTGAGGCCGAAGTCCTCGCGTTTGAAATTTTGACCTTTGCAGCCTCATATTTCGGCACGACAGTCCTCGCTGCACAATCTGTTCTCGCAACCCTCACCTCGCTTACCTTCCAGATCCCCTTCCCGCTCTCCATCGCGGGCTCAACTCGCGTCGCAAATCTCATTGGCGCAACCTTGGCAGACGCCGCAAAAGTGTCCACACGTGTGACCTTCTCTGCTGCCATCATTGTCGGCATCCTCAACGTGACCCTCCTCTCCGCCTTGAAAGACTACATCCCGCACCTCTTCACCTCCGACCCAGACGTGGTACGCATTGTTAGCGACATTCTACCGCTGTGCGCGGCTTTCCAACTCTTTGACGCTCTTGCTGCAAACTGCAACGGCGTCCTTCGTGGACTAGGCCGGCAAGAATTCGGCGGTTACGTGCAGCTGTTCTGCTACTATGTCTTTGCCATGCCGATCAGCTTTGGCACAGCGTTCGGGGCCGGGTGGGGCCTTTGGGGGCTCTGGACGGGCGTCGCCCTCGCGCTGGGGCTCGTGGCTCTGATTGAGTTCGTGTATCTGGCCAGGACGGACTGGCAGAGGAGTGTGGAGGAAGCAAGGGCTAGGAATCTGGAAGGCGGTCTGTGAATGATGGATTACAGAACTACAAAAGTGACGTTTAACATATACATACTACAGGTGCCTGTGTGTACCTGCAGGTGATACGATCTTGCTGTACAGGTAGATGCGATAACATCTAATGAACATTCAGACGACCCAGCGTACATTTGGCTCGTTTGGGTACACAAGGGCAGCCGGGCCACCAGACATCAATCGGCATCTTTTGGACGTCTGGAAGATTTCGTATCTCCATTCCCAAATACCCACCTATTCATATCAGACGGTCTTACTCAACTACCAGGTAGACAACGAGCATTGCCGCGGCGGATCTGCCCCTGGTGCTTGTCGAGCGGCTGTTGGCTGCGTCCGAGCAGCCTTGCTTGTATTGTATGTAGACTGGGCGCCACCGACCTGAAGGGCCCTCTCGCTCACAGTCTCCAAGCACAAGCGCAGTGTATCGAACAAAGCAAGCAGGAAAGAACCTCGCGTCCAGGCAGCTTCAAGAATTAAAATGCATGTTTCTCCAGGGTATCGATCTCGGTATCTGTATCTGTACACTATTTCCCCTTTCATCCCGGGCCATTTTTTCCCGGACGCCTGGAACGCCTAGCAACGAGATGGGACCATGCTCTGTTGTAATTACTGGATTGCATCGCATTGCATTGCGGACACACCTGTCCAGTCCCTCGAGCGAACAGCCCGGGTCCGCATGCGGACGCTTCGAATTTGAGCCATATCACTTACATGCGCCGAATCTGCGTCTCGTCCGCCACGTCCCCCAACTTGCCCTGCACCAGCTTGTCCCACCACTGGAACAGCATGCCCTCGCAAATCAGGCGGAACCAGGGCGTGTATTTCAAGGCCTTGTCCCTGCCGCTCTGCGTCTCCACGTCCTTGAACATCTGCCTCAGCTCGTCCGGGCTCACCCACCGCGTGTCCTGCACCTCGTTCTTGTTGATGTCCAGCGTGACGTCGGCCTCGATGAAGAGAATGTAGTCGATCTCGTGCTCGCCCCATTTGCCGTCCGAGGGAGCCAGGTAGTGGATGCGCGTGAGGAAGGAGAAGTCCGAGACGGGCACCTGTGGGGGCTGGATGCCGAGTTCGTGGTTGAGCTTTCTCTGCGCCGCGCGCTTGGCCCCCTCGACGTTGCTCGCCAGCTCCCCGTTCCCGGTCTCCGAAGGGTGCGCCAGCGGGTGCGAACAGCACGTGTTCGTCCACATGTCCGGGAACGTGATCTTTTCGCTGGCGCGCTGCTGCAGCAGCAACTTCTTCGTCTGCGGGTCAAAAAGGAACACGGAGAAGGCGCGGTGGAGAAGACCCTGGTTGATGTTGGTCATCAGGTGGCATGCCTTCTTGGAGGCGGAGCCAATGGGCATGTCGTCGTTGTCGAGGACGATGCAGACCTCGTCCATGAGGCGGATTTGTTCTTCGTCGTAGCCGGCGAGCATGTCGTCCGAGTTGTTGTCGGAGCTGCCGTTGGGGGTGGCGTTGGGTGCCATGTCGGCGCCGATCAACCTCGTATGGACGTCGGGGAAGAGGGTCGTGACATTGTCGCGGGTGATTGTTATCGAGGACATACTGATGGTCTGCTGGATGCTATGGTACAGGCGAAGTGGGACAGAGGCAGCCTGAGGGAGAGTTCGAACGAGTTTTCAACAGCGGGGGGTGGGAAGTATGGGGCTTATGTTTGTTGAAGACTGTCAATGATCTGCTCGAAGGCGGTGAAATGCGAGATGCGAGGGAGAAAATATTGCCGCAGGGAAAAGATGGTGTCACGTGCCAGGGGTAGATTTTGGGATCGCGGCACAAGAGGGACCGAAGTGGGCTGACTATCAACTCGACCACTATTGTTCATTCATCACTCTTCACCAACTGTCCGATGGCTTCATCTCCGGTGAGCCCTTCGCTAACCTCGCATCACCATATATACAGGGGACAACAGATGTTCTTGCACTCTCGACTGCCACACTCCTCCTCCTTGAGTATACCAAACATGGACCAACGTCTTGAGCATGCACGATTCGTCCACTGGGGTGCTTAGCCAGCACCAGCTCATAAACCCCGGTAAGCGGTTTTTGAATCTTAAGGCTGGGGCAGACACCCTGTACGGGTCTCTCCTATAGCCTGGTAGGCCTGATACTATGGGAGGGCTCCGGCCACACCGGAATACCCTCGTTGCTCAGGCATTTCCTTCGCCAGGAATTGTTGCTAGGTTCATCAAAGGCGTCCTCCGCTGAAAATGTCGCCGGTCTCGCCTGAAGGCCTCCCCCGTTGGAACAAAGGCTGCCCTTCTCCCTGCTGCACTTCACCGTCCGAGGGACGCCATCTCGAATGCTTGCTCCGCCTCCGTTGGTGTCTCCATTCCATAAGGTAGATACGACGTCCCTCGCCATACATCTGGTTTAGGGCTCTTTGGTGCCGCCTGCTGGTTCTCTCGAAATCGGACGGAGAGCTTCATGCGGGATTTGCGGATCGAGGCGCCCATCTTCTCGAGAAGAACGAGGAATATGGCTGTGGTTGATTTGGTAGGCGCATCTGCTGGTGACGTGGGGGTGCTGCTTGTTGAGGCGCTTGTATCTTCTGAGGAGGACATCTGTGACAAGCCTCGGCGGTATCGAACGATACTGTGCTTTTTTCACAGAGAGTGATAAAGATGGGCGCCGGTCCGTGTTGTTTCCGAAGTCCTTCTCGACCAGCCTGTGTTTTCAACGATGAAGTGGGATACAAACATGGTGAGTGAGGGTGAGCTTTCCCTTCTTATAAGCATCCTTCCTCGAACCGCTGCAGAAGGTCCTCAACTATTTGTCTGCCTCATCCGACAGATGAGAGACATCTGGAACAACCTCAATGAACCACTGGTAAAGGGGGCAAGGCTGGCTGGTCCAACGATGTGATTGGTTGATCCAACTCTCAGTGCTCCCACGAGTCCTGCGCAAGCCAGGCCTCAGCGAGCGCCTCGGCCAGAACGTGCGACAGTCTGACCTCCCCCAAAGAGGGCGGCAGTCAAAGACACCTCGAGAGGGCAATGATACCATGCAGGATAAGCCCAAGATCAGTGTTGGGAGCGTCGCCTATCCAACTCGCCGAACAGAAGCGTTTCTCGATTCTGCCGCCACGTAAGAGAATGTCAACCTTTGGCAACGTGTAGGATTCGAGATCTTTGCCATGTTCATTCACTCATGCATTCATCCTAATCTTCAGACACCTCTATAGCCTGGAGTGACCGGTGCACTGCATTATTCGTAACATGGTATGAGAAGTACCGCGGCATCAGTCAGTCCAACTCCTTCCAGCCCTCCTCGTACGCGTTGAAAAGGACATTCCAGGTTGGGTCCTAGCTCCATGCTCCTCTTCCGGCCTGACTGATAGAAATACTTGGCCGTGATGGCCAAAACCACCAACCCGAGGTGTATAAAAACAGCCACCTTGGTCCCGAGCAAAACGTTTCAAAACTCCACACTCCTCGCTAAAGCTGATGGGGTTTGACAAGTTCGGGATTGCCCCGTATTAAATCTAGTCCTGGTGCATGCCAGCTCGCCATTTATACGCTGACTTCACCTTCATCCTCGGGAGTATCGTTCGCGCCATTCGAAACGTGAATGGCACCTTCGTTGTCCGTGGTTAATTCCTCCCTACCGCTGATCTCCTTCTTTTCGTTGTTTTTGATGTCGGCTAGGATTCGTTCAAAGTAGGCCTTAAGGGTCCTTAGCCCGCGCAAGTAGCCTCGATCAATATCCTTGGGATGGGCAGGCGGCGCTTGAGCGTTGGGGGGCAGTTCGTCCTCGCCCGTGATGCAGTTTGCAAAATCCACAATCTTGATGTCAATAGGTGGCGGCCACTTTTTGCCCTCCTTTTTCTTCTGCTCGGCGATATCGACGCCATTCCGTGCCGCCTCTTCAGCTTCCCGAGACCTGTAGGGCTCCGCATCATATAGCATGAGCAGGGAGCTCGCGTAGAACCGGTATCCGGGTAATCTTCGCACCATGCTCTCGAGCTTGGAGAGTTTATGCAAAATGGTGGGGATGTGCCGTGCAACACTGTCATAACTGACCCCATCATACAAAAACCTTGTGAGCGCGTCTCTAAACTCCCGCCCAGCCTTCAGGTCACGACCATAATACTTGTCTTCGTACGATACCTTTTGAGTTTTGGCATTGAATGTTTGCATGCCGCATATTCTGACACCCAGCTGTTGAGAGGTTGTCGATTTGCACTTGCGGCGCTGAGACTCCATCTTCTTTTTGGTGGCCTCGACACCAAACTGCCGGGTCCCCATTTTAAGATCCAGGACACAGGGTCGTCCCATGCCGCTGGTGAGGTCCTCCAACAGGATGAAGTATACTACTCGATCACCAGAAGCATTGTAAGTCTTTTGAGCCTCTTTTGGATTTGATGGTATCAAGCTTGTTGTAGCTGGTTCTCTGGGTCTGCCAGCATTGTTTGGGTGGGAATCAGAAATTTTGGCCTCTCCAACTTGAGATTTATTCGAGCCATTGGTTGTAGAATGACTTAGGCGGTGCTTCGCAGCACTCCGTCTCTTGTCCTGGTCCATGATGAAGACATCGCCACCAGTGTCAGGACCAAAATCCGTTGTGTATGCTTCGTCTTCAAAATACTCGAGCCCAGGAGTCTGTATTTCGTTTACAGATTGACGCCGACGTCGCAGGCCCATCCCAGAATGTCGCCTTTTCACATGTTGTCTGTTCTCTGGGCCAGAGGAGGTGGACACCTCACTTCCAGCTGTCTTGACTTGTTCGAGATTGTATTTGAGGTCATCAAATGCGGAAGCCGATGAAGAATACACACCGGCGCCGTCGCTGGTCTGAGAGCGTACCTCACTGAGTGGAGGCATGTGAGCAGTCTCGGTATGTAGTATCGTTGGTTCAAGTTGATCTTTTGACTGGGCAGCGTCCTTAGTATCTGCATGGGGGAACGAATTCGTAGAGAGATTGCTCCTCCGGCGGGGAACGTGATGACCTTTGAGTCGCGGAACAGTACTGTGCGAGGGTATGTGGCGACGGAAATACTGTACGGGGGGAGGACCGAAGACTTCGCGTAGAATTTTGTCCTTCAAGCCCTCGTTGACAGTAGTATGGCCCCAACTGTTGGAATGTTCGGGCATTGATGGTCTGTTCGGGGATTTCTCTGCCTGAGAGATGTCTTGCATGGCAGAACCTGGAAGATCGAAATCCTTGCTTCGCCGGCGCCCGTGATTGGGGTCGGCGCTTTTAGGCCGCTCTGGCAAAGCAAAGTAGTTGGAGGGAATGATATGTTTGTTCTGTTCTAGAATGACCTCTGGGATGCTGCCGATTTGTTGCATCGAGTGGCTGACGATTCGTGGCTGGTCGCCCGACGAAACAATTGGCCTCGAGCCGATATCGGACGTGTCATTCATTTCTTTCGAACGGCCTTCGTCTTGACTGGGGTTTTCAGTCCTTGTATTATCATCAGGTCTCGCTTCAGAGTTCTGCGCTTGTTTCGGAATCTTGGAGAACGTCACGTTCAGTACGCCAATGTACCTATTCACCATGTCAGTGATCTCATCTCGCTTCGATCCTGGTGAAGGAATAAGGGCCAATGGACCATGAGAGATGGACGTACCTTGGAAGGAATTTGAGCATATCGGGATGCCTTTGTTCGATTCGTTCGTAAAACTCATTCTCCCGATTATTCAGTTGTTTGCAGACAGCGCGACGAGAGAAGCGAAAAATTGTTGAATGCCCTCCCACTTGATGCTTGTAAGGTTCAAGGACAACCTTCCCCTTGGTCCTCGGTGGGCCTTGTACTTCGGTTGGCCGCCTGGATAGCGTGCTTCGTTGCGTCGGCGTGGTTGACATGTCATCTATTTGACTCTGCCGACTGATATCGTCCCCGGATTCGATTTCCGATTCCGAAGTACTGACAATTGCCGTTGATGGAGCCTCTTCAAGAGGTGACAAAGGTGGCAGCTGACCCTCCACTGCGACTTCGTCCAAAGGGCGATAATTGCCATGAAACATTCTTTTCTCATTTTGAGATACGACTGAGATGTCAATGTGCTCTGTACCTCCCAATGCTTCGTTTGTTTTGGTATCCGTGGACAGAACGATCTCGTCTGTCGCTCTCGGAAGTTGTCGATTGTTGTTCAGATTGGGGGAAGCAACCTCCCCTGGGGAAGTGAAGCGCTCAATTTCTTCAGGAGACGGACCTGGATGAGGATAGTAGACAGCTGCTGATATATGCTCCTCTTCAGAAGGGTGATGATCCTCTTCACTGTCCCCTCCAGTGAACTTCTCCGTGGCAGGAACATCACGGATGGTTGTTTTGTAGGCTTCCTTGCCGTCATCCAATACTCTCCCGTTCACGTCTGGTTTCTGTGCAAGGTCCTGTTGACGGAAATAAGGGTCGTGGTCAGGCCTGAGAGGAGAAGTTGCCTGAGAACTGCGAAGACTCCCTGGGCGAGTGACGTCTTGGGAGGCGCTGACGATAGGCTCGACGAATTCCCTTGAAGGTCGGCGTGCAGTCCATGAGAATTTAGTATCTTGAGTAGCTGGGCTTGTCGGTCGTGAAGACGACTTCGAAGGCTCCCTGCTGCCACCAACGTGACTCAATTGGTCACTGACGGTCAACCCTGGGGATTCGGAGCCAGTTCGTGGATCGAAAATACCCATCATATGGCTAGCCTTCCTGCTACGTGCTGTGCCACCCACTTCGGGGTTCTTCACGGTAGCTTCTATACTTTTGTCCACATGTGCCCGGCCACGGCTGACACTCCGCTCTGTGCGAGGGCCCTTCAGGACGGCACGCATGGCATTGCCTCTCTCAACCACTGTGTGTTGCCCACTTTCTTGTTCCGAAGAGTTGTCTCTTTCTGGGCCCGCTCCGCCATACTGATGTTGTCGTACACTTCCCGCCTCTTGATCTTTCCCCTCCTGGTTCTCCATCTTTCCCAAAGTGACATGAAACTTCTTAGTCCATGAGTTCGAATCGGAGGCTATGCGTCTGATACCATGTATCGTGCCAGTCGAAGGATGGGAGGGCGAAGGAGGGGTGTCTGCATCGGTCAAAGAGTCGGACCGCCGAAGCCAGTCCAGCTTTCGTGGGGAGTGGGTGCGCGGAGTTTTGCTTGTATCGGGAGGGGAGACTGGATGGGTGACCATGGTCGACATGTTGAATGGCGCTTTCCGCGGTGTAATGGAAGACGGAGAGGTTCTTGCCGCGTCTAGGGGAGTGGAAGGCTCACTTGGAGGAGAGACATAGTGTTCGGCAAAGATACTGTCTCTTTCTGATAGTTGAGGAATGTGCTCGCCCAACGTGGCTGCCCGGTGAAGACTGTAGAGCGGACCTCTGCCATTGTTTGTATTTGTGGAAGGATATATTCCTTTTGTCCCCCGTGAGATGGGAATCGGCCTGGAGCTGGACGAGGGACTCAGACTGGGAGCAGTTGAAGTAGAGCCTGGTTCACGGCGGAGCAGAGAGTGTCCATTTACCGTCGAACCTGGCGCGGACGGTCTTCCGGCGGGAGCGCTATTTGACATGGGGAGGACATTGGGCGAGCAGTCTGCGGTCTCAACTGCTCCCTGGATCAACGGAGGTAGCAGGGAAGCGGTCGTGCGTGTAACGACGATTCGCTACGAGTGACCCGTGAAGGGGGGTGGGAGGTGAGAAGCGAGCAGAGGAGCAGACGTCGGGCAGTGCTGAGGAGGCCAACGTGCTGCGAACGAGGGTTGGAGCAGGTACAAGAGCCGGAGGAGGCGGTCAATCTCTGGTGGGACAGGAGGCAGTCGTCCAGCAGACACGTGGAGGAGCGAGAGGCTGCGTGTCGAGAGAGATGGTGATTCGGTGAGCGAGTAGCGTCGTGTTGTTTGGGATGGTTGGGAGGGGTGTAGGGGGGCGTTGGATCTCGATGATGGATATACCAGATGCACGGTGGCTTGGTGCCAATGGCCTGAAGCGGTATGATGTTGGGGATGATTTTGTTCGTCTAGTCGTAGCTGTGCTGCGAGTATTTTCCTTGCATCATTCCGGAGTCACTCTAGCGATGTGTAGATCGAGGTGCGAAGCCGGCTCAACTGAGGTGGTGGTGGTAGTGGTAGTGGTGGCGGCAACAAACTTCCAGGCGGCTCTCTCCTCCCTTCTCTAGGTGCTTCTCTGGGGCGGAGAGGCCTGTTCACCACCTATTCCGCCTCCCTGCTACTGTTAGGCTTGCCGCCCAAGAGCTCCCATCTCCATTTTTTTCTCCTCCGCCAAATTTTCTGTGCGACCATGACGTTGAATCATCGCAATGTCCAAGGACTTCCCCGTGCACGACTGTCCACTCAGAAGAAGTCTGGCTTCAGCCCACTTTGGAGGCGTCGATTGAGGTTCCTACTGGCTCTCGTCCTTCCGCTATTCAAAAGAAACCTACGGAGTATTTCATCCCAAACTCACGTCTATTGTCAATATTGTTAACTTCTCGTCTCGTCACGCTTTCTGCCACGGCTGCACGTCCTCCACACCGTCTATTTCTCCAAGAGCATGCCCTTAACCCTTTACCCGATCGTCCCAGGGGCTCGCGGCACTTCCTTTGAACCTGATTTCCTGCCCCTTCACTTCGACCAATCCTCGCACTCGGTCGTCGCACGTTGCGCTCCCATGCATAACCCGCTATGACTGCCGGACAGCGGAACGAGCTCTCCGTCTCGCCCCATCGACGCTTCGTCCACCATCTTGAAGCCACGTCGACCGGTCCGATACGATGGCACATTTCTCACCTCGTCCTTGGACCTCGACGCCTGGAGCTTCAGGCTCCGCTATCCTCGAATCCGCGTCCCAAACCACGCCATCCAGACCCTCAAGCTTCGAGCAATACTCCGCTGCGGGCCTGCTCCTCAGCGAAGACACGAGTACGCGGTAGGGACTTTATTCTCTCCTTTGAGCCCTATAAGACATGCGAGAGGTACAACAGTCTGTCAGACAATTCACCATTGACAGCCCAGAGATTTCGCATGTGGCATCAAGAGGAGTCTTCTGTGTCAGATGTTGTTTGCCTTTTACCAAGTGGCAAACATCTGCAATCATACTTTGCCTCCAAACCTCACTCCAAGACGATCAACCAGCAAAGTGATCCGAGACGTTCCGTGCCGTGTTTAATGTACCTGTCTGCGCAATTCTCAGCATTGACGGCCAGACTCCTGAGACGGTAGCCCTGCACTTGCATTACCGAAAGACGAGACAAAGGCGCCACGCGAAAAGTCTTTGGCTCATCTAGGCCTCTCTCGGCTCCCACAATTTCTCCGAATTCTTGGAGTCACTGGTTCAGGGGATACCTGAAGAATCCTGCTATCAATGCATTTGTCAAGGAGCCATTGTTGCAAGTGGCGGTGGCCTTTGGGACATCAAGATCCAATGCAGCGACAGAACGGTGCGATGCCCTTTATGCCAAAGTTGCTGAACCGTCCACCAGCCTCTAGCCCGGCATATAGCTTCTGCGCGAGCTTCTCCACAATGTGTCTTCCAAGGTTTCTCTGATTTCCTCCAGATGAACCAGTGTAAGTCTAATAGTCGAACTTTTCGACTTGACAAACGGTAAGTCCAAGCGAAAACCTCCATATTTGCCAACTTTGACCAGCTAGAGGCGATGTTTGTATTATAGCGATCATCTGCTCTCGACCGTGCCTACCTCCATAGGCCTGATGTTTGCCTCTGTGTCTTCGGAGAGATTTAGATCAGGGAGTCGAACAGGCGAAAGCTTTACGGCGATAGCAGCAACATTGACAGTCTTACAGCTCGAACAGGAGAATGCTCCGCGCACTGCCGTAAGTTTCTCTAGAATAATATTCACAGGCCAATAGGAGCAGTCGCAACTTGCATCCCGATTTCGTTGGGTCATGGTTGGTGGTCGGGGATTGTGCATGATCCAGTACCACAGATCACAACGATCTGAATCCCCTCTAGGCACGTCAAGAACTCTTGAGCTGTGTCTTTGAACGATGCGAGGTTTGAGAGAGCTCCTCCAAGATGTCGGAACTTCCCGCCAGTGTTGGTTTCCGGTACGGAACTTGTCAATGATAGTTTCAACTTTGGTCTTCTTTCGACCAGAAAAGTCCGACGACGAACTGCCAGTGCTTCCGCTGTGGTTTCTACCTAGACTCTGAGACTGGTATGAGATATTCCAACGATCAGACTCACCGTGTCAGACTGTCAGACTGTCTCTTCACTAAGTGATACCTACATGGTAAATTGCTACACTGGCGTCTTTGATCTGAAATGCTCGTTCGAAGCGATCTTTCTGTCTCAACTTCTGTAGACACCTTACACCATTTGGTTGAGCTAGCGATAGTGCAATTTTCCAGAGCCAGAGTGACACTATATTTTGTATCTTTGGTATGCGATCACGTTGTGCTAACACAACAATCAAGATAACTTCAAGATAAATGAAGTCTAACAGTTAGCCCGATGATTATCGTCATAATAACTACTTTGGTCCTTTGGTATGCTTCTTGCGGGGCCGAATTGGCGGTCCTGGTCACCCATCATCTCACACGATATCGATACTGCAGCCGCAAGGCTGAGATTCCGAGCCCAGCGAAACCTACCTAGATGGAGCCTCACCCTTTACCGCATCTCGAACTCTAGTTGTTAGTTGTTAGTCTTACCAATCTGCCACTTCCTAACGAGCCATATATCTAACGTAACCTTTAAGAGTTGTCACTCGACACAGTAAGGAACACAACGCGCAGACGACGGAGTCGGGTGGCTACCGTTGGGGTCGAGTACTGTCACGTGATGGCGCGCGTCAAGACGCGTCCGCTGAAATGCGCGCTGTGACTTCTGGCAGCTTTCGCGCTCCTTGAACCAGTTGTTGTCTTTCACCAAATATTCCATAGAGACTTTATGATGGTATTGCGGCAATGCCTCTTGAGATAGCAGATTCGGACGCCGAGTCCGACTTCGATTCGCCCGTCAAGCGACCTACCACTCACCAAGTTGGAGAAGAGAATCAACCCCAGAGTCTGGCCTCACTTCCCACCATCGATTTCGATGAATACCTAGGTCCAACTCAAAAGCTCTCGTCCTCTGCCTCACACTATCTCAATGATTTCAATCAACTGGATGGCTCCACGGACATTACCTTTTCCAGAACAGCCGACCAACAGATCACCACACTTTTCGGAGAAATCCTACCGGGGATGAAGTCTAAGAAGAGAGCCCATAGTGCTTTACAAGACGGTCTTTCAGAGCCACAGCACGAGAACTCCAGGGAGAACTCGAAAGTGAAGAGGTCAAAAACGTATGGCGCAGCATCCAGGTCTCGCACTACTCAAGATGACAATTTGTTCGCACCGCCCTCAGAATGCGCTCCGGACCCCAGGAATTCAGATCCCAACGATCAGGAGGGGTATGGAGCAGATCAGGCAGTGTCGGACATACATACGAAGGCTGCTCGTCCGAAAACTCCATTCTTGACTGGCACAAGCAACCAAAACGGGGTAATTCCGCTCCTCGAACGATCCTTGGCTGACTCATCTCATTGCATGACCACATCGACAGCCTCGATGGGACAGTACCAATCCATTAATATAGACTTCCGGGGCTCGGGACAGGGACTGGACGTCAATACAAATCCGTTCGGAGCGTTGAGTCAAGTCTCATTCGCGGAACAACCCAACCAAGATATGCCAGAAAATCTCACGCACTTTATCGAGGTTGACGAAGGCAGATCGACTCACGTTGGTGGAAATCAGATTATGGTCTCTGATGACGAGCCGTTGCAAGTCCTATCACAGCGGTCACCGCAAAGACCTCTGGCTATTGACCCTGCTCAAACTATGGGGGAAGGTGGAGCGGCATCCCATGCCGACGGAGACAGTCATTTCCAAGTACCAGATCTCACAAACGACATACCTGATCCTGCTACTGTGACGGAAAATGTTGAAATGTCCATGGAGAAGGCATCAGTGCCCAGAAAACGTGGCCGCAAAGCGAGGAATTCTAGACTTCCTTCCAAATCTCCTGCTCCCAGCATCAATGAGGATACCGACGATATGGGTTTCTCGATTTTGGCGACCGCGACCAGAGCTCGACGGGGAACAGTAGAGTCTTTGTCTTTGTCCCAAGCATCTCAGACATCTGCGACAGTTCCTCCAAGCAGGAAGAGAAAGAGAAGGAAATCAAATCAAATCGATGAAGAAGCACCCGTGGGATATCCTGCCGGGTCGTCCCCCTCGAAACACCCAACAAGCGAGCTCAATCTTAGTGATGAGGCCGAAATTGGACTTCCAAAAGAAGCCTACAAGCCGCGTCCCAGTCGTACGCGATCAAAGAGATTTGTTGACGAGGATGAAACTCTTCTGCCTGCACCGGTAGCCGATGAGGATCACCGTACCCCGGCAAAGAACAACAGCAACAACACCCTAGAGCAAGAGACCCCTCCCATAAGTGCGGCAAAGTCTAGCACAAAAAAGGGTAGGAAGAGTAAAGTCAAGCGCGCGAAGACCTCTGCAGCGGCCTTGCTCAAGAGAGCAGAACCAATGTTGAGTGATGGTGAAGACGATGTTGTCTGGATGGACTCGAAGCCGGCGCCGGTGAAGTTGGACCTGCCACCTGACTTGAAAGCGTTGAAGAAGGAATCTGATGCCCCGAAGGGTGAGCAAGAGAAGGAACACAGACAGGAGAGCGAACAGACCAAAGGCGCTAAGAGCAGCAACATCATCATCGAAATTCCCAACCATCCAGAGGTTAAGGACCCAGCAGTGGAGCCGAAGAAACGGGGCAGGAGGCCCAAGAAACCGGGACATCAGCAACAGGAGCAAAAGAATAATGAAGAAACGGAAGAAGAACGAGAATCATACTCAAAGAGTCGCACACCGCTAGCCGAGAAGTCCAGGAACATTGCCCCTGGCACAGACCAAAATCTTCCGGACAAAGACCTAACAAAAGCGCCCACTTTCTCCCCAATCACATCTCCCGAGCCAGAGGCTGAGAAACACGTGCAGTCAGAAGAGAACGAGATCTCATCTAAAGGAAACAAGCCAATCACCACACCAGCAAAGCCGGTTTCCATTGCACCACCCTCATCTGCAGAAAAGGGTCCGACAAAGCACTCCCCCATCAACCCGCCGAGTCTTTCCGCTTCGGGGCGGAAAGTGATCTACCGAGTTGGGTTGTCTCGCAGGCAGAATATTCCAAGCCTCTTGAGGAAGGTGGACAGAGATAAACCACCGCCAAAGAATGTGGTGAGGAAGGAGAAAGAAAGCAAGAAGAAGAAGAAAGATGCGGACGCAGATTATGAGGGAGAGGATGGGGTTGGGGGACCGGGGGAGATGAGAGGCCCAGATGGAATGCTGATTGAGTGGGAGTTCTAGCCCAAGGCTCTGGGGAACTCTTGAACCGCCTTGCGATCCTTCGGCCATTGTTTCTTTCTTACCACATCCCCCATGGACGACGATCAGGTTGCTATGATGACGAGGTTCCCTCAGTGCGATGACTATCTATATAGTATTCGAATATCCGACATGCCTTTGTAGAGTAAGCAGAGCCGATCGCGCCACGGCGTCTCGAACAGGATGGTGATTCCCATCTGTTCAATCTCTCAGCATAAGTTTTTCAACCAACTGTCTTTCGGACCCAGCACATTGAGATACAAGACTGTTCACGTACTCGCGAGGAATGTTGTCAGGCAGCCCAAGATGAGCGTCAACGTTCCGCGTGTCGTCGAATTACTTGACCCACCCCACGAGTCTATACAAGTAGTTTGTATCAATGGGTCGGGCCGTAGACATCCGTCATTCCGTTCGAGCTAATCTGATGGGCGACAACGACCCGGTACGGGAGGCCGACGACCAAGTAGCTAAGCCCCAAACGGGACAGGATGGCCATGGCCGTGGAGGCGAACAAGTAGACATAGACCAGTAGTGACGTGACTCAATAGCCGATCGTAGAGCGCAAGGGAACAAGCTACGAAAGAATGTTTGAGCATTTCCACTGGTGGAGCCCTGGACTCTGGACACCTGATATACATTTCTACACACATTAAGGATTCAGCCTCATCTATCATTAAGGGCACTCTTTCAGCTCACCAGGAGCGCCATACTTGGCTGCATGTCAAGGAGAGGGGATGGCGCGGGGAGAGGCCCCCTCCAGCACCCAGTCAGCCAGGATTGCAACGCTCCGCGGTGCCTGCCATTCCATTGACCTGCAGCTACCGCAAGGAGTTGGCTTAGTCAAGAGGATGTGATGCTAGGCAGCTGTCCAACTTTTCCCATCCCCTCATTGATCTCAATTCTCATTCGCTGGTGCTGCTCTCTTCGTCGCCTAAATACGAAAGTCGCTGCGGTCCAGACCACGCCTCAGTCAGGCTACGCTGCAGCGCCCACGCCCAAAAGCGTGCCAATTGCAACCGAGGGAAGGCTGCAGCTGGTCACATTGCACCTTTCCGTTTGGTGGACTAGAGCCTCGCCCTCACAGTCAGCTATTTTGCAGACATCATCCCAATCCATGAATTGACAACGCCCCGATATCAGAGGATATCTCCTGTCTGACTGGACTGCAGATTTCCTAGTCTTTCACCATCACAGATGGAAGCCATACACCGAAGAATAAGTCCTGGCTACAAATGGAAACCACTCAACCTCAGGAAGAACGAGTTCCGAATCCTCAAGTTGCATGAAATCGTCCAGGAGGAAGAAGGAGAGGTGTTGAGGGTTTCGGTACTCAACGTGTCGATGAGCGGGCACCCTCCATACAATGCTCTATCCTACACTTGGGGAGACCGGTCACACCAAAGGAAAATCCTGCTGGACGGATGCCCACATTGGATCACCAAAAACCTCCACGAAGCGTTGTGTGTACTCTTGAATCGCGGAGTTCGGAACATTTGGGCCGATGCCCTGTGTATCGACCAGCATGACCCAGACGAGAAATCACTTCAAGTTGCACGCATGGCCACAATCTTCCAGGAAGCTGAAACAGTGGACGTGTGGCTCGGGCCTGCACCACGGGAATCCAACGAAATATTAATTTTCATGAAGAATGTGAATCTCACGAAATGTGAGCAGCAGGACTGGGCGCAATCACTGAAACCAGGAGACCTCCACAAATTTGAGGACTTCAGTCAGGATTTTCTGGATTTCCTCAGGTGCCCTTACTGGACGCGACTCTGGGTTGCGCAAGAAATTGCTATGGCGAACGACATCAGAGTGAATTTGGGTTCTCAATATCTAGCTGGCTCTGTCTTTGAGTTGCTATTCTCATACGAAATTTGGGAAAAGATTCAGCCTAGAGTCTTTTTAAACTGGAGGTGGCCGCACTACCAGTTATTCGAACATATGGTTCATCTTTGGGGACTCCGCGCCCAACGCCGAAGTCGTCAGCCAATTGATCTCCTGAGCTTAATGTTCCAACTCAGGGCCAGTGAGACTACCGAGTTGGTGGACAGAGTTTATGCCGTGAGCGGCTTAGCATTCGATCACAGAATGTATATTGCGGAGCCAGACTACAACTTACAACCGGAGCAACTGTGTGCGGACATGACACAACGTTTCATCAGATTGACGGGCTCTCTTGATATACTCTTGCTAAACATGTTCAAAATTGGATCCCCCCGAACATGGGTGTGCCCTTTGCTTGACCTGGACAACTTGGACGACTTGGCCGGTTTAGGGGGTCTTATCGATTACCTCAGCGGAAAATCACACATACCTCGCTGCGGAATTCCAGGGAGGCTTTGGCAAACCACAAACTCTAGACACACAAATGGGCCAAAGGTAAGGCTGAAGAATGGGGCTATGAAAGTCTTAGGGCTGCGCTTGGGGACGGTGAGCAGATCGCTCGATGGCAGCTCTTGGTTGGAGGCATATTCTGAAGATAGTGGCGCCTCGTCGCCTGCGATTTCTCGTGACTGGGAACTCGAGATGTTCGAGTCATTATGTCGTCTGTTACTGATCCACAGCCCCTTTTACGGCCGTAGCAACTTGTTGCAAGAGGTCGCTGTTCCATTATTCAAGGACGTGCGAGTCGAAGGGTTTTCACAAGGCACCGGCCGTGGCAGCCTCTTCACTTTGTGGGGTCGAAAGAGCGGTCCTCTCTTCATGACTACACGGTTCGAAAAGCCAATCGAGAGAATGCTGAGGCGCGGTATTGCCACCACGGAATCTAAAGCTGGGGTTCCGCCCCCCGATCCCCCGCCCGAAGGTATGATAGAGGAAGCGATGCAGGCGGCACGCACTGTCATGGCGGATTTCACAAAAGCCGTTCTGGTCGGGTCAAAGCATCTCGCCTTGGTCCGTGATGGCGCACCAGTAGGGCCAGAATTGGAATTCTGGCTCTTGTCGGGACTGTCTTGGCCTGTTATCCTGAAACCTGAGAGTTCCGGGTATACCATTACAACATATGCCCTTGTCGACTCCGTCGAGGTTCGCGGCAAACTGTGCCGAGTGATGGACGGAGAGGCGTGGCGAACGGCGACCGAGGACGATCTGAAGTGGGTTACTTTGATTTGAGCCCGGGCCAGTGATGTCTCGAAGGGGAAAGGGAGAACAGGATCCCGTGAAATACTCTGGGTGTCTTAGAGCGTGAACAGACGTCGTTGAACTAGGGCGGGCTTGAATATTGGACAGGCCCGAAGCTGTTCCGACCTGGAGGGATACAGATCATGGCCTTCTGGCTTTCGTGTCAACGGTGATGAACCGAGACTGCTGAGAGAAGGGAAAGGATTACACTTCTGAACTGGCTATATCCATGTACGTGTGTCTGGTAGCTCTTGGAGCCCTCTCAATTCCAGTGGCAAATTTATGCTAGGCATGTAAGCGTATGCGTAAGTCTCCTCGAGGGAGATTCCTACGCCTGTACATTGTATCATATCATCAGCCTGCATGCACCTTAAGATGCTATGCCATGTAAGTGGCCCATGCCCTGTGTTGAGAGGATCTAAGGGCGATCACAGGCATAATGGCTCATGCATAGATGGCCTTTTTCATCGCCGATTAAAGTCAATCAGCTAACCTTTGTGTAGACTTCGATATCCAAACTATATCAGTCGTACACATTCTCCAAGATTTGTGCGTCTCCATGATCCGGTAGATCCTGATTCCTGACCAAATTGTGTGTAGAAAGAGTTGTTCTCCGCTACCGAATATATATATCGTCACCCGTACCGCGCAGCGAGATCTCTCAGGTCTCCGAGCATCCTGGGCGGCGAAAGAGTTAGCTTGTGCGTGTCATCGAGGGGGCCGTGTCACGGGTTGCTCTGACTGGTCTCTCAAAGTCTCGTTCTCGGGGAAGAGGGCAGACACGTGCGTGTTGAATCTTCTGATTCGGGATTGTTAGTCTGGACGGTGAGACGGAGCGGCGAACTCTCATTGTTTGCTTTTGCTTACAGCTTGTACAGGTCCAGCCGCCCCTGGTAGTCCTCCTCCGGGGGAGATATTTGCATGTGGGATCGATACGCGGTCAAGTATGCGGCGCCGAATTTGTTGCAGGCGGGCATCCACTGGCCGAATTCATCTGTTGTTCGACGCTCGCTTTTATCAGCCTCCCTGTTCTTGCTTTTTCCCTCCTTTTTTTGTGATGCGGCAGACGTGGAAATCCTATGGACTTCCCGTTCCCTTGACTCACATTCGTTATGGGCGTAGAAGCAGCAAGCATCAAACACCAACGATGTACCTGTATCGGCATCAATCCCCGAATTAGCGTACCAGAGGTCGCCGTGCACCAGAGAAGGCTTGACAGATCTGCCTTCACTCTCCATTGGCCGAAGCAGTCGAGGAATCACCCTGTCGAAAAGAGTCGGAATCAGTGTGTCGAATTCGGGATCGGGCCCTCTGGCTTTCCGTTCCAGGTCGAGCGCACACCGCATGCTCTTCGCAAAGAAGGTCTCCCAACTGTCCTCCCAGTCGACCGATTGGGGTAGGTTGCCGCTGTAGGTGGTGACATGAAAGCCGAACTTGCCATTGGGAGACTTGCTGTGCTTGTGCAGGAGGGCTAGCTGTGCTGAGGACTTCTCGGGGTCAGGCATGTCATCCGTCATCTCTCGATATTCGCACAGGAAAAAATGTGTCTCCGGATCACTCTGATACGTGCCCCAGACAATCGGCTTTGGGACAAAGTCTGGCTGCAGGCTGTAGATGGCTTTCATGGACTCGAATTCGCCGTGTACCACGTTTCTACCCGTGTCGCGGGAGAGGACCTTGATGAAGAAGGACTGTTCGGTAAGCCCATCCGCCAACTCGACGTCGATTCGCGCAGTGTTCGCCCAGAAGCTCACGCCGTGTCCTTCGGTACACAGGATGCGGCAGCCTGGGCGCAATTCGGCCACCACGCTCGGATCGACATCGGAATTTGCCCCTCTATATTCGCGGGATCCATCCATCTCGTCCAAGTTCATGATGCCAGTCAGTGCATACGTCCTTGCCTAGAATTTTTTTCTGGAGACATGCGAAGGCTTGAGGGCGAAGGCGACCTGAAAGCCATTGCGGCTTGTTCCGGGCGCAGTCTTGTGCTCGATCACAGTAATGTTCCACCTCTTATCTAAAGGTGGTGATTCTGCATGCAGGCGCTCGAGCGAGCCTACTAAGCGCCCGGTTCTAAACCAGGTTGATGCCCGGTGGGCCTTACCTGCAGTTCAACAGAAGTGTTGGGTGTTAAGCCACGGCAGTGGCCACCCACCCACAGTTAGATCTCACAGTCTGACACCTCGACTACCATTGAGACACCTATCTAGGTACACACGTCTTGCGCCCACCGATGGACACCCACCTATCAGCCTCACATTTGGTGAACCCCCAGCTGATCCTGAGAGAGACCCCTTAGCCTTTCGAGTCCTACGAGCATTGTTTTGCAGGACATCGAATTTTTCCTCTAGTTGCGCTCCATCCTATTGATCATGTCCTGCTGTAGAGGCTTTGAATATGCGGTCTCGAAGATCTTGCTTCTCAATCTGTCTGACCTCGACGCCCGCCTCTTCCAGTCTCTTTCTTCCTTCGTTGAGGCCGATGAATGTTCCCGGCTCCGTGATGCCGACATAGACCAAGTTGATCGAGTCCTTGAGCGCGAGGATTCTCTCGACGCAAGTTCGATTGCCACTCAACCGCTCGTTACATGGCTCCATGGTCGTGTAAAGAACCGTGTTCTTGGGTAGTACTTTTCCGACGTGGTCATCTGGGACCTTGTGTTTCTCGGCGACTTTGATGAGGCAGCAGTGTTCGGCGTGTGTCGAGCCGGGGTCTCCTGGTCTGTCACCAGGTAATTCCAATGAGTAACCGGTCGACAGAATCTCGCGACTGTCTCCATCGACAAGGACGGCCCCGACACAGAACTTTGTAGATGCCGGAGGTGAGAGTCGTGCCTTTTCGAGAGCATATTCCATGTAGGCTTGGTGATTACCTGGTTGGATGGTAGGGTGAGGCGATTCGGAGGCCATGCTCATTGACTTGATGGAAATGGATGGACAAAGCCGAAGGTGTGTTGGACGAAAGGAAGGAATGAGAAGACGTATTGATTCGGGCGTCGGTTGGTCGTTTCTTCAGAGGCAAAGCGGCAGAGGCCTGAGTCAAAGTGAGGCAGTGATCTTCAGGAACATGAAAGTCTATCTGGAATAAACCTTCGGCTAGTCTCGGTTCACGGGGCCGCCCGTGACAGCGCAGCTTAGCGCCCCGCCGCCGCCACGTGGAGCCCAAAGACGTTGTGAATAGGTAGGCCGTCGATAGGTGGGCGCAAGACATGTAAAGGTCACTGTAATCTAGCCCAACTTACAACATGAGCAGCTCAAGAGTTAGACGTGTGAAAAGCTGCTAGTTTAGGAGATAGGGTCTCTGCTTCGGCTTTCTTAGACCACCACCAATGAAATTCTCTGGAGGCGATGGGAGAACCTGAGTGGACACTGTGACGCAGAGCATGTTCTTCATGCCTGCGCAGCCCGCCAGCACATCCAAGGTGCCTGGATCACACACCGGTCTACGGACGATATATTGACCAATTGCTGTTGGGGACGGACTTGATTCACGCTGCACGCTCCGCGGAGTAAGTCCAATGGAATTTGTCGGCGGAGGCCACACCCAAACCCCGGGCACGGCTGAAGTTTGACAGCTACAGCCGCTTTTGTGAATAAATCTTGAGATATAAGAAGAGTGTGGTACGCTGCCCCGTTCTGTCTTCACTACCAGCCCCCAAAGAACCCTTCAAACGCTGGATCAAGACCGAAGCCATCATGAGTGACGAAGAATATGCGGATCTCGACAACGAACAGCAGCTTGATCTCTATGAGTACTGGGACACCGAGGAGCAGGCTAAGAAGGGAGGTGTCAAGACTTTTGAAGTCAAAGAAGAAGGCGGTCTGATCTTTGACAGTGGCAAATCTGACTATGCTGTTACAGTCGAGCGGGTACTGGGAGTCGATGGCTCGGGGGAAGCAATGGCCGAGGACGGCAAAACCCACACCGCGCAAATGACTGTGCTCATCCTCAAGATAGTGGTCGCTGCGAAGCCAGGTTGTCGAATCCGATCGGTTGAGGCAACGCTGAGGCTGGACAACCCAAAGGGTGGCTCTCAGCCCAACCCTGTTGTGCAAGCCTGGGCTCCGTTTCGCAAACTGCAGCTCACTAATCCGACGGCCGCGAAGATAAAGCAGACGAGTAATACGACCGTCGGCGCCCAAGCTACCTACCAGGGCGCTGGTTTCCACACAGACCACAGTCGAGGGTATGAGATCGACTTCGAGCGCACATACTACGACTTTGCGTATTCCACTCCGTGCATGGACCCAACATCACACAAGAGGGCCGGGGTGACGTGGTACATGGAGCAGAACGACCTTCAAAATAGCAGTGTTCTGCTAGAGACTTTTGCCGCCATCCTCTTCACACGAGCGAGCGACGGTCCCTACCTTGTAAGGTTTGACATTGACGTTCGCGGCGGCACCCTCTACGACTTCTCAAACAAGCTCAAGAGAGCCTTCGGTCTTGGACCAGGCCACACGAAGCCATTCCTGGTGCATCCGTCTCCAAATCCCAAGGTCCGTGGAGGAGAGGGTAACGACTTTCTTCTCGGTATCCAAAACTTGAAGGATGATCTCGGAAAGCTACGAGCAGAGCACGACAGCACAGGACTAAAGATTGTTCGTAAGTCGGGCCAGGGGGGCTCTGCGGAGGAAGAACCAACGCAGCCGGGTTCCGATAATGCCGAAAATGAGGCTGAAGGAGAGGACACCAGGGTGAATTTTGCAGAGGATGATGGGCAGGAGGAGGGGGAGGGGGAGGGTGGAGAGTTCAACCCTTGGGCAGACGAAGCTTGAGACAGGCGATAGGCCACGCAGAAGAGACCGAGGGGGCACAAGAGTGTGCCCCGCACAGGCCATGATCCATTGCTATCCATATTACGGGATGGAAAGATATGAGAGAGCTGAACTCGTAATCCTCGCTAGTGAGCGAGCTGCCTGAGCCCCTAAGCTTAGCATGATCGTATCGACCAACCACAAGATTCCATGCCATGTTTGACCTGGACCATTTAGCACGAGGTGGTGTACTGCCCACAGCCAAACCTAGGGAGAGAATTCTGAGGCTGAAGACGGCTGTCCGTGGCAGAGATTGGGGACATACGCTAGCGCAATGCATGTCTCAAAAACCAGGTTGGTGGCTGGGCTGACGAGTCGAAACTGGCAAGTTCTGAAGAAGTTACCTCCGCCAGACAGGGCCCAGGCCTGGTATGAGGCGAAACAGCTGTAGCCTGCCATGCAAAGCCTTATGTTCTTCGTGTCAGCCACTCATACTGTCACAGGTGGCCCGAAGTTACCTGGCTGCCATCACGGAGGCGTATCTTCCACCACACTAAGTGTCCGGTAGCTACTTCAAAATACTTAGGACTTGACTGCCTTCCATTTCACGTGGTTCCGACGCACCGATTATACACACGGCGGTGGAAAATGGGATCAGAGATGAAGGAGGGCATTGCCATCAACCGAACAGAGCCCACTAGGCCCCTCGAGCATTTGAAGACTAAGTGGAGACAGGGTGAAGCAAGGACTGCCACATCTGCCGGCGAAGAGCTTTGGAATGACCTTATATCTCTCAGTCCGGAGAGCGAGAAGATTATAGAGGGAGACTCACATGCCATAGACGGCCTATCGGACTTTTTGGGCAATAAGAGCGGTGAATTGGCGATCGATGATTGCGTTCGGTACTCGCTGCTGAGCTACGCGGTCGATACCCTCGAACTGGAGTCGGCGAATGCCACGACCCTCAAATCAATAGGGTTGGCTAGAACCTTGATTGAAACACAACCATATCTCTCTTTCCTGCCAGCTGTCGAGGGAGTCATTCCCGGCGACTTTTCCAGTCTCGCATCCCAGGAAAACGGACAGCCGCCAAACTGTCTATTCAAATGGGAATGTGGGAACAAAAACCACGACAGGAACCGCACCATGAAGAAAAAGGTCATGTTCACGCCTGGAAAAATGTCCCCGTCGGCCATGTCACCTTTCTTTTTCGCACTTTCTCGTGGTGCAGACGAACTGGTCAATTATATGATCGAATGCATGGAGACATTTCTCAATCGGACGCTCGCACAACGCCAAAACCCTGCTCCCGGGCAAGTCTCATCATGCACTAAGCACATTCTTAGCAATATTATGGGAACGTATACTCCAGCAGGCACTCCGCTAGAACATACAGCGAAGTCTTACGCGCTGATAACCACCATGAAAGATTCCGAGACCGTCGCCGCGCTGGGTAGCCCTGACCCACGGACACAGCAAGCCAAACAGCGCACAGGACACCTGAAAATCATAGAGGACTTGCTGACTCGTGACCCAAACCTTGTCACTCGGGACACCAACTTTCACCAAGATGGTGCGGCCGAACCTAGACGAGACAAGACTTTCCAGGAAGCTCTGGATTCAGAGAAATGGCTCCTTGTGGGTACGATCATTGAGCTGGGACCACCAACATTGGTGAGTGAGGACCGCATCCTGGCAGAACTGGATAAGGCCAATGCAAACGCGAGAATGACTCCAGCCCAAATGCTTCTCGACGGCTGGTCCAAACATAAACCTATGACCATCAAAATTGCAAAGAAGATCATCGAGCACAACTTGACCCAGCTCTGGCAAAGTGCAACAACTCTCGCGGAAGTGCGGAGCCTGATGGAGGATTCCCAAAAGGCTACCGAGCTGCTGAAAGTGGCCTTCGAGTTTGGGCGCAAGAGTTTTGTGGGTACAATTCTCACCCAGGTTCCCGGGATTTTCGATCGAGAAATCGCACAGAAAATTGTCCAGAGTGGTCTGTTGGAGGTCTTGCAACCCATGCCCGTTCAAAGCGCCTGGCGTTCCCTTCTCTCAAAGAGTCCACAATTAGAGAAGGATCTACTGTCGCTGGCGGTGATGCACAAGCAAGTGGAATTTGTGGAAAGTTTTTGCCAGAAGGAGCCAAAGTTGGCCTGGGAGCGGTCTCCCGTGCCACAAAAGTGGAAATTCACCGAGGACGAGAAAGAAGTTGGCTTATATCCTCTTTGGCATAACAACTGTGTCCTGAAATCTGGAACGGATAGGTGGCAGGAAAGAACTGACAGAAGGACTGATGCTAGATGGGAAATCAGAGAAGTCCTGGTGGCTACCTGCATAAGGAACATCGAAAATATGCAGGAATTGTGCAAGATCTTTCAGTACTCCCACGGTACGTACTTGATATGTCGCCCTGGAGCTCGGGACTGATTTGCAAAGATACTGACAACGCCTTTAGAGTCAGGTATGGTACAAACCGCAAGCCAGCATCGTGGTTATTGTTGCGGCTAATCACAGACTCGACCCGGCTCTGCAGTTGCGGATCTTTGCTTTGATATCTCGCGATTCAACTCGCAGTTCTTCCGTCTCGACGAACTCGTCAAACTCCTTCCAAAACAAAAGGCACCTGTGCCGGACGAACGCTCCCGCCACTACGAGAAGGTTCTTCGTTACGCAGACTTTCCGAACTTGAGCTTTGACGGGGACGACGATCGACACGGCCAAGAATTTCGCGAACATCGAGAAGTATTCCAGACCCTCAAATGGCTGAGGCATGAAAACGGTGTCCAAGAGATTATCAAGCTTCGTGTTCCGGACAGGTTGCGGAACCCTCATGACGAGAATTCTATTGCAAAATATGTGAATATGTTCCGTGTTCGGGTCCTTGATTGGAGATGCCTGGATCTAGCAATTTCAATATTCGAGGAGCCGGAGCAATGCTCCCTCGAGACGCTTCATCTCTACTCTAGCGGCAGACGTGCTGCTGTCACTCACTGGCTGAGCACAGAAGGGATAAGGTGTCTACCAAGAGTAAGACTACACGTCTCAATTCCCTCTTGTTCCAGCAGACCTGCGTTTTGTGTACTGAATACATTCTCATCATAGCTCAAAGACGTCAAGATTCACTTAATCCAGGTTTGACCTCACACCATGTTCTAATGATCCTTAGAAGGCTAAAAAGATGCATATTCCAGGAATGTATGAGCGTATCTTGTAGGACAAAACTCGAAAGCACTCTGAACACGAAATTATTGGCCATCCAAAACGATCGACCTAGCTTTAAGTACAATGTCGACGTTGAGAGTTGGAATTCCCAACGATCCCGCAACAAAACGAGTCTTGCCGATATGTAAGTACTACCCCAAACTCGACTTTTTGCGACTTAGCTCGATTAACCTGGGATGATTTGCATCTTATAGCGCCGAAAAAGCGGTCCCAAAATTATGGCGATTCATCGAGACATACCGGGATTACGTTGACAACAAGACGAGTGAGGGCGGCGAATTCAAGCCCACGAAAATCGCCGTCATTGACAACGGGATCATGAATATACACCCTCCGGTCAATATAATGACGCCCCCAGGGCCAGACATTCCAGATGGCCCTGGACCGCCCCAAGGCGAAATGGCGAACGGCGTCGCAGAATCAGACACTCCCAAAGATCCAGCGGATAAGAACAACAGTTTCCAGGAAAACTTGGGGATTTTTCATCAAGTTGTCTCGGGCAAGTCGTTTGTAGACGAAAACTACGCTATGGGTTCGTGGTCGTTTGCCTCAGACCCGCATGGGACCCAGATGGTCAACTTGATATGTGCCATTGACCCGCGCTGCAAGATCTACGTGGCCAAAGTCATCGAGGGAAGATACGGGATAATTCCAGATCGCTTAGCGCGGGTGAGTGTTTTCCTTTGCTTCTTGGGTATCCTTGCAAGAACACTACCTACCGGCTTGTGGTGTGACGGTTTTCCCTATCTGGTTGCAAACTGCTGACTGGAGGTTTTCTGTTCTTCCCTCGCAGGCAATCCGCTGGGCGGTCGAGGAACAAAAGGTGGACGTCATCTCCATGAGCCTCGCGAGCTACGAAGAGGACGAAAAGGTCAAAGCGGCGGTGCAGGACGCGGACCGAGCAGGGACGCTGCTGCTATGCAGTGCGCACGACGAGGGGCTCAACGTCAACAAGGCGTACCCGGCCGGCATGGACGAGACCATCATGTTTGCCGCGTCGGACCGCGTCGGGCAGGTGACGTACAACATGGCCGGCGAGGCTTACAACTACCGCCTGCACGCGACCAACATCTTCGCCGGCGTGGTGCCCTTCATGCAGTTCGAGGAGAACGTGTCGGGCAGCTCGGTCGCCACCGCCATCGGCGCCGGCCTTGGCTCCCTGGTCATCGCCTGCCACCGCCTCGCCAACGCGAACCGCGACAAGGCCGAGCCCAAGTGGAAGAAGTCTTGCTTCACCAAGGCCCTAGACGCCATGGCTGTGTCGAAATACGTCCAGCTGGGCAAGTTCTGTAACGTGGAGCAGATGTTGGCCAAGAGACCCTCCTTGGATTTTGACGAAATCTTGCAGACGTTCGTCGTGGAGATTTCCAGTCTCTCTTAGGGCGAGTGCGAGGGCGACGCCTGCAGGCTGCAAAGGCATGGGATGCAGCTGTGAAGTGTCTGGTGCCCTGGAATGTGGACATTACAGCAAATGTTTGAAGCTTCTGGTTCAGATGTCTCGTGTACTTTTGTCCTAAGTTGCGTTTGAAATAGCTACATTGAGTTGCCAAAACGCCGTCGAATTCCCAAACCAATGACGCCTGCAGCCTTGGCTATTAATCTCCATTCCTGAACCATTTCCGTCTCACAGCGGTTCGGTCGTACAGAACACTGTAGAAATCGTCTGTTCGTCTATCTGTAGGATGTGAAATGCTTGAGAATCTTCACGGCTTCTTCATTTCCCCCCTTCTCGGCGGACTCCAGTGGAGTCTGTCCGTGTTTGTCTTTCGGATCGCGACTGGCACCCATCTCAATGAGCAAGATCAGGGCTTTGATGTGCCCGTTTAGAGCTGCCAAGTGCAGCGCGCGACGGCCTTCGTGGTCCTCTTGGTCCAAATCGGCTCCACGAAGCAAAAGACTCTTCAAGATTATCATGTACTCGACCTCGCGGATTCTGAGCGGCGGCCCATCAAACATGGCAGACAGCGCCGACAGTCCTTGGGAGTCCTGGATGCTGAGATCGGCACCGTGCCTCAGCAGCTTCCTCACGACCGCCGAATTTCCACAGCGAACAGCGACATGTAGCGCTGATTGTCCTTGTTTGTCCAGGGACTTGAGTGACGGGTCTGCTCCGTACATGAGAAGCAAGTCAACCTCACTATAGTCGGCCTGGCGGTATGGGTCACGCTCCGCCTTCACTCCCTCCCCACGGTTGTAGCCAAAAATGGCATGGTGCATCACTGGGGTTTGACTGTCGTCCCAGCAATTCGGATTCGCGCCGTGGTCCAAGAGAAGCTCAGCAATGTCGATATTGTGCTTGTCAATGGCGTGAATCAGGGTTAGGTCAAGCATGCGTTGGCGTGGTTTCTGATCACCACAGATACAGAGGCAGTAATCGTCGATCAGATCGCTGGCCCCATCGATTTCCGAGGTGATATCTTTTTTTTGAGACTCGACCAGCTTTTCGAAGAGCAGGGCGAATACTGCGTAGTGTTTCCCTGCCATGGCAAGGTCCAAAGGTGTCTTCTCAGTTTTGTCTTTCAAGACCAGCTGCGCTCCAGCCTCAACAAGAATCCGGGCCACGTCTTGAAACCCACCACTCGCGGCTTCATGAAGAGGCGTTCTACCCTGCTCGTCCTGTACGGACAGCTGCAGCCTATCTGCTTTGAGGATATTCTTGACCGGAAGGGTCAAACCTAGTCGCGAAGCAATGTGCAGATCGGACATCGAATTCACCCACGAATATAGCTCCTCCCAGCTTAGTGGCAACGTCGTAGGATCGTTGCTTAGATACATTGCCATAATTACGGCCAATGTAATTTTTTCTCTATTCTCGAACATCTCCAAAGCGTGCGAGGATACGTCGGGTGGAGGTGGGTTGAAGACCACCGCCTTTTCTTGCATCTGCGTGCTGGGTTCCGCCAGGGTAGAATCATTCTCTTTTGTCGCCGCCGCTGTAGCTGCTTCCTCACCTCGTTCGTTGGCTTCGGTATTGGTTTCTGCGGCTTCGATCGATTCAGTATCGTTAGGATCATTGGCGGCAATCGCCCGCTCCTTCGCCTTCCCTTCCCTTCCGGCATACTGGGACACGTCCTTCTCTGGCCCTAAAGACGGAGCGGTCGTCAGTTCGTAGAACCTCCTGTAAAAGGTTCCCCAGGAGAGGGCCGCATGAGCAAGAAACGGTTCCGTCCGTAGTAACTCGACTGTTCGGATTTCGGATCGGAGGTCCACATTCCCGGTCTCGATTTGGAGCAAGTACCGAATGCAATATATGCAGATCTCTCCGAGCATGATATCTAATCGTACAGGCAGACGAATGCTTGTCGACAAGAACGACGCTATTGCTGTCTTAACCGGGTCGGAGAGCAAACGCATCAGCGAGGTTCCAGGATCGATGACGATGAGCCCAGCGAGCCAACTGGAGATAACATCCATGTCTGAGTCGTTCGTGATTGTTTCCATCCGCTGCGATAGCGGAATGCTAAAATTTCGAATACGATTGGAAATTTTGGGAATTGCAACATTGAGGTCTCTTACGGCAAGAGGAGGTTCCGCGAATCCAACCCATACTAAGGTGAGCTGTAGAGGGAGTGCGATGGATGGCTTGCTTTTTTGTAGCTCTGTGAGATAGTCTTTGATGATGTCGTCCAGCACATATAGTTTTCCTTTGCCTTGAATCCGTTTGATCAGAGAGCGAATTGGCGAAAACAATGGTTGAAAGGCCGCCAAGGGTGGGCGTCGACTTATGTCGACAGTCATGCTTCGCAAGTGATTTGTGCGCAAAATTGCGGCCGTAAACCTGCAGAACCAAGTCAGATAACACTAAAATTAAACGTACCATGTGTAAGACCTACACTCCTCGAGATGTCTGGGCGACAATTCCTGGTAGGTTCTCGACCGCTTGAGGTCCAGGAACCGCTTCGAAGAGATTGAGACTGTCCAACTGTTCTCGAACAACCGACTCAACATCGTTGCAGTTCCTCGACTCGTCAATATGAACCGGTATGTGTCCAAATGGGGTCCGGGAGTCTGGCTCTTCTCGGCTTGTTAGGAACAATTTACAGTTGAGCGAGTAAAGTTTGCCCAGAATTGCATAGAAATCGCCAACGCATTCCATGTTGTTTTCATCCCACGCATCGAGAACGATAAATACGGATTCTTCTCCTCCGATACTCGAAATGACTTTGCCGAGCGCATCTAGAAGGATCTGCAGAGGAGGCCGCGCCGTCGCTCGGGCAGACGTTTTGAGGCTCCAGATATTGGTGAAGTTTTCATGCTTGGTTGCGGTGGCCGCTTTCCCTTCCTTGGGTGATTCTGTCTGTTTTACGTCAGCTGCTTCCTTTGCATCCCCAGTTCCATGACCTGCTGCGAGGTCTGCGGCTAGTAAACAGGGTCCACCGACACCGTCAGCCTCTTCGACAAGTGTTGAGTCGCAAACTGGAGGTAGAACCTCCACACTGTCAATATCATCGCTTTTAGGATCGGAACGGCGACGCCTGGGATCCTGAGAGGAGATGTGAGTATCGACAGCCGAGAAGTCGGGTCCCAGGTCGCAGAGCTGGCAGAGAAGACTCAGGGCAAGCCGCTCTGCAGAAAGTGCTACACAGTTGCCAATATAGTAATAAGCACAGACGCGTCTGATGCCGAAAAGCACATCAATAGCCCGGGAACTGTGTCAGTTAGCTGGTGTGAATGGAAGAGACCGGAGTTTGGCTCGTACGCTAGAATGCTTTTGCCAGTCCCTGGCTCTCCCCAGCAGAACAATGTCTCGGATGTGCCGTGCTTCGCATGTAGCCATTCCTCCCAAAACTCTTTGCTGGAAATTAACCAGTCACAAGTACCGTTAGATCGGATTCGTTGGTAATGCTGGTGGCGTGCCAGATTAGTGCCGTTCGGCATCAAATCTCGAAACGTATTGAACCGGTGGTCGATACTGGGCAGTATCTGTTTGATCTGGCGCGCAACACCCTCGCTCCTGGCCCATCGAGGGCTAGTCGGGTGAGACTTAGCATCGAGTTTGTATGACCTATTGACATATTCTTAGATGTGTGGCTGCATAAAAACGAACATGATCAGAGCCTCTAGACGTACCGCGTGTTGGCAGGAGCCTCAGTAACGGCTAGTATTTGCAATTCTTCTCGCAACTTCTGCACTTCCACTGAGTGTTCCTGCTCAAGGGCCGCAGTGATCATCATGGAGGGCAGCAAGGCTTCTAGACTCTTGTCCACCGCTTGAAACCGCGACTGCACCATCTCGACAGTAGCCAGCAGCTGCGCTCTGCGAACAGATGAACGCTGAATCCTTGCTAGCACGACGAGTTTATTTCTGTTTGGCATACGCCCCGGATCTAAATCTCGCAGCTCTCCGAACTTGTCATTCAGAGATGACAATATCGACTTGAGATGTTCTAGCTTGGATACAAGGTCAGCGTATTTGACTCCAGACCTCTGAGCAGCAATGTCGAGCAAGCTCTTTTGGACTTGGGCTTTCTCTTGCCCTAGAGCTTCTTTGGTGTCGTCGAGGAGATCCCTTGATTTTGGTGCGAATTCCGAGTGGAACATTAATGGTTTCAAGGTCATCACTGAATTGGTGATCGACTGCAGCTCTTCTGCAAGCCAAGTGAAGAGTTGTCGGTGGTACGCATGGACCTCGACAACAGGGGCCGTTGATGCAACTTGACTTGAATCGTGGTCATGGAGGGGCATAAGGCTGGCGCGAACTGCCTTTTCGACATCTTTGCTCTTAGAGGAACTCATCAGGGCGCGGACGTCTATATATCTGCAGTATTTCGCCAGAAAAAGAATGGCAAAGAGAGGGAGATCACAATGATAGATTGATGCACGGGGTTGATCTCCTTCATTGCGTTGAGTCTACTCTCAGCTGAGGAGGACGGACAAAGGAATACTGTATTAAAAGTAAAGGTGAGCGATGCCCAACCGGGTTAGTTCTTGATTGGCTTAGTGGATGTCATGTGACAGTCTCGGCTCAGTCTGGCTTCATGGTGGGGCTTTATTAGTACGTGTCTTGCGCATGCCAGTGCAAGTAAAAGTAGTTAGCTTCACAGGCTAACCCCGCCCCCAAGAAACTACCTAGCCCATGGAGTCCTAATTCAGGCATGCTTGGGATATACCATACCTGGAACCGTTGATCGAGACATCATTTCCCAAAGGTGCTAGCCAGAAAACGACTTGTGCGACCCCATTCTTCCGTGGCAGATTTGTGCTCCTGAGCTTCTTCAACGGTTGTCCGTGCCACCATCTGCATTTGGCCGCTGTACTTCTCACGAATCCGATCAGCGTTGTCAGGTGGAGCTGGTCTATTTTGATCCTGTTGAACTTCAGGACGCTTAACAACAGCTTCAAGAAAGAGCCACAGATCCTCAGAGATAGAAAGGACTTGCAAATATGTTCTGAAAGCAGTAGGCTCTGAGATGAATGTAGCTATATAAATGTAGGTTGCAAATGTTTGCGCGATCAAAAATGTTACAAGTCCGAGGGTGTTTTCAAGCGTAGTTAAAGTCGCTGTCGCTGTCGCCGAATGGGCGGCAAGCTTTGTCTGCCATTTTCATAATCGGCTTTTATTCAACTCCTCAATGAAACCCTTCAATCACACGAGTATGTCGAGTCATCATGAAAGGAGACAGGGCATCCTTATTCTGATTTATATCCTAGTAGCTAGGGATTGGATCGCAATTCTTCGTGGTGGCTTCCTGCATTAAAGTCGTGGCCCGGCGTTGTAGGTCGGCTGCGACTCTCGCCTTACCTCAGTCAGAAAATTGGCTGGCGCACACCACTCACGACCCAAAGGATTCCACCAGTGTTGCTCTCTGCCTGCTGCCTGTGCGCTGGTTCTGATGGCAATGGCACCTCGTCGCCTCATCTGGGCGTCTGCATCATCAGTGCATGGGCCATGCCTCCTCCAACATCTCTGGTGGCATTATGGCATATGTTGGTCTTCCATGAAGCCCACGACCATGCCCGCAACGGCAGCATCGCCTAAACCGTAGGCGAGTTTCCCAGCATCAACTTTACACATCTAATCTTCTTAAGAACTTGACACCAATCAAACATGCTGTTGAGGGAGCCAGCTGAACTCTTGCTCAGTGCCTCGCGCCTACCGAAGCGCCTGTGCTTCCTGCTCCGGGCCCATTCCGACCGTATCACTTCCAAAACAGGTTTCAGCCTTACACCATACTCTGTTGTGCTCTGGTTGAACTTTGCTTTCTACACGACGCTGTCACCAAACTAAGTTTGATTTCCCCAGAAAAGCGAACGATGAGACTCTCCTTCATCTGGAATGCGTCACTGATCTTATCGTGGCCCGGAAGAACGGTCTTTGCACTTCGCAAAACTGTGGTGAAAAATGTGTGGACAAGATGGTACGTTCGCACTCTGCTCTCCGACTTTCGCTTCCAACCTGACCATCTTTCTGAAGTCAAGTAGAATATTTCGTCGGAAGACCAACGAACCTGCTACCAGCCTTTACCTACCAGACGGAGAACGGCCCTCTGAGAGTCCCCCGAACAGAAGCTTAATCAACGACAATGATGTGGTTGACGAGAAGGGACCTCTCGGCTTTAACTTGCTCTATACACCCTCCGAGCCCCCGATTGACTTGATCTTTGTTCATGGCTTGGGAGGTGGCCCAAGAAAGACTTGGAGCCGGAGACCTTCGATCGCGCAGGACGATTGGCCCAATCTCCCCAGAGACGCCGCCTTCGAAAGTGTCCGCATTCACAGTTTTGGATACAACTCGGACTACGTCAAAAGCGAAAATGATTGCTGGATCATCCACCGTTTCGGTCAGTCCCTGCTGGCAGACTTGAGAACCCCGCCGCGTCTCGGGAAGACAGATACACACCTGATCATGGTCGGGCACAGCATGGGAGGCTTGGTGACAAAGCGCGCATATATGTTAGCAAACATGACTCGTCTCTCGAACACCTGACAGCCAGATTCAGGGCAATGTATTTCCTCGCAACACCGCATCAAGTCTCAGACTGGGCAAAAGTCCTGGATCGCATGTTGAAGATCTTTTCTCTATCGATCGACTTTGTGGAGGAGCTGAAGAAAGATTCTGGAGCACTTGAGTCTATCAATGAAGAATTCCGCCCCTACTCTGATCAGTTTGAGCTGTTTGCATTCTACGAGATGTAGCCAATGAAAGGCCACGGGTCAAAGGTCGTTGAGCCCGAGTCTGGAGTTCTAACTTTCCAGGGGAGACTCAAACCCCGATGACGGCTGATCACAGATCGAGTTGCAAATTTGAAGCCCCAGCAAACGAGAGTTATGTGAGGCTACGTAACTCACTTGCCACTACAGTCGCAAACATACTGGATAAGTGGGCGAGACAAAAAGAGGCGCAAAGGAAGCGCGAACTGAGTGATCTGAACAGGTACTTACGCATACCTCAGCAGCCAGAAGATGATCTTGAGCTTGCCCAAAGTCCCCGGCTGTCTGGCACTTGCGAGTGGATCGCACAGAAAAAGAGCTACTTGGCCTGGAGAGATCTTGCCACAAATGCACCTACCATTCTCTGGATAAATGGAAAGCCAGCCACAGGCAAGTCGGTTCTTGCGGGCTATATTATCGCACAGCTACAAGAGCGAAAGTTAGCCAGCAGCTACTATTTCTTCAAACATGGCGAAAGTTCAAAGTCCAGGCTCATCAATTGCCTGAGATCACTGGCCTTCCAAATGGCTCGACAAAATGATCAAATTCTACGAATTCTAGGTGATTTGCATAAAGAAGACGCCGAGAGTGACGGTGGAACTGATCGCAGTTTTTGGCGCAAAATATTTCTCTCGACAATTTTCAAAACCCTGAAGGAACGCCATTATTGGGTCATCGACGGCCTAGACGAATGCGAAGGTTCTGAGGCTTTTATCGAATCCCTCATAAGTCAACTCGACCCCGCTACAAATTTAAGAATCCTTGTCACAGCTCGGGATACGCCGAAGATCAAAACGGCGTTTAAGACTCTTAATGCAGACAGATATTGTGAGCTACCCATTTCGACTCTCGATACCCTGCGGGATATCACCCTCGTCATCAGCGCAAAATCACATTCCCTAGCAGTAAAAAATGATGGATTTCGAGCTGCGTTACTTGGGAAGGTGCTCGAAAAATCTCAAGGCTCCTTTTTATGGACTCTCTTGGTCTTAGAAGAGCTTTCAAATACCTATGGCGAAGCAGAGCTCAGGAAGGTGCTCGATGATGTCCCCCGAGACATGAACTCATTATACCAACGAATTTTGGACTCGGTGGAACTGACGACAGCCGAGAGTGGAAGGAGAGTGGCTAAGGCCATTCTCAAATGGGTGTCGTGTGCTATGAGGCCGCTTAGCACGGAAGAACTCACTGGTGCGCTGAACTTAGATCTGGGGGACAAATATGACAGCCTCGAAGAAATAATCCCCAAAATATGCGGACAGCTCGTTGCTATCGACAAGTTCGGCAAGGTTCAGATTGTGCATGAGACAGTCAGAGAATTTCTCACCAGGCATGACTTACAATCCGACTTTGCCGTGAGCAAATTCCAGGTACATGCGAGGATCGCCGAGATATGTTTGAGCTACCTCATAAGTGACGAAATGAGGCCTTCTACAGCCAGGAGACAAGGCTCGAGACGGCGCTCAGCGATGACCATCGAGAACTCAAAAATGAAATTCTCCAAATATGCCTGCACAGCCTTCGCGCACCATCTTGCCAACACCGATTGCGAATCAGTCGATATTCTCATTCTTCTTTCCAGATTTCTAGAATCAAATATCCTTTCGTAGATCGAAGACATCGCTCAGACCAGGATCCTTACGCTAACAATACGAGCGGCAAAGGACCTCCGGACGTATGTCAAAAAATGCAACGCACCACCTATTGGGAAAGAGATTCAAGCTGTTAGAGGAGCTACAACAGATCTAGTCCGCGTTGCCGCGAAGTTTTCAGACGCTCTTACCTCTAATCCAGCTGCTATCTACACCCTTATTCCCCCCTTTTGTCCCCGCAACTCTACGATGTACAAAGCTGGTGTGAAATGCCGGACAACAAGACTGTCGATTAGCGGCTTATCTTACGATCACTGGGACGACCGGCTGACGTGCATAGACCTTCAAAGCGACAATTTCACATGCATTGCGTCCGGAGACGAGCTGTTCGCTGTAGGGACCACATCCGGAGTTGTCACTGTTTATCACGCGACCACATGCGAAGAACACAAGGGTTTAAACCACATGGAGAACCCCTACAACTATTGCAATTCAAGCCAAAGTCTGGCGTTCTCGTATCATGTGGCTTGAAGAATGTGACGGTGTGGAATAGCCGCACCGGGGATGCGATTTATAAACTTCCGGCTCCGTTTCGATCCATGGCCCTTGAATTTGACAATGATATACTAGTGGTGGCATCGAGGAGAAATTTCTTGAGATCCTGGGACCTGGAGAGCAATGCCACATCACAGCCGGACAGACCTTGGAGTCATTCAGACGAAGAAACACAGAAACCGTCTCGTCTTCAACCATGTGCCATTTCCTTCTCTCTTGGACATCAAAAAATGGCTCTGGCATACACCGGTCAACCCGTCACTATCTGGGACCTTGAATATGACGAATACTATGGCAGCTGTGGGAAAATGCTGGTCAACGGTGAAACCAGTAAGCATTTAGTGACGTCCCTAGCCTTCAACCCCAATCCTGACATTCGACTTCTTGCTTGTCTCCTACCTTGACGGCCAACTTGGCCTCCTTGACCCTTTCGAAGGAGAGGAACTGGAAAGCTTTCGAGCAAACTGCCGCGCCTTGACTTCGAGCCCGAATGGACGTCTGCTTGGAGGTGTGGCTGCGTGTGAGACTGTCCATATATATGAGTTCGACACATTGAGACTGCTTTACAGGATCAGATCATCCGGGCTGGGTATCAAACAGCTAGTTTTCAGTCGAGGCAACTCCCATTTTGCAGACATACGTCGGTCCCAATGCAATATTTGGGAGCCCACGATGTTGTTGCGTGACACCATTGCAGACGATTGGAGTGAGAGCACATCAACGTCCGTAATTGAAGCAAAAACGTCGGACGATAAAGTCAGAATCAGCACCATGGTCCTTCATGATCAAGGCCAGGTCATTATTTGTGGCAAAGATAACGGCTCAGTCTGTCTGCACGACGCTCGAACCGGCGCGTTTCTACAAACGCTTCATGAACACAAGTCTCAAGTTCGCATTCTCACTTGGCAAACTTCTGGTCATATTGTCATGAGTGTGGATACATCAAACGGGATATACGCTTCCATTCTGACGAAGGACCCTAATGAAGGATGGGTATCGAAGGAGCCCCCGCTCCAACTTCGCCTTGATTGCGGTAATGGCATTGTCCAGCTCCTCAAGTCTGAAACGACCAATAGATCAATCCTTTCAACGCGAGAAACGGATTATCTTTGGGACAGCAACGGGAAGCAGCTTGCTACACGGCCATATCTGAAGACCCCAGGCATCAGACTCTGGATACAGCATCCTCAATCGCAATCCCATGTCATATGCATTGAAGGGGAAATTGCGCGCATCTGCTCTTGGGATGACTGGACGGAAGTTTCAAGCCTCCGACTCGCAGTGAATATGGCAGGCGTGCAATTGAAGAGCCTCCGAGAACACGGTTCAGGTCACCGACACCGTATGCTTCTGGAGCTGTCTGAGCTGAATGGCTCCGCCAGAACTCGCGGCCTCTATCTGTTTGACGCAGCATCGTTTCACTTTGAAGTGGACGCGGCAGGGGGCAAGAAGCCTGAACAGAAGAAAGTTGAAACCAATAGACTTGTCGACGCGGAGATACCTCCAGCTCAAGCAGCTCTATCAACTGAGGCCGACAACGCCTTTAGCGATCCACTCGTGGAGGAAGCAACCATACAGATCCAGCAACAAGGGATTGCAGACGTCCTCTTTGGCCCTCGGCTCATGGCTTTAACCGGTCACATCTCCCATGTTATCCACCTTAGCGACACCGGGAAACTTATCTTCCTAGACGCAAACTCGTGGGTTAGCTCTATTGATCTCGACGGCCTTGACAGATCCGTCGTGACGACGGCAGCAACTTTGGCTCCGGGGCCGCGCACGCCGTCAATCCAGTATTCTAGACACTTTTTCGTGCCTTACGACTGGTTCTCTGGCACGCGAGACATAGTGTGTGCCGCTACAGCACGAGACATCCTCTTTGCACGGAATGGCGAAATTGCCATCATCAAGAACGGCTTGGACTATGCGGAGGAGGTTGTGGTTGGGGTGCCTTTGTAAGGCCTCTGTAAGAGCTCGCACATACACTTGTATTCAGGGATCGGATCCGCGGATAAGCTTACTGGTAGGAGGCAGGGTGTTGGGGTGAGATGGATCTAGGATGAATCTATACAAGAGGCAAGGAGATCGCGGGGGAAATGGAACGGGGAAAATATCATGAACTGGTGACATTTACCTAATCAAGGAATGGGTTCAAGAACTGTTGGATCTACGTATCTTCCCTGCGGAATTCATTGGCGTGTTTCCTTTCTTTCCGTCTTTTCTTTCTCAACGAATTCGACCCTGCCTTTGTGATCCCACCGCGCCGGTCTAACCTCACGCGACAGGGGGTACTTGATCCTCGTATTGCCTGCTTGTAGTCCCATTAGAGTCTTGTTCCGACGGTAGACACCCCATCTAGATTCCGGAGTCGGTCTGAAGCGGCTCCTCGTCCGGATCGAGGTACCCGCACGGGTCGGACGGGTCGTGGGCGCGCGGGCTCCAGGCGTCCCAGGTCTCGCACATGTCGGCGAACCGCGTCTCCCAGGGGGGCGGGAACGCGATCTGCCCGCGGTTCTCCACGATCTGCACGGCCAGGCCAGAGGAGGCGTGGAAGGCGATGTGGCAGTGCATGATCCAGACGCCCGGGTTGTCGGCCCTGAACGCGAGGATCAGGTACCCCTTGTCCGGCAGGAAGGCGACGTCCCGGCGCGGCGGGTTGGCCAGCGTCAGGTTCGCGCGCGCGACGTCGCACGCCGTCTGCCCGTCCGGCACGCACTGGTCCAGCACCGCGAAGTCGTGCCCGTGCAGGTGGATCGGGTGCTCCCCGGGCACGAAGACGCCGGGGACCTTGGGCACGGGGTGCGGCAGCAGCGGCGTCCCGGACTTCTTGGGCCCCGAAATGATGGTCAGCTGCACCCATTCTTCCTCTCGGGTGTCGTTGGTGTCGACCACGGCCAGCCAGCCCTTTTCCGTAAAGTCCTGGTCGAGGTTCCACAGCGTCGGGCCGCTGAAATTGAGCCACATGGGGTGATTGGGGACCAGCTCGAACCGGTTGACCGTCTGGTCGCACGGCCAGTAAGGGTATCCCTTCATCGGCTGGATGTTGAGATAGAGCGGGTCCACGTCTGCCTCGCGTTAGCAATTCTAGATGATGGCCCCCTGTCGGCTTCTCCACTTACGGTGTCTGATGCGGCCGACAGTCCAAGGCACTATTGGAGTTATGTTCCTATAGTAGGTCTCGTCCGCGCAGGTAGGTTCAAACGCATGCCGCGAGGTGCTCGGCAACTCGTCGCCGAGCGTATATCGGACGATGCCAGTGCGCTCATCAGGGATGGGAGCCTTCGGGTCAAAAGAACTGCAGTTCGTGGCGGGAGTGGTGCGGATCCAATAACTGTGGTCACTGGTGTATCCTTCCGGGTTTGCGTCGACGATAATGTTGTATCGTTGTCCTGAAGCGCAAAGTTTGTCAGGGACAGAGAATGGGCTAATGCATCTGGATCCCACACCTACCTATCCCTACCACGACGTGATCGGTATAATATGGTTCGATCGCCACAAAGTCGGTGGAAATGACCCAGAACTTGTGGTCGTCGATGGAGAATACAAATGTCGTGTCCGCAGCGCCGTTGATGAGCCTCATGAGGTATTTCACTCCCTGTCTCTGATTAACAACACCTCTTGACAGGGGGCGGAGATGGGAGCTGTACCTTCTGGAAGAAGACCTCGTGGAACTTGGGCTTGTGTGAAATGTCGACCGGAGGCGGCCAATGACCTGCGAGGTTGGTTGCACTTCAGCGTGGTGATTTTCGCCCCAAGGCTGTTGACTTACCAACGCCGTTTTGCAGAATGTTGTCGACGAATATCTGCTTTCCGCTGCTTTGGATGGATGCGTCCCACTTCTGATACACACTGGACAGCCAATGACGTTAGAGACATAGGTATGCAAGTTCGGAGACGTCGTTTCCTACCTCTGGTGGAGCCAGTCGCTCATGATAATTGGATACAACTGATGGTCATAATCCTTCGATGTCGGGCCGTAGACGGTGAATGGTCCCAGAGCACCGGCGGCGTACTAGCCGAAATTCCTCAGTTTATCGGCGCAGCAGAGGAGGAGAGCTAGATGCAAACGAACCTGTAAGGAGTAGTGGCTGTGATACCACGAAGTTCCGTATTGGGTGATGTTGAAAATGTATGTGAAGTTGGTGTTAGGAGCAATCGAACACTGGGTGACTGCATTGACGCCGTCCATATAGGCGCTATGCAACTGTCTAAAGCCATGCCAATGGACTGTGGTGCCATTTCCAGGGTTGTCATTTGTGTTGTTGCCCGCCAACTTGTTATGCACCGTGATGTGCACTTGATCACCCCAACAAGCTTGGATTCGAGGGCCAGGGAAGCTGTTATTGAATAGCTGCACCGGGAGACTTGCAAAGCCGTCGGGATTGCGAGTAGACTCTTCCAACTCCAGGTAGTAGTGTCTCACGATACCCTTGGGGCCGTCGTTCTCGTAGTCCGTATGGATATCATACCGCTGGCCTGTCTTGACGTTCCTGAGCCAACAATGTCTGTCTGTCTTGGTGTTGCAGGAAATCCAGCCCTCCTTTTCCGGATAGTCGGGGTATTCGCACCGAAAGGGGATATCTTCAAGGTCATCTGGCGGATTGAAGATCGGGTACTTTGTGGCCTGTGGCTGAATTGGCTGAACGGGCTGCACTGGAATCTGCAGATCTGGAGCATTCTCTGTGGAATAGAGCTGGCTCGGAGAGTGTGTCAGAAAATCGAAGAAGTACACGATCCCCGTCCACAATGTTCGTATTGGGGCCATGTTGAAGGCTGGTTTCGCCGATATTGTCACTATCAAGCTCGATGGATGACGGGACAAACCTGCACAAAGACGGAAGGTATATATGGGCAAGATCTCATACGAGCAAGAGCATGAGTCCCCTCATTGCTAGGCGTTGTGAATGCTCTTCTGAGCATTCCGATCCCAACGCTGATGGGCTTTGTTCCCTCTGTCAGCCTGACGATCCATGCAGTTGCATCCAATGAGCTGTATCTCCTTGACTCTGTCTCTTAAGGAGCCAGTCGCGATGGGTGACTGAGACCTCGCTTGACCAAGACGACATCATCATCCCAGACATGATCAGCCCAAGCGTCCAACGAATGTGCTCGGATTGAGGTCGAGGGTATTTTCAGCTCGGAGTCGGACATTGCTTGCATGAAAGCGGTTGTGAACAGGGCGCCTCGACAACTGACATGGTGCCCTGCCCAGTCGAATTTGCAAGATGGTGGCAGCTCTTTGGAGGCCTGATTGGCAAGGGCTTCGGGTAGCGTATACACGAAGCACAGAGTGACGGCCTCGACACGAAACTGCAGCAGATGTAGGCGAGCTGAAAAGCTCTGGCATCAAACGAGTTTCCTCACTACCCCCTCTTTCCCAGTATGGAAAGCATCTCTGTCTCCACTGGGCCTTGACTTGGACAAACGAGGAGGGCGAGACAGTGGCTGGCTGAGTTTAGAAGGCTGATATAGCTAGTTGGGCTTTCGTGTGCCTCCCACACTGATTTGGCCTCTGTGCGGGGTTTGTTGTACGTCAGTCCTGTGACATCTGCTGGGACCAATGCGAAAATATCAGCATAAAAGGAGCTTCTGAGCAGGTGAGCTGATTTTAGGGATAGGAGCTGGAGCCCTCGTTGAGGTTGTCGAATAACTCGACGGCTGTACCCGAATGCTACCTATAATATCGAGGATCACCACCTCCAACATGGGTCTGAACCTGCCTAGAGGACACGGCACAAAGGACAAATACCATCTCCATCGTTTTCGATGACACCTAATCATCGTGGAGCCGGATGCTGTGACTTCGGGGGCGAAAGCACCCTTTTCGTTCGAGGGAGCAACCATGTGCACGATCCTTATCCGTCCAGACCACTCTTTCAACCGCGCCTTATCATATACCCAGTAGAAACGTAGGAAAAGCGAGCGGTTGACCAATAGCCCATGCATGAATACATGTTCGTGATTTTGAAAGTTCTTACCGGCCTGTTTGGCCCGCGCAGGGATAACATGGAGCGCATGGTAAAGAGAATGGAGCAATCTCACAGTATCCATGATTGACCGTGGGACATGTAGAAAGATGAGCCTCGTGGTCTTGTTCGTCAGAACGAGCACAGGCGGAAGAGGGTGGAAATACTGAATCCATATTCTACCGTCGTCACTCTGGGTAGAAGACGAATCAAGTTCACATAAGCTAGCCATACACCATTAGTTGATTAACTCCCCCCTACCGTACAAGGCCTCCGTTCTCATTGCCAGAGATGTCCCCTTACTCCACCTTCAAACTCGTCACTCGTCACCTTAGCCGCATGCGCCTTCTTCCACAGATATACGATGCGGACTTCCAACGCCCTTCGGACAATGTTACAATAGCCTCCGCACCCAGACCGTTTAGTCTGGTCCATGAGCTTAATCTTGAGTCTGTATCTTGTGATCGCCCTTCACAACTTCTGAGTAGCTAGGAGGTGCACCAGGCTCATTGCTTCCTGCACCCACGCTAGGTCCAGCAGGTTCGTCCGCCTGGGAGGAGGGATTTGAAGGTGGCGGTGGCGCCGGTCTATTGCTGCCCTGGCATGCGGGGGGTAGAGGGGCAGGTCGATCGTCGCCTGACGGATCTTGTGCTTGAGTACCATAAAGGGGCGGTTGGCGCGGTACGGATTCATGGCGGATGAAATAGTACGTGACTCGCCCGCCCTGACCTCCGCGCTCGGAGTCGGGGATAACCTCATAATCATAGTCTCGCTCGGGGTTGCGTGCGATGATGTACCATGCGTGCAGAAGACCAGGGACGTAGCCGAGCATGCAGAGGAGGATGTTGATCAGGGAGTCACAGGAGCAGATGCCTGACTTGATCCAGACTGCAATGACCCGAAATATCAGCAATGGATGCCCTTGGTTGAAGGAATTGGAACGGCGACTTACCTGCAATTGGGGGGAAGAGGATGGCTATCAGAGCCAAGAAGATATCACCACATGTCATTGTGATGGTTGTTTGGCGTTCAGAGATGGTGATCGGCATCGAACGGGGCAGCAGACAGAAAGAGAAGGTCGTGAAGATATACGGCGCAGAGCCTGGAAGAAAACTTTTCTTCTTATCAGAAGAAATGAAGTTGCCTGGCGGTGGTGAGAGTTTGAGGGCTAAAGGGCGCAGTCTTGGAGTCGACTTAGGGCGAGGCTGTGAGAGGCTGAGCAATGACGTTTGCACGGACTGCAGCGAATTGCGGCGGAGGCGGCCGGCTGTTTCACGTGACCGTAGCTGCAGGTACGAGATGCTCCGTACAGGTACCGTGACTGCCAAGGTGCCAAGACGTGCAGCTTGGCCTAGCCGAAAGCGAGCCGTCGCCGTCACAAGCCTCGGTTGAATGGACCGGGAGCCGACTTGACGAGGAGGAGAAGAAGAAGTTGGATGGGGAAATAATAATATGATTACTTTGAATGACTTCCCCATCACCTCCACAACCCCTTGCTCTGCTGTGCTGTGTGGTCTGTTGGTTCAATCTGACTGTGACGAGCTCGTTCCCTTGTTCCTTCATAGCAGTTGCTGAGACAGGTCTACGAATCCGGCCGTAAGACCGCGGGACTAGTCTGATTACTTTTGGTCGTCGAGGCACAACTTGTACCATTGTTTTATATCGACGACAACCCCTTTCCCGTTCTCACCACGCTCTCCCCCATACATCGCAAACATGTCTAGCAGCGAGGCGGCAAACCCAGACCCCAGTGTCGTCCCCCAGGACCCTGCCGAGGTCAAGGGCGATGTCGAACCCATCAAGCCTTCGCAACACCCGGCGTTGAGCAAGGTGCCCAATGAAGTCAAAACTACCATCTCCAAAGCCGACGAGATCATTCTGCGCATCAGCAAGTATGTGGCGTTCAGAATCAATGGATCCAAGTCAATTCCACTGACGCGCCGGACGTAGGTTGATCAAGACTACCGCAGGCCTCGGGGCAGCTCTGTCGACACTCAACTATGCCATCTATCTCGCAGCGTACCTCCATTCAAAAGCTCCTACCCGCGCTGCTGTCATTGCGTACATCTCGCGCCTCATTGGTCGCACACCTTCGAAGCTCCCTGCCGGAGCTCTAGCTCCATCTGCTCCTACCTCGTTCCTCACTCCACTGGGAGCTCTTGTGTCTGATACTCGGACGTCGCTGCGTTTGACGGGGCTGCTGCCGTTATACATCTGGATGAAGACACTCTTGTCGAAGAAAGCCTCAGCAGATATGGACCCAGCCCTCCATCGGGTTGCGTTGCTGCAGTGTGCCGGCTACATCGGTTTCCAAGCCCTGGAAAACGTCTACCATTTGGCAGGCAAAGGCGTCGTACCTCTGTCGATTATCGAGAAGCGAGGAGGTGTCGCCAAGTGGGTTGCATGGAGCTGTCGTGCGTGGTGCGTTGGAGTCGCAAGCGACTTCCTCCGCCTCTGGCGCGAGGCTGAGATTGAAAAGGAAAAGCGGGGCAGCAAGTCGGCCAAAGAGAAGGAAGACTATGATCGCAAGTGGTGGAATGAGTTCATGGTGGCCGCATATTGGATGCCCGTCGCTGTCCACTACAGCTTGTACCCTGAGGGAATTCCAGGCATGAATACTGGGCTGGTCGGCTTCTTTGGCTTGATGGCTGGTCTCAACAACTTCAGGAACCAATGGGCAGCCACTGCTTGAAGGCCGGGGGAAGGACAGTCTGCTGTGGAAGTTTGTCTTACGGGGACATGGATTATCTTTGTCGAGATGTAATATTGCTCAATGCCGTGAGCACAGATGATTCTTTGCCTCCTATACCTAGTTACCCGGAGTTTAGGGAGCCAAAAATGTGGAATTTTCTTACATGCATAGACCCTTTTGGCTCACCATCGTTCTAGCCCACATTCTTCCAGCATCCCATAGGCTGGGTGTTGGCTCCTGGGGCTCCATGGTCCGTCAAGCGCGAACCCCAGAACCCCAAGAAGAGGCGGCTCGCTGCATTTTCGGACTATTTCCTGTTTGGGCCATTTCCGCCCCTCCATCCCATGTCATGCACTTCTCTCCACATCCTGCGTCTGCCAGATCTTCCCATCACAAGCTTCTTCCATATCTCAAGGAACTCGTCAGCCATGGGTACGCTATGTATGAATCCCCAGCACGCTCCTTTTCTGCCTGCCTCTCTCTGCGGTTGTTTTGATTGTGAGATGTCGGATCAAACAGACCCGGTTGAACCTCAATCAACCAGAAATACAACGTCCCGTTCGGAGGGGTGGACTTCAACGAAAGGGAGCAGGATAATGGCGGAAAATCAGTCAACGTTAGCATGCTATTCATGCAGAAGGTTGAGTGCCCATTTGTCCTTCGTAACAAACAATGAATACCGTTTCAGCTGGCGGATGCTAATACTGAGGCAGACGCAAGGTCAAGTGGTCCGTCCTACCTGTACTCGTCGCTTCCCGTCGCACCTCTTGCAGTAATTGACTGCTCTACATAGTGACAAATCCCTTCCTGCCTGTCGTGTCTGCACAAAGTATGCCATGCCATGCTGCTATCCGGAGGTCCAACACAAGCCAGGTCCCAAACTAGGTGAGCATGTTTCTATTTCTCCAGAGTAATGATATGATCTTGGCCTCACTCATTCCGCTGGTTACTTGTAGGGTCGCACTCATCCAAGCACCGAAAGCGGATCTGCTGGCGTCTGGGAGAGCGTTCGCCCGGCTGCCAGGAAGACATTAGGGAGCCAGAGGATGGCGATAGCATTCGGAAGACCAAAGGGCGCCAGAGACAAAACTTGGCCATGTATCGAGACAATAACAGCACGGCCTCGGATGCTTCGAGCCCCGAGTCGACGACGGCACAATCCTGGGTATTCCATCATTTCCACGAGGATCAATCATACAGCATTTCACCGCTTACCGCATGCGACAATGCAGTACCGAACGAGGTTCTGCCGGCGTATGCGTGGCCTTCACAGGATAATACCAGCTACGTCTGCCGGACTCTTGGTGTTTCAAAAGAAATGCTGTTTACACTGTAAGATTGACCGCTATGGGTGAAGCGAGAGCAGTCCTAACGAGACGTGCAGAACACGGACCTATTTTGAAAAGGTGACCTTTCTGTCCCTCTTTCATAGACCAACGTTTGACGCGATGGTCTATAATAAGATACAGCAGGGTCCATCCTCGGCTGTTCTTGCTGCAGTATGTGCTATCGCTGCACATTATGTGGAAGATCAGCCTGCGCTGCGTCTCTTAATCAACTCTCGATATCCTAACATCACGCATGCTCCCGATTATTTCTACAAGCTGGCATGCACAATCACAAATGAGCAGCTGGAGCAATGTGGTGACGGCAAACCTCCACTCGTACTCCTTCAAGCACTCATTCTGATTACGTTCTACGAGATGATCATTAGTGCTAGAGGAAGAGCGTGGAGGTCCCTCGGCACCTGCGTCCGCATCGCACACGAGATAGAGCTGCATCTGACAGACTCGTCGCTGCAAGGAAAGTCACTGCTGGAGCAGAAAGCCTTGGCGGAGTCTTGGTCACGCAAAGAGGAGCAACGAAGAGCCTGGTGGCTGCTATGGGAGCTTGACGTCTTCGTTTCGACCGTTCGTAGACGCCCAGCGTCCATACACGATGGAGAACATGCTGTCCTCCTCCCAGTGAGCGAAAGATCCTGGTTTGAAGGACACTATCAACCGAGCTGTTTCTTGGACCCTGATCCGCTTCATCGAACTCGAAAGCTACTCGAATGTGGAAACGCTCACGGAAAGGCTTGGTACATTATCGTCAACTCTCTGGTTCGCGATGCACACACGACTGCTAATCCGACCTCACATTGCGATCGCGGACTTCCAAGGCCGGACGTTTCCCCTCTACTGGATAACGGCTGTGGTAATCCCGTGGATGAGCGGAAACTCGCAGTTCTGGATGATTTTATTTTATACTTCAAAACCATGATTCCGAAGGAGCTTCTGTATCAAGGCGACTACTTATCGTTTTCCATCTCTGGCGACTCATACAGCGGACCTACGGCGATCGAAGACTGCGACAAACAACTGATTCACGCCATGACTCACCTGGGCAGACTGATGATCTTGCATCACTACTGCATCAGAAACACCGGACCTTCGGTCCTCAAAGGCAAGAAACTTTTGGATTATCTGTCACTCCGTGAACCTTCGGCAACGCAGAAGCTTCGAGCTATTCTGGGCTTCGCGGATGATCAAACCGCCTGGGACAGATATCTCGGAGCTGCGGAGGAGATCATGCGCGTCGTTCGAAACGCGTCGCCGAACCACATCAGATACGGCCATCCGCTCCTTGCGTGTACTTTCTGGATCGTTGCGGCCACTCAATTATTCAAGAAGGCGTTCGCCCAAGATGAGGCGGAACGAGAGCTGGCTCAGTCCAACTTCGACCTTCTGCGGCTTACTCTTGATCACAGCCACCAATTCTGGAAGACTTCCGAGTTGATGGTCAAAAACATAGACACCCTAGCTTCGCGGCTTGGTGAGCTGAGTGCGAGGTTGGCTGAATCTCGAAGCGGTGGGCCGGATGCTCTTTCCCTTAACGAGGCGGGCCTTTCCAGCCTCAGCGCAAGCTCTTTCGATGGCCTGAATGGTATTGTACAAGGCAGTGCTGAGCGAAATGACAGCACTTCTGCTGCAACCAAGACCGGTCTGGGGAACGTGCCTATGGCAGACGACATTGACTACACCCAAACATGCGCCAGTCAAATAACGTTCGACACCTCCGTCTCGGCCGACAAACCCACTGAGAGTGAACTACAGGCCTTTATGTATGATTTCTGTGGAGACAATTGGGATTTTTGGGGTCAAGATCTCGCCGACTTGTTCCCTTCTGGATGCCCTGAGACATAATACATCTTCTCAGTAAACAGCAAAATAGCCTCTCCTGAGGGTCGCAATGCGGAATAACACCCCAAGTGATGTCAAGCAGTTTCCCAGATCCACGCCATTGGATACTCCTAAATTTGGATGCTACCATCTTTTCCATAAGGGATGCAAAACGAATCAATTGTGCATTTTATATCTCTGGATGCTGTCTCAGAAAGTCCTCCAGTTTGGTCCGCTCGAGATCTGGATACAGCTTATCATCCAATACCTTCATCATGGTTTTGCCACCGAGTTGGTGGATCTGGTAGGTATAGCCCATCCACTCCCAGAATCTGGATAGACCCAGCTCCTGCTGACTCATCTGGGCAGTCACCACCAGATCTTCCAATGAGCCCAGGCGTTGCAGCTCGACAGGAATCCCCTTTGCCTTCTCATAAATCGCAGCGATTTCCTTGATACTATACTCCCAGCTGCAGTATCTGTACACGGCACCTTCTCGAGACTTGTCACAGATCAAGGCCGCGGTGAAGTCGGCCGTGTCTTGTTCCGTTGTGATCTGCCATTTCTCGTCACCCGTGCCCCAGAACTCAGCACGTGGTTTTCCAGCCGCTGAGTCCCAAACCCCGTGTGTGCTTGGGTCGAATACTCCGTGGCCGGACAGGGAGAAAAAGGTCTCTGCGAAGAAGCCAATGAATATGTACATTGGCTTGATTCGGGAAGACATGGCGAGCTGGCGTTGAAAGGCCAGGAAGAGGTCATAATACACAATATCGCCGAATTCGAGGGCCGACCAGTCCAGATTCCAAGCGGATGGCACAAATCGCTGCGCGCGAATGAAGTCAGCATATGCCGCCTTTCCGATTTGCGCTGTTCTCAGAATGACTGCTGGACATGGGCTTACCGTTATGCCTTGCTCTTCCATCAATCTTACCAGCAGCAGCTGGGCATCCAACACCAGCTCTGGCACGGGTCCATATGCGCAAATGACAGCGTCGACGCCGGTCAATGCCTTCTTGATGGCTGGGACATCGTACCACGCTTCCATTTCGTGGAAGCTCTCCAAGGCCTGCACCTTCTCCGGCGCGAGTTTGGATTTGTTCCTCGCCAGTCCGCGCACTTGAGCTCCGTGCTCTTTGAGGGGACTGATCAGCTTGGAGCCCACGTTCCCTGTGATTCCGATGATGAGGACGAGCATGTTGGGCAAAAGGGACTTTTGACGAGGTGCGTAGTCTGAGACGACACAGACGGCTGTGCTGCTGTAGTATTTAAGCTCAATGGCTTCTCTGCGCCCCTGCCTCGAAGGAGGCCATGTCTGGCCAAGCCAGGAGCATCAATTGCCGACATGGTCCTTTGTAGGATGGAGAATTGTGGAATGCGAGATGCTCGGTCTAATTAATACTTCCCATTCTCCCCCCTTTTCTGGTACAGCCTCGGCGGATCTGCCTTCGGACCGATTTTCACCTCGAGTCTGTTCTCCAACCGGAGTCCCCATGGGGTTACATCCACGACCATGGTGCTTCAGCAGATATACGCACACGGAGAGAGAATCCCAGTGTTTCTCAAAGTCGCCGGAGCATGCCCTGTCAAAGTCCGCCCCGAGCAGTGGGATCTGCGTGTAGACAGTATCACGATCAGCCCTTTCCCGGACTGCAACACGTCCCATTCCTCCGGTGGAAGTTGCTCTATCGGCCGTACATCTGTGTCTTCTTGCCAATCAAAGTCGTGCTTCCGCCCTGTATTCTCCAGAGTAACCCGCCAATGCACGACACGCGACACGAGGCGGAAATGGTGCGCGTGTTGATGACAAATTTGCTGGACGCTGGTCGACGCTCTGGTGGATACGACACGCGGCGCGATCGTGACAAAGGCTGGTTGAGAGCGAGTCGAGTCGACGCTTGGGTTACGGTCGATAGGCACGGTATGCTCACCCACCACCGTAGCTATGATGAAGATTGCAGTTGTACTTTTGGCGTGGACATGTCTATCCGTTTCAGGAAGAGTCTAGCCCCAGTGCGTAGGGCCCTCACAAGAAGCATCTCCCATGACCAACCATCTCGTTACCAGCATGCCAATACCATCGTGGGCCTGCAGTCCAGGAAACACCGCAACAGGCAAGACGAGCGCCCCCACCCCACGCAATGGCAAGAAGGGGAAGGGCGGGGAGGACAGAGTAATACCATACTATATCAAAGACAAGCTAGCTTCGCGGCCAAGCCATACGTCGGTCTTGGGGGCTGCTGGTCGATTGTAATGCCCTGGTATCGACTCTCCATTTTCTTGCTCGGTCCGTCGGTGGTATTCCCGGGCCATCTTCTGGGACGGCTGTTGCTCCGCCTGCGGCTGGCCCGGCATACCGAAGTCATCGCCTTGAAATGACCGAGCTGGACCGTTTGGTAGAGGGATTCTCTGGCTATGGATGTGGTGGGGAGGGGCATGCCTCCTGAGGTCAAAGAAGGAGGGATGGAGGCTTCTGGATCCCATTTAAGAGGCCCGAGGCCACATCAGAGCACGGATGATGTCCTCTGAAGAAGGGCCGGTTGTTCTGGTCCATTTGATTCCTGCTCTATCACCAGCTGAACCTCTTCTTTATCTCTCTTTGGGGGACCATTGTGCACAAGATGCCGGGATATCTGATCAAGAATGGCCGAGTCCTGACCTGGGACAAGGAGCGGAAGTCGTCGTTCCCTCAGCTGGACATCCTGGTCGAAGGCCCTGTCATTACGGAGATCGGTCCGAACCTCCAGCCAAACCCGGACGATGCGTCGATCGAGGTCATCGATGCCACCGGCTGCATCGTGACGCCCGGCTTCATCGACGGGCACCGGCACGTCTTCCAGTCCCAGCTGCGGTCCACGGTCAGCAACCACACCCTGCTCGAGTACTGCGCCCACCTGCTGCAGGGGCGGATGACGTTCCTGGGGCCCGAGGACATGTACCTCTCGCAGCTGTCGGGGGCGAGCGAGGCGCTCTTCTGCGGCGTGACGACCGTCATGGACCACTCGCACGTGGTGACGACGCCGGACCACGCACGCCGCTGCATCCAGGCCACGCTCGAGTCCGGGATCCGGAGCGTGTACTGCGCGTCGCCGTTTGCGATCCCGACGTCGCTCAACCCGATGACGCTGCCGGACATGGCGGTGCACCACGCGCGGCAGATCGAGCTGTTCAAGACGCTCTGGGCGCAGCGGCCGCTGGGCGGGCCGGGCAACGACGGCCGGGTGACGCTGGGGCTGGGCTTCGACACGATGCACTGGATCCCCGAGGCCGAGGCGCGCGACATCCTGGCCTTTGCCCGCGACCACGACATCCCCGTGACGTGCCACGACGTCCCGCGCTACAACCTCCCCTCGCTGGCGTTCCTGCGCGACAAGGCCATGCCGGTGCCGCCGCAGCTGACCCTGTCGCACACCTGCGAGCCGTCGGCGGCGGACATCGCCTTCGTGCGTGAGCAGCAGGTCGGCATCGTGTGCACGCCCGAGTCCGAGATGGCCATGTCGCACGGCATCCCGTCCGCGTTCACCTTCTACAGCGCCCCGGGCTGCGGCCGCATCGGGCTGGGCGTCGACTCGCCGGCCATCTGCTCGGGCGACCTGTTCTTCACGATGCGCCTGGCGCTGCAGCAGGAGCGCATGCGCGCCAACGCCGCCTTCCACGCGCGCGGCAAGCTGCCGGACGTGGTGCCCGCACACACCGACGCCGTGCTGTGGATGGCGACACTGGGCGGCGCGGCGGCCATCCACATGGACGACCGCGTCGGCAGCCTCGAGGTCGGCAAGTGCGCGGACGTCGTGCTCGTGCGCACCGACGCGCCCTCCATGGTCGGCTGCGTCGACTTCTCCGCCGCCCTGGTCACCCACGCCGCGCCCGCCGACGTCGACACCGTCCTGGTCAACGGCGAGGTCGTCAAGCGCGCCGGCGCCCTCGTCAAGGTCGACTGGGCCGACCTCAAGGGCAAGCTCGCCCGGAACCGCGCCGCGCTCGAGGAGAAGTTCAAACAGGTCGACTGGGAGTGGAACAAGAACGACCTCAAGGATCTGTGGGGCGTGCGCGACGTTCTGGAGTGAAGAAGGAAGGGGAGGGAGTGGGGATTAAGTTACACGCACACACACATAGAGGAAATAATATCGGATTCAAAGTGATCGTAATATCATTAGTCTAGTAATTTCGTAAATAACCCTCCCAGTTCTATCCCAACCCCTCCCTTCTTGCCCTATTACCAAGAGATATACTAGTGAGTCCAAGCCACGTCCCCCCTCTCCCGCTCTCACAATCCATGCCCCAGTGCCATCCCCTCTTCTCTCTCATTGACCGCAGTCCACCAAACTCACAATCCTCAGTTCCACGGGACTGCACTGCGCGGCCCAGTTCTCCGTGTAGAGGTTGTAGAAGTCGCCGCTCAGACACTGCCAGAACGTGGTGCTGCCCCCGAGCGCCAGTGTCCGGATACCGCCGTCAGCATCGTCACCGTCTCCGAGTCCCTGAACGGCCGTGGAGCTCGGGGTGGTGGTGGTGGTGGTGTCGACGACGACGGGACAGATGCTCCACCCGCTCGTCCAGATGGCGCCGGACTGCGGGGGCCCGTCGAACTGGAATTGGTAGTTCGAGGCGATGTAGCCGGTCCGGTTGAAGGCGTCGGTCAGGTCGTGGTCGGCCAGGTGCAGGCGGAGAGTCGAGTTCGTGAGGCACGATACCAAGGATAGCCTTGGCGGCGGCGACGGGGTCGCGGCTGGGGAGACGGTGGTGGTGGCGGTGAGAGAGGCCGAGATGGGTGAGGCCTGCGTGGGTATACTGGTCTGCAAGGAAGGCGACGACGGCAGTGGCACGGCTGGGCTGGGGTTCGGTCGCGCTGAGATCCCGCATGCTTGCTCCAACACCGTCGGTGGCTTGCTCGGGGTCGCAGAAGGGTTGGATCCCTGTGGGGGAAAGGGGACAGGAACATTCGAAGTCGGCGCCACCGAGGACGCCGGCGTCGAGACCACGGTGGCAATGTCAGGCACGACAGTCACCACTGGACCCTGGATCTGGCCGTCGACGATCTGAGACACGGGCGCCACGGGCGTCGCCACGGTGATGGCCGCGGTGTGCATGCCTCCCTGGACCTGGCCGTCCCCGATCTGCGAGACGGAGCCCATCGTCAAGATCGGGGCTGGCGCTTCGTGTCTCCCGCGCAGTCTGCCAGCAGCAGTAGCACTGGAGTCTGACACAGAGGCAGCAACAGGCAAAGAGACGTTCATCAATGCGATCCCAAACACGCCGGGAAATGTGCCTGTGCACCCTGGCGGCGGTGGTTGTGAGGGAGAGATGACCGCCGTCACAGCCTGTGGGAGCGCAATCGGCGACGCATAGACACACGTGGAGAAGAGGACAGCGATGCAGAAAGAATAGATCATGTTTTGATGGGTTATCATGGGGGAATGTGGACGGCCCGGTGCGAAATAGAGTCGTGGGAATACAGAGATTGATCTCGCAGAGAAGGGCAGGTGTTGCGCATTGTGCCAGCATAATGCTATATGTACTTCAGGGAAGAGCATGTTCAACAACTCACATTCTCTGCCTCCAGGGCTGGGAGGTGCATATTGAATACGCAAGGCTGGCGGCGAGTCTGTGCGTCGTCTAGACACCACCTTCAAGGAATGCCGGCCAAAGTTGGACGAGGCTGGCACGGCAGTCGAGACAAGGCTGACGAGGCTGACAAGATCCAGGAGGTGGCCGGGGTTCCGCCGGGAATGCACACAGGCCCTTGAACTGGTCAAAGCTTCATCTCATCCCAAGTCCATGAGTGTTCAGTAATGATTCATCATTCATGCACTTGTACATAATAACACAAAGCCGTGCGTGTCGCATGCTGTTCGAACACGATCCAACAGCACCAGCACGTGCTCGATGCCCGCGCAATTTCCAAATAAGCAACTTTTGAAACCCCACCCTATCATCCCCCAGAAGGCTGTTGTACATTCATTCAACCATTAAATACATCCCCGTCATTGGCTATGGATACTTCAGTCTGGGCAACCAACCCAGCATCATCCATACCCTGTCCATGGCCATGTGCAGCATCGGCTTCTTCCATAGGTATAGTGGTCGGCTTCACAAGCACTCCCTGGCCCGTCAGTTTATTCCATGTCTCATCCTTCGACCGCAGCCGCTCACGGGAAAAGCACAGTCCGTCAAGTTGAAGCAGATCCTTGCAGTGCTCCGCTAGCATCAGCTCGATCATACGTCTTTTTAGACCCGTCACTTCATCAAGCACTTTCATCCAGGCAGCGTCTTCTGCCTCAGACCCATCCGGCAGCCAGTATCGTGCCAAGTTCGCATGGGCTACTTGAGCCGATGCGGGACTATAGAATCCCACAGTCAACGGATTTTCACGCAGGTCAATCTGCTTCAGCGACGGAAGCCTAGACATGACCAGGCAAGTTCTTCTCAGCCTTTTGACGCGGTTCTTGGCCAGTAGTAGCGTATTCAGGTGCACCATCTTTCGTAATGGGTCCACCTCCTTGATGGCATTGAAATTCGCGTTCAAGTGCCGGCAGTTAGGAAAGAACAGCCCGAACCGTTCAGGAAGCTCTGAAATGCCACAAGCAGCAATCTCCAGTTCACGAAGGTTGTTCTGAGGCGATGGTGGTAGTTTCAATGTCCCGTTCACCACCAAGTTTGATGATAGACGGATTTGTCGGCATTCGTTTGGTGTGGATAGAACTAGGTCAACAATGTCCGACTGTTCTCTCTGTTCCCTGAGAGACAAAAACTCCAGGTGATATGCCGACTGCAGGCCCTGAATGTCCTTGATCTTGTTATTGTCAAGATCCAGATGTCGAAGATCTCGCATATGTTTCAGAGCAAACAACTCCAATTCGTTGTGGGTAATCCGCAGTTTCCGTATTGGAATGGAGGTATTATGGCATGTCGGGAAATTCTGCAGAGCATTGTGGGAGATATCAAGGTCTTCGAGGGCAGGAAGGCAGTGGATATTCCTTACGGCCTCCAATCCGTTGTGGCTGAGATCTAATCTCTTGAGTCGTTTCAGATCACAACCTTCAAAATCAACTCTTGTCAAGTCATTGTCGCTGAGTGTGAGTTCAAGAAGGCCGTCCAGATCCAGCACTCCGTCAATGTTTGAGATCTGATTGTTGTTGGCATTCAGACTCCGCAGATGGACCAGAGAACTGAAGCCTTCCAAGCTTTCCAACCGGTTCCCAGAAACATCGAGGTATTGAAGATTACGGAGATGACTCCACGAAGTTAGGTCATTAACCAAGTTCTGCTGGATATCAAGCATCCGTAAGGTTGGTGGCAAACCACCTAGCTGGGAGATTTTGTTGCCGGACATATTCAGCTCTTCCAAGCTTGGACAGTAGTCTTTCAGGGCGTGAACCGAGGACACACTGCCAGGAGCAAGCGTCAGTTGGCGAAGATGGTCCCAGAATAGTTCGTCTGGCGCCGCATCCGTTATGGCCTTGATAAGCTCATCCACAACCAACGCTAGCGACCCATGAGCTTGCCGTAGCGCGTTCGGATGTTTTCTTTCATCAACGTAGCTCTGGTCAGGATCCCTAGCTTTATCGACTTGATGAAGGGAAAAGTCAGACAGCGGAGTCAAGCAAAGAATGCTTGACGCTTTGTTGCCCGTCTTTTGAAGTTTGGCGATGGTCTTTGGTGGCGCGGGAGTCACCATGTCAGAGTGCTTCACGTGGACAAGGCTCATCCGAGGCTGGAAAAGTTCCTCGTCGTCTTCTACAATTGGCGATATCGTCCGAGGCTGGAAGGTGACTGCCCGTTCATGACTGAGCAATCGCACTTGACTAGTCCTTTTGAAAGAGTCTGTGGACAGAGGCAGGACAACTGTTGGAGGCAAGTCTTGCTCACCGTGCTCAACGTCAAGCTCAATTGCGGAATCATCAAGGGGAAGGTCTTCTTCCCGCGGCAGGTCGTCGAAGTCGTCTTCAGAAAGATTTGCGTAGTTCACCGCCGAGACAATTGGGGACGAAAAGGCAATAGTCACTGCTCGAGCTTGCTTTCGATCTTCTTTGAGCTGGGTTGGAGGCTTGGAAGGGATTCCATTATGGAGCTTTGCTTCGTGCGCTGAAGTCTTGGAGCGGAGAGAGCTTTGGTCTACTTCCTCGATATCCTCCTCGGCTGCCGGTCTGTGGTGAGGTTGCTCATTGGTGGGAGCGGCAGCCCTGGGAGGAAGGGGTGGTGGGCAGGGTTGAATGTCGTCTCGAGTATCGTGTACGTTGTCACCGAATATAGCTTCATTCTGGTCCACGGCAGTTTTGACATGCCGCGTATCAGCCTGCAACTCTCGTTGCTCGTCAATGCTCAAATCAGGGATATCTTCAAAGGGGTCATCTTCGGTCATGGTTTGTCGATCTTCTCGGGCCACCCGTTTCGACCCGTCGTTTGTAGATAGCTTCTTCAACCATACCTTCTTGTCATGATCGAACGTCATCGCGCCCACACGGTCGGGAATCGATACGGTGCCAGAAGAAATGACACCTTTCTGCCCAGACGCGGACGAGCGTGTCGGGAAAGACTGTTGAGTAGAGCTGTGATAGGATTGTTGAGCGTGCGCTAGACGTTCCTGTGTCAAATCCTGCTGGCCCTCAACCGTGGAACTTGAATATTTGCGTTTTCTCATGGTTTCCGCTGCATTCAGAATACGCATGTTAGGAGGGTTGCTCTCCTGCAACTCCTCTGGAGCAGCGGCTTCGGCTCCTTCCAAATTAACCGCTTCATTTGCTGGTGCGAGGGTGCCAAATACCGAGGTGCTACCCAGAGCGTCCATATCGTCTTCGTCACGATATTTGCGCAAATAGCTCGCTGTTCTAGAGTCATGGCGTGCGTGACGACGGTCCTGGGCAGGCCGTGGGACATGTTCTCGAGATGGCGGGCGAGAGAAATCATCCTTCGTAGAGTCCGCGTCGATATCCAGGTCCAAAATAGCGTCCGGATTCAACTCTGATACCTCAGTCGGCTCTGTAATGTTGGGCAGAGCAGCAACAGGCTTCGGTTTTCCTCGAGACCGAATGAACTGCATGACCTTGTTGGCTTCCTCCATGTAGTCCTTCGTGGCGAGCGATGGTTTACGTGAATCATTGTTCACTTGAGCCGCCTCTTGTGCGAATGTGGCTAACTCTGCGGCCAGAGCTTCTGTCAGGTCTTCGTTGCCCGCTTGGGGGGTCAGGTCTTGGTCAGCAACTTCGCCGCCTGGTACTACCGTGGCGCGACTGACAGAAGAAGATCTTCTCGCCGATTTTGGTCTTAGAAGATCTCGCGCAGCAAGAACTTCTGGATCCGCCTCGATTCCTTCATCGCCAGGCCGGGCATCCTTTCTCTTCTTCCCAGCATATGTCGTAGCTTCTCCGAGCTCAGCGACCTTGACTTCAACCTCATGGTCCAACGGAGACATTTGATGATTGATAAATGTCTTGCGTCGTTTGGTTGTTCTATCATTCTCAGCGTGGTTGATCACCTCTTCCCGCTCTGCGCTCCCTTGAACCGGTTCGAGCGCTCCATTTGTTGCTGCAGAGTTGAGCGTCGACTCAGAAATATTCGATGTCTGGGACATGACAGGTTTGAAGATTCTATCTTCTGGGTCGACTACTGCTGGCTCGATGGGTGAAGGCCTGCGGACGTTTTGCTCAAAGCCGAACCCATCGAGCTCACCTTGTCCGAATTGGCTCATGCGGAACTCGGTCTCTTGTACTTGCTCTGCTAACTCAGGGCCGGCCAGTTTCTCGCAAGAATCATCAGGTTCCTCGAAGTGGCTCAAAATCCGCATCAACTTATTGTTTGTATACGTGTCTCTATTTCCGAACAACTTTAACGGGCTTCCAGAAGAGGCCGGCCGGAGATGAGTGTCTGTATGGTGGACGACACTAGTATCTTGAGGTGTTGTAGGGGCACTTGCGCTGAGCCTGCTTTGATCTATACTATTGTCGAGGAGCCGGGGATTTGAAGGAGGCGAGCTGTAAAACTGCATGTCGGCTCGCGAGTTTGGTTCGAGTTGTGAAGGCTCTTGGCTTAGACTGAGGCTCTTGCGGAGGAACGAGGTTTCATTCGAGCGGCCGCCACGCCGTGAATTTATGAAGCCACCATGCGTTATGAAGTCCTGTGTACCCATGGACAAGTCATCAGGTAGAGATTGAGAGGTCAGATCAGGTAGGGGTTCGTCCTTGGCTTGTTCTTCCGGATCCTTTCCTTTCATATAGCTGATCCGACTGTCGCTGAGGCTTGAGCCTGGACGATCTTCCTCCTCTGAAGCAGCACTTTGCAGCTTGGTTTTCAATGCTTGTATATCGATATCTGCCCGCAGCACAGTGTCACGGATCGAGTTTTGTTTCGACACCGTGACCGGAGAGATGAATTCGTTTCGCAATTCTTCTTGACCGCTGATGGTTCTCCATCGTGGATCTTGCGCGTTATAGCCTCTCGGCGACGATGGAGTCGACTGGCTTTTCCCAACACGCTCGAGAGACTGTACTCGCTCTCTCACTAGGCCTCGGAGAGATCCAGTCCTGACAAGCTCCGAGGACACTGCTGATAAGTTTTGTTGCTCCACCTCTTCCTCCTCATTGACTTCTTCCAAAATCTCGAGGTTCAGCCGACTCTTGTTGATCCGATAGCTGGAGTATTGATCGGGGAAAGGGTTCGTTGCAGGAAGGCTGAAAGGCTTCCGGAGAGAGCCAGTCTCGGGCTGTTCGACTCTATCACTTTGCAACTGGGACGAATTTGGCTGTTTGAAAACGCCCTCTAGTTTTGATGGCGAGAAGAGGTCGAAGCCGTCGCTATTGATGTCTTCCCCTGCGACAAGCCGTCTCTTCCATTCCGGCGTTTCCGCTGGGGAAGTCTTCTCGTGAATGGAGTGATGTTGTACCGAGTTCTGGGACTCCGAGAAAACACTCGATGTTCGGCGCGGCAAGCTGGAGTATTTCTGTGAACCTGAGGCAGTAGGCAGGTTGAGACTGGAGGCGCTGCGTTCGCGTAGGATGGATTTGCTGCTCTGGCGAGCCTGTCCACGACTTGATCTATGTCTTAGAAAGCTTCCGTTGGACGAATCTTTGCGGATGTTGTTGGCGAGATGCGGAATGCGGCTTTGAGAGCGGCCCAATGCGACACTACCTTGCTGACGATTGCTTGAGACCGAAGGCGCAGGAGAGGATGAGCGGTGTTCAGACTTCCAGTCTTCTGACAGCGAGTCGAGCCACGGCTCCATCGTGGATGCGTCGTGATATTGGGGAATTGGAGGTAATGGTTGAATGAAATGCGGATGGAGGTGCGAGAGCGGGCGTTATCAATGGGGAGGATCGCGTGTAAGGGCACGACGGGTCAATGCTCAGGCAGGCGACCTGGGTATCGCATACAGGAAAACAATGTAGATTGGAACCATAGCGAAGAGGGTATTGGACTGCCCAAAGTATCATACAGCATGCGGGACACACAGTAAGTGGCTGGTGTCTAAGGACTTGGGCTCGCGACGCGGTGCGAATGTGTCTTCCGATACATTTGTTCCGTGCTCCGATATTTTTGTGGGCCCCACAACCACACACGGCCTTGTTGCCAGGCAACCGCCCAGCTACGAGTTATCGCCAACACCATCCCCGCCTTTTCACTACTCTGGCTCTGTTCTACCATTTCTTACAGCCAGATAGCTAGGCTATTCCGACCACGTGTCCCAAAGGACCCAAAGGCAAGTCGATACCTGCTCTGTCCATTGTTGAAGTTGGCCGTCAGAGCACCCTACATATCACAGTCAGCCAGCAAGTGTCCATCTGTCCCAGTCCTTCCCTCCGACATTCTGTCACAAGATGTCGTATCTTCCCAAAGAGGCCATCAATCTCACAGGTGGCTGCTATTGCAAAGCCATCCGATACACTGTCAAAGTCCCAGCTTGGGGCGAGCGTCCTCCAGTCCCCGGCGCACTTGAGACTCCTATCTCGTCCACCGAAACGGTCCAGACAAAACTGCCCTTGGTTGACATCGACCATTGCGGCAATTGCCGTCGCCAAGCTGGCTGTCTGGTTCAATGTTGGCTTATAGTCCCGATCAACTGGGTGGAATGGGACCTGCAATCGAAAGAAGCTGCGGGCAATGGGCAAACGCTTCATTTGTCTACGCGTGAAGCCGTCGGGCCCCTCCAGGGGACCGAGAACCTGCCCTCAACCTACGTATCGCGCTTCTCCTGCACTGATCGAGCCACGAGGGTGTTCTGTTCACGGTGTGGTACAAACCTCACATATCTGAGCCACAAACACCTGGATACCCCACAGGCATTTGTCGATGTTACAGTCGGCAGCCTCGATCCGGAATCTGTCGAATTGGCGAAGCCAGATCGGCATGGCTGGTGGGACTTTGGTGTTGAGTGGATCAAGACTCTGCTCAGAAAGGGAGACGGCGGGTTTATGATCAGACACCAGACGGGTGATGTGTCTCGAGCTGTGGAAGATTAATCGCACCGCAGTTGTCCTAGTAGTCAACCCCGACGATTTCATTTCTGACCGAGCTCAAACTCTATCAAGCTTGCCGTGTGGTCTCGGATCTGAAACGAGAATGGCAGACGTATATAATGTCGAATAAGTATGAACTATACGAGTAGAGAAAACAATAATGCAGTCGGTAGCATCTCAACAAAGCACGACATGTTGCCCAGTTCGGACGCTGACAGACAGACCACTGTCATTTGAAAATTGTCTCCAACTCCAAGACACCAAACTTGTCTCAATGACTGATGCCTCTGCACAGCACCGACCTGGAACCCAACGCTCCTCAAACCTTGAACCGGCCGCTTTCTGCCTATCTCAGGCACCGGCACCTCCAGGGATGATCGAGCAGGATGTGACCCTGCAAGAAGCTCCCCGAGAGGGAGAACTACTCGTGAACTCACCCTGGACTCGGTCCCTCATCGTCCGTACCTCCCTGCTCTTCCTCCTTGTCTCCTCCTCCACATGTTTCGACCGAGCCATGATTTTCTGACGAGACGGTCATGACAAATAGGCGGGCGCCCTCGCCGGCCTCACGGTCGACTTCTCCCTGTACCCCCTCGACACGGTCAAGACGCGGCTACAGTCGAACCTGACGAGGAGCAACCATGCGTCCATCCTCCCGCGCCATACCGTCCAGGGTACGCTGCGGAGCATGTACGCCGGGCTCCCCTCGGCGTTGCTGGGATCCATGCCGTCGGCTGCGTCCTTCTTCGTCGTCTACGATGGCGTCAAGAGATCGCTGATCGATCCGAAGCAGTCGTCCTCACAACAGGCGTCCGCGCACATGCTGGCTTCGTCGCTCGGGGAGATCGCGGCTTGCGCCATCCGCGTGCCCACCGAGGTCGTCAAGCAGCGAGCTCAAGCAGGACTCTTTGGTGGCTCGGCGTTGCTCGCGTTGCAGGACATCCTGGGCCTGAGAAAGACCGATGGCTTCACGACCATGGTCCGGGAGCTGTACAGAGGAGGCGGAGTGACTATTATGCGCGAGATACCCTTCACAATCACCCAGTTCAGCCTGTGGGAATACTTCAAGGCCTCCTACTCAGATCGACAGCACAGACTAACCGGCCGCCATGAAGGACTGGTCACGGCCTCCGAGAGCGCAATCTTCGGCAGCATCGCCGGAGGTATCGCCGCCGGGTTCACAACACCGCTGGACGTGCTGAAGACCCGCATCATGCTCGCTCGGAAGGAGGCCGGCAGTTCGTCCGCTCGAGCCGGTCCCGTGAGAGTCCTGCAGCAAATATGGAGGGACGAGGGCGCCCCGGGCTTGTTTCGTGGCTTTGTGCCCCGTGTGGGCTGGATTAGCACCGGAGGTGCGATCTTTCTAGGAACATACCAGTATGTCTGGAATCTCCTAGGTCATGAAGAATCATGAAGGATTTTCCACCATGGGTCTGCATCGATTGCAAGTCTACAGGAACCGGACGACCTTCCGCTCAGAAATGAAAGAGCATTCTAAATCTAGCTAATGTGTATCCTACGTCATGTGATTTTTGTGCAAATGTTATTCTTTCTTTCAGAGCAAGTGTTGACGGGCGCTCGTATCATCCCATGCACCTTATTTTATTGTTTCGAATGGTCTCCCATCAACCCAAGTCTAACAACGAAGGCATCACCCTCTAGCTTTGTAGTCACTCCCCTGCCTCGAGTGCTTCTTCCTTCCGGTCCACGTCGACTTAACACTCGCTTTGGATGATTGCTTTTACAACGCCCAGCAGTCCATGCCTCTGTTCTTGCCGCATTCCTTTGTTCTACCGTACTACACCCGTCGTCTCCTCACTCTCGACATCCGTGGGCACCTGTGAAGGATGGGGTAACTTCAACTTCTTCCTCCCGTTGCTCTTATAGTACAGCACCACATCGCCACCCGTTCGCCAAACGTGCACGCGTAGCGTAGCCAGTGTTGTGTTGGGATGGACCAGTTGGTTTTGGCAGTATAGTTCCAGATACTCCTCTGGCTTGAGCTGAGACTCTGGATTCTCTTCTACTTCAGCGGGCGCTATGTCCGGATTCTGCATTTCATTGGATTGTTGTCCCTCCGTTGTCTCGGTAGATTGAGCATGTTGAGCTGTAGGTGCTTCGATCCTCTCAGCGACGTACGCCATGATTTTCTTCGCGCGGAGCATGCGGTTCGCGTTGAGCCGAGCATTGCCATCAGGCGAAGCAATCGGCGGGAGCAAGTTTTCGTAGGGATGCAAGACGAACGACACCTTGACCGTGTCTTTGTAAGGGATTTGGTTCTGCATGTACAGAGTCAGCGGCTCAATCCTCCTTACAATGAATTACGAGAAAGGATAGCGAGGTATAGAAACCTGATAACGATTTGGACTCACCCTCAGTAATAAGTCACCCAACCACATCGGAGCAATCTTTTCAAGTGCATCTACCTCCGCAGGGTTTCCCAAGTCGCTGATCTCACCCCTATATTGGTCCGCCAGACCACCACTCTCTGGGTTATCCTCCTGGATGATGATAGTGGTGTGCGGTGGTGGGTATAGCACGGGAGTCTCTGTCGGCAGGGAGGGAGTAATCCCTTGCGGTAGTGGTTGATCTGTTTTGGACTCAAGATGCTCATCATACTCTAGACGGATCTTCTGAACGACACCGAAAAAATTATCTTCGATGTTGACCTTCTCGATGTCTTTCTCTGAAGATCGCACCGAAGCCGTATCAGAAGATCTCTCTTCCGTTGATACAACAGGCGCCTTCACTTCTGCAGACGAGCGACTCGCCATTTTCTTGGGGAAGGACATGCCCATGCCGAATTTCTTGCCAAAGAGGCCCTTTTTCCTCTCCTCGGTAGGCGACGTTGGTGTCGAGTGCGTACCGTGGACGTTGGATTCCGCCGTTGCAGGACCACCTCCAGGTGTTTTGGGGACTTTTTCGCTTTCTGAAGATGCCTCAGACTGACTATTCGCCGTGGTGTTGGTTGAAGAGAAATAGTCGACACTCTGAGATTCGGTCGCTGAGGGAGTTGGCTGCACATGAGGTGTTTGCACACGCGGGGTTTGCGCGCGCGACGACCGTGAAGGCGCCCCGTTGGGGGTCTGTGCTGGCTCCTCTTCCGCGGTAGGAGGAAGTGTGGTGTTTAATGGCGCAAAGCCAGGTGTAGCGGCGCCAATTGCCAATCCAGGAGTTGCAGGCACCATTGAGAAGCCATTCGATGCACGAGGCGTCACAACTGTCCCAGGTGACACCATGGGCGTTGTGCCGACGGATTCTGGCAGTTTGATGCTAGTTGGTGCACCAGGTCGAACAAGACCACTGGTAGGAGGAGCACTGACGGGGTTTTGCAGTGTGCGTCTATAGGCTTCGTCTCGAGCAACTTCTTCGTCAATGAGTTTCGAAAACAAGTTGCGTAGTACCCATTTGCCGAGATTGACTGTTCAGTTGATTGTCAGCTCCCCCCCACAGCCTTTCCAATTGGGATGCACCTACTTCTCTGGTCCTCGCGGAAGGCAAGATCGCTGGGCAAGTCTAGCTCGTCCGCATACACTTCAGCATCGAAGCAGTAGTTCTCCTCGAGCATGACTGTAATCTTTCCAGTCTTCGTGTCCACGCCACACCAGTTAGCAACGCTTTCAGTTGTATTGACATCCGGCACGACTTCGTCAAGATGACGACGGCCGAAAGATTTGATGGGGATGCACTGTTCCAATGTCAGTTTGCGGATATCAGCTTCAGGAGAGATGTGCCTTGCCTTGAGAAGGTCCCACAATACTACCTCGCCGGCAGTATCCAAAGTGAGTATCCTTTTCCTATCATTTAGCATGACGTGTTTGATGAGTCCATTCTGGCCCTCAATGGTCTCAGCGGGTTGGCCCCTGATAGGAACCACCAGACTCAAATCATCCGTGATCATAGCCTCTGAAGCCTTCCTCAAATTTGTCGCCGATACATTGGGATGTCTGCCCAAATGCTTCCTGCCAGGATGGAGGGCTGTGTTGGAGACACGTAGAATTGCATTGTGAGGAATTTTCTTTTTGTGTTCGACTTCGCCATTCGTGGTGCCGTTCGTGGTACCGTTCGTTGTCGGAGGGGGTGTAGGAGCTGGAGGCTCGGGGCTTAAATGACTCCTTGCCTCTGGGCTTGCGGTCCTTTCTTCCCGTGGGGACGCAGGAGGTGTTTCAACCTCAAGCTCTGTATCGACGTCGAGCCAGCGGTTGACGCTTGAGCTCGACGTTGCTGTCCAGACGGAGTCGCCAACAGGGAGTACCCGAGCAATACCATCGTGTTCTTGACACACAGCGACGGACACTCCATCGTCAATCTCCATTGCCCGTCGAGTATCAGTCTTGGCCACCAGACCAGATTTATCTCCAGAGTAGAAGACAGCCAGATTGGGATCGTCCGAGTACATGCACCAAACACTATCGTTGTGCATGGTCAAGGTATGAATACATCGTCCAGCTGCAATAGACCAGACCTTGATCGTCTGGTCGGACGAGGCAGTGAGCAGTGTGTCGCCATCGTCGCTGATCAAGATGTCCCTGACGTTGTCCGTATGTCCGACAAGTTTGGTGATGCCTTTGCCGGACTTGATATCCCACAGACGAACGACGCTTTCAGGCCCTCCGCTGGCGAGAAGGGATCCCCGTGCGCGCAAGCAGTACACCGATCCCTTGACCACATCCTCTACCTTTCCCACGTTGATTTCGAGGTTCTTACCTCCGCCATTCAGATCCCAGAGGCAAATCCTGTGATCTAAGCCTCCGGAGGCAACCCAGTTGGCTGTCCGGTCGGGCGTTGCCAGGCATTTGATATAGTCGCTGTGAGAGCCGATGGTGTACGCTTGGGACGATTCGTGTGCGTGAGGCCGCCACAGCTTTACGGTGACATCGGATGAAGCAGAGACTAGCCCCAGGTTATTTTTTACGAGGACAATGTCGTTGACCCAATGAGTATGCGCCTGCACCTGCTTGCGGAATGATACGGTGCTTTTCTTGTCTTTTGCTGCGTCCGCCTCTTGTCGATTCAACCTTTGCGCCTCCAAATCGAGGTCCCATGCGCATATCACTCCATCTCGGCCACCAGTGTATCTAGACTATTGCTCAGTATTCGTTCGCCGCGATCGAAATGAAGGGGACGGTTGCGCACAGTATTGAGCGATCCTCGTCAAATGCTAACCCGTTCACCCCAAGCCGATGGCCACCTGGCGTACTTGCCAGAGGCAGTACTGCTCACCGTTAGCCATGCGCACCCCGAGTGAGAGCAAAGATGACAAACCATAGCTGATCCTCTGGCGCTTCTTCTTGGCCATATGCGGTTGATGTGGAAGCCCCTCGATTCTCGAACCTTTGCGACAAGACAATTGGGTCTCTCTCAACCGGCCATCTCTGCAGGATCCAGTCAAAAGAACACTACCGTGGCCACGATTTTGCCTCCGATGTTCTCTACGGAGGTTGCAGAAGCATGGAAGAGCTGCATCGGCAGATCAGGTAGTATTTAGCCTGCGCCGTTGTGAAGTGCGGGCGCAGTGGACTGCGGATGGTACGCCAGTCAGGAGCTAGTCCTGCGAGTGCCTGTTCGAGAAGCTGGGGGCGGGACGGAGCCAGCCACTTTCTTCAAGATAATCTTACCGGCTGGAATTAACCCGAAGCGTAGGATATAGGACGAGGGAAGTTGCTCTCGTGCGTGATTCTGCTTGGTTGAGTTCGCAGCCTCAATATAACATACCTCGAAAGGTCTGATTTGTGGTTGAACGTGATAAACTGGTATCTACAAATAATATCAAGGCCCTTCGCAGATGGCATTTTCAACAACTCTGGCTTTCTCCAACACGCATTCCAACCAAGGCCCTGGGCCAAAAGAAACCACAAAGCGACCCATCACCCAACAAGCTCCCATGACATGTCAATCTTCCAAATTCTACACAATGCGATCCCCATTAGTGCTGCCGTGCGACATGGACATAGCCGTTCCATCATAGGTCTCCAGGACTCAAAAGGTGGTCATCCGATTTCCCAGCCTTGTCCACTACTTGGCTGGCGGCGGTCCGCCGGATCCGGCTTCCAAAACGTGGGTGTGGCCTTCTGCATGGTGAACAGTCCCGTTCTCTTCTTGATAGCAGACTCTTGCGCCCAATACCCAGTCGTCCTCAAGCACTTCTTCCATCGTCGCTCGTTCGGCTGGGTCGATTTTGAGCATGCGGCCAATGATGTGGCGGCTTTCCCGCGGAAGAATGCGGAGCAGTCGCCATGGGCCTTTGATCACTTCCTGCTTATCCCCACCAGATGTCGAAGGCCGCCCTTCATCCACGCTTTCCGAGTGGTGATGATGATGATGTGACGCATTAGCACTGCCGTTGGCTTCGCCATGTTGTCGCGAGGCGTTATCTTCGCTCGGACTTAGATGCGAAGATTTCCGGGGGTGTGAATCTGGGACAGGCGTGCCCGGTGTAGGCGGAGAAGCGAACAGTTTGTAGGAGTTGTCGACAAGTCGTGGCTGTTTCCACGGGAAGCGGCGAAGTGACATGCAGCAGAAGATGATTGCCAAAGACCAGATATCTGTCGCTGTCGGGTCGTACTTCTTTTCCTCATACACCTCCGGGGCGAGATAAGGATCCGATCCAACAATTCCTGCAACATCATCATATTAGCGTACCTTTTCATGCCAGGGGTGCGATGACAAACCTGAAGCGAGTACAATTTCGTTCTCAAAAGGATACCGGAACACTGTGGCACTTCCAAAGTCGATCAGCTTCATGATGCCGTGCTCGCTCACCACCACATTATCCAATTTGAGATCACGATGTGCGAGCCCCATACTGTGCAGATAGCTGACACCATTGACAATTTGAAGGAAAGAACATGCAATCTCCTCTCTCGTCATCTTGCCCGTCATCACGATGGCAAAGAGATCGTAGGGGGCATACTCCATCACCTCAAACCATCGATGGTTTTCCTGGATGATGTCCATGGTTTCAATAATATTGCCATGATGTAGAGTTGAGCCGATACAGAACTCTGCCGTGACTTTCTTCGAGTAGTCCTTCTCGCTCTCCCAGGAATGTTTCTCCCGGAATTGTTTCACGGCAAAGGTGACTCCGTCGCTGCTTCGCTTGAGTAACCTCACGGAGCCACCTGCGCCAGAGCCGAGCACCTTGCCGAATTTTCCATACTTCGCCTCAAGGCTGTGATCATCCATAAAGGGAACATTGGACGGTGGAGCTTGGTGGGGAGGCGTCCTGGTTCCCGATCTCTGACTGGACTTGCGCGAGGCTGGGACTGTGGATGCCAGTGAGTCTGGCTGGTTATTGTGCTTCTTGTGGCCGTGACCAAGCCTGAAGAATCGTTTTAGTTCAGACATTGATCCATGTTTCCTCCCGTCTAAGCCGCTCTTCTCGCTACCACTATCCGTGACGTGGGAATAAGGATCCTTCTTGTTCGATCCAAATATTGATCCTCGCTTGTCAGAGAGCTCTGTAGAACTTGATTGTCGTGGTATCCGCTCTGCCGCCGCCGCGATAGCTGGGGCTAGGGATCCTCTTCCCAGGCTTCCGAAATGCCGCGGCTCAGGCGGCTTTTGTAGAGCACCCGGTTGTGGGGAGGAAGGTCGAAGTTTGGGTGTCCCAACGGGACTCTGGTCCGCTGGGCTCGCAGATTCAGAGGGACCAATCTCAAATTTGGCTATCCGTCTCTCATGCCCTTGTTCTGACTTCGCCGGGGCTTGTTCGGAGGACCGAGGTGGGGAGACAGGATGAGAAGGCGATATGGACTGAGACAGTCCCTTTCCCTGTGAGTCTGGAGGTGGCGATGTTTGCGGAGTTATCGCGTGTTGGCCTTGCTGGCCACGTCCTGCAGAAACAGATTCTTGCTTCCCGTCTTTTGAGCCATGCGGTGTCAAGGGAGGGGATTGAAATGCAGAGGACATGGAGCCGTGGCCTTGTCTTATTGAGCCACGAGGAGTACCAGGCGTCTCACTGTCTCTTGAAGGGACCTGAGAGCTTTTTGTCAGCTTGATACAGTAAGATGGAAGGTTCCGCATACCCGTGAGGGAGGCATAGACACCGGTTCGTAGGCAAAATTCGCCATGCGGTTTTCCTGCAGCCGGGACTTTTGTAGAGACATGGCCAAATTCCTGATCTGTTCGTGGGCTTCGGGACTGAGCTCCTCATTCTTCACCCCGCCAGCTTGGGAAGGACGCCTCGAGTCGTCCAGAGGATCTATTTCTTCATTTTCCGCAGCAAATCGCACAGCACCCTGCGTTGACTCTGGATTGTCTTTTTTCTCCGTGTTTTGTCGCCGTTCTTGCTCCGCTTTGGCATCTAGGGTCGCCGAGTCAGCCGATTGCACCATGATTTCTGCTCCTTCACCAGCTCTCGCGTACCTGTGTCGTCTTTGGCGTCGTCGCCGGGGAGAAACATCGCGGACAGGTTGGAGGGCATGTTATCGGAAGATCGTGGGCCGGAAGCGTGGTGATTTGCGGTAGAGATCGGAAGCGAGGGTAAACGACTACATTAACGAGTGGTGGTGTCTGCCAAACTTTGCCGAGAACCGCGAAAACGTGAGATATGGCTAGAAATGAAAGATCTGAGTCGAATTCATGTTAGAATAGAGATTACTATCAGAGAACACTGCGTTGGGGTGACTCGCCGGGGGGGACAGATGAGCTAATACGGGTAGCGAAAAGGCATTGGCGCGGGTCAGGAAGGGCGGCGGAACTCACATGCTGTTCAGTTACGTCGAATGCGAGATTTTAATCTCTTGCTTCCGATCTATTAAACGCAATCGGAAGGACCGAGAAGAAGCGGATCTGGTGGAGCGACAGTTGGACAGATGAGAAGGTAGGAAGTGAGACAGCAGGAGGCAGGATGGCAGAGGCCTTGGTGGACTGGCATATGAAAGCGGTGGCCCAAAGGATGTCAGGTACAGTAATAACAGCTGTATGCTCACTTAATAACCCAAGACGGGCTTTTGGAAAAATGCGCCAGGACAAGCGGGAGAAATTTCAGCGACTCAGCGAAGCCACCACCACGGGTTACCACCACTGGCAACCTAGCGCAACGAGACGAAAAAAGGTGGGATGTTCGCAAGTTGCCCCGCCACTGGCCCATCGCAGCGTATCATTGCTGCTTCCAGCGGGGAGGTGTTGTACCGACTGCGTTCTCAGAGCTCCTCTACTTGGTGCAGTGGTTCGATGGCCCTGGGGAAACAGCAGGACCCTTTTTCCCTTCTGACCATGGCACAAATGTCATTTGGGCTGACAAGGTCAAGCTCATGAGCCCGGCTCACGGGAACCAACCTTGACGACGATGGGGGATCCAGATGGCGTCCCATGCCGTTATTCCTTCTACCACCACCACCACTCATCACTGCCTACCTAGGTGACTATTACTACTGGGGGAAAGGCGTTGCTTGTGTTTGGACGGGTCATTGAGCGGAGCGCAGAAACGGCCGACCGGGTTTGGGTTGTGTGACAAACACCTGCACTCTTCTCAAGCTGCTTCTCCCATTCTTGTTACCTGGTGTTTTCGCTCTATTTTTGCCTCCAGCGCCTTGTCCTAGGATTTCCTTCCGGCCCAGCCGGACACAATATGATGACAATGCTGCATACCTACTTTACGTATCATACACCTTACCCGTTCGCGACTGACGACGTCTCGGTGTCTGCCTGAACGCGAGGCAGAAGGTTCTTTCAGGCAAGACGTCATCTTTGTTCTCGTATTCTTTTGGAAGCTTCCGAGTGAACGAGTCATCTTCGCCAGACCGAGGGTCTTTTGATTTGAGCATGCGGATACAAGGACCGTTTTGCATTACATGTGCCATTGGGCCTAATTCTCACATTGTGTGGTCATCCTAATCCACCGGAACCCAGGGGCATCTTCGTTCTTGGGATGCCGCCGTCCCCACGGGGTCGCGTGGTTGTCTGAGGTCGTGCTTTTATGCAAGATAGTCGAAAGGTAGTTAGGACAATGAACCAATATCCCTTCTCGGTCGGAGTTTGCCCATTCCCTTTCGGCTTTCTCTCGGCTATCCATTGAGCAGTCCACAGTCTCGAGGGATGATAGAATAAGATCATCTCCGTTCTGAACGTAGTGTTTGCCCCCCATGACCCATTGTCCTTGAATGCGTTGCGGCAAAGGGCGCCCTGCTATGACCCAATTGAGGGTTCGGGCGGGTGTCGATCATCGGCCTTGGTCCCGAGGCAACTTTGCTCGCATGTTCGCAGGAGACATGCCCAAAGATCGTGACCTGGTCATACAAGGGGATATTGTCCAGGTCCTCGCCTATTCACGGACTGCTCGGCTCGTCGTGTGGAGGTGCAGGAGCTGTCAACTGTAGATATCGACAGGTCCCGCAAGTATCTCCTTGGTTGAATGCTGCAGCCTTCGACCAGGTGATCAATGTGCACTGCAATCAGAGCTACTCCGAGGCTCATTCGAGTTGGCACACTTGTAGATGATCTGGCGGCTCGGGTTACGGCACGACTTTGACGCCGATGGATTTGCATTGCCACATGATGCATTTGCAAAGACCTTCAAGACTCAATCCAGATAGCCGTGTCTCACTTTGCTTGATTTTTGCAATCTCGAATATGTGTTTGAGTGAAACGGTGCCGACACTTTCGTGGCCTGGTCGTTTTGCGCCCTTGATTTTGCCCTTGACCTCTTTTACTCCAGCTGCTTGGAGGAGTAGCCACGATGTGTTGGGCGTGCGGATGTCGAAGCTGAAGGAGCGATCTGGCCGGACTGTCACTCGCGCTGGTATGGGTACACCGGGGGTAATATGTGCGGTTCGGGCATTGAATTCCTTCTCCGACATCAGTATGGCCACTTCTCTGAGCCTCTAGCGAATATCCCTACCTTGCAGAAATCCATGCTCTTGACACCTTTGCTACCAAGGGCCGGACCAACTGGCGGGCTCGGACTGGCTTGACCGGCGCCAACAATCAGTTTGACAATCTGGTCACGAGCAGGCGCCTTCTTCGCCATTATGGTCTTGTATTTGGCAGATTCAGTGGGAGGATAGGGTCGTAAAAGCAGGGGCCGACTGACGTCGAGAGGGACTCTTCAATTCTGCTGCAAGAAACGACTATGCTCGCAGTGGAGAGATGAAGGATTGATTGATAGGGAGCTTGAGATTGCGCTGAATCTCGAAAATATTGAAGCTCAACTCAATAAAGCAAACTTGACCCCTGTAGCGCCAGCTGCAAGGAGCGCAGTTACGGGCGACTAAGCCTTGCAAGATCTAGCGCAGGTTGCTGACTGGTGTCCCGTGTGCATCCGCCGAGATGGCCACAAGGGCGCCTGGGCTCGGGCAGGCCTGCAAAGGGGAAGCCTAGCCTTAAAATTTCTGTTAGTCAGTGGGCGGCTCTTTAAGTGCGACAACGATTTCCCCCAAGGCACTGCTGGCATCCCATTCGCCTATGGTGACGTCGAGTTCCCCTGGATGGCTGATGCATCAGGTACTCCCCCGTACATCCATAGGCTTACATTCTGCCTGTTGTAATTGATAAAACACCTCGTCGGTTTCCCGGTCATATTCTCTTCTGATTCTGCGTCGCAGTACTACAGACAACATGAATTGGTTCAAACAGCAGTTAGCCAACGTTGTGGGCACCGAGGAGCCCGAATATGGGCCTACAGCAGTCCAACCGGTTACCAAGCAGGATGTGCCCTACTCCATCCTCTCCAAGGATGATCTGCGGTGGAAGGCCATGGACCACACAAATGTCGAGACCGAGACGTTTTATTTCTATACCGACGACGGGACGACCGCCATGGCTCAAGTCATCTACAGCAATGTTGGGTAAGGGTGGCACGATAGGCGTGAAGGTTGTTTCTGCATTTGCGCTGACTATCAATTGGCAGGGGACTCCATACTACGGCACAGTTCAATAGCAAAATCTTCAACTACGAAGGCCCCGGAAAACATCTCTGGTGCTCAGACCCATTGAAAGACTACGGCTTCGACGAGCCAAAGACAAGCTTCTACGCCGACAATGTGGCTCTGGAAATGAACGAGGCGGGTGACACGTACACAATCAAGTCTGCCAGAAATGACAACTGCATTGTCAACTTGACCGTTAAAAGAGCGGCGCCGGGATTTCAACTCGGCAAAGATGGCACAACCTACTTTGGCACCGATAAGAACCACCCTTGGGGGTCTATGCGCCACGCCTTCTGGCCGCGGTGTACAGTGACCGGCACCATGCAGACGCCCACGAAGACGTACAACTTGGAAGGCAAAGGCACTTATATCTACGCTCTGCAGGGGATGAAACCACACCACCTGGCAAATAGATGGAACTTTGCCAACATCCATACAAAAGACTACTCGGCCGTCCTCATGGAATACACGACACCTGCCTCTTATGGGAACACTACGGTTGGAGTTGGGGGCATTGCTAAAGACGGCGAATTGATATGCGCTGGTGAATGTACCGCCGAACATCTCACGTCCATGCGAGAGACACCTCACGATTGGCCAGAACCAAGGACGATCTTATGGAAATGGAGTGGGCAGGAGGATGGCAAGGCTGTTCACAGTGAAGTCAGAGGCAGTCTGCCGGTCAAGTCAGATCGGGTCGATGTCCTGGCACATTTGCCCGGCTTTGTTAAGTCCTTCATTGGTCACGCGACCGGCCTGAAACCACACATCTTCCAGGTAAGGAACCCCGGCTCCCTTCGTGTAACGTCTTTTGCAGAGAGCAATCGATACTAATGTGTTGACCAGTATCTATCAAACGATGAACTCGAGCTGAAAGTCAAGGTTGGCGACGAGGCAGAGGTCTCCGAGCCCGGCAAAGTGTTCACTGAGGCGACGTTCATCTCATAAAGACAAGATCCCCAATCAAGTTTCTTGTACTCATGACATTGCATGACTGGAATAGAAATTGGACGAGGGCTGGATAGGTAAACCATGGTTTGAATATGGGAGATGCTATGTCCTTAGCAAGCTGTTTAATGTGTAATTCTTCGATACTCTTTATGTCGTTCTTAACTGGGCCGGTCCTCAGTCTAAGTTTTTCTTTTCCCTTCTCTTCCACAGATTCACTTCACTTCTTACAGATGGTCGTCAACTTATTTCACTTCGGTTCTTCGACTCCTGCCACTCTCCTCATCCGCTCACCTCTCGTTCAAGCACCGAGTGCCGACAAAGCTCTTACAGTTCCCGCCTACTCTTCACTCTCATCTCTCCTCCCTTGCACCGTTGCGTACTGCCGCTCTGCTTCAGAGTTTCCTGCCGGATCTCAACATGCCAGGGTACCAGCTCCCCATGCGTGGGAAGGGCTTGCACGGCCCGACAGTTCCAAGACGCCACAGGAAGGTCTTACGAGACAATATAAAAGCCATCAGTGAGTTTGTTCTCATTCGACTGTCGTAAACGATTCTGGCCCTGGATCTAACTGGTCTTTTCACCAACAGCAAAGGGAGACATCAGGTATGGGTGAAACCCCACGAACTCACTTATGTCGGCATGCTGATTCGACCATGTTTGATGCAGACGACTCGCACGCCGAGGAGGTGTTTATCGAGTCCAGCGCGACATCTACGACGCCGCTCGCAACGTTCTGGAGGCAAGGTTGAAAGATGTGAGTCTCCAGGGAAACGAGCAAGCCGGGCTGCAATTCGCTCGAACTTCTAGCCCAACCCTCAGAGGCCTTGCTTGTCTTCTCTCCTCTGCTCTCCCAAGTCTACCGGTGGACTTTTCTTCACCTGCTGTCTAAACCTTCGGAGCTGATCCACCTGCCTGTTCTCGACGCAGATCATCAAAAACCTCACCATCGTCCTCGGAAACTCGAGTGATCCCAATCACGAGGACGGGCGTCTCGAGGGCGTCTACGGAAAGAGAAGACGTGTAGGTGGCCACCTCGCTCGTCAGCGTTGCGTCGACGTCTGGTTATTCCGGTACATGATTGACTGATACTGATCACTGAGAATATAGACGGTCACGACGAAGGATGTCATATTTGTTCTGTATCGGGTGAGTGTTCTCCATCCTGAACCCCCCTGGTTCTTCTTCCCTCGGTCGGTCGAAGGTTGACCGGATCGTTACAGATGGGAAGTCCTGTATACGGGTTCGACCCTCCTTACACAGGAGCCAGACGCGGCGCCATTGTCCATTGAGATGACCCCTGAGCTCCTTGGTCACGGCCGAGGTAGGAGTTACTTCGGAGCCGATCCGTTGTTGAAGAGTGAAGAAAAAGGAAAGAGTAAGACGGAGACCCATTTGCTCCTGTACGGCGGATATGAATGAGAAGGACCACATGCAAGCTACAATTGTGAGGGCGAAAGTCGGCCAGAACAGGATTCCGCCACGAATCGAACTTCAGGGTGCTGGCAGCCACTGTGACACCAAAGGGCTGCAATGCGTGTTGCAGCAGGTACTGGCTGAACGGCGCTGTGTGCATACGGTCTGCGGTGCTCCGGAGAAACTCTTGGACAATGGTTCAGGAGGGAGAAATTTTGCGATACTAGTAAGAGCTGGGTTGGACTACAGTTTTCAGGGGACTAAAAAAGAGTGCCAGAATATCCGTCAGAGGAGCTTTTGTGATCATTGATCATAGTAAGGAAGATCCAATACAAACGAGGACAGCCTCGTCCACACCTGAGAGATTTGAGGGACGGCTGCTTTCTTCATCCCTTTCACCCCCTTCCATCCTCGCTGGTCTTCCCTTGGATAACAGTTAAGGTGTCGAACCATATCGCTCCCTATCAAACACACCGTTTAGCACTTCAACAATAACTTCCCCGTAGTCTTCCGTCCCTCCAAGTCTATGTGTGCCTGCTTTGCGTCGCTGAGCGGGTACACCTTGTGGATTTTAATTTTCAGCTTCCCTGCCTTGATCAGGTCCAGCACACCATTTGCATAGAACTCAAGTTCCGGGCGTGTGACGATGTAGTTCATTAGAGTGGAGCGCATGATGGAGAGGTTCTTGGCCGTCAGGCGCGCGATGTTGATCGGAGGAATGGCACCAGATGCTGTTCGCGGAGAGTTAGAAATTGGTTGCAGGCAAGGCGGAAGCGAACAGGAGATAGCACGACATGTAAGAAACTGGGGATTGTGAAACTCACCGTTACCAAAGTATACAACTTTGCTTTTTCTCTTTGCGACCTCCATACTGCCTTCATAGGTATCCTTGCCCACCCCGTCAAACGTGCAGTCCACGCCCTCGCCATTCGTTAATTTCAACACCTGTTCGACCCAAGTTGGCCCGCTTGTGGCCTTGTAGTCGATCACATGCGTTGCACCGTTTTCCTTAGCAAGAGCGCACTTCTCAGGGCCGCCAGCGGTGCCGATCACTGTACATCCCATGTCACTCAGGATCTGGCAGAGGAGCAGCCCCATCCCTCCTGCGGCAGCGTGGACCAAGATCGTTTCGCCTTTCTTCACTGGGTATGCCTCTTTGACCAGCGAGAGAGCAGTCATCCCCATGAGGAAACCCCCAACCGCGTCTTCGTCCGACACACCTGGAGGGATTTTAATTGCTCGATCTGCGGGCACGGCCGTGTACTCGGCATAACCTCCTTGCTTTATCCACACCACGCGATCTCCCTCTTTGAATCCCAGTGGGTTGTTTCCTTGAATCTTTGCGACTGTGCCAGCGGCCTCTTGACCGGGGATCAGGGGATAGGATGCGGGGTACAGGCCAGTGCGGAAGTAGGTATCAATGAAGTTGACGCCAGCAAAGTTGTTTTTCACCAGAATTTGGCCGTCCTCGAGTTTGGGCAGAGGTTGAGACTCGGTGTATTCCAGGACATCAGGGCCGCCAGTCTTGGAAAACGAGACCGCCTTCATTGTAGATGGGAGGGATGACATGGTGCGAGTTGCAGTGGAATTCGGACTGAAGCGCGGGGAGGGACTCTGGCGGAGGGATAGCTGTGAGGTGAGACTGCCGAGACGAGTGGATGCTGTCGCTGTGGTAGTTATCTTTGTCAATGTAGCTCGAGAACGTAGAGACATGGAACGTTTTATGTGAGCTGAGCTCGCGTTAAATTCGGAGCAATTGTGAATATGTCAATGGTAATATAGCCTTCTGTGATATGGGGACGGCAGGGCTTCTCGCGGGCTGTTTCCGTGCGACTCAACGCTGCAGCATAAACGATCTCCAAATATGCATGCAGGGCAGTTACATCTCGACAAATATCTGGACGCTTATGTGCCAGCTTGGTCCTTGGTGAGGAGAAATGATAGTGCCGAAATCGTCGTCATATATTTCTAAGCACGAGCAGGTCAATTCGACCTTCTCTCCGCAACTTATGGCAAGCTTGAGTGATCTCGCCGATATCGCAAATGCCCCCCGACATAGTAAACAATGGATGTTTCGCTAGATTGTTTCAGCTGACTGATTGCGGATGGCGTTGGTGCTTGTCTCTCGAATTGAAACCCTCTTCTTGCTCGTACTAGAGCTTATCGAATTTCGGGATCGTCCTCCTAAATCGACACGGGTAGCCCAATTGACTGGCGTGAGTAGCTATTTCGTTTGGGCCGCAGACCAGTTTACCCCGCGAACCCCTCACTCTTGAAGTGGCTTTTGATGGTGGGTGTCGACTTTGCTTATCATGCCGAGTCGGACTGCTGCAATTGGCAATTCATCCGTGTTGAACCGAAGCTGAGACGAAGCTTCCCTTTCAAGGTGCCCAGCGCCCGGGCGCAATTTGTAGAATCCAAGGCTGACATGAGTGCAGGCCTGATTGGCAAGCGGGCGTCCCGCCGTGGAACATGTGTTAAGCGAGAAGGGCTGAACGAGGATGGCGACTTCCGGGCACGGGGGAGGTTGATGGTTGGGCCCCCAATCATGGCATGCTCGTAAGGAATGATCAACCCAGCCATTGACCAGTCTTAGAACGTCGCACAAAAGTTCCAAGTTCGCGTCCGTCATGCCATCATGAGATTAGTGGCATATCCAGACGGGCAACCACACAGTAGTAGACAGTTACTCTGGTTGTGGAACCGGACAACAAGGCAATCGTCGAGAGAGCAAAAAAGGTGTGTAGAAACGTCTGGATTGGTTGGACAAAACATCTGGCGTGACTGTCGGGCCCTCTCTTTCATCATCTCTCCATGAGTAAAGGACAAGCTGAGTCATGCAGCAGTTATAAAATCATTCTTCCCAACAAGAAAGGACGTCCGTGGCGTTATGTATGGGACAAAAGCCTGCCATTGATGGGTTGCCAACGAGGCTTGGGCAGACACCGCTGTGATGGCAAGCCTCGCCACTGGCTCTCACCACAGTAATGTGGCCGTGCCTTGAGCGTGGCATCTTTTGCTGGCAGACGATCCATGTCAGGCACCATGCACTCATGAGTGGTTCGCAAAAATGGTCTGTCAACATAGTTCGATCCAATTGGGCCCAGAACCTGACAGGGCCTTTTGGTAGGGTGTTGGAACTTTCCTCTTCTTCGGAGTACCTCACAAGCATCCCACCTCACCTCAGCTTCTTTCGGAAGTACATTGCAGGCTAGTAGGACCTCTCGCAGACGTTGATGAGTGTGTCGAGGGGCTATGGTAATGGCCCTGTCAGCACCAAGTACCTTTGTAATGTGCTAAAATGCGTGCTAATAATGGTAAAACGAGGAAGGCGGCCGAAGGATCGACGGTCGCGTTCATGGCGGCATCCGAGTGTATATCACTGCATCAATCATCTGCCGCAGTCAAGAAATGGACGCGAGAAGGAATGCTGGCGCAATCATGCATCGAGATAGCTAGAGCATGGTCTTGTGCCACGCTCAGTATGTCCTCCAAACATCAGTACTGACTTGCAGGCCATGGGAGGGGTGGCCACTGACTGTACCTAGGCAAGGCGCGGGAAGCTCCAGGGGGTCGCCAATGGGTTTGGAGAGGCTTCTAGGCCGACAAATGAGGGCCGTGGGAGGCGCAAATGGGCGGGCGGCAGGGCCAGGGGATGCAATTAGTGCATTGGCATCCATGCAAGAGTGATGATGGTGGCATGGTGGTGGTGTTGAAGGTTTGTTAGTTTTGTGTGGGGTGTTGGTGTGCGCGCAGTGCGCACTGCGCCGCTTCACCGTCTGATCCTGTGTGTTTGCAAAGCAACTCGCGTGGGTGTCCAATCGTCGCTCGACCAGATCAAAAGCCCTACCGATCCCAACTTCCATCATCCTTACACAGAAAAGCCTCATCTATGTCCCTTGTTAGAATGCGTCTCTGCACTGGGTAGACTGGGGGACACCGCCATTTTCCTCGACTCCCTCATCTCCACTTCAGGTTTCGCCTCAAACAGAACCTCTCGGGTACCCACCACCACAGCATGCCCCTCCGGATCGTAGGCATTCACGGCCCGCTACCGTTCTCCTCTTTGCCCAGCTCCATTGTTGTCCGATATCCATCCTTGACTGGAGGATAAGGCAGGTTTTGTCGATTGAGGCGCACCCGGTTAACACTTCTTGGGACGCGGACAACTCTCAGCCACCTGTGTAGCCTTTCTATCGAAACTACCTACGCGGCTTCAACACTTTCAAATCGCCATCTTGGGCAACGGAACTCCTAGGTTGGGTCGATTGCGTAGCCTTCATTCACCTGTTGTGGGCTCGGGAAGGCAAAGGTTCATCCGTCTGTTGCATATGATGTGCTGATTTCGATCCGGGCTGTTTTCCTCTTACACGACCTACGCCCACTTGCGACACGATTCGAAACGCAACCACCCCAACTCCCAGCGCCCTACGATACGGGTTTCCTCAGGTGACGGTGCTTCGTCCAACACCACTTGACACCCGCTGTCCTTGCCCCAACAACATAACAAAGATTGTGCTCAATAGCCTTGATGTGTGGCCTGAGGTGCGCTGAAGATTTTGTATATAAGACTGGCTGGACTGCACGTGGGACAGTCTGGCAATGAGTACCTGGTCCTGCGTTAGGCTGCGACGTTGGGTCAGTTAAGATGACGCAAACTTGGCCGCCGTCCCCATGCGTGGAGGACGAAGAAGTGGCATTAGCGAGGGAACACATACCTGGCATCACTCTACATCAATTGAAAAGCGAGAATCAACCTGCAAGCAGTAGGGGCTCGGTGGATCAGTATCCCATCATCCTCGACAACAAAGCCCCGGTCCAATCTTGCCCACCCAAGGAGAGTGAGCTGGCGTCGGATGGCACATCTCCAGATTCTCATCGACAACCAATTGTCAACACGGAGACGAGGTTCGTCCTCGTGCCCTCTCAGCCTTTGGAATCTGAACCCGAAAAATTCCTGCAGACCGAGCCATTGCAACGATCTAGATCAACAACTCAGCTCCCAGAGCATGCTGGACCAAGGGGAAGACCTCAAGTCACAAGGATACACACAGATCTGGGGCCAGGCCTTGAGGGCATGCGGACAGGCCATCGCCGTGCTCCTTCTCCCTACGCTCATACTCCTGCTGGGTTGGGGGCAACGCTTTCTTCCGAGGCTCAACGTAACAGTACGTTGTTGACGCCGATGCATGCTCATGAGCCGAGAAGGTCCGTCTCTGTACATCCTAGAACAGGAGGATTGGACCGAGACAGCAGTGACTCCGATCGGAAATCCAAGACGAGAAGGAGAACAGAACGAAGTCGAAGTCGGGCTGCAAGGGAAAGCTTCTCTCATTCAGACAGGTCAGAATCTGAAAAGGTCAAGTCGTCGAAGCCCTCTGCGCGAAACGAAAGTCCCGACGGCAAATTCAGTCGGCGCGCTCATCGATATCGCAGCCCTGCTCCGTCGCAAGGAGGGTTTACCGGCTATACCTACACTGGCCAAGACCACATTACGCCTCCCCAGACCCCAAAGTTAAACGGAGACTCTGCACGATCGTCTGTAATTGACCATGCTACTGCCTCTGAACAGCCTGGCAACCGTCAGACGTCATCAAGGTTGACTGCGGATTCGCCATACACCTCTTCCGCTGAGGAAAGTCAAAGCCGTCGCCAGCGGTCAGTTGATGAGAGAAAGGCTGATCGAGGAGGCTTGTCGAGACGAAACTCGCGAAACTGGAGCGACAAGGACGAGAGACCGAAGCTAACCCGTACCCGCTCTCGGTACTATGGCACGTCGTCCAAAGACGAGTCGAACAAAGAGGAATATCCCTCAAGTGACCGACCATATCGTGAGGTCCAGCCAGCCCCCTCTGCTCGAACGACGTCCGGCATGGAGGACTTTCTCGAAGAGGCTTTCAAAGCGAATAAAAACAAACAACTCAACTATGAGGACAGCAATTCTCGCCATGTTTCTCCGCGCGGCTCCCCAGCGCACAGTCCGCCACAGACACCTCGAGGCGCCGACCGATCACCCAGAGACTATTTTGAACAGTCTCACTACGCGTCAAGGTCGTCTAAGCAACGGTCTCGTCCACAGTCGATTGACGACACACATTTCAAAGACATTAAGAATGTCACATCTCTTCTAGGAGCCGCAACATTGGGTGCTTCCCTAGCGGCTAAGGCGATCCCTGCCCTGTCTCGATCAAACACTTCGCAGTCTGTGGAGACACAAAGTAGTGGCTCTCAGAGTAGGCCAAGCAGCGGTCAGCGTTCAAGAAAGCCTTCTCCTGTTATGGAAGAGTCTCAGCCAGTGTATCAGAGCCTATCAAGGACGAATTCCGTTGTAGGTCGAAATGAGGGCACGAATGCGCGGACAACAACCTACACGATAAACGAAGACCGTTCAGCGTCCAAGAGTGTGCTGTACCCACCGGCGCCACCTGAGTCGCCCCGTACAGCGTCGAGATCATCTTCTTATTCCCATTCTCCTGAGCTGCGCCCTCCAGCCCCTTTCAGGGCCTTTTCAAGCGTGCCTGGTCAAGGGCATCAGCAGCCACATCACTTCCCTACCCAACCAGCGCTGATGTCGAGTCCAATGAACCTGGAGCTTCCGAGCATCTTGTCCAACAGCCCACCCAGACCAAACTCGTTGCCTCCGTGTCCGCGGTCGAGACCGGCAGCTGGACATCATGATTGGTACACAATTCGGGATATGTCATTCCTCGATTTTTGTCCGTCTTGCATGAGTTTTCTCGGCGCTACCCGCTTTCGCGACCATTTTGTCCCGAGCCTACCGAAAGAGCCCCGCCGGCCGATCGCTTGTGCGATGAGCTTCCTATGGCTTCGGGTTGCTTGGCTGCAATCGATACGACAAGACAGAAAGGATCTTATGCTTGTCTGGCAAATCGCCAATGGTCCGCCATCCGGGACCAAGCCATGCGCTGGTAGTAAGGCCGATGTGAGAAGATGGTATCATCTAACCGATCCTAGAACGAAAAAGCCCGTGGACAATTTCGACGTATGCTCCGCCTGCGTAAGAAATATTGACCTGATCTTTCCTGCGCTTCAATTCTGCGTATTCGATCGACCGCAGGAGAAGAAAGAGCAAGAGAAGATATGCAATCTGAACACAAACAGCCGTCATTTCTTGCCCATGCTGAACGAACTGGAGCGACTAGCTGAGCGCTCGAAGGAGACCATGAGGCACAGGGACTTTCAGGAGTTTGTGGATTTTGTTCGCCGCACTTCACGCAATCGACACTGTGTGAAGGACACCTTACTGGCAACCCAATCTTGGCACTACATCTCTGATCTTCCAGAGTTTACAATCTGTGAAGAGTGTTATGAGGAAGTTGTGTGGCCTCTCAGGGATCGACCGATTGCACGAGACGTCTCCAAGACACTCAAACTTGTGCCCATTTTGCGCAAAAACTCTTTACTTCGAGGAACAAGTTGCCAACTTTACAGTGATCGCATGAGAAGGATTTTCCATGATGCGGTGAACCGGAACGATTTTGAGAGCTTGAAGTCGGCAGCTAGGTACCGCTACAATATGGAGCATCGGTTGCAGGAGATGCACAAATTGTACGAAATGGATTTGCAAGCCGGCATCGATCGGAGATCGGAGATGGAGAAGAACATTTCCATCTGGAAGTCTATCGAATAATGACTGATGCGAGCACGGATTCAGGACTGGGGGGATATGGGGAAAATCCGGGGGCACAGGGGTTGGGTTCGATTTCTGGGGAGCAGTCAAGCAGGCTAAACTTATCACACAACATCTGAATATTGAAATGGATGACAACGGTCGGCGTCCACGTGAAAGAGAGATCTCCTGCCAGAGAGATAGACGTGTTATGTGAAGACTATGCCACCATCCACAACGATAGTTTGGCCAGTAACAAAATCCGAGTCAGGACCACATAAGAAGCCGCCAACAACCTTGCTCACATCTTGGGGTACGCTCACTCTGCCCATAGCCGTCATTTCGAGACTCAGCCTCGCCGCAACCTCTCCAGGCTGTTTCCCCTCCATCTCGGCAAGTTTTCGATCAATCTTGTCCATCATATCTGTCCCGACTATCCCAGGGGCATAGCAATTGACACTGATCTTGTGTTTGGCCATTTCCATAGCGAAGACCTGAGTAAGACCCCGAACAGCCCATTTTGACACTGAATAGTGCGGGAGAAGCGGAAATGGCTTCAACGCCAGAATCGAAGCTGCTCCGATGATCTTGTATCCCGTACTGCCCGGGGGAGCTGGCCCCTGCGCAATCATCTGTTTAGCGGCGTTTGTATAACAATGCCATACTCCCAGGAAATTGACATTGAAAATCTTGACTACCTCCTCCTCCGTGATTTCTAGGATCGGCTTGACTTGCGCGATTCCTGCGTTAGCTATCATGACCGTTAGGGGGCCAAGCCTCCTGACCGATTCTTGGATCAGGGCCTGGACCTCGATGCTTTGGGATACGTCTGCGACGAAGCCTATGGCAGTCCCCGGGCCATGGGTGTCGTTCAGTTCGGCGACCAGTTTATCGACCTCCGGCCGACTTGCCGCGACATCGTTGATGCAGACCGCATAATTCTCGGCTGCTAGTCGTCGAGCGATTGCTTCACCACTGCACCGGACGCATGTTCGATCAGCAAAGGCCGGTCTCAGCTGGACAAATCGAACTGGAAGAGAACCTACATCCCGCGCGCTGAACCAGTCACGATGGCTGTCCGTTTTGCCATGGTGTTTATCTTGAATCAAGACTGAATGGTTAAGAAAAGGGGGGATAGTCGGATTTTGTGGGCCTGCTCTATGCCCATCCACATGCATGCAATGACCTGAACCGGGGGTAATTGTAAGAATCAAGAACGCCCTTCTGCTACTACAAAAGCGGCAGGCTTCGACACGGCGATCTTCACGGGCGCTGGGACGGTTGCCGACCCCGGTCCCGCCCTCAGCGATTCCAAGATACCTGATGTAAGCTGACAAGCTTAGAACTTGGAGACCTCGGCCGGACCGGATTTCCTGGCCCAGCTACGGGCATATCCGGCAGTCCGGAGCGTGGCATGGGTATTTCAAGTAGGGAATGTGTGAGAAGCTCAAAATCTTTATGCCGACCCTGCTTTCTCGCTGGTTCGCAATCCGTGGGGGCTGGAGGGTGAGTCGAAGTCCTTATCATTAATAAGAGGCTTTCGACCTCTCCTCGTAGTACCATAAGGGAAGTCATAATAATGTATTCGGTATTCGGGGCTCCACGCCATAAGTAATCTAAGGAATACCTATTATGCGTAGTTCCGTCTTGAGGCACCCAAAGAGGTCTTGCTGACTAATGTCGATAGTCTCAGGACTTACATCCTGGCAGAACTTGGTGAGCCTTCGGTTCGTTGTTTTCATGAGTGTCGACTACTAAGGTTTTGCTGTGGCATTCTCTTCCTCTGTAGGAGTTATAGGGCGTGCCGCAACCACTGTGGTGGCGTAGTGAAGGAGGAAAGGGTTGGTGTAGCTGTGGTAAAGTCCTCATTAGGGGCAACGTACCTAATTGGCTGTGCAAATCCTTTCGAGACTACCTCGGCGTCTTGGCACCCCCGCGCCAGGTCACGTGGAAAGCTTTTCCAGAGGTAAACCTATGCGCGGGATCCCGCTCAAGCAAATACGCTCGACCGTTGCTCCAAACGCGGCGGACTCCTTTGGCTCTCTCATATCTGCAAGTAGGGCCGATTCGGTCGCTAGTACTATGTCGGCCCCGGTCGTGATCGCACGCGCGTGCCAGGAATGCAACAGGAAAAAAACGAGATGCGACATGCGACGGCCCATTTGCGGTCTCTGTCAGCGGACGGGCAATATCTGCACCTTCCCCAACAAGCGCAATAGTAAGGCCAGGGGAAATCGACCGAATCAGCAGAGCCAGACCTTACAGGACCGAGTGTCTCGAATCGTCAACTGGTTGGAGTCGAATCCAGAAGTCTTGAAACAGATCCAACAGGGACAGAGCCTCCAAGACCCAGCTTCACCCTTCTCCGCCGGACTGTTGAAAATCCTGACCAGTTCTGAAAGTGCTCTTGAAAATACTCTCTTTTCGAATATCGGCCAGCCGACAGCGTATCCATCCAACGGCACTACGTTGCCGCCGCCTGCCAATGGCGCTGGAACTCCTCAATCGACGACCTCGCCCCTGAGAGCTCAACCCGACGAGCTGTTGGCAAAGACGTCCCAGGCAAACAATTGCCCAATCTCGTACGACGACGCTATGTCTTTGATGAAAGTGTTTTTCGAGCAGATTCAACCGTGTCTACCACTCCTGCATGGACCGCGCTTCCGTGCCCGCTACTCAGACCGCCTCTCGCATTCTTCTTCAAATCAGCCTGGGGCAGATTGTCTGGATGGTCTCGAGCTAGATGAGAAGCTTCTCCTCTGTAGTATGTTCAGTTTGAGCGCGCAAGAAGCGCCAGCGAGCTTGTCGGAAACCAGTCCAATCTCAGGGCACCCCGAATGTCTGCGTCACCGTGCTCACCAATTCTACAACGACGCGAAGAACATGAACCCGACATTAACATACCTCCAGGGGTGTATAGTACAGGCTTTCACCTTGTACACCTCGGGCTTTTCCGCGCAGGGCTGGATCTTGGTTGGCGTTTGCGTTCGCCTGGCCTACGAACTGGGGCTATCCGAGATCGACGACGCTGACAATCCTTTCACAGCCTCCAAGGACTGGGTGGAAGTAGAAGAGCTCCGAAGAGCCTGGTGGCTAGTTTGGGAGCTGGACACCTTCGGCTCTTCTGTCTTCAAGAAGCCCTTTTCCGTTGACCGGCAGCAGTTTACAGTGAAGCTGCCCATTTCCGATCGGTTCTGGTTCAACGAACAACCATGTGCTTCCGCTCTGCTGCTCACACGTCCAGGCCAGCCATGGAAATCCCTTGAAAATTGTGAGAACCAGAGTGAGAGAGCTTGGTTCTTGATCGCCAACCACCTCCTCTCAGTAGCGTATGGCTACTGGAAAGGAAAGCAGGGAATTTCGACTACCGAAAAGGCCATTCTCGAAAACGATATCAGCTGTCTCAAGTTTGCATTACCACGAAAGTTCGACATTGTTACCCAGGCCTTGTGCTGGGACGAAACTAACTACGTGGAGAACAATTGGATCCTTGGAACTCAACTATTTATCGCCTCCGCGACCTTTATGATCTCCGCCACCAGTGTGAACGACTTCGTACGCTCAAACAACTCCTCACCGAGTGGGATGGATATAGACTCGGCCTTGATTGAACGCACCTTCTCAATATCACGGATCCTGAGTCGCTGGGCGCCTGAGTACATAGGCCGTGCTCACCCATTTCTGCCATGTTCTCTCATGCCACCATCTAGGCCGTGGCCTCGGCTGCACACCGAACCAGCATTGTGCCAATCCACTGAAGATCTAACGACGCTGGCCTTGAAAAGATTTGCAGAGAGGTGGAAGCTGGCATCATCCATTCTGGGCAAGTTCGCAGCGCTCTTGTTGGTGTCCGCTGCCCCGCTAATAAACATGTTCCACAGATATCCAAAGGATTGTGCGCAAAGGTTCTCCCCTTAGCTCCGACGAGTTTGCGCTGGCCAGACGCTACGCCATCTTCTTTCCAACTCTGATGACGTTGGATGTGACCACGGGTTCGTCGGACGGCCAGATCCCAGCAATTCCGCAGACTCAGGAATTGCAAACGGTAGAGCAAGTGTCTCCCCCGGGGTTTCAGCAAGGAGTGGTAGCTTTACCAGCTTCCACTATGTCTAATCCCGGAGAGATGGCTTTTCCTGGCCTGTCTCCATTCAGCATGGATATGTTCCCCATGGAGTGGGAGAAATTCCGCGAAACATGGGCCACCGAGCTTTCGTGAGCGGACCTACCTGGGATGGAAGATTGTCTTATCATATCTACAGCCGTTAACGGCCCTCTTTCCTCCCTCAAGTTGGAGACACACAATGTGCAAATATCCATCATTGACCTACTTTGCAAGGTATGCGACGGCTACCGTTTACAAATTATGGTCCATTAGTTATCAAATCATCACCCAGGATTGTACGATACCCAGATGAGCCAAAAAATACTCGAACACTCTCGTCTCAGCTGGAGCCTCACAGAATCCAGCACTTCTTTCGACAGACAATTGCTCCCCTGGCGACAGAGGGCATCTCACCCTGACGCCCTGGAACCAGTAATCGAGCCAGCTAGGCAAGCGTAGTGACTACGGTGCCGCCGATATCTGGTGCGAGCACCTAATCTGGGAGCAAGGAATCTTATCACATCGCATCACATGATGCCAGGACTGTCTACCGAGCGAGCCTTATGGCTCTCGTATCCTCTTCTCTCCTCCGGTGGTCCTTTAGACAACTCACAGAGAGATCTATTGCCCCTTGAGACCATTTAGACCATTCTTTCCTCACTTTCCGGGCTACCATCACCATCGCCGATCGAGTTGACCTGGTGGAATGATCCCGGACCCTTTTAGCAAAACTCTTCCCTTCGCACCGACCGCCGGTTCTATCAGTCGCAGAGCAAAGTCTCGCATCAAAAGCTCTTTGGAGCTGGGAAGAGAGGTGCGATGTGATACCTTGGTCGTTTCAGGAATGATTATATCAAAACGCGAGGCTATAACTACATACCACCTACGTTGGCATCGAGGTGGGTGTGCAGATACTGTCACAATATTGAGCGCATATTGTAGAATCTCAGCGGCGACGAATGTTTATCCATGGCATAGGCAAACAGTAACCTACCTGTGCTGTGATGGCATAGCACCTGGCCGGAGTCGAGGTCGAGACATTCTGAAAACAAGTCCTCTATCGATTTGTATATGGACTAAGTGGTCTATACAAAACGACCCACGTCTGATACGGGTTTCTATACGACATTCTTGACAACTTCGAAATCGAATGGGGTTGACCAGCTTCTGCGGATCGGGATTGCCTTCTGGGCTGCTAACCTTGGTGACCACTCAATCTTCAAACTTTGCCTGGCCTTCATCCTCAGACCGAACCAGATTCTTGAACCCCATGATGCTGTCTCTGTTGGTCTTTCCTTACCTCAAATCCAAACCATCTCTTCTCTCAAATTATGCACCAATCTAAAAGGATGCCTTGAGTCTGAAACTGAAGACAATCCCAATCAGGCTACTAGGGTAGTATTAGAGATTGAACGAGCTCGAGTTCTCGTGATACGGAAAGCCTACCTACCGTCAACCGGGGGGCCGGCTTTCACCGTCCGTTGCCTGGACCCACGAATTTGCCTCGCGGTGAAGGGGCCTTATGCCGAGAGATTATTAAAAGATCCGGCTATTCAGAGAGGCACCGCTTGTATGCCTTTGGTCGCTCAACCGTGAAGATTTACTCCAGCTTTGGGGTTTAGGCCTCTGCAGTATTCTGAAAGATTTGCGGAGTTGACGAGGCCTCGGAGGCACATCATACTTCTCATAATTGGCGCACCTCGACAGAGAACGGCAGTCTTTCCTTGCATCTCCGGACTACTTGAAAGAAACTGAGCAGGCAAAAATGGCGCAGGTCCGAGTGACTCGACTCGCTTTTGTGCACTACCAGCACCCTGACCTCGAAAAAGCGTTGAAATTCTTCTCTGACTTCGGCACAGTCGAGGAACAACGAACTCCAGACAAAGTATACCTCCGAGGATTTGGCATTGATCCGTATATATACGTAGCAGAACAATCGCCGGACTCGAAACGACACTTTGTTGGCGGATACTGGGTTGTCTCGAGCGAAGAAGATCTCAAGAAGGCCGCATCCCAGCCGGGAGCATCTGCCATATACGACAACGACGGACCTGGGGGTGGGAAAGTGGTCACTGTACGCGACCCCTGCGGCTTCCTTGTCGGTTTTGTCTTCGGCCAGCAGCTGCGCAATTATGATGGCACCACCGGCTTGCTCGAGCAGACAAGTCCTACGACAAACTCTCCCTTTGATAAGCCCCGCAAGGGCAATGTGCGGCGGTACCGCAACGGCCCTAGTCCAGTCCACAAGCTTGGGCATTATGGATATGTCGTACCCCGATCAAAGTTCATGGAAACTCTGGATTGGTACCACCGTCTGATGAACTTGAAGCCGACCGATACGGTCTACGATCCGAAAACGCTCGAGGACGAAACCACGTTCAACCACATTGATCTGGGAGACGAGTATACTGACCACCATGTAAGTCCTGAGCCTTTATAATCCTGACCGAGCCTCTTCTACGGATCAGCAGAAGACTGAGAGTGTGCCTTTACAGTCATTCTTCCTCGCCGCCGGACCAGACCACAAACCTGCACATATCCACCACTCCAGCTTCGAGATCAGTGATTTTGATACACAGAACCTGGGCCACGACTGGCTCCGGCTGCACGGCTGGACCAATTGCTGGGGCATCGGACGGCATGTCCTTGGAAGCCAGATCTTTGATTACTGGTGAGTGGGATTCACCTATACCTCTCTCTTTCACTGAGACTAGGCTCCTCTGCTTTTGGATCTACGATTAGTTGCCAGTTTTGCTACCCACGATTAACGTTTGGATTTCATCATTCAGGTTTGATGCTTCAGGCAATATCGTGGAGCACTATGCGGACGGAGACCTCGTAAACCAACACACGCCCTGTGGCCGAGAGCATGCCGCTCCCGGTACGCTTCACGTTTGGGGCCCTAACGTGCCTCTGGCAATGCTCACAGGTCGTATGGAGGACGCTGGCAAGACGCTGAATGCCATGCCAGATGTGGAGTCTTCGAAGCCCGCCGACTTTGGTGATACTACAAATCCTGCAGGGCAAATCAAGGTCGCGGCAGCTTGAGGAGTCATGATTAATACAACGTGGCCGCCAATAAAGACAGCGAAACATGGCATTGCATGAATCAGAGCACTGGAGCAAGCAAGGTCAAGTTGGACAACCCTTTTTACGGTCAGTCAATTTTATATCACAGAACATTAGGATTGTAGAAATACTAGAAGTTGTGCTCTCGAAATCTACATACCAATTGTCCGTGCTCGAATTTGAGTAATTCGGATATTGTTTTCTTCACAAGTTGGCGTCATAACAATCAGATACTCGAGCGGCCGCCACTGATATGCCGCACACAAACGATCTTCGCCTTACGGTATGTCGTCCCCTTATCCCCATGTACCTTCTTCCCCGACGTACCCACGTACGTATTTTCGCCTTCCTCCTCCCAGCGGTCTGGGCATAGACCAGAGAGGAGAAACGGCACGAAACTCGGCACCATCGAGAAATACCTGAGCTTGAGATTCCAAATCAAGCCGCGTATCGTCGAAGTTCAATACGTAGGCAGTAGTCAGCAAACCATCTTCATCAGGATGAACTCGACACTCACGCCTGTAAAGACCGTGTTTTGACCGGTTCCGGGCCGGTCTCGAGACTGATAGAAATACCCCACATTCTCTACCTTTTCGGCTGTCTAAACCTCTTTGGGAGTTGGATCTTGAAAGCAGCGGGATTTTGCGACTAGTTTCGGGCTGACAAGCATGGATGCGGACGAATTGATGGAAAGGCTCTCGACCCTGGTGGCATTGAACGACATTTTCTTTCTTTCTTTTGAAGTACAGGTGCCCCTGGCAAACCAAGCCCTGAGGCGCATTTCCTGAGGGTGGCAGATACTTGGAGAGTTTCCATCATGTCTGAGCATTTGAGAGTCATCTTCGGCGCCGTACCCATAGGGAACGACCCGCCGTTCATCGACGAAGACAATATCCAGTTGGCGTTTTCGTTGCTCGAGAAACATCACGTCGACACTATCGACACGGCGCAGTTATACGGCAGATCTGAGCAGCGGCTGGGCGAGATCAAGGCGGGCGAGAGGTTCCTAATCGACACGAAATGGTTGGGCGGGTGGGAGCCAGGGTCGGGCAGCAAAGAGAACATCGTCCGGGCTGCGCGCGAGAGCCTCGAGAGGCTGGGAGTAAAGCAGGTTAGTTGTCAATGTCGTCTGCGAGGTGGCTCTCGAACCAAAACCGTGGCGTCGTGACCATCGTGTTGGTCATAATAATCTTCACTTGATATTCAAATCATGCTCATGTTCTTTCGTAGGTCAACATCTTCTACCTCCATTCTCCAGACGCTCAGACCCCGATCGAAGAGACCCTCGAGGGTGTCAACCAAGTCTACCAAGCTGGCCTGTTCAAGCGCTTTGGCCTGTCCAACTTTACCGCCGCGGACGTTGAAAAGGCCTATGGCATCTGTAAGTCGAGAGGATGGGTCCTCCCTACGGTATACCAGGGAAACTATAGCCCCGTGGCCCGGCTCCAGGAGACGCTGCTATTCCCGGCCCTCCGCCGGCTCGGGATCTCCTTCTACGCCTACAGCCCGCTCGCCGGGGGGCTCTTGACCAAGACGGCGCAACAGGTCATCGACGGCGTGGGTCGCTTTGCCGACGACCACCCCGGCGGCAACCATTTCCGGAGGATGTTCCACAAACCGTCCTATCTGGAGGCGCTGACCAAGTGGGAGGCCATCGCGGCCGAGCAGGGCTGCACCCGCGCCGAACTGGCGTATCGCTGGGTCGCGGCCAACTCGGCGCTCGACCCAGAAAAGGGCGACGCAATCGTCATCGGTGCCAGCAGCGTGGAGCAGCTCCGACAGACGTTGGAAAGCATAGAACGCGGCAAATTGAGCGAGAAGGCCAGCCAGGGGATCGACGAGATCTGGGAAGGGATCAAGCATGAGGCCGCTCTGGATGTGTTTAACCAATGAAAATGACTTTTACAAGCTGGACGTGCACGACAGCATGCGTAACAAAACGTGCGGGCAGATATTCATCAGGAATCAGTCAGCTATTTGGTACTGATGTTGTCACGGCTCCCTACCGGCAGAGCTGCTTTGCAATATGTCTATCTGGAGCCATGGTGCCAACGACTGGCTATCCAAAGAAAAGTAGGACGATCAATTAATAGATCAGTAGCCTATAGACTGTGGCTTTTATATGTTCCCTATTGAAGGCTGGAGTTTTGGCGCGGAACGGCCGTCTGGCGCCGTCCCAAGGCGGGCAATAGACCAACTGTGCCGCCTGTACATAGTAGATAGTAGTATGCTCTGCCTAGAGGTTATAATGGATAGATACTGTTCTTGTGTTGATGCCTACCCTTCTTGCACTTCACGTTTCCTTGCTGTTAGTCACATTGACAAATTCTGCTGTCTCGGTCGTCGCTATGCCTGTGGCCTTGTCTTCTGCCTCTTCAATGGTGATTTCGTCCAGCCTGCGTGAGACCACTTCGCCAAAGATCGCATTCATCTCTTCCAGTGTAAGGCCCTTGGTCTGCTTTTCGTCAGTCTCTTCGCAACACTAGGTGGAGATGATCTTTCAGGCCGCCTCACCTCTTTGCAGAAGAAATAAATGATGGGGAGAAAAAACAAGTTGAAGCCGACCCACAGAAAGAGAAACTTCCATTTGACGGCCGTGTATGCGATGGGTGTGACTTGGCCGTAGATGATGACCCATGCGAACGACGAAAACATGCCGAGTGCCATACCCTGAGCCCGAATCTTGGTGGGTTGAACTTCGGCGGCGTACGCAAAGCCTGTTGACACCCAGGTGCAACCGTAGATAAAGATAAAGATCATAACCATAGAGATGCCAGCCTTTCCCCATGCTACGTACGTTTAGTCTCAATTCAACATAAAGAGTAACAGTAAGGCTCACCAGGGTTGTTGGTAGACTCAAACTTGGCGAGGCACAAGGCAAACAAGCCGAGAAAGATGCTGAGGAGAACCAGCCCTGACAACATCAACGGGCGTCTGCCATATCTGTCGATGGCAACCATGTTGAAGAAGCCGCCTAAGTTGACGATGGCTTGGAAAACACATGCCATCAGTAGCACCAGCGACGTGCTGAAGCCTAAACTGGAGTAGATGACAGACTGTAGTGGAGTAAGCAAAGAGCACGGCATTGAGAAAACGGTTGAAATCATGCATACCTGGAACACGAGGATCGTCTGGGCACCGCAGGTCTGGCAAGCTGTCAAGACAACGATGGCGAGGGACGCCCGGAATAACTCCTTCCTGTTGGTGAAGATATGGAAGAAGGAAGCTCCCTCGGTCTCCTGCCGTTCAATCTCCAGCTGGGACACCAGCTGCGTGTACTCTTTCTCCCAGAAGTGGTCTCCCCTGTCGTCGTGCAGCCTCTTGAGCACGTTGCGGGCTTCTTCATTTCGGCCTCTCATGACAACTGGGCACACACATGTCAGTCTCCGTGGAATTTCAGGGTGGACGTCCCATGATATATAGCTTACGCCATCGAGGAGAATAGGGGATAAATTGACATCCAATCAGCAGTCCCAGCGCAGGAACGCACTGCAGGGAAATCGGGACCCGCCTGGACCAGCGTTAGCCGTTAGAATTATGCTGACCGGTCTAAATCGACCACATCGTCCATGCTGGGACATACCATTGTGCTTCCGGATTGTTCAGATGATAGGTTCCATATCCCGTAAATGCGATGACGAGGCCAGTGATGTTCATGGTCAACATCTGTATGGTGGACATTCGGCCCCGGATTTCTGGCGGGGAGATTTCCGACTGGTAGACCTGAACCGTGGTGAACATCATGCCTGAGGCAATGCCAGCTAGAACTCGGGCAACGGCAAAGAGCTGGATCTGGTACGAAGCTGTCTGCATGATTGCCCCGACCAATCCCAGCCCTGCGCCGGCCTGGAGAGTGCGCCTGCGACTGAGCTTGTCGACGAAGAGGAAGACGACGATGATCCCTAGCATTGTGCCACCATAGAAGGCGGCGACAATTGCACTGTAGAAAAAATTCATCAGTTGAATATGCCGATCAACCACAAAAAGGATAACAGAGCACGCACCCCAGCAAGGTCGGGGAGGGCTTGAATCTGGCAAGGAATCCGGGCTGCGCAAACCTGTCCGCCATTTGAATTAGCAAGGGATCCTCAAAATATCCTCTAAATGGGACAGTCACTTACGTGCCGGCGATGACCACGTTGTCGCATCCGTACAACATGCTGCCCATTCCCGCGACGGCGACGCAGAACCAATTGTATTTTCGCCCCATGACGGCGACTAGAGACAGGAACCCTTTGTGTTCAGTTGCCTGCAAACGGATCCAAAGATGAAGAGAGTCTTTAACACATCGGGTGTCTCAAGTGTCTCAAGGCTCTGATGTTATATGTCTGCCACCACAAAACCTGGGGTAACTCAGGCGACCCGACCGAATCCACGATAGTCTCGCTCTCCGCGCTAGAACCCCAGACTTAGCAGCCCCTCGGCCCCGGACAGCCATTCCCGGGCTTGTTGAAAACGTGAATACGTGCGTTACTGCTCGGTAGTGGCTCGCGGCGGCCCCTGCAGGTGATGTGCATTGTGTAGCGCCGTCTCCACCCTCCTCGGCCGCCGACCCCACCGGGCGGAAAATCAGTGTCTTCATATTGTGCCGGCTTGGAACCGTGGTCAGTAAATTAGGAAGCATGCGTTGGAATGCGTGCTCACCCCTTACCTGAGGGATTCCAGTGTCATAGGAGGCTCCCCCACGCACGTCAATTGTGCGTCCCAATGGTTGAAACCAGGGGCCGCCACGAGACCTTGCTAGGTGCGTGAGTAGAGCCGCTGGAGACTCTCTTAGAGCCAAGACGAAGAGACGAGGCACAGAAAATTTTGTAGACAAGAACTAGAATCCCTATTGTATTGAATCCCTATTGTATTGAATTCCCCTTGATGCAATCAGAGTTCATGGTTATATCGATGGTGGAAGCTCAAGGCTCCGATAAAACAGGAATCGTCTACTAGACTTCAAGACCATCCGGATTTATTTTACTGTTGCTGAGGGTGGATGTATCGAATAGATGTGCCCACCGGACTGTAGGCCAAGTTTTATCTTGTCCAAAGAAGCAGAGACGAAGAGCACTAGTCCAGCCCGAATTTACCTTCGTAACCAATCTTGAGGTCGTTTCCCGCCAGGATCGTGTCCTTCTTCTGAACCAGCTCATCGACAGACCAGTTCGCCGAGATGAACCTCCCAGACAGGAACTTGGCAGCGTCTGTCGCCAGCCAAACGCCCGCGCCTCCAACGAGTTCAGGAGAGTCAAGAGCAAAGCGTTTATGCCGATCTTTCGTGATCATGAAGATTTCAGTCCCAAAGCTATCGGTAGGGGGAGGGGTTCCAAATATTGGAGCGCGCTCACTCACCTATGACCATTCCCGTCTGAACCACGCCGGGCTGTATCGACACCGCAGTGACATTGGGGTACTCAGCGTCCAGGTACTCGGAGAATCGAGCCACTGCTAACTTGGAGATTGAGTAAGATGACGAGGTCGGATCAATATAGACGGCCAGGCCAGTCGACATGCTGATTACGGTGCCCTGCTTCTCGCGACCCAGTAGGGATAAAAATCCCCTGGTGATCAAGTAGGTGCCCTTGACGTTAACCTCGAAGTCGTACCACCACTTGTCTGCGTCGGTCTCACCAATGAGCGCCATCGGCCCAAAGACGCCGGCGTTATTCACCAGCACATCCGCGTGGCCGTACTTGGCTTTGACAGTGGCAAACAGTTGGTCGATGGAGCTTGGAGACGTGATTTCGGTTTCAATGGACAGATATTCCACGTCGGGGTTTATTTGCTTTAGGGTTTGTTCTGTCTTGATCAGTTGGTCGTAGTCATTGGACACCAGCACAAGAGCCTTAGGACCAGCTTTTGCAAAGCAAGGTCCAAATCCTCGAGCTCCTATCCCGGACGAGGCCCCTGTGATGATAATCACCTTGCCTGCCTGCGACAGAGCAGGCGACGTTGGATCGATCGACGGATACGGTTGGCGATATACCGTAGGAGTGTAAGCGTCCTTTCTGACGTGGTAGTCGGGTGGAAGTTCTGCCATTCTCCCAGCGCACATTCTCGAATTCTATTCTTCACAATCTCGCCCGACACTGATGGAATCGTAGACAAGGGCCAAATTGGTTTACGGAGATCCCACCGTGACGATAAATGGCTCCCATGGCCCGTCCGCCGAGGAAATCGGTCGTAGGAAATAAGTCTCGCACAATTTCCCATCTATACCTGCTGGTGCCGGTCGCCGACAGTCCAAAGCCCGGGGGAGTACAAAACCTCGTTTTTCAGGACTCGTCAAATTCCACCCGGGGCAATTCATGGAGGAAGGATGCTTGGCTGCCGTTATGACAAATCCAATCAGGCTTTGATTGCTGCCGGAGGCCGGGGATGTGGAGAAAATAGCTCCTCAAAGCCAGCGGGAATGACTCGCCACCGCGAATTTGACCGCGAATTCGCTTAATGCTTTGGCAGAATCTACCACCACCAAAATTAGCTGGTGGCAGACTCTCAATGTCATAAATTCGTCTCTATGTGCTATTCAAGACCTCGCCGCCGCCTAGCTAACCTTGGTGTTAATCTCTCAGAGACCTAATCATTCTGCGAATCAGAGAGGAAGCCATGCTACCTTGCCTCAACTAGCCTAGTAGTCCGTTTACGTGCTCGTTAACCTTTGCCACTGCCGATCGTGGGCGGCGCTGTCGATGGTGGCAAGACCAGTTCAGGAGAGTCCTTAGGCGAAGGACTGCGGTATAGCGGGGAGGTTAGGCGACGACGAGGTCTAATATTCAATTGTTATAGAAAGGATTTGTCTGGGTTACGGAGTATTCCGTGTATACCTAGTAGAAAAGAACGCTAGCTAATTTTGGTGGCAACTATTCCTATTTTGCACAAATAAGCGAATTCGCGGTGGTACGCGGTGGCGAGTCATTCCCCTAATGACCACTGACTGACTGCAGACTGAAGTCCTGGCAACGCTGCGAGTCAAAGCCAAGACTGCCATGGCGCCACGTCGCCACGTCTCACAGTTGGAGATCCAGGTATATAAGCTCTTGAACACCCACGAGCAGCAGTGCTCCATTTCCTGGTCTTAACTCAGTCTCATATCCGGCTTGTTCGAAACAAGATCTACTTGTATTTTGATCCCAGAAACATGGCAACTTCGACCACCAAAACCATGATCCTGGTCCAGGTGACCGTGGCACCTGAGAGTGTTCCCAAGTTTCTGCAGGCGTTTCAAGAAATCGTCCAAAAGTGCATTTCTGAGCCTGAGTGCGATCGATTTGAAGTTCTAGCCGACTCTGATCAGGAAGGTCTATTTCATTGGGTGGAAACTTGGAGTGCCAGCAAGGACTGGCTTCTGAACGTCAGTACCTCTTTCTCATGAGGAAGCGGCAGAGGATTTCCGCATGGTCTGACTAGCATCTCGGTGAACAGGTCCAGGTGAAGAAATCTTACTACGACGTCTACGAGGATATTACGAAGCCTTTGTGGATCAAAGATCGTAAGTTGCTTCGCTGTCCCTGATGACAATGCAACTGATTATTCACTCTTCCTACAAAGGTGTTGTCCATTTCTTGGAGCATGTCCCCAGTATTCCACCATACTTGAGAGCATGAAGGTCTATCTATATGTCTATGCCCCTATTTGTACCACAGCACAAAGCAATTTAGCTAGAGGAAAAGGCAATGCTAGAGCTTTGAATGACAGAGAGACTGCTCAGTTCCGATACACATGCACATCAGAAGTCTACATGTACTTCGATAAATTGGACAGTACATGTGAAACACTGCCTCTTTCTCGTTCAATGTACTGCAAGCGAAGCGCTAGAATCATCGATTATGTGATCCTCGCTTGTCGAAATCTCAACAACGACTCCAGCCACTTTATCATTTTACAAGCATCCGTTGAAATGATGACTAGATTTTATGTCCGACTTAGAATGATTTCTGTCAAGTAAAATGTATTTGTTCAAAAACTTTGTTCCAAAGTCGGCAAGGAGAATCATTTGCAAGCGGCGCCATGTTGAATAGATCAGCCATCGCTCATGCAGCAATGCCCATTGAGAGCCTAGGCTTACCCGCGAAGCCTCCTCTCACAGCCTCCTCCGTTCGGTGGGAACGGCAAAACGGCAGACACCGGTCAGGAAACACGAGCAATGCTACCGATTTTGGATTAATCAGCAGAAAGAGGAGAGAGGTTCCCGCTCATTCTTGAGGCTTCATTCCTTCACTGCACGGTCATGAATAACATACCTAGGCGCCCTCTGATCAGCTCCCGCTACTGGCGGAAAAAAACATCTCTCATGGGCATTTATCCCGGTAGATCCAACTCGTGAATTTTTTGGTCAATCGGTGAGTGAGAGAAGACGAAAGGACGTATGCAGTAAAATGGTGCGGAACAAAGCATTCGTCTACAAGGAGACTCCCAATGGATGGCCTGTTCCGGGTCAGGACCTCGATGTCGAGGATATCGGGTTCGATGAGGCTGCACCGCCTCCGAAAGGCGGCTTGACCACCAAGAATGTATGTTCTGTTGCGATCAAAGCAGCGTTGTTTCTTCCTAACCTAACGTCCTCCTGGGAAATTTGATTTCTCGCGCTTCGACTCTGATACGCGACAATAGTTATATGCCTCCTTCGACCCCGGGCAACGAGGACACATGCGAGACCCAAAAATCCCCTCGTACAGCCCGGCCATGCAGACTGGCAAACCTGTGATCTCGGTGATCGTGATGGGGAAGGTTCTGAAGTCTGACCACCTCGAAATTAAGCCAGGATCCATCGTCATGATCCCGAGCGCCTACACGGAGCAGTACTCCACCATCTCAGAGTCGGTCGCCAATAACGTGCAGGTGATTGAGCCGCAAGAAGGTGTCCCGTTGACCGCGTACATGGGTATCTTGGGGATCACAGGTACCTTGGATTTTTTTGGCTCTGACCGCACATTCAAGAATCACGCCTCTAACATGCCATAAAACCAGGATTGACCGCTTACGGCTCCCTACACGAGGTCGCGCAACCACGGAAGGGAGAGGTGATTTTGATCTCGGCCGCGGCGGGTGCTGTAGGTCAAGCAGTCGGCCAAATCGCACTAAAAGAAGGGTTACATGTAAGAGCACTGGTCATCTGCCAATTGGTTTGGGCAGTCTAGACTGCCCGCCCATCAAATTACAATTCATGGCCGCGCAAACCACTCTGACAATGTTCCTGCAGGTGATCGGATCGGTCGGAGACGACAAGAAACTTGATTTTATCGTGAACGTGCTCGGCTTCAGCGCTGGCTTCAACTACAAGAAAGAAAAAATGGACGACGCGATTAAACGACTCGCTCCGGATGGGTTGGACATCTAGTACGCCGCCCCGCACCTGTCTCCTTTTTGCCCACTGCCCCTGAATCTGGTGCATTAGATGATCATCGCCGCTGGCTACTTCCTCTAACTTTTTGTTTTCAGCTACGACAATGTGGGCGGCGAACTCCTAGACGTGGCTTTGAACAACATGAAGACCTTTGGGCGAATTGGTATGTTTTTAGAATCAGTGTTTGAAATTCTTCCGGGATATGACATGCTTCCCTTGGGGCGACCTTTCAGCCGTCACTTCGTATTCGACCATATCCAATGCTGTCCTTCTAATACGCAATGTAGTCGCCAGCGGCTCCATCTCCACATACAATGCCTCCCCCGCGCACCCGATCTACGGGGTCGCGAGTTATTCCCAAGTTGTCCGTCGCCGCATTCGGTGGCAGGGCTTCCTTGTTTTCGACGAAAATATCCAGAAATGGTCCCGAGAACGAGACCGGAAAGTTGTGGAGTGGATTCGGGACGGTAGCTACAAAAGCGTCGACCACATCACCCAGGGGATCGACAACGCCGTTGACGGTTTCTTGGGTATGTTGAAGGGCGAGAACCTAGGGAAGAGTATCTTGAAGATAGCAGATTTAGATTAGGTGCTGTCATGGAACATGATGCCGGATGTTATCGATAGATCATGTTTGTACCAAAATAGTTGATTTGGGGCATATCTGTCCATCAGCTAAGTGAGTGACACAAAAATAATAATGCGCCTATTATCCCGGCTCGTATTTTGCGCCAATTTGCGATCCACGGGTCCTGTTGAATAATTAGACAAGGACTCCTTGGGATGGCACACTGACAAGTTGCCTGCGGTTCGATAAACCTTGAGCCCGCCTGGTTGGTGATAAAAGGACGGTCACCGCTGCCGATATTCACCGGGACTGGCCGAGATTGAGCCCTGACACCATTTCACAAGCCCGAGCTCCCACTCTTGAGGCCTTTGGCACGGGGAAAACTGGGGATGATGGTAGCCGCCAGATCATCGGGTCGGGAAAGGGCTGCATTGCCTACGAAGGTGAAGGAGGCTTCGACGGGCACACGGACAAGGTGGAGTTTGATTTGGGATTGATTTTGGTACCCCTGTTGTCTGCGTCTGAGGTGTCCATTATCAACGTATGAAACCCCCTTGCCGGTGTCTTCTGAGACTTTGCACCTGGTACGAGAAATTCGTATTTGTCGACCGCCTCGTATCATTCAAATAGCATCAAATCGACGCATTATCCTAGCAGAGAATCAAAATGTCGTTGCTCCCGGGAGTAGGGTTTATATCAGGGGCGGCCTCTGGTTAGACCCTTTGACTATAGTGAAGACCCTATCGTATTCCATCTACTGAAAGATATCTACAGGTATCGGACGTGCCACGGCCTTTGCATTTGCAGCCCATGGATCGAAAAGGCTTGCCCTGTTGGATATCAACCCGAAGCTGGAGGATACGGCAGTGGAACTCCGGTCACAATATGCAGACATCAACGTCTTGACCATCCAAGCCGACTGTGGCAAGGAGGAAAGTCTGGTGCAGGCAATCTCCACGGTCGTGGCCAAGTTCGGCCGTATCGACTATGCGGTCAACAATGCCGGCATCCCGGGCGTCCTAGGTCCTGCCACGGAATATAAGACCTCGGATTTCAAAACCGTCCTCGACGTGAACCTGACCGGGCTGTGGATCGCCCAGCGCGAACAGATCCGCCAGATGGTCAAGCAAGACCCTCTCCCAAACTCCCTGGGCGTCCCGGGCAGTCGAGGCGCCATCGTCAACACTTCGAGCGTCATGGGCCTGACCGGCTCCCCCGACGAGTTCGGCGCGACGGCGTACTCTGCGACCAAACATGCAGTGCTCGGGTTGACCAAGTCCGAGAGCAACATGTACAGCAGCCAGGGCGTTCGGATCAATGCCGTCTGCCCCGGCTTCATTGAGACCCCGTTGCTTCGGTTCGTTGGATCTGAGGAAGTCACCAAGCAGACGCTGCCGATGCGGAGATTCGGCGATCCAGCCGAAGTTGCCCAGGTGATTTCATTCTTGGCCAGTCCCATGAGCAGCTACGTGACCGGGGCCAGTGTGACGGTCGATGGGTGAGTGAATGGGATTCCAGAGCTCACTATGGCCCCATAATTGACAACGTCCAGGGGCTTTCTATCTTAAGGCTTTTGCTCGAAAATATTCAACGTTTCTCACAATAAAGATCCTTGGAAAACTGCGGCGTAAACTCTACGTTCTGTCGAAAACTCTCTCTTTGAGGTGTCAGTCTGCTAGCGTATACGGTGTATTGGAAGTAATGGCACACGGTGGATAGGCTGTGATCTCCATATCAAGGGGGGACGCATTTGTGCCACGTTCTAACCAGCATGGACTGAGAGATTCTGGTAGTTGGAACGGAGATTTGATCTCACGGGACTAGGGAGAATGCCGTAGGATACCCTAGGGATGATCTTGGTCAGTTGATATCAAAGTTTGGCTCATTAGTCTCTGGGAAATGATGCCAACAATCCTACCTCGTGACTCGGTTTGAATGTAGGCAGCTGCATGATGAGAATGGAGTCAGCCAAGTCACTCTAGCTAGTTCTATAGAGCAGAAATGTGCATGTTCGACAGGCCACGTATGTATTCCGTGACAAAATGAAAATGTGTGATATTGTAATCACTTCGTGGACACCTGTGCTGCTCTCCAGCGAGGTTTCTGCTACCCGGCCAAGATCGGTGCAGCCATTTAGAAGACGATCCCCTCGATTCTTAGAAGTCGTCTCTTAGCATCCCTAGATTGAGGGTTCACACGCCGTGGGACAAAGCTTCTATGGACAGGTTCTCCACCCTGTTGCCGTGTAGAGAGCGTCCTCAATTTCTTTCTGCCGAGCGTCTTTGCTGGAATACAGCTCCGGGGCCGTCCCATACCCCGCGAAACTTACTCCGGTGGCCGGGGGAGGCGAACCAGAGTCACGGCGGAGAAAATGCGGACGCCGGCCTCGTGGCACAGGGCCCAAAAGTTGGCGACTAGTCGAGAGCGCATTGCATCGTATACACTCTTAATGTCTATCGTCTAGTTCAAACTCCCACTTATCTACCAAGGGACCCTCATAAGGCGAAGGGGAACGTTGTGCTTCTCTTTCGAACGAGACTTGAAGAGGTTGCCGGAAGCATACACCAGAAATCATCCAGTACAGGCCACCCGCAAGCAAAACATCCTCAAGCAAGATGTTTGCTTTCCTTTTTCAATCTCGCGGCAAATTGTTGCAAGCCCAGATCGCCTTGACTTGTTGTTCAGGATTTTATATCTATGGATATGACGCCGGTGTCTTTTCAGGATCGCTGGTGTCTCCATACTTCCTGAAGACGTTCCACCACCCATCCGCCCTTATGGTCGGCCTAGTCAGTTCTCTCTTCACGCTCGGAGGGGCCGTCGGGGCAGCGATCTGTGTGGTGGTCGGTAACAGCCTCGGACGCAAGTTGACCATCCAAATGGGCTGCGTCTTCGCCATCGTCGGTGCTCTGATCGAGGGCTTAGCGAAGAACATGAGTACATTGATTGCCGGCAGTAAGTGAGCCCACAGGGTGTGTCTCAATCTATTGGTTTGTTCTTGGGCTGAAAAGGTCTATAGGGCTCGTGAGTGGCATTGGCCTCGGACAGATTTCATCCACCGTGGGAATCTTACAAGCCGAAACCTCCTCTGGTAAGTGCAAGTCGACCAGAGAGCAAAGAGGAAATTTGGTGTGTTGACCGTCTCTTTTACAGCCCGTCATCGGGGGATGATGATTTCCATGCAGATGTTCTCTTCTGCCTCTGGCCTCTTCCTTGCGCAGTGGATCAACTACGGTTTCGGCAAGAATGGCGGAGCAATCGCGTTCATGTTTCCGTTGTTGTTCCAGATCGTCGTCTTGACCTTTTCTTTCACCCTGGCGTTCACCATCCCGGAATCTCCTCGGTGGCTTGTCGCTACCGGCAGACTGGACGAGGCGGCCAGAGTCCTGGCTCGCCTGGGAACCAAGACGAGTAGACCCGATGACACCGATATCCAAGAAGTACTCATTACTATGGAACAGGCCGTGAGACTGGAACATATTACCGGCCTCGGCTTTATAAAATCAATAGTAAGCGTTATTTCCCTTCATCGTAAACATCATTACTCTTAAACTGGCTGACCGCTTTGACAGTTTCATAGCGGCCCTACGCAGCTTAGGCTCCGTCTCTTCATGAGTGTCGTCACCGGTATCTGCTTGATGCTTGCGGGAGTGAGTCCCGTCCCGTTGGGATACCTCGTGTTGCGTCGGTAATCTGATCGCACCCTCCAGCTTTCTGTAGTTACATACTACGTGCCCATTATGCTCACCGATTTTATCGGCGTTTCTCGCTCTGATTCTCTGTGGATCGGGGGTCTTGTCAGTGTCGTGGCCATTGTATTTGCAATCATAGTAAGTTCCGGCAAGGCCACTTCGCCCAAGTCTTGGGGACGGGGGATCTAACAGGCATTTTCAGCCCATCTTCATCATTGACCGCGTCGGCCGGCTGTTACTCATGAAAATCGGCTCCACCATCCAGGGAATTTGCTTCTTTGCAATTGCGGGCCTCTATGCTCAATCTTCGACTCCAGACTTCCCGCATAAAAGGCCTTATGGTATCGCCATTGTCAGCTTTGTCTTCATCTATTTCGGTGCCTTTTGTGCGACCTGGAATTCCGCTGCGTGGGTGTACGCTGCCGAGATTCTTCCCATCCAAGGGAGATCGATTGGCATGGGCATTTCAGTCAGTGAGTATCTCCTCTGTAGCATCTTGCACAGCTGAACAACGCAACTCATCCCTGTCCCAGGTATTAGCTGGTTGACGCAGTTCATGATCGGTAAGCCGAACCGGAGCTCGAATCATCTGCTTTCGACCCTGTCCCTAACGCGGCACAGTGATGGTCGCTCCACCTGGCCTTCAGAATATATCCTGGAAGTTTTATATTATCCTAGGAGTTTTCAACCTCGCAACTGTCCCCATTCTGTTCTGCTTCAAGGAGACGAGACAGAAAACCCTTGAAGAGCTTGGTAGAGAGCATCCCATCTGATTTCTGTCAATACAAGAATTTCTGACTTTTGGCCAGACATGTATTTCGCCGAGCGTTTTCACGGAGGTCAAGAGCTGCGTGAAGTGCAGCTTGCCGTTCTCGAGGAGCATCACCAGGCACAGCATAAGGGGGACCCAGTAGTTCTTGAGGTCGAAACATCCGTATGATATCCCTGAGCAAGAGACTTTGTAACTCTCACTAACTTTGAAACTTTGCAGGAAACAAAGTAGGGTTCCAACAGCGCCAGGAAGAAGTGAATACAGACTGTGTGGCCTATTTGACGTTGCAAAGTATTACGTCGTACACTCGTGGGATGCAATAGACAGTGTAGCGCGTGTTTTGGCCTACATAAAGAGGTTCTTTCTCGAGTCTAGGAGTAGTTACGATCCAGCTTCCTATCCCTACAGGTGGAGGCGCAGGTTCCGCTGGTAGTTAGTACGGACTAGTTCAGGAGAGTCCTCAGGTGGAGGACTAGCTAGTCATTGGACAGACTAGAAGACTACTGTAGGAGGATCTCAACACTGACGTTAGGTATATAAAATAGGCGACGACGAGGTCAGATTACGAGATTTTCTCAATGTCTCGATCACGAACTAATGTACGAGGTGCTGGATTTATGTGACTAGTAAAACCGCACGCTAGCCAGATTTAGTGGGCCAAGACTCTCCTAAGCATATATAGATAACTAGGCGAACTCGCAGTCACACTTGCTGCCCGAAGACACTTCCCCACCTCTTCCAGCTTCAAAGAGCCTCTCTTTTCTCTGTGGACCACGCAAAGCCACCTGCCAATTTGTTACCCTCGATGTCTGAACAACCGTTGTCAGCAGCATCAGCTCAATCATTGTCGACGCGTGATTCGAGCGTCCGGCACCTGCCAGCTGTAACAGCAGAAAGTCATCTCGAAGCTGTCACCATTTTCCGAAGCCAGGATCAGGCCACATACCCATCGTGATACCATCGACATCTAGAGATTCACTGCGAATGCGCGAACCATTATGGCGTCAACAGTCACACCGACCACCCAGCAGCAAAGACGCGAATCTCGCTTGACGGTAAGGAGCCATACATACGTATCTTTCCCCTCCACGAACCGTTCCACATCCCATATCGTATACCTGAACAGACCAGCCTAACTTGTCCAAACACAAACCTCACGCCGCCAACGCCGCCCTCAGAAACATCTTCCAAATCACTTTGCCCCAATCCAGTGACGATCACCGATACATATTGACCCTTCAATTCCACAAACCCAGCTCACCGAATTGCTGTCGACTTCCCGAGCAGTCCTCACCCATCCATCCCCCCACTATCATTTCGCCTTGAACTGCGTCTGGGACAATCCACATACCTTCCTAGATCCCTGGATTGACCAGCGAGTCTCCGAGAACAACTTCATCGGCTTAGTGGTGAGTCCAGCCGCTTCACTCTTCAGTCATCCCAAAGTCCCCAAAAAATCCGACCAGCCGCTCTAGCTGCTTCAGATTACCGATACTGTTACCAACCACTACTACTTAGGGTTCCCTAATCGCCGCCACGGGCGCCTCACTACTGTCCAACCCTGCTCTCTCAGACGTCTCGTGGGTCGCCACCGCTGCTATCTACATCGCCCTCCTGTTCAGCATCATCAGCGTGGTCACGGCGCTCCATCAGACGATCCACATCAGCACGGCGTCGAAATTCGAGAATGACGCTGAAGGTAAACTCAGGCGGCTGTTCGTGTTGACAGAGGCGTCCAAGACTGCGCTCCTCGACCAGACACCGCCACCCCCTAATCCTACCGCTGTTGCCGTCGACAAGATCCGAAGGGAGAAGGAGAACCGCATAGCTTTCATCTTCGGCTTGCCTCAATTACTGCTGTCGTATTCGATCTTTGCGTTGTTCGTCGGCGTCGCGTTATTGGGCATGAATGCACTCTGGCACAGATCTGGGGAGGATCACTGGGGGGATCCCCAGAAGGTATGGACAGACTTTTCGTAACCTTGGTAATCTCTGTGCCCGGGGATGATGTGACTTTCGCCGAACAGATACATCCATATGCTAAGAGTCACGCATCAGATTGCAGTCGCCGTTGTCGTGGGTATCTTCCTCACCATCGTGGCGTTTGTGCTGTCGATCATTTCGCAGTATCACGAATCGTGAAGTCCCGCATTGTGGTTTATGTTCGTATACTGTTACATAGATGTACCGATAGATCTATTCTCAATATACACCCACATTCGGACATTCTATACACAAAAGGCCTGGACCGATCAATGCCCTCAACCCCGAAAATTGCGGTATATGCAAGAACCAGTAGATACACGGGGACGAACGCGGCGGCCAATTCCCACTTTTCCACCTCGGTTCGGTCGGTGTTGCGGTGTAGCAACCTGGCTCGGCCGGCAGTGATGCAGCATCTTGTCCACCGGTGGTGACATTCGAGAAAACGACAGGGTACGAAGAGAAACTGAATGTTGACTTGCCGAAGCTCGATGTCGGTCATGTTGGCGTAATCAGTTGGCTGGGGATTGAATCATAGTAAGGTGAAAGAGCAGAATCCCTAGGTCCCAGGCAGCGGCTACATAGATGGAGTGCTCTACAGCGTATTGAAGCAAAAAAGCGTAACAGAGGGATACGTGTGGAATCTCCAGCGTCGGATGAGAGGCCGATGGCTCTGCGCCAGTGTTGGAATTTGGAGACGGAAGAGGTGTTGAGAGACGGGTTCATCGGGTTCTGTGCTTCACAGATCTCAGACAGTGAGGTGTTGTCGTCGATGTGCTGGCAGTATTCGAATAAGTCATGTTGACTCAGAGTCGCAGCTGGATGGTTGGGCAGGATTGAGTTCCGCCTCTTGTTGACATTGGCGATCGGCGGAACGGCCTTCTGGTACGCGGGTCGCTTCGCGTACGCCATCGCGAGATTGCTATTCAAGACCAAGCGGTTGATGAACGATTCAGAGTATGAATAAGACGGCTCTGGCAGAATGGTTTCCAACAAGTTGGCGGCGTTGGTGGCTCTGCCTTGGGCCATATATGTTAATGATAACTCGTGGAGGATGTTGTGTCGCGCTTCATGCGCACCGTAGCTGGGACCGGTCATTCTTTGAGCGAGGTCGAGCTGCAATTCGTCCGCCTGCAAAAAAGTTGCTTTGTTTGTACGCAAGCCAGGCCAAGGTTGAGCTTGACGTCCGATTCGACCCAAGGGCCGCACGACTGATTTGATTTTTCGTAGTCTTCCAAGATTTTGTGGAGGAGGCTTGATGCTCAAGATCTTGGTCGGAAGCTATAAGAACGTTCGACAAGCCCACATGGGCATAGAACAATAGCAAACATCCTCGGAACAAACCATGTGCAAGCACACGCTTTATCTGTGAAGGACGAGAAATCTCGAAGAGAGAAATCGAGCGTTGTGGTGCCTGCGCCCGAAGTCACACAGGGCGCAGGCGTAATGACGTAGTAGATGGGCATCCTGGTGACTTTCTTGCTGATAATACTGAAAGACTAACGCCAAGTACCGAGACGCGCCGCTTTAAGGGAGTCTCCAATATAGCCGCTTAAGACGAGGTAGTCGGGTGCAATTACAAGCAATGATGGCCATGGTCGACCTTCCAGCCAACTAGTTGCGGGACATACAACAAACACGAGTGTAGTAGGAAGCCGATACCGTGGTGTACGGAAAGGGCAATCTTCTAGCCGAATGGGGCAACTTTCCCATGCCCGGGGAAACCCGACCCCACTGGAGGACAACTCTATGGTACGTGCCGGGAGACCACGATCCAAGCAAGAAGACGACGCTTTGAGAGTTAGGATTGAAGTTTCTAGCATCTCAGGTATGTCGGCGGTATTACTGATCCAGAACGGCCCCTGACAAATGTCACATCTCTTGCGCATGAACGCCTATGGTTCTGCCATCCGCCGCCCTCTGGCTTTCCCTTCACCGATCATAAAGTGGAGACGGCGTCTAGGGGTGGAAACCCAAAATGGAGGATCTCCGATTTCATCGTTTCTCCAACCTTAGGGTGCCGGTGGTGGAGGGATGACCGGGCCCGGTATGGTGCCATTTGTCAAGCAAGAGGGCAACGGTCGTAGGCTAGGCTCTCAAGCCCGTCTGGATTAGTAAGGCCAAATGTGTCTAGCATGCTGGACTGGGATCGTTGTAAAAGCAAGTCAAGATTGGAAGTCTGTTAACAAAACCACCCCAATTCAAAGATATCCCCATCGCCGATAGAACAACATGGGTTTCAGCGACACCGCGCCGTGCACGGAAATCGTTTACATTCCTACGAAAGTGGGCGACAACCCAAAGGACTTCAGTACCCCGAAGGGAAAGGTCTACAAGGAAATTCTCGACGCCATCGTCGCCCATGGCAAGCCGCAGAATCTGTACTGGGGACACCAAGTCGAGGACCCCAGCCTGTACTTCAACATCCTCGACTGGGATAACGTTGGCGCACATCGGTCTTTTCAGAAATGGTCGTACGTGATCCTTCCAATGGCACCGGCGGTGAACAGCTCTCCTGTTGACTGACAGCTCTGTAGAGGATATCCCGCATTTGTAGACTCGTTCCAGTCTCTTGTCAGCGGCACAGCCTTCCATTTCCACGCGAACCTGGAGCCCCATCCACCTACTGCGGTCTATGACGCCGAGGCCAGCGAACTGCTCCAGCTCTATTTCCCTCTGGATTATTCGGAGGAGGATCAGAAGGTCCTTCACGAGAATGTATCGTGGGTGGGTCAAGTGATCAAAGCCATGTGGCCAGGGTGTAGGGGAGCATCCAGCGGATGGGCATTGGAGGCTCTCGACCTGCCTGACGGCTCTGCGAAGGCCAAGGTCTACATCGTCATGATCGGCTGGGAGAGTGTTGATTCACACACAAAATACCGGGATTCCAAGACATTCGACATGACCGCCCACCACCTAGTAAAGGCGAAGGATCTAGTGACTCTTCAAGTGGGCCACATCGTGGCGCAGAAATATCCATGAGAGGATGCTTGAAAGCTAGAAAATCAATAAAATCAATTCACCCTCGTGTTAAGGATTGAGCGTCATAATCTCATTCTCTCCTATTTGACTATCTCAGCTTGCACACATTCTTCCACAAAGAGAAGCACTAAGACTCCGTTCATGGTGTAGTTGGAATCCTGACGACTCTTTCATCCAAAAGAGTCTTGCGGTTTGTCTGTAGAGAACGAATGGGGCCTTTCGATTGTGAGTAATTCAAAACTGATTGATTACTCTTGCTTTATTTCCACGAGATCATTTGCTCTCGAATTGATCCTTGCCTAATTGGCCTACCAAGTCAACTCTGAGCTGATTGCCGTTTTCAATCTCACTTCTCCTTGCCAATAGCTCTTCGACGTCCCAGTTAGCGGAGATGATGCGACCACTGAGGAAGCTGGAGCGCTCAGAGTCGGCAGCTGCCCAAACGGAGACACCTCCGGCGAGCATGGGATTGTCAAGGTCGAAGTCGCGGAAGAAATCTTGTTGCATGTCGGTGTCCACCATGCCCGGATGGATACTGATGACATTAACGCTGCCATTGTATGCCGCATTCACCATGACTGCCCATTGAAACGCAGCCAACTTGCTAATGCAGTAGCTGGACGCTATCGGATAAACCAGCCATGCACCTGAGGTGCTGATATTTATTATGGTGACGGGTGTGGTTGGGGCTGGCAGAGACGAAATGAAGTACTTTGTGAGGATGAAGAAGCCTTTGACGTTGACCTCCTATCCATGAGGGTTGTAAGCATTAAGTACTTACAATAGTCTTCAGTCAGTTGGGAGGCTAGTACTTACAAAGTTCGACCACCATTCATCCAGAGGCGCCTCGTGGAGGACGGGGCCCCCAGTGTTGGTGGCGGCGTTCAAGGCGGCATTGTTCACGAGAACATCGGCATAGCGGCCGAATTTCTCCTTGATTTTCAGGAAAAGGCCCTCGACGGCGACAACATCAGTGATGTCGAGGGCAACCACCAGGGTCTCTACTGCCGGATTCAACCCACGGACCTCAGCTTCGATAGCCCTGAGCTTCTTCTCGTCACGGGCTATAAGAACAAGACCGCGAGCCCCGGCTATGGCAAAGGATGGCACAATCCCCTATGTCAGCAGGGTCAGTAGAGAATCCGCGGTCCTCTTGTGGGCAAATTTTGTGAGACTAACCTTGGCCCCAATCCCCCTGCTGGCACCTGTAATGACAACAATCTTTCCTGCCAGAGAGTTCGAAGACTTCCGCGGATCGATTGCCGGATAGACATCTTGGAATGTCTTTCTCGTGTATTGGATCGAAGTCACGAAATAGTCCTTCGGCAGACCACCACGTTCCGTCATCTTGAATAGAGAGTTTCGTTTCGCGATACGAGGTATTGAACAAGAAAGTGGCGTTTTATCTCAAGTCGACCCTAGCTTTTTCATGACTATCTGCCTTTTATAAGTGGTACCCGATGTCTGTAGCGTTGCATTACAAGCCCAATCCTCTTGGTTCGGGGACAATTCGTTGGAACAGGAATTTGTCAGCTTCATCACACACCGAACGGTCCGACTTGGTCGCTCTGATGACATATTCACCCTTGGAATATGCAAAATTGCCGTCAGCAAACGGCCGCAAAATGGCCAGAATTGAAGCTATGCCGTTATATTCGAGACATATTCTACATTGTATAAGATTCAACGGTTTAAACTCCTCACCGCCATCTGGAAGTATCCATTAATTTGTCGTATACACTAATGAGCAAGAGCCAAGTTTTTGCTCACTTCCTGTGCCTCTGTGTGTCGGCCGAGAATCCGTCTTCGGCTTGATGAAATTTTCCAGCGGTGCTTCGCGCTTCACCTCGTCCTAGATCTTGTTGATGCGATCATATCCCGTATCAGACAAAGCATCCTTCTCAATGCCCGGAAAAATATTTTCGAGTTATTCGGTGTTTCTTGTACTGATAACATCTGAATCCCTGTGTTCGCTGGAGACGAGTGAATTTGATGCTGCCCAGCGATACGCCAGCGCGGGAACAGTTTTTTCCTTCTGCAATCTGTTCACATTTCTTGAGGGTTTGCCATTTACTAGCAAATGATGGCGGTAAGTACACCAAAGGCCGTGACCGGTGATCTAAATGGGTGTGGATTGAATAGTTGTGGATCAATTTAGAGCGGGCAAGGTAAGGCTGCGTGATTGCAGCCAAGCGATAAAAGCGGCTCCAGTGGAGGCCTTCCACGTGACTCGGTTGACCTTCCCTGGTTTCTAGGCCAAAGGTCTGCCCCAAGCTGCGGCCTTTGCTGCATGATGAGCTCGTCCTCCATTTACTTTCCCGCGACTGCAACACATTCAATCACTTTGCAAGCTTTCCAGATCGGTAGGGGTTCAAGATGAGCCTCATCTACCCTGCAGGTGGCGCTGTTGCCGCATTGGGGGTTGTTGGCCTTTGTACGATTCCCGACTCAGTCCCTGCTGCGATTCCGACCCGTCGCTAACGGATTGCTCCCAGATATGCTCTTCAATGGCGAGGGCGAACAATTCAACGTATGCAGCTGACCTCAAAACGGCTCGCTCTCCGTTCAATTCTGAGACTGATTCATGCGACCACAGGTCGGGCAATTCCTCGAGACAGTGTCTCCATACGTATGGGCAGATCTCGGTATCGGTCTTTGTATAGGTCTATCGGTCGTGGGTGCCGCATGGTAAGACTGCTACGGATTGCCCTTCCATCTTGCCTTTTGGGGGTGTCTGTATACATTGAAGGGTGCGCAAGGGTATTCTCCGGCATTGCTGACCCTCTTCTGTCATGTAGGGGCATCTTCATCACCGGCACATCTATCCTCGGCGGCGGCGTAAAAGCTCCACGGATACGAACGAAGAATCTCATCTCGATCATCTTTTGCGAAGTCGTGGCGATCTACGGCGTCATCATGTCCATCGTCTTTTCCTCCAAAATCAATATGGTACCTGAAGAATCACTATACACGGGACCGAATTACTATACAGGCTACGCCTTGTTCTGGGCGGGAGTGACGGTGGGGATGTGTAACTTGATCTGTGGCGTGAGCGTTGGGATCAACGGGAGCAGTGCAGCTCTTGCTGACGCGGCGGATGCGACTATGTTCGTCAAGGTGTTGGTGATTGAGATCTTTTCGAGTGTGTTGGGGTTGTTTGGGTTGATTATTGGGTTGTTGGTGAGTTCAAAGGCCGCCGAGTTCGAGTGACCGGGAGACTACGTGGTGGTGAGCGAACACATCAGTGCAAGGCTACGACGAGAGACCTGGATAAACAGGCCATATCTTGCTGTTGAAGCAAGCTGTTAGGACAGGCGCCGCCACACAAAGGAAGCTCTCGGCAAAAGGTTGAAGCTGGTGCCGCAGATTGAGATGACTACGGTGTTCATCACATTGGCTGGATGGGGAATGCTGGGATGATATTTGCACAAGTCCAGGCTAGACTCTGTATATTTACGCTTGGGGGAGGCATTGCTCTTGGGGTTTCAGGGCTGAACGTTCAAGCGACCCGAGGCAAGGCTGTGTCATGAGGACGGCCGACGCACGAACAGATGGATACTCGATTTTAAAAGCTAGAGATCAAGCCCGTCGTGATTTTCACGTTACGTTGCTTCAATGTCAATGAGCACAGTGGAATGTACGAGGTAGTCAACGAGTACCTCGTAATGCTTTGCTTTCACGGACTGAGTTGCGGGTGCGGGAGTTTGGGGGACGCACTGAGCCACCACATGCAGCCTGACTAGCCAGCCAACAGCCTCGCCAGCTCGCCAGAACATACGTCACTGTTTGGTTGGCTTTTTGGAGTCTCGCGGTCGAACCTCCAGGCTTCCGCCATGTCATTCGACATGACAGCTAAGAGGGTTCTGGAAGACCTCCATTTGCGGCTGCTTGCTTGTATGACCCTTCCTTTTCTTTAATTTCACTTTGGGGACAAGAGATTGTCGTAGGATGCATTGCTGGAGCGACTGCACTCGGGCAATTTTGCATGCCTCTCAGGACATCCGATTCGACTACGTGCAACTGTTTCCATAATCATGGCTCAGCTCGTCCATACGCTGGGACCTACGTGTGCCTTCTATGAGGACGAGCCTGATGACACTTCCAGCGACGGATTAATCCCCCCAAGGGTCAAAGCACAGTTCTTCTACGTATCCTCGCTCCCGATCGATGACCCTCTCTCTCCACTGCCACCAGTGTCTGCGGACAAGGCCACCGATCTTCCTCCACAACCGTTTTCGGTCCGGGACAATGCCGCCTTGGAAGAAGCATGGCTGACTTTTCAGAAAGGCGATGGAGGGCCTCAGGGTCAAGAAGGAGTGAGCAGAAGGAGGAATTTGGGACAAGAAGGAATATTTTCATTTTCCCAGCTCCGAGACGCCCCGGGCACCAAGGAGGATTCACAAGCAACGAAGTCCGGCTCGTCTAGAACGAAAGGTGTTTCGCGTGGGCGTGCAAAAGCCTGCCCAAAATCACCCTCATCAGGATCCGAGGTCATGCTGGAGCATGCACACAGCGGTTCTAAGGGCGACACTCAACCGGTTGATGCTGAAGAGTTGCGGGAAAATGCCGAGCTCCAGCAACAGCCCAGCAAGGACTCGAGCAAACATAAGAGGCGGTTTTCACCCTTTCATCGCCGACACAAGGAAGCAAAGGACAGCCGCGATGCTCTTCCCAGGCCTGCCGAACTTGCAGAGACGGGTCCACCTGGAACGCAGCCCTTACTGGACCCTTCTTCTGATATCAGCGGTCGACCATTTGCACGCGCGCCTAGTGGGCGCAATGTCAGTTCTGCGCTAACCTATGAACCTGGAGAGAACTATTCTGATGAATCAGCAGCCGAGTCGAGAAGTCGTTCTCGGAGTTCGGGTCGTCGTCGCAAGAAGGAAAAAGGAAACGAGAAAGCTTATGTCCCGGTCGGCGTATCTCGGTTGCACTTGGTCGAAATGCCGGATCTTGTCATGAAACCGATATATTGGTCCCCCATCAATGACACATCCAACGTGATTCGGGCCACTTGGTTCTACAAGGACACCATGTTACCTGTTCCAGCTGACGTGGCGAATCGTCTAGAAGTCGGCTATGAGTACATAAAGCCCTTTGGCCCCGCTTATCAAGAAGAATTACAGGCTTGCATCGATAATGGTGCTTCTGCGGAAATGAAGGTTGTGTACAAGCTGTGGCCTGACGAGCCGAAACCGAGCAGACCTTCCACTGCTTTGGACATGAAGGAAACGGACGAAAGCGACGGACAGCGGAAGGGGAGCAAGGATCTGCCAGAAATCATCCAGAATGCTGCTGCAGATCCTCGAAATACCCCAGACAAACGGCTCTTCGCGACTCACAGCGTCATCTACACGGATGCTCGGAATGCTCAAATCTTGAAGCCTAACCTGCTTCCTTCTATTTCACAGAATCGCCGCCCTTTGAGTTCCCTTCGGAAAGGGAGACAGATCGGCGTTGCAGTTGTCCGTGGGTTCGACCGCAAGGCGTGGCTGAAAATCCATCCCGATCCCAAAATGGACGCTAAGGCAGCTCATGCGAAGGTCGGAGCCTATATGTCTCAATCAGGAGATGCCACTACCCGAGGACGGCGAATGTCATGCGCAGCTTGCGAGCACGATAGCAAAGCGCCGAAGGTTACTGACCTTGTCTTTGTCATCCATGGCATTGGGCAAAAGCTATCAGAAAGAGTAGACAGCTTCCATTTCACTCACGCCGTGAATGGTCTGCGACGGGAATTCAATGTTGAACTGGCAAGCGAAGTCGTGAAAGGAAATCTGAGGCATGGAACGGGCATCATGGTCCTGCCTGTGAACTGGCGGTTGACTGTCTCGTTTGACGAGGATATGAAGGCTGCTTCCGAAGGCACCGAGAATAAATACGCCTTGAAGGACATCACTCCCGATACACTCCCTGCTGTCCGATCCATTATCAGCGACGTGATGCTGGACATTCCCTACTACATGTCACACCACAAGGAAAAGATGACCTCGGCAGTCATTAGGGAAGCCAACCGAGTCTACCGACTTTGGTGTCGTAATAACCCAGGATTTGAAGACTATGGCAGAGTACACCTGGTTGCCCACTCCCTCGGGTCAGTCATGGCCATGGAGATTCTCAGTCAACAGCCTACTCGACTTGGCAAGGACATGAAATTTGATCCCAAAAGGCCAAGCGAGAAGATCTTCGAATTTGACACGACCAACATGTTCTGCTGTGGGAGCCCTTCGGGCTTCTTCCTGCTTCTTCATGGCGCCAATCTGGTCCCGAGAAAAGGCAGGGACAAACCTGGTATGAAAGGGGAGGATCGTCAACCGGGGATTGCCAGCGAAGCAAAATACGGATGTCTCGCCGTCGACAACATCTATAATATCGTCCACAGAAACGATCCAATCTCCTATCTGCAAAACGCATCCGTGGATGAACTGTACGCGAAGTCCCTTCAACCGGCAGTTATACCCAGTGCTAGTGTCAGCTTCATGACACGCATCGGCCACAGCCTTCGATGGGCTTCGGGTACCACGGGTGATCCGTACTCTGCCATCGTTTCGCCAGCCCGTCCACAACTCACCCACCTGCCCAGCACTGTGGAACTGGAGACACACAATTTCACCCGCGAAGAAGTTGCCGAGAAACGTATGTATCTGCTCAATGACAATGGGCAGATTGACTGGTTCCTGTCGGCAGGCGCCGGTCCCTTGGAATTCCAATACTTGAACATGCTCAGCGCACATAGCAGTTATTGGATTTTACAGGACTTTGTGAGATTCTTGGTTGTGGAGATTGGGAGAGAGCCCGGGAAAAGTCATACGCTGCCGGCGCTCCGGGCTTTGAAGAGGCGCGAGTACAAGAGAGGCGATATTCCTTGAGTGGGTTTGGTTCTCGTTGCACAGGTGTCCGGATCAAAATCAGCATTGCATGGTATGTTCTCTGTGGGTTCGAGGCATGGTTTGACTCTCAAGGCGCTGCGGAATCCAGACCACAGCATCATATCACACAAGGACAAGGCTAGAGAAGCATAAAGTTACAGCGACGGATTTGGTGTCCCACGGCGTGTTATTCTTATGACATTGATACCCCTCTCTGCGCTCTGGTGGATAGATAGGCTGGGTACTGTACACCTCCGAATGCAACAGCTTTCGCCTCATCACGTCGACGCCTTCTCGTGACAGCTTCATGTAGTCTTTGCGTATATAATTTCGGGTCCCCCGGTTCTTTAGAGTCACTGTGAAATCAATATCCCAACACCATCCCGACCATCAGCGCCTCACACACGCCCCCGTCCTCAACGTATCCTTCCCTCTGAGGGAGAACCAACAATCCATTGGCACTCGCTAGGCTGCCTACCCGAGAACTCCGCTGCATGCCTGTGCTCCGCGCCACGAGCTTGCCGTCGTCTGGGTCCACCGAGACCAGCACGCGGTGGTACTCGACGCGGGCCTTGTCGCAGCGCACGCGGCCCTGGACGCGGACTTTGACCCGCGGGGCACCCTCGCCCGGCAGGCCCGTCATGTGCTGGATGCAGGGCAGCACGAAGAGGTTGGCCGTGACGAGCGCGCTGGCCGGGTTGCCGGGCAGGCCGAAGATGAGCCTCGTCTCGCGCCCGCCGCTGCTGGTGCTGGTGCTGGTGCCCGACGAGCCCTTGACCGGCACGCTGGCAAAGGTGGTGGGTTTGCCGGGCTTCATGTTGACGCGGCCGAAGTGGACGTGCCCGCCCAGGGCGCGCTCGACGGTCGGCTTCAGCAGGTCGAGCTCGCCCATCGACACGCCGCCCGTCGTGACGACCAGGTCCAGCTCGTGCAGCCGGAAGGCGTCGCGCAGCTTGTGCTCCAGCTCGTGGTGCGGCGTGTCGCGCGCGACGCCCAGGTCCACCACGGCCTCGCACATCCGCCACCCGCGCAGCAGCGTCAGCAGGGACGGCCGGTTCGAGTCGCGGATCATCCCGCCGCTCAGGGCTCCGTCGTACGTGACGTCCGTCACCTCGTCGCCCGTCGACATGACCCCGACCCGGGGTTTCCGGTGGACGGGGACCGTCTTGATGCCCGCCGCCGCGAGGACGCCGATCTCGCCGCCGAGGGCGCTGATCTGCGTCCCCTTGGCCACAATCACTTGGCCCAGTTGGATGTCGCTCCCGGGCTCGCGAATGTTTTCCCCTTCCACGAGTTCGTCCGTGAGGATCTCCACGCTGGCCTCCTCCTTCCCGTCTGGTGTGAGTGTGGAGATGACCGTGTCTTCCACCATGACTACTGCGTTGGCGTTTGCTGGTAGCGGCGCGCCGGTGGTGATCCGGGCTATCTGACCCTTTTGGAGAGGGGGTGGTAAGGATGACGCTTGGGCGTGCGAGACCGAGGCGACGGGGAAGACCCCCTTGATGCTCTGCGAGGTGGCCTTGTCGGGGACGATGACGGCATATCCATCCACTATGCTGGCGCGGTAGGCGGGGACAGCCTCTGCGGCTTTGATATCCTCGGCCGCCACGTAGCCTATCAAGTCAGGTGATACGTCTCTTATTTCGACTATGGGAGACGGTGCATTTTCGAGGATTTTCGACACGGCGTCTGACACGTTCAGCATTGGGTATGGGGATGACCGGTAGCGTGCCGTGGCACCGAGCCTGGGGTCGTTGGATTGTAGTTGAGGTCGCTCGGAGGGGGTGGTGTGAGCTTTGGGGATTTTGTGTCCTCCATGGCCACCCCCGCCTCCATGACTGTGGTCATGGTCGTGGTTATGATGGTGATTGTGGTCATGTCCACCAGTCGTAGCAGGGGGCCCCGCCGTCGCACTCGACGTTGCTGGTGTAGCACCGCCGGATGTTGATGGGCCAACTCCAGCCTCCTTCTCCAACTTCTTCACTCCTCCCACATGGGCAGCCCTAGAGTCCTGACCTGCAGCTTGCAAGCACGCGTGTGGCAATAGTTTCAACACAGCCTGTAGGTTCTCCTTGGCGCCCTTGGGCGACCCGGGCAGGGTGATAATGATAGATTTATACCTCACGCCCGCCACAGGCCGCGACATCATGGCAAAAGGCGTGATCTGGAACGAAGCAGATAGCATGCCGTGGACGATGCCGGGAGCGTGACGGTGGATCAGGGGCGTAATGGCTTCCGGCGTGAAGTCTCGTCGCGCGAAGCCTGTCCCTCCAGTCGTGACGACCAAGTTGACCACGCCGCCATTGGTGGCTTCATTCTCGGAATCTGTCCACCCGCGGACGACCCGTTGAATCTCCAGCACATCGTCCTTGACGATCTCAAAAAGTGGCTCGCTCCATTTCCCGGCGCCGTCGTCCGAGAATACGTCCTTGAGGATGGGGATGGATTTGTCGGTTGATGGATCGGCTGCCGCAGTGTCGGAGACGACCAGTATGGCGGGACGGAGGAGAGGCGCTGAGCTCATTGCTGCGATGTGAGTTCCCCGAGCCGTCCAGCCAGATATTCGTCGAACTTCAGGATCATGGGAGGAGTATAGAAGTAATGATAGCTGAATCGAGATGACGGAGAAAGTGATGTCCAGGGTAATTGATCCGGCCTTCGGAAATACGATGATCCGGGATGACCTCGCACGGGCTTCATCTCCACCACCTTTCACCATCCATCACCTCCAACACCTCCACCTCTTGTCCCCCTTGTCGCTTGTATGTGTAATACAAACCCTGTCGACCCTTTGCCGAGAAGCTTGCGAATACGTCGTCTGCGAGAAATGGCACTATCCATCTGCCTGCAAGCTCATTGAATCCCCCACTCTTCTTCAACAATATCGCTGCCTGTCCTGGCCAGTGGTAAGTATCTACACACACATGTGAGCATACAATATTCTTCCTCTTCTTTGTTGCCATCCAAGAGCCTGCCCTTGATTAGCCAATCATTAGTCTCCCTTGTTGGAGCCTTGTCAATTCTCACACAGACCTGAATTGGACTTGCTGGACGATCCATATCATGGACATTGTCTCGCCACAAGCTCCTTTCTCCTTCCCTCCCGTTGGCGCGGGCCACACGAACCTGACAGCCGCATGTCTCTCCTCAACTCTCCCGAGGCCAACTCTGTTCGGCGGAGAGATACTCAGCGTTACCTCTTCGCTGGTAGCCAACTATTCCGCAGCGTTTTGGTATCCACCAAACTTCTTCAATTCGGACCCGCCACTCTACGGCGAAGACAGCAACCTCGACTTCTGCAATGTTACCGTGACGTACACACATCCTGGTCAAAACGACACGGTCAACGTGATTGTGTGGCTTCCCCTTTCGGTGTCGGATGAGGTTCATGTCGGTACCAATGACCACGGACCAGATCATGCCGGGGCTAGCAACAAAGGAACATCCCCATCTTGGAACGGCCTCCTCCTCTCCCAAGGCGGCGGCGGCTTCTCCATGTGCCTCCCCGGCTTCATCTCTCATGCGGCCCTTTCGCAAGGCTATGCCATCTCGCGCACGGACGGTGGTCATGAACCGCAAACCTTCAGCCCTGAGCAGCCCGAGACGGAGACGTGGGCCATGCTCTCTCCGGGAAACGTCAACTTGTACCTCCTCCAGGATTTCGCCTCCGTCTGCTTGCACGATATGGCCGTCATCTCCAAATCCATCGTCACCTCCTTCTACGGCGTGGCCCCGAAACACAGCTATTTTCAGGGCTGTTCCACCGGTGGGAGACAGGGCCTGATGCTTGCGCAACGCTATCCGGGGGACTATGACGGCATCCTGGCGGCCGCTCCCGCGATATACTGGCCCAAGTTAATCGTCATGCACTATTTCGCGCACATGATGATGCATTCCCTCAAGGCGTATCCTCCGGCGTGTGAGCTCGAGGCGATCACGAAAGCCGCGATCGAGGAGTGCGACGAGTTGGACGGGGTCAAGGACGGGGTCATCTCGAACGAGGAAGACTGTGAATTTGACCCGTTCACGCTCGCGGGCAAGGAAATCCCCTGTAGGATGGAGTACGCCGACGACGTCGATGAAGACGAGGACGAAGGTGACGACGAGCAGCGCCGGCAGCGAGCAAATCACACGGTCATCAGAGTCGGCTACGCGGGCCCGCACATCGCGTGGCACCTCTGGGGCGCCGCCCCGGGCTCCCTCCGCGAACCCAACTGGCACCGCCTGACGCACTCGACGCCCCTGACGTCCTTCGCCGCCACGACCTGCTTCCGCAAAAACAACACCTGCGTGGCCAACCCGAGCCCCTTGATGCTCGACTGGATCCGGCTCTTTCTCTACAAGGACCCCAGCCTCACGGCCGCGGACCTCGCCGAGCGCATCACGCTGCCCGAGCTCGGCCGCCTCTTCGCCCAGTCCGAGGAGGAGTACCACTCGTTCCTCGCGACCAGCAACCCGGACCTGAGCGCGTTCCACCGGCGTGGCGGCAAGATGATCACCTGGCACGGCACGAGTGACGAGGCCATCATGCCGGGCCAGACGCAGCAGTACTACGACGAGGTGCTGCGCCACGCAGGCACCCCGCACTCGGGCATCGACGGCGAGGTCAGGGACTTTTACCGCATCTTCCTCGCCCCGGGCGTGCAGCACTGCGGTGGCGGGGAGGGCGCCCTGCCCGTCGACGTGCTGGGCCAGCTGAGGCGGTGGGTCGAAGAAGGCGTCGCCCCGGACGTGCTCCACGGAGAGAGCTTCACCCGCCGCCACGGCGACAAGATCCGCAGGCCGCTGTGCCGGTATCCGCTCGTGGCGAGGTACAAGGGCCACGGCGACGCGAAGAAGGCAGAGAGCTTTGAGTGTGCGACCTCGTTCTGAGCACGTGGGTTTCGAAATGTCTGGGATATTATAGTGTCGGTGGTTTGAGCTGGTTGATATAGTCGGACGGCGGTGTGGACCGTCGACCCCATGTGGTGGTTGAAAAGCAAAGATACAGGTAAACAAAAGGGTCAATCAAGCACATCCTGGTCTCCTCGAGCACAACGCGAATTTGCCATGTTACGTGTATAATTTACATTTTCCATCCTCACCGGCCATGTCCCTTGGTCCTCGCAGAGCTAGAGAGGGCTCGATAAGCAGGTATGTAACAAAGATCCTCTCTCTGTAATATCTCACATCCCAGATCCAATGCGGAGAGCTGGTATATATACAAATATACATTTTGAGCGGGTGGAACATCACTCGAATTTGCCCTGTACAGCCGAATTTCGGTTCCGCATCCCCGCCTGTTGGGAATGCCCATGCTGTATGCAAACACCTTTTAATCATGCATGAGCTTTTTCATGATCTCTCCTCTCTTTCCAAACTCCTTGCTGCTAAAATGTCACATTGCGTGCACCTGCACCGTGCAAAAGACGCCTCCTCTTTCATTGGTTTCCAGAATGTAATACATTCACGAAAAGAAGTAAGTGCTGTCCTTCAGCCTGTTGACATCAAAGTCACCCCTTTTAGGCACAGGTCGGAACTTGATGGGCAGCCACAACCATATTTGGTTGTTCTGGCTCTTCTGGCCAGTCTTTCTCTTTTGTGTTCGGAGCCTCTGCCCGAAGGCATTTACAGCAACTTGGTGTGCCTTTGCGACTGGGTCCGATGGGGTTACATCGTGCATGGTATCGCCGGCCTTGCCGATGTCGATGGTGTCTTCGTCATTGTCGTTGGCGACCGAATCTCTCAGCGGATCCAAAGTGCTTGCTAGGTCGATGTCATCAGACACTCCGCTCGCGTTGAGGGCTGCATCCACAATCTCCTCTTTGGCACAATCCATAGTCTCGGGGATAGCGCCGATGGCTGTCTCTCCCAAAGAGTCACGATGAAACAAATACTTATCTCCATCGTATTGGTCGTATAGACTGGCCGCTGTTACCATCCGCTCGCCCTCCTCCTTCTGTTTAGGATCATCACTGGCCATTAATTTCTTCTTTCGGATTTCTCGCAACAATTCAGCATGCCGTCTTTTCTGGATGCTCTTCAACCCATTCCCTGCAGGAAAGACTCCTTCGGCGACCATCTGCCTACGGTACTCGGTGATGGCTTTCCCAAGCATATTGGACTTGTTAATTTGCGCCAAGTAGAAATGACCGTCGTACCGCTTGTTGAATTCGGCCGCAAGCCGCCCGATGATGTCGTCGCTATGCATTCGGATGAAAGCATCTCGCAAGAGTTCATTGAGAGAATTGACATCGGCAGCGTGAGTCCAGAAACTGTCGTGCACGGCAGAGAAACTGAGCCCAAGTTCGTTGGCCTTCAAAGCCGAGAGGACCATATGCGTCGCATCAAGGGAATGGATGAAGTTCGGAGGGAATGCCTGCAACTGCTTTCTCTTGTTGACAGCGTCTGCAACACTCGGTTGGGCCAGTGTGATGCTCTGGAGATTGGTTTGGATCGTCAATCCCTTATTGATGCGATAGGGCTGCACCACAGGCAATTTGAGAGGTGTGGTCCAAATGACCGGTGACCGGAATGCTGCTGACTCCAATACCTCCTTGCCCTTGGCTTTGCTTCGGCCTGATCGTTCTTTAGCCTTCGGCACGCCAGAGGCTTCCTTTTCGTAAATTCTTTCTTGCTGTGCGGGCGAGATCGAGGAGCTGATACGGTTGGCACAATCGCCCAACCAGTACTGGATTTCGTGGGCTCCAGTGAACAGTGCACCAAGACCTCTGAAGATCTTTCTTGCAATGTACGTCGATGCTTTGCCTGAAAGCCCAGCAGCCTCAACTTCCGGGATCAGGACTTCCACCTGTTTTCGCACCTGGCGAATCGCGCCAAGGAAGGTGACCCCGTAGACGTTAGTCATGACCGTCTGCTTGACCACTTTGCGTGTAACTTTGTCGTCAAGCAGTTTTGCCAGCGAGTCACCCTTGGCCGCGTCTTCCTTGATTTCAGCCTTGACTAGCTCGCACACACCGCTATAAACGTCGGCAGGCTTGTCGCCCGGTTCTAAGTTGACTTGCCGGGCTCCAGCGAGGTCCCCGCCTAGGGCAGCGTAATGCTGCAGTCCATTGCACGAGCCATCTTGATGAATTGGCAGTCTGGAAACGAACTTCGTAGGGTCGGGGTTCGCGAGAGCGTTGGTCAATTCGAAACAAGTGGCTAGACATTGCCACGGATCCTCCGCGGTGAGCCACCAGCGTCGTCCATTGAGAGGGTTATTGACGGAGTCGTAAATGTCGTCCAGGTGGTCCATGGGAAACTGGGCACGGTCAGACAAACTAGCCTTGTCGTATCCGTAAACATTGGCAAGATGGATTTTCAGCCAGCGCAGTCCGTCGTTGCCCAGCTCACGGCCTTTGTCAAACAACAAGAGGCCTCGACAATTATCGGCACCCATTTGATTGAGATAGGGTGGAATAGGATAGGCACGCCCGCGGAAGTCGATATTATGCGGCAAATAGAACGTCTCATTGAGGTAGGCCTTTGCGATCTCCATCTGGAAATTCTGAAAGCACCGATTCGAATGGATGCCTGTTCGCTCGTTGTCCATTGCGCGCATCTTGGAGAACCACTCCCAGCGCTCCTTTTGCGTGGCATTCTCACCAGGTCGTTCGATTTCAGGGAAGACTTTGTTGAGAGGCGGGAGGTTGGCGACCTCTTCGCCGCTATTCCAGGCCTCGAGCATGATGGAGAACACGTCCTTGTTGATCCGCCAGCCAGTCTTGCCAAGGACGTCAACCCCAGCAAATAGCTGGTCCAGATCACCTCGGCTTGCAGCAGCGATGCCGTAGTCCTTTTGCGCGGTTTCGTTCTGCTTGATTCGGAGAAATGGTTGCTTGGACTCCAGAAACCCTCCATCGTAGAAGCCTTTCCAGGGTTTGGGCGGGCACACCATGGGTAATTGCTTGGCAATCAGATGTTCTGCGGGTTCGCTAACTAGAAGCTTGACAAACTCTTCATGCAGGGACACCATACCCACCTTTCGGCCATTATGATAGGTAGTGGAATGCAGAAAGACAGGCTGAGGCATTGAAAGTGCAGCTCCGGTGTTTGGGTCCTTTCTCGTGATCGTGATCTTGGCAGTCTCGAACATAAGTTCACAAAGTACAGCCCCGACCTTCCCGTGTATTGCTTTGGTCCACTCTTTACTGTACACAAACGGTCGAGCAGCATGGTGAGATGAGCGTCTATGCAGATGCGAGGATAGCGTTGCTTCATGCTCGAATGGGGATTCGATGATTCCTTGTCTCTTTGCCTTGCGCATGGCATTTCTTTCCCGATTGATGTTCGTCGCGTTGTATTCATTTTCGAGAGTCTGTCCCAGTGAAGTGACCAGCCGGACTAGCTTGACTGATTTCGAAGCGCCCACCTTGCTCATGATCTGCATCAAGGCGATGGAGGTGACAGCAGCCACATGCTCCGGAGGTAGCAGCTCAAGAAATGGCGAGCACTCGGCTCTGAGTTTCTGCTGTGCTGACTTTGGACCAGCCAGTTCATCCTCTTCCCTAGCTAGCTTGATCTCCTGCTTGATCTTTTCAGCCATTATCTCATGCCATTGCCAAAGTAAAGCTCCAATTTCGCCATGAGCGAGATCCGTGGGCAGAATCCCTATGCTAGCTCTTTTCTGGAATTCGGCCTTCCACCGGTCGAGAGCGGATTGGATTGCGTCTCTCTCCAGCCGTCGTTGCCGTTGTGTAAGGGGGTCTTCTTCCGACCTTGTCTCGACAATGTTTTCCGTCTGTTCGGAGAAGAGAGACAGCGAGCGTCTAAGCGAAGACAAACCCAATCCCTTTTGTTCTGTTTCTCGAACATGGACTTGCTCTTTCTCCATAGATTCGGTCCGCACTGAGTCTGGCGGTAGGGTGTCGGGAAAAGGCTCCGCCTGACGGGCGGTAACTTCGATTGTACAGATTTCAGAGAGTTTCCCAAGATCTCTGTCATCCAGAACATCTCGCATACTCAGAACCTTGCTCTCCAATTGGTACTTTTTGGTCATATCCCAGTAGCGGCGTACTGTCCGGTCTCTTTTCGATCCAACCAAGGTCTCCAACGCCGCCTTTAATTTTAACGCAAAGGTATGAGCGTCTGGTTCCAGGTCCGCTTTTCTCATGTGCACCTCAATCCATTCATTTATCTGTTTTTCATGATGGGTATTGCGGCTCCATATGAGATCGTCCACCATAGCGGCAAGAACGCGGTTGAATGAGTTTCTCAATCGAGCGGGATTATTTTGACAGAAGAGGCTCAACTGTGACAGGAGTGTGAATGCCCGATCCCACCGGTGGACTTGGAGACAAGCGTCTAGGGTGGCCTCGATCTCATCAATATTCCTCAGCTTGTTGTTGCCCGCATTGCTCTCGAGGTGATCTTCGAGCAGCTCAGCGGCGTCGAGCATCAATATCTGAGAGAGGTCGAAAGGAGAAAGGTCACTTTTGGAAGATCGATGCGGGTTCTGTGTTATAGGATATTCTCGGTTGCCATAGGTGAAAGGGATATATTCATCGCTGCGGTCAAAGTTTTCGTGTGCGGACGCTGGGGAGGCGAGATGTCTAGACTGGGTGATAGGCGCAGGCAAAGTTTTTGGGCGCGACACCGTGGGACGTGTGGTTATTGATCTGTGCTTGTGTCTGGCAGTATACGGTTGAGCGAGGGCGGGACACAGCCACGGTAACTGTATTCTTTCTGCCGCCTGTTGGACATATTGAAGGGCATGCTTCGAGTTGGCCGCAGCTCGCGTGCGCAGCATTGCGCAAAACCAGATGCAAGACTGCTCGAAGAAGCTGCAATGATAGGATTTTCAATGAAATCTATCATCACAGAGGCCCTCCGCAGCGCCCAATGGATGGAAAAGGAGTCTTGAGGTGATGGTACAATCTCGTCGATGGACAGAACATGGAGTGACTTGGAGCGCATGGCAAAAAATCATTTTGGGTTCAGGAGCACCTGCACCTGCCAGCATTGGGCGGAGCTTTGCCGGTGGAGCCCGAGCTCACGTGCCCTCTACAAATCAGCCAATAATGTTAATGGACTCTACTACTCGGCCCCACCTCCTGGTGAGTGGGAAAAAGGGCTCTCAGGGTCCAATACCTAGTATGGAGTACAACTGCTACTCTCTCTCTCAACCCATTCCCAAGATGACCGCCAACAAGCGCGTCAGAGTGGGAATAATAGGCTGCGGCGAGATTACACAGGTGGCACACATCTCGACCTTGGGTTTCCTCTCTGATTTCTTCACCGTCACGTACTTGTGCGATGTATCAGCAGAGTCTCTGAGGCACAATGCTCAAAAGGTTATCAACCACATCCCCCAAACCACGCAGAATCCGACCGAGCTTTGCGCTTCACCAGATGTCGACCTGGTCTTCATAGCGAGCTCTGATGAGTACCATGCCGTGCATGTGATAGAGGGCTTGAGGCATGACAAGCATGTTTTTGTTGAGAAGCCAATGGCGCTGTGCGTAAGGGATGCTGATGCTATTATCGAGGCAGAGGGCAAATCCAAAGGTAAAGTGATGGTGGGATACATGCGTCGGTACGCTGCAGCCTTTGAGGACATGACCAAGGAGATCGGCGGCATGGATAAGATTCTGTACGCTCGAGTTAGAGGTATAGAGCTCTCCTATCTCGGGTGACTAGGGGCACAAATGCTGAATGGCGGCCATTTTTGAACAGATATAATCGGTCCCAACAGCCACTTTGTCGCACAATCGGGCACATTTCCAAAAGTCTTCACGGACTTCACACCCGAATCCGTGCAAGACAGAAGTGACAGGGCATCAGAAATAGTACATCAAGCATTATCAGTCGAATGTGGGTTACCAATCAATCCCGAATCCACGAGGATGTGGCGACTGCTGGGTGGTTTGGGCTCTCATGACTTGTCGGCAATGAGAGAAGCTCTTGGGATGCCAGAACGTGTCATTGGGGCGTCCATAAACCTCCCATTCTGGAGGTATGCTTGTTCCCCCCAAAAGGAATAACCGTATCTTGTGTTGGGCTGTAGTTCACTGACGTGCACAGTGCAATGCTGGAATATCCCACTTTCTCGGTAACCTATGAATCTGGGATCGACAATGTTCCTCGTTTTGATGCCCATATTGAGGTGTACAGCATGACAAAGTCTGTTCGGGTCAAATATGACACCCCCTATATCAAGGGTTTGCCGGTGACCATGGTTGTCTGCGAAAACGTCGATGGAGTATACAGAGAGTCGACTGTCAAGCGGACCTATGAAGATCCTTATACCTTGGAAATGAAAGAACTGTACCAGATGGTTGCCGACGGAAAGGAAGTGAAGACCACTGCGAAGGATGCAAAGATGGATCTGAGGATTTTTCAAATGATCATTAAGGCCGGGACTAGGCCCTAACCTTAGACTGGGTAATAATCTTAGGGGTATCATAATTGCCTCGCAAGCCTGCAGGATCGTTCTCTCTAGAGCAAGAAAAGAAAGGGCCAGCATCTCCACTGCCACCTACGGGCAGGCCACCCATGTAGACAGGATGAGCGGGCTGCTTCGAGGGTTAGTCGCCAAGGGGTATCGAGTCTGCAGGCGGATTTTTCCTCGGTCGTCCTCTCTTCTTTGGAGGATCGCTGGGGCCCGGCTTTGTGGCTGCTGAAATAAGGTTCCTTCTGGACGGTGGAAAAGGAGCAGCAGGCTCTTGCTTGATCTGAATATCGTCCGCCGTGTCCTTTCGTGTCGCCAAATCCTCGTCTGGAAGATCGTCATCTGTAATATCTGGGCTACTCAGGTCGCTGTCCTCGCTCATTCCAAGCAGCGGACCGTGACTGCTTGATGCTGCCCCGCTTGCCTCCTTCTGGCGTTGTCGCTTCTCTTCCTCGGCCTTCTTCCTTCGAGCGCGCTCTCGTTCTCGTCCCCGTAACTTTGCCAACAAGCCCTTCTTGCCATCCTCTCGGGGCGCACTCATTTTGTCCAACCAGTCACCGTTGCTGATACAGCTCTGAAGTTTGGGAAGGGTTTGCATTGGATCCGAGACGAGGCGCATCTGCGAGTCGAGCGCCGCCTTAGCAGTGGGCTCGTCCTCATCCACCCATTTATAACTCTGCCACTGGTCCGTCTGGATGTCTCGCAGTTGTCTCGCGTTGTCATTCATGGTACGGTCCTTCGTATCGTCCTTGGTCTCTCTGATTTTGATCTCGATGGCTTTCGACTCTACCTTTGGTGCAGGCGGCTCCAAACCAGGCTTTTGGCGGGACGAACCAGTATTACTACCCCCTGCAAATCGTCTCTGGTTGGTTTCATCTTCAGCATCAATGTGATGAAGCTGAGGCCGCATTTGCACAACAGCGTCCAAGTAGGATAAGTGGATCTGGTTTTGGTGGAAGCACCCTACCAGGTAAACGGGATCGCGAGTGCTCTGGATGGGTATTTTGCCCCCCAGGGTTTGAGTTTCAAGCCGCGGCGCAGGTGCGGCATATTGATCATGCATAGGAATATCTTTCAGTCTGGTTTGTGCTGTGCCCGCCCCAAAGCCACCGGCCAGCCCAAATGAACCTCCCGCATTGATGGTGCGGCTCTCTGCCACGGCTTTCCCAAATCTTTCGCCGGCAACTTCACTGTAATATTTTTGGCCCATAGGGATGTCGACTTCTATGAAACCAGCTTCTGGTTTGAGACGAAGAGCAGTTGGAGTTTGCGCCATTGTGGCATTGTATGGTTTGTGGTAAGGGCGGTGGGATGGATACTGGAGGAGATACAACTTGGAGGAATCTCGGGCAACTGACGAGTTGCTGTTGGTCAAGCAGACATCGTAGGAGGCAATGACAGGATCATCATCGTCGGCCATGATGGCTGGAATGGGGGCCGCGACGACACGGTCTGCGTGCTCGTGTCTGGAAGAAGTACCTAGTCCTCTATTGCGAAAATTATTCTCGGGCCATCAAGCTGCGCAACAAAATGATCTGCGAATGACGCGCGCCAAGGCTGCACAGATTCACTGCGCGGCTCATGCAAGGCTGTGGCCCTGCAAGGCTGCCACACATTTGGATTTGCCGCTCACGGCACTCGGTGTTAGCACGCAATTCTTTGTCTACACCTCCACTACAACCAGCATACATTTCGAGGCGAGTAGATTTGATCAAGATACCGAGGCTACTCAGACGTCAATCACTGTTGAATGTGCATGGTCAATGTTCCACGCAAAGAATACGAGAAATCGTTTCGCCCGTCTTTCCAGCTCGGCGACCACATACTCAGAACGGCACGCCCTTGAAGTTATAACGGTAGGAACTGGTAGTTATTGTCTCATTTACTATTCATATTACTCATCCGTCTGTGTCCCGACCTTTTTTCCTTTCTTAGAAGGACTGGAGATACCCTCCAAATTTGTCTGACATGTTCCCTGCATGCGTTGTTGTCCAGAGATGTTGGATTGGGATGGCCTCCCAAACACAGAAATACCACTCTTCCAGCAATCCCACCATGTGTCTGGTTTAGGCAAGTCTATCTCTTTTGTCAATTGTGTCCGATCTTTCCTTCGAAACCGTCACTCCGTCGCCGTCACGAACCATGGGCACACGATGTCGCAATCGGGAGGCGACCAATCAGAATGGCGGTAGAGCGAATGACGAGACCGACAGCCGTAGCAGCAAAAATTTGAGAGGCGGCTTTTGCGTACCGGCGGTGATCGAGGCTCTTGTGGAGGCATGAGGAAGCGGAGAATGGTGCAGCAGGGCAATATTGCTTCAAGTATTACAATTCGGTCGATTCCTCTTCCTCCTGCTCTGCTTTTCTTCGACCTTGTATGCTTTGTTTACCGTCGCTCTCTTAGACCACCAAACAAGCGACAAGCGACATGGGGTCCGTTACTAGCCCCGCAGAAGCTGGTATGTATCTATCGATCATGGTTTCCCCGCTCCAACTGAATTTTTGGGCGTCTTGGTTGGCGAGCTGCAAGCACTGACATACCGGTTGTTGGACAGTTGCGAGGATCGCCTACCTCGCCAGCGATGTCGTTCTCTCCGTCCAGCCTTCGCTGAGCACCGATTCCGAGTTCTCATATCATTTCTCTCGATTTATTACCAACAATGCAAAGAACTTCGTCTCCAAATCCCTCCCCGAGATCGTTCCTGTGCGCCAGAATGCAGACCCGCTGCTCTCTGCATACACGCCCCTCCAGGCCGGCAAATTGGTCTCGGTGACGGCTCCCTCCTCCATTCTGTTGAACTCGGTACCGCATTTGTACAAACTCGCCCAATATCCCGTTGTCCTGCATGTGGCGCTCGGAACACCTCAGCCAGACTTCTCAGAGATTAGCTCCATTAGACAATGCGGTTTTACCTTTTTGCAGTCGGAGACACTCCAAGAGGCGCAGGATATTGCATTGACGGCTCATGCTCTGGCAGTGAGAAGTGGCAAAGGAGTTATCCATTTCTACGACCCTAGCAATTCCGTCCAAGACAATCCAATCGCAATCGAAAGTCGCGAGCTGGTTCAAGCACTTCTTGGGACTGGTATTAAAGCTTCACACACGGGTGAAACCGAACAGACGCTTTATGCCAGTAATGGAAGGACTGCCACCGTCACTGATCTTGGTCTACCAGAAGTTTCTCCCCCGCAAGCATCTGCACCGGCGACGAGAGAAGCCCTGTCCCCCGTTGCCGCTCCTACGTCAACCAATGGACAGACGGATTTGTCCTCGGCAGCTTCATCGTCTTCGCGACGACAGAGTTCCTCGGGCAGCATCGCGCCATCATCGATTGCGACTACCGTCGAAACCCCGGTATCTCGTCCCGTGAGCGCGACTGACATATTTAATTACGTCAGTGAGATATGGGCCGCTGTCTCTCATATAACAGGTCGCAGCTATTCTGCAATTGAATACTCAGGACCCCCGGATGCCGAGGCAGCTCTATATATCTTTGGCTCAACTGGAGTATTTGTCGACGTTCTCGACGCCGACGATGTCCCAGCCGATCTTTCAGGTCTCGGTATAATCACCGCGCGGCTATACCGCCCATGGCTTGGGAGCGCTGTTCTTCTGGACTCCATCCCGAAAACGATCCAGAAGATTGCGGTACTTGAGCAGATCAGAAGGAAGACTACGAAATGGGGCCCTGCGTTTCTTGATTTGCTATCAAGTTTGAACCCTGGTGCTGGCGGCCAAAGTGCAATCTCTCTGGTCCAATACAGACTCGGCCAAATTGATGCATCAACAGCACTACAGGCACTCCGAGGCATTTTCCAAAACCTCGCCCCTCCTGTTACACCCCGAAAACACTCTCGACGTCGCGGTTATTCCCAGGCTGCGGCCATTTCAATCCAGAATCTCAGCATTGGCCACGAGCTAGAACCTACGATTGACAGCTTCACCCCTGAACAGCCCGAGGTGGAGAATTCTTATCTCAAAATCCTTGACCAGTTGTTCAGCACCCGACTTTACATTGCCAATTTGCTCGACAAGAAGAATGCAGGCGTCTCCTCCACTGTCGCAGCATCGCCCGAGTATGGGTTTGGCTCCTTGCTTGCCCGAACTGAACGGCGGCAAGAATTCGTAAAGGAGGTGGAAGGGGCTGCGCGCAGCAATCAGTTCATCACGGAATCTCCCAAGCAATGGTTGTCACGATGGGCATTGAACGCCAATGACTCGGTGAAAGCAAACGAAATTGCACCGGAGGTGGTTGCACGTTTGTCCACAGATGGCTCAAGGCTCGCCAATTCACTCCTCGACCAAAAGGCTTTCTTTTTCAAGGAATCACAGTGGCTGATCGGCTCCGATGCTTGGGCATATGATCTGGGCAATTCTGGAGTTCATCATGTTCTTGCCTCAGGTGCCAACGTGAACTTGCTCATCATCGACTCGGAACCGTACTCAGAACGAGCTGCATCAGATGCAATGAGGCGCAAGAAAGACATTGGTCTCTATGCCATGAACTTTGGTAATGCCTACGTTGCCTCAGTGGCCGTATACAGTTCTTACACACAAGTACTGCAAGCGATGATTGAGGCCGAAAGATTTAATGGCCCGTCGGTCGTTTTAGCTTATCTCCCATACAACAAGGAAACCGATTCACCTTTGACGGTCCTGCAAGAAACGAAGAAAGCCGTCGACATGGGTTATTGGCCATTGTACAGGTGGGATCCGTCTAATGAAGATAAGGGAGAGCCTTCATTCTCGCTCGATTCCGAACGCATAAAACGGGAGTTGGAGGAATTTTTGCGCCGCGACAATCAGCTTACACAGGTGATGAACCGTCATCCTCAATTTGCTGCTAGCCTTTCAGAATCGTACGGCTCTGAAGTCCGCAAGCTACAGAAACGCAAAGCGAAGGACGCGTACGAACAGATGTTGGAGGGCTTATACGGAGCGCCATTGACGGTCTTGTTCGCTTCTGACAATGGTAATGCTGAAGGTCTGGCCAAGAGACTGGGCAACCGGGGAAAAGCTCGAGGCTTGAAGACTATGGTGTTCGCCATGGACGACTACCCGCTTGAGGACCTTCCAAACGAGGAGAATGTGGTGTTCATCACCAGCACAGCCGGACAAGGTGAATTCCCGCAAAATGGTCGGACATTCTGGGAAGGTATCAAAGACGCTGCCGACCTCGACCTTTCTAATATCCACTACTCAGTCTTTGCGCTTGGTGATAGCCACTACTGGCCACGAAAGGAGGACAAGATTTTTTACAACAAGCCTGGAAAAGATCTGGACACTCGTGTTCAATTCCTGGGGGGCAAGCTGTTGACCGCTATTGGGTTGGGTGACGACCAGGACCCGGACAGCTTCCAAACCGGCTACCAGGAGTGGGAGCCCAGACTCTGGCAAGCACTCAACGTTGCCAACGTGGAGGGTCTGCCAGAAGAGCCACCCCCGTTGACCAACGAAGACATCAAGATTGCTTCGAACTATCTCCGAGGCACCATTGCGGAAGGACTTGCGGATACATCCACCGGTGCTATCTCTGCGTCGGATCAGCAGCTCACCAAGTTCCACGGCACCTATCAACAAGACGACCGCGACTTGCGCGATGAAAGGAAAGCGCAAGGTCTTGAGCCAGCCTATTCATTCATGATCAGATGTCGCCTGCCGGGAGGTGTCGCTACTCCCTCACAATGGGTTCAGATGGACGCGATTGCTTCGGCTCATGGCAACGAAACCATCAAGCTGACCACAAGACAAACGTTCCAATTCCACGGAGTCATCAAGTCGAAGCTCAAGCCAGCCATGAGAGCAATCAACAAGGCCCTCATGACGACGATCGCGGCTTGTGGTGATATCAACAGAAACGTCATGTGCTCGAGTTTGCCGACCTTGTCTGAGTATCACCAGGAAGTCCACGCCGTTTCAAAGAGGATCTCCGACCATCTCTTGCCCTCAACCACGGCCTACCATGAGATTTGGTTGAAGGACGACACCACTGGCGAGAAAACTCAAGTCGCCGGCGATGCTGTGCAAGATTTCGAGCCCCTCTATGGCCCAACCTATCTCCCACGAAAGTTCAAGATCACCATCGCCATCCCTCCTCACAATGACACTGATGTTTATGCTCATGATGTCGGCCTGATCGCAATTCGATCCAAGGACAACGGCCATCTAGAGGGGTTCAACATCCTCGCCGGAGGCGGCATGGGTGTGACACACAACAACAAGAAGACTTACCCTCGACTGGGATATATGATGGGTTATGTCCCTGCCGACGTGGCACACTTGGTGTGTGAAAAGATCATGCTCGTGCAACGCGACAACGGCGACCGGAAGAACCGCAAGCACGCACGGTTGAAGTACACCATGGACGACATGGGCAACGAAGTCTTCAAGGGGAAAGTCCAGGAGCTCCTCACCCCGCTGGGCATCACCTTTGACGCGCCACGGCCGTACAAGTTCGAATCGAACATCGACACATTTGGCTGGCTCCGCGACGAAAAGGGCATGAACCACTTCACCTTCTTCATCGAAAACGGCCGCGTGGAGGACACGGCGGACTTCGCCATGCGGACGGGACTGCGAGAGATCGCCAAGATCCACCAGGGCGAGTTCCGCCTCACGGGCAACCAGCACCTGATCCTCTCCAACGTGACCGACGAGGCCAAGCCGGCCATCGTGGAGCTGATGAAGAAGTACAAGCTGGACAACACGCAGTTCTCGGGCATGCGGCTGTCCAGCTCGGCGTGCGTGGCGTTCCCGACGTGCGGCCTCGCCATGGCCGAGTCGGAGCGGTACCTGCCGACGCTGATCAGCAAGCTCGAGGCCTGCCTGGAGGCCAACGGGCTGGCGCAGGACTCGATCGTGATGCGCATGACGGGCTGCCCCAACGGCTGCGCGCGCCCGTGGGTCGCCGAGGCCGCCTTCGTCGGCAAGGCCTACGGCGCCTACAACATGTACCTGGGCGGCGGCTACCACGGCCAGCGCCTGAACAAGCTGTACCGCAGCAGCATCAAGGAGGACGAGATCCTCGACATCATGCAGGGCCTGCTGGCCCGCTACGCCAAGGAGCGCACCCAGGGCGAGCGGTTCGGCGACTGGACCATCCGCGCCGGCGTCATCAACGAGACCACCGAGGGCAAGAACTTCCACGAGAACACCGCCGAGGAGGAGAGCGATGCCGAGTAACAAAAAGAAGGGGGGTGAATGCCTCGGTCAGCGGATCTGTGTGGAGATTGTGAGCCTGATCTTGCAGGCGACGTTGATTTTTTTCCAGATTGGTAACTTTCGTGATAGCTTTGCATAGCATGGGCGAGGCTTGGGATTCGAGTAGATATAGCAAAAATTTCATCACATTGTGCCGATGAGAGGAAGTGCAAAGTAGCGAAAGGCGATGACCAAAACATAAAGAGCCCTAAAGCCGTGCTCCTCATACGGGACAATATTTGGATCCTGTTAGGTCTGTCCTCTGGCATATCTCCTAGATTTCTTCGCTCTCTCTGAGCATTATTCTATCTTCTGACATCTTTCTTCTAAATGTGATTATCCCCATAGTATTGCTTGAGATTGCGCCCTCCGTCTCATATATACAGACTTCCAACATTATGGCACCCCAACCCCCGTAGCCTGTACGTATATAATTGTTGGCGTATATGCATCCAGAAAATCAAGCCTTCTCAAAACACATCACCCCGTACCGAAACGTGCCATTGCTGTACCCACGCCTCATGGCCCGGAAGGCCTGCAGAAAGGCAAGACCATCCCTGCCCTGGGAGATGGCAAATGCCCACAGGCTGGGATTGCTAACCAGTTCCCAGCTGATGTCCCACGTTCGGGCCACTTGTTGGGAAATATCCTTTGGCTCGTGAAAGACGCGGAGACCCGCGGATTCGGCCATGGCCACGTACTCGGCCATGGTTTTCAGGGGCGGGAGGAGCATGCCGTCCTCGATGGGCTTGATGTCGTTTTCCATTTGCTCGGGGGTTAGGGGCGCGGATTTGAACCAGTCTGCCAGCACGAGCTTGCCGTTCGGGCGAAGGACGCGGGCCGCGTTGCGGAAGAACAAGGGTTTGTCTGGGAAGTGGGAGAGAGCTTCGGAGATCCAGACCCCGTCAAACGACTCTGGGGGAAATCTGCTTTCCATTTTTTCCGCGTCGAGTTCGAAGTAGTGGACTTTGCCGTTCTTGGGGCCGAGGGAGATGAAGTTGTCCGTGCCCTCAAACCTTTGGGATGGAGCTACTGTCGAGTTCGGAGGGGCATTTCTGGACTCTCTGGCGGCCTCATCGCTCGTCAAACGCTTTGCGATCTGGACTTGTCGTCCGCTGATCGTGATGCCGGTCACGGTACAGCCATGTTCGCGGGCCAAATGACGGGTAGTGCCGCCAATGCCACAGCCAACATCCAGAACAGTGGTGTTGGGTGCAAGTTTGGAGATGTCGAGCAGGAGGTTGATGAGGTTGGTTTGACCGGTCTCCTTGGTGTCTTCAGGGGTGAGGAAATAGGCGTGGTGGATGTGCTGACCCCTGGTGTGCGATGCCAACAGGCGTAAGCGTGAGTTTCTCACTTTCCCCTCGATAGTAATGCTCGAGAGGCAATGGCACGTACCACAGGGAGTAGTAATAGTCTGAAGCTATTTCATAGTGTTGCCGTATGCGTTGCTTCAGGCTGTCAAAGGAAGAGTGCGCCTCATACGTGGGCACTTCGTACTTGTCTCCCACATGATTCTGTTGCACGGAAGGATTTGTGTCCAGCTTCTCCGTTGGGTCGCCCATTGAATCTTGTTGGCTGTTTGGCGAGTGTCAGGGGCAGCGAGTTGTCATGGAGTTTTGCGAGAGGCTGAATTTGAGCAGCCGGTGAATGTGTGAGAGAGTAGCTCCGAGGTAAGTGACCCTGTCATTTCAACGATCTCCAGGCCTAGTGTGGCGCATATTGGTGCAAACAAATCTCGGTCAGACAGCACGATTACGCGCCAAGCCGAGGACGGATACCTCACTTCCGGCTCCCTTTTCGTCATCTACTGAGATCATCATGAATTGGGCGTCTCCTCGCTGCTGTTATTATGCACGACTAATGATCCGATTCGTCTTCCACTCGCTTCCTGCGCTCGGCCTCCCGCATCTCCGCCTGTCGTGTGCTTCTCTCTCTTCTTATTTGATGTAAGCTGTTGGCAGCACCTGGCCAGAATTTTTGTTGGGGCTTCCAAGTCCAATGCACCTACACAACAAGCTTTCTTGCATGTGCTCCTTCTCTCTTTCTCTCCTAGACAGCTGCAAGTGAGATGAAAGTGGTCTGATTCGGACACCACAAGGCGGTGAGAGTCAGAGTAGCTGCTGCCTCTACTGCGTGAAACACTACGTTAACCAACATTATACGTACGGAAACATTGCTCGATCGTCGACACCACATTCAAGGGCTAGTTTCCTTCTTGTGCGATTCGCAACTGACAGAGGATCGTAGACAACATTTCCTCCATCCTTTTGGTTTTCACGTCAAGACAACACCGAGCAACAGAGAGATGGGCAACTTCGCTGCATCCGCGGATTCGGGCGAACCGCCAGCTTCTCTTGCCTCGAAGCAAACACAGGACAAACCCCCTAATCACAGCAACCTCACCAACGGCGCGTCGACCACCCCTTCTAAGCCAAAATCAGAACTCACAGCCCTCCAACAACATGTGTTGTTCTGGGACCGCGACAACGACGGCATCATCCACCCTTGGGACGTCTACAACGGGTTCCGCGACCTCGGATTCGGCGTATTATTCTCTCTCGGCTCGCTTCTCATCCCCTTGTTCTTCTCCTACCCGACAACACTCGCGCACAGCTGGTTTCCTGACCCTTGGTTCCGAATCTACGTCGGAAGCATCCACAAAGCGAAACACGGCTCCGACACTGGCATTTTCGATGTCGATGGACATTTCCACGCCGACAGGTTCGATGCCATGTTCGACCGCTGGGACACCTCGCGATGTGGCGGGCTGAGCAATGACGAGATGTGGAGCATGTGGAAGAAGAACCGTCTTGCCGCCGATGTGGCGGGTTGGTGTTTTGGATTCATGGAAATGTGGACGACATGGCTATTACTCCAGAGAGATGGGAGAGTGTGGAAGGAGGACCTTCGAGGTTGTTATGATGGCACTCTATTTTGGAAAATAAGCGAGTCGGCCGAGAAAGGGCAATGGAAACAAGGCTACGGCATTGTGGATTTCTTCGAGGGAATGGCGGATGGAGGGACGTGGAAGAATTGGGAAGTAAAGAAACGGCACCATGGAGGCTCATCAGGATCATCCTGATGATAACCCTCCACCGACGACACAAGACATTTGACATGGGGTCATTATATTTCCTGATATACCAAGATAATCAAAGAGCAGCATCACGGAAAGCAACGACGGCGGAGCAACCACGCAACACACCATCATAATCACCAATGGACAGACTATGCGTGGTCGCGATAGTGCGCACGGCCTTGTCTCTCCAGCCGCAGATCTCGCGCAATCACGACCTTCAAGTCTCAGAGTAAACCTGGATACCTCCATGAGACTGCCGGGGTCAGCTTGCAAGCACTCCCGACACTCTACCTCAGCCTTTTAGTTGTCATTTCCCTTCTTTATTCAGGACGCTGACTCTTGTCAACTTGGATGATATAAACTGTTCAAGATATTATATACAGCCCAAATAGGGCTGTTTCTTCGAATATGGGTTGTCCTCGGAGGTTTGTTCCGCCGATCCTGAATGCCGTAAGGCTTCGTCGTGTGCCAAGCTCGACCATATATCACCAGGCCTATCTCTGCCTCGTCACATCGTTCACCTTCTTCCCAGACTCCCGCATCAACCGCCCACGGACTACTGTCCAGAGCCATATAGTCAGAGAGAAGGAGCTTTAACAGACGGCATATCCAACATGGCTGTCTGGCTCATTGCTCTTGCCGTAATCTCGGTCTCTGTCCTCACCAGCAAGTTTCTGGCATGGAAGCGACTGCGGCACATCCCCGGACCATTTTGGTGTGGCTGGTCTGATCTCTGGATGCTTCGCAGAGCATTTAGAGGATCGCTTTATATGGACCTTGACGACTTACGCCACAAATATGGTGCGCGATTTCTATTGAAAATCGAAAACTAATCACCTCCGCCTGAGTCACTGATTGAGCCTCTACCGTAGGACCACTTGTCCGCATTGCACCAGAGTACTTGATCTGTGGTGACCCAATCGAAATTCGACGGATATGGGGAGTGCGCTCTCAATTCGATCGAGCGCCGTGGTTCAAGGGGTTTCAACTTGATCCCCCGAATGACTGTACCCTGTCCTTACGAGACAACAACTTGCACTCTCTCCTCAGATCCAAACTCCTACCAGGCGTAAGTATCTCCATCGTGTACTATTCGAGGATTAAGGTGAGATAGTATTCTGGAAAGGATATCGACGGCCTGCACGAGTCGATCGACCAGCAAGTAACGAAGTTCATTCATTTTATCGAGGGGAAATATCTCTCCACCGAGATAGATTTCCGTCCAGTCGACTTTGCTCGTAAGATCCAGTTCTTGACCTTGGACCTCATCTCGACTTTCGCATTGGGACGGACGTTTGGCTTCATGGACAGAGACGGCGACCTCTACGACTACATCAAGACAACAGAAGAATCCCTTCCTCTTATGCAGATGATAGCCTTGCTGCCTTGGCTCCTGAGTGTCCTACAGTCTCCTCTATTCAAGGTGATCCGACCAACACACACTGACGCTGTTGGACTTGGTAAGGTTATGGGAATTGCCAAAGAGATCGTGGCCGAGCGATACGGCGATTCGAAGATTGTGAAACGAGATATGTTGGGATCATTCGTGGCTCATGGTCTGACGCAAAAGGACGCCGAGTCAGAGTCTCTTGTTCAGATCGTGGCGGGGTCTGATACAACTGCCACGGTGATTAGAATAGGGATTTTCCACGCCTCAACGTCGCCACTGGTATGTCAAAAACTGCAAGAAGAAATTGATAAGGGCGTCAAAACCGGTCAGATATCGTCTCCAATCAAGGATACGGAAGCACGGGCACTTCCATACTTACAGGCATTCATCAAAGAGTGCTTCCGGATCTGGCCACCTATTACTGGCATCGTCCCGCGAAGCTCAGAAACAGAGGCTGTGGTCTGTGGCTTTCGGATTCCCCCGAACACAAACGTGGGCTGGAGCGCACGCTCGGTTATGCGAGACAGGAATGTATTTGGAGATGATGCAGACTTGTTTTCTCCTGAACGATGGCTACGCGCTCAGGGCGAGCAACTACGAATCATGGAAAATACCGTCGAACTTATCTTCGGTCAAGGCAAATGGGGTTGTCTGGGCAAGCCTATCGCCCTGCTGGAGCTGAACAAGGTGTTCGTCGAGGTAAGTGTAAATCATCCTGGCGAGTCTGGGACTAACTGTAGCAGCTGCTGCGACGATTTGACTTTACCGTTGTCAATCCAGCTCATCCCATGGACACCTTTGACTACGGTGTTATGACACAGTCTAACCTTATGATGAAGATCACGAGGCGAAAGAGTCCAGTGTAAAATCGTCGATAGCAGCACCCAGAATTGGAAAGTGGGAGGACGCGAGAACTGCAGCCTGAGCGGTGCCTCAGTATGATTCAATGTGACCAAGACTTGATTAGTAGAGCGAAGTCGTGCGGCGTCCAGGACAGCAGCTTGCCTACATGCGAAAATCATGTACTTCATAGGACCCTACTTCTCCCAAGATACTCGACTTAGACCATGAGGTATGACAGACATTCCAACGCCCACTGGCCCGATCAACAGTTGGAGCGAATAGTTGGCGCCGCCGGAGCTGGGCCTGCTACGACTCTGCTGGCATTGGAGGATGGTTTAACTTCCCGCGGATGCGTCCTTAGCAGCCGAGCGGGCCGGTAGTTAATCACAACCGAATCGCCCGCGAAGCAATGATGACGATAACCCAGCTTCCATCGGCCATCTACCGAGTTTCCACTTTCTTCTTCTCAGGAAGACACGCCCCATGTTCGATATTAGCTGCTGTTGACAGCCATGCAGGAACCCGACGAGGAGGTAACTGCCGATGATCAAGTGCTGGTAGGCACTCATATCCGATTTATGTCGACCCTGTAATTGACGTCAGATTCCAGCAGGCCGACACAGATCAGGACTCAGCCCTCGACCTGGTAGGTTGATAATGCCTTTGCACCAGAAGATAAGCAATAACACGTTTGACGCCATAGGGCGAAGACCAGATCTCAACAGCTTCGCTGACATCGACGATCCGGAATTTCGTGATTGAGAACGGTCATACCTACCACGCGCTCAGTGCGGGAAGTCAGTGCTGCTTCCTGGCTATCATTTGAGATGGAGAGTCGAGACTAACGACCACTGCTTCCAGAATATATCCTGCCCAACGACGAGGTAAGACTTCGTCTTTCACTTCCCTTCGCTTAGGTCTGCTCCCGCTGATCAGTCTCACCGCAGCAAGAAAATGAAAGACTTGGTAGGTTTAAAGCATCAAATAAATCCATGGAAAAGTCTTCAGTCTGATCAAGGCAATGAACGTCGAAAGATATCCAAAACGAACACTTCCTAGCAACGTTTGATGGCCGTGCCCACTTTGCACCGGGAGCAGAGACAGCCCAACGAGTCCTGGATGTCGGCACTGGAACTGGCATCTGGGCAATCCAATACGGTATCGCGATTGTTCAGCCCGCTTCCTCGAGCTCTTGCTGATGAACGTTGCAGCCGATGCCCACCCCGCAGCACAGGTATCAGGTTCCTGCGATCTGGCTTGTCACCGCCGCGATGTACTGACTGCCGTTGCTTTGAAGGTTATCGGCGTCGATTTAAGCCCCATACAACCTAGGAAGTGCGTGAGAGAAGGTGTGGGCAGTATTTCCGCGACGACTGACGACAACGCAGTGTCCCACCGAATTGCTCATTTGAGATCGACGACGTCGAACAAGAGTGGACATGGTCGTTCCCATTTGATTACATCTTCAGTAGAATGATGGTGGGCAGTTTTGCTGACTGGCCGAGTTTTATCGGCCGAGCCTATGAGTATGTTCATGCGCTTGCTCAATGACATTCCCGTTTGGAGTCTGTTTGACTTGCAACATCCTACCCATCCGCCTCCTTCCACGCTCGGACATGGGACTGACGAAATTTCTGACTTTTGCTCGCTAAGGAATCTAACCCCTGGCGGCTGGCTGGAGCTCCAGGACTGTATTTTCCCTCTTGGGACCGATGATGGGACTTTCCACGAAGGGCAGACGATCTACGAATGGAGCTCTCTACTGCTCGAAGCCAGTGAGCAGCTGGGACGATCGTTGGGCGCTGCCGTCCGCCACCGCGACCACATGATAGCCGCCGGCTTCACCAACGTGGCCGTGAGGCATTTCAAGTGGCCTTCGAACCATTGGCCAAAGGACTCCAAGCGCAAGCTCGTTGGGCTCTGGACGCTAGCGAATATCGGCGAGGGTCTCGAGGGCCTGAGCATGGCGCTGTTGTCGCGGGGCCACGGCTGGACGCGGGAACAGGTGCTGGGATACCTCCCTGCGGTGCGCAGAGATCTACAAGATACGAGGATCCACGCGTACTGGCCTATGTGAGTGGTTGTCGCTTCTAGGTCGTCTCGGCCCGTGTTTCTTGAGTGCTAACCATTCCGTGCAGAATTGTCGTCTGGGGCCAGAAACCGAAACCTGCCACTCCGTCCGGACAATAGCGAGAATAGTGATAAAAACATATCTTTAGCTCGCATCGCATTTTACAGTGGCCTCGCCGCCTGGTATGTGGTCAGGCTGTGGACCGTGAGATAGCTGGCGCATTCTCCCGGCCGGGTGACAGCCAATGCACTCCGTGAACACTCCAGCCCTTCCAGAAGTACCGATTATCGAGCAATCAGGCCAGGAGGTAGGCAACAGGCCAGGAAAGGCAGCCGTCTCCCACGATTCAGCCGATCCCCTAGCGAATTTCAGCTAGCGAGATTTCGGACGAGTGCTTGCTTCTCTGCTTCACCCCCGCTCCCAACGTCAAGGCGCTTAGACAGGCACGCGATTCGCTATCGCCCCACTTTGTTGTCCGTGTGTTTCGCCCTCATTGGCCCTACCATGAAGTCGTATCTCAGCTCGATTTCAGCCGCAATGGCAAAGTTATGAAGAAGCCAGCCTCCTCAGGAATCTCAGCCTTCGTCCTGTTCTGCTTGAATAAGCCACCCGTCTCCTAGGTTCTGCCTTTGAAATTCTTGTCCGATTGTTGCATGGTCTTGTTACCAACTTCAAACGGCGGACGATGGCCAAATCCACGAAAGCTAAGGCTGAAACCAATGCATTGACATTTGAAGACGGCCAAGGCGACAAATCAACGAAGACTCCAGGTATTCTATGGAAGGAGGCCATACAAAGGTTTCTGGACGAGAATCATATCAAGATTGAAACGTTGGAGTTGAATGGTGAATTTGGAGATGCGGACGACGGCGTCGAAAAGGCTTCCCAAATGTTCCAGAGAGCACGACATCCCAAGAATAAAACCGACAAGGTCGTGAAAGCTGTGGGCGGATGCTTGGACTTTATAGATGGCACTGTTGACTTTCTCAAGGACGCCGTGCCCGACGGCGTGAGCTATTCCTAGCTTTCCCTCCAAAACACGGCCCCGCTCTGACTACAATTATTAGTATGGCACGCCGGCAAAGGTCATTGCCGGTACGATTTCTTATATGATCCAGGTTTGGGATAGGTCAAGCGTAATTGAAGGCGAACCAACTGACAGACCGTGAGGCGGCCAGAAATATGACGGACGACTTTGATCTGATCGAAGAGACCTTCGAGAGTATCCACGAAGCAATAAAGGACATCGGTCTCCTCAAAGACCGCCACACTCAGCAAGACCACTTTACGAATCGCCTCATGGACATATTCCTCAAACTGTTCGAATTCTGTCAATTTAGCACCAAAATGTTCCGGGAATACAGCCGGAAGAGTGAGTTGCCGTCGAAACTGAGAGAGAGAACCCATCAATTCTGACCTCCTAGACAGGGCTGTACATCGCAGCGCTCATGAAGGGGAGAAACAAGAATATCCAGAAGAAGTGCAACGAAGTCAATACGGCCATTTTACTCTTCCGAGCGACAGTGCCGCTCAAAATCCTCGAGGTGACTGTTGACATGAACAAAAAGATTGACGACCTGCCCAGCAGTCTGGTAGGTGCACTGCAGCGGATGAACCTCAAGGCGTCTGAGATGCAGCAAATTTTTGGTTCCAAGAAATCCATCACGGTTGAGAAGATCATGAAGAGCTTTAAGGACACCGGCCTCGATGTTGAAGCCAAGCATTTCATGGAAAAGCAGATGACTCTAATAAACAGCCACATCGCCCCAGACACGTTTCTGTGGTTGAAAGACGAACCGTTCTACAAATCGTGGCTCAGTGGCCAGGCCTCACCATTCATTTACGTCTCAGGCTCCTCTGGTGCTGGGAAGACTTATCTGACATGCAAGTACTACAGTCTGATTCAAGCAAATACAAAATCTAGTCAGATGGGCGCCGAGTTGGAGGGGAGCCGGCAGAGCATATCTGTGGCATGTTTCCTTTTCGAGTCAGGCAAAGAGGATGCACAATCTTTCCAGGCCGTCCTCGCTACTCTAATTTTGCAGATTGCCGAGCAGGATCCCAAACTCTGCGAGTCAATGGGGAGAGAGCTGGAGAAGATGCCAAAAGGTGACGTTGATCTGAGCATCAAATTCCTCTGGGAGAATTTGGTCTTGAAGAAATTCGAGAGGGCTTCGGAAGCATCGAGGATTTGCTATATTCTCCTGGACGGTGTCGAGCAAATGAAGCAGGATCACTGTCAGAGCATGTTGAAACGTTTCCAGGCCTTGGATGGCGACAGGCACTGCGTTCGCGTCATGATGACAGGACCGCCCCAAATGCTCGAGAAACTGGGTCTGAAGACCTTGCTCAAGATCGATTTGGACGAGAAAACGAAATCCAAAGGAGACATCTCGAAGATTATCGACCACCGCATCAAAAATTCCAAGAACCTCAAGAATTGCTCGGCCGCTGCCCAGGAGCAGATAAAACAAAAACTCTACTCCTGGAAAGAAAGTTAGTGATTGCCTTCCGACGTACTGTATGCAAGGTCCACCGTTTTGACGTCTCTGGAATCTAGGCGCGATGTCCTCCGTTGATCTGATGCTCAGCGTCATGGAAGATAGTGGAGGTGACGAGACTGCTGCAATTCAAAAACTGCAAGGCGCAGACAGCCCCGAATGGCTCTACAAGACCATGATCGACATCGTCAAAGCCGAGACCAAGAGGAGCGGCGACGATCAGAAGAGCCTCGAAAAGTTGTTTGCATGGTGCACCTACGCAAAGCAACCTCTACGTGTAGACCAACTGCAACTTCTCTGGGCTCTGGATACTTCGTCGGACAAATTCGATGTCAAAATGGAGATTGAGGGAAAGTCGTCAAGGTATGCAGGCAAACAGAATATCTATCTGACATCCACCGGGACCCCTACCCTGCCAACCGGGAACCTTCTAGTCCGACAGCTGACCCCTGGGAATAGTTTGCTCTACACCAAGAAGACAGCGGAGAATCGGCCAACGTCATATAGCGACACAGAAATCATGCCCATGGCTAACGTGGAGCACGAATATGTCTTCTTCCGACAGGCCGCCTTCAAAGAATATCTGGAAGGAAACAAGAACAATATGATTGGGAATCCCGTTCAAGAGAGAGTGAATATTTTCATCACACTTTGTGAGATCCTCTGTGGCCAGAATGCCATTGGACATTCTTCCAGACAATCATTTCGCGAGTATGCAACCGTCACTTTCGTGGAGCATTTCAAGGATATAGATATCAGACAGACCACCCCGAAACAGAGTGCTGACGTCGTTGAAGCTTTGTCCCGAGTACTGACCAACGACAACAACGTCTGTGCCGTTTTCGAGGAGGTCATGGATCGCCTGGGGAGAGACTACGTGGAGTTTGACCTATACGACACTTTTCGCCCCGACACCATCTTCGGGAGCTGGAAACGGGCCAATAAATTGCTTGTCTGGGCCAAGAAGCTGCACTTTTACGAGGAGGAGGAGCTGTCATCTCGCGCGAGAGACTGGGTTGAGGCAAGTATCAAAGCGCCACAAAAGATGCTAGAGACTCTGGGCCATGGCCATCTCGAGAACTGGGCGCGCGCGGTGACTGAGCAAGATGCAACTGTCCCTTATATACTTGCTTGCCGCGCCCTGTCAACGGTAGGGAACGAACCCCGATGCAGCAGCTTCAGACTCTGACCTTGCTTTCAGACTGGATTACCTGGGGTTGTTTACGCGGAAAAGACTGGGAAGGAAGCAACTGCGATGCTGGAATATGGGCGCGAGCACTGTTTCAAAGACTCTGTGAGACTGGCTCGTGCCCGAATCTCGGCAGCCTTATTGTTGAACACCAATTCGAATACCCCCGAGGACCGGGACGTGGCCGCCAAACTATATGAAACAAATATCAAGCTGAAGGAGACCCCTGGTCCGGAAAAGTTCTACTCTTCTCTTGGACTAGCTGAGTACCATACCAACACCGGAACCGATGATGACCCTCCAGATCTTGTTCATAAGAAGTGGGAAGCCGTGCAGAAGTACACGGGCTATACGCTCCAGCAATGGAACGACGAGAAGGGAGCACTCGGCTCCCAATTGAACAATGAACGTTGTACCGAGGCGTACTTGCTCGAGGCTCGAGCCTGGACGAAACTAGGCAATGACACCAAAGCGCTCGACACCTGCAAACGTGCCTTACAGCCTGGCGTGCTACAATTCAGCTCGAAGATCCTCGAATTTTTAACCATGATTACCGAGATATATTTCAAGGAGAGAAATTTTGCCAAGGTCGTCGACGAAGTTCAGCAACAGCCGCATCAAATCAAATGCGAGTGGATACTGTCTCGGTCGGAGGACTGGACCGACAAGGACGACCATCTGCGACAAGCCGCGGTATTATCCCGACGAGTGGACGTCCTCATTCATTTGTACGAAGAAGCAATCGATTACTGGCAGCCCCTTTCACCGTTCATGGCTGGGACCCTGCAGGTCGAGCTAGCTGTGGTGTACAGGCACGACGCACGCACAACCAAGATGGCGGAGGGAGTTCTGGACAGCATGATCGTGGCCATCAGGGCCGATCCCAACATGTTGAAAGGGGGCCTCATTCAATCCATCTTCCCCGCGATGGTGGACATCCTCTACGAAAACTTCAGCCTCACTTCGTCCGACGAAGCCAAGAAAAAGGTCATGGCGAAGCTAGAGGATCTCATCAACGAGTTTGCGCCAACCGTGCCGAGAGGCGCCCTCGAGCAGATCCATCTGGCTGCCGCAATGATTACCCTGGCGAAAATGCAGAGAAAATCCGGACCGGAAGGAGCCAAACAGGCGCTGGTCTGGGCCGAGCGCGCATTCCAATATTGTATCGACGATCTCGAGGACTCGGTCGGATCCAACGATTGCAGCGCATTCCGTGCGCTTGCCAAAGTTTTGATGTTTGCGGGGCTCGAGGTGGAAGCCGTCGTTGCTTTGTCGCTCTGGTTTTCAGAGGTCAGAGTGTATGACGACTCAATGCCACGCTATTCCCGTCCGGTCGACCAGCCTGTGACAGAGAGTATCATCTTGGCAGAAGACGAAGGCATTGTCGCAGAATCCCAACACGAAATTTCGGTTGGAACCAGCCCATTACCGAAGATGCACCCGGAAAAAGAGGGAGATGGAGAAGATATCTCGGTAAGAAAGTCGTCCACAATTGACCATGAAGCCTTGGCCCAAGCAGATCCGCCAAACGGACATTTGGGCGTCAGTCATCCGGCGACATCGGCCGGTTCTACTGACGGTGGACGCCAATCTCCCGAGCAATCGGAGATACAAACTCAAGAGGCAGAACGGAGCCCCCTCGAAGCCGGCGACCATCCTCTCAACAACTACCATGCCCCCGTAACAAATGGCATATTGGCGGAAGTGCCTGAAGATGCAGGATCTCAGTCTCAGATCCCTGATGGAATCTTGCCCGGTCAAGAAGACGAACAGAGGCTCCCTAGTTTGGATGACCCCGAGGAGAACAGAGAGGACATAATCGAGGGTAACATTACGTGCAACGGGCCCTGCGATCACCCCGTTTTGACTAGGTGGCTCCCGGGGGTCAAGTTCTTCTACTGTCTGGATTGCGAAGACGTCGACCTCTGCGCCGCCTGCTACGCCGCCCAAGTCAAATACTTCACCGAGAACGGCGACGGATTTTGGATGAAGTGTTGCTGGGCTCGACATGAATTCCTCGCGGTGCCGATCGACGGCTGGAAGGGCGTCAAGGATGGAATGATCTGGATCGGCGACAAGAAGAAGTCGTGGGTGGATTGGTTGGCCTCGGTCAAGGAGAAATGGAAATGGCAGATGGGAACCGCAAAGTAGCGCCCGAACTTGTGTTGGATGTTATAGGTGTCGGGACCGACGCCATATAGTCAGTAGGCACTGATGGATCGGACATTTGTACGCGATCAACTGTCTGTAGCTCTTATAGATAACGACTTAACGCCTTTGAAGTAAGTCGGTAGGATGGTGTTGCTACAAGGGGTAGCTTATAGAGTGGGGTTCGGCCCTAGAATACCAAGAAGCTTAAACTGAGAGTTCCCATCTCCCGCGTCTCTAGTTGATCTCACTCCTCGAAGTCGACCTCGTCTTTGCCCAGAACACAGCCCCTGCACAGCCCCCCTCTCCTGGACTTGGCTGCTTCGATCACGTGCAACACTGTATAACCCCGCCAGGACTTGGAAGTCATGGGACCTGTTCATCTCCCTCCGACTCAATGTTCATTGTCGTCCTTTGCATTTTTCACAACATCTAACGAGCTGAAGCACGTACGTACGTATCCTCGGGCCAGAACGATAGCCCGATGTCAATCTTCAGTCGCGTTCGCGGACGACTCTCCGAGGCCGAGGATCAGGCGCCCGTCGATCCGCATGAATGGCGGCTCCCATCTGTGTACTCCATATCAAAACCAGGTAGCCGAGACACAGTCATCCCAAATCCAAGAATATTTCGAAACGCCTTTGTGCCCAGGGGAGCGACCGATGGAAGAGCGGGAACCAGCCTCGTCTATCCTGACATCAGCCACGCCGCGGTGCACTTGGCCTTGCTTGAAAGTTTCCGAGGACTGAGGCTCACCGCCGGGAGGCTCGACGTGGACGTGGAAAAGCCAGCAGTATCTTCTGAGAAAGCCGAGCCGGCGGAACACCCTGCGCGGACTCGGCTGCCGGCATCAGAGCGGTGGGACTTGCTGATCCGACTGGCCGTGACCCGCTTCACGGCCTGGTGGACGAACATCGACCGCATCCTCTATCATGCCACGGCCTTTACTCACCACGCTGGCGGCAACTCGGTGGTGCAATTGACGAAGGACTACCTCCCTCCCTTGGACGTGCTTCTGGTCTGGTACGCCTTCATGCTCGACGAAGACACTTACACGGCTGCGTGCCATGGTCGAGGGACACCGAGGCTGGGAGAGCTTTGTTTCCCCTGGCCTGCCATTCGAGACGTGCTCGACCTGGACGCCATGACCTACAAGCTACCACCGCCGGCGGCGAATCTCTTCTCGACCTTGACATCCCAGTCGGCAGACATTCTCACGTACCTCGAAGGGCCTCCGGCGTATAGCGAGTCTCCCGAATTGCCCCTCGAAATCGACCTCTTTGCCGAAGTCAAGCGGTGCGAGAGGTTCATCGAGGACGCCCATCGTCTCTTATGGATCCGCTCGCCCGCGTTGAAGGGCTCGCTGGAACGATCGAGCATCCAGTATCTGGAGTTCCGGCTCTCCACGGGCCCTGCAGACCTCCCACCATACGACATCCCCTTTGGCGTGGAATTGATCTGGAAAACCCACAAGCTCTACCCCAGCCTCTACCGGCTCTTTCGGCAAGAAATCACCCCAACGTTTCCCGATTCGAAATCACCAAATCCTCCTCCTCAGACCGCGGTCGACCCCCTCGCGCGAGCAGGACATCCATCACCCTCGGAGTGCTGCTGCTGCTGGACCTGCGAGCGGATCCGTGACGACTTGCCCTCTTTCCGCTACGACCGGTCCGCATCGGCTCTATCCTTGCCAGTCTCCCCAGCCCAACTCCGCAGCATCCAGGACGACCTCGGCTTCTACCGGGCGGTCGAGAAAGCACGAGGGAGCCGGTTGCCCCTGCCCACCCGGCCGCCGACCGCAGCGGAGAAGACGGCCGAGGCGCTGGAGGCGCAGAAGCAAGCAGCGGCGGGCTGGCTCCCTGGCTTGAACGAGTACATGGTCACGTTGCCGAACGGGGAGAGGAAGATCAAGAGGGCCAGGGCCAAGCACGCGCGTGCGATTTATGGAATGATGGTTTGAGAAAAGAAAAAAAAAAGAAGGGGCCAGGATACTTGGGGATTGAATGAAGGCTGCTCGCATGAGTCTGGCCTCAGCCCACCCAATTTCTAGTCTGCATGCACCATGTCCAACCAAGTATGAACCCCCCCCCCCCCCCCCCAGGCAGAAACGGCCCCAAAAATCAAATCAAGACATGAAGCGTGCACGGCGCCAGCACACAGGGGGAAACCCACCTCGGCAACGCCAACCACCCTCCCGACACTCCTTCCTGACGTGCGTTTGAGTCTTGGACGCACTACTCTAGTGCAGTTGGTTTGATCGTTTGCGTCCTCCGGGCCAGGTTTTCCACAGATCATGAATTCGGGGCCGATGGGAGGCAGGCTATGTATGGTCACGGGTACCGAGGAAAGTACCCGTATCAACAATTAAGCCTACTGCCTTGCCCATCCAAACGTCTACGGAGTGCTATGAGGCTCGATGGAGGAGCACGATGAATTCTACAGGTCCTGGGGCCCGTCTGACTATATACCTTCGAGTAATTAATGCAGGGTTTTTATCTCAGATAAATCAGACCCTTACCTCAGGTGGCCTAGTGGCCATTAGCGTTACACGCTAACTTTTTACGGAGTAAAAAGCCTTCGTAAAAGGGTCTAAGCACTAATACGTATAAATAGCCTATTATCGCGTTCATAACTAAGTAAATATATAGAATTTTATCGCGTTCGTTATATTTTCCCGATTTCTTTAACTATAACGGCTAATTAGTATAAGAAATATATATATAATATCTTTAAAATTCTTTTACTTATAGAACTTACTTTTCCGTTTTCGAAAGAATTAAGAATTTATTAAGATATCCTTAAATTCCTAATCTAACTTAATAATCTTTAAGACTTTAAGACTACTTTAATAATAAATAAAGTTAATAACTATATAACTAATAGTAAATATTTAAAGATTATTAGTACTAAAATAGATATCTAAGAGCTTAATTTAACTAGAGTAATATAAAGATGCCTATATTAAGTTTCTTATCGCTATTATCTACCTTTAATAATATAATTAAGGAAAATACTCTATCTATATAAGAGTTAATACTAAAAGACTCTAAGAGTCTATAAGAGAAGATTATATAGACTATAGACAGTATCTATAAATTCTCTTCTTATATATATTAGATCTAGACTCTAGTATCACTATATAACTTCGATCCTATAAGGTCGCTCTTAGTATATTATAAGCTTTAGTAATAGATTGTACACTCTATTTAGGATCTTATTTAAGAGCTTAAAGGGTGCTTAAAGGGTAAGGAGTATTCTAGCTTCTTTCTGAGTAGATTCCATGTTTTGTGGTGGAGTGGTTGTACGAGGAAGACAAAGGTAGTAAAACGTGCGGAAAGTGGCCGACTCGCTATGCACCTACGTTAATCTATCTTAAATTACTATTCTTCCCTTGCGTACGGTGTCTCAGCTGTCAGGATTTTGTATCCCTTGCACCGCGTACGTCTTGACCAATCAGGAGGCAGCACTTCGCCTGTACATTATACAGGCGAACACACCTAATCAGAAGGTATGGTTTCCTGGCGTTGGTCTTGGCGCTGGTTCGCCAGAACCGAGCCTTCTCCTGGGTTCAACCCATCACAGGTACGATAAGTAGCGGGTTGGGCTAACTGGTTGATAACCGGACACGGCCCACTAAGAAATCTGGCTACTACCCCCTTTAACCTGACCTAACTTAACCTATATTAGATTCTAGTACGCGGTCATTTCTCGGGTCTTGTTCGTAACAGCACACTCTTATGTCATGGTCAGCATCCGGGCTTGCCCGGACGATACCATCTATTTAACTACTCGGAAAGTAGGTTCATCACATAACATTATCATATTTGGCGCTGCCATTGTGTTCTACTCGTCTAGGAATCCGTCAATGAATCAGCAATCAACTCTTCCTCCAGCGATAACTTCACCATCATTGGATATAATGCGCCAATATCAGACTCTCAATCCTACGACCGGCCAGGTGGTCCAGGTATTCCCACAAATATCTAACGAACACGTCCAGAGAGTTCTGAACAAGGCCCATAGCCTCTATGAAACCGACTGGCGCTTCTGTTCGGTAGCAGAGAGAGCAACTGTAATTGCAAGGGCCGCCGCTATTATGCGACAGAAAATCGACGAGTTGGCTAGTTATGTTACACTTGAGATGGGCAAACTCATCGATCAGTCGCGATTTGAGGTTAAGCTCTCGGCTGACATCCTTGAATATTACGCCACGCACGCCGAAAGACTCTTGAAAACTCGACCTATCCCTGGAGCTCACGATGCGGTCATTAGTACGGAACCTATTGGCATTATTCTAGCCATCGAACCTTGGAACTTCCCATACTATCAACTAGCCCGTGTAGCAGGGCCCCAGCTTGTGGCTGGCAATGTTCTCATTGTCAAACACGCCCGGAACGTGCCACAGTGCGCATTGGCCTTCGCACGAGTTCTCGATGAAGCCGGCGCACCAGAAGGTGTCTACAACAATGTCTTCTGCAGTTTTGATCAAATAAACACCATTATCGACGACTTCCGCGTCCGTGGTGTCACCTTGACAGGAAGTGAACGTGCGGGTGCAACAGTAGCCGAGCGGGCCGGTCGTCAATTGAAAAAGGTCGTTCTGGAACTTGGTGGTAGCGACCCTTTCATTGTGCTGGAAGATGCAAACATCGAGGAAGCAGTGGCTCGCGGTGTCGAAGGCCGCATGATGGTTATGGGCCAGTGTTGTGTCGCCTCTAAACGCTTTATCGTGGTAGGTAAAGAGCGCGGTCGTCGCTTCCTTGATTGCTTGACGCAGGCGTTAACCGGCCTTGAGGTCGGCGATCCCGCTGATAGCTCCACAGCTATAGGCCCGTTGGTATCAGAACAAGGCCTCAACAACCTGCTCGGACAAATTGAGTCGGCCAAAACCTACGGTGCTCGCGTAGTCACCGGAGGAAGACGCATTGACCGCCCTGGCTTCTATGTAGAGCCTACAATCATCACGGATATTACTGAGGGCAACCCTCTGTTCCAGGAGGAGACGTTCGGGCCCGTCGTATCTTTCTACGTCGTTGACAACGAAGAACAGGCAATCAAGCTTGCTAATGCTACGAAGTTCGGACTCGGCGCGTCTGTGTTCAGCGGGGATATCGCGCATGGCCAAGCCGTGGCGAAGAAGATCGATAGTGGCATGGTATCCATCAATGCCACAGGGCAATTTGCACCAGAACTGCCTTTTGGAGGCATCAAAAACTCCGGCTTTGGCCGGGAGCTGGGCGACCTGGGTATTGGCGAATTTGTCAATCGTAAAGTCATCCTGACGGCTTGAATCGTGCGATCAACTATCTATTGGGAGCTCATACATACCTACAAGACTAGAAATGGGTTTATCCGTCCTTGTTTGTAGAATCTACAAACCCGAGAATAAGGAACTTTGCGGAGCAAGTCCGTGATCAGCTGGAGAGGTGATCAGAATTCGCTAAGCGCTCAAACTCCGCACCTTCCTGCTTCATGTGCGCCAGATAGCTGCGCCAAAGACAATCTTGATTAGTCGACATAACGAAACCTACATACAGTACGACATGCATTGCTACTGTTCATGGAAAAATACTTTGGGGGCGATACTCGTTCCACTTCTGTAACGTCGATGTGGACCTTCGGCGAAATTCAACAACTTCCCTTCAGGGCGGCCCTTGGGAAAATAAAACTTACCGCTGCCATTCCGATTCGCTCAGTGTCGGTCTGCCCAGCCGCATCATTAGTTCGTAATTTGTACTTATACACTACCTTTCCAATTGTACAATAGCTGACGAATTGACAAGCTCTTTTTGAGACGCACGTTTGAACTGGCCCAACAACCTGCGCGGCTATCCTCATTTCAACCAAGATCGATGCTCTGTCTTTCGATGCATTCTGACGTTGGCTCATGTCGAAAAGGTCAGATTGTGGGTGGAGGGTTCCTGGATTAGTGCTAACCGACAACAGAAAGCTTGCGACCCCCCAGAGTTACAACTTATAACCACTATTGTCAATACAGACATCCCCCTTACCTTGACCGAGATTACCCACGACACCCATGGGCGTCAGGTCATTCTACTGTCATTTCCCTATGGGCACTATTTGTTGGACTTGCTACGACAACGTACAGCTCTTGCATCGGTCAGATGTGCAAGGGATCTCGATGCGTCGCTCGAATTGGGACAAATGGAGCTGTTCACGTTCAATTTCACATGCGCCATTACTCCTTTGTTTCTCGCTCCTTTCTGTGAGCTTGCTCGCAGAAGGCTCGTGTAGGTTGGTGCGTATTTTTGCTTCACGATCCTTTTTGTTGACCTCAGTCTCGGCAGAAACATTGCTACTATACTGGTATTTCGGGCTTTCCTGGGTCTGTTTGGCAGCGTAGGCACAATCTTAGTCAGTGGCACGTTCTCAGATTTGTTTCCGGCAGACGAAAGCGCACGGCCCATGGACCTGGAAGCGAAGACTGCGGGGAAGCTGCTGCACCAGTCTTCGTTCTATATATATACCTACTATTTACTAGATTAACTCGTAGATAGTCTCCTAGAGCTCTATTTATAGCGTACTAGAAAGGTGCCTAAAATAGCCTAAAATCGCTCTTATATCAAAGATTACACTGTAAATAGAGCTCTATCGACCCACCAACGACTACTACTGGATAGAGAACTATCAAATCTACTAGGGAATAGCGTAGGATAGGTAGTAGAGGCCATAGGTGGCTAGGAATCTCTCGATATATAGCGAAATAGTTAAATATATAGGTGTTAAGATCTCTACGAGAAACACGAATTATAATACGAAATGAGTACTAATCGATAGAAAATTCAAAGAGCTACTGGAATATATCTATCAATTACTACTTGAAGGCTTAGTTATGGTGTAAAAGGCGAAAATGTTATTGCGGCGTTCAATTGTCGTCCACCCTCGACACACTTGCTGATTTTTTGGATTTTTGCTCGTCACTGTAATGGCTGCCATCCCTCACACAACGTTCAAATACGGGCAATTACTCCGTGAGAGATCCTCTTTGGCCCTGACATGCTGACTCTGCCGTGATTGAGAACTTACTCTAAGTTTTTCAATAGTGAATGTTGTTCTCAGGTTCATCACGTTACATGGATCATCGCTGTATCCACTGTGAAGGACGCTGAGTACCAAAAGTTTTGCGTTGGGCTCAGTCTACCAACTAGATCGCGCCGACAATCTACTGTCGGAGAGCTTTGACCAGGTTGGCTGGGCTGCAAAAATGATTGCCTGAGTATAAAAGATCAGGCTAATATGATCTGAGAACGGCCTATGATCAGCCACCTTTTATTAAATTCCCCAGTAATTTCCTAAATGACACTAATGTCTACTTATCACACAACGCTAAAGTATCGCCTACACCATCGAGCCACAGAAGTTGAGGCTATTTGTGTGCTGGCGGGCGGGCGTTGGCTGACGCGACATAGTGTCCCCATGTGATAAGCTCTCTAGTGCAATCATCTTGGTCAATAACGCATTCGATCAATGTCGGACCATCCGAATTGGACGTGGCAAGCTTGATCGCCTGGGCGAGTTGTTCCGGGTTTGAGGCCTTAATACCCTTTGCATGACCATCCTCAGCATTGAATGCCTCTATCAATGAAGCATAGTTCCAGTTCTTGATACGGTTATATAGCCCGTCATGAATCTCCACTTCAATGGTGTATCCACGGTTGTTCATGAGAAAGATAATGATCGGTAACCTGGCACGCACCATTTGTGATACCTCTTGCACGGTCATCTGGAATGAGCCATCTCCCACCATCAAGATGATCTGACGTTCTGGCGAGCCGACTGCATAACCAAACGATGCTGGAACGGACCAGCCGATATGGCCCCACTGCATCTCAATTTCGAAGCGACAGCTCCGAGGCAATCTCATCTGCACGCCATTGAACCAGGAATCGCCTGTCTCAACAAATAGAGTAGTCTTGGGCTGAAGTAGCTGTTGTATCTGTCGAGCAATCTCATTGCGGTGCAGAGGTAGTTTTGGTTCTTCAATGTGAGGAAAAAGCACATCAGGACGTAGATGAGCGTATTCAACCATCGTACTAGAGTTTCGCGTGGCCCTCTCCGCAAGCGCGGATAAAAGCTCAGCCAACTGAACACGATTGAATTCTGCGCCGGTGAAGCTCATGTGGTCCAGATCTGCTGTCAGGGTTATTGAATCCGGGGGTAATGCCGTCCAACCCACTGTACTGTAGTCGGTAAACACGACACCTGCGCCAAAAATTCCGTCCGACCAGTCGACGATGGCATCTGCTCCCATGGTACTGACTTGACCCCAGTAGACGCCTACAAACTGCTTGTGATCCTCTGGAAAAAAGCTTTTTGCCCCAGGAAGAACCGCAACCGCACAACCAAGGGCATCAGCCAGTTGTAAAAAGGCTGCTTCAGCCCCAGCCGCCCGAAGCTTAGGGCCGGCTAGTAGTACGGGCTTTTGCTTTGATTTGAGCCAGTCCAATGCAGCATTGACAGCCATCGCCAATGTTATCTCATCGCTCCTTTCCGGAGCAATGACAGCAGAGATTGGGCCTGGAGCAGGGCAATTGGCAATGGAGAGGTTTGTTGGAATTTCGATATAGGCGGGTTTCTTAGCGGACATTGCGCTCCGGATCGCGTGGTCAATGAGGCGCGGTGCATCCTGGGCCCGGCGAATGGCGACTGCGGCACAAGTGATTTTTTTAGCCATTTCGAGCTGGTACCCAAAATCGTGGGTCCCCAGAGTGTGATGTAGGAGGTGGAAGGCGCCTGAATCACTGGTGTTAGGTGCACCACTGATGAGGATAACGGGCAAATTCTCTGCGTAGGCACCACCGACCCCGTTGAAAGCGGAAAAAGCCCCAACGCTAAAAGTCACCACCGCCGCGGCGACGCCCTTTGCTCGCGCGTAGCCTTCAGCGGCAAAAGAGCAATTTAGCTCGTTAGCACAGCCAATTTCTGAGAGCTTCGGATGAGCTTGTAGCTTATCCAGTAAGACGAGATTATAGTCGCCGGGAACAACGAAGTGATGTTCGATCCCTATCTGAGCAAGCCGCTCAGCGAGGTAGCTACCGACGGTCCAGGACATAATGCAGAAATCTTGTGCTGCTTGTTGAAGGACGTTTAAGTTGATGCCATTAAATGAGGTCTGGTAACGCTTGGTCAATGACAGGACAAACGTAACTTTATACTTTCCGACGCATACTACGTTGTTAGATGGCTACATTTCTGGAATGCTGCATTTCGTAGTAGATATGTCAAGGGGCAGCTGCGATCATGATTTTGGGCCCCAAAATTCACATTTATGTGACAAGTGGCATGACCCTCACCTGAGTAGAGATAAGCCGTGGAGATGCTCTGTTGATAGCTCCATCAGGTTCCGTCCGATCTCCGTCGCCCTCTGTCAGGGCTGAACAAGAATCCAGGTGCTTTCGGCTTCTAAATTCTCATTCTGGTTGCGCGGTTTGAGTGTTGACCAAAATGGATAAAGTATCTTCGGAAGAGGGATGGATTGAACTTTCATAGTCATACGACGTGCTAATTATTTGTGGACTCCATCAGCGTAAGGGGTTTGCGAAGGCGTCCAGACCCACTTCGGACCGTCGCTCACTTGGGGTGTAACAAAGACCCATTATTATATCATGGTGGTCTCGGAAAGAAATATGTGATGAGAATCCAGAAAGCATGGGAACGAGGAGGGGGAGCAGACCCTCGGAAATTCTGAGGTGGGATTCCATATTTTTAAGTGTGACCGTTTCTGCTACGCCAGCCTGCATTATGCATTGAGTCCAAAGCCGAGGATGATAGAATTCGCAATTTTTGAGGTCTCTAATTGAAGAACAAATGCCTGATTTTAGAATTTCAGTAGTATTAGAGGCGCCCAGCTAGCTAGCCACACCTATCCCTAAAGTTTCACCAAGTTTATCGAGGTCGGGGTGCAATCTTGCTTTTGTATGTATATCGGTCTGCTTCTGCTAGACCTCCATGTCGGGGCTTGGCTTGCCGGCGTCAAAATCGGCGAGGTTTTGTAGAGTGGTCTGAGCAATGGCTCCCAGGGCTTCCTGAGTAAAAAAGGCCTGGTGTCCAGTAACCAAAACGTTTGGAAATGTGATCAGGCGCTGGAAGGCATCATCGCGGACGACAAAGCTTGACAAGTCGCGAAAGAACAAGCTCGCTTCGTCCTCGTAGACATCAATTGCACAGCCGGCAATAATCCCTTCCTGCAACGCAGCAATGAGGGCTTTGGTGTCAATCAGCCCGCCTCGACTAGTATTGACAAGTATCATCCCCTTTTTGGCCATGGCCAAAGAATCTGCATTGATAATGTGATGGGTTTCAGCGGAGAGCGGGCAGTGCAGACAAAGGATGTCGGACTTCGAAAACAGTTCTTGATGATCGACATACTGGATGCCGACACTCTGAAGTTCAGTGTTGTGAAAGGGGTCACTGGCAATCACATTGCATCCAAAACCGAGTTTCATTGCTTTCGCCACTAAACAGCCAATGCGCCCTGTACCCAGAATGCCAACAACCTTGCCATGAAGGTCGCGTCCCAAAAGGCCGTCAAGGGAGAAATTGTCCAGGCGAATGCGAAGCCAGGCTCGACATATTTTGCGGTCAAGAGCCAGAAGCAAGCCAACTGTAAACTCGGCGACTGAGTACGGCGAGTAAGCTGGGACTCGCAGGACGGTGACACCAAAACTAGTCGCGGCCTTTATGTCCACATTATTGTATCCGGCACACCGCAAGACAACAACTCTGATCCCGTTTTTGGCTAAGACTTTCAAGACTGGTGCGTCAACTTGGTCGTTCACAAACACACAGACTGCATTGTGTCCTGCAGCTAGGACAGCAGTTGCCTCAGTGAGTGCTGCATCGTGGAAAGTGAGCTCAAAATTGAAGCCACCTTGTCGATTGGCATTTTCCAGCGAGGCTTTGTCATAGTGGTGAGTGCTGTACACAACGACTTTCATCGTGTTGAAAAGTAGAGATGGGCCTTTGATGGAAGTATGCTATAAGGGACAGGAGGTAGAATGTCAGAATAGTTTAGATACATTTATATTTTTCAGGATTGGCATCGTAGTGAATTGGATTCATTCAACACTATATTCATTATCTGATGTGCAATGGACAGGACACGGCAACCTACCAGAGATACTGACCGACAGTGGTTGCTAAAAGTGCAGGTTCAGAATGGTATGATTGTGGACTGTTGTTTTTCTGCGCATCGGAGACATCAAGCACGAGCTACTAGCAACTGGATGCCTATGAGTACATTGCGCCTTGGAATCGGGACGTAGTGCCCCACGATATCTCGAGAAAGACACTGACATTCGTGATTCCGGAACACCCATAATCAGGCGACATTTTCGGAGGTTGATAAGGGAGATATAATGCAGCTATAGCGGACCCGCCCTTTCCAATCCTCAGTACCTTCTCCCAAACGAAGGTTCATAACCACATTTATATATGTTCCTTTCATCTCTCTCGTAGGGGAATTTTCGTGGTATTCTTTCTCAAGCTCAAGTGATTGTTGGTCTCATCAGGCAACATCTGTCCACAACCATTTAGTTACGCGATATAATAACGATGGCATTTCTTAAGGGAGAAGTTAGCAGGAGCGGGTTCTCAATTCGTCATCTTAAGGTACTTAAAATCCCCTGGTTCCTGAAATGATAAATATCTAAAGGGTATTTAGCCTGTCAAGGTCGCTGTTATTGGTGTTGGTAACGTCGGCTCGGCTACGGCCTATGGACTCCTCTTAAGTGGACTGGCCGCCGAGATCGTGTTGGTCGACTTAAATAAGAAGAAAGCAGAGGGGGAGGCAATGGATTTGAGTCACGCAGTACCATTCTCTCGCCAAACTCATATTCGTTGTGGACAATATGCCGACTGTGCAGATGCGTCCATCGTCATCATCACCGCCGGCCTCAACCAGAAACCTGGCCAGACACGAATGGACCTTGTGAAATCAAATGTTGCTATTTTCCAGGAATTGGTACCACAAATCGCACATTATGCCCCTGAAACTATCTTGTTAGTGGCCACTAATCCTGTGGATGTGCTCACGTATACCACATGGAAACTGTCGGGTTTCCCTATTCATCGTGTCATCGGTTCCGGAACAACACTAGACACTGCACGGTTTCGTTTCGAGCTTGGGCAATACTACAACATAGACCCGCAGAGTGTTCACGCCGATATCATCGGCGAGCATGGGGACACCGAGCTGCCAGTGTGGTCTCTTGCCAGTATTTCCGGGATGCCCTTGAAGGACTTCTGTCAACAATCTTCCCTTAAATATGACAATGATGGTATGCAACAATGTTTCCTTGCCACAAAGAATGCCGCCTACGACATCATACAGCGGAAGGGTTGGACAGACAAAGGCATTGCCACGTGCCTCGTTCGGATTGTCGAGACAATCTTGAGAGACGAAGATACCCTCCTCACGGTCTCAACAGTTAGAAGTTACCCTGGCGTCGGACATACGGCCTTTAGTGTACCGTCGAAGGTCACTCGGGATGGCGCATTCCAGACGTTTGAGCTACGTCTCGATGCAGAGGAAGAGGAACAGTTGAAAAAATCTGCTGAAAGTATAAGTTCAGTGATTAGTTCCCTCGACCTACCATAAGACAACGGTCTGTCCAAAATTCTGGACCTCCCCAAAGTGCATGAAACTGAGGGTAAGAACACTCTGAATGTAATGAGGGCCGCTGGAGCACCTTGAATAGATCTGGTGTCCGTCAGGGACAGGACGCACTTCGGCCTGAATCCCTGAGGCCAGAGACCCAAACAATATTGCCATACAGTACGAGGAATACATTGTAGCCAAGAATCGTTCATTCAAACACTTTGCTGCATCTTCATCGTTATCAACATCATCCCTGATTTACCCGGGACTTGCCATCTTCCTAAATCACTTCCCTGGACTACCATTGCTTCACTTTTGTTAACATCTCTTCATAAAGGCATTTTCGGTCCAAATCGCCTGGGTCTATCTTTTCCGAAGCCGTAGTCAATGGCACCTTGATCAATCCACGAGTGGGGAAGTCCAAAGTCTCTCCAGGCGAGCACGATAGTATGACCGGTTCTGTGAAGGTAGACCCTCATCACGATCTGCGGTCAGCCTTAACGGCTAAACTGAAACTAGAAGTCGTCTCTCAGAAAGCATACGCTCTGTATTTTTAGCCGACCGTTAGGAAGCAGAGAGGCTTCTTGGACCAGGGAACAATAGATGTTGGGGGTGAAACGGCTTACACTAAGCCACACGAGCGGCGACGTGGGCCAAAGTGACGCTTAAAGTGTCACTAATACAGACACGTATGGAAACCCACACTGCAGGAGTGTGCATCACTCAACGCTCGATATGACAGCTTGTTCAGGACCAAGAGAGCGACCTCAGGATTCACAAGACAGGAAGGTCGCAGCAACCCTCCGTTACATCGTGCCAAATGGCACTCTCAACATTCCCCCATCATGGAATGTTGGGAATATTGGGAGTGCTACTGGGCAGAGATGGCATCAGATCAGACTTTGGACCTCTCCCATGTTTTGCAGCTGATTAGCTATCCGCCTAATGACGTAAAAGGCCTCCTGGCAAACATTTTTAGAGCTCAATAATGGCCGAGCAGTCCCGAAACTCTCTTTACAAAATTCGGACCTTATCTTTTTCTCACATGAGACTCCTATTGGGTTACAGTACATGACTTACTTAAAACGACGCGTCCACACATTCCCTGGCGACCTTGATACTGCAATGTGGGGGTGTGGGTAGTGAAAACACTGTGGGCCACGGATAGCCAGGTCCGACGGTCAGCGACCCGGTGAGAAAACTCCGAGCTGTTGCGAGTTGGTGCGAAGCAGGATAGCGGGTCAACCCCTTCCTTCCCTCGACCGGCGCTTTAGCAGCTTTCCGATAAAATGCCGCCTTTCCTCTCGAATATCTTCGAAAATGTCAATGGCCTTTCCTCTTTGTCCTTTTGCACTACGAAGCCGCAGGTTTCCGGCGGAAAGGGCACCGAAGAAGTCCAACGACAATGCTCGCACCTTCGGTGGAATGACCGGCGGCACACGGCTTGGCTCGCCCAATCACGAGCTTATCAATCTGCGTCTTCAGGGCCAGGAAGGCTTAGATCGGTGGTCCAAGGCGTTATATCTCGATTTTGTAAAACCCGTTTATGAAGAGGATGAGACGCTCTAAAATTTGTTTGTGTTAGACCAGCGATTTTCCAGTGAAGAGGCTGTACAGTAACTCACCATCTTTGCAAAAGAAACCAAAACTTCACCGGCCACTTCAAATCACAATGTCATACTATCAAGATCCTTTCTTCGTTAACCAGGGATCACTGCAATTCCAAGATGAACCATACTTCACCAACTTCCAATCAGAAGGTGATGGCCATGACTTGACCGCAAAAGATTTCAACGCATGGCCGACTCCACTGGACACCCAACAAGGACAACCTACAGGCTACGCCTTACGACCTTCCTTAGAAGATTCATATCTGAGCCCCTTCCTAGAACCATTCAAGTCCTCTTTTATACAGACAGTCGGACCAGCTCAATTACAGTTAAATGGCGGCTCTGAGTCTCCTACAGATTTCCAGACGTGCCAATCGCCTAAACAAGACAACCGAACATTAAACCTCAGGGACGACAGCGGTAACCTCTCCCCACTGCCATCACCGAGCCTGGTAGATACCGAGACATACAATACTGGAAAGAATATCTCACGAACTCGAATTGCACGCTCTGCTTCAGGTCAACAGCCCAAGAGAGGCAGACCTCGAAATAAGCGGAATCAATCCTCGCCGAGCAAGGACGAGTCGGCCATTCAGAAATCTAAGGATCACCACTCGGCTATTGAACGGCGGTATCGTGACAATCTCAATGGGAAGATGAAGCAGCTCCACCGAGTGCTTTTGGCCGCAGAGACAAACCAGACTTCGACATCTCCATCTAAAACCTCGTCCTCGGCAGGCCCAGCGCTCTCCAGCAGAGTCCGCAAGTGCGACATCATGTCAAAAGCCGTCAATTACATCCACCAGTCGGAAGTCGAGATCCGGCACATGGATGACGAAATCAAACGGCTCCAGGACCAAGTGTGCATATTTCAGAAGCTCGTCCATTGCGACGACTGCTCCATGCTCAAGGGTATGGTGGAGCTTGTCGATATTCAAAAGCCCTGACATCACTAGTATCCTTCTTGTGGACTTTGCAATAACTTTATATGTTTTGCCATGGATCAAGGAGTTGCATGGGGATTTATGTTCCACTAGTTTCACACGTCCGCAGCACACTCGCGCTTCACGACAGTGGTTTACGGTTCGGACGTCTTGAGGATGGGCTGGCATGTGTTTCACACGTTTCTCTATCATCTTGCAATGCAATTCTGCCTCAGTAGAGGCCAGAGATGTCAAAACCGCAGAGAAAATCTTTGAAGATGGAAGGCTTCGAACGAAGAATCGCACGCTGTATCGTGCTCGAAATATCGTCCTTTTATGCTTGGTTGACGCGCTTGAAAACGACAGTCGTGATTCAACGTGCTAGTTAAACGATGCGAGGGTTACTCCAACATTGTTAACTGTATGCACGAGACAAGAGCGAGACGGCTTCGCTGCATGTCCTATTGAGGAAAGCACAATGACACTGTTTCGGAGATAGCTAAAAGGCAGAGAAGTTATGTCTTATAACGATCCAAGGAGGAGTCAACATATCTAATATCTTGCATTGTTCTAATAACCTAAGATCAGCACCCCACACGTCCCTAGTGTTGTGTTCCCGAGGCTTCCCTAGACCAGCGCACCGATCAGCCGATTAGTCTGGGCGGTAGCGGCAATCTCAGCCCTACACATCAATTACTTCCCCCCACTGTGAGGGACTCTCTAGGACCACCGGTAGATATAGTGACGTAGGTAGCGAGCCGACTACTAGATAGTAGCTTTTAGGGAGTGTCTATATAGAGATTATCCACTATATTAGAAGAAGAGCTAGAAAGGAGCCTACTCTCTAGGTGCGATAAGCTAGTACTAAACGAGGTACAGAGATCGCATAAAGTCAGTGGTGCAAAACTAGACAGGGCCGGGCTTGCTGGGTAGAGACTGCGGAAGAAGACATGAAGCTTTCCAACAAAGAACGGTTGCAGAACAAAAGCAAAGACCCAAGATCTTGTCTATCACAACAGCCAATTCAAACTGTGGCCTCGCGGCTTCCGTATGATGATACGCGCACGGCTGAAACCCGAATCATTTTCCGCCAAATATCTTGACGCGGTCGTCAAGCGGCAGGTACGTCCTCTCTCTGCTTCTCTTCAGGCCATCCACCGGCGTTCCAAAGACCAGCTGGGAATGCAAGGCCCAGGTCGGCGGAATGTTCCACTCGTTGCGGACTTTCTCCCTGAACTCGGACATGAAGTTGTAATGCTGAAGATTGCAGCCCAAGCCCTCCAACTCCAAAGCCGTCCACACGATGAACTGGTGCATGCCGTTGGAGTGACCCGACCCTATTTTGCCAGTCAGCATCTTGACAATCAAGAAAACGATACTCGCCGGGGCTTACATTGGGGGATGACGTGTTGGATGGCCGGGTTCTTCTCCTTCAAGGTGTCCAGGGCGGCTTGATCCTCGAACCACAAGACGGTGCCATAGGCAGCACGGAAACCCTGCACCTTCGGCGCCAGGTAGGCATATCCCTGTTCTGGCATGGTCTCTTTCAAGGCCGCGTCGCCAAAATCCCATAACTTCTCGTGTTCCTGCTTCACTAAAACGATAGCACGGGTGGACTGCACATTGAACGCCGAGGGAGTGTGCTTGACTGCAGATTCGACAATCTCACGGATCCGAGAGTCGGCGATGGGGGAGTTCTTGGTGAGATCGTAGCATGAGCAGCGATTTTCGACTGCGGCGAGGAGGAAGTTTGTCGAGGCTGTGGCGACGGTGGACGACATGTTGCTGGCGCTGGTTGCTCCGATGATGGCGGTATTGGTTGTTGTATCTGTTGTTATTGTGAATGTTGAATTGTGCTTGTCTTGAGTTCGAGAGGGAGCGCCGTCCTCGAGGTTTATATACTTTGGCAGTTCGATCCCAATCACCATGAAACAGGAACCTTCATGATATGTGGACCATGAACCACATCGTCATGCAGAGGCTTCGAGGATGTCGAGTCGATGACAATCGCGCCCGAGCGACATGGTGGTCGGGGCCGAGCAGCCATCGTGCCAGATGTTTGGTGTCTCGATAGGTATGGAGATAAAGAGGATGGTGAATCGGCTCGGTGAAGCACGCCATCCCTGAGCCGGGCCCATAAAACCAGCCCCGAGTCATGAGAGCAGCCTTACAAGCCTGTGCCTGGCGGGCGGCTCGTAACAGCCGACGAGCCGTTAGCTGGGCGACGTCCTTAACTCCACAGAATTGGGGGCCAACAACGACACAGAAGAGGCGGCCGGAGATACAAAGGCGAGCCGGCCAGTTGATACACTCCGTGCTCTGTGACTATCTATGTACTATCCGGGTCGCGGGCACTGAGGCTGGAGCACGGCGTTATAGATGCGTAGATCATTATACCAACACAAGAAACATGTCCTCGAACGGTGCCGCGAGGATTGTTGGATTACTCATTGTGACTACCCGTCGGTATAGGTTAGAAATGAACCCGGTAAGGGCATTGGGACCAGACCACCTACTCTTACATATAATCACCAGTTTGCTTTTGCGCGCTGACAGACACATCCTGCCTGCCTCTCTTCTATTGTTTCTCTGTGACGCCTGTCAACACCTTGCCCAGCATGCAAACACCCAGTCTAGTGCTTTCCTGTCACCTCCAGTGCTGTCTGCCTCCTTGTTGCCCCAAGAATGCTGCATAACTTGTACTCAGGAATGCTCGCGACATCTCGTACTCGTCTCTTCAAATGGCGACCGATTTGCCCCCATTGGTCAGTCGATACCAGCCCAGCCCAAACGCCGCCCAGCTCAAGCCAAGCAGCACGGGCGCCCCTCGTTTCTGAGGCTCGCCATGACTTTCTTTAAACTCGTCGTCCACCCACTTCGTCCCGGGGTACAGGATCGCCGACACTTGCGTCGCCCAGTACAGGCTGCTCATCAGCGCCGCCGTGAGCAAGTTGTCCAGCAGCCCCGACGTGGTGGAGGTGTTGGTGGTCCGCCAGGTGTAGTACCAGGTGAGCAGGCCCAGGCCAAGCCCCGTGGACATGGTCTGGCCGTTGTGGAATTTGGCATGCGGGGTCCATCGTGGATTGAAGACGTGGGTTTCGTTCCAGTCAGCCATGTAGCCCCCGGCGGCAGAGGCGAGGCCGAGCAGGGAGAAGATGATGCGGGTGGGAAGGACGGCGGAGGAGGCAGAGTCGGAGGACATGGCGATTCAATAGCTGTGAGCGGACGGAGGGTTTCAAGGTGAGGTATTTGTGTGTTGTTCTGATGGGAGGTGTCCTTCACCAGCGTATGAGGTATCCCGTACTGGGTCGAGGGCGCAGTTGAGGTTGTTGCAGTTGACGCAGTTGATGCAGTTGTTGACTATCCTCGTCGACTTTTGGCTTTGGCTGCGGCGCGCCTCAGGGGCTTCAGTCAGCATCGCAGCATCTCCTCCCCCGGCGCTAGCCTTGTGCCTACCAACTGAAGAAGCTTTTTGGGGCAACCCACTTCCCCCCAAGAGCTACAAAGGCAGTAAACGAAGCTCTAACGGTGCAGCTAAAGGAGGCCTGAAGGAACAAAAAGCCACCTTCACCGTCCTTCGTCTCACCGCGTCCGTTGCAGGAGGCTGGTCGGTCCAGAAAATATCGAGTGCAGGTATATGGTATATTGGGACTTGCATCTTCCTCCCCATCCTCCCCTCTGCACTCTCGTTGGATCGCTTCGCCACAGACCAAACAACTACTCGTGCTCCGTACAGGGAAAACAAACATGCCAACGCGCCAATTGGAAGTCGCCATTATCGGCGCCGGCATCGCTGGGCTTTCGGCGGCCATCGCCCTCTCCCACGCCGGCCACTCGGTCTCGCTGTTCGAGAAATCCAGGTTTCGAAACGAGACCGGTGCGGCCATCATCATCGGGCCCAACGGCACCAGGATCCTGTCGAAATGGGGCTTCGACTTCGTCCGGGCCGGCGCCCTGGACTACAGCCAGATGCGCCGCATCAAGGCCGACACCGTCGAGGTCGACTCGGAGGAGTTCTTCACGGACATCAAGGAACAGTACGGGGACAGGTGGCTGCTTTTCCACCGTGCAGATCTCCACGCCGGGCTGAAGGCGTTGGTGGAGGCTTGCCAGCCGCGACCGCAAATCAACCTGGGCACGCAAGTTGTCGACGTCGACGTCGAGAGCGGTGTCCTCACGCTTGCCACGGGCGAGGAAGTCAAGAAGGACCTTGTCATCATCGCGGACGGCGCGCACAGCGAACTCATCGCCAAGGTCATTGGCCGGCCCTACCCCGTGAGCAAGTCGCCCATGTCCATGTACCGGTTCCTGCAGCCCTTTGACAAGGTCCTCGCGCACCCCGAAGCGGGACCATTCTACCAGAACCAGCCCCCCGGGTTCACCACCTTCTACAAGACAGAGGTCGGCCGCCCGGGGTTGCTCCTCAACACCTACCCCTGCCGCGGCGGAGAGCTGCTGTACGTGGCGCTCGTGCACCCGACCAAACCCAAGGAGAAGGGCATCGAGGGCTGGGACTCGCCCGCCGACCTGGCCGACGTGCTCGCCGACGCCAAGGGCTTCCATCCCGCCGTGCAGGCCGTGTGCGAGGGCGCCACCGAGATCAAAGTGTACACGCAGATGTGGCGCGACCCGATCGAGAATTTCGCCCGCGGCAGGGCCGTCCTGATCGGCGACGCCGGCCACCTGATGCTCCCCACGCACGGCCAGGGCGCGTCCATGGCCCTGGAAGACGCCCTGGCGCTGCAGGTGCTCTTTGGCGACGTCGCCGACTCCCCGGACGCCGTGCAGTCCAGGCTGCAGCAGTTCGACAAGCTCCGTCTCCCCCGCGTCAGCGCCGTGCAGACCATGTCGAACAAGATGATGGGTCCGCCGGACAGGATGGTCGCAGAGGTCAAGAAGTACTACACCGGTCCCATCCCCGGCCCCAAAGCCAAGACCTTTTCGAAGGAATACAACGACTTTTTCTTCCTGTACGACGTCGAGGACGAGGCCAGGAAATTGGTCAATGAGTGATGAGCAAAAAAAACTGAGCGGTTGAAGACCGCGCAATCTGTACCCCAGGATGGGCTAGATCAACCCCTTGCGCACTATGATAGAAACTTTCCTATACCAGAGGAAAAAGAAATTGAAGTTACATTGCAAAACCAAAGTCGATTCACACATTTGTCCAAATCCCTTTCCCAACATTATACATTCCCTGCGTTTTCCCATCCCGTTCCGGGGCAGCGACTGACATGACCATACTCAGAACGCCCGGTGCCGCTCGGCCTCTTTTCCCGGCGGCGTGGGCTCGGCGTGCCTGGCAAACAGCCTCCTCAGGCCCTGGTTGACGATGAGGTCCACGATGCGCGCGGGGCCCTTGGCGAGGCTGGAGATGCTGATCCGCCGGACGCGGAAGAGGTAGTAGAGGAAAATGCAGGCGAAGATCTGTTGTCACGGACCCAGAAAAGGGGGCGTTAGCAAGGGGCCAACCTGATAAATAGCTCACGGCGCTTGCAAAACAGAGCCGCCTCCATTTCAGAACCTCAGAAGAGGCAGGGAGTTGCACTTACGTTGAAGATGATGTAGGCAAACCCGATCCCAAAGTTCCGCCACCTGTCGCTGGGGTAGATCTTGCTGCCGGCTAGGAACTGGTCCGCCGACGTGAGCGGGCAGTACTGGCACTGGCTGGTCGCGTTGGGGTTGTACAACTGGCCCGGTGCGCCGCCGTTCAAGTACGCCGTCAGATACTGCGCGCAGGTCTGGCCGGATGGCGGGTCAAACTTGGCGAGTTCGTTCTGCGCGCAGTGGACCAGCCGACCTCGGAGCCCGGTGCCTGCCCAGCCGGAGATGAGGTAGGTCATCGGCGACACTCGATCTGGAAGCCGTGGTTAGTCTCTGGAAGGGGAGCACAGTTTGGACAGGGGCCCAGAACATACACATGAATATCCAAAAGCCCGGCAGTGCAGACGGACTCTGCAGGACACCGTTGAAAGTGAGCATCATACTGAACAACAGCGTCGCGATATTGCCCGCCGTTTCCGCGTCAGGCATCGCTGCAATGATCATATGGGCAAACGTGCTGGTGAAGACCATGAATTGGACCACGAAAAGCAGCATCAGCCCTCTCGTTTCGCCGCTCTGGTTCTTGCCGAAGATCGCAAAGTACCACGAGACCCACATGAGGAAGGCCAGGACTATTTGATAGGGGATTTCCACGACGATGTTGGCAACAAGAAAGGCAATCCATGAATATGCCTTGGATGGACGTTCTCGGACTTCGTAGAGGGATCGTTGGATGACAAACCGGGGCATGATCTGCTGGACCAGAGACGAAAAGATCCTGTACATGGTCAGCACCAGCAGAAGATATGATAAGATGTCAAGGTGCAACTAACGTGACAAGCATAAAAATGCCGAAAATTGTGTTCTGTAACCCAGTCGAGGTACTGTTTTGCTTGTAGAATGAGAAGCCGATGAACAATGCAGACATGATACCCAAGAGAAATCTGGAGGCACGTCAGTCTTCGTGGATGCGTTGTGATGGAGACCCAATACTTACTTGCCGCTGATATAAGATGGCGTTCGCCAGTATTGCTGAAACACCCGGTGAGTGACATGGTAGATCTGAGCTGTGAGTGGCATGGCAAATTCGGATGTCGATGATGCGTCTCCTGCCGGTTCTGATCGCTTAGCCTCTTGAATTCGATCTAGTTCTGCCTGCACCTCGTTGGCCTCGGGCGTCGTCTTCCACACTTCGCTCCAATCACGGTCAGATTTCTTCCCGCAGATGTCGAGCATATACTCGGCAGGGTTTGCATCGTCGTCGCACTTCGGGGCACCGTTCCGTTCAAAGTAGTCCAACAAAATCTTCGAGTTCTTGCCGATGTCGCCGAAATAAATGGTCTTGCCTCCTTTCATCAGGAAAAGTAGTCGGTCAAACTCTTGGAATAGGATAGCCGATGGCTGATGGATCGTGCAAAGAATTGCTTGTCCCGAATCGGCGAGCTTGCGAAGGAAAGCAACAATCGACCAAGAACTCTGGGAATCCAGACCTGAGGTGGGCTCATCGAGGAAAATAAGGAGTGCGGGTTTTGCTGCGAGCTCGACGCCGATCGTCAGGAGTTTGCGTTGTTCAACATTCAGACCTTCTCCTGGGTTTCCAACAATAGCCTCCGCAAAATCTTCCATGTTGAGCATTTTGATAACTTCTTCGACAAACTCATCCTTCTCTTTTCTTGTCACCGATTTCGGCTGCCGAAGGTAAGCTGAAAACCGAAGAGCTTCTCGGACGGTCGTGGTCTCAAGGTGGAGATCTTGTTGCTGCACATAGCCTGTTTTGCGTTGAAAGGAACGATCGAGGGGTTTGCCATTTACAAGCTGCCATAAAGGAGAACGTTAAAGAGCTGATCCAAACACAGCTGTGTTTGCTCGGGAAACTCACCATATCGCCCGTCAACACGCCTATATTGATTCTCTGCGCCAAGGCATCCAGCAAGGTGGTCTTACCAGCTCCTGAAGTCCCCATGAGAGCCGTCAAAGTGCCAGGTTTGACCCAACCCGAGACGCCATCAAGCAGTCTTCGGGGTTCGCCCTTGATTTTAATGTCGAGGGTCACATTCCGCCATGTAAAGATATCCTTCTGCGCAGGTAGAGCTTTGACTTCCTCCGCTTGCTTCTCATCGACAGGATTGGCCGTGCTCAACCCCTTTTCGTCGGTATGCATGCGCTCCTCATCATTCTTGCCGCCTTGCAGGTACGACGGGACATGCCCTCTTCTGAAGACCAGGAACTCTGCTGTCGAGGTTGTGTCGGAGTTGAGTTCGGTAGCGATAAAATAGATCGCGAAGAAGAAAATCATGAAGGCGAAGAGAAAGCCGAGATTCCGCCAGATATGGCTATAGGAGTATCCGTACGACGACTTGACCCATGCATCTCCGGAAACAGTGGTTTGACCAGCCACCGCGCCAGCCACAGCACATTGGAAATGGTTGCCAGTACCATAGGGTGGAACCAAGCTGGTGGGAGCACAGGGGAAGTTCCGGCCGTGAACTTCGTTGACAAGGAGTGACTCGAATGCATAGGCGATCGGATTGATCCAAGAACTCCATTTGAACCACGGGTGCATGAAAGACCTTTGCATCGTAAAGCCCGTGTCTGATATGTCGTTAGCTTGGGAACTTGCACGGAAGATCATTGACCGAGATCCGCGGCAAACAAAAGGCAAGCTCAGAAAGCTACTTACAGATAACAATCCAGAGAACCATTACACCAGCAATGGCCAAAGCGGCCGAAATGGTTTTGGTAACTGCTGCCGTTGTTCGAAAGATCGCCGACATGGTCAACATGGCTATAAAGTTGAAGAGGAAGAAAATGAAGAAATTTGAGGCTCTGTACCTCAACCCAGCCAGGAAGTACAGGATGATGTTGAATACAGTAGTGGTGCAGAATTTGATGGGTAAGTCGGCCACAATACCTGCGACAGCCTCCGTGAAAGGATGGTAGAAGGCGTAAGACTTGTGTTTCGCGACGATGGGTCTTTGGCTGTACAAGGTGTTGATCTCGACAATGGACTGCAGCGCACTGAGCAACACAGCGAAGAACAGGACAGAGCCTTTGGCGAAAAAGCTGCCGGTAGAGAGCGGAGTGCCAAAAAAGATGGACCCTATGATGAGAGCTTGTGCAATCTGACTGAAGATGACAGCGCTGAGTCTGGCGTTAGCTTGGCTGCGAAGACGTGAGGCAAGGTCACAAGCACGACTTACATGGTTGATGCTTTGTCGTTCCAGAGTCTCTGGTACGCTCGAGTAACGCAAAGGCGAATTTGCATTGGGATGCTGATCACATAGGGCGATTTGGGGCGCACATGCTCAGCTTGCCTCTGGTGGTGGGCTTCTCGGAATGTCTGTAGAGCTTCTTCCCCATCGGCGTCGACTTCTTCAGCATGACTGGCTTCCTCTTGAGACGCCTTGTACTGAGAGCTCTCCAGCCAGTACTTTTCAAATTCTGCAGCTGTACGGGGGAGCTTGTTCTCAAATCCTTCTCTGGGTTGCCTCTCTCGGGGATTGGTAACGGACCTAGAATGTTCCCTCAGCAAATCCATCTCCCGGGTCAATTTATTGAGGATGGAAACAAGACGTACGTCAAGAAGTCACCTGTAGTTTGTCTAGGAGGACAATACCAGCCCATGTCTTCGAAATATGCCCTCGCTTCGTCGCAAGGTCCAAAGTAGATCTGCCTCCCCTCGTAGAGCACGATTGCTTTGTCACATAAGTCATAAATGGCTTGCGAAGCCTGGTAGATTGCGATAAGGGAAGTGAGGCCTGCGAAGTCTGCAGCGATTCGGAGCGACCGGACGAATTCGAGAGCAGTTTGTGAGTCGAGGCCACGAGTTGAGTTGTCCCATGCGGCAATCGGCGAACCTGTCAAGAGATAATGAGCTTGAATTCTTGAACAGATTCGTATCACCCTCACCTGCTAGAGCCATCTCGGCGATGCTGACACGTTTTCGCTCTCCACCGCTAACACCGCGTACGAAATCGTCTCCAACCTTGGTGTTGCGGGTGTGTGCTGAATGCGAGGTCAGTCCAACTCTGCAGCGAACCTCTTGTAGGGTTCTGGCAACTTACACAAACCGAAGATGTTCATCATGACAGAGGCCATGTATTTGGCCCATTCGTCTCGAGGAACATCAAGAATTCTGTTGGATGGAGTTCGGCAGGCGGCGGCAAAGTTAAGAGTCTCCCCCACCGTCAAATGAGGAAAATGCTTTTCATTCTCTTGATTGTATATTGCCTCGCCTTTGAACTCCTTCACGAACAGCTCCTGTGGTATTCCACTATAGGTGATCTTGGAGTCCTTTGAGACCTGCAAACCTTGGAGCTCGCCACAGATGGTCTTGAGGAATGTAGAACAGCCACTCCCAGGTCGACCAAGGACGATAAGCAACTCGCCGCTGTTGACATGTCCATTGAAATTTCGTAATATCTGTTTCTCAACAGGATGCTGGAAAAGCTCGCGGATGCGGAAAGGTTGCATAAAGAGGGAGCCGACATTCTTCTGGAGTACTAGGGCCGACCCCTTCCCAGAAACACTGAGATTCTTGAAAGTGAAGCCTGATCTTCGCAATTTGATGTTCTGCTGTTCGAGAAGCTGGAGAAACTTGCGGATCCACAGGAAAAAGTTGAACGCGGGATTGTTCGGATCGAATTCAGGGGACTCAATGCCCATGCCGGCAACAGTGTCCTGTCTCTGCAGGCCATCGCTAGTAAGAGTGCGAGTTCGAGCTCCGGACAGGACGGATGCAATCCTTGCAAGCTCATCTGGTCTGGTTGGTTCTTCATCGTCGAAGCGATAGTCATCTGTGTCTCTCGTCTTTCGCGTTCGGATTGGCTCGAATGCCGGGCCTTCAGAGCTGCTGGTCGATACCTCGCGCTCTAACGAGTCGTCAGTTGGCGGAGGACGACGTGCCTCGTCTCCTGCACCCATAATGCCGATATCAATGGAGCGTTAACACCAGATTGTGGACAGAGAGAAGCTAGAAGGATACAATATCAGTGTGCCGAATAGAGCCCGCAAACCCCTCAGAAGACCCCGTTTCTTGGCCTTGTCGTTCTGAGATGTGTGATCAAATGCGTCAGAAATACAAGAAAGACTATATAGCAAGCGACAGAGGCATTCTAGGAGCGCTGTTGATCCTGATGCAGTAGCAGTGAGATGAGAGAGTAGTGCAGGTCGAAGGATGTAGTCGTCCGAGTATGATGCGCCGGGACTCTGACCATTCTTGGGGTCCTGTTTTCACGATGTAAATGTAGAAGGCAAATAAGACGTCTCATTGGAGGATTGTATGTAGTATTTCTCGGCTTTTGAAGCGAAAGCATAGAATCCTTGCACAAGCCCCTCGGCCGTCAAGGCCTACAGCCCAAGTGTTAGGCCAAGAGCTTAAGAACTCGCCCAGGCCAGGGTTCGCGGAAGTCCCGCCACGGCTTGGGAAATCCCGCTTGAACAGCCAATTTGTGAACTGGACCCTTCTCCCCACCATTGTCGATGCGCTAGGAATAAATCAACCGATAGTAAGAACATCTCCGGCGTATTAGCTTCTGTCATGGGGCGTATAGTGCTGATCTTGGACCATGATGAAGAGCCAGGCACAGGTACCGCTACCGGTGCAGTCAGAGCCTGGCAAAACAACAACCACAGCAGGCACCCGAATTGGGGGGATCGGCGCCGGCAGGAACCAAGAAGAATACGGAACGCTGGAGGGCCTCAAATTGGTGTGTCCACGTAGCGACTGGTTCTTGTTGATGAGCACCGCTATGCGCCGAGCAAAGGGCAAATTCCGACGGGTCCTTGAGAGGCTTGGGGACGCTCGTCTCTGTTACTTAAGGCCTTACATAATGATGCGGCAAGGATGGCTCTCTTCCTGAAAGGGACAATTGGCAAGGGTGTGCATTGTCATCGCGTGTTAGCGTCGCTTACTGCGCTGCAGTAGGAACGGACAGATTGCGCATCTCCTCGCAAGCATAGGCAGGTCCTGAACTATCGGCAGGGACCAGCGTCCGCGGCCAAGGCACAGCGAGTGGCGATTCGCTTGTGCAAGATGCACTAAGAATGGAGTTCCGGAGCGCAGGAGGAGACTATTCCGAATTCAAGAGTCCACCAGCGTTGACACGGACGGAGGGAGATGGAAGCTGGAAGACGATGCTTTGTGCAGAGTGGGACGGGTTGATGCGAGCACCGAATCAGGAGGGTCGGCAAGGGATACAGAGTTTTTCCCATGTGCAACTGAGAGGCACAACAACAATGAAGGAGATGAGGAGATGAGGAAAAAGGCAGAGATGCAGAACCGGACAAGGGAGAAGCGCAGGCTGTGGGCGCAGGCGCAGGTCCAGCTGAAGTGACGACACGATGATGCCAAGCCGCCATATCCGAATCCGGCGGCGCAGCGGGAACCTCGTCGCCGTCGGCCGAGCATTTGCGCCTTGCGCTCGCATCGCACAAACCATTCACACTCGTTGCATTCATCATCGCTACCCTGAAGAATAGTTGGCAATACGAAATACGAACCCCCTTCCCCCACCGCCACCAAAACAAACCCTATCGCCATCTCAGTCGCGACACGATGATCAAATGTCGTTGCCCGGTCTTGGCCTAGAAGAGCCAGAAGAGGTTCACACCGTTGAGGCCACCCAACACGATCTTGCACAGGAGACGGAATGGCGCTTCGAGGTTGCCGTGGGCAAGTATGTCCAGGTCAAGGTGAGTTCAGCCTTTCTCGCCGCTGCTAGGCATCCTCTAATGCACGTATCTCGCAGCTGTTGTCTGGGACCGCTGAGTTGTTTGGAACCGAACTTGTGATCGGAAACACGTATACCTTCACGGGCACAAAGGCTGCCATTTACACTTGGAACGGTTGCCAATTCCAGGTCAGTGGTGATGCCCTGCAAAGCGAGTATACCGCGGAGGAAACTCCCATGAGCGAGTACATCAACACCCATTTCAGCCTCGAAAATCTGCGTGGTCAAGCTCAAGCTACAGGGCGCGAAGGCCCACGAGTCTTGATTTTAGGCCCTGAGAATGCAGGCAAAACCTCTCTTGCCAAAATCCTCACAGGTTATGCTTCTCGATCTGCACGATCCCCAGTTGTGGTCAATCTGGATGTCAAGGAAGGTGTCATCAGCATTCCCGGTACCCTGACTGCCACCGTCTTCAAAACCCTGATAGATGTCGAAGAAGGATGGGGAACTGCCCCAATGTCGGGCCCTAATGGGGCAATCCCGGTCAAGTTACCACTCGTCTACTTCTTCGGCAGTTCGAAACCAGAGGAAAAAGAAGGCAAGGTCTACAAAGGTCAGATCAACCGGCTGGCTCTCGCGGTGGCAGGACGCAGAGCTCAAGACCCCGAAGCTAGAGAAAGCGGTATTATTATCGACACCCCAGGAAGTTTGACTACAACGAAATCTGGCAACACTGTCGGATACGACATTATCCAGGACATCGTTTCTGAATTTTCCGTTTCGGCCATCATCTGCATGGGCTCGGAGAGACTGTACAGTGATATGGTCAAGAAATTCGACGGACAGCCTGCCGCATTTCGACCCTCATCGTCGTCCGCAAGTAATGTGTCCGCCTCGCCCGAATCAATCTCTGTAATCAAGCTTGCCAAATCTGGCGGGTGTGTCGATCGCGACGAAGCGTTCATGACCGCCTTCCGCGCGGCACAAATCAAAACATACTTCTACGGCAACCCGCGCCTGAGCAACGGTATCTCCCTCCAACCTCGCCATCAGCAAGTGGATTTCTCTACGTTGACCGTGTGGCGCCGCATTGGAACAACTCCGGACTCTTTTGCTGCGGCTACTGCGGATCAGGACGACGAGGATTCCTTCCTGCCCGGCGGTGTAGGTGACGACGCTGATGACACATCGCCTTCTTCCACATCCAAGGTCCCGCTTCCCCTGTCCCAGATATTTGAACGCATGACCAGCCCCGTCGCGGCGATGCGAAGTTCCGTCCTTGCGGTGATGAACTGCGACGGAGAAGCCGAGCAAGAAGTTATTCGCGACAGCACTGTGATGGGATTCCTATATGTCACAGATACCGATGAAGCAAGAGGACGAATTAGTTTGTTAAGTCCAGTTGCAGGGCGCGTGCCGAGCCGGGCGATTGTGTGGGCGGGCTGGCCAGAAGCTGTTATCGGGTTGGAAAGGAGCTGATCCAAAACTGCAGCCTCAGAGTGAAAGGAAGGAGTTGTCTTCGGGTAAGGTTGGGCACACGCACCAAGCTCGCTCCAGTATCCGGAATAGAATACCAGGGATAGAAGATTGAAACTTCGGAATGGAAGTAATCTGAAATCTTTTGTCTTTTTTATTGTACAGTGCGCGTGCAGACTTTAATTTATCAGCCCGCTAATCGCTTTTTTGACAAGGGAGACAGAGCAACGGTATAGGAGAAATGCCCGCGCTGTCGTCTTACTCGTACTCGACCAACCTTTCCAGAATACCCTGCAGACTCTGGATGCCTATGAGGGCGTTCTCGTCGGGGCCTTCGTCCGGCGTCCACCTCGCGTGGGCAAAATCAATGAGCCGCAGTTCGTGGATTTTGTACGGCTGCACATCCTCCTCGTCCTCCTCCTCGTCCTCATCCTCCTCGTCCCAGTCGCCGTCCTCATCACCAGATGGGTCCACCGTACCATGCTCTGCCTCCCGAACACTCTCCTCTTCTTTCGCGATGCTGGCCTCCAGCGTCTCCGGGTCTCCTTCATACACCATCAACACACTCGCGCTGTACATTCTGCTTTCCTCGTCTTCCAGGAGAAAGCGCACACTCTTCAATTCCCTGAGGAACCGCCGGATCAGAAACTCGGCACGTGGATGCTTGAATCTGACTCTCGTCCTGGTCGTCGTGTCATCGGCAGAGTCATCTTCGCGAACGCCGCCGAGATACGTCTTGAAGGCGTCGGCGACGTTATCTACCGACAAGGACTGCCCGTAGAACTTGTTGTAGGATTTATACCCGTTCTTGACCTCTACGTACTGTCTCTCGGCCGGTGTCACCTCGACCTCGGCGCTTGGCTCTGTGCCAGCGCCAGCCCACAGCTTCATCCCAGCAACACGAATACCTAGCAGCCCGCTGGTCGTCTTCGCCGCCACCTCGTCTAGTTTCCTTCTCTTGGCCAACGGCGCGTCGTCGTCCCACAGTCTGGCGCCGAGCTTCACGTCCAACACGTTCGGGTGCTTGAAGCCGGACGCGACATTTTCCAACACAATCGCCAGGCCTGTGGAGATTTTCTTGCCTCCAGATGGTTTCCACGACACGCGCCTATTAAGTCCCGGGGTGCCCTGGGTGGCGGCCCCCTGTGCTGCGACCGCGTCGGCAAGGGAGGGTGCAGCCACGCCGTCTTGAGAAGACTCTAGCAGCGGTGCAACGGCTTCTTGGTCGTCATGTCGTGTGAGCGATCCGAGGTAGGCAGGCATGTGGGCTTGGAACAAGGGGTGGTCTCTGGCGGACTCGTAGAAGTCGATCTCGGCTTGTGTGCAGGGCTTGATGATGAGGGAGCCCGAGGCATTGGAGCTGATACCATCACTGTGCGTGAAAGGGTGTCAGTGTCACACGGATACCAAACGCAACCACATAGCCACACAGAGGGGGTCGTTCTTACTGTCCAGCAGCAGTGTGGTCGAATGCCACCAGCTTGGACTCTGAGAGCATTGCTGCCACCCTATTGCTTGCTTGTTCTGAGGTAGAGCTCTCCATATCGACGGGTGTGTACCGGAGATTCGGAGGAGCTCGTTAGAGGAGAAAGACGGAGGGATCAAAGGAATGTGAAGACATCCTTGGGATCTGCGAGAATCATAGCAGCCCGCTGCTCGTACTGGTGCATGTGAATCATTCTTCTCGATACTGGTGCGGGCGTCGACACTTCTCGAAGTCTCAAGGATTCCCGCGTTTGAGCTGCCGCTGGAATGCGGAGATGATTGGCTGAAGGGTCTAGAGGCCGAGATGCTGGGGTCGTTGGCATTTCTCCCCATACTCGGTTCCGTTAGTCGCAGCAAGGTTCTTTCGATCTCTCAGCCTTGCTAGGGTCTGGAGGTCGAATTCGGAGGTCAAGATGGGCTTCGTGAGGGCGTGAGATCGATGGGTGAATCATGTAACACCTCGACAACACCATCGCTGCACTGCGGCCTTCTGCAGATCTGATTGTTTGCTAATTCGACACTCACTTCGCACGAGAGAATCAATCATCCCCCAATTTATCATTTCTATCTCTCTCCATTCAACATCTAAGTGAATTGTCAAAGCCTTTCTCCAGAATCTCATTTATCTGTGGCTCATACTACTCTCGTCATTGAGCCTGTCTTCCTCAACTTTTCGTCCTATCCTCGGCGTCCAAGATTCCATTGAGAGATATGGCCCAGAGTCAAGAATCAGCCGCAAACACTGGCATATCAGCCCAAAGCCCTGAGCTAACTGTCGACGAAGCCGGTCTCAATTCTACCGCTGCTATGAACGCTTCTGAGGCGGCAGGACTTCCGCTGAGGCCTCGAGCCAACACCACCGCGTCCAACGACTCTCATGATTCACCCAACGTCGCTCAGCAACCTGGGACCGGCGCCGAGGACGGGATTGGGAATGATCAAGGAGATCAACCACAGGGCGACTACGGCGAGGTGTCCAAGTATCCCCCCGCCGAGGTGGAGAAGAAGAAAAAGAGGAAGAAAGTCAGGCCACAGAGTAAACGTGGGATTGTAAGGCTTTCAACCTGATACCAAGCGGCAGGAGGACCGTTGTGCTGACAACTGTCCAAGAACAAACCCACAGGTTTCGAAGAGTACTTTGCGGACCCGCCGCTGACGCCAGAACAATATGCCGAGGAGCAAGAAATCTACCATCCGTGAGTTACTCTCACCTCTTCCGGAGAAGAGACTCCCAGGTGTGCTAACCATCCATTGCGGCAGCGGTCTTCTCTTCGTGGACCGAATCGCCACAGCCATAGCACGCTTCGAGAGAACTCGCAAACTCACTTCACAGCGCGGCGATGTCCTGCACAAGTATCTCATCTATGGCGGCTTAGCAAGGAGCGCCAATGTCTGCCAAGGGGGCCAAGACACCGAAGGCATGGACAAGACGCAGATCGCACTTATACAGACACAGTTCTGGATCAGCGAGGACAAGCGGGACCTGGGTACCGAGACCAGTGTGTATGAGGTCGACTTTCTCGCCTGCGCCAAAGGCTTCCTGAGCCGCCGCGCGAAGGACTGCTTCGGCCTTGACACGGAGGACGAAGTCAACATGGTTTGCACCACCCTGGAGAGATTTCTGGACTACCTACTACAGCATGATGTCTGCCCCGAATACAAGGAGGACATACTAGCTGCGCGTGCGCTGTGCCGCCAAGCTGGACCTGAACTCTGGGACATGGCCGAAGCGACACGCCGCCTACCGGGTGAGTTCAACGTGGCATGCTCGACACTCTTCGGTGGCAGCTACTCACGCGACTACGACGGAGAAACATGGTGGGGAAATCCCGATACTGAAGGGCCTGTCTTCGTAGGATTGAAGCCCGAAGAGGCCCAGCAGATTGTCAGGTTCGGAGTAGCTGGTGCCGCTTCGGAGGAGGTCTATACCGCATTTCTTACAGGTGTGCAGGACCACACACCGGTGATGTTAGACGTGGTGAGTACGCAGGAACGCGCCGGCTTCGAAGTCATCCGCATCGAGCCCCCCACCAGGGAATGTAAAAAGATTTACACGACGCACTCTGAGCACTTCCGACCTGTCGGTCGTGTCTACGCCAAACCCTGGAAGAATCCTGACGCCGCACCCGAGGATCTCACGCCGTCTGAGCAAGCCGCGTCGTCCACATCATCCAGTCGGGATGCCGAGACCGAGTATGTCTTCTTCATCGAATCGATCCTCCAGACGTGTCTACGCGTAGGCACCAAGGTCGAAGCCACCATCCGGACACTGGGCTGCGGAATCATGTTCTTCGACCAGGTACTTAATGTGTACCCTACGTTTGACGAGTTTCTGGTCAACGAGATGATGGTCGGATGGAAGGAGCCCAGGCCGCTCAAGGGTTCGTTGGCTTATGTCGCTGGGGATGACAGTGATGGGGAAGACGACGGCGGTGGTGACGAGGGTGGTAATGTGGGAGCTGGGAACAATGTGGCAGTTGCAGCGGACGAAACGGTGCCGTCGAAATGATGGCAACACAGCGTGTCCTTGACACGAAATCGGAACACCACAGGACCTTAGCCTATGAAAGCCGACGGGACCTCCCACCCACATCCAGCACGAGCGGTATACACTCGGCGAGGAAGAATGGCCCGTCTCAACGCGAATGGCACCTCCCATATACCACTTCAGATCCCACCACTACCACCATCGGGGATCGTCCCAGTGATGCCGCGAGCACACCGCTCTGGTTCAGAAATCAGTCCAGATCCAGCCAAGCAGCTTACACTACGGGTCGTTGCTCTAACTGTCATCGACTAGGTACCTATGGTACATACGCACAAGCTCCAGCTCTCTTGACGTGACGACCACCTAGCATTTGCCCCAGAGCACTCAACGAGTAGCCTGTGCATGTCTCGTTAGGCAGTTGCAGCAATCGACCTCCAAGTCCTCCAATCTCGAGGCTATTTATTGTGTACCGCAGCTAGGAGAGGATGGAGCAGGGCAAATGAATAAACCACTGAACCTACAGCCACTGGGTGATGACTTCCTATTTCTTTCCTCTTCCTTCTCCTTTATCTGCCCAGATCCAACACGATGGGGAGGGCACGGGATAAATAGACGCAGTCGACAATTCGACACACCGACGACTTGAATGAGAATGAATGCTCACCGGTGTAGTTTCCAGAGTGACACGCTGTAAGATGGTGCAATGAATTCGAGCGAGCATTCCATTCCTCACCTACCTATTTCTCACTCTTGTCCTGATCCGCATGGCATTGACAGCTGATGCTTCAGGGCATATCGCAATGCAGCATGTACGTAGATCTATCCTCATCCCACCCATTTGAATCCCGAGCACAAAATTCCCAGACACGGAAGAGAGAAACGCTCGGAGGCGAGAAAAGAAAACAGAGGTGAGGCACGACTCAGTAAATACTAGGTACTATGTAGTAGATACAGGTGATATGTCTTTCCCTGCATCAACGAGCATACATACGCACCCATGTACGCACACCAACCACACATACAATACATATGATATGCAGAAACCTGAATGGTCGGGCTGGTGCTCACCTCGCTGGTTAACGACCTATATATATATATATATAGAGTATGAAGCAGTGGAGGCCAGGCCTGCATTTTCCTTCCTCGTTCGAAACTGCCGTCGCACCCATGATCCCATTGTTCGTGACAAAAAAGAAAGAAAGATGTGTTGAACGCCAAAGCCGGGAATCTCTCTTCAAAATCATGTCGCTGGATCCCGTTAACATTCCCAAAGGGGGCGCGCCTCCCATATGTCCAATTCCTGGCGCAAATATGAAACTTTTCTCTTGGTCCTGCTCTCGACTCCCTTGATCTTTACCATGAATCCATCTTTTCCGTGCAGCTTGGTAGCCTGAACTGGCAGATCATCAGTCGAAATCCTAGCTCAACCGGTTCAACACCTTTTTGCCCAGCATCAACACACTCTTCCGTTTGTTGGTCTCGGCGTCACTGTCTGTAGCCATCCCGCCAGCACCTCCACTAGCACCGCCAATGACACTGCCTGGGGACCCTTCCTCGTGTCCACCGGCATCCCTTTCCCTCTCCTTTGCGCTGGGGGTGTGGCTGCCGTGACTGTCGCTTCTCTCCCTGTGCGAGTGACTCTCACTCTTGATCAACGAAAGTCCACCAAAATGCACTCTGCCCTTGACGGTGTCCCCTGAGAAATGTCTCCCAATTGTGTCCTTTAGTAGGCTTCTGCTTGGACCTTGTGGTGAAGAGGGTGTATTGTTTGGGCTGTTGAGGTTCGGACTAGAGTTTGTGGCGGAACTTGGATGTGCAGATCTCGGTCGTGAGAAAAATGAGGATGTGCTACTGATGATTCCACTTCCTCCAGCCACCGCTCCGCCAGCAGTGCCGGGCACTGAACGAGGCGTAGTCGCGGTGAGAGTCCCACTGGCACTGGCACCCATAGTTGGTAAGTTGATACTCGACGACCACGAGCCGCTCCGGAGCAGTGGGCTGGGCCCATGAAAATTGGCCCCCTTGTGGTGTCCATTCGTCCCAGGCGGCGACTGGAATGATATACCCGAGGACTCGAAGTCGTCATCCCTCCCGTCCTGCGAAAAACTATACAGACTGGTCGTCTCTGACGTCCCCGAGAGTTGAAGGTTAATATCCGAGTTCGGAATGGTGCTTGAATGTGCAATCTCCTTGAGTCGTTCGACCTGCTTTTTACTAGGTCTGTGATGCGAGAATTTGTTGCCAATAATTGCCCCGGTGTGGCTAATCAACGCTCGGATCACATCCTTCTTCAATCTGAGCGCAAGGTCCAAGTTTGACCACGTCTTGTTTCGATACTCGAGCGTCGGCATGCGGAACACAAAGTCGTGGAGATCCTCAAAGTTACGATCGGATTTGCCCTTATACGAGAGGCAGACGACAAAGCTGTTGAGTTTGACATGAGCGAGTGTCATGTAATTAGATGCACGAGACATCATTTGGGAGAGGTCGTCATTGGCCGCGCTGGTCTTGTCCTTTTTGTCCTTCTTGCCCGTGACGCCGCGTTCTTTGCTGCCCGTCCGGTGAAGGGGGAAGCGCTTTCTCTCCGTTGCTCCGTCACTGGAACCAAGGGCGACAAGACTTGTAGATGACGCATCATGTTTCTTTGCTGATCTCAAACTGGTCGAGGATCCTTTGCGTGTGGGTTCCTTCAGAACTGAGCGAGCCTCGGACTTGTTGAAGTGCTTAAAGAACTTGTGGTGATCCCCCGAGATGCCGAGACCTCTATTTTTGCCATGGGAAGAGGAGGCTGAATTTTTGTGCTTCTCCTCATAATCAAGGCCGTAGGTGGGCTTCAACCTTCTTGCCACAGCACCTGGTGAAGTATTGCGAGTCTTATCTGGACTCGGGCTCTGAAGATCTTGCTCCGACATTAATGCACTGTGCGCTTCCACAAATTCTTGATCGTCTCCGTCATCCGTGGGCTCCATGTTCTTAACCATGAGCGGAGAGAAATTGCCGTTCTCAAAGGCATTCGATCCCACGCCAGGGAAAATATATTCAAAGAGCTTTTTGCCAAGTTCACGTTCGAGCTGCACTTTTAATGGGAACACGGTGACCTGGAAGCGCTCCAGTACGGGGATTCCGGCGATGGCTTCGAGCATGTACCAGTGTACCTGGAGCATTTTCTGGGACTCCATGATGCTAGGTCGTCTGTCTTTGTCCGATATTTCGTAATAGGGTCCGATGATTTCCGGATACAGGGCGTTGGACAGGAGATTCCAGCCTCTGATGTGTTCCACTTCCAAGGCGTTGTGATTGGAGCCGTCAGTATTGTCAACTCGCTCATATGCAGCATTGCCCAGTTGAAACTCGAGAAGAGGTTCGTCCTTGTCACGCATAAGGTGCCACACAATCTCAGAGGCGCTGAGATACCATCGTAAAAGGCCGCTTGATTGAGAAGCTTTCCGGTCTTCGCTCTTTTGTTGAGACGTGTTGATGGCTTTCATAATGAAGAACAACTCGTCTTCACAGCTGGCAAGGTCCTTCTCAAGATTGATCCGATCTTGCCAGCCCTGTTTGTCTAGATACTTGGCATGGATCTGAAAATGAAGTTTGATGTCCTCAAGCTGTCGGATGCGTTCTTGGAGGCTTTCGGCCATTTCGGGGGCCCCTCGCAAATCACTGAAGTCGGATGCGAGCATGATCTTCTCCAGCCGTTCGCTTCTTGTCTTCTCCAAAGGTTCACTGTATAGTAACAGGTCCAGGACTATTATGTACATGGCGTAGTACTGAGTGGAATCGCACCGTACACGAATCCGGGGGAAGTCGACCCACAACTGATCAATCCGATGTTCTCTGCGCGCTGCATCATTGGGCTCACCGTTTTCGTTACTCTCAACCTCCTCGTTGTATTTAAGTCGAAGCGGGTTGTATTTCTCGTACCGGAGGCTCGCAGAAGTCTTCTGAATCACTCTTTGGAAACCGAAAGGTTCTAGATGGAAGTCGAACATCGCTTCGAGTGAAACCCAGGGTGGCCATGACGATCCAGGAGTGTTGCCGTACCTGTTGCCCGAGTAGAGATGGAGATATCTGGCTAAGGTCTTTTGCGTGGCCACGAAGAATTGTGCACCATCCATGTCAAGTGCGAAGCGACGCTGGACAAGCCCGCTGACGTCGTCCGACATGCGAGCCTTATCCATGATAGATACAACTTTCAGTTGCATTCCTTTTGCAGATATGAGCACAATAGCCTTGATGTTTTTCTCACTTTGAAGCTGGATCTGGGGAGCGATCAGGCGCAGGTGATAGCTGTTCATTGCCTGAAAGTTCTCCGCAATCTTGTCACCAATATCAGCAGTCGATGGTCTCCGCTCGATATCGTCATTGTCTGCCCCAGAAGGCTGAGACACTTCATCCACATCTCCTTCAGGGACTTGAACAAAGCGTTTCGCATCACTCAGAAGCTGCTTGATTCGGTCCTCTACCACGGAATCTTCATCTTTCTCCTCACTCGGGGAGATGACACTCGGTGTGGGCGGAACTGGGGGTTGGTTCTTCCTCTCTTGTCTGCGGCGCTCTTCCTTTGCTTTCGCTTGCTCGTCAACAATGTCCAGTATAAATTTGACGGCGCGGCGGGACATGTAGTACACAAAACCTCGGCGTTGGCTGACTTGATGGCTATAGCGCAGGATGGTGTTTCTCAGGGAATTGTTCCATTTGAGCTGGACATTATGGATGATGAAACGGTTGTTGAAATCACTTGCGAACTCGTCGTGAGGTGCCGAATACAACCCGTCCATGTCCATCTGAGGAGTTCCGGGTGACTGCCCTTCCAAATCGGGCGTAGACTTCGTGACGTCTCCGTTAGACTGCAGAGGGTTGTCGACTTGTTGAGCCTCGCCTGGGTTTGCATGGCCAATCAGACGTCGGAGTCCATGTTGTAGGAACCGTCGTTTGCTCTCTAATTCTTTCTGTTGTGCAACGAGGAGCTCATGTCTGTCGCGGACTGCTTGGTCATGGTCCCCTTCCCTAACGAGTAGAACTTCGTGCTCGTTCATAATGCGCACATGGGTCTGAAGTCTGTCTTCCAGATCATGCAGCCTAGTCTCGATTAGGTTCATCTGTACCTTTCTTGGGTCATTGTCACGCCCCATTACGCAGAAGTGGGTGTCTTCGTCTCCGAACGGACTCGTGCGGGACTCGTCTCCCTGTATGGCACCTCCATGATCGGTCTGTCGAAAGTAGGTGAAACGCGGAGTGAAAGCTAGTGGGAGGATCTTGGTTTCTGGATTTGACTCTGCGGGCAACACCCAATCCAGTTCCACAAAGTCATCCATGTCAATCCACGACAGGTCTTGATCAGGGATTGTGAATTGGGACAGATCAATGTTCGCAGGCACTTCCTGCAAGGAGGAAAGCATTTCATCACTTGCATTTTGAATATCCTCTGCCGTTGTCCCTGCAATGAGTGCGGCCACTGCTCTCAAGTCAGCCCGCACAAAGTCAAGTTCGGTTTTATAGATCTTCATGCCGCTGGTCCTCATCTGCTTTGCCCGTACCTTCGCCATAGTATTAAAATACTCCCGGCGTTGATGCAGGTCCAGCATGAAGCTATCAATCTTGATTTTTAAGCCCGTTGCAGAGACGACGTCGGCTTGATAATCTTCAGCATCCTTGTGCTTGTAAACGTGCGAGATGAAGAGTGGCGATAACAAAAGGTTGTACTTGATCGTTGAGAGGTGTCGCCCAAATTTCTTGCTGGTCTTTCCTTGGCCACCCCACAGCGAGCCTTGTCGGACTGGCAGAGACATCACGCCGGAGAACGTCGACCACCAGCTGAAGAAATGGGAGAAGAACTTCGGACTCAGATGGACGCTGTTGTAGCTTTCCGAAGGCGCCGAGTCCGCACCGACCCAGTTTTTGTCGTATGGTGCGGCAACGGCCAGGGAGAGGTGCACATGATGACTGCGGAAGCCATGGAATGCATCGTAGGAGTTCAAATCAATATCCTGGAGGAAGAGGGGATTCCGCAATACCACATCATAGTGATGTCTGGATTCTGAGGTGCGGCTCCCGTCCGGCAAGTCCCGTTCAAAGACGAGACCGGAAGTCCATTGAACATTTCCCGACAACTTCATGATGACTTTTTTGAAGATGGCGCTATTTCTCGCAGAGCTGCTGCTAGATACGCTGTCTGAGTCATTGCTTGCTCTCTGCTCCGGTGTGTTGCGGGCTTCGTGGCTGTAGTCGGGGATGGCCAAGATGAATTCACCACTTTTGACTGTCATGAACTCGCGCGGGTCATCGACTTGGTGTATCAACCATTGTACATCATTCCGCCAGCACATTGCAAAGCCTGCACCGTATCCAGTAACAATATACGGGTCCCTCGTGCCCTTGAGTCGGAGCTGAACATCCCCGTCCCCCTTCCAGTTCACAACAAGCCGCGAATGAAAGCTCAGCCGAATCTTGTCCCAGAAGCCGACCCTTTCGGAAGGGTCTATTTCAGGCTTTGTGAAGCTCTCGATAATCATCATCATGTCTTGTATCACGGGTTGGTATGATGTGCCCCAAGAAATGGTGGTTGGCAGGCTGGTGTTGATATCGATGACAGGCTTGGAGTACGTCTTCACAGGTGCTACCGTCCTTCTAACGTCAATGGCAAAGGCAGGGATTTCTTCTCCATGTGTTCCATGCTGCCCCTTCGGGACGATCTCGACTTTGACGTGCTTGATAGATTTCTCATCTCGGAACTCTTCTGCAATCACAAAATCTGTTCTGAGAGACCAGCTTGGTAAGCGAGCAGGCTGTCCAGGGCGTATGGCGGGGATATGGAGAAGGTTGAGGGGATAATCTCGAAGGAAAACGCGAGCCTCGCCCATGTCAAGACTGAGGCTCGTAGGAATAAGCAGTCCATACTTCATGTCATACGGCATGCCCTTGCCAATCTCATGGAGGAATTTGGGTAGGTCGGCTTCCGGAAAAGAGGGCTTGTCAATGATAAGATGTAAGTCACTGATGATCAAGGTCATCAGGCCAGGGCGGTTAGGAATGCCAAGAATCGTCTCGGTCTCGTGGTCGTCGTGGGGAGGTTCATCTGCACCCATGAACAGCTGTCGGACGCTTTTCACGGTGTTGTTTTGCAGACGAAGCATCCAGTCGATCCGTCTTTTCCAGCTCCGGGAATTGTGCTCCTGAAGCTTGTCCCACGCCTCATTCGCTTCTATTTTGGCATGCGTCGTCAGTGAACAAACGCCCTCACGATCGTATCGAATCCGATGCGATTCTCTACCACGCCTTCCTCGGGAAGTAGATCGTTTCCTTGGAGTGGCATCAACACTCCGGGAGCGTCGATGACGATGATCGTTATCGGCGCCATTAGGAGAGCCACGGCGGCTTGAGTGTGCCGAGTGGGTTCGCAATCTGGACGATGACCGAGGCCGCCTTTCATCGTTCATTCGCTTGACCTTCAAGCGGAAGGCATCTTCACGGGCAAGGCGTTGCTTCTGCTCAATGCGACCAACGTGATAGATCACACCAAGTTTCCATTCGAACGGGTCGTCTTCGAGCTCGAAGCACAGGGCTTTGGACCGAACCGAGATTCGAGGAACCTTGACAGGAGAAACGGGGTGCTTCGCCAGCACATACTCATTAGACCGTGTCTGGAACCGGTGTTGCAGCTGCTTCATGGCCTTTGAAGTGTTGATGAAGTTGTCAAAAACCCTGTACATTTGCAGGCCGTGCGGCACTGCCAAGCGAATGAAGTCGGTCGAGACATCGATGGTACTCTCTTCGATCGTGCCATGCTGCGTCTTCTTCTTGTTGTGGCGCAGATCCACCCTGAAATTGCTGATGCTCACAACACGTGCCCAAATCCGTTTGAGGTGCGGCGCTTCCGCATGCAAACGAGCAAGTTCGGCTTTCAGGAAGGGAGCGGACCACCTGTGTCGGCCCCCCGAGACTTGGTAAATCTGGAGCAACATGGGGGGATCATGTGGCATGTCAGCTTTGACTTGCACGTAATGAGCCTTCACATCAATTGCAAAGAGTTCTGCGTCCAGAGGTGCTGGCAGATGCCCGTGGACCGTGTGGTGATCCGCTATTTTCAGGTGATGTTCTGGATCTTGTTTGAGCGGAACCGGCCCCAGGAACGCTTCTTTCACAACGAAGCCTGCAACACCTATCGAGTAGAATCTGTAAAGCGAGAAGTCCAAATAGAACGCACGAATGGAGGAGTGGATGTGGAAAAGCGGTCCTTGCTGATCCCTTGACGTGCTGAAAGCAGTTTCAAATCTTGGGATAGACATGAACGGCGTCGGTTCCCATCTATCAAGAGATTCGATGATGAAGCCGTCAAAGCCCTTGACATGGCATGCGAGTCGTCTTCCATCCGTGGGATCACTCGGGTGATGCTTCTGGTGTGAGGTGGGTGACGAGACGCCCTTGCCTGCCGAAAACGTTTCGTCATAGCGGACGGAGGTGCTGACTTTCCGTCCTTTCGTCTTTCGTCCTGACTCTGATTTTGCTGATGTGTAGTGGGCTGACCAGGATTCAAGCTCAAAGGCGACACCTCGTGTTTGGCCAGAGACGCTAGAGTCGACACCCGCAACCTCGAGGCTGCAGCCAGAACCTTCGAAACTTGCCTCAATAAGCCAAGTAGGGAGTTTCCGCAAGAAGGCAGTAGAAGGCGACTTTGGGGCAGCCGCTTTGTCTTCAGAGGCATGGTGTTTAAAGTGCCTAACTATATTATAGATCGCCTTGCTGACCTCTTCTCGAACCATGAGAATGGAAAACGTTCGCAAATTTCCTTGGAGGATGACGGAAACATTCGTCGACGCTGTGAGCTGAACTTTGAGTTCCAAAGCTTCCGTTATGATTAGGTTGTGTGTCGTGCCTGTAGAAGCTTGATAATATAATTGGTGCGATAGGACACGGAAGCTCGACCCAAGGGAATACAGCAACTCTCCTCCTGCTGAGTGGGAGGATTCGACGTCCAGAGAAATGGAGGAAACGGAGGAGATGATCATGTCATACTCGCCTGGGCCGGCGTGAGCTGGATTTGCGACTGGTAACACAAATCTGAGCACAGGCTCATGGATTGAGAACTTGATGCTAGCTTTGGGAAGCAATCTTGAGATGAGGCGGTGGTGATTACGCGAAGGGGCTTGAGCTTTAGATCCAGGGGCCCCCTGGGTAAGAGCCAACAGCTTCATGAGGTGCTGTGGTGCCAAGTCGAGCGATGGTGATGTGACAACAAGATTGGCGAATAAGATATTTGTATTCCTTTCAGCGACGTCTCGGTCTTGTGAGAAGCTCATTGTCTTAGACGGTAGAGTTGTCCTGATGGTTGTCGTGGCCATGGGTACGTACATGATCCTATTCGGGCGAGAATCGTCCTCGTCAAGGCTGACAGAAATCGATAGAGCAGCGAGTAATGCTTGGTGAGCGGTATCTTCCCGCTGGAAGTACATCCGATGGGCAGGCGAGTTTTGCTCGAGCCTATGCAGGTCAATGCCAATTTCGTGGATGACGACGTTGGCGACCAAGGGAAGATTGGCTTGCCGGAGTGACACAATTTCTTTCGATATGCGCACAAAGCTCATGCCGACCTGGATTTCCTGGACGCTCTGAAGGACAGAACGCAGGAACTCTTTTGAGTCTGCCACAGTCTGCACGATAGCCGCCTCACGACTTCCTGGACTGTCCAATTCCTCTGCGACATCCTCAAACGAAATCTCATCGATCGGACTCAGTGCGTCATACTCTTCATAGGTCCTTGGCGCCTTTCTGCCTTTCCGTGAGAAGTGAACCAGCTCATCGACCGGCACGTAGACTCTGCCACCCTTTATCGCGATTGAGGTGTCCCGAAGGCCTTCCCGATCCTTGTAAAGAAGCCCATGCACGTTAATTGTCAGCGCATCGAGTATCTCGATCGGATCACGGCCGCCGACGCCCATTTGGATACTTTTGACTGTAAAAACCCATTCTGCAGGCTTCTGGTCTCCCAGAGGGTCCTTCTTGTGTCGGAATAGTCGTCCACGGTCGAGGAGCTTTCGTCTGGTGTACACAGCCGCGGTGAAGGTCGAAATCTGAACATAGCCCACGCCAACAATCTCCGCAGATGTGTTGTAGGCACTGACATCAAACATCCGCAGGAGGTGGATTTTGCGGTGCAGACGTTTGATCTGCTCTTTGATGTTGGTCAACCTCTTCCACAGCTGGCTTTTCCCGCCAGAACGCCGGTGTCCATCTGAGCCTTCGCCCAGCTTTCTTTTGGCGATATCCTGTGCGTCTGTCTTTGCCGATGTGTTTTCCAACGCGGTCGGGTCGATGGTGACCTTCAAGTCTTCAAACACAATGCTGATCCATGTCGGCTGGGCGAAGGTAGGTCTGCGCAAACTCAATCCAACACCTCGCAAATCTATTCTCAGTCCTTCTCTTGGAGCGTATGAGATGTGCCTCAGGCTAAAGTAGCCAATGCGCTGAATTGATATGCCGGTTGCAATCCGCAGAATCGCAAGTAGGATAAAGGAGGACAAGTAGAGGAGTAGGAGGACGGCCGCGACCGAAGTGACATTGACGAGAGGCATCCTGGTATTTCAGCACTCTCTGCCAGTGCTCCAACACCGACCGGAAAGAGGCAACAGAGGTCAGGCGTGCGGTCACTCTTGTCATCTCAGTTCACCGGTAAGATCGCTATTGTCGAGGCTGTAGTCCCTCTGGAGCCACATAGTTGACAGAGCGTTTCCCATCACTCTTTGAATTCCACTCCGGACCGAAGCAAGAGGGTATCGACACAAGCGGCGGTGCGAGGGTTTCGAAATCCAAGACGCAGTCTCCCGGTGCGGGCTGCGGAGGGATTGTCCGGGCTTGCGAGTGAGACAGTAGCGAAGCACAATCGCAATTGCTTCCGACGCGGGGGTTGATATATGACTTTATCGCACTTCAATTCAATAGACGGGAGTCATGCGACAGCGAGAGAGAAAGTTGCCGGCGCGCCCGGTCAATATCAATCAAAGCTCATGGTGGAGCAGGGAAGCGTGGAATGTCGCGAAGGGTGCGGGCCAGGAAATACGATTGGCATCCCGTTCGAGGGCGAACTGGTGGAGGATTCGGAGGTGGAGTGGGCACGCCGCTCCGGGAAGAATCTCTGCGGCACATAATATGCAGCCAGCAGCCCAAAGCAGCTATCCATTGGTGACTCAGCCTGTGTAAAAGATGAGAAGATGAGTCTAGATGATCAAGCTCCAACGCTTATTGAAGCATCCCCTCTTGGTCTATGCTAAAATTTGTGTACATATCATAGTGCAACAACTGACTGCCGCTGCAAGCCAGTCCTCGATCGCAGCATCTGCCCATCCCAATCCCACCTGTCGAGCTGATCCTCGAGCTAGTTCACCCGGCTTTCTGTTACCACCTCTTCCCTAAATCTCCCATTGTTCGCCAACCGCTCATTTGCCTGTTCCCATGTCGTCGCCATCTTTGGCGTGGGCCCTGGCAGGACGGAGCGCATGCCTCGGTAGAGGCTATAAATCCCGCAAGCTCTTTCCATGGTATAGGTACTTTTGCAGAGCTTGCGTGCTGTTGTTTGCCCACGTGGTGGGTAGTGTTCTGTCGAGGAAACGACCAGTCGGCAGATTCCCCATCTTCGAATCTGTTATCAGGGTCGATCCCTGAGATGAGTGTTCCCTGCAGCTTTCTGCTTCATAGATGCCGACACGTTCTTTGTGGTCACATGCTGTGTCGTATCCTGATCCACGCGATAGCGAATAATACTAGGTGGCGTTGAATAGTCTCAGCCCGGACGGGTTTTCGGCTCCTGATATTGAACGTGAATGTGTTTGTCCTTTGCCGCTCGCAGGCTTGCTATCTTGTCGTCCAACACAGCAATTTCCGCGTCAACTCTGAGGAGCTTGTCTAAAAGCAAATCCTCGTACTCTTTGTCCGACAGAGATTTCATAGGAGAAAACGAAGCGAAGCCGTTTCTCAAACGTGAAGAGAGTTGAGCAATAGACGGGGAGCCTTGCGTGGTATTCAATCCTGCTTGGGACAGAGCAGCGACCACCCCAAACATGATGCTACCCGTCACCAGGCTTCCTCGAGGCACTGACTATCGTCAAAACATGGCCATTCTGCTTTGCATCCGCTACTCACAAAAGGTTGCAATCACGGCTCCTGAACATGAACCTGCAATGCCACTTGCGGCGACTCTGTGCAGATCCTTATCCCGAGATAAGGGGCCTGCCAGCAGTACACTTCGGCAATCTGGCAAACTATGAGCTGATGCGGATTCAAAATGTGGGCAGTGACACAGACAGAAGAAGGCGGTGCCAGCACAGAACCATTGTGTTGCAGAGATTGCAGTATAGGCCAATGGATTCGAAGTCTGAATGAGAGTGCCAGCTATACCGCCGTATGCTGCACCACAAGCCCCTGTTTGCCATAGTCAATGGATCAGATCCCTGATTGTTCGTCACATGTGTGATTTCGCACCTGTCGCAGCTCCAACATAGAGGGCCGGCACAAACGGCTTCCAGAAGATATCTCTCCTGACGTTAGGCTGCTCCTCGGACATGGCGCATGATCCAGGCCTCGGGACTCTGTACGAAGACGAAAGGAATGGTACTAGAACGGTGGGCGGGAATGGATGCGCCCTTTCAAGTCGGAGATGCAGGATCGCGCCAAGCCCCCAACTTGGCCTGGTGCGTCTAAACCCAAAGTGGCATTGGGCGGGTCGAGGAAAGAAATGGCCGGACAAACTTGCCTGCAGAGTCTCTCCTACCGCCCGCAAATCTTTCAAGACTTTCGTGCACATCGACTGCGCCGCCAACCACAAGGCGCTGCACCTCGTCTACTATCAAACAACATCAATTTCAGGCTTCTGTCTGGTCGAAGTGCGTTCAGCGACGTGCTTGGGCTGCGACATCCGACTCGCATTTTCGAATCCACCAAGGGACGTACATATTTCGTGCGTCGGCTGATATTTCGCAATCATGGGTACGAGCACCTGGCGGCATTCAGCGCACAGCCTGCGCAATCGGTGGTGTCGTGAGGCTCACTTGCTAACATGTTCTAGCTCCCAAAAAGAACCAAAAAATGTCCCTCGGGACCTTCTTGCAGGATGAGAGTGCGTTCACCCGCCGCTGGATGCAGGCGACCCTGGTCGCTAACGGTTGACAGATTATGGCTCCTGGGCAGATGAGATGGAGGATATGCCCCTTCCTAGTAAGCACTCTGCGTACACGATGAAACCACCAAAGGGCAATGGACGCTGACTTGGCGGTTGCAATAACAGCCTCCGACACAAGGCCGAGCTATGGATCAGAACGACGTGCATTTAGCACGACTACTGGCATGGGCAATGGCTATCCAGGTTAGTCATCGTCTTTCGGATCACCGAACAGAACAGAGGGCTGACTGAAGGCTGCCGCCACAAACAGACCGACGAGACACATACCCTGCAAGAGAACAACTCCCCCTCCCTACGCAACCCCCCTTCACTGCACATCTAGCAAATCTATCCTTCGACGCCACACAGGGAGATATAAACGATTTCTTTAGAGACTGCCAGGTTACAAACGTTCGCATTGTGGAAGACAAACAAGATCGCAAGCCCAAGGGATTCGGTTATGTTGAATTTGCAACTTTGGATGGTCTTAAGGCTGCATTGGCTCTCAGTGGGAGCAACCTGGCTGGTCGCCAGGTTCGTGTTAGCGTCGCCGAACCACGTGAGTTATCAACGCTTCTTTCCTGCGACGTGAACTGACTGTCTGGCTAGCAAAAGAAAGGCATGAGACCCGCGATTTCAGCGACTGGTCAAGAAAAGGACCTCTTCCAGATTTGCCAAATCAACGCAGAGTGTCCGACCGACCAGGAGGCTATGGCGGTCGCAGCTTTGATAACATGTCCGACGCCGGAAGTGAGAGAGGCCATGGGAACGAACGTGGCCACCGGCGCGGATTTGGGCCGGAAGGAGATGGAAAGGTTAGGGACTTCTCGAATTGGGAAAGAAAAGGCCCATTGTCACCAGTCACTCCCGGACCCACGACTCTGCGGGAGGGCGGGAGACAAGGAAGCAAAGAAGGCTACAGCTTCCGCAAGAATTCGCCGTCCTGGGGAGAAGCGAGATCACAGGACGGGTCTCGACCCCCACGACGCGAATACGCCGAACGCCCTCCTCCTGAGCGGCAGCCAACAGCACCGGAACTTGATAATCAATGGCGCTCTCGAATGAAACCTGATTCTGCCAAAGCGCCAACTCCCGAAGCCAGCGAGCCCTCCTCTCCTGCGGCGCCGCCGGCCCCTGCAACAAGGCCCAAACTGAATTTACAGAAGAGGACCGTTTCTGAAACGGATCCCGTGGCATCCCCAGCTGCGATTTCGGATTCCAAATCGAGCCCATTTGGAGCAGCTCGTCCGGTCGACACGGCGTCCAAAGAGAAGGAAGTTGAAGAAAAGCGCCAGCTCGCTCTTCGACAGAAAAAGGAGGCAGAGGAAAAGGTCAAAGCCGAAAAGGCTGAAGAAAAAAGACTGGCAAAGGAGAAATCCGAGTTGGACAAGGAGCGCGTTAAGGATGTGCCCAGCAAAGAGAGCAAGGAGCCCAAGGAAGCAAAGGACTCCAGTCCGGCGAAAGAAAACGGCGAGGACAACGCTCAACCGACGCCCAAGTTTGACATTCTGCGTCGGGCCGACTCGGGCATGAACGATATGGTTGCCGATGATGAAAATGATGCGGAGGGAGAAGAACAGCCTCAGCCGACGGACGACAAAGCGGTCAAACCCAAGGAGATCGTGCAGACCCCTACTTCTGCAAAGACCAACGGTTCTTGGAGGAATGGACCGGCCGCCCAACCTCCCGCAGCCAGCACTGCTACTGAACTGGAGGAGGACGGTTGGAGCACAGTGTCCAAACCGCAAAAGCAACGTAATAACCGACGATACGGCCCGTCGAGAGGAGCCGCGTCCTGATGCAGGATCAAAGTGGCAACTCCAGGCCGTGCGAAGTTTGAACGCAGCACACGCTGCACCAGAAGTTTGTTGTACGGTCTTTTGTACATCTACTCGTCTCTCACCATCTCTGGCCGACCTGCGTCTTTCGAAGTACAGTCGGTGTGGGAAGGCAGATCTCAGCAATTTTGGCTATTCTCCAGTGTTCGTGCTTTTTCTCAAAAATGCAAGGATTCGGGAGTCTGCTTGCTTTGTCCAGCATGGCGGAGTTAGGGTAGGACGAAAGTGCGGAATTGTAGCCAGAGCAAGTCTGTGACAGGCATGGGATCGAGGCTTCGGGGAAAAAATATTTGAAGAGACAGGCTCTCGACTCGCACTTACATGTTCACTCAAGGCTGGCCAAATACAACAGACCACATCGCCTTCTAGATGGATCATAGAACTAGCATTGATTTCAAGACGGGTGTTCATTTCGAGTCCTATGCCCGCCCTATGCGACCCGGCAGCCTGTCATCCGTCACCAGTGAGGTCCGCTCCAGGTCCTCGTTGCCCACTAAACTTAGAGATAATGCCTACCATACAGTATTCCATTTTACCCACCATGTCGACAACTACTACATAGCATTAGTCAGCATGGCACATAGAACGAGTGCTCTATGAACACAACTTATCCCACCGTGAATGGAGACAAGTGGACCCACAGAAGGAGTAATGCCAGCCTGGTCAACACCATATCACTAGCTAACCGCTACGTAAAGACTTTGAGTCGAGCACAGTACAGTGACTAGGCTTCTAGCCTAGACGAGCTATCGCAAGCTACAAACATGTGGGAATTGTGGTTGGATCAAGCATCCTACGTTACAACTCAACGCAGGTTGCAGTGCCCTGTGGTTTCTGGCATCACGCACGCCCCAGTTGCCCCTCTTCCCTTTGCGACTGAGCCTCTGACCCTCTACCCCGTGGACCATGCCATGGGATCCGCCCAAGTGCACGGAATCGGGACACTCTGGTGAAGGTCTGAAAAGGTCTGGGGGCAGGCGCGGCTGTGCAATCTCCAGTGCAATCCCCAGATTAATACTGCCTTCGCTTCTGTCCATTCACAGCAGCTGAAATCAGGACCTTTTTGGGACCAGGCAGGATATGTTTGGGTGAGTGGCAACAGCTCTCCCTTCATGATCAGGGAGTCGCGATATAATGTGTGATCCAGTAAGAGCGCCGCTTGTGGTTACACAACGCCAAAGCGATTGTTCTGGAGCCTGGAAGACTTCTTTATTTGAACGGATGCGAAGGCAGCAGGGACCCAAACTGCAAGCCCAGTGACAGAGACGCCTTCAGCCATGTGCTAAGCCGCGAAGGGAGCAGGGTCGGTTCCAGCGGCGATTGGCATTGTCGACTTTGGCCCTATCAAAGCCTGAAACAAACACATCAGCCACAATAAATTTGTATAAGGATACGAGCCGCGACATCTTCACGCTAAACCAATGCTTTCCGTTTGCATCATCTGGTGTAAATGGTCAATGCTGATTGCTCCAAATTGCAGGCGTCAATCAGATTCGCAGACCGCTATTGCAGGGATGCAATTTGTCAAGGGCATTCGCCGAGACAAGGCTTTCTCCAAGTCGAACCGCTGTGAGGTTGCGTGCCTGGCGCAAAGTAACTGTGCGAAGAGGCTTAAAATGCTGCGAGGTCGCCGTCAACACTCAATCAACTCCCTCCACTACATGGACAAGGACGAAAGATAGATTCAGGTGGATAATGGTTTCTTAGTGGTCGGATTGGACTGATCGAAGAGACCTCTTCAATCGTGTACCAATCCACTTCGAAAGTGGCAATCATCATACCAGCACCATGTCATCAGTCAGCCTTGCCCCTTTGTCCGGACGACTGTTTACACCACCATTCCCAGACGAATCGCAATCACTCGACGAGGACGCTGCTCGAGACGATGCCTCCAGGACTAGCCTCACGCCCTCAATCACTCAAGCAATTCAGGTGACTCGCCGCTTTCATCTCTCGAAGTGGGAACTAATTCTGCATGCTGGCTCCATCGTGTTCACCACTGCCGTCCTCTATCTCTGCGCCACTGAGGTCTACTTTGAAGACATCACGAAACCAAATATCAACACCATTTTAAATACGTTCCAGTTCGTTGCTGCTCTTTACAGTGTGATGATAGATATTTCCGACGGGGCTATTGTCGTCTATTATCTCAAATACGAACTCTACCGGGGAACGGGCCTTCGCGCAGGCCTCTTACTGGCTCCGTTCCAGATCGGGTCGCTGCAAATGCTCTTCGAGAGACACTTTTGGAAAGCAGTCTTCGCGAGTCGGAACACATTAAGGACGTATCTATTTGGTGCTGGAATATCCTTTTTGATTGTCCTTCAGGTGCTTATAGCTCCATCCTCGGCTATTCTGATTGTCCCTCAGCTCCAGTGGTGGGAATTCGATAATCCATTTGGCACAACAGGGGGTTCTCTTACCTCAATCAGTCACATTCAACCCTCTGGCCACGCAAAATAACAGGGGCAATTGTGCCGTCTCAGTGCGACGGGGGAAAGCTCTACGACATACCCCCAAAATGCCCATACTTCAAATACACTGCCATAACAAGGTGGGTTTCAGAGTATGCAAACCAGTTTGCCGATCCAAATATTACCGCCTTAACAACGAGCAATACTCTTCGATACCTTGGTGGTAACCCATACATTCTCGACGAGAAAACAAATTACTCTGTGGCTAGCACCGGGATGAACCATGTTACCCGTTCTCTGGGAGATATATGGACCTTTGCTACAAGGAATAAGAGAGTGTCCATGCGACATATCTCGCGACCAAAAATCACGGTCTCGTCGCCTGACTCATCAAAGCCTCTCATGAGACCACTGGTTCGGACGGAATGCAGCCCTGCTGTCGACATAACTGATGTCGACGAAATGTTCGAGGTCACGTTCCCGGCCGACCAGCTCCGACCCTCACCTGGTCAATCCTTCGCCCCTACCATATCTCAAGTCGTCAACATAACGCGCTACAGGACATCATCTTATCCCGTGGCGTACTTTATAGACCTCTCCAAGACTACCAGTCAACCGCTGACGGGAGCGCTATTCGGCATGAAATTCAGTAGTGCAAAGGATTTCTCACTTGAACGTGACGAGGCTGTTGGACTCATCGCGTGTACTCTGACTGCCCACTGGGGTCCAACGTTTATGTCGATAGACCCAAATGTTGACAATGTCGTTATGCCAGACTACCCGAACCCGTTGGATATAGTCAATTCCCCAGAGCTCATGCAGCGTGCACTTGGAATCGATCTTGAGCACAGTTACACTCAACGTGTGAATGCACCGCTTAAAGGTCTCAAGGTTAATGTCTTGGAGTACGAGATTGCTGGCATTCTCCCCCACTCAAACTTTTCGGAACCCTTCGATGGGTCATGGAATCACAGGTGGTCATGGGTAGTAGCTACCGTGCTGTCCATGCAAATGACTGATGCATTGGCCCGGACCAAGACAGTTGTCGCGTCAATGTATACGTATTGCTACCTCTGCCCGGATCAAACGAACACTAACTATACTGGGAAATCCGCCATCATGAATCTTGCCAACCAAAATGTGGCGAAAGACAATATCAAGACAACAATTTCGGAGGCAGATTGGGCCAGCTCTATCGTAAATCAGCCAGACTTGTATACCCCCGTCCAATGGACCGTCCAGAGATACGGCTACGGTTGGAGCCTAAAAGGAACCACTGCGGTCTTGGCTGCCGTGGTCCTTCTGATCCAAGCATCCGTACTTATGGGCTATCTCTTAGCCCGCATGGCTTGGAGATGGCCCTTTGAAGGATGGGATAGCCTGTGGGAACTTGTGGCTCTGTTGCACAAGTCGCCGAACATTCCAGAGCTGAGCGAGCTGGCCATCGGTAAATCAGCGAGCAAAGCCTATGAGACGCCTTTGGCGATCAGAGAAGACTCCGATGGTGAACACGCGGTGTTGACGAAGGATACAGACTCGAGGATGTTAAGGATTGGCACCAATTATGGTTGACTTGGGTAAAGTCGTGCAGATACTCTCCATCTCTCTGTTTTATACGGCGCAACGGTGTGAAGGCTTTGGCGCTTGGGAATCGTCTCTATCTCATAGCCAATACGGAGTGCAGTCTTTCTATACATCAAGGTAGTTGCTATAGCCCCACAACACCGCCTATAAATCTTGTATTCCTCCTCGTGGGACACCCAGTGTGCTGGCTTTTTCTATCAGACATGTGCTTGGCCAAGAGAGAAGGTTAGCTGAGTGGATAGATTGGCGGAACGACACATCCGGATTCCAGAAAAAGAGAATACGTTTGTTAATGTTGGACCAGAGGAAGTGGCAACGCCAAAGGCTCGCGGACTACGACTCGAAGGCAGAACTTCGAGAGCCCTCAGAAGGCAGCGAGAGCAGAAGGTGAGCCGAGGATAAGGAAAGCGGCGAGCGGCTAGTCCGAATGAGAAGGCAGACAATGGGGTTTTCATGGTCATGAATAAGATCACGTGCTATTTGGGTATTAAAGAAGCGAGCGCCGTCTGGGCCAATCAACGCCAGAGGCAGTGGTCGCCAAGGCCACAGCCAAAAATTGAAGCCGCTGGACCTCGAACGCAGAGCGAAAAAAAAAGTCACCAAAACGATGACTCTTTGACTCAAGCGACCAGAATCCCCACCAACCCTTCACCGCATCATGAGATGGAGTACAGACGATGGCGAAGGGCCTGGACGACTTGATCGAGTTTCTGCTCGAGGAGATTGCCGTCAGTGGAAGTCGAGGTCAGTTGCCAGTTGGTTGCGCGACACATTTCCCCTCCAGCCCTGCAGGATCCGAGGTTCCAGTGGCGACGGTTCCAGCTTCACATTCCACCACTGCTCCTGCCCCACATTTACACATCACAAATGCTAACCTCTAGGTGTATGCGCAGGGGTCACCATTAGTGATATCGCACAGTTCATCTCTTCATTCTACGACAGACCAGAGGACGAACCAGGACCTAATGCGCACTCTGAGGGCGCTGGCCCAAGCTTAAAAGTTACGGTTGATCGGCCACTACTTTCCAAGATCTGGTCATGGCTAGGTCGGCATCCGGATATCTCTATCGGTGACAATAGACGCTACAACAAAACATCACTAGACCAGGTCGAGGTACAATTTCCGAACTACGTTACACTTAGTCCCAGCAACAGGCAGACAGCCGCCGAGGACGATACCGAGTCAGAAGAAGGCTCAAACCACCCGAGCGCAACACCTAAGAAGCGACCAGGACCCCGGAAATCCCATGCAGCGCAGGGTCCACGAATCTCTGTCAGCGAGGCGCGAAGCTATCAGGCTATATGCGGCCATGCCCCCGATGTCAGCAAGGTTGTGCCTCTGGAGTTCGAACTCTTATCTCATATTGCTGCAGCGAGATCAGCTGGAATTTTGCAAGGAGACCTTGTGAGAGTATCTGGGCAAGACAAACGCTCTGTGCCAAAGCGGACGGACTCCTTGCAAAGAAAAGGCTACATAACCAAGGAAATCGTCTTCCGCCACGGTAATCGGACTAGCCGACTCACGCTGCAAAAGTTTGCCCACCGCAATGCGACGCACGCCGAACCGTTCCATAAGCTTCATAGCCTCCCACAACATGGTTCGACTTTACGAGATGTCGTCCGCAGAATCTTCGAGGTATTGGAAGACCGCAACCTTGTATCCCAGACAAGTCTAGCGGAACAGTTGAGCCTGGGGTCTTCTGGAGAGTCGACTGTCCTTTCCAAGATTATTCGTCGGCTCGAGAAGCTGAAGTGCGTCAAGAGAGTTCGAACTGCCGTTGGACCTTCCGCGACATCTGATGACCTCCGACACTTCGTCCAGCTTTTGCATCGTGCCGACGCAGTAGACCTAGAGAACTTCGACACGGAAAAGCTGTCTCTGAACCAAACAATTGAGGAGTTGGCATCTATCGCCGACCCGGAAGATCGGAACGACGGGTCCGTCGCACTTCACGCGGCCGAGGAGGAAAATGAAGAGTTCACAGAAGCTGTCTATAAACCTGCCAGATGGAACCCTGACCGCTTAATGCCCAATATTCTTGTTGATGCCGTCCGACTTGCAGGTCCGGATGGTCTGACAAATCTGGTATGATCTTCTATTCCTCTGTGCGTGCCGGAATGCTAACAACGAGAAGAATGCTCGTAAAATGACTACTGGTGATTTCGTGCGTCGCCAATTAGAGTCTCTGTTGCTCCGACTCTCATGCGAGTCACTCATCATTCAGCCGCAGCATTTGCGACACCTGGCCATTGTTCGGACCACTGTGAGGCATGAGGGGATCATCCAGTATGTTCACTACTCGTGGGAGGTCTTTCGACAGAAGGCGGCAGACCAGCATCTCGACGTGTCTGAAATTCCCGGAGCTCGTCAAATAATTCAGAGGCTGGCAGAAAAGGAGGCTGACTCCGATGGTGACGAGATTTCGCTACCCCGTGTTGACATTGATGAGTTCGGATTCCCGTTGCAAGCCCCGTCGGGTCTGCAGCTGCGGCGCGGCGAGGCCACATTTTTTGATCTGATAAAGGCAGCTGCACCTGGAGATGTCAAAAAGCGCAATGGAGAGCCGACCATTGTCAAGCAAGGGACGAGGATAGCTATGAAGATACGAGACGGGGTGCCAGCCTCGCCTAGTGCGACGAATCGGACGCCTCGTCGTTTGTCTCAAGCAGCGCGCAAGCCAAGACGACTACAGCCAAAACACCGCAGAAACCCGGATGACGAGGAGAAAATAGTAATTGGGCGTCCTCGCAAATACATGCGAGGAACAGAAAAGTTCTGGCGGATGCAGTTTAAGCAGGCTAGACTGGAAGGCGGCGCGCATCCTGACAATCCCAGAAAAGGGACGGCCCAAGATCCCTATGCCCTTGCTCTGTATGCCCGTCGTCCGGCAGATTTCGATGAGACGCTGGTCCAGGCATTAGCGGCTGGATTGCCAATCCCTATGCTTCCGGAAGACATCAACGACGACTGGATCCGTTCCACAAGAGCCATCTTTGATCGTTCGTCAAAGGGTGTCTATATGTCTCCTAGAGGGTTGCGCTCTGACAACAGCCAGAAAGTGGCCCAGATAATGATTGTGCGAACTCCGCGGTTAACATCAGTCGACTTCAGCGACAGGAATGTCGTCCATCAATTTCGCTTCCTCTCTTCCAGCGCATCACACAGCTTCATGTTCAGAAGGTACTACCCCAACCTCGCAAACATGCAATCATCAGCACCACGTACGCCTAGGAAATCGAAGCGCCAGAGTCGGATTGCGTCCAGCAAGGCCGACGAAAAGTGGAAACCGGGGCCCAGATTGGGCGTTTTCTATGAAGACCCGGGTCTCCCGATAGCACTGCCTGCTCAACCTCCAAACCCAGTTGATATTCAACTTCCTGTAGATGTCTTTATGGACACTACTGATGAAGAAAACGAGCCTGCTTTCCAAGGCGCTTCCGCGGCCAGAGCCGCATCCCACGCATCGATAAATGACACTGTCTCCGCTAGCGGTGCAAGAATTCGAAATGGTCAGGTCAGGAGAGGCTCGCAACGGAATACCCAAGAACGAGACGGCAGCCTAGAAACAACAAATGCCCCGACTACACGGACTGACATCACCGAGAAACACCGTATTAGATCTACCAGAAATCGGAGGTTGACGCGGAAAGCCATGGAATCGTTGCAGTCGGATCAACCCCCGAACCTTCGTCTCCTTTCTGGATCTCGAGAGGTCTCATCCGAAGTCTCGGCCGCAGATTTCGAACCTCAAAATCAAATGCCAGTTAATCGACAGTCCGAAGTATCCGACGTAGGGGCCCCGTCGCATTCTACCGACCACCCAGCCACGAATGAGCACTCGACGGATATCTCATACTCACACACTATCAACACTCAAACTGCTCACCATGCTCAACCTTCTGTTTCCAGTCACGAACGCGTGGCTGTTCATGTTAGTTCTAATGCTGGCAATACAGAAGTTACAAGAGTTCCATCGGTCGGAGCAGAGCATTCTGAGCAATCGGCATCACCAAAATTCTTAGAGGGAACCACCGAAGCTGCTGCATCTAGAAGTCCTCCTTTGAGTGATCAGCTGCAAGAGAGCGATCGCCCGGCAGAAGTGGAGGACAATGTTTTACACAACAGTTCTCTTGTGCTGAAAGCCGGCACCAGAAAACTTGTGTCAAAGGCAAACAGGAGAAGGACTGCGTCTGCCGAACTAGGGAATTCCGGAGAGGAGTCGCAGCCAAAGAACCGACAGGCTCAGGGAAAACAACGCTACTTCGAGGGTGCTAATGTGCTTTTCCGGAGAATCATTCTTCAACTGATTAAAGAGACGTCAGGGGTCGTGCCAAACGATCCTTCAACGTTCAAGCGCGTCTCGTTGCCTCGCTGGCAAGAAGCCGGAGGGGAGGGTCGACCCCTACTTAAAACCATCAAGACAGCAATTAAATCCTTGAGTGAGTCTCGGAAGCTCAAACAAGTGATGTTCACGTTTCGGGGAAAGTCTGGAGTCATGATTAAACGTTCGGTCGTCTTCCTACCGCACATTGACCCTTTCTCTCAGGCCGTCGAGGATGTGAAGCAGAGTATTATCGATGCGGAACCCACGGATTACATTCCCCCTGAATGGAGAGACGAAGGCTACCGTATTCCTCTGGTCAACAAAAGAGCGCTGAGCACAACACCTGACATCGAAGAGCGACCACCGAGTAGACGACGTGCATCGTCAGCAGTGTCAGACAGAACGTTTGCCTCCAGCACCAGTAGAGGTAGGAGAAGCCGCACAAGCACAAATACTCCTTCTCTTTCAAGAATACCAGTGCAAGAAACACCCGCAACCGGCTTCCTCACGCTACGAGTTCCGGCATTAGGCTCGCTTCCAGTTGTCCATCTCCATATTTGGAGGGAGGAGTGCCCCGTGAGTGCATTGCGCTCCGACACTTCCGATGCGAATCCTTGGAAATCTAGTGCCTTTCGACCCGTTCGGCGGCGACGAAGGTTTGAAACGCAGGGTTCTCAACCAGCCGGAAGGCCAATAATATGGCGAAATTTCCCCTCCTCCCTGGAAGATATCCTGCAGCTTCCTGATCTCAAGTTGGACTACGATGCTTTTCAAGCCGATGGTATTGACTGGCAACGCTTTGCGTGCGAGATTGAGGGAGTCCGCGCCTGGGAAGAACAAGAGCCCGACGCAGCTCTGTCGAAGCGCTCCAAGTTCGCCTTCATCAATCATTCGGTCCCAGCTGCCCTATATGAGGCGTCGGTTCTTCCTTCAACAATTGAATTCAGTAACATTATACATTTTGATGAGGACGGAAACGAGCTCGAGGTTGCCTATCCGCCTGAAGAATCATGGGCAACATTTGTGGACGCCCTGGAAGCATCTCCCAATGTTGCATCCCGAATCGCAGCGGTTGACGAAACAGAATCACAATCGATGCCACTGCGTTCTCCTGGACTTGGGCCTCGGCGATCCATCAGACCGTCTAAGCGCAGAATGTCGGAAGATAGCCATGGCTTCGTCCCTCTACCTCCGCCTAAACGAAGCAGAAGACTGGTACGAGGTTCTGGCTTCGCACCATCGAGGCGTCGGGAATTGTCAGCCTTTCATACTACAAATCGCAAGCTCCCTCGAAGTGCCAAGTGGCTGCAGACTATGCCAGAGGAAATGATTTACCGAATTGCCGTTGCTGTCATTGTTGTTCGGACGCTAGCAGGTGGGATGCAGAGTTTTATTAACTGGCAGATTGTGATGACGCTCTTCCCCGGTCAAAAGGAAGAAGTTATCAAAGCTCGCTGGAATACACTATCAACCCGATATAGTTCTGATGTACAGAATCTCACAGAGGACCTGCAGTTGAAGTACCTGGAAGCGTTACAGGCCGGTGAGATAGCGTCGGTCGACTTTGACGACATCGAAGCCACGGACTGGGGTGCCATTGTTGAGTGGGCTTTGAAGAGCCTCGACCAATTCCACTTGAAGCGGATTGCATACCTTCCTGCCAACCGGGATGAGTTGCTTGATAACTATACCTTGGAATTCACCCAACCTAAACACTCCCACAATCTCGCATGGAATAACAGCACACTGAGCGTCAAGGAAGAAGTTGCAAGATCGACAGTTTTCGGCACATTTGTCAATCCTACGACCCAACCCGCCATCCTTCGCTGTCAACATGGTTTCGAACTGGAGATGGCTAAGCCAGCTCTTCGCGTCGCTAAGTCATGGGTGCTGGCAACCATTTTCACTGCGGAGTCGGTTTTTAATGCAGAACTAGCCCAGACCAAGCTCTCCACCCTTGCCCCAACCACGACAGAATGCGATGCACTTCTATCATGTGCGCTGAAGTTGCTCCAAGACGAGAAGATCATTCAACGGAAGCTCAATGATCAACCACCGGAGCAAGGATTGCGTGTGCGAACTTGGGAAGCTCACCGGAAGTTCTTCGAGCGATTTGAAGACCGCAGCATGGTCACTCCGAATATGCTGCGTCGTGCCGTCAGATACAAATCGGAAGTTCTTGACCACGAGTTTGCTAAGGGGAATAGTGTCCCGATCGAGAAAGAAGCGCATATATCTGACGGTGAGATGATGGCGGTGTTGAGCTTGATGGCATCGGGACGAGTCAGGCTCCGACCGGGCGCGGACGTGCCAAAGACCCGTTATGGCCTGGATCACGAACGTATAGGGTACCGAACGAAAAACATGGATAGAAAGGTGTTGGGTTTCAGTGTCGAGCTCACCCCGACAATGGAGTATTGGTTTGGAGATCCTTGGTCGGGCGCTTTGGAAATACACCAGCTCCCCGTCCCCCGCGGGCAAGCAGATGAACCGATGGGCCCAATCCCGATGTGGATCGACATTCATGGAAATGTGCAGTTGGCACTTTGGTACATGGTTCTTGTCGGCGTTATGGGGTTCGTCTCACAAATGCCGGGTGTATCTGCCTCGCAGATCTCAAGGGCTTTTGGATTTGGGCTTGATGAAGCTGAAGTGGAAGTCATCATGCAGTGGTGTGTTCAGTCTGGATTTGCAAAGAGAGACAGTAAGTCAAAGGGATATGAGACATTGGAGTGGTGGTGGCTGTGTGTTGATGGGGGCATAGGGGGAGAAGTGGATGGATCAAGTCTTTGAGATCCTTTTTGTTAGCCGACGCTTTCTGAGGCGTACTCAGCAATGGCGTTGAATTTAAGACCAAAAGGACAACAGGCCTGGCATTTGAGGGACTCGGGATAGGATGGGACAGCGATTACGAGCACGGCATGATGTTTGGCGTGGTGGTCAATGGCTCTAGCGGACAAGGGACGGCGACTTGTGACAACCTCATTTTGCAGGAAATGCGCATATCTGGAGGCGCTCTTGTACATCAGCAATACTAAAATCAGTCTTTCAGGCCCTTGACTACATATGTACAGTAGCTTTTGAATAATGCTCAGGTAAACTGCGCACTATATTCGATATCGAGGAGCTGTGCGCGCCTCGCGTCGACAGTCGGTCCATACAATTTCCCCGCATCCGCAGCCTGCACCTCTCCAAGTCTGCGGACCATTCACGCAACACACCTCGACAGAAGATTCAACTACGACCAACTGACAACCACTCACAATCCTGGAGCCTCGAGGCTGAGGCGTCCACTCTGCAATAAAGCGACTTACTTTGGGTTCTCCTCTATCACGCACACGTCGCGTCGTTCCTTCGCCACGGGAGATGAATTGCGAATGTACTGCCCCTCCATCATCAGATCACGACTCATTGGATAAGACCCGCGATGTCTTACATTGTCCCAATCCACCCTCCTAGCGGTGTACGGCATGCTATCAAGTTGAACTTCCTGGAGCCTACCACGGACACACTCATTGTCGCGTGAGCACACTTTCCCAGCCTGCCTGTTGATAGGCCATACGCTAATGGCATGATCTAGGAAGGCGAATCGACTCCAAATATTCGAGCAAGGGCCGGAAGGCCTGAGCCTGCTGCACACGAAGACCGTCTATGGCTACATCACCATACTCGAGAAGCTCCGCCCGGAGTCTTCCAAGACCGACCACCTTTTTGTCGGGACCGATCGCTACCAATACTTTACTTGTTCATGGAACGCGCAGACAAAACAGCTGCAAACAGAGCAGAGCTATGTGGATCTGGCGGACAAGGTCCTGCGCAGCTCGCAAGAGTCGGACAGATGCCATGTGGACCCTACGCGGCGGTACATGACGCTGGAGCTGTACGATGGAGTAATTTCAGTTTTGCCCTTTGTTCAGCCTTCCAACAAACGGGTCAAAAGAGAAAGCACTTCCAACACTCAGGTCGGGGCCCTCGGCGAGCCGGTCCAGGTCAGAATTGAGGAGTTGTTGACAAGGTCATCTGCCTTTCTGGAAATGGATCCCGACTCAAAGGACAATCCGAGGCTGGCTATCTTGTGGGAAGACAACTTGGAGACCCCGCAACTGGTGCTGAGAGAGCTCAAGTACCGTGCGGGTGGAGAGCAGGCATCTGCAGATCTGGAGAGAGTGGCCGAACTCAAGGGGGACCAGCTCGATAAGGGCGTGAGCCATCTCATTCCCGTCCCGGTTCCGTACGGAGGCTTCTTAATTCTAGGCGACCACGCCATTCGCTACGTCGACCGCGACTTAAGCAATGTCGTTACTCAGCCTCTAGAAGACAGCTCGACGATATGGACTTGTTGGACCAACGTCGACGATCGGCGATGGCTCCTTGCGGACGACTACGGCAAATTGTTCTTTTTGATGATCGAGACTAGCTTTTCCGAAGTGATATCGTGGAGACTAGACCCTGTCGGAGTTACCTCAAAGGCTTCTTCCTTGATATATCTCGACGAGGGCTACGTCTTTGTGGGTTCGCATGCGGGCGATTCGCAAGTTGTGCATATCGAAGAGGAAGGGGTTCGCATCGTCCAGACATTCCCCAATATTGCCCCTATCCTAGACTTCACAATCATGGATCTGGGTCGAGGTGCCGAAGGTGGCGCAGCGCCCGAATTCTCTTCTGGTCAGGCCAGGATAGTGACAGCCTCTGGAGCCTGGCAGGATGGGAGCATTCGAAGTGTCAGAAGTGGTGTTGGTCTGGAAGAGATCGGTACGATTGGCGAGCTATCTCACATTATCGACCTGTGGGGTTTGAGCTCAACAGGGCTGGACAGCACGCAGGACACATTGCTTGTGTCTTTTGTCAACGAGACGCGAATATTCAAGTTTGATGCGGAAGCCTCAGTTGAAGAAGTCGACGACTTTCATCATCTCGAATTTTCCCAGCCAACGCTCCTTGCGACAAATCTTCCAGACCGAAAGCTCGTCCAGGTCTATGAGACCGGTTTCCGGATCACAGATCTTGAATCGAGTATGCTGACCCTGGAATGGAAACCACCCGATGCTGCGGCAAAGATAACGGCCGCAAGTGCAAATTCAGTCCATCTCCTCCTAGTGGAAGGCGGCCACACTCTCCATGTCTTCCACATCGCGACCAGCGACGCCAAACCTACTGTCTCAAAGACCTTCCCACCAAACTCACAAGTATCAGGAGTAACAGTTCCAGACACACAGAGCAACGTCTGTATCGTCTCCTTCTGGCAAACTGCCTCTGTTGCCATCCTTGACCTACACTCCCTCGACATCCTCCAATCACAAATAGTTGGCAGCCCTGGTACAGATATTCCACGATCAGTCCTGGTTGCTAACGTCCTGCCTGACGCTCCTCTGACTTTGTTTGTTGCAATGGCCGACGGCACAGTTCTGTCGTATTCGTTTGACCCTTTGAAGAACTCTCTGTACGGTATGACGAGGATTTTATTGGGAACCGAGCCCGTGTTCTTCAAACAACTACCCAAAGACAGCCGATCAGGCTTGTCCAATATATTCGCTTCGTGCGAACAGCCCTCTTTGATATATTCCTCCGAGGGTCGCATTATCTATTCAGCGGTAAACGCTGATAGTGCCTCTCGCGTGTGTAGCTTCAATTCTGAAGCATATCCCGGGGCCATTGCTATAGCGACTCCAAGCGAGCTGAAGTTGGCCCTGATCGGAACGGAGAGAACGACTCAATTGCAAACGCTTCCCGTTCGCGAAACAGTGAGATGTCTCACCTACGAACCCAAGGCTAAGATGTTCGCGATGGGCTGTGTCAGTCGAGCCATCGAGGACAATGCGGAAGTCACAATGAGCTCTGTCAAGATTGCGGATGAGGTGAGCTTCAAGGAGTTGCACTCGGTAGATCTGCAAGAGAAAGAGTTGGTAGAGTGTATTGTGACAACGGGCTCTTTCGAGACGGAGAATGAAGCCCGTGCGTACGGTGAGATGTTTGTGGTGGGGACAAGCCTTCTCGAGGAAAATGAATCGGGCGAGGAGTGTCCAAAAGGCCGAATACTTGTGTATGAGGTCAATAAAGAAAACAGGCTGGAGGAAGTTACTCAAATCAGGGTCAAGGGTGCGTGTAGGAGTCTGGCTATGTGCGAGGGGAAGATTGTGGCGGGCTTAGTGAAAACGGTAGGTTCTTGATCTTTTGTCGAGGCTTTGCAGCTGCTGACGATTTGAAGGTCGTTCTTTACGGACTGGTGCCCTCGTCGACAAGAGGAGACCACTCTCTCAAACTGGAAAAGCTGGCCACGTACCGCACGTCAACGAACCCGCTGTCTCTTGCCGTCATGCCTGCCACTCCTCGTAGACCAGCCTCAATCGCCGTTGCAGATCTGATGAAATCTTTGTCCATCCTTCAAGTCATCCACGACCCGTCTTCCTCGACAGGTTACACTCTGCAAGAAATATCGCGTCATTTTGCTACGCTTTGGTCTTCGGCGACTGCGGTCATCATGGAAAATGAATGGGTTGTTGCCGATATGGAAGGCAACTTAACCATGCTTAGGCAGGTTAAGGATGGCAGCGGTGCTAGTGGCTTTAACCGCCGGCTGGAAGTTACGGGAGAATTCCGGCTGGGGGAGGTTGTCAACAAGATTGTCCCTTTGACGCTCACTCCGACAGCCCAAAGGGAGAACCAAAACAACCACACAAAGAATGCCGAGCAGGCCGAGGATTTTTCAAGCCCGGATAGTCGCCGTTTTGGAGGCGCAGAGAAGTCGGTTGCTTCCAAGGTTGCGCGTCAGGGACCGATTGTCACTCCGCGGGCATTCCTGGCGACCATTGAGGGTGCGATATACATGCTTGCAACCATCAATCCAGGTTTCATGAACGTGCTTCTAACCTTGCAGTCCGCATTGGCAAATCGAGTGCAGGCCCCAGGCTATATGCCTTGGAGTAAGTTCCGGGCATGGAGGACTGAGGTGTCGGAGAAGGATGAACCGTTCAGAGTTGTGGACGGAGAGATGTTGGAGCAAGCGTTGTTGAGCATGACTGATGAGGAACTGGAAGGAGTTATTGGGGAAGGTGGCCTGACGGAGGAGCAGTTGGGAGTGACCGTACAGGAGGTGAGGACGTGGGGAGAAGAGCTGAGGCGATTGTGTTAGGGTCAGAAGCCAAAGCTCGGGACAAGGTGGGGTGCACGGAGGAGACACACCCCAGGATGAGGAGTAATACGATTGCTTATCGCCGGGTCTGGGCTCGTATACCTGTTAGAGGGCTTGCAAAAGCAGGGAATAGGAAGATCTGCAAGGATATCAAGAGTGTCGTCTCTCTATGGGAATGGGAGCGATGTCGGGTTGCGACACCGATGGCGCCAAGTCTGGAACTCATTATTCCAAGATCCCTCCGCCCCCCTCCCGCTCCGCTGTTGTCTTGGCACCTTTTGACGCCCTGCATACGCTCTCCACCATCATGCAGCCTGCCAGCCAGGGGGAACGGAACAATGCCAGTCAGCACGGTTGGCATTGATCGTCCGGCGGGACTGTGCAGCTGGGGAACAATGAGAAACTCTTTAGATGAGCCAAACAGAAAACAGATGCGTTGACCATTAGCCTTCCCTCCCGAAATCCACTCCTTGTAGCTTCACTTCAGTTCACTTCAATCATGGGCCGTTGGAGATGAATCAGGGCCTGGAAGTCTCATACCCAACAATGGAGATCCAGGTGTCAAGGTTTTCACTTCACTCTGATTTCCCTGGTCAAACAAATTGTTTCAACAGAGGCGGTGACGATTCACTTGCTAGAGCGGCAGGCAGGCAGGGGGGATCACCAGCCACCCACATGCTATTGTGCAGGTGAGACATTCATTCATTGTCTCTATTCAATGCTGTCATTCTTGGAGGCCGTGAGTGAATAGGTAGTGAATACGCATGACTTCTCATTGAGTCACCCTCGTCAAGGCGGCTGGGGGTTTGGAGGCATTTTGTCACCCGCGCACCACCAGCTCAAGTGAGTTTTCATATCACCTACAGGTAGTTTGCTTCTTCATTCTCAGATCTGCGCCTTAAAACCTCCAGCAAGCATTGACTTGTGGGTAATCATTCCTTCCTGCAAGCCTCTTTCAAAATCACCTGCGCATTGAAACCATCCTCAGCATTGGCCCTGACACAGCCAAATCAACTACACCAAACTTCCTCACAACATTCAAATCACTGTGTTTCCAATATCTCCTTCTACTCATCCAGCTCTTTCTTCCACCTTCAGTCGACCTGTCAACTGCCTCCCTCGCCGGTCTTCTCTCCATTGACCTGCATTTCTCCAATCCGCCCACTCCCACTCCCAAAACACAAAACATGTGCTACCGCCAAGCAATCGAATGGAAATGCCCCGACTGCGGCAAGAAATCGCGCGAAAACTCGTCGGCACAAATCAAGTGCCTCAACGACGGGTGCCGCAAGGTCCAACCCAAGCTCCGGCCCCAAATGAGATTCACCCGTCGCCCGTGCGGCACCTGTCAGCCTCGCAAGCTGTCCACCAGAAACAAGAGTGTGAGCATCGGCCGCATTGGGAACGGTGGCAGACCACGCGTCATGGTGGCTGATCCATTTGATGGGGATGATGAGATGCCGACCGCTGCTGGAGCCGCCGTTGGTCAGAAACGAGGTGAAGCGGAGGACGAGATGGAGCACAAGGCGCAAACCTTCGCACTTCAACAACTCAAACGGGAGATAGCAGGACTTCGAGCAAGACAAGGAGAGCAGCGACTTGAGCATTGTTCCGCCCCAGACGTTCATCTTGCTGGTCCGACTCGTGCCGGAGATGAACAGAGCCGCCTGTCAGCCGGTGGAGAACATCGACCGCTCGAACTGCGTCCTCGTCAAGATGCCGGGATTCGACGACACCGTGACATCGTCCAAGGACACCATGGACAACCACTCTCTGCTCCGGCCCGCATTGTTCTCAGCAACTTGTTCGAGCTTGTCTGAGGCACGCTTGTCATGAGTGTCCTGACGGATTGGCAATTCAGCAAGCATAACAGGAGTCATGGGAGGTCAAGGGATGGTCTTGGATACTTGGGTGGCGAGCTACTAGAGAATGGTGATGGACAATATTTCGCGAGGGAGCTCAGTCTTGTGCAAGGCGTATCGGTGACTGGCAGGCTTCAGCAAGGAACAGAATGTTTCTCGCTCGGCTGGTTTCACCATCTCGCCCCGGGGGGGGGGGGGGGGGGGGGGGGGGGGGGGGGGGGGGGAGGGTTGAATCAGCTTTTTTAATCAAAGGGATGGGCAATTGGGATAGAATACTCTAAGTCTCAACCTTCAGAATGAAAACACACTTGAGCTCAAGACCGCATTGATTCGTGTTCAATATCAAGGATGCGGTGAGATGATGTTGAGAAGGTACATTGGGAACAAGCTTCTGCGGGATAACGATTTTCCGACCGTTCCACCAGGCACAGCCACGCCGCCAGAGTTTCAGCCTGATGTTCCAGCGACAACCTCTCACCGCCCTTCATGTTTTCCCATATCGGTTCTGCTGCAACGGCGTTGTGGTAGAATAGCCTTGATATCAGCGCTGTACAAGCGACTACCACGCACGACGCTCAAGTTGAGGGGGAGAACGGCCACGCACAACTTGAACGTACTCCAGCTGAGACTTCAGAAAGACCACAGCACAATATGCGCCTGATCAATACAACTACACTTGGACTCGAGGAATTCGAAGGCTCCGACATTCCGCTGTATGCAATCCTCTCCCATACCTGGGGCGAGGGCGAAGTCACGTACCAGGACGTCCAGGCCCGGAAAGCGAAGGGTAAACTGGGCTACGAAAAGATCAAAAATACCTGCAAAAGGGCACGGGCGGACGGGTTCGACTATGTCTGGGTCGATACTTGCTGCATTGACAAGAAAAGCAGCGCAGAGCTTTCGGAAGCGATCAACTCGATGTGCAGCTGGTATCGAGATGCGATAGTGTGTTACGCATTTCTTGCCGATGTGTCGTCAAATTTCTCGGGTGGCCAAATTATGGTCGACGATTTCGAATTCTCGGACAGCAGATGGTTCACTCGAGGATGGACTCTCCAGGAGCTTATAGTGCCTCAAATATTGATATTTCTCGACAGGAACTGGCAAGAAATCGGTACCAAAGCAAGTCTCCAAAGAAAGATATCAGCTATCACTGATATTCCCGCCAATATCCTTGAAGGTGATATTGACTCTGCGAGCGTAGCACAAAAGATGTCATGGGCTTCTTGGAGAGAGACAAAGAGAGTTGAGGACCAAGCGTATTGTTTATTGGGATTGTTTGGCATCCATATGCCTCTGCTCTACGGAGAAGGGAAGAAGGCCTTTAGGAGGCTGCAAGAAGAAATTCTGAGGGTTTCGGACGATTATAGTATCTTCGCCTGGGAAAACAACTCCAGGGCTACCGAGGGTCTCCTTGCCACAACCCCATATCAGTTCCAGGATAGCATGGATGTGAAGGCAATGGATCAATCAACCACTTCGGGCGGAGCAGTGACGGTGGACAATAAAGGGATCCACTTGACACTCCGCATCAGCAAGCACGCTGTTCGTGACGAGGATCATTTTGCGCTCCTTCCATGCACAAGGGGAGGAAGGCAAATTGGAATCTATCTGCGACCGATTCCAGAAACGAAGGACATGTTCACAAGAAACATGGTGAAAGAGTCCATATTTCCTCTCACAGACCATTCTAATCTGCGGGATTACCTCGAGAGAAGTCTCTGTGTCCGACAGAGTCGTACAGAGCAGATCAACACGCCTCATTTACATGCTGCCGCGGCAGTGGGACACCGGGCGTTGGTGAATTTCTTGACTAGCAAGGGTATGGGATTAGAGTCCCGAGACCAGCATGGCAGGACGGCATTGTTTCTGGCGTCGGAGAATGGCCACCTGGAAGTGGTACGGCTTCTGCTCGACAAGGGCGCCAACCCGAATGCTCGAAGCAAATCCGGAGCAACACCACTAGATCTTGCGCAGATAGGCCCTCACGAGCCAGTAGTAGAGCAGCTGCTTGAGAAGGGTGCTGTCAGGAGGGTGCCTTGATTGCTTAACGGGTGGCCAAGCGATGGAATATTTCTCCAGTAGTGGCGGATTATTGGGCACTATAGTAGATAAAGGTCTCTATCGTCGTGACAGGTGCGGACTCTTTGAACGGAATAACGAATAAAAAGGTACGGCGAGTCTCAGGAACTGTCCTGATGGGCTATCCTGATCTACCATAGGGCCTAGGATGGTGCTTTCGTTGGCGGCGGATCACTGCCGTGACGAGCTTGTACAGCCCTTCTTCAATAAAGGCGTTGATCAAGATGTCAAGACTCGGCAGCATAGCCTTCTAGGTTCGCTAGTCGCTGCGATGGACGTATCGGAAGGATCACTAGTCGGCGGGGGCCGCTTCTTCACCAAAACGTCCTCATTCTTCTACTGGTCGCGTGGTTTCCCCGCGATGCCCAATGTGGAAATCCTAAATCGGCTCAGGACCCACCTCCGGGCTCTGGATGCGTGGATGAAGGACGTTGGGCTGACTGGCAACAAGTTCCATATGAAAAGAAAAATCACGAAAGCTCACAGCATGCCTATATACGGGCATTGAACATGTCGCCTCGCACACGAAAAGGGACATCCTACGTCAGGACGTATATGAATCCTGTCTGCAAGTAAAGAGGTCCGGTCCCCGAGAGCAATAATTCCCAGATTCTCGTCGACCAGAACGCATTTCTATACCAGAGACCAAGAAAATGAATGCAGATAACAGGTGTTTATTCCTCCCGCAGTTGACTGACTTTATTGACCCTTCGCCGGCAGCGGCCTGCCAACTCCGCCGCCCTCACCACATCTTCGACCTCAGAGTTTGGGCACAAGGGACGAAATGCTTGTTGGAATCTTGCCTTGCCGTGGACCAAGCGGTAAACACACGCCGAGCGAGAACGAAACCGGACGTAACGCCTTAGCAGTGGAACTCGACAGAATGACGGATGATCTCGCCCGCGGACGGCGTCAGGCAGACCGCAGCGCCTAACAAGCCTGGCAGTGGGTGAAAAGCAAGATGTCAACATACTGCTCGACGTTGACATCGCTCCACATTTGGGAAGGAATTGAGGATCGGAGGTGGAGCGCGTCGCGGACGACCATGGGAATAGAGTCGGTCATCATGGAACGAGGGCTGATGCGAGCTTGGAAATTTCCGACTTGTCGCGTTCCGTATGCGAGAGTGAAGCTTACGTGCCCATGTAAACCGATGATTCTACTGAGAGAAGCTTCGGTCGGTCCCTTGCCTAGGCTACGTGCCGCATGCAGACAGAATCAGGATTGACTATCCGCTCATGGTGACGAGGGATTTGACGGAAGACCTGTGACCCGAGAGAATCTCAAGCTGCTGTTCTGGCTCCTCTGGCTCGACGAACCAGTCTGTTGGCTTGCAATGGAGGCCGCAGTGCCGGGTCTAGCTCTAAAAGCTGTGGTGCGAAACCGGCGATAGTCGGAGCTGGTCGAGGAAGTGAAGGATTGGGCCAGCGTTGGTAAACCATGCGCAAGTGTCGTTTTCTCCCTTAAAGGGAATGCTTGCACAGCCGACGCCGTTTGCTGGACTTTTAGAGTATTCCATCCTTCTTCAACATCCGTTTCTGTCATGGTACCAGAGATGGGGAGAATACTGGCGATTCCCATCGTAATCCTTCTTAGACGGCTGTCGGGAATATTGGATGTGTGTAAAAACCTCGGGTTGAACTTCGGGGAGAAATGGTCAATGATTGATTCAATCATCGCGTTGTATCGTGGAGGATATTCAATCCCTTGTCTTATGTCCTGGATGCTGCAACGGAGCAGATCCGAGAGAAGCGGATCCGAGGCACTTGGAAACAACTCCATTTCAAGATTTCGCCTCCCGATCAGAATCGGCTCCAACAGGAACGGAATAACAGCAACTGCAAGGCCATTCAAGTCACAGGGAAGGCCTCGGTGATTGTCACTCTCTGAGTGGTTCGACCCCACAGGATAAGCAGCCCTGTCTGCCAAACATTCTTCGAGGATTGAGCAAGCCACTTCCTGAGCGTTGTAGTCACCACGCTGTATCGAGTCCTCTCGAAAAGGTTGATCAAACATGTGGGAATTTCTCTTTATATATGATTTAACCTTGTCAACGGCAAAGCGAAAGCACCTGCGGGTGGTTTCGCACTCACGGAGGTGTTCCATTATTTGGCCTTGCCCGAGAGTCATACAACAGCCTGGTGCTCCTCCACAATCTTTGTTGAGCTTGTCGTTGCTCAGGTGCATAGCAGTGACCGCCCAATAGGCTAAATCTTCGTGCGATTCTAGCAAGGCAATGGTCAGAGTTCCGGTATTTTCGTGAATGCATTGCCTCTCCACAGCTTCGAGATATTTCCAAGTTCGGACGTCATGCATAGACGGGAGAGGGTATTGCTGTAGCAATGTACTCCGGACATCTTCAATCAACATGCTCACAATCTGCTTCTGCACAGTAGTTGAGGCAGATCTCGCACAGTTTATAGCACCAAGAACCATCCGTGGATGAGCACTGTCGACAGTTTTCTTATTTTCGCGAAAATGGAAGTAGATGAGGAAGTACAGGTTGAACGCTTCAGTAAAGTCTCGGAGGATGAAAATTATAGTCGCCATATTTTTCAGCTTCGCAGCACGGTCCATGCTATCCTGAGTCCCCAACATGGTAGTTGTGTAAAGATCGAATGCAGTTCTGCTCAACCGATACGTCGAGGGGAGGGGTGCCGAAACAATGCCCACCGCTGATGACGACACAACCATCTCTGGGCCCTGGGGGCCATGCAACCGCCGAGTTGCAAAGATAAGCGAGGAATCCAACGACTGTATGACGGTCTTGCATCCTGACAGGAACTGCACTCCATGCTCTGCGGCTTCGGTGGCCAATCCAGTGGGTTCGGATTGGCTCGTCCCACTGTCAATAGCAGACCGGGCTGCTATCATCTCGTAATCACGATGTTCCTTAGGCTGTCCATGAGATTGTTCGCTATCGACCATAAACACATCTTCAAAACGCAAGTGAACGCAATCCGTAGGTGGAGGTTTAGATTCAGGACTTTCGGGCCTGTTGGATGCTTCGAGGCCCGACTTGTGTCCAGATACACTGGGACTCGTGCAGCCATGAGTGGGCGTGGCATTGTCGCCCTGGGACAGCGGCGCGTCGCTTCTTGATGTATTCAAAGCGACTGGACACTGTGGCTGCTTGTAGAAACAGATGTTATGTTCCTTCAACAATCCGTCAAGTTGCGCGAGGGTGACGGGCCTTCCAATCAAAGATCGAACCTCAAGTTGCATGTCGTGTCGACTGCTACCTTGTTCTTGAAGCAGCCGAAGTCGCGGTCCAAGCATAGCTCTCTCTGCTTTGGACAATCTTGCGTTGTAACGCGACGAGTTTGGTTCCACAGGGATGAACCGCGTGTAAGGCTCTCTGGACGAGGCTGACTGAGCCATGGCTGTGCAGTGTAGAAATGCGTGCGATCGAACTCCAGGTTCCTGGACCGTCTTAAGGCAAGCCCCGATCAGTGCAAAGTATGGTGAAGGCAAGGTAGAGAGAGAATGAAATATCTCGAATTCATGGTGAACGGCTTTTGAAGCACCCGGGCGCCCGCACAGGTTGGGTTGAACCAGGCAAGAATCGTGAATTCCATTTCAAGACTAGCCCCAGTTCTTGGGAAGGAGCCATTGGCCAATGGGAATGCATTGTGGGGTAGAGGGCCACCCGTGATAGAGCGCCCCGAATCACCCAATCACCACTGTACACCTTGCAAATGTGGAGCATTCAAATGACCTCTGACATAGGAGAGTTCGGGCAGCAGGAAAAGGAACAACTGTGGAGTTTGAAACTTGATCGAAACATCCTTGCAGCGGCCTCCCCATATGGTCTTGCTATACCTCGTGCTCTGCCCACCATAGAACACAGCCCACCTTGGACTATTCGCGTGTCACGGTGAGCGTCCACGGTTCGTAAATGTCTATCAGCAAAATTTGAGAAGCAGGGCAGTAGGGTATTAAAAGTAACGAAGGTTGATCATGGAAGTAGAAGTCAGTCCTATCCTTGCACATAGTATGTATGTATATTCCCTCGTGGCCAAATTTGTTCTCAGCCTTGCCCTGACGAGGCTCGGCGTCTCCTGGTTTACTGCCATCGCCAATAGCTCCCCAAAAGCCGGCTTCGTAATATATCCATTCTTTTCAACAAGGTCAGCTTTAACACATGTTGTGCAATTTCCACTGTGGAGGAAGGCGGATCTTGCTTGGCTCTTCCCGCTGTTGACTCTCGGCGTCCCCGGTGTCATCGCGGTCTCCAATGCGTTCCGACTAATGGTCGTCGTTGATATCGACGATGGTCTTCTTCCACTTGCGTGCCGGAACACGGCGGTTGAACAAGATGTCGATCTCGCGGTAGGACCGATTCTTCATCTCTGGTAGCCAGATATAAGCCATGACCAAGCACACGAACGCGGTACCAGCCCAGACGTAGCCGCACTTGCCACCAAGGTTTGCTTGGTCTGGGTTGAGCATATAGCTTGCTAGGAAGATGCAAGGGATGTTGACAGCGTAGTAGCTACCACGTCCGACACCAGTGGTTAGAGGCCTGAGACGGATGGATGACGTCTCTCCGATGATGACCCATGAGGCAGGAGCTGGTCCTAGGCAGAATAAGACGGAGACGATAAGGCCAAGAGATGCTTGCGCCAGGGAAGCTGAGTTTGACACCCCGACTGAAGCTGCAATACCGAGAGCGATCAAAAGGATGCAGTTGAAGGCCGAGCCCCAAAGATATATAGTCCGTCGGCCCAGGTAGGTCGTGAGAATCCAAGAGAGCATGACAAAGACCGCCTGTAGGGCAGAAGTAATAAGACCAAGGGCAAATGCGGTGTTAGTGGAGATGCCCGCGCCTGCTCTTATGTTAGTCTGTGGACAGGTGTGCAGGAGGAGTAACAACTCACGCTCGAAGAAGTACACGGCCTGATTGGCAATGAGGTTACCGGTCAAGTTCTGAGCAGCGTACACACCGCACACAATAAGCGTCCGGTAGCGATCGGTGCCTTTCCACAGTTCGATGAGACTGGGTTCTTTCTCGGTCTTCTCAAGCTCGACAGTACGACGCATCATGGCCACCTGATCGGCAGAGTTGTCAAGCATAGACGAGCGTCCTAGGCGTCTGACGGCCTTTTGTGCCTCTTCGAGCCTTCCCTTCCGAACCAGCCACCAGGGCGATTCGGGTCCCCACCAAATGAGTAGGGCCAGGGGAGTGGGGAACAGCCATTGAAGCGCGATAGGAATTCTAGGTCTTGCTGTTAGCAGAAAGCTTATGAGCCTGACGTCGGGCAAAGCACGTACCTGTATGCTTCTTCGCGGTCCAAGCTGTTGTAATGATAGGTGACGCCGCCCACAATAATCGCTCCGACAGCCCAGAACATCTGAAGCATCTGAGTTGCAGGGGCTCTCAGCCTGAGGGGGACGATCTCGCTGCAGTATGCTGGTGCATTGGCGATGAAGACGCCCCAAGGAATGCCTTCGAGAACCTGGGATCCAAACAGGACTCCCAGTGAGTTGCCAAAATAAAAGACAAAAATGAAGCCGTTCAAAGCCATGAGGCCGCCGATGGTTGCCCACCGGTATCCGATGGCACTAGTGATCGGTCCGGCAAGGAAGACGCCAATGAAGGCACCGACTGGCCCGCCACACTGAAAAGCAGACTGCCATGCGGCTGTAATGAAATATTTGTCTTGGCTGGCATTGTATTGGCCGAAGTCTTGGGCGAATCGAGGAAGAGCAATGAAGTTTCCCATCAAGAAAACGCAGTAGGCCTCCATGATCTGGAGATAGTCAGAGAGATCGCTCAATAAAGACGGCAGTGATATGGGTGGCGAGGAAACCTACGATGGTGCATGACATGACAAATGCCCACCAGCTGGCAGAGGGATAGGCTCGAACCGCCTCAATGACGCCCATCCTGTGTTCAGTATGCTCTGCCTCGATCGCACCCGCCCTGTTGTAATCGAGCTTCTCATTGGTCTCATCGACATGGTATACCGAGGACTTCTGCATCTCAACCTCATACTCGCCATTGGGCGAGTCCGATATGACTTGGTCGGCCATGTTGAATTGTGGTCTGCCTTACTGTTTGCTGGGCAGGAGAATGGCGAGATGGAGAGCAGAACAGGAGAGCGTTCTGGAAGTCTTTATCCTCAGAGTCGCACTTTTGCCGGATCCAAGCTTGACGCACTTAAGCATATGTTCTACGTATGGGAGGCGATTTTGCTCGGCCCCGGCTTCCCCGACTTCCCCACCTCATCACCCTTCTAGGCATTATTCCGTGCGCAGCGTTACATTTCTGTTACATCTGGGGTCGACTCGTGGAGACATGGGGATTCAAATCAAGCCCAGAAATGCCCAGTTCTGACTCGGTGCAGCTAAGCCCGATCCCGCACATGGCGTGCGCGAGGGATTTCGGGCACAGCTCCACCGAGAGCAGGTGTGATAGAATGGTCGGCATATTGACCGACGAGGGTGGATCCTGGGGATCTCAAGGTGCAGCTATATCAACCAATCATGGAGCAAGTTGGCGCACTGAGGGGACCAGTGGCGTGGAGAGGTGGACACTAAACTTTATCCTGCCTTGGCAGCCTTTTGACCACCGGAATATCTTCTTTCCAGGCAAGGAGTTTGGGTGGCCGACATATGGCCACACGTGAGATCTCAAGGACAACGTGCACTCGCCCCTGGACTTCGGCAGTGGACCACATCCCAAATCAGGAATGTTGCCGGTAGACATATCATGCGAAGGCGATAGACGGGACAAAGGTGCCGGAGCAATTTCTCAGGATATCATTGCGTGTCGTGTTACCTGCTATATAGCACCACCTGTTGTGCAGAACCTAACTCTGCAAATGCAACCGTGGGAGGTAGGACAAGGGACTTAAGCGATCATTTCGAGGCAACATCATCCCATCAAACGTGACCGCGGATCATCACTGTTCAAGACACTCGAGCGAAAAGCTAAGGATAATCGGCACGAGCGAGACTCGTGTCATTCAACCAACCACTTCCACATGACTCTTTACGACCGGTAGTCTCTTCACAGTTGCCATCTTCTCCGTCTCCAACATGCTCCTTGCCTGCTTTCTGGCTGGCAACACCCATATGAAGTAGAGAAATCAAAATTGAGATTGAACATCGCCACCACAGACGCTATCTCTCCTTATCTTTCGCCGGATTTCTAAGTACCCAATTTCTAGCATTCAACCCCTCCCCACCGAATCACCTGCTTGGTTGTGAGAGAAACCTATTCTGAATGTAATGTACTTGTCCGGAAAGTAGACATTGGGATTGGGGTACCGTTTACGATGTTCACTTTTTGTGTACCAAATTTGGCAGCTCACCGCATTGACCAAAGATGCTCTCAGAACCGTAATTTCGGTGATGGGTGATTCCGCTGGATCCCAGTGTGTGAAGTACGGCCGCGCATTGACCTGGCTTCACAAGTCGAGAGGCAGCATTTGGTCGTATCAAGGGGAACATATCAAGTGGTTTGGGTTCCGGTCAGATACCTTTCACCAGCACCCTCTCTTCCAGCGGTTTCACTTCCTTTTCTTTTTTGTCATTGTTCGCGGGTGTCCCAAAGACCAGCTGCGCCTTCAACACCCAGTCATCACTCACGCCCCATATTTCCTTCACCATGTCATCGATATTCGGGTTATAATGCTGCAAATTTGCGCCCATACCCTCGGCCTCAAGCGCACACCATAACGCAAACTGATGCATCCCAGCGCTATGTTCGCTCCACTGCTCGAACTTCTTGTACGGAATGATACCGTCGTACTTTTCCGCCGTGGCCGCGACAGTGGCTTGGTCCTCGAAGCACAAGATCGTGCCGTAGCCCCCGCGGTACTTTGTAATCATGGGCGCAAAGTACGTTGTGAACACGGCCTCGGGGAGAACCTGGGACATGATGGTGCGCGCATGGTCCCAGAGCCGTTGGTGCTCCTCCCGCAGGAGGATGAGGAAGCGGGCGGATTGGCTATTGAATGAGGAGGGGGTGTGAAGGGTGATGTGGTGCACAATATCGACGATGCGGGAGTCTGGGACTGGAGAGGAGGAGTTAAGGTCGTAAATTGTGCGTCGGGTCGCTATGGCATCGAGAAGAGACATTTGGGAAGCCATTGGTGTTTCGTGTAGGGCAGTAACTGAGAGAATGGACTGCTGCTACCGAGTGGGAATGGTTTCCGGACATCTTATACGATTTACCTCGTCGACCGCTTGCATCTGGGATCCCTACCTCCACCATTCGTACTCGTATTAGAGCTTCACCCGTCAAAGAGCCAGGCAACATTCCTTGGCAGGCAGGCACCCATTAAGCTCAAAGCTGGTAGAGGAACACCGCATTGATGGCCGAAGCACGCTGGCGAGAAGATTATGACACCAATGATTTGCAACAACAGATACATCCTGGGGTCGATGGTGAGGCAATTCAAAGTGCGGGGCAACGAAGTTCCGAAGATCTGACTATTTGGGTCTAGCCCGAATAGGAAAGAGCGCGTCGCGGTCTCCGATTTCAATTCCAACGCCCAACTGCGCGCGGATGCATGTAATTGACCCTCCACCAATATTTTCGAACATGATGTGAACAGTTTGCTGCCCTGCTTGGTCTCTTCTGCATGACTCCTAAATCACCCTCCTTGAAGCCAATCTCCGTATATACCATGTCCACTCGAACAACGTCACAGAGCCAACCTCCAGGCCAATCGCTTCGTCCACTACCCTCTCGCCCCATCAAGGGCATTCTATACGGCTCAACCTCCCCTGAGTTTCCCGGTACAAGTCGAGCTCTTTGAGCCGGTGTCATCCGCCTTCCGACCGCTCGAGCCTCCTGGCATGGTCTCGTCAAGAGCAACTGGATTGAATATCGGATGACAATGTGGACGAGTGTCGGAACGTAACCCTAAGATGTTTGTCGGTTCAAGTGTCGCGGTCCAGTTGTCGAGTCTCCGAGTAACTACATTTGCGCGCCTCCTACTTACTATTTGCTCCGGCAGAGAACGGCAGGTCGGATTGAATGTGGCCAAAAGAGAATGCGACGTTCAGAGCCCTCCTGCGAGGGCGGTGAAAAACGGTTTAGCCATGCGTCAAGTTGGTAAGCGTCCCTGAGGGATCGCGCGTCGGCATTCCAACGCTGAACATTATACGTGATCATACATGGGATGTTTTGGTGTACAGGAGCGTGAGACAAGGATCAAGAGAGAGCGGAGATGACGACTTGTCGGAATTAGCGCACGAGGCCTACGCCTAGAGCACAAAGATTCTGTTGCCTACACACAAGATTGCTGGGAACCCTTTTGGAAGCTGAAGAGATCCACTGGCCGGAATCCGAGCTTCATGTTGCTTGGATGCCAGGTCTCGGATGTGACTTCAAGGATTCCAAATCAGCATGTCTTCCAACTTGGCACTTTGTTTGTTTCGGATGGCCATGGCCAGCGCAGAATATCAGCAAACGTCAAATTCAGCATTGGCTGTCACTCCTTTCCAACTCTGCTCTTGTCCTCACAGCGCTCTATCTGGTGCCAGCCCTGTGACCAAACGCGCACCAAGGCAACAGCTATCCGGTGTGTGCTTCTGTCGAAGATCCCGATCAACCGCGTTAATCTTCCGCATCATGTTCAGCATGGTGAGACGGAGAGCGCCGATCCAGTGTGCCCTTGGTCCTCTGGGACCTCTGGGTGCATGATGAACCTTGCTTTCGAGCGAGAAGAGGACGATTTTTGAAGATGTTATTTGTGCGTCCTGGCCTGAGATACGGCAAATGTCCTTCGATTGGTCTCGTCAGAGACAGAGAGAAGAGAAAACTAAAATCTTGTCTTCGAGGTTGCCGTATCACACATGAGAGAGGCATTTATATCCTGTTTTGGCAGGGCTTGGATGTTGCGTCTGGTCTGGAATCTGTCCACCGCGTGAGAAAAAGCGTGGTATACATCGTGGGCGACAAGATGGATTTGGGAGGATGACTGCGAAGCTGGATAGTGAGGGCTTAACTCTGCATCTCTTCGACCATATACCCAAACACACCGATCGCTCTCTGGCTCTCGCAGAAAAGTCCATATCAAGCAATCTGCATCTTGTTGTCAAGTCTCAACTTACACATGGATCCACGGTACGATATTGTCGCAACGGGTTTTGAAAGTCTAGCCGCTCGAGTTTCAGATGAGTCCTGCAATGTTGTCAACATGTCCAAGCAAGAACTCCTGCAGCGCAACGGATGCATCAGACTAGGAAGGAAGGGACTGTTGAGATGGACAGGACTACCAAGTGTGCCGGACGGGACCTCTCTCGAGTGAGGATCAAAGCTTTGGCTTGTCTGTTCCGAATCCTTGCTGTTTGTCAGACACAGTTCCAACTCATTCTTGATCTGTGTGGAGTTCGCCGCGAGGCATCTTGCTTTTGGTGGCTAAGGTGGATAAATCTTACTCGGGTAGCGAAGACGACTTTACAACGAACTTGACGTGACGGATCACATGTGGGGGCTGATGAACTTGCCTCGATGATCGCGTCTTGCATGTCGGTATCGGTGCTTTTGACGCGTTGACAGAGGCGATATTCCACCGCTGCCTCTGGATGCTTGCATGGTCCTTGGACAGCGGGACCCTTCTTTTATAAGTCTCCCCATTCCTCCTTGCGCCTGAAAACTAATGAAGAACAGATAGGACCGCCGGAGCTGCAGAGGTCTACGCAGGATCGGGTTCAAACATGACGGCCGACCATAAGCCTGAGAGCGAATAGTCAGAAGAGGAGACTGAGGTTTAATATAGTCGTGGGAATGCGTTTTGGCATCATGGGGTTCTGAATTGTCTTGTGAAAATGATTGACCAAGGAGGTAAGACTGCAAAGACTTTATGAAACATGGAGGATGAGGAAGACTAATAAGAACGAATCCAACAATGTCACGAAACCCGTACTAAGAAGTCCACGGGATGATTCTCTGTCGACTATAAATCCGTCGTGCGGCGCTTAGGGCCTTCGTCCGCCGCATCGAGAGAATGGTATGTATAATTACTGACGGTGTTTGTGCTTCACGTGGATGACATTGTGTGCAAGGACTCGTCGTATAGTCCAGCATGATATACAGGGAACTCGCGGTGAAGCTTTGCACAAAAGCTTCACGAGGCCTCGGTCCAACGTCGAAATGGCCTTGTCCAAAAGCAAAACTAGTGCGAGAGGTTAGTTGGACAATGTGGCTGGCTGAGGTGCCACGGGGTGCATTGTAGAAACACCTTCCGTTTCGGGAAACACCTTCCGCTTCAAGAGCCCGGACAGACCTAGATATACGAACACATGCGGCTGCAAAGTGCGATGACAGCTTCAAAACTCGACTTTGGCTCAGATAGTAAGTCCGGCGCATCGCTTATCGCTTATCTACCCTTCAGCCGCAACTTTGCACTCGTCTATACCCAGATGACAGAAGCGAGCTGAAGTATAGTGGAAGTCACCATCCAGTAACGCGGTTCCTTTGGACTCTCGTGGCCGGTGGTTACCTTTCCGTTTGAGCATCATGCGAGGCGGGATGAGCCACTGTGCAGAAGCATAACCACTATAAAGCTTGGGCACAGAACTCTCCATCTCGCTCTGGCCAGTTTCTCCATTCTCAATCAATTCATCCCTCTCAACATGGCTGCACCACCCGAGGTCAACCTCGCCAACCTGACTGGGAATTGGGTCCTGGTACGTATGCATCAGAGTCTTCAGACCCTCGTCGACATCGTTTGTTTGACCGCATTCAGAACCGTGGCCTCGCCAACGATCCCGACCCCATGCTAGAGCTACAGGGTGTTCCTTGGTTGAAGCGCAAAATCATTCTGCTCGCCACGGTGACCTTGTCCATCAAGGAGTATGTCGACGACAAGAACGTCACGCATATCGACCTGGATCAGACCGCCACGGGGGGCATCCAGGGCACCAGCGAGCTGCGCATCTTGGACTGGAGTGACACCATCCACCAAGATCACATTTTCGGCACCTTGAAGAGCCGCAATCGCTGGGTCGCCGACCTCAAGACGTGTGAGAGTGGGGACGGAGGGCCCCTCGACCCGTATCTGACCGAGGGTTGGTTGGATGAGAAAGTCGGTCCGAATGGGGAGGGGTTCGTCCAGAATTGGGTCATCAATGAGGAACTAGGCTGGACTGCGGAACAGGTCTGGGGGTTCACCAAGATCAAGGGCCAGCGGTATAAGACCAGGAAGATCCTCGTGAAGAAGGGGGACCAGAGACTGACTCTAACGCTTGCGTATGATTGGAAGGGGAAACCCAAGGCGTAGCCCGCCGGGACCTGTTGAGACTGGAGCTGGAGTTGGTTGATGGTGTGCAGCACACAGGACTGGGGGTGTTTATATTGCACGCCGCTACATTCAGCCATGCACAGCAAGCTCGGGTCGAGAACGTGTAAGGAAAGGAGACCCGCTCCTGTCAGCCATCAGGTACATGTGTTCACCTCATATGGTGATGATCTCTTGTCTGTAAGTCGAAGATAGAAAACAACATGGAAGGGAACTTGATGACCATGAAGAGTTCCGTGTACGCCCGTTGATTTCCTTGCTCACACAAGCGAAAGAGATCCAGCAGGCATATCAGGTGACTGCGGGTATGGTATCGAGATCCGCTGATAGCGGGCTGAAAATCACGGCAGTGGGTGGTACAGAGCAGTATTTCCTCCAGGGCATACCCGACAAAAATATGTGCTCACTATCCGAGTTACAACGAGATATGTGTCTTTCGCATGGCTTGGTCCCTTCCCCCACGCTCAGGCAATTCGAGAAAATACTTGCTCATCGGCTACAGTCTTGGGCATCGCTAGTCCGAGTATTCGGGAATGGATAAACACATTGGTATCATCGATGGGCCTGGTAGCTGAAGGCCAGCAACCGAAAGTTTCGTGGGTTGGATTGGATTGGTCACTCTTGGGCAATGGGTATAGGTCAACTAATCCACCGGGGCCCTGGCATGCTTCAGCCTTCCTTGGAACTTGCGCATCTGAATCTTTCGCGAGCTTGAACGGTGGTGTACTCCTACAAATCCTCATGTGTGCTCGTTGGTGACATGGTGTTTGCGTGGGCGCCGACTTTACACGGTCCAACAGTCAACCCTTTCTACGCTCCAGATTCTTTAAGAGATGAGAACTGTGATTCGTGGCCTCTCTCGAGCCGTTCTGCGTATCTAACACGTCCATGATAACAGTCTCCGTTGTACTGTTATCCGAATGACCATCATCATGTACCCTGAATTTTTCGCAGCCTATGCCGCTTCATCCCACCCTCCGCTGTCCTGCCCTCTTTGGCTTTTCAGCCACAACAACCGGTAGTATCAGCAGGTTCGGGTTTTCTGCTTTGGAAAACCAGTTAGTCCCAGGTCTAAACCACAGTTTCGGCTCGGCTCGGGTGGTGCTTACTTGGCCTCGTTCAAGAGTTGGTCCCAACTGAAAATGAATGCTCCCAGAAAAGCCCCGATGATGATGCAGATGATAATGTAGCCTGGACCGCGATTAGCCAAGGCTCATCCCCACCCCAGGGGGAAACCTACCGTTGTAATACATGGCCAACAACATGATGAAATATGCGACGCCGAATTGGACCATGTGTATCAGAGATCGGATCACCTGACGTTGCAGGAGTGTCAAGCGGGAGACTCGCGGGCGGTGGAACACGGCAGGGCCAACTAGCTGCGAGCTGGGTGAGGGTTGCTTGCCATTCCCAGATTCGTGGTTCGAGGATGAACTGTCTTCGGGGTGCGATCGAGCGGCGGCTGCGGCGGCGGAAAGAGCCTTGCGATCATGTCTTGCAATCCAGGCATCATACTCACGGCCAAGTCTGCGGAGGAACTCGAGAGAGATGACCAGGCAGATGACACCGATGCAGGAGCCTGCAAACATGCCACCGGAGGTGATTTGCCAGTCCTTGGAGATGAAGCCTGTGCAATCGAGTTAGTGGTTGAAAACCGGAAGGTATGGTTGGGAACGCTACTGACAAGCTCCCACAGTGTACCAGTTCCACGTCATGGAAATTTTGCACGAGTTGCCGCCCATGCCCATGCCTCCCATATCGGCGGCAGAGGTGGACGCGGCGGCGGCAGAGGCTGTCATGGTGCCCGTGCTGGCCATCGACATTGAGCTTGTCCCCATGTCCATGTTTGGTTTGGAGAGACGACGATAAGGAGAGAACTTCACACGGAGGTGTGTCAGTGTCTGTGAGGGTAATGCCTTGTCACTCTGCCAGTTGACGGTGGAGGAAGCGACTCAAACAATGATATTGTGTAAAGTGCAACAAGGCGAGGGTTTTGTTTGATATTCACCCAACACACTTTCCAGGAGCGGCACGATCATCCCACCTCTGCCGTCCAAAAGCGAGAGTGAAACCAACTGCTGCAAAGGGGAAGAGACCCTCTTTTTGAGCAAGTTTTCCTGGTAGCGTGGCGTGGATGGCCGTGTCTGGGCGGCTGGCGAGAGATTCTGTGATTGGACTGTTGCCTTTCATCCTCATGTCTTCATGGATAGAGACAAGTGACAGCGACCACAATACCTGCTCTCATTCCACTCTTAACGTTGAGCAGTCTCGTACTTACAAGCGAGGATTTCAGGAGACATTTTGTAGTCTGTTAAAACCTAGGGCTTTGCCTGAGACGAGTGTAGTAACCTCTAGGTATGGTTCCCGTCAGCACTCGCAAGGTTGCATACGGTGAACAGTGCCGCCTTTGAAGCCCTCGCATCTTGAAGTAACATTGCTTGTGTACATGTTACACATTTTTGCTGCATTTTCCATTTTGTTATGCGATTGAGCGGTGTCGTTGGGTAGATATGGGCCCTTTGTCCCGCGCTAAGCCCTTTCCGGTACTGCCAAGGTCTTCCGAGGAAGAAGTCCCCAAAGAGTCGGAAGAGCCAAAGTCATCCTCCACCAGTTCCTCTCTCCTTCCGTCCCAGTGATCGCGCCTCTCATCAACAGCTTCAGTATAGCTTCGCCAAGATGGGCCTCTACTGCTGCAGCAGGAACCCGAGAGCAGGATGCCAAGCAACAAGGTTCGGAGCGGTCGCTGCCCAGACAAATGAAGTGGGTTGAGCAAGTTTCCCCATCGCCAGTCAAGAACATCGTGACCGGTGGTAACAGGGGCAGACGTCCTCCCTTCTTGCAATGTGCTCTTCTTCCCGGGTCTGGCCGAGCCCCAATCCTGGCCTCGCTTTCGAATTTTCCGAGTATCATTGGCTCTTCGAGCGACAGAGTCCGGGCCCTCGGGCATCCTGGCACAACGACCTGGTGCAGGATATCGTTCAGACAGTCGAAGACTTTTCTCGAGTATAAAATTCTCCTATGTGATCAGAGGTAAGCCCATCAAAGAAGGTTCCCAAAGTGCGTGCTTCTCAAAGTCAGCATGGAGTTCTTCTCTCGGTTTGTGACGCTGCTGTTGACCAGCACCCTGTTTCTTACTGCACAATGCATGACATCCTCTGGTCGTGCCGGCCATGGTCTAATCGGCTATGGTATCAACATGTACTTTCCTTACTGTTGCACTGCATGCCGTAATGTTTTGTCCGGTAGCCAGCTCAATTGCTCCGAAGTCATGGAGATGCAAGACATGGGGGGAATGGACATGGGGGGAATGGACATGGGCGGTGGCGAGTTTATGACCATGCCTGAGTGTTATGCCACCGACGATGCATTCCTCCAGTCGCTTGCACTCTGCATCAGCCAACGCTGTCCCAAAGACCCCAACGAACACGACCTCGAGGACTGGCAAATTGAAAAATGGTGGGCGATGAATGTGGTTGGGAGTGCAGCTGTGCAACCTGACCCAAAGGAATCCTACGCAAAGGCATTGGCCAAGGTAACCACTGTGCCAACGGAAACCCTGGTGGCGGGCGATCCTCTGAACCGAACAATGTTGGTGTCTGTCGAAGACTATCAACCCAACTGGAATGCCGACAAGATATTCGAGCATATCGAGATCCTCCACGAGCGCTACGGGTGAGTTGAAAAGATTCCTTTCTAATCACACAACCTGTTCCTCTGACGTCGAGCGTAGCCTGGTCGTGTTCCTTTCTGGGGTCGTCATCCCCGTGGGCTTCTCACTCCTCCGTTTCGTTCCCTTCCCAGACCGCTGGGTCACTCTCTTCAACGCCTGGATCGTCGACCCTCCCGCAGCCGGCCGACATCACAAAGTGCCCATATTTTGGGGATTGACCAATATGCCTACCCGAGGACAGGCCTTGTTTGTCGCATACTTGACCATTCTCAATCTCCTTCTCTGTGCCACCGGGTACTCCTCCAGACAGCCAAACAGCTGGTGGCCGGATGATCGGGACCGCGAAATCCTCACCTATGTGACCAACCGAACGGGAGTGCTCAGTTTCGCCAACATCCCGCTCCTCATCCTGTACGCCGGCCGCAACAACATACTGCTGTGGCTGACCAACTGGAGCCACGATACATTCGTCCTGCTGCATCGCTATGTCGCTGCAATCGCTACCATACAGGCCATTGTCCATTCTCTCATCTACCTCTACATCTATAATGTGGATGGTGAGCACTCCAGCGAAAGCAAACTTCCGTATTGGTACTGGGGAGCAATCGCAACCATAGGCATGTCGATCTTGCTTCCGACCTCGATCCTACCGCTCCGGCGAATGCTCTACGAGGCTTTCCTCCTGTGGCACATCGCCGTCTCCGTCCTGGTCGTGGTGGGATGCTACCTGCACATCTACGATCGCTTCGGTCACCAATGGGGATACGAGGTTTGGATTTATGTTGCGATTGCCGTCTGGGGGTTCGACCGACTCCTCCGGATTGGCCGGTTTGTCCGCGCCGGTCTTCGATATGCGAGAGTCACCGTTATAGACGACGATTATGTCCGTGTCGACATTGAAGGCGTCGGCGCTAACGGCCACGCCTACCTTTACTTCCCCACGCTGACGTGGCGGGTGTGGGAGAACCACCCGTTCTCTGTCGCGTCGACCATGCTCAACGGCACTCCCAAGCCATCCGTGTCCGGAACGGATGTGAAATCCTCGATGACCGCCGATGTCGAGAAAGACGGCGGCATCTCAACGGGCGTCAGCTCGGACCACTCCAGCGACGGGGAAATCGATGACCGTCAGATCCCACCGCCAAAACTGGGGATAACTTTCCTGCTCCGCACCCGCGGTGGTCTAACCTCGATCCTGCGCTCGCAGTCCAGGATCCCCGTGCTCGTCGAGCCCGGGTACGGACAGCAGCACACCGATCTCTCAGACCACCCCACGCTGATCTGCATCGCCGGTGGCGTGGGGATCACCACGGTCCTCCCCCTGCTGCGCAGCCATCCAGGCAGAACCAAGCTCCTGTGGGGTATGCGTACTCCCGCCCTCGGCGAAGCGATGGCCGGCCAGCTGGAGGGAGTGGAGAAGCAATTCTTCGTCGGCAAGCGGATGAACGTGCGCGAGGAGCTGGAGAGAGAGATGGTGAGTTCTCCTGTGGCCGGCGACAATTGCGCTGTTGTCGTGAGTGGTCCGGACGGGATGGCGGACGACGTGAGGAATGCGGTATGCGAGATTGCCAAGAGGACGAAGCATCTCAAGGTGAAGCTGGTGGAGGAGTCATTCTCATGGTAGGATGAATCTCTGCAGAGAATTTTTCCGAAGACACCTAACTACATCTATCAAGTGATCTATCCAGCAGTAGAACGTCCCATACATTTGTTCCACCTTCGTCAGCCCTTCAGGATTGACCGTATGCGAGCAGATTTCATCCCGTTGGAGGGCCTCAGGCTCATTCCAAAGCCTGGCCCGCTAAAAGGCATCCTTGCCAATCTGTTGATATCAGTAGTAGCCGCAGCACTTGCGTTGCCGTCCGCGACCACCCTTGTCCTAGTAGCATTAGATAAAGGCACTGATTTGTTGCCTCTGCTGGGCCCGCCTATATTAGCCTTGGTGTTGTGAGCCTGGGTATCGCCCTTCACTTGAACAGATTTCTCTGTCGATGTGTTCGAGGAAGTCCTCGAGCTCAGGCCGTCCGTTGAGCTCCGAGTGTTCAATCCCGGGTACGGGGCCGTGGAATCCTCCGTATCACTCTCAGTGTCGTCTGAGGTCCCACGTCGCAGCTGTGGCTCTGCCGTAGGCACGTAGTTCCGGTACCGAGAGGCCTCTGTGGTTGGCAGATGTGTAACGTCCACCCAGGCTCGGATGCGCATCTCTTGCAAGGCCAAGGCTGCATCGTGCTCCTCCCATGCCCTGACCCAGAATTTGTAGAGGGTTTGGCCAGCTGCTTCTTCTTCTGCTGTTCTTGGGGCCCTACGGCCGCGGGTGTTTTTGTTGTCGGCGTCGTTGCTAGCAGCGGTGGGATCCATGCTCAAGTATAATAGAGAGTGGACGCGTTGAAAGGGAAAGCTGTGTGCGTTTGTTGTGCAGGAAGGGTCCGTTAAGTTTAGGTCAAAGAAGATACTGAGGTAGTCTTCGAGCCAGACGTAGGGTGTTGTTATAACTGTCGTTAGGGATATTCACTAGGTTATCGTCAGTTCATATGTGAACAAGTGCGTGAGGCCCTCAGCGACGAGGCTGATGGTAGAAGAGGTTGTCACCCTGGATATCGATGAAGCGGGATACAGGTCCTCACATCATTAGAAAGGGATGGAACTTCCTTTCCAGACAAGGTTCCTTCCACCTTATTGCCCTTTATAGTTCAGGTTTGCTAAAGAGAGACAGAAGGTCCTTATCCTCTCAGCTAATAAGTAGGGCGAGTGCCACCGTCTCTTGACCAGGCATTGTATGCAGCTTCCATCTACCCTTCAAATTTCATCCAGCTTTCAATATGAATAAACTGACGTCTTTCTTCGACGCGAACTCATCTCATTTCTCCAACCTAGGACAGCCAACTCTACCAACATTCAGGCGTGCAGAGCTTGAACAAATCTATTCGACAACACCAACAGTGGCAAGGTCCCCGCCAACGTCGACACTTGCAGCACAACTGTCCGACAACAGTACTACAGCGGCCATCACTTCCAACCCTGAGAAGCTCTCGCTCGAAGTATGGATGGCCACTTTCGCCGCAGCGAATTATCACAGCTTCCTCCAGAAGATGTACGACTGGGAAACCAGGGAGTGGTATTATCTCCTATATTATCGAGGCGACATCCCTTATTCGAAACTTTCAGCCGAGGGGAGACACTTTGTAAAGACAATCCAACGCCAGAAGTTGGTTGTTGAAAAGAGTTTGACGCAGAGAGCTCGCCCTGGAGAAATGAGATTGGAGATGTGGCCGACGAGCTCAAAAAATTTGATGAGTTGTCACTATCGGTGCGCGTGGCGGCTACCCATTACTAGTCTAAAGGCTTGGGAGAAGGGAGAGAGTGATCAGAGTGAGAGTCTGGACGACTCTGGCTATAATTCAGCTGCTGCTGGGGATGTTGAAGGTGAGAATATTATGGAGGGAGATGTCGAGACGAACGGAGAGTTCAAAGAGGAGACCGGCCATATTGATGACGAAGACCTGTCGTATCTCGAGCGGCTGTTCTCTGTTGCCTTCGAAGTCATCCTCTGGAGGCGCCCGTCATCGAACGAGGAATACTACACCTGGTGTACTGAAAGCGATTCCCGATACCACATTCGGTGGGAAGTCGAGCGGGATGCTGTAGGCATTGCAGCGATGAAATTGGCACGGGGGAACGCTGAGCTTGGCGGTTGTTTAAGGAAGGGCGTGGTGAGCATGAGGCGCGAACGACATCTGGTGGAGTTGCTGGACGATGTTGTTGGGCAGCATCCTTTCCAACACAACAACCTGAAGGACACGCTGTGGAGATACTCGCGACGGTTCCGACTGCAGGGCCTATGGCAAGGCAATAGAATGAGGCGGGTACATGGCTCAGGGTGGTAGGAGGATATCAGTGGGAAAATACAGGATGCTTTGACTCTATGGCTCCACCTCCTTTCCATGCCCAGCCTTGCATATTGCCAAGTCCAGTTACAACTTGGACACAAAGACCCGCCGCTAACCCCATTGAGCTCGATTAGACTGGACGACAGTTCAAGGGAACAGAGCCTCATTGGTGCCACAGTTGAGTGATTTCTGGATGTATCGAGTAACAAATGAAGAGCAGCCTTTTGGGCCCTTTCAAAGGTCCTCGTAAGGAGAGCCACCTCCTTAAATCTACTGTAGAACGCCACCATCACGGGATTCCCTAACATCCCTATCGTAGCCTGTCTGTTTATGACGGTAGATTTCTGGATACTCCACGGATCAAAGCTGAAGAAATTCTGTACAAGCCCAGTTCTCTAGTAGCCTGTTTTTATATACGCCGGTGACGAAAGCAGAATTTTTCTAGGAGGGGAGAGTCATGCATACAAAGCCGGCTCCCTCGCCGAGCAAACCACCAGAGATCTCAGCAAGATGGGACATAAGGTTGAGGCGCGTAACAAATGTCCACAGTGGAATAGTATCGACAGAAACAATCTGGTTGACTTTACAGACGGGCCAAAACAATGTGGATGGATTTGGTTCGCGTCAACAGCGTACCTCGCTGCTCCATACCTTTTTCCATCTCGACTGTTTCTCGAGTTGAGGACGTCCGAGGACCTGTCCTGAAGGATATGAACTAGGGACACTCGCCAGCTCAAGTTGCTCGACAACTATTATCCTACAGGGTAAACAGCATTCCCAGCTATGCATAATACTCTTCCTCTCGCACACTCAGACCCCTCCACATGCCGCCCTACCTAGTTAAATAACCATATCGACAGCGTCGCCTTCAGCAACCACAATGGCTCCTCGACAATCGACTACAGGCAAAAGGAAGCGTGCGGCCAGAAAGCCATCGGCGCCCTACGCGCCAGAGTTCTTAAGTCTCGAAGATTCGAAAGCCATTCAGCCACTCGATGGCCTAGAGGTCGACCTGGATCTCGAAGCAATAAAGTCGGGGCGTGTGCCGGCGAGGACACGCGGAAGAATCGAAAAGCTCGCCAATGACAGGCTGGCTTCGACGATGCAGCTAATCGAGCATCGCCGACGCGCAGCGTTAAAGGCTCTCGCCCAAGAGAGAAGTGGTTGGAGGGCCGAGATAGAGAGTACGCCGCCAGAATCGCGCTCGTCAACGCCGGGGGCCATCTCCGAGTTCGAACACAGCTTGCAAGTCCCGACATCCTTCCCAGAATCAAATCTCAGGGCGACGGTCGACGCAGGACCAACGACATCCGACAGAGCTAGCCGGGATGGGCGGCCGCAAGTCGAAAATGCCTTTCCAGAACGTACCAATGCTATCCGGGAGGAGGAGGTCTCCGTCCTCTTGCGGATGGTTGAGTTCGAAGCAAGCCCGGTCGCCAAATGTCCATGTCTCGAGGCCTGTGGACAACACGGAGAGGAGGACGCCTTGCGGAGTCTTCCTTATCCTCTTAATAACAAGGAGTTCTTGAGGCTCTACGTCGCGCCGTTGTTCGAACTGGAGATGGACTCTAGGGCTTGCGAGGAAAGATTTCTGGCCCAAGAGCCCGCCGTGGAGGAACGCAAGACTCGACTCCTTGACCGATTCGACCGTTGCGTGAGGATTGCGGCTAGGACGATCGCCGTCGTCGACGTCGTGGATCAGAGCTGGGAGGCTTCGCTGTCTGGCGAGGAACCAGACAGGAGGACCTTCTTTCTATGCAGGAAGGCCTACCGCGAACTGGAGGAAGTCGTCGAGGCCGAGACGTCAAGGCATAGAAATTGTCCTTACTGGACGTTCATGTGCAGAATGGCACTGCTACGGGCGGAGAAGCGGGTCGAGGAGCAGTTGTGGAAGACGCCGATGCTCGTTGGAAACATGCTAGAACCGGCCAACGACAAATAGTCCCAGCGAGATCGAACATCGCTCGGTTCCAGTAGAAGTCTTGTGAAGCACATGTAAAGAAAGTGCTTCTGGAGGCATGCCTGTGGTGGACGGCAGAGATTGTAGAGCAAATGGACGGGCAATTAGACCACAAGAGTCCTCTGGCGGCGTGCGAATACAGTTGGCGTTTTAGGAAAAGAGGACTCGACATAGAGAGTTCGAGAGGGAGCAGGCTTATCCGTTGCCTCTGTGAAAGGATCAGGCCATCACATGTTTGAATCAGGAGATATGCATTGTTGATGTTTGTACATAGATAGGGAGGCTTCGCCAGGTCTGAGAGGCGAGCCCATGCCCGCCGACTCAACCTGGAATCGGATAAACAGACCGACTCGTCTGGGCGCAGGGCAGTATGATTGAAAGTGATATTCTGTTTTCTGTCGACACCGCAAGGGGATCCAGAGGTCCAACGGCATGGTAGGAGTAAATATCTATTCTCAGCGTTAGTCAGGGCTTTGGCAAAAAGTCAGAAGTCGAACAAATCCTCACAGTCATCGATTGTTGTCTTTTAAGCAGCGTCGCTTGACTTCAGCTCTAGTATGCATCAACACTTCCAGACTCCAACCTCTCCGTTTCTCCTCCCCTCGATCAAATATCCATCCTTCAGCCTCACACGATCAACAACACTCGTCTTGGTTCCCGCCATCCGATCTTCCACGCTGGTGTTGGCGCCGACACCGCAATCCCAATGGCGCCCATCAGCCTTGTCGTAGACTTTGACGACGTCCTCGCCCGCGGCACAGACAATGTGTCGGGAATCAAACATCATGCTCGTGATGGGTGCGTCGTAGGCATATGCATCAAAAATCGTTCCTGTGCGGAGGTCCCATATCTGTTGACCAGGTTAGTCTATCAATAGACCATTGTTGAAACTTGCAAACTTACTCTGATACTCCTGTCAATGCTACCTGTAACAAGATGAGTATCATCAAACTGAAGACAGGTCACTGGCCCTGTATGTCCAACCAAACTCCTATGGACCTGTCCGCTTCGAAGATCCCACAGTCGGACCATTCCATCGGCTGTACCACAGGCCAGCGCGGCGTCGAAACACTGCAGGGCCCCGACGAAGTCGGCATTCGAATCTGCCGATCTTCCAGTTGGCCGCCACTGCGTTTCTGTGCTGTTTATCGTTGAGCTAGCTTGAGCTGCTGCCCACAATACGTCAAGCGTCTGGACACAACGGCCTTTCACCAGGTCCCACTGCCGTAGTGTCTTGTCCGCTGATCCAGAGACCAGCATATCACCGCGAAGGTGTAATGCAGTGATTTCATCAACGTGAGCCTCAAGCACAAAGAGTGGGCACTCTTCCATTGCATCAGGGGGTGGTGGAGGGGGAGCATCTTCACTTTCGTTGCCAAACCCGAGGCCGTCGTCTTCATCGCCTTTGTCCTCGTCGCCGTTTTCGAGTATTTTGTGTTCATAGGGTTCGTACTTGGCACGGCTCAGATCCCATAGACGAATGGTGGCATCAAGGCTTCCAGTTGCCACAATATTGTCTTCGACCTGTAAGCAACGAACTGAAGCAGTGTGGCCTTCCAGAAAGCCCATACAGCGACCAAGATTCAGATCCCACACGCGGACCGTATCGTCAAGTGCTGAAGTGACCATAGTCCCGAATGGCTGATCAAAATCTATGGCGGATATCGAGTCATTATGAGCTGGAATGGTCTTGATGTGTGAACCGGGTTCGAGGTGCTCGTGCAACACCGGCATAGATCTTCTCTTGGTATATTTTGGCCGACGTTTTGATTTCGGAGACGCAGAGGACGGCAATTTGTCGTAAATGGACTGCGACATGAAGGAGGCATCCATTGCCTCAGACTCGGGTGTGGCTACGCGGGGAGCGTTGAGGGTGCTGGCAGATTGGTCCATTGCGCCTTGCTCCTCGAGCTCCTCCTGCATCTCTTCGATTTTGTTGTCCAGTTCAAGCAGCTCATGCTCCACTTCGGCTTCGTCGTTTTCGAGGTCGGCCAATCTTTCAACGGCGAGCTTCCGCATGTTGTGCAAGTTGGCAATTTTGTTGTCAATGTCTCGAATCTCTGTGGTGCACATGTTTTTCCGTATAGCCATCATCTCCAATCTGTGATTGACACTGTTCCTCTTCTTCTTGAGATTCTGTATTGACGGAGGGCCATCCTCTTCAACATCTCCCGCACCCAAAAGCCTGTGCTGCTTGGAGCTCCGCCGTCGGTGTCCTTTTCGATGTTCGGATTCGCCTTCGGGCAAAGATGCTTGAAATCCTTGGAACAGGGAGTACGTGTTTTCGTCTTCGGGAATGTTTTGTAGTTGGTCTTCTGAAATGTAGGTAAGGGCTCGATGGGCAATTTCACTAGTCGAGAGTTTCGCTCTGACCAGCTCAGAAGGCGCCTGCTGGGAAAACGAGAATACCGCTCTCTGAATGCCTGGACGTCGTATCTGTCGGGAGATGCTGTTCATGGCAGCAGGGTAGTGAGCGGAACCATTGTCCCCCATGAGGTGGCTTGCGGTCGCTGTCACCTTTCGACTGAAGGCTTCCAGCTGGCGCGTCTGTTCCCAGAAAGTCAGTCAGTTGTTAAAAAGATAGCTAGGGTCTCTCACGTCAAGGACCGCGCCGAGAACAGAATCTTCCCCATCTCCAGCTGGCCTGCGAGTTTGGGAAGGAGTACGACTGTGTGGCCGCGATCCGGCCATGCAGTTCGAGCGCCTTGGGCGGCAGAGGAAAGTACACGCTTCGAGGTTGAGTACACGCGAGGTAGAATGCAGCTAGGCAGGGCGAATCTTGAGGCTCTTCGACTATCTGTCGTAAAATGCGGAGTGAAGATCCTAGGGTGGTTGTTGGCTGCGGCTTGGGTTTCGGAGACGCGAAGTCGGAGCTGCGAAACTCTGACGTATTTTTCCCCCCAGCGCAAAACTGTTCCTTCTCCCACTTCGGATATCATCGCATATTGGTATCCTCACCTGCTTACCGGCGAAACACCTCCTCTGTGACTCTTATAAAATAGCTGCGAGGTGCTCGTCTCATTTTCTACTTCCCAGAGTGTCTCTCTGGCAGTGATTCTTGAGTGCATACTCCGCTGAACCTGGGCTAAACAAGCACGCGATCCTAACACATGCCGCTTTTGGAGATGGATACAGCGATCGACCTTTCGGATGCCTCCAAGGCTTTGGATTTGGCCAATATCCGATTTCAGCTAATGTTTGTGACTTGATGCCGAGTCTCCAGAGACAAGCTCAGATACTGACTGAGGTTTCAGCCGACTGGAGGATACGATCACCTTCCACCTGATAGAACGAGTCCAGTTTCCCCTCAACGCGACCATTTACGACGCTGCCGCCCTCCCCATACCCTCCAGTAATTTGGCATTACCTGCGCAGATATCTCTCTGCGACTATCTCCTCTCCGAAACTGAACGTTTACACTCCCTTGTCCGCCGATACGATGCTCCGGACGAATATCCTTTCTTTCCCCAAGTCCTACAGCGACCTGTGCTCAAGGCCATAGCATACCCCAAGATCCTCCACGATAACGATGTTAATGTTAATGACACCATCAAAGAGAAGTATATCAAGGAAGTTTTGCCGGAGGCTTGCCGAAAGTTCGGGCGGGAAGATCGCGGTGAAGCCAAAGAGAATTACGGTAGTGCCGCAACTTGTGATGTCGCTTGTTTGCAGGCCTTGAGCAGGCGAATACATTTTGGTAAATTCGTGGCCGAGAGCAAATTCCAGGCGGAGACGGAGCGATTTGTCAAGCTCATTAAAGCCGAGGATCGCGAGGGTCTCGACGCTGCCATCACTAACGAAAAGGTCGAGCTGCAGGTCCTGGAGCGGCTGCGGTTGAAAGCCAAGACTTATGGCAAAGACCCCTCGGTAACATCCAACGGTGCTGGTGGAGAGGAAAAGATCAATGTCGAGGCTGTAGTGAAGATGTACGCTCAGGTTGTTATTCCTTTGACCAAGGTTGTCGAGGTGGAGTATCTTATGCAGAGGCTGAAAGGGACCAAGTGGGAATAAAACCGGAATCCTGTTCAGGACTGAGGCTTGAGGTATTCGGCGACATTTTGGACCGCGTCTTTGAACTTCTCCGCAGAAATGAGTATGGCATGGCCCTGCGGCTTGATCCCCAGCTCTTGAAACGCTCGTTTCGAGTCTGAGTGTCCCTCGTCCTGTTTGACGGAATAATCAAAGCCGCTATGGCAGATGGCATGTCCATGCAGAACCTCGTCCTCCGGATGGAAGTACATTGTCTCGAATGAGCCAGAGGTTGCTTTCTTTTTCTTTTTGGGAGGGTCATTCTCGGCGTCAAGCTTCGAAGCAACTTCCGTGTATGTCTTGGAGAGGATGAGATAGTGAGTGAAGTTATATGGTTCGCCATCTTGGATGGCCCATTCCATCTCTTCTATCAGCATTGTGTACATTGGAGGGACGACTTCAGCCGGGACATTGATCAGACGCTCTGTAAGGATCAGGCCTATCTGCGGAATCGTGGCCTGGGAAAGGAGCTCCGCAAGGGGAGCCAGCGCGGGTTTTGACTTTGCTTTGGATAGTAAATATTGCACGATCTTGCCCATGAACGGCTTGTCCTATATTTCTATCAGTAAGGCTGCCGGGTGGTTTCTTTCCCAGGAGAAACTGACCCTGTGTTCTTGGAGATTCAAGACGGATAGAAAAGCGTATGCGTCTGTCTCATTGCCATCCACTTTGACGGTCGATCCCAACGTGGGTTGCGACAAGATCAGGTCAGTTAGCGCAGACAGATCAAACAGCTGAGCGTCCACATCAAACAGCTGTTGTATCAACGTCTTGATGCCATGGAAATCATATTCCGGCTGAGGGTCGAACCACTCGAAGTCGACATCGAGGACATCGAAATCCTGCGCTTAGAATCAACACCCCATTCGCCGTGCAATCCAACAAGACGGACAAACCTCGTCGTCTCCGCTATCATTGCCCATGTCTACGTCATCTTTGACGACGTCTTCGCCGGTCTCCTGCTTCCTCTTGCTCATCTTTACGGCGGTCCGGGTCCTCGTCCTTGGAGGGAGTAATCTCGGTCTCGTCTCGAGTCTCAGCAACTGTTTTTGGGAGAGGGTACAAGTGAGAGGATTCTCTGTAGCTGCACGCCCGGGCACTCTTTTGTAAGTCAACACCTGCCCAAAGCCTTTCCAGGATATGCTGCAATAGTTTGACAGGAACCTTTGGCTCAAATAAGGGTTTCCATGGAATTGTTCGAGTATGTAGCCTTCCACATAGACCGATGTTGCGGTATAAATTCTCCTGCGGGGCACTTCGAATAATTTCTCTCCGCAGAATTTGTTTGTAGCCAGCCCACTTTTGTCGCAAGACTCACATTTCCATTCTGTGTCCCTTTTGCGCATCTCCTCCTGATATCTCTTGTGCCCATTCGACCTTGTCCCCAGTCACAATGGCTGCCAACGTCAATGGCGAGGTCAATGGCGCCGCAGTCAATGTCCCCGCGAAGACCTTCGACACCATCCTCGTCCTCGACTTTGGGTAAGTCGGAAAATTCCACTGCCCTATTCTAAGCGCACCGACTCACGACCGGTTGAAGATCGCAATATTCGCACCTGATCACACGACGACTGCGCGAGCTCAATGTCTATTCGGAGATGCTGCCATGCACTCAGAAAATCGCGGACTTGCACTTTCATCCAAAGGGGATCATTCTATCTGGAGGCCCCTATTCAGTGTACGAGGATGGCGCACCCCATGTTGATCCTGCGGCATTCGATCTTGGCGTGCCCATCCTAGGAATATGTTATGGGCTGCAAGAGATGGCGTGGCATTTTGGCAAAAACGTGTTGGCGGGCGAGAAGAGAGAGTATGGCCATGCCAGTCTCAAAATCGAGCGACACACTGGCAAGGAAGAGCATATCGACCGCCTTTTTGAAGGCATCGAAGACGATATCGAGGTCTGGATGAGTCACGGGGACAAGCTGTCAAAGCTACCAGACAACTTTCACCCCATCGCAAGTACCGCTAACGCACCCTTCGCCGGTATCGCTAGTATGTCTGAACCATACTTCGGGATCCAATTCCATCCCGAGGTCACGCACACGCCACGAGGTACACATATTCTGGAAAACTTCGCGGTCAAGATCTGCCAGGCTCGGCAAGACTGGACTATGGAGAAGTTCGTCGATAAGGAAATTGAACGCATTCGAGCCATGGTTGGTCCCAAAGGTCAAGTGATCGGAGCCGTGAGCGGCGGAGTTGACTCCACGGTTGCAGCAAAACTCATGCAAGAGGCCATAGGAGATCGATTCCATGCGGTCTTGGTTGATAATGGTGTTCTTCGTCTGAATGAGGCAGCAACGGTCAAGGAGACATTGACGAAGCATCTGGGTATCAACTTGACGGTTGTCGACGCCGCAGACCTGTTCTTAGGTAGACTCAAAGGCGTCTCCGATCCTGAAACAAAGCGCAAAATAATAGGCAACACCTTCATCGAAGTATTTCAGGATAAGGCAAAAGCAATCGCAGACGCTGCAGCAAACTCTCCCCGAGCTGGCGACATTGAGTGGCTACTTCAGGGCACACTGTATCCCGATGTCATTGAGAGCATTTCATTTAAAGGACCATCCGCCACTATCAAGACTCACCATAACGTTGGCGGTCTTTTGGAGAACATGCATCTCAAGCTAATTGAGCCTCTGAGAGAGTTGTTCAAAGATGAGGTGAGAGCACTGGGCACGAACCTGGGCATACCGGAAGATCTTGTCTGGAGACACCCCTTCCCTGGACCCGGCCTAGCAATTCGGATCCTTGGTGAGGTCAATGAGTCACAACTGAAGATTGCTCGACACGCAGATAAAATCTTCATCGATGAGATCGTCTCGGCCGGCTTGTATAGGAAAATCTCCCAAGCATTCGCTGGGCTGCTCCCTGTCAAAGCGGTCGGTGTCATGGGCGACAAACGAGTGCATGCTCAAGTGATCGCCCTGCGAGCAGTTGAGACTACTGATTTTATGACGGCTGATTGGTTTCCTTTTGACGGCAACTTCATCAAGCGGGTCAGCAACCGAATCGTCAACGAAGTTGACGGTGTATGCCGTGTGATGTACGATGTTACGAGCAAGCCTCCTGGCACGATTGAATTGGAATGAGGGATGGGAGGGTGCCTAGAGCAACTCGGCGGCGTTTAAATGGTAGAGGAGATCAGACGGAGAGAGGGCAGGGGAGTCTATACGGTATGTGGGTTGGAGATTTTCGTGACTGGCTAGATATCGGCTTCGAGTGTCAATTGTGAGATGGTGCAGGCGGTCGGTCTTCGAGTCCATAGGCCTCTGTATTTGGCCTTCCTGGAAAACGACATAGAGAATAGATTCACACCTGCAAAGGAATTTCACCCTCAGAAACAACCCGCTGCGATCTGGAGGTCAAGAAAGCTCGTTCTAAGCCAAAACTATTGGGCAAGAATTTTGTCGCTGTCGACTAAGGCATGGCATTCACTGTCGATACCTTCCAACAAAACCAGAGAAGTAGTATGAGGATGAAAGGGAGAAGAAGCCTTGTAGGGTGCGGTGTAGTGGTAAGGCAGCTCCAGCATCCGCTCAATTGACGACACGAAGCTGCTTGTTTGCGTGCTCGTCGGAAGTGGCCCGTGCGTACACTCCCCCAGCCAATCAATCTGGTTACTCTGCGGAAGGGAGGATTCTGCGAGACCGCATTCCACAGCTTTTGGTGATAACGGAACACGACAGCGCAGAACAAGAAGCCTTCGAAATAGCCTCCGCCGCGTAGGGAGCTGACAGAGCGATGTCAAAACTAAAAAAGGGCCGTCAAGACTCTGCGGCCGCCCACGATACCACAATTACTGGGTGACAGGATGGCCCTTAGTGGTGACAACATCAAGTTGGACGGCAGATTTTGATGCTCACGTTATGTGGAGAGCGGCCGCCGTTGATCTTGGAAGCATAGAGAGAGAAGCTGAGCGGATTTGCCACGCGATGAGGCAATTCTAGCTCAAAAATGGCAATTGCTAATCGTCATGGGAACAGAAGGTATATTGGTTCGTCGAAACCTACATGTGCGGTCTAGCCTTCAGTCTGGCCATATCCTCTGCCACCTTCGTCGTTAGCTACTCGCTAGTCGCCGAAATATTGCAAAATGGCACCTCATGCTGAGGATCCTGGATCGCTGGAGCATCAGCCATACTCATCTGCTCCGCCAAAGACCAAGGCTAGGAACACCGTGCTCCCTTTCGACGAGGAGTCTACACCTAGTGCTACCAAGATCGGAAAGAAGCTCTCAGAAACATACGAACCAGGACATGTACCGCCAGAACGCCATGAACATTATGCATACGACTATCTTCGCCCTCGCTTTCCTGACGTCCATTGGGACGAGCTGACAGAAATCCCCCATGAGGACAAAGGCGTTCTTGGCCATCCGAGATTTCGGAATCTTCTTGATGCTGCCGAAGATGTATTTGACTACATACCAAAGATAGGCACGGAAATCACTGGCATCAAGCTGACGCAGCTCACTGATTCGCAAAAGTGTGATCTGGCAAGGCTCGTGGCAACTCGCGGAGTTGTCTTCTTCCGCAATCAAGAAGACTTCGACATTGAGGCTCAAAGGGAGCTGGGAAAGTTCTTTGGCACGCTTCACAAGCATGCTACAACTTCAATGCCTCAGAGAGAAGGGCTTGAAGATGTCCATGTCATCTACACGACAGACGAATCACTGGACCAACGTGCTCTCTTTACTCCGACATATTTATGGCACTCAGATGTGAGTTGACTCCAAATCGTCGGCAAGTGTCACACTGATATAGTCGCCAGGTGAGCTATGAAGTACAGCCTCCATCGTATACGTCTCTCAAAGTGTTGACCGGCCCCCCACGAGGTGGCGGAGGCGACACCCTCTGGTGCTCGCAGTACGCAATCTACGACGTTCTGTCAGCACCGATGCAGAAGTATCTTGAAAGTCTCACGGCACTACATTCGGCGGACGAGCAAGCCGAAGGATCTCGCGCAGCTGGCAGACCAGTGCGGCGCCAACCCATCACCACTGAACATCCCTTGGTCCGCATCAACCCCGTCACGGGCTGGAAATCGCTATTTTTCAACCCAGGCTTTGTCATGAAGATAGTCGGTGTCCCCAAGGCCGAGAGCGACGCCATCATCCGATATCTCAACGAACTCATCACCACGACTCAAGAGGCACACGTGCGTTTTCAGTGGGGCAAGCATGATGTTGCGATCTGGGATAACCGGTGTACGAACCACACAGCTTCTTATGGTTTTATCCCGCACCGGAGACACGCCGTGCGGGTTACGGTGACTGCTGAGAAGCCGTATGTTGATTCGACTGGGAAGTCTCAGGAAGAAGAGTACAACCAGAAATGGCGCCTACCACAGACAAACAAGGATGGGTCAAGAAGATCAAACTATAATGACTGACCAAGTGGTGAAGATGTACAAGTACAGCTTGCCAACGGGCATTTCTGAGATTTGCAAGATTTTTTGAATGCCTACTTATATACTGGGTAGGTAAAGCAACTGTCTATCTTCATCCTTGGGGCTCAGGCTTGGCAATATGAGATGCAAGCACACATCTTATTGATCCTTCTACCTGCACCGTAACCTCTCTGTCTCGTTGCATTCAAGTTCAGTGAAATGTGGCTCCATCATGTCTGCTCCCTCTGTTCTCGAATATGCCCGTTTCCACGGCCTGGCTATTGACCACACCTCAGAAGATCCCCTAGCCTACATTTCCCAAATACCGCTGCAAGATATTGAGGATGGCCAACAACTGCCAGACCAAGATTTCTCGGTATTTGCTGACGATATTGCAGAGCCAAAGTTGCAGCTCACCCGTCATGAAGGTACCATGCTCGCTGAGAGCATCCTCGACCGTCCCCCCGTCGTGAACTGGAGCAACTTCCTGCCGGAACGGCACCGACTGCGAAACTTGAAAATCGAAGAGCCGTTGCTAGCAGGGGACCACGAGTCAGAGGTTCGGCGTTTCAGACGAGAGGCATCGAGCCAGGTGGACACCGAACACTTGTTCGAGACCTGTTCCTTGATCAGTTCTGCATCAGGACAGGACTTCGAGGATGAATGGAACGACATCCAATCCGGCCACGTTCTAAGAGAGGTCGAACAAGAGCTGGAAGATGAGAGATGCCATACTACGAAAGAGGGGCTGGTGCATTTGTCGATTTCGCTGAAGGACACTTTGAGCGAGGACACAAAGGCCACCATACTGCACAGCTTTGTTCCAGTTTTGAAGGTTCGACACTCACTCTCCTGCCTTGCGAACCCAGCTGACGGAATGTAGAGACCACGACTGAGATCTGTGACACCCCCGTTGATGCCAGACTCGCCAGAGCCACAAGTTCCACCCTCCCCCAACCTAGACTTCTCTCTACGGTCTGAGGAAGACATTGATAGGGACAATTTTCTGCTTCAGCTAGAGAAAGAGATGCAAGAGAAGGACCAAATACCGTCCGAAGGAATCGATGATGCGAGTCCGACGACATCCAAACTGGTATTGAAAGAGATACATGACGCAGCTAACTTGGAGGCCGGTGAAGATTTGCGAATGGAAGCAGTCTGTGCATCATTCGATGGAAGTCACCAACCGAGAAAGAACCTCGAAAATCTGTGGCTTGATGTGCCAATGATCTCGTCTTCTTCGCAATCTCAGCAATCCAGCGAACAGGCAGTCAAATTGTCATCGCCTGTGGAGCCTGTCCCGGCTTCTCGAGCCCAACCCCTCACGCTCACTGCATCTAAAAGCCCTAGCAACGAAGTTCAGCCTGGTTCAATAACGACAGAATGGTGCGTCGACAGTGGTAAACTAGGTTCTCTCGAAGAGTTATTGTCCCGCGGGGCGGTGGAGTTTGAAAATGATGGATTTGAGGCGGTAGAGGATGACCTAGACGAAGAGCTGGTCAAGTTCGCGGAAAAAGCAGAGAAAGAGATAGATGCCGGCTTGAGAGGTGACAAAATCGACACACCAGAAGAGTGCTTGAAACAACCCGTTCCTCGACTGGAACCTTTTTCCACCCGGTCGCTATGTGACGACCAAGACGCTGACCTTCTCTTGCGCAAAATTGATGAGGTGTGCTTGGTCATCCCAAATACGGCACACTTGCAGAATGACCCAAAGCTCAATTGGTCTCCCTTTCCGCCCCAGTTAACCAAGCTGCAACTCGTCGACGGTATTGAAGATGATGGCAAAATTGGCACACTTGTGGGCGCACCACAAGGAGTTGTCAAGAGTGAGCAACTGCTCTGGAAACCGTCCGGTCTCCGCATGCTTGAGACAAATGATGAGAGTGATGGTGAAATGGAAGAGGATCCAGAGTTGCGTGAGAATATGTCCAGAGTGAGCGAACCCATCGTTCCGGCAAAGAGACTCAATCATGGGTCGGACTCGAGCTGCATGTCACCAACTAAGAAGTCCTGCACACTGGACACCAATAAAGTACAGGGCATGATGGCACGCAATACCGGCCTTGCTTTGAACGGCTTCTCGAGTTTCAATGCGCTGGAGGCGTTCCTTGATCTACGAGGAGCAAAGTTCAAGAGAGCTGCTCAACCACAACCGCCTTCGGCAAATGAACTTGCAGACGATCCCATTCAAGCAACTCAACTTGAGGAAGAGAAGCGTGTAACCTTGGCGCGCGGTTCGGTCTTGCAGCAGTCAGAACCATCGGGCGAATCCAACCCTTGCACCATCCAAGTTCCGTCAACCGCAATTGGCACTACACACACCGGTGGCAACGACGACCTTGGCCCACTTATGGAGTCGAAATGGCCTAGGACGATCTTGATCGAGACAACCACTCTCGGAAGATATCGTTCACTTGTCAGTTTTCTAGAAACAAACGGAGGTAAGCAACTTCGTATGATATACCGAGAAATCACCCAATCTGAGCGAAATACGCCTTCTGCGTCTCCCGATATCATTTTGAATCCGAGGACAGCCCTCATGTTCACAAACATGCAGGCCTTACACCAGAAAAGCTTGCCTGGACAAGGGATCCAAGCAGGCGAAAGTATGATCCAAAGCAGAATCCTGAAACTCGCACATGATTATACTCAGCTGTTCATTCTCGTTGCAATGACGGCTCGCGGGAATATCCTGCTGCAGTCGCAAGTTGACACGATGAACACTTTTGCAGGGTTTTGTGAAAAGCTCTCTAGTCGTCATGGCCTCCACGTCCACCCTCTCTGGATCTCGTCAAGTTCTGGAACTCAACCAGCTGAGGCGGCTCTGAGTTGGTGGACCTGGAATCTGGCTTGTTGCCACGGCTTTCCGGTTACCGACCCGTCTCAGTCCCTGCGTCCAAAGATAGACACAGCTAATCTCATCAATGAAGAGACTCTCTGGGAGAGATTTTTAAGAAAGGCTGGGCTGAATCCTATGGCAGCCCAAGTTGTCCTCGGAGGATTGAGAAGATCGGACTCCCCTGAAATCACGCTCGACCAAGATTGGGGCCTGAGGAGATTCGTGAAGATGGATCCTGATGAGCGCATGGACATGTTTGCCGAGACTTTGGGACAGGGAGTACTCGAGAGGGTCAATGCCGTGCTTGACAAAGATTGGGGCTGGAGATGAGAAGCACAGCCCTCGCCGCTGCACAATGCTGACAATGCAGGCGGAGCTTTGCCTCGGTGGGGTGGGAACTGCCTTGTCACATCTTAGGGCTGTCGCGTGTTCAAATGTAAGGTGTGGAGTGCTCGAGATGTTTTGTAGAGCGAAGAGATAGAGCGAGACCTACCTGACGAAGACAGCAGACTTGGTGAGGATGTAAGGAATCTCTAGGGATCATAGAACGTAGATAAATTCGCAGCCTGGTGAGCCGCAAGGCTGGCCCCCATGACGTACTCGGTAGATTTGGAGAGGCGGCAACCAAAGACGCAGACTGCAGCCGTTGACCAAGCACACAACCCTGCCATTCATTCCTTGTGTAACTCTGGAGGTTTGGTACTTGTTGGGCGTCTATGATGCGTTCATGCTGTAAAGTCACCACTCTCTTCCTTCCTGTGGCTCCTTAGTCCGCCAGACTCAGCACTTGCGAGAATAATCTCCACCGGCCGTCCCTTGACCATCGTGGCTCCTCCGCTCCGCGGTTCGACGAGGTCCCAAAACGCCTTCTCTCTCCTCCGTTACCTCTTCCCAAACACTCATCGGCGCGCTCGCGAGAGATATTTGGGCTTCCGTCACGAATATATCCCTCTGCTGCGTCATCGGGCGCAGTCGAGCATCTACCGAGCCATTGTGCGCAGGCAGCAGAAGAAACGAGAAAGGAGAGAAGCGAGCCGAGATCTTGTCTTTTTCTTACGGAGGGGGATTGGAAAAAGCCGTGTTGCCTCATTCCTGCGGCGGCGCACCGGGAAGAGCCGTATTCTGAGGGCTATATATGGAACATCGCACCATGCTGGTGGCCGACACAGTTGGAGGGGAACGAGATCAACCTCAGCAACCGATCAGATGACAAGTTATGGCGGCAATCGGGTGCCGGGCGCGAGGAGGGAGAAGGTGAAGGGGTATTTGAGGGCGGCCAATGAGCTGAGGCAGACATACCAGGCGCAGATCCAGCAAAAGCTGCAGGAGAGTGTCGCCGAAGGGGGGACGTCGAGGGATTGGCCCGATGTGGAGATTGTGAGAAGCGAGAATGAGGAGATGCTCCTGTTTCCTAGCTATGCGAGAAAACATACGAAGCGGAGCAGCCGATACGACGACGCCGCTAGATATCCTCCCGGGACGCACGAGTCTGTGGAAACGCCGCATAGCAGCGGGGACGCGGACTACTGGAAACGAGAGTGGGAAAAATATGAAGACGCGAATGCTATCGTCGACGTGGATGTTCGGGGATGGGTCTATTCTCCTCAACAAGGGCCGCTGAATAGGAAGAACCGGCTTCTTGTGGCGGTCGCCAGGCGACTCAGCGGCATCTACGCTCCCACCTCCAGCCCTGCGACTTCGCGCCCGTCAAGCCAAGCTCCCTCCAATCGCATACAACAGGACGACAATTCATCCAGGTATGAAGACGAAGTCGCCGCGAGAGAAGCAGAGAATATAACCCGTCGCGGACAGAGAGAGGCGGATGCGGCGGTCAGAGGGACTTACAGTTCGACTCCTTCAAGAGGAGGGACTCCTAGCGGTAGTCGATCGACCTCGCCAACGCGATCAATGACGACACCCGCAGATTATGAAGACGAAGATCCCGGTCACCGATCGATGGCTAAGCGTCAATCGTGGAATGAACCAGCCAATATGAGCAGAGAAGAGTTGTCGGCCGCGAACGAATTGCTGTTGGCACGGCTGAAACCTTTCATGTCGATGCCAACTGCGCATGTGCCGATTACGGTCTTCTTCTTCAACCAGTCCAAGTCGACTTCGAAGTCCGTGACCACGGATGAGTCAGGCCACTTCAATTTGCGAGCTGCCTTGGATTTTGTCCCTGATCAAGTCCGGGTCCTGGCCTCAGATAAACTGTCTGCGGTGGAAGATGTCATTGTCACCGAGAACAAGGGCGTTAGTCTGGTCAGCGACATTGACGATACGATCAAACATTCCGGGATCAGCAGTGGTGCGCGAGAGATTTTCAAGAATGCCTTCATTCGAGAATTGGGCGACTTGACCATCAAAGGGGTCAAAGAGTGGTACACGAAGCTGGCTGCCATGAGTGTTCAGCTCCACTACGTCTCGAATTCTCCGTGGCAGATGTATCCACTGCTGCGCAGTTATTTCTCGCTCGCCGGATTGCCACCGGGCTCGTTCCACCTCAAGCAGTATTCGGGAATGTTGCAGGGGATATTCGAGCCCGCGGCAGAACGGAAGCGTGGTTCGCTGGATCGAATCATGAATGACTTTCCTGAGCGCAAATTTATCCTTGTTGGTGATAGCGGAGAGGCCGACTTGGAGGTGTATACCGACGTTGTGCTTGAGCACCCAGGACGAGTATTGGGGGTTTTCATCAGAGATGTGACAACACCGGTCAAGAAGGGTTTCTTTGACCAAGCGATATCGAACACGCCGCCGGATTCCATGATTGCAAGAGATGGCGGGCGACTTAGTCGGTCTCCTGGAGACATAAAGACTGATGCTCCTGAGAACAGGCCCGCTTTACCTGAAAGACCAAAGTCGACGGTGGACCCAAAGCTTGCAGAAGGCGATCTGATTGATTTCACAGACGACTCGGAAGCGAAAAAAGGCTCGCTAAAGCCTCCTACGCATTTGAGCGACATGCGCCAGCTCGACGCGAACGGCAAGCCCCATGCCCCCAATAAACCCAACAAACCCTCGAGCTTACGAAATTTCTCAACAACCCAATCAACACCGCCTGCGAACCATGTGAGATATTCAGCGTCGTCAGATACAGAGACTCAAGAGGCTGTGAAGAAGAAACCGCCACCACCACCACCTAAACCCCGTCGGAGTGGACGGACGCCGGACGCTAACACTGGGCATGCCATGAGCGAGCCGGCACCACAGCCTCTCTCGAGAGCGCCATTCTCTTCTCCTCGCCAAAATCAAAGTCAGCCTCAACTCTCCTCTGACCTAGCTAAACATACGAGTTCGACCTCGAATCCACCAACACTTACGCCAACGCTGTCACGCACGTCCACATCCGCTAGTAGCGCCTCGCGAAATGATGATGGCTATGTGGCCGTTGCCCGTCGCCAGATCTCTTCCGCATACAACACTCTCCCAGCGATTCGCTCATCCTCGCCTTCTCGCTCTGCGACCACTTCATCCGATCAAGCCAGCACATCCAGCGACAACCGCCAAAATCCCCCACTGCCTGCACGGAGGGTGATATCTTCTTACCCTGCAGCCGCTGCACGATGGGCCACGGGCTACGGATACCCGGTCTCTGATCCGCTCGCAACTGCCAGCGATGGTAGCACCATTCCACCAACTCCCGGTAACAATGCACCATACGACAAGAAGTTGGAGATATGGCGCAGACGGTGGGCGAGGGCAGAAGAGATCATGCGTGCGAGAGGGGTGGTGTTAAGGAAGTGGAGGGTCGGTGGGGATGTCATGGACGAGTGCGTCGCGTTGGTGAGCCGCGAGCTGGAACGGCAGGACAGACATGGGCGAGAGCGGCACCACAACAGGTGACGACTGATGGGAGACAGAAGAAGTTCTTGCTTTTGCTGTTTTGGGGGAATACATATAAAAAGCCAGGCGTGCTCCTTTGATGTTTCTTTTGTGTTGACGTTCGATATAAGGTCTCCATCATGATATATGAGAGGCAGTTGTTTGTATTCTTTCATCTACTCTCCCAGGCTCGCAAATATACAAGCCGACCCTTTCCAGGTTCTCAAGCAGTTACTTCGGTCAGACGGTATGTGCTCTACTGAGCCCGAATGCCTCAATGAAGACTTTGTCGTTCATCCATATTGTACTCGGTACAACACTTCTATTGGTCCATGTTCTTGATCCATGAACACGTTGCTCCTCTCGGTACATCCCGTCCATCGTACAGGATCTCCTTTGTGGGCGGGTTTCCAAGGGGGCCTCTCTCACATCTTCTTCCCAGCCACGTCGCCCGTGCCGCCGCTCTTGCTCCCGCCCTTCGCGGCGTCCTTCTTGGCCAGGATCGCGGCCTCCTCGTCCTGCAGCTCCTTGTCCACCTGCGCGCCGCGGCTGGGCGCGTTGCCGTGCATCCTGGCCGGCGCGGTCGGGTCGACCTCGCCGGCCCGCGCCTCGGCGCTCTTGGACTTGCCCGAGCTGGAGGTGTCCGCGGCGTTGGAGGTCGTGTTTTGCGGGCCCGACGCGGCGAGGCGGTTCGCTATCGAGCGGCTGTCTTCTGTGCGGGCGGGTTAGGGATCTTGTTGTTCTGGTGGTACTTTCATTGGGAAGCGGGTGCATATTGGGGCAGTCTTAGGGAGGGAGTGATCTGGAGGATAAGAAAGGTATCATGGAAGGGCGCGGTTGGTGGCTTGGAATAGGGATGAGAGGATGGGACGGAGAACAAAGCTCAGGATGAGGCACGGCGAGGACGTCCAGGCCATGCATCCACAGCACGACCATCAACTCCTGCCCACCCCATCCCTTAGACCTCTTCCTTGGTGAGCAACTGCCCTCTCTCTCCTCTCACCACTGCGATCCTCTTGCCCATCCCGGTTTCTGGGCCATTTCACCTTTCCGTGCACCAGTCATGACACCAGCTCTCTCTTCTCCCGGATTCTTCTCCATCTCCCTCCACGCACAGAGTAGAAAGGAAGTCACAAACCCCCAGAGGGCATCAAAGGGGGAGTTTACATACTCGAGTCATTTCCCAGATGAGAATTCTTTTGTCCTTCTTCATACGCTTGGTCGCCGCCCTTCTGCGAGTCCGGCGGCACCCGCTGGTCCCCGGCCTCGTAGACGTTGCTGTTGCCTACGCTGGACGTGCCAGACATTTTTCACCGAGGGATATTTCTTCCGGGAGAGAAAGGTACGAAAATTCTCGAGGAGAACGGCAAGGGTTGCTCCTGTTTCGAACTGGTTGCGACACCTAAATTGAATAGTTGGGGGGTGTTTTCGAGGGATCAAGGTCCACAACGTGACGCTGTCAAGGATTTTGCTTTGAAAGAAAGGGTTTAATAGACAGGCAAAGGGGCAATTGTGAGGATTAATGAATGTTTGTGGTCGTCGTTGGGAAGAAAATGGCATTCTATATGTATAGGCACTCGTCCAATGCATGACATCACAATCTCATCCTTCGCCCGACGCGGGAGCCGCAATGAAGTCATCCATATCCACCGCTGGATACGTGAAGCATGAATGGAGCGGATCATGACGCCGCGACTATCAAGGGAGGATGGTAATTGCCCCTGGCTAGACGACATACTAGATGGGCTTTAGGCAACTAGACATGTGCCCCCCTGGTAGGCCCGTAAGGTGGTGCATTGACTTCGGTGAGCTGGTCAAGTACTGTACATATGCGTAGGTCGATCCGAACCCAGTGGAATAGTACAACGGAGACTAAATCCTCCGGAATGGGGAACTAGATATCCAAACGATCCTCCCTTGAATCTTCTACGAAGCAGTGTCAACCCGTGGTGGGTTTGGGTATCATGTCTTCCGGACGCCGAGCTTCAGCCTTGCGTCCATCCATATCATGCATCATGCCAATCGCTGTCCAGTTCCTGCCCTTCGCGTGTCTCTTCGTTTCATCCACAAGCAATGTGTAACTTCCTATCCAAGGAAGGAAGCCGATGCCGGCTCTGGCCAGGCTCATGACCACATCTGAAACATGCAGCAGTCACACCGGAAGAGGCGCGGCTGATCTGCGGACCGTTGTGGTGCCGATGAGACAGGACTCCGGCTCGTAGTGAAGTCACTGTTCGGCGAGTGAAGCTCAAGCAGCTGCTGACAAGCGACCTTGCGCCGAACAAGGGTCTTCAGCGCCGGTGAGGCTAGAATGGATGTGCAACAGCCTGTGGTGTGGAATCGTGGTGGGGTATATCTGATTCTCTTAGGCCGTGTCTGGGATCATAGTCCTAGAACCCTTTCCTTCTCATCGAGCTTCATCTCCAGATAAGTGTTGTGTTCCCAAAAAGGCTTTCGGTCATCTCCCGATTGTCAGCTGTGCAACTTCGTCCCTCGCAGCTCCGACCTTATCAGCCACGTCGAAAAGACTCCTCTGCACCTCACCAAATACGTAGCGCAGCAATTGCATCTGGTGATCTTTGTCGCTGACGGCCCCGCCGTTTCGATCGCCGTAGTTGAGTCGGTCGTTCAACTCTCTCTCCTTGCCAATGACTTTGCCTTCCAAGCCTTGGACGAAATCCTCAATCTCGCTCAGGAGTTGTCGATTGCCTTGAATCATGTCTTGCATCTCGTCGGTCCTCGTATTGAACAGTTCAATCAGGCTCTTCGGGCCTTGTATTTCCTCTGCGTCTTCACCAGGGAGTTGGATTCTATCTCCCTGAGCATGCCCGGCCCGGACGCTCCCCCTCAACGTCTGAGGATTGTTCCACCATCCGCTTAAGCCTGTTCCACCGTAGATGCCGCTGCCGTTCAAGTTTTCATTCTGTGCGTGAGCAACCTGTTGGTACTGCCTGGGCATTTTCAATCGATCAATGGCTCTGAAAACGCATTTTGCTTCCAGTTCGTTCTTTTTGATACCTCCGTCCCTTGCCGCCACAATTGCTTCCGCATCGTTGCCTAGGCCAGCTTCCACCTCGTCTAGCTTTTGGCTCACAAATTCCACGCCATTGGGTAGCGTCTCTCCAGCGGCAACCACGGTTGGAAGAAGGTCTGCTACCTCGGAGGCGAGTTTGATCTGATTGAGGATGAGAGTGTCAACCGCCTCGATTTCTTTTTGTAGATCGGGTGTAAGCTGGTCGAATTTTGTGGTGGAGCGCAGATGAGCAAGATCTATCTGCGGTTGAGAGGATGCGCCGGTTGTGGAGGTGTTTGTTGGTGGTTGAGCAGTTGTACTCTGGCCCCTGTACAGAAAATGTTAGGACGTGCACAAATATTGAGGGAAAGTATTGAGAGCACTTACAGGCTTAGGGGAGCTGGCGCAGCAGTGCTGATCCCCAAGCTCAGGGTTGGTTTTGACGCTGGAGCACCGAAGAGCGACATGATGTCTTTGAAATAGTTGAGCGCGCCGACGGTGATTGCGTATGATGAGAGGGTTGGTGTGCCAAAGTTCTTTGGACTGTGAGAGACGCGATGCGCGATGGAGAAGTGCGGCCTAGGTTTGTGGAACCCACCGTACATGTTAATCATTGATACGGTAGCGCATTGATGCACTCCTGGTCAATTCCCTTGTCTCCTGCCTCTCATCCTTCATTCCGACTGTCTCCAGGCTCAGTTCTAGAAATGTGAATTCTCGTGTGCGCTCACCTTCTTCGGCCAACTTCGCTACCTCTACTGTGGAAAGGCTAGGTCATTATGAATAATTCCCTTGCCCCAGATCAGATAGGCGCAAAGCCGGCGGAAGTATTGCGCTAGAAAGATGTTTCGTCCAAAATGTGTGGCTACTACGGTTCAGTCCCCGACTGATGATGCGCCGGGAGATTCCCAACTTCCTGTCCCCAAGAGCTACTTTAAGAGTGCCCAATGGTCAGTACGAAGTTGCCGCAGATCCGATAGCTCCCCACTGACGAATGATAGGAGTGCGGATGGAACATGTCTAATTGCCAGTCGTTCGAACAATGACATTGATACTTTTGTTGTGTGAGTAAATGTTGTTATCATGGTCTGCGGCGCGCTAACTAGCATGCAGTCCAGCAGACCTCCTCGAAAAGGCACCTGAGCCACGAATACTTTCTCCGTACTGCAGCATACAGTCGGCAGAATCTGTCAAGGCTGTGGTCGGGTATCCGTTTTTCAACCTTCAGGATTCTTCCACCACATTGATCTTGTCGTCCATGAGAGATCATCCGATTCGGCTGACCTCAGCTCTAACTGGCCATCTGGGAGCATCTTATCCACTAGTCAATCCCATGACTGAGGGGTTCATTAGTCCCCATTCCTTAATGTTCAGCAGTCAGGGTGATCGCATCATTGCCGGTTCGGAATCCCTGATCTCTATCTTTGATGTGAACCGGCCAGGGCAGGACCCGGTTTCTTCGATCCCTACCGGGCCAAAATGGAGAAAGGCGGCCGAGTACACTGGCACTGTCAATATGCGAGGGATCGTGTCCACGCTTAGCGGTGACCCCTCAACTGGCCTTCTAGCTGCTGGAACCTATAGCCGTTATGTTGCCCTGTATGATTCCTTGGGTCAAGGCGACTGCGTTGGGGTCTTCTGCGTCAAAGGCACAGCTGCGGACTTGCAAATTGGTGGAGGAGGAATAACACAGGTCCTCTGGAGTCCGTGCGGGAGATATCTCCACATTGCTGAGCGCAAAAGCAACGGTGTCATGCTCTATGACATCCGAAAAACTGGCCAACTTTTGGCGTGGCTGGAGGGTCGAGCGGCGATGACCAATCAACGGTTGGGCATTGACCTCGTTGGCACTGATGATCAAAGTAATGAAGTCTGGGCCGGCGGGCTTGACGGGGTCTTCAGGATGTGGAAAGATCCTCAACAACGCGAAGGTCCGATTGCATCGACCTTCGAGTTCAATGGTCACAGTGGTAAGCTCATCACTCCCCTCGCATTCGGGTTCCATATTGACATCTGCGATAGACGCTGTCTCGAGTGTCGTCGTTCATCATCGTGGAGGAGTGCTTGCTACATCGTCCGGCCAAAGGCACGTCGCTGTAGAATACGAAGATGTGCAAATGGAAGAGACAATGCCAGATTACAATTTGAAGATCTGGGAGTTATGATACATCGCCGTTGCCGATAACGATGAGGAATCGGGCTCTTTGTACAGTATTGTTCAGCCTACCCGCTCCCTCCCATCTCGCAATGATTTGATGCCTTTTTGTAGCTTCTTCGGAGATAATTTCGGCAGTAAACACTTGTGCCTGAGCCTTACCGGTTCAACACAGTCGGTGATGTTGTATAGACAAGTGGTGGTGAGATTTATTATGCTGAACTCGCTCAGAATCAGCTTTGGTATCAAGAGGTGGATCATTGTGCGACACCATGCTGTCTGTGGACTAGCGTGGAAATAGTGATTGGCTTGAGTCTGACTTCATCTCCCCTTTCTCCTTTTCCTTTTCCTCTATGTTAATGCTTTCGGTAGACGTATAGCATTGCTGTTGGCCATCCAGACTTTGCATCGGCAAAAATACTGAATCCTTCATGTTGGAGGAATCACGACCCGATGGCTCGTTCATGGCTTGTTTCAACCAGCGCCCTGTTGTTTCGCGTTGCTTTTGACCGGCGGAGCCACACTCGAACTCCCTCCTTGCTCTGGCGTGCCGACTGTCTCTCGAATGTACTGATTTTTGCTGTGGTAGGGCTGAGGTCTTGCCCTTCCTCTACTAGATCAGCTTCGGCAGACGTACCAAATCCGTCGATGCAGAGAAACACCCCTAGCTAAGGTCTTGCAGTCGTCCTTCTCTTAACCTGTCCATTGTTCCTGGCGCCAAAATTCACCGCATTCATCGCCGGTGATCGTACTTACTGATCCTGCTCAGCTAGTCGTCAGTCTTGTGAAGAACCAGTTATAGTTGCGCAATCTCATTTGTTTTGTCTTTCACTTCGTGTGTTATCACCCTCACAATCACTAACCTGTTTTTCACAAACCCGTCAAGCCAATCTTTGAGCTCTCTGCGAACCATCATCAAGGCCTCGAGATCCTGTACAAGATCTCGGGGCCTTGAAATCGTCTGTTTTATCTGATCAAGCAGCCTGTCCAACATCCAGTAACTGGCAAGTTTAATTTTCAGTCAAAGCCACCACCTCTTCAAGTTGCGAAAACACCCTAGATGGTAAGCAAGCATCGCATGTTAACACTCACTCACTGACTCTAATTTGAGCTTGAGAAGCCGGCTGATCAACATGTTCAGACCGCTCCGGTCCTCACGATGGAGCTTCGGTCTCTCCAGGAGGTAACTCTATAACCTCCTGTCAGATTGACCAAGACATCATTCGAGTGTTTCCTCCCAGCACCTCATGGGGCATGGTAGAAGAGCGGACCATCGCTTCAGACAAGGTCACAGAGAAGGGTCTGGCCCTTCACATGTCCTCCGAGCCCGAGCGAGCTGTTCCGGCAATAGCCCTCAGCATCTGACCCGGCATCTGCCATGGCTTTTGTCACAGCAGACCTACTTCTCGACACCCGAACGGCGGAACTTCGGTTGACAGCGGCTGCACATTCACTTCACTTCCCAAGTGAAGACTTTCTTTGTGCCAGTAAGTGACAAGGCTAGGAAGACAAGTCATGGGCGGTTAGCCCAACTGCCTCGCACATGTCAAGGCAGTTAGTGACGCAGTCGAGACGTTACTGCCGCACTGTCACCTGCGCCACTATTCTGGTCTGCCTTCCCCTCGTATATAAAAATATCTGCCTTGGCGCAGTGATTTGTGAGTTTAAATATCTTCTCTCTGCGCCTCTCCAATCTCACTCTGTGACTGACCATCTTCAAAGTCTTCTGCGATTCAACCAGATCATCCCTCTTTGTCTCACAGCACATATTAACTCTTTCAACATGCCGTCTCGCCAGGCACAAGCTCATCACGACCCAAAGACTTGCCCAGAGGTACAAGAAAGACTCAGGACCGAAGCTGCAGTCCACAAGGTCCTCCAAGTCGCCCAGCAGATCGCTCCACCACAGCGGGGGGTTACCGAGTTCCTGAATCTTGACCTTGCAGATCTGGCCAAGTCGTCGGATCTAATGGTCACCGAAGATGAAGAGGACATGGACACAATCTTCGAAACCGTGCTTGAGGCACGCATGTTCCGTCAGGCTCTGCTTCCTAACAAACGAGGAACAGACACAACCATCCCGGAAAGCCAAGAACAACTCCGTGCCCACGTCAAAGTCCTTTTCAAGGCGTTCAAGTGTGTTCCTGACGAGTGTGGCTGTCAAGACGCAATCAAGCGGCCTTTCAGAAACCAAATCCATGACAATTACCTTGTCGAATGTCTCTGTTGGGAGATTTTGGAAGGATGCATCGAGCGCTCGAAAAAAGACGCCAACCTTGTGGAAGCATGGGAACCGGGCAAGTTCAAGTACAAGCGTGCCAATGATTGGACCTTCGAAGAGCGATTTGACAGCATTGTGGAGACTATGGCAACCTCGAAGACCATCTGCAAACACCTCTTTGACGTCAAGTACCTGTTGAAAGTTGTTGACGACCCGAAAACCAATGCCGAGCGAGTTACGGCGAATCGAAAGCTCAACGGCCTGAAGGCCCGAGTCATGAAGAGAGGCAAGGAAGCGGAGGAGGAGGACAAGAGACAGGCCAAACGTGTCAAGACCGAAGAGCCCGACGACGATGATGAAGAAGAGGACGACTCCTCTCCACCCATCAAGCAGGAGCCTCGGCGCCGTCGCCGTACATCAACCACGCCTAGAACGGCTGAGCAACCAGTGATCACGCCAACACGTCCCTCACCTCCCACTTTCCATCCAGCATCGGCACCTGCGAATATGTCCATGGCACCACCAGCCATGTATCGCTCGCGCTATCCAAAGGGTCTTCAATCAAGCCCGCTTCCACATCCCAACGACATTTTTGACAACAGCCCAACTCGTCGGGCCACTCCATCGGGGATGTTCGGTAATGTGCGTCGTCCATTATACTATCCAGCCTACAGCCAGGCCATGCAGACTCCATCGCCAGTGCAGCGGAATGTCATGCAACAGTATTCACCAATGTTCGCACCGGGCTATGCCACAACTTCTGACACTCGGTTCCATCCAGCACAGACCACGCCAAGCTCTCGGTCCGCCTCCAGAGCGTCGACTCGTCATACCGACTCAGTGACACCCAGCGACCATGGCTCGTCCCATAGCTGGCTAGGCCAGCCAGTGCAAGAGAGCTTCGGGACCAGCTCTAGCTACCCCTCTGGGGCTTCGACTGTATCCCACGACCCTTTCGCATACTCTGCCGGTGAAAATCCACAATGGAATCACAGCTACGGCGCTGAACTGGGCGGCCTGACCGATGGTGCAACCAGCTTCGGCGACAATCACCGTTTCAGGGCGGAGAGAGCTAATGGGCACCTCAGCATGTCCGATCTGCTCACGCACGAAGAAGAGGTACATGCAAATGGACGCGATGAATCGACAGAGTCCGATCATGAAGAAGAAGAAGAGGAGTAGGAAGCCGAATGAAACGCCTTCCGGGCAAGACACTCTTCCAACATCCATGGGCATTGACTCAATATCAGTCTAGCCACAGTACGAATACATCACCCTCTCCTTTTTTCCCGACCTTTCTCTACAGCGCTCGACAAAGGAGCTTTCACTTGTACGGACACAGCAGCGATGGGATTCGGCACACAGTCACGACCTCTGCCTCCTGCAACGCCTGCGACCTTGTAATCATCAGCAATCACCATGCATGCGAGGATTCTTTGTTTCTGCCAGATTTTCCTTTCTTTCTTTGGAGATGTACACAAAAGACCACGGACAGAGACCAAGAGGATACAAAGCAGACCTTGTTGTCTTGTCCTTTCTTTCTCTCAGACCATGCGGACAGGGTACAATGCGTAGCTACGGCACATAATGGACTCGGGCGGGTGGGCTTTTGTTTTTATGGGAAGGGCGTGTCAATGGTGAAAGGGGTCAAGACTAGTGGCACAGTTAAAGTCACGGCCACGGGGCTACAGGTACAGGGAAGGACAAGGACAGAGGCACGGCTGGTGTTGACTACAGAGACACGAATCAATGACAGAGATACCTCCCCACATTTTTGCATGGAAGACACGGTTGGATAGAGCCTAGATACTGGTATCAGAAAAGGCTCATTGTCATTGAAACATACATAAGTACAGATGAGCACGCACAACGGTGGTGGCGGCGGCGACGGGCTGAATGGTCGCGCAGACCTCTACAGAAGGCCTGGAATACCAACCAGCATCCATACATCGTGAAGAATAGCCGGTGCTGTTGCGACAGATAGTCTGAGCTAAGCGCAGTCGGAATCAAAACGGATTCGATCAACTCTCATTATTGTCTGACATGCATGTGGTCATCGTCACGTAGCAGATAATATTGCATCAGACATTTCGCGTTCGTTAGGTATTTTCATATCGCCCGCCACGTAGATAGCTGCATCAACACGACCTCGTCCGCGTCCCGGGTCATTCATTCAGCCCTTCTTCCCCGCTCCTCCTCCTCCTCCTCCTCCGCCGTCGAAGCTCAGACTATACCCCCCGCCCTCGCCCTGGACAACCTTGAAATTGTCGGTGCTCAGCCCAAACGGCTTCAAGATCCCGTTGCCCAGGTCCTTGAGCTTGCCCATCATCTCGCTGACTTCCTTCTGCTTGGCCTCTTCGATCCGGGGCGGGAGCAAGACCAGCGCGTCGCGGACGGTCTTCTTGTCGGACGCCGGCAAGGTCTCCCAGTACTGCGGCGTGGAGGAGAGCGCCTTGTAATCTTCGAGCGCGGCGCTGAGGTTGGACCAGGCTGAGCCGGGAGGGGAGGAGGCGTTTGACGGTGCGGCAGACGTTGTTGACGACGGCGAAGGAGGTAGCATGGACATGTTTGACCTCGCCCGGGCGCGGCGCAGCAGCAGCTTGACGCGGATCCGTGTGATGTCGGCTTTCCTCGTGTCTGAGAGCTGGAGATTCTTCAGCGCGACGGATTCGTCCTCTTCGTCCGAGGGGAGTTCGACGACCGCGTCGTCTGTGGCCTCGGACTTCGCTTGGTCTCTGGACTGCGGTGGTGATGCTCCTTCGTCGTCCGACTCGGTGTCTGAATTTAACCGCCCATTCCGGCTCTTCCCATTGCTCGGTCTCGTTGATGGCGATTTCTTTGCCCCGGTGCTCTTCCGTGTCCCTTTCTTCGCCTTCTCTTTTTTCTTGGTCGGCAATTCTCGTTCCAAGCCGTCCAAGCCCCTTTCGCAACTTTCTACGGCGTCCTTCCATTGCTCAAGCTTCAAGTGGCAGGCCGCAATGTTGCTCTGTAGCACAGCCATCTCGTAGTCCAAATACCGCGGCAGTTCCGCCAGGGCGCGGTCGTAGATCTGGATTGCGGACTCGTAATCGTGGCGGGAAAAGAAAGTGTTTGCCTGGGATTTCAGATCGTTGGAGAGCGACAGCATGCGAGATTCTTCGGCGGGGGAGAAGCGGTCCTGCTGCACCGAGTGGGCGGAATGGAACGAGGTTGTGGACGAGGTCGAGGAGCGGCGGGACCATGACGGTGGATTGGGATGTGCATCTGTCGGAGGAGACGGGGGCGGCGGTTTGACTCGCTCGGGGCGGACTTTGGGTCCGTCTGCTTTGAAGGACATGTCTGATATTGATCTTGGGTATTCGTCACGGTAGGGGGGAAGGTTAGGTGTGCAATGCTGGTAGTTCTGTCGTAATTCGCAAGACGAAGAAAAAGAGGGCAAGGCTGAACGCAGTGGTGCAACGAGGCTGCCCGCGCGACCCACAGATGACGTTGAGCGCTCGTGTTCGGCTACTGAACCCCACCAAAAACTCAAGCTTGATGGAGATAGACGGGCAAATCCAAGATTCGTGGGACAAACGTGGGTTATGCAGGGGTCTCGACCACTTGACACTGCAGGTACAAATCTTTACATATCATCCTCGACGCAACTCTCCCCTCTCCTCGTCCTCCAGTCCGCCCTCTCTCAGCGACGCTTTGCATCTCAGACGACTTGCGATTCCCCCCACCTCCCCCGTCCTCCAAAACGCCCTACTGCTCTCTAAACCCCTCCAACATGGCGCCGGAGGATAATTCTTCAATGCAGCCTCGAGAGTATGTGCCACGCTGCCCCCTTCATGGCTCATCTGCATTGGATCCCTTACATGAAAGGCTGACCAGCAATTCCCCCCTACCAGCTTCCAGCCCGTCCGTGCCTGCATTTTCGACATGGACGGCCTTCTGATCGACTCCGAAGACCAATATACCGTTGTCACCAACACGATCCTGCGGGAAAACGGCCGGCCCGATATTCCCTGGAACATCAAAGCACAACTTCAAGGCCGACCCTCTCACTCCGCGGGGAAGATCTTCCATGAGTGGGCCCAGCTGCCCATCTCGAGGGAGCAGTTTATGAGTCGGCAGACAGAGTTACAAGCCGAGGCGTTTCTGAATTGCAGACCGCTGCCGGGCGTGGAAACCCTGCTGCAGAAGTTGCAACAAGCACATGCAAAGGGCCGCGGGGCATCCGTCTCCCCGGACCCGGCGAACAAGAAGAAGGTCCACATTGCGTTGGCGACGAGCTCGCACTCTAAAAACTTTGAGATCAAGACCAAGGGGATGAAAGACCTGTTTAGGCTCTTCCCTCAAAGACACGTCATCCTGGGTGACGATCCTCGGATACCCAAGGGGAGAGGAAAGCCGTTACCGGATATCTACCTGTTAGCGCTGCAGACTATCAATGAGACGCTGATGGTGGAAGGCGAGGGAGAAAGGCCTATCACGCCGGACGAGTGTCTGGTGTTTGAGGACAGTGTGCCTGGGGTGGAGGCCGGCCGGAGGGCAGGCATGCGAGTTGTCTGGGTGCCACATCCGGGGCTCCTTGACGTATACACCGGGAGAGAAGAGGAGGTTCTCGCGGGGCAGACCGGCGAGCATAAAGAGGACGACCTAGACCACACCGAGGGCATCCCTCTCATGGGCAGTCCTGGCTACCCAGGAGAGATCATGGACGGATGGGCAGAGATGCTGGCCTCGCTGGAGGAGTTTGATTTCTCGAAATATGGGATTGAAATTGGTGACGCGAGAGATGCTTCAGAGACCGGCCAGCACACTGTCGATGGCATGACGGACAAAGAGTTGGAAGAAATGACAGCGCTGGCGGACGGTAAACGTCATGCTCCGGAAGAACCATCGCCTCCACAGGTTCCCAGGACAAGTTTATAATGACGAGGGGCGTTAAGAAACTCCCCTCAATGCTCTCGATCAAAGGGCCACAGACAACGTGCAAAATGCAAGAATTCCAGGCCAGGCATAAATTGGTCATTTCCCAGGATTCAATCTGATCTAAGTAATGGTGTCGCTTCCGATGCCTCCTCTCCTCTTGTTTCTTCCGGCTCTACACTCGGGTTGTAATGCATCCGCCTCTTCAGATCCTCCTTCTCTTTCCTCCTCCGGACGATCTCGAAATAGCTTCCCATCACCAGCAATGTGCCCTGCAAACACCCAGTCACCAAGTACACACCCCATGCTGACCATCCTTCCGGTCCCAATCTTGCTGCAAGACTACCAGCCCAGACGAAGCTGCCGGGTGTTTGAATGCACATCATCGGTATGCTCAAGCTCCCCACTCTCTTGAGGGTGTAAGTGGTGTATATCTGTGGAAAATACTGGATGCTCGCGAGCACGGTCGACAATATGCCCAGGAAATTGGCCCATGATTGTGCATGGCGAGGGGCGGCGTATATAAAATAGAACGATAGGATTGCTGTGACTGCGGCATGCAAGACACAGATTGCGACGACGACCAGAGCGGTGCGGTAGGATGGGGCGAGGGGCGCGGTTTCTTTCACGGGGGATGGCGGAGGTATGTCTGATGTGGCGGAGTAGTCGGGAGGATTGTAATCGAGGCCGTCGGCGATGTCCTCATCGAGCGGTGCAGAGGGGAGTTGGTTGCGCGGAAAGAATATCAGGAATAAAAGGAGGCTAGAGATTCTTCGTGTCAGCGTCTCATCCCAGTACTAACACGGACTCCGTGCTAAAGTTGTGGCATGGGGAGGGGTATACTCACATCACTCCAAAACAGCACCACTGGACGCCCACCTGTGCGATCCCCAGTAGCCCAGCCAGGCAAGCAAATTCATCCACCTCCCGACAACAGGCGATATCGGCTCGCGATCTTGGGAGGACAAGGATATTCGCAAAGGCGCAGGTGCCGCTGGTGGTGCCTAGCAGGACGAAGTATGGGGACAGCCCGAAGGAGGAGCGCAGGCGGATAATGCGAATGTGTTGCGGTAGGTAAGATATCAGAATACCGACAAGGATGAATCTGCGGGAGAGTAGAAAGTTAGAGTCGGAGGCGAAGGCAACCACAGAACTAGGACTGGGACGAACAGAGAGAGCCCGAAGTTGGTGTAGCTGACTCGGGCGATTTCTTCGCAGTGCGGCTCCATGGTGGAGGTTTGGGATAGACAGCCTTGTGCAGAACAGGACTATGCTATCGAGGTGAAGTCATCTTGAGTCTTTAATGGATGTGAGACGACGGCAGGTGTTGAAAGAGATGGTCGACAAGAGCAGGCACAGTGGCAGGTGATGTTGATGTTCCAAATAGGGCTAGCCTTGCCTTATCCCGCATTAGGGAGGAAGATGGTGCCGCCCTAGTGTCAAGAGACTCGCAGAGCACGGAATATTACTTTTCCACCGAAGTCGGTAAAGGAAGGCTGAACCAACTCGTCTGGAAGTCATGGTTACAGGACCGCCCAGCGGGCTATGTACATATGTACTGTGCTCGTTTCAGGCTGAGTGAAGTGATCATTCCATCATCACTTCCCACGGGTACACTGCATCATCCCCGCCGAATCTCCCCACGTACAAGACTTCTCCACCATTAGTCAAGGGTTTCCACACAAAGATGGTGTAAAGCTGTCGATAATCATGCTTGTTGAGCTCGTCATGATCGTCGAAAGCTACGAAGCCTCGACTCTCATCTTGGCGGCCTGACCTTTGCTCTCGGCCTCAGTGACATAGTTCCTAAACTCTCGCGCAGGAACCCTCTTCATGAACATTTCGTCAAGCTCCTCGTATGAACGGCCTTTAGTCTCGGGCTGATACCACCAGAGGAAGCCAATGCAGATGAACGAGAGACCGCCGAAGACGAAGCCAAGTTTCCCGCCCAGGTTCGCCTTGTCCGGGTTGAAGAGGTAGGGTAGGACAAAGCTCCACATGACGGAGATGGAATTCTGCAACCCCAGACCGATCGCAATGGTCTTGACACGAAGCCTCGCAGTAGCCGTTTCCGTCAGGCAGACAAATGCAGTGGCGCCAATGGTAACGTTGTAGAACCAGCAGTAGAGAAGGATCATGGCCACAGTGCCCTTCAAGTCCCCCGGAGAGCCCGCGACGGCGAGGCCACCCATGATCCAGAGAATGACAGTTAGGCCCACGGTACCCCACACGGTCAGGGCTCGGCGGCCGGCCACGTCGATGAGATACCACGAAATCACGTTCCCAAACATTGACAAAACTTGCTGCGCGATTTGCAGCTTGAAAGCCATCTTCGTGCTGAACCCAGCAAGCTCGGCATAATAGGTCGAGTACGATGCGGCGAAGACAATGCCAGTGAACTGCTGGACGATGAGAGGCGAGATGGCGACAATGGTGCGGCGAAAGTTAGATTTTCGGAAGCATTCCAGGTATGTTACTCCCTCGGTCTCGCGGCGAATTTCTTCCAGTGTGACCTTAATGTTGGCGAGACGTTTGGCATCTTCACCATTCTGGGCCGGATATCCCAGGCGGTGAAGACTCTTTATGGCTTTCTCATCTCGACCTCTGGTGACAAGCCACCAAGGAGATTCTGGCATGAACCAGACAAAAAGCGCCGCAATCCCTGCGAACCCATACTGAGAGCAAAATACTGATCGATAAGCCCAGCGATTCGTGAAGTCGCCTGTGGAATTGACGATGAGGGCGACAGTGAACGGGCCCACGGTATAAGCGAGGGCGATGAGACAAGTAGTGAGCCCACGTAAAGCGAGAGGAACGATCTATCGACGAGTTCTTGTTCAGAAACGGAACATTGTAGAAAGGAATAAAAGAATCGGAGCGGATTTTTCGAACTCACTTCACCGATATAGGTTCCTGATACTGCCTGGATCGTTCCGACAGCAAATCCGTTCAGGAATTTGGCACCAAAGAAGACTTCGTTCGTGACGGCGACCATCTCCATCGTGATGGCCGCAAATGAAACAGCCAGAGCACCTATCAAGGTATTTTTCCTGCCGATATAATCGGCAATCTGGCCGCAGAACAAGGCTCCAATGACCTGGCTACATCCATGCTGTTAGATCTTTTCTGCCCAATGAATCGTGAACACAGACGTACGATGCAACAGGCGCACCCCCAAAGGCAGACTGCCATTTGGTGGACAGGACGTAGTCGCCCTTGTAGAAGTAGCCAAAGTCCTTGCGAAACTGAGGGATTCCCAGGACGTTTCCGGAGGCTTGGTTCTCAAAGCTGACCAGGAGGACCGTCCACACAGCAAAGACACACCAGGCACAAGCCCAAGGATTCCGCTTGATGGCTTGCAACTTGCTGGTCTCATGGTCTTCTTGGTTGGCGAGATGGCCAAGTTGCTCGTCCAGTGCACCCTCGGCGTGCACAGTGATACGGTCGACCTTTTCGGCATCCATGTTGGGACGCGTTGAATTATGCTGCCGCTGCAATGGATGAGACGTCTGAGTGTTGGCCGCCGAAGGAATGAAGAAGGCGACTCACAGTTGGCTTTGTGTAGCACGGATACTTACACACTGATAAGATGCATTTTATACCCGTCCGCTAGAACAGGAGGTGTTTGAAAATGGCGTAGGGGTCCAGGTCTGTCAGGATTCGCAAATGCTGTGGAGAGTTCATGAGAGCCTTCGGGAAGAGTCCGCAAAAGTTGGTTGGAGGCATATTCCTCCTGGGCACCACGTCGGGTAAAATGGAGTGCTTAAGCCTTCCTTTTTGAGTAAACGGAAGCACGCCAGTGCTAGGGACGTTGTCAAAGGTGGAAGAGGTAGCCTCCACGTTCCGAAAATGAGACCAGAGCAGGGATATGGTGGTTGGCGGGGACAGAGACCGGGGTATTGAGTAACTTGGGGGAATTTGAGACGAACGGAGAACCCGCGCGGGGGAAGCTCCTCGTACTCTACCCCGGTACCCCAGCCTTCGCGTGCATTTTCCGGTTGGCACTGTCCGCTGGCAGCACGCGACATCGGACCGAAGGGCCAGTGTGAGAACGTCTGAAGGGTGCGTGCTCTTTCAGCTTCCGAAGTAAGGAGATAGGCTGGATCCCACCAACACCTCACACACGCATTGCCGATACTTTGGAATGCTTCCACCTGCCCTGCCTGGGTTGCCAAAGTGAGACACGTGTGCGGATGCCAGATGGGCTTTCCCAGAGTGCCAGATGCAATTGCAACCCTTGAGGTGCATGCTTCCACATGCCTCATCGAGATTGTTGCTGTACAAGTGACCTAGCAGCCGGAAGGCCGAAGCCCGTTCCAAACCTGTCGAGCACTTTCCTCTTGAGACAGGGTGGTTTGACATTGTCATCAGGTAGGTATAACACATTTCATATCACCCTTTCGTGGTACGACTGTGACAAACAGCAGCCCTTCAGTACCTGGAAAGGGATCTTAGACGAAGTCTATTTCCGTTCACTGGACAGGTTCACAAAGACCGTCCTGATCTCCGGATCACGCTCCGCGTGGATAACCCCATGCAGCCTTGAGGTCTTTGATCCTCCACCGGGAACCCCAACCGGTTCGAGCTTCGATTGAGTCGATCAAGTTGACGATGATATTCTGTTCGTCGGGGTGCGTGAAAAGCTTCCCTGCGACGTATAATGGCTGAATCGCGTTGTTGATACACCCCGCATGAGGATTGGTCAACGATATGCCAACGATCCTTCGGGCATGCCATAAACGCGAGTAGTAGGTACCTCGATAGATCTCGGTCTCGGTGGTTGGCTTGATGTCGAGTAAGAGAATGCATGCGGTGTGGTAGAGTTGGTTACTGGATATGGCAGCCCAGTGCGCAAAGAAGATATGTGGGAATGGTGCTTTTTCTGCGCTGGCCGCCTCAATGTCCACGGGCAGCATTGCCTGTGGTCTTTCTGACAACCACTCCTGTAAGTCTGTCCAGACATCGTTCCATTCGCCTTCAAACGATTCTCCGGTGCATCCGTTTTCCTCACCAAGCTCGACGCAGCGGATGTGGCGGGACAGCAGGTCACAGGTCCTCGCGCACAGGTACACAGCGTAGTTCGCATACATGTCAGGCACTCGTAGACCTTGTTCCCGGAAGATAGCTTTGATCTCATGTAGCATGTCTGGACGCGAAGCAGGAATTGTTGACAGTAAGGCCCATTTATCAATGGGCATAACGGTGCTTTCGGCTCCGTCTGCAATGATCGCACCACAGAGATCCATCCGAGCATAGCACCAGAAAACGGCTTGGAGAAGACCCCCGGAGAAACCATTGATGCCCGAGGCGACAAACAAAGCCGCACAGCCTTCAACGTGTTTCCTCCAGTCACGGGGACTGACGCTCATCATCTCCAAAACGCAAAGAAGACAGGCAGCCACAACCACGTTCGGTTCTTTGGTGTTCAAGGAGGATGTCAACGAAGCGATCGCCTGAGAGTAGAGTCCGAGGCTGTCGCGGAAGCCCGCTATGTTACCTTGTCGTTCTGCGGTCCTTGCTCCAACCGCGAGGAGAGCGTGGAAGACGGCGGAGGAGCCTTGGGCGAGAATGGGCACCTGTAGACCAAAATGCCGCTCTTGATCGAACATATCCAGCCATGGCGCGCAGTCGGTGATCCAAACCTTGAGGTACTTCAGTTTTCTCTCCACTGGGATTTCCTGAGCAGAGTTGAAGACCTGTTCGCCGAAGTAGTGGTGGCCTGGCTTCGTCCGGTCCGTCAGTGCGTCTTCTTCCTCCGCAGTCAGACTGTGCGCTCTGGTCGTGCCACCGCTCCGCGCCCCCACGAACAGCCACGATCGCAGCTCTGTCTGCAGCCGTTGGAATCGCGGGTCTGCAGCATATTCGTCAAAGACGCTCTCATTCGACAGGGCCCCGGGGGAGATGAAATGCAAGGCGGCGGATTCCGAGTCCATGGTCAGTGGTAAGACTCGATGTGGCAGCTCTGATGGCCATGCATGCACAGCATCTCCACTGCGCAGAGTCGTGCCATTCGTGTGCGCAGGCGATTGTCTGCTTCCTGCGCTGCCAGCCAATTCCATCCTTTGGGGCAAGTTTCGCGAGGCCCCGATCGGCTATGGAGCGTAGGCCACTAGCCCTGGTCGCCTCGGTGCTCTCTCCAGGGGTCCAGAGCCTAAGGTGCCCGGCTTAGGCATGCCAACCATCCCCGTTTCTTGTCGCCTCGTTTACGCACGAACTACCTACCTAGGTAGGCAGGTAGACACGCCTAAGCATCAAAGTCTCGCCTGTAAAATCGTCACCTAACCTCTCAAATGCAAGCCTTCAACCTACCTCTGCTCCAGTGGAACGCGAATCCTGTGAGTCAAATTGGAAGTTTTAACCGCTGTGATCAGCTAACTACCCTCCTTCAGGTTGCGACTCAAGCATGTCGATATTTCTACTTCGAACGTCACGAAGAAGTTTCAAGCTGCGGTTCAACATCCAGCACTCCCTCGAGCAGAGTTGTTTTGAAACCAGGAGCTACACACCGATTTCTGCGCTTGATCAAAAGAATGGCAATGGCTCAGCGACTAAGAGTGCTGCGAAAGAAGCCGCGCGTCTTCATCGTTTCCGATATCTCCAATGAGCCTGACGATGCAGAGTCCTTAGTAAGATATCTGCTATACTCGAATGAATTCGACACTAGGGGTCTCGTCGCTTGCACCTCGACCTGGATGAAGAGGGTGGTGCACCCAGAGGACATGGAAAAGATTGTGAATGCCTACGCCCAGGTCGTGGACAACCTGAACCAGCATACTCATCCCGACAACCCATATCCGTCGGCAGAGTATCTATTGAGTCTGATCAAGACGGGGCCTTCGCTCTACGGGAAAGAAGCACTTCAGCCCGATGTTCCACTAAGCGATGGCTCGCGGTCTTTGATTGATCGACTCGACGAGTCGGAAGAACCTCTTTGGGTTCTCTGCTGGGGAGGCACCAACGTTGTTGCTCAGGCTCTGCATCACATGCAGCTGCACAGGACAGACTCGGAGAACGCCAAGTTACGGGCACGGCTCCGGGTGTATGCCATCTCAGACCAAGACGACACCGGGTTGTGGATTCGGGTAACATTCCCAGATGTCTTCTATATCAATTCCGTCCATGGCTGGAATCAGTACGGTATGGCTTTGTGGACAGGTATCTCTGGTGAGAAATACTACGGATTCGACAAAGGCGGGCCGGATTCGGATCTTGTCTCGCACGAGTGGATCAAACGAAACATCCAAATCGGCCCGCTTGGAAAGGCCTATCCAGATTTCATGTTCATTCCAGAGGGCGACACCCCGACCTTCCTGTACCTCATTCAAAACGGCTTGGGATCTCCCGAAAACCCGAACTGGGGGAGCTGGGGAGGCAGATATCTGTCCACCGATCTTTCCCATGCCGCCAGTCATTATAATGACGTGGCAGACCGTGTGGTTGGTAAGAATGGAGAGCTTTTTCTCAGCAACCACGCGACCATATGGCGGTGGAGACTGGCATACCAAAATGACTTTGCAGCCCGAATGCAGTGGACTCTACATCCAGACTTCTCTCGAGCCAATCACGCCCCTGTTGTCATCGTGAACAAGAGTACAACTGGCCCAGAACCCGTTTTCATGGAAGCGGAAGCAGGTTCTATCATCGACCTAGATGCTTCTGAGTCATATGATCCTGACGGGGATGACTTGAACTTCCACTGGTCCCATTACAAAGACGTTACGGCCTCTCAGTGGAACGTTGATTTTGAAGTTGCAACGGTCGAGTTCGAGAATCTCGGAAAGACTGGGGTCCGAGTTCGGGCAAGGTTACCTAGTCCCGAGAAATGTGCCGTCGATCGATTTACGGGTAAACCGCAAGAAAATGGCCAAGTGATGCACTTGATATTGGCAATATCAGACAACGGCGTCCCGAGCCTGACGTCCTACAAAAGAGTCGTCGTTCAAATCACCAACCCGAGACTCCTGGGGGGTCGCAAAGCAGTAGATTCGATTGCTGATGTGCACAAGGTTGGGTAATACAGTCACTGATAGGTCGGCAGGGACTGCGTAAGAGTGAACAAGAGTGACTCCCAGTTGATGACTCGTGGGGATGAAAGACATCATAGTGACATATATATATACATTATATATGCCCCGAACTGTGCTTCATCCCTTACCATTTCCGTTCAGGAAAGGGAGCGAGGCCGCTTTAATCGTGCACGTGACGGAGTACCGAGGAGGCCCGGCCGAGTACGGAAGAGCGTCGCGGTAGAGTACGGGGGAGAGCGCCTAAGTACTAGGCGAGCTATAGGGAGCGCTACCTAATGCCTATTCGCAGAAGCTAGTTCGGGCTTAGGGGTCCTCTTTAGGCCTTAGCTATAGTTGCCCGGCTATAACCCCTGATTTATTTTAGCTAAGCCTACTACCTAGTAACTTTCGATTCTTTCGTCACTCGACCTAATCCTAGCGCTAGTGTGATGGGTTGAACCCAGGAGAAGGCTTAGTTCTGGCGAACCAGCGCCAAGACCAACGCCAGGAAACCATACCTTCTGATTGGGTGTGTTCGCCTGTACAATGTACAGGCGAAGTGCCGCCTCCTGATTGGTCAAGTCTAATGTATATAGTTCTGAGTAGATTGAGTCAACTTATCCTTTGGTGGTGGTGTAATTAGGTTAGATTGTCGTACGGTGGTGGTCAGGTGTGCGACTCGCTATGCACCCACGTTACCGTCCGGCAAGGTAAAGACAAAAGAGAAAGGCAACATGCTCGCTTGTATCTGGATTCTCCTCGAAGACTCTCATTCCTTTTTCTTATCCACAAAATCCCTGATAAGTTTGCCCACGCTGCCCGGATCTTCGATGGCGCTCCAATGGCCAACATGGTGCACAACTTTCAACTCGACCTTGGACGAGGAAGACAATTTTGATGCAAGACTTTCGCACGTTGCCATGGGGCTGACCTTGTCGTCGCTGCTTGCGATAATCAACACAGGCACCGCCAATTTGGACATCTCGATCTCGAGGGCGGCGGCGCAACTGAGCGCAGAGCAGGCTTTTGCGTAGCCCTCGGGATCCTGGCCGAGGAGGATCGCGCGCACAGCCGCTAACGCTCCGGGGTTCTTCTCCTTTGTCGTCTCGGACGTGCCATTGGCAGCGACTGTAGCCGCGACGGCCTTCATACCTCCTGCGCGTACAGCAGCAGCACGCTTAGCTTGGCTCTCAGCTGCAGCCGCCGGCACAGGGTAGCGTGCCGGACCAAGCAGAATGATCTTCTCAACATACTGAGCATGGCGCGTCGCGAACAATAGCGCTGGCAGTGAACCCATTGAGTGCGCAAACAGAGTGGCTGACTTGATTCCGTAATGCGAGAACAGCTCGAGCAGATCCTCAGTGTAGCTCTCGATCGACGTGATCGATTGCTTGGCTGTCGGCGTCAATCCATGTCCCTCTAGATCGTACCGGTAGCAAGTGTAGTCTTCTTCGAGCCCTGTGCTGGCGCTCGATAGTAAGGGCCCATAAAATTCGGTAGACCCGCCCAGGCCGTGCACAAATACGGCATTTTTGGCGCCGTGGCCTGACACCTCAACGTGGACTTGTTTGCTGCCGATTTGTGTCAGGCCGGAGTGGCCTGGTGTACGGACTATACTCGACGGGCGTGGGGACTTTGGCTGGAAGCTTGAGTCGGACTCCCGGGTCGCCTCCACTATCTGATTGCGCAACGTGCCGAGGCCTGTGACGGTGACGTCCACCACGTCGCCGGGCTTGAGGTATGTCGGAGGCGACTGTCCGAACCCGACACCTGCTGGGGTGCCAGTGGCGATGACATCGCCCGCCCGAATCGTGGCACCAGCAGAGATCGTCGCGATCAATAGAGCCACTGAAAAAATCAAGTCGCCGGTGGTGGCCTCCTGCCGCTTAACACCATTAACAAAGGTCTGGACTTGAAGCTGGTGAGGAAGGCTTTCCTTGGGGACAGCAATGGGACCCTGTGCAACGGAGTAAGCACATGATTTTTAAACTCAGTAGGAGATGTCATCCTACAATCGGACAGTAAGTGTCTCCCGACTTGCCCAAGAAGAATTGTTTGTGGTCTCTTTGAACCTCTCGAGCCGTCACATCTGATCCACCATATTGTCAGTCAAGATATCGCAAGTCTGATGAATGGAACACTTCAGCCCAGTCACGTAGTTACATACCATTGATGATGGTGTAGCCCCAGACATAGCTCATCGCGTCTTTCTCCGAGATGTTGAAACCAGACTTGCCTAGTATAACACCAATCTCCCCTTCGTAGTCGAGTGTTCGTGTGAATTTGGGATGCCAGACAATGTTCTCGCCGGATGCTATGATACTCGTACTTCTTTTGGTAAATATAACTGGGTGCGAAGCTGACACAATCAGCTGATTAGCAAAGTCGAGCAGATTAAGTATTTAAAAATGTTGCCTTGACTTACGAAGGGCCACCTTGTCACTAGAGTCAAAACCCGACTTATGGAACTCCTCTGAATGAGCAACGTAGTTTTTCCTGATCGAGTGACTGTGTTAGGATCGAACTATGTAGAAGTAAAAGGCTTACATTTTCTACTCACCCAACACATAAAATATCTCTGCCACTGATGGGGGGCAACAGTGTCACTGAGCTCAGTGGGAAAGGAGACCCTGCGACAACAGGATCTTGCTTGAGCTCAATAAGCTCGTACAAAGACTCGATCAATGCTCCCGAAGCCATGGTCAAGGGAGTGATCTCCTGGCTATCGAGATCTAGGTGCCCAATACGTGTCTGCTGGTCGGAGCCCTGGTAGGCCACGTAGTTGGTCAACCTAGCGACCACACCATTGACGCCATTCGAGTCGTGGTTGATCTGAGGCTGTTGCATTGCCACAGTCGCTGCCCGCTGCTGTCGCTCGGACGTTGTCATGAAATCCTCTTGAGAGGATTTGTGGATCCGACCGTTGATCACGATCATGTTGAGTCGCTCGTGATCCTGTAAGATAGATATGTCGTCGAGAGGATTGCCATCGACCAAGAGACAGTCCGCAAAAAAGCCAGGCTGGACCTGACCTAGCTCGTCTTCTCGCATGAAGAGTTTCGCGACGCCGGCCGTCGCGGACAAAATCGATTCCATGGGCGTAAAGCCTAACCAATTGACAAAATGTTCTAGGTCCCGAGCGTAGGTTCCATGAGGCGTCCATGCGAATCCGTAGTCTCCTCCTCTAGTATGATAGTCAGTTTGGACTATTTAGATTAGGTCCATACGTACGGAAGAACAGTGATCCCACGGCGGTGCATTTCAGATAGCGTTTTCTTCGCTATAGCGAGTTCTCGCTCATAGCCATCTCTTTCTTCGGCGGACATCTTGTAGCCGTAGGACTCGGACTCGTAGAGGGTTGCGTAGAGCCAGTTGAGTGCCGGACTAACCATATGCTTATGCTTGTTCTTCTCTAGCATTTCCATACCCTCTCCATCGGTCCAACTAGCATGAAAGATAATGTCCACGCCATGCTTGACACACATCTTGACGCTATCTCGGGCTCTGCGCAAAACGTTTAGAATATTCTCCAAACTCGATAAACCAAAATCAGACATACCTAGCATGGGCACAGAGTCGTCTCCCTCGACCGTGAGCAACTTCGACACATGCTGCAGTCTCCTCATCGGTGTAGTAACACATTTCCGAGGATAATGGCTGGCAGATCTCCTCCCCGGACATAGTTAGTTTGATTTGGTCTGCGCCGATATCGATATGCCTATTCACAGCCTCACGCATCTCATCAGGTCCATCGGCTATTCGAGCGAGACCTCCTTGTCCAACTGCGTCTTGACTGCGAACAATCTCTCTACAGTTAGCCAAGTACCTGGGGCCTGGCAGCTTTCCAGCGTTGATAGCGTCTCGTATGACGACGTCGAGTCTGTCTTGGGCGGAAGCAGCTCCGAAAGCCCTAGCTATTATCAATATACCGTAGGTCTCGACTTCTGATCCTGAAACACTAACATGGTGTATCCGCTATCGATAGCAATCTTAGCCGATCTTGCCGTCAAGAGTGTGTGCTCCTCCACGCCTAAGCCACCCAAAGCTGGGATATCGCCTGAGTTCCAGGAGAGATGGACGTGAGAATCGCCCAGTCCACTCATGAGCGTACGACCGCGACCCTTCAGGATTTTGACCTTTGGGTTTTTGATTAGGTCTTCGATCGCTGGGACTTGACCGACATATTTCAGACGTTCGCCTTCGATCAGCACATCGCCTTTATATGGTAAAGCTCCCGTGGAATCGAGGATGTTAACGTCTAGAATCAGAATCACAGAATCTTTCGGAGTGCCTGCCACTTGTTTAGGCTGCTGTAAGGACCTTGGTCAAGGAGGGTGGTGGTACCTTTGATCTCGTACGATTTCGGTTTCAAGGAAGAATCGAATTGTACCTGCTCCCATGGCTTCCGAGGAGGTATGTTGTGGACAGGACTTTGAGCGGTAGTAGGAGCTTTGGTGCTCCGATGTGCAACGATTTTGGGTTCGGGAGGAGTTTTGGCACCGACCAAGTTCTCCGTGAAGACTTCGCCTTCCATTCTGGTACCTTCGAGCTCCCGCAGTATGAACAATGAAAAGGTCGCAATGCGTTTGAATACTAGTAGTCCATGTAGCTGATGAAGCATGCAATAATATGCGGGGTCTTGTGAACCGCGTCTGTTCTTCGGTTGAGTGACACTCAACGATCGATCACGTGGTAAGGGATGTTTGTGCCTTGGTCAGGGTTTTCGAGACTGAGATTCCGAGAGTACTGCTTACTTTCGGCATGCTGGACCTTCGGAGCTCGGTGTAGGATCTCGTGGTCGCATGGAATGTATGGTGCACACTATGGTAGAGCATTTCCATTTAGGAAGTTCCTGTAAGGTCATACCACCCATATGCATTGAAGAGATCTAACCGTTTTAAGAAAGCACCGACAAGGAGGCGGGAAAAGGGAGAGTCCAGGTGGAGTACGCCTTGTGCAAAAATGCAACGCTACAACGGTATTGCCTGCAACCGACTACTGTCCTGCTCCAAATTGCACACCACAGAGGAGGCTGGGTAATTCTGAAAAACACGACGGTTCTAGCGTCGTCAAAGAAAACCTGGGAGGGCAGGCCGTAATGAGGCCGTAGGTCGGGAAAGAATTCTTCCTTACAGCCTCAGAACGCTGACTTTCGAGTCAGTCTTAACCTGAACTGGAAGAGGCCATTCACTCTATGTTTTGGGAACTCCGAATGTCGTCTCTACGGATCATGGAGTGTCCTGGGCTCTAGATGCTGCAAGTTGGAAGATGCAGCCAGCTCTGATTGTAAAGATAAGGATATGAGGTGTGTAGACGGAAGGCATGTAGTCTGCGTACAGATACACCGGCAGGTGGTTGGATTCAAGAAGTCTGTATAAATTAGGATTCCTCCACCGTATTGGCAAAGGCGTGGGCCGGACCTATATCGATCGAGCGCTCGCCCTTGACACTTTCGGCGAGTCTTCGAATCTCTTTTTCCTCGGCGTCGGTGAGCATGACTTTCAGAGAGTCCCAATTCTCTTCAAGATACTCTATCTTCTTAGTGCCTGGAATAGGAATAACCTCTGGTCCCTGTTTCAAGAGCCACGCAATCGCGAGTTGAGATCCTGAAAAGCCTTTCTTTTCTGCAACAGCCTTGATTTGATCGACGATCTTGGAATTTTCGTCCAGGTTCTCTTTGTTGTACCAAGGGATATACGCAGCCCGCATATCATTTGCAGGAAGATTGGTCTTGGTGGTAATAGCTCCGCCGAGAATGCCTCGCCCGAGTGGTGAGTAGGCGACAAGGGCAACACCCAGCTCGCGACAAGTCTTCAGAAGGTCCGTGCCAGATGAATCTTCCACATCTCGTGCGAAAAGAGAATACTCAGCTTGGACAGCAGAGATCGGGGCAATCTTGTGAGCACGTCGAAGTGTACTCGAGCTAATCTCTGAGAGCCCAATATGTTTGATCTTTCCTTCGCTGATAATACTTAGAATGTGCCCATCAAAATCTCAAATCCACGTACGCTTGAAGAGCCGCCAAGGCGCGCACAGTAACCTCAACAGGAATATCCGGATTGACACGATGAGCATAATCTAGTCTGCGAGTCAGCACTGGAGACAGGATTCGAGGCAAGAGATTTACAGAGGTCAATGCTTTCGACTCCAAGTCTCCGCAAACTCTTCTCACATGATTCCCTACAGTGCTTTGCAGAGCTGTCTACCGCAAAGTCCGTCGGGCTAATGCCAAATTTCGAGGCTAGGAAGATCTCATTTCTTTTTCCAGTTCGTCGAAACCATTTCCCCAGAAGGACCTCGCTATCACCATAAAAGCTGTACAATGTCAGTAGAATCCGAGGATCTGCCCCATCTGACTAACTCAGAAGTATCCCAAAAGGTTTCTCCAAGTTCGAGTGCTCGATCAAGGATCTGGAATCTCTCTTCATCATTCCCCGTTTTTCCGTAGGTGCCAGATAGACCCATAAGTCCAAAGCCTAGAGCCGGCACTTTAGGGCCATCTCTTCCCAACGTGCGGAGAGGGATCTGGGCAAGAGACATGACTTTTGGTGTTGAAAGGGAAGCGGAATAATTTCTATAACGCTCGTCGTGAAAGGTATGATGAGTTTCATTGCGAGCGCCGTTCGGCACTTTTTTTGTAATTTAGCGGCTCAGCAACGGTATTGTCATCTTATCGTGGTTAATTCCGATTGCCAAAGCATGAATATCATGACGTAGTAAGTCCGATCGGCGCAGTTAATCCCATAAAACAGCCATAGCTAAATTTGCGGTTTAAAGTTCTGTCACGATAGAGCTTCGTGCGTCGATCCACGGCGATTCGGCTTCAAATACTTTCTCAGAAACTCCTAGACACCTTAGCTCAGAAGGTAGGCTGAACATGTAGGCTAAATACATGTACCCAAGACGACATACTTGGCATTCCTTACTTAAGCTGAAAGAGATAACCGCCCACCTAGACTCGCTGAACGTTGATCCTGCGAGGCATCGAAATATCTCAGTTGCAGACCCTCAGATCTCCTTCCAACCAGCGGCTATGTCTCAAATTCCGATATACAATGACAAATTCCTTGAGAAGCTATCTCTCAAGGGGAAAAGCATTGTCATTACAGGCGGCGCTCGTGGGCTTGGCCTTGCATTTTGTAGTGGCCTTGCACAAGCAGGGGCGAATGTTGCGGTGATCGACATCGCCGAGCAGCCCAGCTCGTCGTTCTGCAGCTTGGATTACGGCGGCAAGTATCGCTATTACCGTGGAGATGTGACAGATTATGAAGGGTTCTCAGCCCTCATCCATAAGATAGCTGACGATTTTGGGACCATCCATGGTTGGTATGCAGCATACTCGAGAGCGTCATTATCTGTGAATGAATAGCAGTGTTGAATCCATACTGACGGGTTTGTGCATGATCTCTTGGACGCAGTATAGCAGCAGCTGGGACTGCGATTGATAAGCCATTCCTCGAACATACACCACGAGATATTCAAATCACGCTGGATCTTAATGTGAGTATTTCAAGTTACTGTGTCTGAAAAGTCTCGGACTTCACGAACCAGAGGCGAACAAGATACTAAGGCATTTCTTACCTTTTGTTCCCAGGTCAAGGGTGTTTTCTGTACCATGCAGCATGTCGCCCAAGTGATGAAGGAGCGAGGGACAAGCGGAAGCATTGTGGTTATCGCGTCGTCGGCATCCTACAAGCACCCAGCGGCTGGCACTCTGTCCGCCTACACAGCCTCCAAATTCGCTGTCCGCGGTTTGGTTGGCTCCGTGGCTCGAGAATTGGCAACGTTTGGAGTCCGAGTCAATTCGGTTAGTCCAGGGTGAGCTACTGACAATCTGTTACGATCGATTAACAGTCCAGGTGGATGCTAATCCTTGCGGTGCCTCAGATCCATGGAAACAGAATTACTTCAACAGGTTTTGGACCAAGACCCGAACCGGCGAAAGGTCTATGCAAGTTCATGTGCGTTGAATCGGCTCGGCAGACCCGAAGAGCTTTGTGGGATGATGCTGTATTTGATGTCCGACCTGGCAAGCTTCACCACTGGTCAGGATTTTCTCATTGACGGCTCCAGCGTCTAGGCAACGCTTGGCTGTGTGATTCAATGATAACTTGTATCCTGCCAATGATCTTTCTCATTCTTGGTCATCCTGGCGCCAAGTTTCGTAGTTTTTATATTATGCTTGAGACCAGGGATATATGCTTGAGACCAGGGATATATGCTTGAGACCAGGGATATATGCTTGAGACCAGGGATATATGCTTGAGACCAG